GTTATCAGTGTAGCCGCTTATTAGGAGGTGTTTTTAACGCTCATTTATTTGTACTTGCAAGAAACGAAGCTAGAAGATTCATGTGATATGAGAAAGTTGAGTCAATCTCCGCCACATCCAAATACCATTTAGTCATCGTACATCATCCTGCATTGTGCTATTGTCACTAATATCATTCCTGGCATCTCTGCTGCTTTCATTTCATCAGGAAACTGCTCTGAGCGCTGCTTAAATAATCAGCAAACTGCACGCAAAGCCTGCTTTCTCCATCGCGTAAAATAGATGAGATCAACAACTTGTAAAATGGGGAGTCAGATTTTTCTGTGAGGGACACATTGTGGTTACAATGAAAGTGAGTCAACGGAAATCGGTCATGGCATACTGTCACCACAGTAGGGACCCAGCCAGATAAAAGTGCAGCCAAGCCACATATACTGGGCAAGGAGAGTACACTCAACTGACAGCTGCAAGCACTTAGTCGACTGCCAAGAACAAAAACAGCAAGGCAAAAACACTATTCAGCCCAATTTGGCCAAAATGAGTCTGCAACAATGGTTTCCAATATTTTCGGTAAGAAATCAGTCATGTCTTGATTTGCACTTGTCAGGGGTCAACTGTCTCAGGGTTTTGTGTAACCACAACAATGACTGAGAGAAAAGGGTGCATTCAAAAGTCTCACAAGGGTAAGAGAACTTCTCGTTTGCGTAAATTAAAGGCAGGTAAGCGATACATCAGCCTGCTGGAGCTGAGCAGGAGGAAGAGGCAGAAGATAAGATGAGCTGTTCTGAACCACTAACCACATGCTCTTACGAGGTCGTGGTGTTTATCATCAAATGCGCGTTCAAACAGCTGAAAAAGAAGAGGAAGGCCTCACCTCTGGGAGTTTGTGACTCTTTGACCCATCTGTTCCCCACAGCCGTACTAGTGGGAAAGACAGCGTGGGAGCTTTTACCTTTTATTAACACTGAACACAGCGCCTCCTGCCTCCACTGTGCCTTTTAGTATGCATTAAGGCAGAGGAGCGTGAGGTGAGCAAGCAGTGAAGAGGAGCCCAACAAAAAAAAAAAGAGTGAGATGAGTCCCGAGAGGCTGGAAGATGGGCTGAATGACAATTGACTTGCTGTCAACACTCATCTGCATTCGCATATCTTTGTGGGCCGACACGTTTAGTTGGCAGGCAGCCACGGCCTTGACATATGAAGACGTGGTGTACAGACCTCAGAGCTTTGATTTGCAAAGCTCCACTCTCATGCAGTATTTACTCGTGTTTCCCACTAATTGACTTTCATTGTCAGGGATTGTTATCTTCGCCACTGAAAGGAGGCAGAAAACCCCGTAATGGGTTCTGGTTTAGAGGACAGCTGTGGCACTTGCCTCGACATGCCCTTCAAATCAGAAACCATTCACTTGTTATGATACAGCTTTGGAGGCAACTGAAACCACCACCATTCTTCAGATGCTCTGTACAGCCAAGTACTGAGTGCTACAGGATAGAGTTACACTTTCATCACACCTATTTAAACTCATGCCCACTTTTCACAGTCTGATTCTGTACAGTGTGTTAATCATGTGAGCAGAACCAGGTCATGAACCTGCTGCTCGGTACAAATTTACCAAAGCAAATTGCTCATTTATAGCTGCTTCGATTAGTGTATAATAAATCAAGTGTAAAGTTTCAAAGGGCTTTGTTGAGTGTGAACTGGATCAGTCAGACTTGTAGATCTTTGACACAAGACGATGTTTAAACACATAGTTTTAATTTTCTATCTGGCAACTTTAATATTGTTATTAGACACTTTTTAGCCATGGTCGTAGCTACAAAAACACTCATCATGTTATATTTTACACTCAAACCTGCCTCTATGAGATAGAAATCATTATATAATATATGTTATATTATATTATGTTGTTTAAAATTAAACATTTAAAACTCTTTCTCTTGCATTATAGGCATGCTCAGAATCTCTCCATTTAACAAAGATAAATTCTTTTATAAGAAAGAACTTAGTTTTATTGGTAAGGTATTTAACTTCATAATTGAGTGAAGAATATTGAACTCAAAGAGATGGACTAAATAAATTCTGCAAACAGTGAAAATCGTCGACCAAATTGAAGAAAACAGACAACCCCTGCAAAAATGTGAAGTTTCCTGTGATTTATAGCAGCAAAGCAGGCTGATACAAATGCTCTAATGTTACTGAAAAAGTTATTTATTTATGTTTGTACAATAAAAGAGTAACCATTTACATTGCAACTTTCACAAGGAAAGTGTGTAAAGATTTGTGCAGGTGAGGTAAGGAAACCCCTAGAGGGCTTTCAGATAAACCTCACCATGATCAGTGGTCATCATCACTTGCCAATATTGATAGAAAGTTTAGTTAACTTAGTTGAAAGTTGAACTTAAAGGGAAATTCCAACGTAAAATTAATTTAGGGTCAAACACACTGTAACACAGAGTTAGATACCCCGTCAAGAGAATGTTGCCGACCGCTTGCTTCTCTAGTTATACCAACTTTAGTAATGACGACACGATAGCAGTACACAGCGGTCTCAGGAGCCACTTGCTCAACCAAAACACCACTCTATAGCCAGAAATAATGCTCAGAACAGCACCTAACTTCATCAACAGTACATATAGGGTCCCAGCCATAGAACTAGCCACCAAACACCTTTTTAGCTTTGCCTGATTTCTTCAGCAAAGAGACTAAACACAACTCACCGTCTCTCTTCCAGCAGCCACTTGTTTGTACAGAGACCTCAGATGAGACCATTACCGACTGCAGTGGGGTGACGCATTATTTGTGGCTATAGAGTGGTTTTTTGGCTGAGTGCATGGCTCCTCAGACCGCTGTCGTTACAAAAGTTGGTATAACTAGAGAAGCAAGCGGTCTGCAACATTCATCTCTCAAGAGGGTGTCTAACTTGGTGTTACAGTGTGTTTGACCCCAACTTAATTTTACGCCGAAATATCCCCTTTAATGTTTAAATTGGCAAGTAGGCTGATAAGACATCGGTGCTATGAAAGTGCCAGCAACCACTGAATTTGAGGGACCATATTTTTAGCTGCATAAATAAATAACTTTAAAATCAATCAGCACTTAGAGCCAACTTGTTTGTGTCTTTAGTCGTTAATAAGCAAGATAATGCATCAGGAGCGGATGATACATTTAGCATAATTTCCCGCTCACTATACATTACCCTCACTTTCTCAGGGCTTACGGAAATTGCTGTGGCCTTAAATAACTGTCAGTTATTTTGAGCCACTTAAAGTATGAACTGCCTCATCAGCATTTTAGATTCATACAAGAGGTATTTCATCCTGCCTGTGCCAAAAGGCAGCTTAAGACCTCTTTATCAGAGCCATTCAAGCAAAGAGTCAATACAACACTGCAATTAGGCTTGGTCTTTTAAAATCTAAGATGCTCTAATTGACTGTGTGTATTCAAGTAGAACATCTAAATTCCCTCCAGCAAGTTTAATAACATTGATAAGCATAATGCATAATTATGAGATTGACTCTCTGAAATGCAGAATGATGTCTTCCCGCCGTAGAGAAGTATCAAAAGTGTTGGCTCTAAGACCTGATGTTTGTGCTTATTGCTTGCCTTTGACTGCAGTTTTCATTTATTTTCCTCAAGTGTCTCTTTGAATCTGGTAATGTTGATCAGGGGCTCAATGTGACTTTGATAATAACATCTTTATAAAGCTTACGCCTTCGCCTCTGAAGGGCTTTCGGTGAAGAGCTGAAGATAATAGCATGCTGCAGCACATCAAACAGAGCCTGGTCAAAAAGCAAAGCACTTCATATCTCATAGGAGTGAATTTAATGGCCACTGGTTGCTCCTGCCTCTTGACCCTCTCCAAGAGGCTCCATGTTAGTCACTCTTCAGTGCTTTCCAATTGAAACACAGCCAGGCTGGTTTAGATTAGATTTCAACTGTCTACTCAATGCCTGGATGACTGTTCCACGAGCTGTGGCTGGTCATTAGACCGGCGACGCTCCGTTGAAGTTGAGGAGATTGTGAAACTGGACACAGACATTTTATAAAGTTGGAGTCGTGCAGCAGTTTTCATGTGAGGTTTCTCATACTCCTCCTGTCTGCGGTTTGATTTCAACCATAAATAATTTAGTTCACTTTGTAGAGAAATATACAGGCTGAAAATAAGACACACTGAATACAGTATTGTACTCCTCTTAGGTATTACAGTGTCTGTTTTACATTTCCACTCGACCTCATTTCAAGACAGTATCTTTAATTCTTCATATATCAGACTGATGTAGTTGCCTAGTTTAAACTATAACCTCCCACAGCCAGCTACAGTGACCACGCCACCAAAGTGAATCAGGGACTGAACACTTGGCAGGGAGGGCCACGAAACAGCCAGGGGTTTTTCTGCCTGGGACCCAGCTGACTTGACTTGAAGGCAGCCAACCAGACTAATTTAATATGGATTTATATACAAGGTGTCTTGTTTAACATAATGAATATCTAATCAAGCGTGAGCTCAGAAAAGCAATTTCTGCCAAGTAATTGAAAGCAGACTTTGTTTATATGACTGAGAATATTGCTACACTCTTGGCTCAGGAGGCCAGAGCTCTAACTGGGCATTAAATCCTTTCCAAATACACTTTTTAAAAAGATTTTCAGTTTTTCCTGGTGAGCCTCTTTACTGTTCAGCTGCAAAGGATCGATAACTGATTATTTTTAAAGCAGCACCTATGTTCATGCACATGCTCCCTAATGATGCTTAAAGTTTTGGTGAAATGACACATAGTGTAGCTCTTTCATGGTCTATGAAGACGGAAACTGTGGTTGTTTAACATGCCAGAGTGTTGAGTGTCTGCTCAGATCTGAGTCAGGCTGTCTGTGCCTCTGAGGTGTTCCTGCTGTTCAATCCATTTGATGAAAGTTTTTTTTTTCTTTTTAAACTGCTGTCCTGTGCTGCCATCTAGTGATCATAGCAATAACTTGAACAGATTTAGTCCCATTACAACAAACTGATGCAACAAAGGAATTTTAATTCTCATTGTACAACTGGCATAAGAGATCAGACTTCACAGAGGTGGAAACATTTAAATGGAGAAAGACAATCAAAAAGAAGTGGATAATTATTCAAACTCTACTCACAGCTCCAGAATTTACCAATCAATAAGCTGAAAATTATATCAGCTGTTCACTATTTCGGAGTGTCTCCTAATGTGCCAAGAAACAAATATGACTACATTACTCACAAATGTGCAAAAAGACTCTTTTCAGCAGCAGAAACACTGAAACCACACCTGCTGCCATCTTTAGCTGAATCAAATAACATGTTTCTTTTTTTTTCCCACTTCTTCAATAACAAACATAAAATATAATTTACAAAAAAAGCTTTGGTGACCCATGTATAAACATGTTTGCATATATAAAAAGTATGGAAAGTGTTTAAATATCATCTCTACAGCTAAATATAAAAAAGTTCAGACTATTGCACAACAGCCAGGTGAGGGCAGGGGAAGTGTCAGCTGCATTTAGGGTTTTCTGCGCCTGTAAAATAAGAACAGAGTGTATTTAAATACGACCCACTGCAGAGTAAACGTTCTTCAATGTCATCTTGAAATTATCTTGGAGGCTTACTTGGTAATCCCATGATGCTCATATCCAGGACCCATCTTCGATCCAGCCTTCATCTCCACGGCCACGGAGCACTGTGAACAAAATGACATACTTAGTCCTCTAAAACCTGTGGAAAGTATTGATGGATCAATCATTTGAATTATAACGCCACGTTACAGCTGCATCAGTAACAATACAAGTTAATACAGCTTGTGCTGAATCAGTGGGCCTGTTTCAGTGACTAGAATGTGCCGCATTCACCAAATTGAACATGTCTGAGGTGACAGAGGTGGATTGTACAAACCATAAATATCTTTAAATAATATGGAGTGGCTGAATGAACAGGATGATTTCTTTAACTGACATGTCAACACTCAAATGTGTTAGGGTGCGAGACCAAATCTCAGGTAAGACATCTTTGGTGAATGTTAGAATCTTATTTAAAACTGCCTGAGTGATTTTTAAGATAATAATTCCTCTTAAGGGAAGTTGGTCAATGAGGATTAATCATTTTTGTGTCCTTTAACTTTCAGTTGAGATAAGTTCAAAGCAGCGATGGTCATCTACCCAACAGAGAAGCCTGGGTTTGTTTCAGGCCTGTTACCTGTCTTCCAATCACATGCATGTTTATTACTTTAAGACTCACATACAATCATAAATAACTGTACAGTAATCAATATTGTAATCCGCACCCTTGTTTCCACATCAGTCCAGTCTCCCTCCACTGGAGCTCCGCTGGGAGGTTTTCCCTCTGAGGATTTTCTTTTGCGGCTTCAAATAGAAATGTAAATGTTATTCAGAGAAGAAGTGTTCAGTAAGTTACAATAACATGGGTCTACTATGAAGCTAAAAACTCATCCTTGGCTGGTACCTCGGGACTCCTGTGAGCTCCTGTTTGAGTGTCTCAATGTCTGTAAACTGGACAGCCTGTCCTCCTCCTCTGGTTTTCATCACCTCACCCTGCAAAAAAAAAGAATGAGGAAACAGCAGTCAACATTAATGAGATGGAACACGATCCAAAGCAGCAGAGGAGGCCAAAAATCCTTCACATCTGTTTAAATCTAACTGCTGTGCTTGACTTTTTCAAGTGTCAAAGTCTCCTGCAGACATTTGCAGAACACAGACTTTATGTTCTGTCATTTATCTTCCTCTCCAAAGAAACCTTAAACAGCTGTGCTGATCTGTGATTTTCTACATATCGGAAATGCTTAAGGGTTATTGTTAGTTCTCAGTAACTTTTTAACAGACCCAAAAAATACCCCCAAACCCAGACTTAAAGCTTAAGCAGCTTTTTTTTTTCCAGTGATCCCAGGGTCTATCTCAGCCAGGACAAATGTCAGTGAGGATACAAATCTGCTAAAAGTAAGTAGTGAAACAACAACAATGAAAGCTCACTGGTTACAACAGAGACCCACCCAGAAACAACAAAGCCAATGGTAAAGAGAAGTCATACTGAAGCTTCTGCTGTGTGATTTTTGTCTGTGAGATCACTAATGTGTTCAGTTTTCTCTTGCCTTGCTCATTACCTTTATGAGTTTGGTCTCGATCTCGCCATCAGAGGCAACCTCCTGGTGTGTTAGCACATATCTGTCACACTTAGAAAGGGCCTTCTCACTGGGTGCTGACACCTGGATGGCATTAGGGATGACAGGCTGCAGCACTGTACCCAAGTCCAGGTTGGAAGAGGGCTTGTGGTCCACCCACTTCTCCCCACCGGCAGAGCGGGAGCGGCGGTGTAGCGGCCGCAATGGGGTTGTTGTCTGGAGATCGAGGAAGAAAAATGTGTAAGATGAAGGTTCAGGGGATTTCTTCTGGTAAATGGCTCTGTTTATGTCTGGATATCCATTTTTGGTTGTTTGGGAAGAACCGTCACATTCTTTCTTAAGAAGCAGAGGGATTAAATCTGCACAGCACTCAAAGACTAATGAGCCACTTCATATTAAACTCATACCGCTACCCTGCAGCTGACTCACTAACCCTGTAGCTTCTTTCAATTATGTCTAGATCAGCAGCAAGGGATCTGGCCACTTCCTTCTTTCTACCCATACACACAGCTCTCCTTCTTGTTCGGCTGGCTGAGGAGCCTGATGGAGACTGGGTTCTCACAGGCGCACTGGGAGATTGATAATCCTGCCTGCTGTCTTGGGTGTTCCTTTGCTCCCATGCAGAGATGGAGCTTGAAACAGACCAAGAACAACTGCTGCTTTGGACAGGGTTCACCTCAACCTTCTCAACTGCTGTGGCACTGACTGGCACTGGTACTGGTCTGACATGAGGACTGTCAACATGGCACTGAAGGGACAGGGGGAAAGACTGCAGACGTGCATGATTAGATTTAGTTAGGAGAAAGAAATCAGAGGAATAATACAACAGACCTTTTAGTGGGGATTTTTTGTCAATGATAATGAAAGTGGATGCTTGGATTTAAAATTCCAACATATTTCAACAGAAAAAGAGTCATTTGTCTGAAAAATTACAAGATTTACTCATGGTTTGGGCTATTGCTCTGACAAAAATGCCCCATATTTGATGGTTATGGCCTTTAAACCGAGTTGGAAACATTTTAAAATGCTCTGTCTGACATTATAATGTTAAGTATGTCAGAGGGATTGATCAGGAAGAGTTGGGTTATTACAGAAGAGCTTTTGCTTATTAGAGAAGAGAAAAGCTAATAATCAGGAGGGGCTAAGTAAATGTTAATGTTTTCCTGTTTAAATTTGGAAATATTAAAGAAGAGAAATGATTGGGATGCAGGAGTACACGGTTAACATACAGGGACGGGGGAGGGAGAGGCGGATCTCTTTGCAGGAACTCGTTCCTCTCTGGAAGGCCTTTTTGGTTGTGTCTGGCGTGGCGGAGGATCAGGGCGACCTGGAGTCTTGCTCTCTGTCACGATGGCCTTTAGCTGCTTCAGCTTCTCGTCTTTCACCCAGAGCTTGTTCTGCATCTCCAGTTGCATTGCATTAACGCGCCTGTCCTACAATGCCAGAGGAAGAATTTTTGAAAACATCATTTTGAGAAGATTGATCACTGACAAATTTGGGGTCTAAAAATAAAAAATTTCTAGATAAATTTGAAGAGGTTAACACCCATGCCTCTTGAAGAGTTGAAAACAGAAGAAATCTGTGCCTTGTGCAGTTACTCACACATTCTTTTTCCCACTTATACTGAGTGTCTGTGACCACGCCCTGCATGCGCTGCTCCATGCGTCTCTTCTCTGACTGCTCCCTGTGCAGCCTCTGCTCTCTGGTATCTAGCTCCTGCTGCAGTAAACGCTTGTCGTCCTCATAGATTTTAGAGGTTTTTTGCAGGATTTCAATCTGGACAGAAATTCCATTCATTAAAAACATTAAAAACTGAGCAACACCTTTACATAAAAGCAGTCTAGTCTGTGTCATTTTGAAATGCTTCACATGTCTCTCACCTTGTGTTCTTGCGTTTTGGTTTTCTTCTCCAAGCGCTCAATCTCCGCCTTGTTGTTCTGGATGATTTTATCCTTCTCAATCAGCTGTCCATTTTGTTCATGAATGAAATTGTCCTTAGAAGCGAGGTTACTGTCCAGGTCCTGAAGCATAGACCTCATCATATTCGCTAAATTAATGTGAAAAGAGAGAATTTGTGAGAAAACAATTCTACTTACTGACTCTGTCAAAGCCTCGAGTTGAGGATAGAGCTCGCAGTTGAGTGGACACCTGTTTGGTTGTATTCGTCCATCATCGTCTGCCTGATCCTTTGTCTGTTCTGCAGAGCTTCTATCAGCCTGGGCAAGGTGATGTCGTCGTTGGGGTCTGTCAGCTCACAGGACGGTAAAGGTGGGAGGCTGTGCACCAAGTGACTCATGACAGTTTGTACATCTATGGAAACAGAACAAACTGGGCTTGAATCTCTTCTTCTGTGATTTTAAGTATACAAAATACTCCTGAAATGTGACATCCCAGCTGTGTTTCAATAAAGATAATGTTATAAATGGATAAAAGCAGAACGTGCAACAGCAGAGCTGGTAGGTATGCATGTACAGTATAAAACAGGCTGAGGAAATAAGGTTTACTACAGCTGCCATTCAGCTTCAAAATAAAGCAAAAAATAAATACTAGAAATGAATCATGGTGAGTATCCTTAAAGCAGTGCAGTACAAATGTGTAATTTGGTTTGACCTGTTGTGTTTTATTTAGATAATGTGATTAAACAACTGAATTTGATGACATTATTGCCTTTTCACAATATTAACAGGACACTAGATTTAATATGTCCAATGACCAGTGTCCCTCCAAAAGCTGTGTATATCTTAAACTTTGACAGTCAGTGTTATTCAGCAGAATCAGCTAACACAGAGCATAACTAACCCCTGTCTGTTGGACCACCACGCTCTTCCAGCCTGCGTGATAGTTCCTCTTTAAAGGCCTGGTTTCTTTGACGACGGCCTGGTGTGAAGCCACAGATGGGCCTGTCCACTGGCCGCGCCACCTCCACCTCCTGGGTCATTTCTGCAAACCGCATCACCAGCTGGGAACGCAGATAACGCCTTATGTCAGTCCAAGAAAAGCAGCATCCATGTTTGGTCAAATGACGACAAGTGCTGAATGAACTCACCAATGTCTCCTCATAGTCGTCAGCCTTGGGGTTAACACAGACAACCATTCGGACTTTGCCCTCTCCATCAAAGTAGTTTTTGAACAGGTGAGTCACTTTTGAGTCTCTGTAGGGAACCATCTACAAAAACAAAGTAAAGTTACCATCATAGTGTATACACAGTATTTACAGCAAACCTACAGAGAGTAGGAGTGTACAGTTTAGTTTGGTATTCCTACCCTGTTTGTACCACACATCTGGTTCTCACGAAGTATCTCGATGCACGTACGCAGATTCAGCAGGGATTGATTGATGTTACCTGCAAGTTAAGAATGTTTAATCTCAGCTCGAAGTAAATAAATACATAGTTAACCAGGATGCATATTTTAAGTATTCAGAGTTCAGTTTTCTGTCTGCTATTTCTTTAGGAGAAAAATGTTCAAATCCACATTGGCCGCATTCCCCCTGAGTTAAACGAAATATGCTGATTCAGTGGTCAGATGTCAGCTGGTAGTGCAGCCAGGTCACAATCACCTGCTCTGACAGCACACATGCTGCAGGGCTGCAGAAATAGTGACATGCCAGCTTTTCCAGTCTGGTAAATCGCTCCGATTAGCTGGTCAAAAGTTCCTAACTTTTGTATCAGTTTTGTTTATGGTGGCTGTTGTTTATTGCTCCCTCCCTCCAAAAACAAAATTATTGAGACCAGGTGGACAATTGCAGCTATAGGTATCTGCAGAGACCTTTAGCTAGTTGGTTCCCATTAAAACATGCTTAAAATCAAAACACCACCCAGATAGTTCATTATAGTATGAAACCACACATTGTTTATTCTTTCCTCTACATTAACAGAAGTGTTTGAGTACATTCTTGACAACCAATTATTTAAAACTCTTATAGTTTCTATAAGTCTCTCTAAAATGATCAAATAAAGGGTTGAGAAACCAACCTGCTTCACGTATACGGGTGCCTTCTGCCCCTGTCCTACCGGTGCGTTCACTTCCTGCCAAGTCCACCAAGCACAGCTGGCTCACAGTTACCTGATTTCTGTCCTGAAAATAGGACCAAAAATATAAAATAGACACATTTATAGTTTAAAAAACACAAAACATACACAAGTATATAACTGCATTCTGGTCAGTTACAACAAACCTGTAGGACGTTGTCGCCATCTGCATCCAGTGGGGCCTGGGCCAGTTTAATGATGAACACACTATGTGAGCGACTGGACTCTCGGTTCAGGCGGGTGTTTGCAACCTTTCTCTTTTTCTGTCCTGGAACAACAGAGTTCATGTTTATTCACGGGCAGCATCTTTTCAGTCGCATCCTGTGCAGTTTTATCTACCTGTATATTATGCAGAAAACTCCCAACTGACCCATTTAACTCCTACCAACATGCTCAGAGAGACAATTTAACAGAAGTCAGAGCAAACCTGGAGGTCAGCCACATTTACCATCAACACTGCAGTGTTTCCTTCTATTCTCTCCATAAATTCTGACATGGTTTGTTGATTCTTATAAGACAGATTTGAAAACTTACCTCTCCAAAACACTTGAAATGCTTCCTCAGCAGACTTTACTTCAACCTCCATACAACCTGCCACATACATGTTGTGGTTCTGGTCCTCTCTGAGGGTTTTAGACTGGGGTGGTCTGCATCAAGCAAATAACAGAATTAGATAAAGAAGATGTGAAACTGCCTTTTTTTCTTTTTGTGAGGGAGGGTGCACAACAAGCATTAAAAGGCAAGGATGTGGAATGTTCCAGCCATGAAAAATGATTAAAAGTCATCAATCAAGCACAATGCAAAGCAACAGACAGCAGGCTGGGGCACAAACAGGGATACAGCCATGACAGAGACTATTGGAAGCAGTGAGTGGATGTGATGATTTGTCTGGCTTATCAGATACTCAACACTGGAGACATTAGCTGGTGAGGTCTGTGAACTGTTGGTCAACTCTCAGGTAGAGCTGAGTAATGAATATCAAGTTTGACTGAATGTGGCTGTAGCACAGAGAGTGCCAAACTTTGGTAACGAATGTTTGGATCTATTCATAACTTTTATTCCTTAACTTAGGTTTTTCATTCCAAACAAGAAGCAGGTTATGGGTTTTCAAAAAGGTTGAAAATGTCTCCAGCACTGATGAGGTTTGATCATAATCAGAATAGTGTTGAAGAGGAAATGTTCATCTTAATTTAAAAAGCTTGTCTGATGTCTGGTGTTCGAGTATTCACTGTTCACATACATGAACTCAGTGTTCTGGCGCACTGGTGTGCCTCCACCATTCCACCTATTAAAAAGAAAAGACGATAATTTTGTCTTCCAGCTACTCTAACCAATGATACAATAACTTTGGAATCCACTACATATTTAAAACATCTAGGTCTGACAACTACAAAGAGTTTGAACATGTCTTTAAAATTTAATTTGGCTTCTTATCTAAGTTTCTTGAACTCACTTTGGTTTGATGGCGTCTTCCTGAGTTTCCTCCAGGAGATCATAGATGTAGTTGTTGTAGATTTCGATGTAGGATACAAAGATGCTGAAGCTGCTGTCCTCATCAACGCCCTCTGCTTCAAAAGCTTCCTCTGGGTTTATCATATCAGCAATTTCAGGATCAAGCTTTTGTCTGAAATCCAAGTCATACATCGGATCACACGTCAGACACCTTTATAAGTTCCACTATTGCAGCCCACATTTCACAGACTTACCTAGAAGATGTTTTTGGAATCGGCAAGCTGTTTTCCCGCCTTTGGCGCTCCAGCAAAGCATCTACCTCATTTTGGACCTCCATTCCATTTTTGTCATCTGTCTTAAAAACCTGAGAAAAAGAGGATTGAAGTCCGTTTTAAATCGTTGGGTGTGATCAAATGATGTAGTTCCTACAGATTTCTTTCTCTTAAGTTAATATCTTACATATCTCTTTGCCTGGTAGGGTCCTATACTCTGGAAGATCATGTTTAGTGAGCGAGGGAGAAGTCCACCCTGGCCCGGTGAGCCAGTCATAGTGAATGTCTTTCCACTCCCTGTGACTCCATATGTAAAGAGTAGGCCTACAACACCCAATAAAAGAGTCAACTTCACAGAATAATCTCTGCATAAATCAGCTCATGGAATGAAAATTGAAAAAAATAAAATAAAATGCAGATTTACTATTACATGAGATAATTGAAAAGTTAGCACATGTTTTAAAACATATTAATTCTCAATCTTACCATTTTTTCCATGGAGGAGGTCATCGACAAGAGGTTTGGCCACATGCTCAAACAGCTCAATCTGAGAGACTGAAACTCCAAAGACTTTTTTGAAAGAGTACTGTGTCTAAGAAGCAAAACACATATATTAGAATATTATAGGGAAAAATACTTGGTGGGAAACTGACAAAGTATATTATCCTAATAAAAACATTTTATTTAAAAAGATAACATCTGTGGTTTATTTTTTGCTCTCTAGTCCTTAATTTTCCTAGCATTTCTGTCAAATTTGGCTCTCATCCCATTGTTTATTCCTCTAATGAATGAGAATACATCATAAATTTCCTCCAGATTGGATATTACCTCAAGAGGGAGCAGTTAAAAAGGCATCTTCACCGACCAGTCATAACAATATAATGTTATTGCTGGTCAGTGTATATGTACATGATAGATTGTACAGAGTAAATGATGCCAATTTTTTTCTGTTTTTTCAACAGCTACTTTGTATTAAAAAGACTAGCCCATGTTTTGTGAATGTGTTACCTCTTTGTACTCTCCATTTCGGTTTGTTTTGAAGCCCTCGGGAGCGTGCAGCTGGATGGTGCTGCTGCTGATCACTTCAATGCAGCATTCCTTGTCCTCCACACCCAGGGGTCGTACACGGCAGTAGACCTGGGGTGAAAGCACACCAGTTTAATATACTCAGTCGTACTAAACTAGATGGGTCGTTTGTCCCCTCTTGTTTTTGCATTTAACAATCTAAATGTGATTAACTGCCTGTTTGAAAGCCTCTATTTGATCAACTTAGTTACACTCACACCAACGGGGTCTTTCTGGTTGTTGGAGGGCTTTTTCGGGGCAGGCCTGCGAGGGGTTTTACCCTTCCTAGAGAAAAAAAAATGAATAAAGTCACAGTTCTTGAGCACAGTAAGTACATCTTTAGTGTTAGATCGACGCTGGATTAGTAGAATCCCAGTATAGCCGGATTCTTGGCCCACGGCTAACGTTTAACGGTTAGGCTAAACAAGCACTTCCTTGTTTTGAATTCGTCAGAAATCGTTAGCTTTGGCTTCAAGGTGTTAGTAAGTACTAGTACCGTAGGCGTGAAATGAGTACTCCAAATTATATAAAGTATCATTGCCATTCTACTTACGCTTGTCGCATCATTGTAACTCGTTGCACTTTTTACAAACTCCGTCCCTGTTCCTGAAATTTTGAACTTCCCTCCGCATCGAATCAAGCGACGCTGTTCAAAAGGACCCCGCAGCAGCCAATCAGATTTCACAGCAACAGATCACATGCTTCCGGTTTTGGAGTTTCTATGGTAACTGTGATCATGCAAAACATGCTCACATTATTACTGCCAGTGAACTACGTTCAAAACTGTATTTACTGTAAAAACCTAACAGCAAAATTAAATCCATAATAAACAGAGGCATACAATATTGTGTACACTTAAATATTCCTTAAATATATATATTTAATGAATGATAAGCGTTGACTCTGTGTATTCGTTTCTAATCGGGTCCTAATGAGCTGTGTTTTTTGTTGTTATATATTTCATGTTTTTCCCCCAAACGTGGTTGATTTTGCTGAAATTAATAACGCAACGTCGGTTTGTACATAGACAGTATATACGTAGACGCCTCATTACATGCTGGAGCGTAATCCAGCGTCTCCTCCATATTGGATGGGTCTCCCCACTCCAGGTTCGCTCAAGAGCCAAATGAGGTCAATGGAGAACGAGCAACTATGCCCGTATTTTTGCACTCTATGGTTCAAAAACCTGACGCAGTATTGAAACCAGATCACGTATGATTACATTTCACAAATAGAATTGGAAAAAAATATTTTTTATTTTTTAAGTGTAACATTGTCCTGTATTATTGCTACATCCCAGTCCTTGCAACAAACTAAACCGTGTAAAAATCGGGCACAGATTTAAAGAGTTGTTATTAATATGGTTGGGCATTCCTACTTCCCTCAATGCACTGGAGGCGCACGGGGGACCCATCCAAGATGGCGGCCACGCTGATACGAGAGCTCGAATCATAGTCTGTATATACCATTGATACTATTTACAAACTATACTGTATCTGCTATATATACTTTACTATTCTATATACAGTCTATGGCTCCAATAGGCAGCGTCAGGCTTTGAGGTATCTACATATGTATTGTCTATGAGTTTGTAGTCCTAGATAAACACCAAACATGGCGTCCGTCGTGGGTCGTTGGTAGAGAAACACTACCACCTGCCGCCCTCTGACTGTACCACACACAAGTTACAAAACACAGGCATTTTCAGCCATTTACACCCTCACGTGTAGTGCTGCATTATGCAAACACCGAAGTCAAACCTCTGAAGCTGCAGAACAGAACACTCTACACCAAAGGTAGGCTTTTTGCTTCTAGCGTTTAGTTGCAGTTTCATTCTGTGTAGACTCCAATCCCCTGGTCGGAGTTTTACAATTCAAGTCGTATTTTTAGGGGAGAAATGAAAAACAGAGCGACGACGTCAGATGCTACTGAATCAAAGAGTAAAGTGAAGAAAAGGCCAAAGGAGACCTCTCCCCCAACTCTCTCCAAAAAGCTACGAGCCAAAAAAGATGGAGAGACGTCCAGCCAAGGTAAGGAGCTCTGGCTGCGTGTTGACACTTTATACTAATTCTTTATACACAGTCCTCACAGCTGAGTTTGGTTGTGTGGTTTTTACAGGACCGCCCCCTCTCAAGGCTACTGGAGTCCAGAAGAGAAGTTGGCACGGCAGCATCCTACATTATATTTATAAGAGCACACTGGGCCAAAGTCTGCACTCACAGATGAGACAGGTGAGACTGTCCCTCTCAGGTCAGGATTTGCACATGGAGAAAACAATGTCTAATAATATCTTAAAGTTATGAGTGGTTGGAGGGGTGGAATCATTTTAAATTTGTGTGCATTATTCTGTGCAAGTGTGCATGAATCAGTGTGGTTTTTGATTCAAAAGTATAAGATAAAACTGTCACAGCTTGGTTGGCCAAGTGGGTTGCTATTTGGGGTGGCATGAGGTTTGTACAACTACACAATAGTTTTTCTTGATTTTTGGAACACTTAAGATATTCCTTTAAACCTTTAAATAACGGAGTGGCAACACAAAGCCCCGACAAACAAAAAATAAACACATCCTAACATTATATAGACAAAAATATAGATGCTTAATAGTCTAACATGTTTATTAAATCTCTATCAACGATGAATTTGTAACTTCACTTCCTTTTAAAGCACTGTTATTAAAGTTCTTTGGAGACACATGACAAAGGTTCTAATTCTTAGTTGTCCACATGAAATCAATAGATCTGTATTTATATTGTCAATGCATGTAAGTAAAACAGGTAATAAGGGAATATATAGTGTCGCGGTTCAGCCACAGTTCCTCTCAAATTCAGGTCATCAGCTTACTGGTGTGTCTTGTGTAGGATTCTTCAGCAGGACATTTAAGTGTGTTATTTTCTCCAGTGTCTCCAGGAGCCTTATGTCCGCTCCCTGTCCTCCTATCATTTCCATGGTGCCACCAGCCCCTTTGATCGCAGGATCACCTGCCTGGAGTGGCATCCTACTCACCCCACCACTCTGGCAGTGGGCTCCAAGGGTGGTGACATCTACCTGTGGGACTTTGAGGCGCCTGCAAAGAAAACTTTTTTACAAGGGGTGAGTTCTTGCGTAATGGTCTGGCTTGTTTTAACACACAATTGCTGACCAGACGATTTATTTTGTTTTTACATCACAACACATTGTCGTTGGTTCTCTGCATAGATGGGGGCTGGAGACTCAGTTACAGGCATGAAGTTTAACCAGTTAAATCCCACTCAGCTGTTCACCTCCTCTATTGCGGGTACCACAGTCCTGAGAGATTTCAGTGGGAAAACTCTCAGAGTGTTTGCCAGCACAGACACGCTAAAGTAAGACTCAGAGAAGCTTGATCATTTTAGCTGAAGTCAAAGAGGGTTGTGGGTATCATGCCAGCATCAGTCTCCTCACCAGGTGGTCCCAGTTGGTTTACACTAAAGTGCTTGCATGGTATTGAAGTGCATGTGGCTGCCCAGTGATAGGCCTGCATTTTTGTTTGTGTGTGCAGAGCGGAGCAGGAGACTTCATCGGAGGGATGAAGTTCTGCCCGATGGACCTTTCCAGAGTCTATGTGGCTTCTGGTCAGGGAACCTTGACCATGCAGAGCTTTGAGGGTCACACACCCACGCTTCTGTCCAGAACTCAAGACTGTGACCACGATCATCACGATGTTTGGTGAGAAGACTGATGCTCAGGCTAGAAATGCTGTGATCTTGTTGATGTTGTATGAATGTACATAGTTCTTGCATATGTCCATATTTCCAGTTTATCAAATTCTGAAAACTGATCTAAACAATCAAATGTTAATGTTTAGGTTCAGGTTTCGAAAACCAAAGTTAAATCCTTCAGATTCTGGGAAATGCATACATAACATCCACTACGTTTGCGATAGTTTCACATAGTTTTTAGAAAATACAGTAAAGATTTAATAGATCTGCTTGTTTTCCTCCTTTATCTTCCTTTCAGTGAAACTCAACTTTCTTTCCCTTGTTTGTTCCAGTTTCTGGTACTGCTGTGTAGATGTGTCTGTGAGCAGACAGATGCTGGTGACAGGAGACAATGTGGGACAGCTCTTACTGCTGAGCCTGGATGGGCAGAAAGTATGTATTCAGTCTCCAATGAACTTAAATATGCTAGCACACAGAGTTGAGTACGTAATGTAATGTCTTTATTAAACAGATTATACTTAAACAGAAAGAATATGCAGGAATGGATTTGAAAGAGGTGCACTTTAACTGAAAATGTTTATAATCTGTTCTCATCTTGTAGATTTTCAGTGAAAAGTTGCACAAAGCCAAGGTGACTCATGCCGAGTTCAACACTCGCTGTGATTGGTTGTTGGCTACGGCCTCTGTAGACCACACAGTGAAGCTTTGGGACCTGAGAAACATCAAAGACAAGAAGAGCTTCCTCCATGAGATGCCCCATGAGAGAGCTGTCAACTCAGGTAACAGTCTCATACTTAAACATCCAAGTTTCAACTCCCTACACATGAATCTTGATCATTTGGGTAAAGTGACAAATGTCCTCTTAGCCTACTTCAACCCGCTGGACTGCTCCAAGCTGCTCACTACAGACCAGTACGATCAGATACGGGTCTACTCATCACCCGATTGGTCAAAGCCTCAGCATATCATCCAACATCCTCACCGACAGTTTCAGCATCTCACACCAATTAAGGTTTGTTTCCACTTCAAATGTGTGCGTATGTTTTTTTCCCTCTGAGACAACAACAAAAATTATTTTATTAGCACAAAAGCATACATACCAAGACATGGGCATCTGTACATATAACCAGGTTTAAATCATCAGATGCCAACCTTTTTTTCAGCCTTCAAGATTACATAGTTTTATTTTATTTTTTGATGAGTACAGGAATCTTTGCTTTTGTGAAAACTCACCTCTGTTTGTACTCCTACAGGCCACATGGCACCCTATCTATGACCTCATTGTGGCAGGTCGGTACCCAGATGACCGGGTTTGCCTCGGAGATCAGAGAACTGTTGACATCTTTGATTCCAACACAGCAGAGCTCGTGTATCAGCTGCAAGATCCCAATGCAGCAGGGATTAAATCTGTGAGCATGTTTTTAAAAAGACTATTCACACAGTTAAAGATGTGAGAACTGTACAAGTTTAACTTAGTTGACTTTTTTTACAGGTCAATAAATTTAATCCACTGGGGGATGTACTTGGAACCGGGATGGGTGAGTTCTTCACAAGTATCATTGTGATGGATGTGTTGTTGTTTTATGAGTTTGTGTGGTTGTATTCAAAAATGCCAAATTGTCTCACTGAACCTTTTAAATGTCCACCCTCAGGTGTAACCGTGCTGGTCTGGGATAGAAATGAGTCACTGATCAGAGATCAGCACACAGTGCAGGGTGAAACCTCAGTGGAGGGTTCCAGGAGCCAGAAGAGGAGTCAGCCACGCTCCAGTAAGGACAAGAGAGTTCCTGCTATGGATGCAAAGCTTAAAAAGAAGCTGGCTTCTCTAGAAGAATCAGAGACCAAAACCAAGACCAAGACTGGGTGTACCAGTCGAAAACAAGCACAGATGAAAAAAAAGTGAAAGAGGCAATCTAGAGAAAATGTGCTGTTTTGTTTTGTTTACTGTTCTTTGGGTCTCAAACATCAGGGATTGTTTGAATGTTAAAAACTGTTTTAAATGTTCTTTCATAAACCTTTCATAAAGTCTTTTTTACTGGAACTCTTGTATGTTCTTGCCAGTTTTTGTACAATGTTATAATAAAAATCTTAATGCAAAAGAGTCCTTTTTACAAATCTTTGACCCCACACTGGAATATGAATGCACAGTACATCAGATTTATGGAAATGATTTATTGCATACTCCTTTTCCTAATACAGGATGCCAGCATGTGTGTCAGTCATAACTGAAAAGGTAGCCTCCTCGTAATTCATGAACCGTGATATTAGCCAGCTGGAGGAGCACGCCACCCCAGTTTTCCTGCTCCTCTCCTTCATCCTGATGCCAGGTACGATGGGCAGAGTACACCATGCTCAGGACAAGCTTCTCAAACTGATCCTGGGTCAGTGGCCGCTCCCTCGGACCTTCAAATGTGGTCACCATCTGCATCATGGCGCTCACACTCCTGGGGATGTTATCATTGATCTGAGACAAGAAAGCCCGCCCAGGCCTCATTGAAGCCAGCTCCTTATCAAGAAGAATTATGTTGTTGTCCTGGTCAAGCTCTACCCCACCTAACAAAATCTGCGTACGGAACAGCAAAAGAAATATGGCTTTCATGGCTTTCTCTGCAAGAGAAACAAAGTTATGCAGCTTAACTAAAAGCAAATTTTTTTATCCAAAACAAGAAAAGTACCTCAAACATCAGGTTTGCATCAGAGGCTGAGGTTGGATTTGTGCCTGCAGACACGTCTGAAATAGAAAAGTACGAAGTTTAAAGTTACACGAAGGAAATAAATCACTGCGTTAAGATGTATCAACTTGCATTCACGGAAACAGCAGATTCAACAGGTCATGCAGTGTCAATACGTTAAAATGCAAAATTTCCATATTGCTCAAAGATCTTACCGTGTAGCACCTGCTCAAACCAAAGCAACAGTATGATATGAAGGCAGATTTTGAGTAGTATTTTCATGTTCATTCTTGTCTCAAAGATTACGGCTAGATCGTACACATCATCCCTCTAAATCTCCTCTTCTTCACTCACTTTTGTGAATCCAGAGAGGAGCAGCTCAGCCCGAATACCGTGCATTTTTTCATCTAGGAAAAAAGAAATCAAAGCCAAGTTTGCTCTGCTGCAAAGCAGACTTCACTATTTTATAAACCCTGGGACTTATTTCCTGCAGAACCTCGAGCTAGCAGTTCACAATGGAGTCAGTTTTTTTTTACACTTTGTTAAATTAAGTATATTTTAAGTTCACACAAACATTGAAGCCATCGCATACATGATACAGTCCATATTTATGCAAAAATTTTAAAAGACAATGTTTACTAATGTTTAAGATCCCTCAGAACATGGATTATTTTAAAAAAATTATTTGAAAGAGTCAGTCTTTTTCTCACAAAATGGTTGACTGTTGTACTTTTTGGTGAAAACCTATGTTATATAGATGACATTTCAAATCTAACTTTCCCAACTTTGATTGAAACTGAATATGTTAATAAATAATATTAATGTTTATATAATAATATGCTGTTTAATGCAGTTGATAACAGACTTGCACTGTAGATTTTGCTTTAAAGGCAGTATCTTTACCATATTATGCTCAGGTGTCTCTAATAGTGAAGCTAATGCGACAATGGGCCACGTGACCTCTTAACCAAGTTGTTTTTCTCTCTTTCTGTCTTGTTTTCCTTCCAAAGGCCATCACCAGAAATTGGCTAAAAACAGATGCACCAAAAATAGAGGATAGAGGTAATGATCAATATATATATAGAATGGAGACGCTGACTTTCTCATTTAGGCTAAAAACAGATACTTAAAAAACTACTGGAAAAACTGGGTTGATTTTGTGTCTCAATTTAGACCAGACTTTGTGCAGTAAAGGCATTGTGTATTGTAGACTATTGATACCCTTGGTTCAAACTTGTTCACTGTTCATCTGTTTATTATGTTTACCCTCCAACAGGAGAAAATAGACAATGCAAAAGAGGTGTGAAAAAAAGGACGAGTGAAAAGGATTTCATTTTACTACACAGTCATTCTACTGGAACTTTACTCAAAAATGTTATGTCTAACTTTGTCTCTGCTCTGCAGTGGAGGAATATTGTATACAAGTGGAAATTTGTTCAATATATGTAAAATGTTGATGGAATATATGTGAAATCAATAAAAGAATAAATTAAGGATAGCAATAGTTTATTTGTTCTATTGTTTATTCTAACACTGCATGTCAGCACCAATCTATCAGTGATCAGCACCTGAGTCCAATTGGGTCTGAAGCATCTTATCTAGATTCTGGCTAATGCTGTACTTTGCTGTCAACAAAAGCCTTTCCCAAATTAACTTGTGGACTTGTGAAATCTAATATCACACGTAAATAAGTATTTCCGTCTGAAAACTGCAGTACCGCAGCTTCAACGCTTGATTGCGCTAGTTGATAGCAGCAGGTCTTTTCTGTTCGGGTCATAGCAGGTTGTTAGAAAAAAAGTTTATTTACTTCCGGTGAAGAGTTGAGCTGCAGCTGAATGATAAAATAGTGGTGATAAGGTACCTGTGTTTACCAACTTGTTATTCTGAACACTTTGAAACTCTATTGTGTCATTTAAAATTCAGGTCTTAATTTACGGTGTCAGAGCTGAACTTTACTCGGGTTTGCGGGACTGCCGATGCTAATGCTAGTTAATCATTACCATAAACAAACCACAGCCCGCGGTCACACAAGCGCGGGCACAAGCTAGTGATCAGATATAAACTCATCTGTTTTTGTTGGTATTAGGAGTAAAATAAGGCTTATAAGATTCCGTGAGATTAGATCGTAATGTTTCTTCTAAAAGCATCTCGGGAGCTGGTGTTTATTTTTCATTTTTTAAGCTTTTGAGCTGCAAATGTTTGATTTACTCACAGACTGGGAACTAATACTACTACTACTACAGCTGTGCAGTTAACTACTTTTGTTGTATTATATTGTATTATATTGTATTATTTTGATGAATATTAAAATTATTCTTATTGGTTAAAAAAATGCTCACCATCCCACAGAATCTTCTCAGGTGCAGTAGGGCTGAGCGATATGTGAAAAAGTTTATCACGATTTTTTTTTCATATCAGTCAATATCGACAAATATCACAATATTGTCAATCTTAAATGTTCTTTGTAACTCTTAAATGAAATGTAACAGTGCTTATTGGTAGCATGTCCTTTGCAATACAATAAGCTACTGCATCTGTGAGGTCTTTGTGACTTTTTGTTGTAAGGCGTTGCGCTAGAAAAAGCAGACTGAATGGTTGGCTGTTTTGACTGCACAGGCATCGTGAGCCTCTTTTGCACTTGCTTGTGTCAGTCTGGCTGACGATGTCGTCATCGGTTGAGCCTTCATCTGCGTTTCTGTTGTGGTAGCACTCATATTCTTTTTTTCTCACTGACCATGCTGTCAGCTTCACGTGTTAAAGTGCTATGGTTGTGTGTAGCTGCAGCCTTCTACTATGCAGTTGTTTGCTACTTTGTTCCAAATCAGCATTGGTTCAACACGGCGCAGACCCGGAGCAGCTCTTCTTTTCACTGGCTATTTGTATAGTCTACCAAAACATGGCAGAACCCCGGCTATTGAAAAGCATATAGACCGTATTTATATTGCTATCAAGTGAAATTACTTTTTGATATATATCGTTACCGTTTTATCGCCCAGCCCTAGGTGTAGGTCCATCATCTGTTGGACAAACTTCCTCTACATCTGAACATTTCAACCCTTACATAGACAGGATTCATTTCATTTTTTTTGTTCCAGACTGTGATTGTTATTAAATGCTGCATTACTTTGTGTATTTGTCAGGTGAGCTACAAAAATGGAGTCCAGCGAGGAGGGGGGCCTCAGCGTTGGAGGCTCAGTGGGAGAAGAGAACTACTTCCTTGGGTACACTTTTACCGACCGCTCTCATTCCAGCCGTGTGGTCAAGAGCATCATGGACCTTTGTCTGGAGGATGGCCTGTTTGCTGATGTCACCATCACCGTGGACAGCAAAGAGTTTCACCTCCACAGGCTTGTGCTGTCGGCACAGAGCAGTTTCTTCCGCTCCATGTTCACCTCTAATCTCAAAGAGTCCCACAACCGCTCCATTGAGCTAAAGGATGTTAGTGCCACTGTCTTTCAGCTGCTGATTGACTATATCTATCACGGCACTATTAAACTGAGGGTGGAGGAGCTGCAGGACACATATGAGATGGCAGATATGTACCAGCTGACTGCACTCTTTGAGGAGTGCTCCCGCTTTCTATCACGGACAGTCGAGGTCAAGAACTGCCTGCAGGTGAGTCATTCTTCTTTTTACAGGGTTTTCAGCTTTAATGATTGTGTGGCTAAAGTTGAATGACTCCCTTGTGCAGGTGATGTGGCTTGCAGACAGACATAGTGACCAGGAGTTGTATACTGCAGCCAAGCATTGTGCAAAAATCCACCTTGCCCAGCTGCATCAGACAGAAGAGTTTCTGAATCTGCCTCTCTGTCTGCTCATGGACATCATCAAAGGTATCAACTATTAATTTTCTATTAGAGCTCTACTTTTTTTAATGAAAGTTTTTAAATTTAAAACAGAACATGAACCTCATTATGTGAGACAGATCATATCTCTCTCAATTCGTAGATTTCTGTACGGTATAAAAATAAACCATCACATTCCTGAAACCAACCTCAGATAGTTGTTCATCAGGATGCACACAGTGTTTTATGTTAATATGCATAGTCATAGTCCTATAAACTTGAACGGACCATTGATTTAGCCTATTTTTTGCTCAGTGGTCAAAACAGTTAGTATCCTGAGTTTCTTGTTTTCCTCAATTAATTCCCCTCATGACTTGATGAGTATGTTTCACAAGGTTTTATGTTTGTTTGTATTCAGATGGAGTTCCAAGCTCCCAGAATCCGACCATGGCCATTGAGTCATGGATCAACAACAACAAGGTGGAAAGGGAGGAATTTTCTTGTATCCTCCAAGAAAACCTCAAGGTAGCATGTTTTCATTCAAGCCTGATTGTCTCTTTGTAAAGTCATCTCACTTTGGGTCTGTTTTCTGCCACTGACGTCTTTGATGTCTTTGTCTCTTGTGTCTGTAGGAAATAGGTGAGAATGTCCACATTTACCTTATCGGTAAAGAAGAGACTCGCACTCATTCACTGGCTGTGTCACTTCACTGTGATGAGGATGATGCCATCAGTGTGAGTGGACAGAACAGTTTGTGTCATCAGATCACTGCGGCCTGCAAACATGGTGGAGACCTTTATGTAGTCGGGGGGTCCATCCCTCGCCGTATGTGGAAGTGCAACATGCACACCATGGACTGGGAGCGCTGTGCTCCGCTGCCCAGAGACCGCTTACACCATACCATGGTCTCTGTCTCCACAGAGGACGCTATCTACTCACTAGGAGGTAAGACATTACAGGACACGCTCTCAAATGCGGTCATCTTTTACACAGTGAAGGACAATATGTGGACAGAGACCAGCCAGCTGGACACTGCAGTGTCAGGGGCTGCTGGCGTAAATTTGGGAGGTACTATCTATTTGCTTGGAGGGGAAGAGAATGACATGGACTTCTTTACCAAGCCGTCTCGACTGATTCAGTGCTTCGACACGGCCTCTCAGAAGTGTCAGATCAAACCGTACATGCTGCCATTCGCAGGCTGCATGCACGCCGCGGTTCACATGGATGTTATCTTCATTGTGGCAGAAGGAGACTCCCTGGTGTGCTACAACCCTCTGCTGGAGAGCTTCACCCGCTTACGCTTCCCCGAGGTGTGGAGCTGTGTTCCTTCTCTGTGGAAGGTGGCCAGCTGTAATGGCTGCATTTACGTCTTCAGGGACAAATGTAAGAAAGGGGACGCCAACACGTTAAAGTTTAACCCAGCCACATCTGTGGTCTCGGTCATCAGAGGGATAAAAATCCTCCTCACGAACTGGCAGTTTGTCTTGGCTTGAACTCTCTTCACCATCAGACCAGTAAAATCAGCTCAGCATTATGTGCGTGTGTCAATTAGTCGTCTCATTGTGAATCTCTTGAACAGTTTGTGGTGATGCTGTAATCAGTGATGAAATTATCAGCATTGTTTCTGTGCACTGCTTGTCTTTTGATACGCATGAACACCTTTTTTTTTTCTTTTTTTTTTGCATAAAACTCAATGTATCCTAATGATGTCAAACATACACGAACATGTCCACAGGGACTGTTTCCAGACTTCATAACCATTCAGTTTCTTGTCTCATTGAAGATTGTATTTTTTGATGTAGAGTGTACATGTTCATGTTAAACTGTTAACACGGATGTCAAATATACACACATTGCTATAATTACAAGCTGTCACTGTTTGTTTTGATCTTTGTTGCCTTTTGGTCTTCATTCATTAATTCTGCTATCAATACCATGTTTATTACTGGGGGTTTGGGATCTTTCAGTCTGCAGTTACATAGAAATGCACTTAGTTGCTACTGAATTGTGCCTCAGCAAAGACTCCTGACTGTACCTTTGGCTCATTGTTACATCCTCGGAATGGTGGGTGGTATTAGTGGTGTAAAAGGGGTCTGTTTTGTCCTTGGGGGTGAGAGAAACAGGGCGATTGAAGGAGAGAAAGCTACTACAGAGAGGCCTAAACTATGATCCCATTGATGTGTTGCAGGAGGCTGTGCAGCTGAAACCCAAACCCAGTAACATGTCAGACTTTCTGAACTATTCTAAGCATCAGTTGCTGACGCCAAGACAAGGGGTGGGGGCTTCTAGGGGCACATATGCACCTCCATAAGAACTCCCAACAGGAACTGACAGCCACTACAGGCACTATTTGACGTGCGGTCCCTTAATGTTGGGCAATAAAGCTGTTAATAGCTCCCGTATCTCAGTTCTCAGTCCCACTTGTGTAAGTTTCCATTTGAGGATGGGTGGGTTTATAATTCTCCGCAGGGTTGCGATGTAAAAATGTGTTGCCCGGTGTTTGGTCAGCGATTGAGGTTTAGTGTGAAGGTGGATCGCGAGGAGCTGAAGTGACCTTGGGACTGCTTGCTGAGGGCAGGACAGAATTCCTGAAGGGACACATGGTCTAGAGTGACAAGGCCATCTGCTGTAGCGCCAGCACTGGGAGGAAGGTGGAGGGGGGTTGGACACTGGGGGTGCTGAGAATTCCTTTCACTGGGGTGTGGAGGGAGTAGATATTCTGGGATATCGCCGCTAGCACTCCGCTGAGAAACGTGTTTCTTTGGCATTTTTCAAACGGAAACCCAAGGAAGAATTTTCAAACACTTGATGCTGAGAGGGGACCGTTGCACGGTTATATGTGGAAGGTATTTTTCTGGCTGTAGTGCTCTCCATGTAGAGACTGGTGATAATGGTCTTGGTGTATTGCTGTTTTGCTGGGGTGGATCCAGTTTCCTCTCGGTCTCAGCACAGCCGGAGCTGAGAGAGCGGGATCTGGTAGGCCTTTCTGGCTCCAACCTCTCAGAGGATCATCTTCAAGGGATCTTCTTTGGAGTTGTGCTGTGCATGGCAAGGATCTACTTTCTTGCTGCCTCACCGAAATTGCATGGCCTAAACTAATGAATATTTTTATGAGGCGCCTTGCACCAGAGATGGGCCAGGACCAAACCAAGCAGCAGATAGAGAAGGGCCTGAGGTTGTACCAGTCCAACCAGACCGACAAAGCACTGCATGTCTGGACAAAAGTGCTGGAGAAAACCTCTGATCCCGGAGGGAAGTTCAGAGTGTTGGGATGTCTGATCACAGCTCACTCAGAAATGGGAAAGTATAAAGATATGCTCAAGGTAAGCCTCCCAAAACAGCATGCTGTATACTATATCTGAAGACAGTTAACCAGATTAAGTGGAGAGGACTGTGTATACTTTTATTTTTTATTCAGGAAGAATGTTTCTCCAAATTTACACCTTTTTGTGCGTAAAAGTGTTTCTTCCATCACTGTTCCTTTATAGCCTTTTTATACACAGTTGACATTTTTCATGCTAATATATTTGTCAATTTTCTGATACTGTGTGAGCAGATTTTGTTATGCAACCAGCAGTGTGTGTGTGTGAAAGAGAGGGAGGGAGAGAGAGACAGAAAGAGAGTCTGGATGCTATTAAGTAACTCATCAATATAATATGTCATCGTGTCAGCTCAGGTCTGGTACAGTTGATCTTGCTGTCGTATTCCAACATTTCCCCTTTGTCCACATGCTATTGAATGATAAGAGGTCAGAGGTCATCTTCTTGGTTTCATTTACCGTGATCTCGACATGCACGGGTTAATTTGTGGCTTCCACACGATGCAGAGTAAATAAGTGTCCTGCAATCTGAGAATCAGTGTGGGGTGTCTTGTTGACACAATCATCTTGTGTGGAGCAGCACTCGCTCTCTTTCACCCACCTTTAATGAGGACTTCATACAGTAGAGGCCCTGTGTTTTTAAGAAATACGATACTCTCCTTTCTGTTTGTATATAAGAACGTAACATTCACCTCTTCATTCAAGTTTTCCTGCACGTTTCCCGTCACCTCACACTTACTGCCTGTTTTCAGTACGCTCTGGATCAAATCGACACAGCCAGAGAAATGGAAGACCCAGACTACCTGACCGAGGGTTACCTAAACTTGGCTCGTAGCAATGAGAAGCTGTGCGACTTCCAGAAAACCGTGTCCTACTGCAAGACCTGCTTAAACATGCAGGGTACGACTGTCAGCCTGCAGCTCAACGGCCAGGTGTGTCTCAGCATGGGCAACGCCTTCTTGGGACTCAGCGTCTTCCAGAAAGCTCTGGAGAGCTACGAGAAGGCCCTGCGCTACGCACACAACAACGATGACAAGATGCTGGAGTGCAGAGTCTGCTGCAGTCTGGGGAACATCTATGTGCAGCTTAAGGTGCTTGTTGTCTAAATGTACAGATTCCTGCCAAGAGCTGATGATGATTATTTGAATGTGCTGCACTGAAAACATCTCATTCTAGTCTTCTTGAATGAGATGCTGTAAACAAAGAGTCCAAACAAGAACATTTTCAAGCTGTTCAATTCAAAATCCTCTCATGCCTTCAGATTTCTCTGTGGTTTATCTTGGCAAATATTTCACCATTTTACAAGTGTGCTCTCATTACATAATCGATACTGTTGTTGCCAACACATTTGCATAGCATGACAACACTGCAGAGCATCTGAGCAAATATTATCAATGGTTGGCTCATGCAGCACTAGGGCGCTGTAAAACAAGGGTGGAGTGTGTATGCTGGCTGGCTAGGGGCTTATGTAGTACCCTTGACACCAGAGATTTGTAAGAGTAATCCCTTGGCTTCCCAGGGAAGATTGGTTTCAATGGAATCGTATTGAAGTAGTGTTTGAAGAATGCACTCATATTTCAAGTCATTTTGTTAAAGAAAACATAACAGAGTGGCATTCATCAAAACAGCCGGAGAAACAGAATTACAAACAAAAGTGTATATCAGTCGAGTCTAACTAAACAGGATGCTGCTATTTATGGACAATAACTGGACATCAAAGGTCTTACTCATCAGTAACCTCTGCCAACAGGACTATGAGAAGGCCCTGTTCTTCCCCTGCAAAGCAGCTGAGCTTGTCAATGACTATGGCAAAGGTTGGAGCCTCAAGTATCGCGCCATGAGCCAGTACCACATGTCTGTAGCCTACAGGAAACTAGAGCGCCTGCCAGACGCCATGGAGTGCTGTGAGGTATTGTTTTATAACTGTCCATCACATGATAACCGTCCTCAGAGACTAACTTACATAACTGTGTATGTCGCAGTTTTTGTTTCCTGATGCAGTCGCCATCCCTCTTTGCCTTTCGCTGCAGATACAGTAGACGTTGTCCTGCCAACAGGTGCAGGCGCCAGTTGTTCTGTTGTACAAGGTTTCAGACCTCGACTAAAATATGCTCTCAGAGGCGCTGGTTTAAAGTGTTAATGAAGAGGGGTGGCTTCAGTATTCACCCTGTTCTAATTATGTACTGAGGGTGAAAAATAACTTGATGTCATTGCCTTGGAGTGCAGAAGTATAGTAACAAGACAGCAGGATGCATTTCAGATTTATTACATTTGCCAAACACATTTAGCCAAACAATTTACACATCCTGTCATGTTTGGAATACCAGAGTACAAGGTGAAACAACAAATGTCTCACGTTCCACATTTCTTCAGTTTTAGGATTCTCATCTTTAAATCCTCTCATCATAAAAAAGCTCTTAGACTCATGAATGTTTTCACCAAAAGACTTCAGTATGTATTTTATAAGTGACAGAACCAGACAGTGTGGTTCTGCACATACACACCTGACCAGCTTGACTGTTCACTTCTTAGTCAGTTTTTCCATCGTTGCATTTCCATCAGTCTGTCTTTCACTTTCACAGGAGTCTATGAAGATTGCTCTGCAGCACGGTGACCGTCCTCTGCAGGCTCTGTGCTTACTGAACTTTGCAGACATACACCGCTGCAGGCGAGACGTCGATGTAAGGCCTTAGCTTACTTTTTTCTTTGTCTACGACTCTTGCATTTTTATGATAAACTCTATTCTTTTCTCTTCATCCACCCAGAAAGCATTCCCTCGATACGAGTCTGCTCTGGCTATCATGACTGAGATCGGAAACCGTCTTGGACAATCACAAGTCTACCTGGGAGTTGCAAAGTGTTGGCTTCTGCAGAAAGAATTTGACAAGGTACCGATAACATAATCTAAATCTCATTTTAAAAATACACACATGTTCATCAAAAGTAGCATTTATAGCACATGTGCACTTTTCATGTTCCAGGCTCTTGATTCCCTACAGCGAGCACAAGAATTAGCAGATGGGATGGGAAACAAGGTAAATAATGCTCCTCAAACAAGTAGAATGATTGATTATTGATAAGATGTGAATAGATGAGAAACTAATAAACATATAAGTTACACCTTACTGATGTTTCATTGACAAGAATAAGAAAATCAACAAGTCCAATAATGTTTAAACCATGCAGTGAAGCGCACAAAATCTTGTCATGATGTGATAGCGTCTCCTTTGTTCTGATTTGCATCTCAAGCTGTGCACACTGAAGGTCCACTGCCTGAGTGAAGGGATTTATCGGAGCCGGGAGCAGCAGGAGGAGCTCAGAGAGCAGGTGGTGAAGTTCCTGCAGTGTGTGGAGGAGCTGGAGCTCTACTGCGGCATGTGTGGAGAGTCCATTGGGGACAGGGACCAAAAACTGCAAGCCTTACCCTGTTCCCACATTTTTCATCTCAAGTAGGTGCTCTTGTGATGAATATCAGTTACTATTTCTGACAGACAGACACAAGCTTTTGACGCCACTCTTTTTTTTTTTTTTGTCCCTGCAGGTGTCTGCAGACAAACGGGACAAAAGGTTGTCCTAAATGTTTCAAGTCCTCCATGAAGCCGGGATTTGTCTGATCGTGAGCCTGTTTGTGCGTTGGATCTACAGACATGGCACAAAGCTTCACAGGCTGCTGACTGATCTGAGAACAGCAGGAAGCTTCAAGATGAGCTGAAGATGTTTGAGGGGGAAAAGGGAAGAATTCACTGCTGTGTGCAGAGGATGCTGAACTTACACCAGAGTGTGTCAGTGTGCAGCTCTGAGGACACATTAAAAGCATCCGGGATAGTGTGGCCCTTCAGTCAAAGAGTTACAGCTGACAGGAAGGGCATATCTGACGATGGTACATTTCAATATAAGCTGAAGAAGAAGAAGAAGAAGAAAGAACTACATTGTCTCTGATGGCGCGGAAGTTTTTTTCTGAATTGAGATCTAAAGAAAAATGGACCGTCCAAAGAGCATTTTGAACAGTATTTTTTTTGTTTCATGCATTATAAATGTTCAGAAAAGTCAAGACGAAAGATTCTTAGAAGAAATATTTACAGATTTAGTCATAACCTTTGTTATTTAAGTATTGACATGACTTCCACTTGTGCAGTACATTTTCTGAGGTTTCTATCAGAGCAGAGCCACTTCTGAAGTTAACTGATTTCATACTTATATACCTATACATATATTTATTACTGTATTCATGTACATTCTATCTAATGTTAATTTGTTTTTAACATTTTGACTTATTTGAAGTGTTTTATAAAACCTAAAACAAACTAAAGTCTCTTAACCATTCAAAACTTGTATGTCTTCACAGAACAGGTACATGCAGCTGTTTTTCTTTTCTTTCTTTTTTTCTTTCTTTCCTTTTTGTTTGTTCTCTCTCTGACAAAAAGAACCGGATATAACTTTTAACTTATGTCCGGGGATGTTAACTCTTACATCTGATAAGTTGTTAAGAGAGAAACCTGTGGGGAAAGGATCCACTTTGACCAATCACACACTTGTCAAATAACGATTTAGGGTGGATACATGCAGTATGTTTTCATTTCCTGTTTTCATACATGTTTGTTTTAACTGACTGGAAAAATCCTACGATCCAGGGACAGATATTTGCTTGCAAAGGCATTGTTATTTGAGGCAAACCCAGTTATTGTTGCCTGTTTTATTCATAACATCAAGCAACAAAACTGGATTATATTAATCCATGTAACCGTGAATGTACTTATTTTGAAATCATTATATTATTTGTTAATATTCATTGGTTTATCTTTAATCTACGTTATATTTATTGAATTGATTCTAGACATACATGATGTAAAATTAAATCTTCATGACTTCATCATTTAATTTGAAATGGAGTTAGATCGCCCTAAAAATTAACCTACAAAATTTCTAACCATAACTTCAGGCTTCTATGGAGTTTTTAGTGAGTAATGAAACAGTCTGAAACTCAACGAGCTAAAGTAACAAAGGCAAAGAAATGAGAATCGAATCAAAGCTTTAAGTTCACCAAAGTACCTTTTGACGCTGTAGACAGATATGTTTGCTCAGAATAATATGAACGCTTGCCATTGAAAGGGGAAAAAAAATCATAGTCATAAAATCAAACAGGGATAGATTTCAAATACTGATCTCTCTTTGACTCTTTACCACATGTCGGGTCAACAGCCCGAGGAGAGACAGACCAACACATGGACTCAATACTGCACAAGCACTTACTCTGTTTCTCATTTGGAGTTCACATCACTACCTGACCTCACCTCTGAACCACATCTGAGGTCTGTGCATCCAAACTAACAAACATTTACTGTCTGTTTACCTGTCAGTACAGTCTATGTTCAACTCTTGTAAAGCATACGATACTTATTACACTTTTTATTCTTGGTTCTGGGGTATATATACGATTTTTACTGAGAGTTCGGCCTCTCATCTTTAACGGTTTAAACTACCTCTGTTTTTGCCTCCTCCTCAGAGGATTAATGCAGTAGCAACACCATATTTAGATACATGTAGAGTTATTATGTTTTTGTAGATGTCATGTTGGTATAACCGTGAAGTTAAAGATATAGACTTGGACATAAATGCATTGTTAATATATTTATGCATTGAGTCAAAACATGTTACTGTGTCAAAATGGAAACCTTTAATTTTGGAGAATAAAGTGCGCCCAAAGAATACAGCTGTTACTTTTCTCTGATCTCAGTGCTGCCTTTGACTTTGACATAAAGTACATATGTGAATATTTCTTTTGTTAACATTTTGTGACATGTTTTAAAAGTACACCTGTCTCTTATTTTTTAAGTTTAATGTGACTGACAGCCTGCTCCTGTTCCTGACACAACAGCAGTTGACAGATTTAACTTTCAGTTCATAAGATACTTGATGGTCTTTAACCAGTTGTTCTAGTTTTCCAGCATTTACCAAAAGTCTTAGTCAAGCCACACCGCCTACTGCCACAACACTTGAAGAGCAGGAAGACAAGTTTCCCTGAATTCACCTTACAGGAACACTTCAACCTGATGGCAGCACCAAGAAAACGCTCGGTGGAGGGTCTAATTTGTCCTCAATGCGGGGACATTTATAGGGTTCCTGTTCTCCTCCACTGTGGCCACAATATCTGTAAAGTGTGTTTACAGAAACACTGGGAATGGAAAAGATGTCGGGAATGTCCTGTGTGCGGTGTCGAGTCTTTGTCTGGGAAGCCTCCTATCAATTTGCAACTAAAATTAGAAGCAGACGAATATCGAGAGTGGAGGATCAGCAAGACACTGGAGGTTTGTAGTATTCACAAACAGAAGAGGACGATTTTTTGTCACAATGATGAAGAGCCCATCTGTCTTGTCTGCCAAACATCAATCAAACATAAAGTTCATGAGTGCAGCCCCGTGGAGGAGGCAGCCCCACAGAAAAAGGTAGAGTATAGAAAACAACAGGGGTACGCAAGAACCAGTTCTAAAGCTGCTTGGGAATAAGATTGGTTGTTATTCTTGTCTCATGAGGCTACACTATCCTTATTCTACATTTGAAAATCAGCTGTTTTTTTTCTCAAACAACTGCTTAATCGATAAATCTGTAAACATCAGCTGTAACTAATATCAGTTACAAGTCCCAGAGTTCAATATCATGTTTCAGAATCGTACAAACTTAAAGATAATACGTTGTAAAAATGTCAATATGAAACTGGGGAAAGTGATTTAATATCAAGGTAATTGAGTGATCTGTTATTTTAGCTTTAGGCTTTATCTCACGATTCTTGTGAAAATTTCAGCTAGAAATTTCAGACCTCCTGGAGGCCTTAAAGAAGAAACTCAAACTGCTGAACAAGACGAAGGAGCAGTGGGAGGAGACAAAGAACTATATACAGGTAAAAAAAAAAACATAACATCACTGTTAATAAGTTTAACATCAAAGGAAAGGAGACAAAAGCATTCCTGTTTTTGAAGTGCCAAAAATAACCTGTTCCCTGAACAAACTGCAGACCCAGACTTCTCAGCTAGAGACAGCCATCAAGGAGGAGTTTCAGACGCTGCACCTGTTTCTTCACGAGGAGGAAACCTCGCGGTTAAAGGTGCTGAGAAAGGAGGAGGAAGTGAAGAAGCAGGTGATGTGTGAGAAGCTGGAAAACATCAAGGATCAGATCAAAACCCTCTCAGCCACCATCAGGGACACAGAGGACACTCTCGAGGCGAGGGATTTACCTTTTCTGCATGTAAGAGCACTGTCAGTATGAGCGCATTTTACCTACATATTTAAATAGAAGACATATCATCCTGATACCTCAAGACTATTGACCATTTTTAAACAGCAAAACAGAAGTGCTCTGCAATGACATGTAACCTATTTTCATCACTCTACTCATAGTTTACACTTTATTTTCAACAAAAAATGACAACACTGAGTTCATACTTCCACTCATATCAATGGTTAAAGTCACTTGCAGTCAGAGTATAAGGAAATAACCGAACATTTTTAAAATTAGGACTAATCTCATCTTTGTTAAGGACAGATTCTTTATTGTGTGCTATTATTTTATTTCCCAGCTTTCTTGCTACTCACCTGACTGTTAAATACTTGACTCTGATTGGTCAAAACTTCTTAACAGTGAAGACAAAACATAAGTGATCAGATTGTCTTCACTCGTGCTGAGCTCTTGGGTCATAAACTAAAATGTTGTACAGACAGTTTGTTAGTATATCCGTGTGACTTTCCATTTAAGATACATTTGCATTAAATGATCATTCCTGCTAACATGACTTTTGACTAATATTTTAGATTTAACTCACATTACACTGACCGAATGTGTGTTTTTGGTCTGAACTGACCTGCTGTTAGCATTAAATGTGTGTATTTCTTTTGCTTTCTTCCTGTGGCTGAAGGACTACAAGACAACAAAGAAAAAGTAAGTGAAAGTCAATGTCTGTTTAATTCACCACTGTCTTCATAATACTTTTAACCTTGTCATTGTTTAAACATGTTTCAGTGTCAAATGTACCGTCCGAGAGCCAGAGTGCATCAGAGATATCCTGATCAATTCTGCAAAACATTTAGGGTTACTGAAGTACAAAGTCTGGAGGAAGATGGCTGATGTCATTAAACACGGTGGGTGAAGCGATGTCAGTCTTAGGATTATCATGAAGTTTTCACTCTGTACTGAACTGTATCTACACTTTCAGTGCCCATCACTCTGGATCCAAACACAGCCCAGTCCAACCTGAGGTTCTCTGAAGAGTTGACCTGTGTGCAGTACAGTAAGCAGCAGCTCTTGCCAGACAACCCTGAACGCTGCACTAGCCGTGTGTGTGTGCTGGGAGCAACCGGCCTCACATGGGGGAAGCACAACTGGACTGTGGAGGTGGGCCAGGGCAAAGAATGGCACATTGGAGTGGCCCAGGAGTCCATCAAAAGAAAGAGCGCCGTCTTCCTCGTCCCCTCTGAGGGATTCTGGGTGATCAGTCTGCAGAGTGGACACTACTGGGCTGAGACCTCATCTCGCATCAAGCTTGTGTTAAAGCAGAAACCTGAGAGGATTACAGTAAAAGTGGACTACGACAAAGGGAAAGTAGTCTTCATCAACGCCGCTAACCTGACAACGATATACACTTTTAGTGATAAATTTACAGAGAAGATTTTCCCTTTTTTCTCCCCTGGACTGTATGATGAGACCAAAATCTCCAACCCACTGAAAATCTGTCCTCTGAACATACGGGTGGAGGTTGAATAGCTGCACTCACCGCAGGAAGCCAAGTTCATCCTGCCAAAACAAGCACAGGAGAATCCACACTGCATATTTTAAATATTATTTGTGTTATGAAGGGAATTTTAGCATCAACCTGTCAGCTACTGTATCAGGTGACTCTTAGAAAGGCACTTACTTTACTTACTTACTTGATGAAACAACAACAACCATATTTCCGGCTTCTAACATTGTTTATTTATGGAAAATAACTCAGCAGTTAACAGCAGGTGTCATTAACTCTCATCTTTGTTTTTTGGTCTCCTCTGTGATGCCATATCTTTCAGTTTAGAGTCCAGTTTTCTTTGCAGGTAGGCCTTTTTATTCGGGTCCATCGATTTATCTTTTTTTCCGCTCCCGGCGTAAAGAACACCCTCTTTGCTTATTCTCATTCGGGCATGAGACTTGGCTTTATCTCCACAGCCGTGAACCTGTGAATGATTTTCAATGTGACAATCGGAGCAGAAAAATACAAAGCACTTTCCGGCGGTGATTTGTGATGAAACATGATTAAAAACTATCAGAGTCTAACAGTGTTTTGTGTCTGTCTTACCTCTGGTATATGATGACTGAGACAAAACTGCCTGTTGCAGAATAGACAAAGCTGTCCAAGCGTCAGTACAGAAGCTTTGCACTTCACAAAACTGCACACACTGTCTGCCTTTTTGACAGCATTGATGAGAGCGTCAAAGTCGTCATCTGGAGAAGCAGCAGCAGCGATGTCAGAGGCGCCTGCCTTCGTTCGGTTCTTTCCTAGTAGGGAAAAGAGAGAGAGTACAGATGAAGGTGTAGTAGCACATCAGAGCAAGCAGGTTAGGAAAACACGGAAATATCAGCTGTTTCTACAGACCTTTAGCAGACTTTGGCTTCTTTGACGGCTGGCTCTGAGCTGGTAAGATGTTGCTCTGTAGCTTTTTCTGCTGAGCACTTTCTTCCCTTTTCTGCTGCTCCCTTTTCATTCTCTCTAAATGTAAACTTTTCAGATCTAACGCAGGCTGACTTGTTCCCTCTCTTTGGGGATTTTGGAGTGTTTCTTCTTCCTGGGCTTCTTCTGCTTCTTGCGTTGGCTCCTCCGGCCTTGAGACAGTGACACACCTGTCTTTTCCCTCACCTTTACTCTCGTGTTTGAGTCCCAGCTCCTCAGCGATCTCATGGACCAGCAGGCGGTCGTGAGAATTAAATGATGATGGAAACTGGAGTTCACTTTGGTTTGAGTTCTTGAGGAAGTCTTCCACCTGTGCTCTGATCTCAGCTCGTCTGTTCAGTTTTTGCTCCTCCTCTTCCTGTGCAGTTAGGGAGGACTTGGTGCGCTTCTGTGTACCAACACTTCCTTTATCACTTGACGACTTCTGTTCTGGCTTTGCCTTACTGGGAGGCGGTTGTTTGGCTTTCTGTTTGGTAGACCCAGAGCTGCTGGAAGTCACATTTGGCTTTGCGTCTCTGGGGTCTCGAGTGTGATTCTGTGGTACAATATCCTGGATGTATTCAAATGCTGTTCTGACCTCACCAAACTCGGTCATGTGACTTATGAGGGACTTCAGGAAAGGATGATTCTGGACAGTTTGGGTGTCGCAAACCACAGCGATGTGACGTCTTGCTCGTGTAACAGCCACATTAATCCTCCTGTCCTCTGCCAGAAATCCAACTTCCCCTAGTGACATAAAACAATAACTCAAAAGATGTATATAACAGATGCTCTAATACAGCAGAATTACAATTCAAATTATTCCAGGTAGTAGTGATCATGATATCATGCTCACATCCAAGCTTCACATGGTTTTGGAAAACTGAACACATAAACATTTACTCCATCCAGAGGCCGTTTCACTCATTTGGTCAACCATCTGTTTAAATTTATGTGAATGAGTTTAAGCATCCAGAGAGGGACCAAAGCATTTAGGAAAGGATTATGATTTATAACACAAAACAAAACGACAGCATTACTGCCACTGAAACAAAATGTTGATATGAAATAACTTATCTTGCTTATTTTGTTTTTAAAACTGTAAGAAGCCAAAAATCCCCACCAATATGACTGACATGGTGAGGCATAACAAATACCAAATAAGCAAAATTACCTTTTCTGTTGGATCGAACTAGAGACAATACCACAGCCTCTTTCTCTCTGCCCTGAAATCCATCCACCGACTTTATCTCCAGCTCTGGAAATCTTGCAGATAGTCTTTGACGGAGAAGATCAACCTTTAAGAGATAAAAACTTCAAAATGAGCTTCACTGAGATCATTTTTGCCATATAATTGACTCTATACAAGTTAATATTCCATATTTTAAGATGTTAGTTAATGATTGGAAAAATATACATCTTTCATTTTCAGAAATTCAGAATACATTTGAGAAATGTGTAACCTTCCTCCAATCACAGACTTACCTGTAGGTTGTACGGGGCAATAACAGCTATGTCTTTTGCTTTCAGCCCGGCTTCAGTCAAGGCCTTTATGTGTAGATCAACAATGTCCACCTCACCTTGTAATAAAAGAAACATGCTGTTAAACCCAACAAATACCAACAGTAATAAAACTATGCTTTATGACAACTGAAGTGACCTACCTTGGTTGCCTTTGGACTGCTCATCTGTGACCTCCATCTCACTCAGACCACAGCCTGCGGTGTCGATAAGAAGCAGCGGGGTGCTGGTCTCTTCAACAGAAACAACTCCGGGCAGATCTCTTTTCATCAGAGACACAAACATTTACTTGAATGAATCCTCTGACGCCGAAATACAGAGGTGAGGACATTTTCATATCACTCACTTTAACAAATGTCCTGCTACAGAGCTGTGAGCTGACAGTCTTCCCTGGTACATCTCTTTAGAGGCCCACTCCATGATGGCACTGTTCATGCGATACTGAACTGTTAGCATACGGACCACAGAGTCCCCAAACATCTGGATCAGTCTCTCCATGAGGCTGAGGGACAAGCCTTTTGATGCAGCACTGTGGAGTATAAAGAAATATGAGAAATATAGTTTTAAAATTAGAAGTTAGTCAAAAATATCTAAAACTGTGGAGAAATGTTTCAGGTTTGAAAAGGAAAAACAGTTTCTTTAGTAAAACATGCAGAGAAATCCTATTCTTTACGTCTGTGATTTGATTGTAGGTGGTAACTGCTTGTAGTCTCCAGCCAGAATACACTTGCGTGCTCGGAGTAGAGCGATCCAGCAGCTGCTCTCCAGAGCTTGAGCACACTCGTCTATCACCACCCAATCAAAATGCTCCACCGGCAGGAACTTAAGAGGACCATCACCACAAGCTCCTGCAGACACAAACAAGAGCTCTCTGATTGCCTTTCATCATCAGCGACCGCAATCACATTTCCTTCACTGGAGGACATTACTGACCTGTGTTGGTTGATAAAACAACATCAGCACTTTTTAGGATCTGAGTGATGGCTGCTGCTTCCCTCGTCTTCAGTTCTTTTCTCAGCTCTCCTATTTCCCTTTTGTAGTTTCCTCTATCTCCTTTTTCCTTCATCTTTTTCATTCCCATCTTGATAAAGAAAACATAAGTTATAAAACACGCAAGACAGCACAAACCACAGAAAGAACACACATCTTAATACTCACGAAAGCTTTATCCATGTCTTTACGAATATCAGCAATGATGTTTGCGTTGTCACTTTGAGCGAGGATGGCATCAAGTGAATGTTTCTGTATGGACTCCAGAAGCCTGGCAGGGTGACCCAGCCTCAGGACCTTTGCTTTGCATCGAGCCAATCTCTCCACTAAATTATCCACAGCAACATTAGAGGGGGCACAGCACAGGATCTGAGGAGAGGCAGAATACCATTTAGACTAAGATGATGCAAAAGGAACTGCAACTCCAAATGCAACACAGTAAGTTAGTTAACCAATCAGTGTGATAACACAGGTATTAAAAATCAACTTCCTTAACCTTTTGGCCTTGTTTGACTGCCTGTAGGATGATTTCAACCACTGTTGTGGTTTTGCCCGTGCCTGGTGGCCCATGAATCACAGCTAGCTCTCTCTGAGACAGAGCAAAGGTTACAGCTTCCTTCTGGGAATCATCCAGGTGGGAGTTAAAAAATTCTACTTCATCTGGTGAAACATAGAAAAATACCCAGAATCAGTTCATGTATTGTGCGATTTCTGCTGATTTGGAAGGTATAGAAAGATGTCAAACTCATACTGCATACTTGGGTTTAATGTAGCACCTATTACATTAAATACATAGAACGCTAGATGACCTTAAGTTCTGTAAAACGTGACTTACTTGGCTGTGACTGAGAAGAAGGTTTTGTGTCTCCAAAAAGAACATTTATAAGATTGCCAGCTGGTCCATTACTGTATCCGTTCAGAGCATTCAGGGCCCTGCGAGCACAAAACACAGTGAGAATAGGATTTTTCAGGGTCTTAAACTTCACCTGTCATTACAATAATTAACAAATGTAACTTACTGTTTCATTCGTTTGTATGTGACATCATTAGCCAGCTTTAGCAGGTTGTAAAGAGCATCATCGTCAAAGCTGAGGCCATCCTTTGAATCATCAAAGGCCACACTAATAGAAGTCTGGCTGACCCTTGTCACTATTCCTGTGCCTATCTGTGAAGCTGCAGTGCATCCGCCAGTGTCGTACAAACCAACTATGTCCCCTGTAAGAAAAGATTGAAAACCTTACATCAAGAAAAACAGAACACCAAAATCACAGAGTACAAACATTCATAAACCCTTTATTGACTCTGCTGTCTCACCAGGTCCAAAGCTGTTGCTTGGTAGGGATGAAAAGCCAAGATGCTTTCTTGGCTCCAAAATGACAACCGTGCGACCGTAGAGGCCAGTGGACTGACTTCCTATCTGCAGCTTCAGCAGGCAAACACCTTTATTTTGAAGATCCTTGAGAGAGATGTTCTCCTGCCATATCCTGGAGGATCATAAAAAAACACTGTAACCCTACAGTGATAGCAATCACTATTTAGATTGATTTACAATAACGTGCAGAAATCTTCATAGGCTTGGCCAAAGACTTATTTTAAGAAATTCAATGAAATTACAAACAAAGTCCAGCAGGCTCAGGGTCTCTTTAAAGACAGTTCTGCTTCATTGTCTGTCTATAGACAAGTAGTGGTGGGTGGTGGTGGTCGAATAATGTGACTGATATCATGTCCATGTTTTACTTTTCTTCATTTGCAGAAAACAAAAATTGAACATGTGGAAGCTTCCTAAAAGAGGACCATTATGGCAGAGCTGTTGTTGATGTTGTTAGATTGTACTTAGAAATTGCATGGGTGGTCATTCTGTTATGGCTGATCAGTTTACTTGCAAGGACAGTAGACAGACGGTATTTTTTTAATCCAATTCATTTCTACTTTCTTTTTATTACATGGAAAATAAAATAAGGTAACCTCTGTAAGGTAAGGTCTCACTGGATGATTTTATTTTGCATACCTGGTCTCCTCTATTTCAGCCTCCCTCTCCTCCTGTAAGAGCTCGAGTGTCTTTGACACAAATTGTTCCACTGCCATCTCTCACTAAAAACAGAGTCAGAACAGTATCAGTTACAAAACCATATCAAATCATTGGTGTTTAAATAAGAAGTTGGTGGTTTGTTTGCATGTCATGGCTAAATAATGACAGTTCTAATATCCACAAATAAAGACATGCTTGCTAACAACGCTACTCTACTTCATTACCACTACGTGATAGTGATGAAGCGAGAGGAACACTTACCCTTTTATGGTATCCACAAAAATACCGACAAAAACATATTGAAGAAAATGTTCAAGTGTGTTTTAGAGTATTTATTTCTGTGCCCCCAGTTAGCATGAACTGACTTCCTTTACTGCTACCTGGTGAACGTGCTAAGCTACACTGCCACCTATCTGCTCGGATGACCTCAGAAGATGTGAAGGCTTATTAGCCACATTTTATTTTGAAAACACCCAGGGCGGAAGTTTAAGCAGCTTGGTTGTCACTTAAGAAACACGTTGAGCTAAATTGTGGACCAAGCCGACAGTCAAACCGTGATTGTTTGTTATATTTCAGGATGGATGTGGCAGCGGAATGAACGGGGCGATCTCGGCTTGTCTTTTTTCTGTGATTTCAACCCCCTAGAGGATATGCTGTGTTTTTATCTTTCAGTATCTCATTCAGGAAGGAAGCAATTGCACTGGAAACCTGCAGAGCTGAGCTAACCCATTTTTGTTATACTGCTTCACGACTCTTCTTTTATACCGCAATTTCTGGGGAAATGAGAGCGACATTATTCCTGCTGCACGCCATCTCATGTTGCTGGTTGGTCGGTGCCACACTTTCCAAAACTGATGCAAAGAAGTCGCATAAAGCTGAGGCCGAGGTGAGCAACTTCAGGTCGTTTACCTTGAAACCTGTGGGGGGCTGTCAGGTCATGCATGTCCTACCTTACCTGCATGTTTGTTTGCATGTCACAGGGCTCAGCAGAAATGTCCAGGATCAGTAAAAAGTAAACATGCACCATTAAATCGGCCGGCCGATCGATCGGCACTGATTTCCTCAAATTTGGGGGATTGGTGATTGGCTGATCCTTACGTATGAAACCAGTTTTATCCACCGATCTTCTTTACCTCAGCAAAGGTCTGAAAGTCAGCCGTTTTAGCTTTTGGCTTTGCCAGAATGACAGGCTCGCCCACCAGGTCATGTGTGCACGCATGTTATTAAAAAAAATCGGTATCAGCCAAAATCGGTATCGGCAGGTCAAGCTTTTTAAAGATCGATGATCGGCCAGAAAATTGTCATCGGTGCACCCCTGGTAAAAAGGCCCACATCTTTACCTGACATCTTTCCACTCTTGATGTGTATGTGTATCTGTATCTGTCATAGAGCTTGACTTTCCTCTCCCTCTTGACTTTTCAGACCTCACCAGCTGAACTGTCTGTGCTGGAGAGAGGCCTTGTTGTGTCAGACCCTCACTGGAAAGACATTGTGAAGGAGGAAAAGAGACACTGCGTCCACATTAAGAAGACATTTCAGGGACAGGTTCTTGGTTATGTCACACCTGTAAGTCTGAAATCCAGCCCAGCAACGTGGCTACCTTCACTTGTCAACATTGACAGTAGAGTTATTGCCACAGTGTACAAAGAAGCTTTTGTCTTTTTCTCAGTCTGTCTCAGTCTTGTATTCATTCACACTTGACTTAATGGTACTCCTTCTCAGAAAGTAATAGTTGGAAGTTCAGCTGAAACTGACTTGGCCTGACAGATCTACATTTAAGTCATTTAAAGTTTCAAAGTTCTTATCATGCAAACTAACTTTATTATGAAGCAACCATTTCCAGCTAAAAGACTGTAACTTTAATAAAACTGCAACCACAAGTTGATCCTGCACTTCATATAAAATAGACTTGGTAGTATTAAAATTGTGACGATAATCTTTTTTTCTTTTTTATGCAAAAAAAATAGTCTCTTCTTATTCAAGGGTCTCTATAGTTAAGATCAAATGATTTGCTTTTCCTTCATCAAAGGTACTCAGAGACATATTTCTTGGGCAAATAATGTAAATAAGGAATACATAACTATTGTATACACTGCAAAGTCGTTCTTTATTGTGAAAGTCATTTTTCATGATACTTTCAGGCTGTAGTCATGGTGGTGGAAAAGTCTGTTCCTTTAGAGTTGATAGTCAAAACAGCTGAGCACACACTTCATAATCAGCATCAGATAAACAAAAAGAAAAAGAGTTGCTGCTTCTAGCTTCAGAGGTTAGTAAATATGACCATCATATACACTGATGATGTTCAAGTTAGAGTGTTATTCAAGGGCCAGAGTTGAGAGGCAAATTATTGCATTAACTAAAAAAAAATACATTAAACTTTTCTCATGGTGCTCCTTGTCTAAGTTGTTCTGACTCAATTCCTCCATGTTTACAGTCTTTTTCTCCAATTTTGTAGTGGAACTCCCATGGCTATGACATTGCCAAGATGTTTGGCTCTAAGCTGACATCAGTGTCTCCAGTGTGGCTTCAGCTCCGTCGACGGGGCCCTGAAACATTTGATGTGACAGGACTACATGATCATGACCCAGGTAGAGGACTGAACCACAAATACTCAAACGTTTGTCCAACCTTCGTTAGAAACCATATATATATATAGTTATTTTGTTTATTTCTAATCTTTTTATGCCTTTATTTGGAGAGACAGGATATAGTGGGGAATGGTTAGTGTTAGGGCTACAGTTGGAGGATTACAGCTTCTGTACATAGGGCATGCAATTTAACGATTGAGACTGACCAACACCCATTTAATTCTATTACTTTTTTATGATTGGCCTGTTTTATTATTTTTTTGATTATCTAAGGACCACTGCAATTAATTTTAAGCTGCATTTAAGAGTCCTATTGTTTTTCTAGGCTGGGTCAAAACTGTACGTAAATCCAACAAAAAAGTCCGGATTGGTGAGTCGATGTTCATCTCTGCACACAAGTGAGCCCTATTCTGCTATTCTGGATCAGTGCCTGTGGTTTCACATGGGACCCTGCTGTTTGCTCATTTTCTTTCCTCTCAGTGCCGCGGCTGTTATTTGATGGCTGGTCTTACCAGGATTACATGACTGTGCTGGGGAGTGAAGATGAAATTGAGGAGCTGGGCAGCGAGCTGGTGGATGTTGCAAAGGTAATTAAGGGATGTGTTTAGTTTTAACTCCCCTGCAGCAGCTTTGTTTTGCCCTGTGTCAGGCTAATAAGCTTTGGCTTTGCAGACTGAAGGTTTTGATGGCTTTACATTGGAGCTGTGGAGCCAGCTGGGAGGCAACAAAAGGAAGTGAGTTTACACTGTTGCTTTGTCAGTTTTACAAACGAATAAATAATGTTGTAGCTAACATGTTAAATCTTCTCCACACAGGGAGCTGGTTCACATGGTGAAACACATATGTGAGACGTTAAAGGCTAAAAAATTAGACTGCATTCTTGTTATTCCACCCGCAGTGACAAGGTGACTGGAAACAGTTCAATATCAGACACTAAAAAAGTTGAACGTTGTTACAGGAATTGGTGTTAATTTCTTTAATTTTCTTGTTTTCCTATCATTAACAGTGCAGGGCAGCCGGGGATGTTTGGCAGGGAGGAGTTTGAGCAGTTGGCCCCTGCAGTAGACGGATTTAGCCTTATGACATATGACTACTCCAGTGGTACCAGGTGAGCATCACTGACAACGTCCATTCATTCATTCATTTTGGCAGTATCTTCAGGGATATATAAACAGCATTAATGAAGTCACTGTGATAATTCTTGTTGCATATATTATTTTGAGTTTGTTTTTGTTTCTTATTGGAATAGAGCAGGTCCAAGCTCTCCTTTGCCCTGGGTGAGGGACTGTGTCCTCCAGCTTGCACCCAACACTCAGTGGAGGCAAAAGATCCTGCTGGGAATCAATTTGTATGGCCTTGATTTTGCAAGCCAGGGAACAGAGCCAATCCTGGGTGGAAGGTACAATATTATATTGACAAATGTTGGACAACCAGAGCATTGTAGTCTGTTTATTTGGTTTTAGTCTTTTTTTAAATTTGCAGTGGAGGTTTAATTTAAAAGAATGACACTAACAATTCCCATAATAAAGTTTGTAGATACCAAATAAAAGGACAGTAAAAACCAGTGTGTAAATGAAACCGATTTCACCCTCTTTGCCTTAGCCTTACCCTCATCGTTACCAAGACAAAAAAACACCTTCACAGAAATCTACCATGTGAAGTAACTTTTCTGTCATTAGCAAAAAATATCCCTGAAATACAGTAAAAACAAAAGGGTGAAACTGATTGAGAACTCAGTCTCAGATTCAGACCTCTGTCTAAAACTGCTCTCATTTTTTTAATTGCAGGTACATAGAGATTTTGCGAGAACACCGACCAAAACACCTCTGGGATGAATATTCAGGAGAGCATTACTTCAGTTACAAAAAGTACTGATTCATAACACTTAAGTTAACAAATGATGGAAAAAAATCTGAAAAATCTTATAACATCACTTACCAAAACCTGTGGCTTTCATTTCAGGAACAATGCAGTCAAGCATGTGGTGTATTATCCGTCTCTAAAGGTAAGTCTTTTTCACATATAAGTTTATTTCGAAGAAAAAAGGGAAACTATTGACTTAAGTGATGTTTTTAGTAGGTGCACTGCTAAATGATGGGTACTGATATTGTTCAAACTGTTTTACAGTCAATCTACCTGCGGATCTCTTTAGCAACTGAACTTGGAACAGGAATTTCCTTATGGGAACTGGGACAAGGACTGGACTATTTCTATGATCTCCTATGAGAGTTGGACTTGAAAGTGATGAATGGACCCTCAATCGTCAGCACTTTTTTTTTGACAGGATGCACTAAAAAAAAGTGCCGAATGCTGGTCTTAACTACGAGTGTGAGTGACATGTTCTCAGCTTAAGGGTTTAAAAATCAATGTGAATGAATCTGGGATTTGTTGATTCAAAGATGGTTGCAGCGGGTAGTCGGTACTTCAGTATGTTTTACTGTTTCAGGGATGATGAAACTGACAGAAAAAAAATCTACTTGAACCCTTCAGTTAGAGTGCATCAATATCTATCAGCCACAGAAAGTGCATGATCACCACTGTACAGTATATGTAAGTTATAAATGAAGGGTAACCTTGTTGTAAGGCCTTCTTACTTCACATGCCTCAAACATTTGCAGCTTCCCTGAAGTCTACATCTTTCATTACCCAGCTCTCCATTTCTGCACTTGGATTGTTTTTTGCCTGCTGAAGATGCAGCATTTTTCCCTCAAAGCTGTATCTTCTCTTAACATCCCAAGTCTTCTCATGTTTTTAATTTTTCAAATCAAGACATATGATTGTGTGTTTTTATGAAGTTCAGAATATGAGCATTGACAAGAGTGAAAGTCATATTTACAATGTTGACAAACATCTGTTCTGACCAGAATCTTCCACTTTTTTTCTGAGATGAATGTTTTATTACATGAAAATAAACTTGGATCAACGCAGCAGTTTAATGGGATGTTTCTGATTTCGACATATTCATTTTCACTTGGATGTACAAAGCAGGATTAGATTATTTACAGCAAGTGAAGTGGACTGTGCGTTCTGTCCAGTGATGAGGTGTCTGTCTATGACAACGTGCACGGTGTCTTCTGGACTTGCTGTCAAACAAAAAGATACAAATGAAAGGGTTTTTAAAATGCTGTCTGAACATTTACAAGACAATCATCTGTGCTCTAAGGGTCTACTCACCTGTGTATGATCCTCCACTATCTCTCACAAAGTCTTCCACAATCAAGGGCAGATTGGCAAAGTCAGGCCTTCGCACCAGTTCAAACACCGACGGCTGTCGGCCAAAACAAATGTTGTGATTAGAAACACTAAACACACACAGTCATATCTGGATGAACTAACTTTGTTTTAACTTGAAAAAGACTGACCCCTGTTAAGCTGTAGCCGCTGAAGATCCAACTCTGTCCTTCTGTGGCACAACAAAGCCCTGATACTCCTTGTCCCACTGCACAAACCAGCTCTACAGACAAGAAAGCGCAACCTGTTCGTCATCTCTATAAAGGATAAAAATGATTTCACTTAACCACTTTTAAGCTCAGCCTCAGACTTACTTTGTTGGGAGATAAAATGTGTGAGAATACGATGCAAAGAGCCGCTGTGTGCCAGGTCATTCGGTGCTCCAGGGCAGTCTGGGATGAGCAGTGCCTGGTACCGTGCACCTGTGAAAAGGTCATCATGACTTGACTGACCAGAGTCCAAACAGCAGCACACATAGTACAAGCCCTCCCTGCCCCCCGAAAAAGGGCATGCCACAGATATTCTCACCATCTATAGACTCCAGTTTGGCTGGTAATGTGTAGGGTTTCACATTGAAGTCCTGCACCCACCTGGCAGTGCTTTCATCAACTCCGACAAAATCTATTGGTTTGCCCTGCAATGAATAAAAGGGGGGAAAAAAACAAGCTTATTTATGGAGAGAATAAATCAGGGTTTCCTAAAGCCAGAGACAGTTTTTTTAACACACACCAAAGATATCAGTTACCATGAAAGAGAAGCTGGAATATGACTAATATTCAGTGTTTTTTTCTTGGAGGTTTTCTCAGTACTTGAGAAAATAATGTACTTGTAAATTCATAGATGACAGCTTATCAATTAATCATTGATTCATTAATGCTCCATGAGTCATCTGCTGGACTGCAGTTACACTTGAGATCAAATGGAGTTTGAAAAGAGAGTCTATTGAAGTTTATCTAAATATTTTTAATTTATTACAACTGGGAGCAACATTTCTGATGTCTATGTGCTGATTCTGCAGCGCTGGTACACTCATACAGAGCTTCAAGTAGTGCTAATAATATTTACGCTGGCGTGTTATGCAACTACATGTAGAATTAACATTTTTTTGTTACCCCCGGTGTGGCTGTCTGGAGATTGAACGCTGGGGTACAGAGGCTGAAGCACTGATGGAAAGACTTGGCTGATACTCCTGGAAGAACAAAAAGCATCAGTTTAAGCAGATCTGCAGCTCCATGCGTGATACACAAAGAAAGGCCAGTCTAACTTCAACGATCAGCTAACATGTGCAAATCGTATAAGACAGCAACTGTAGGTTAAAACTATTTTACAAATAAATGGTAATGAAATCAAACTCAGAATAATCCAAATAGGCGATCACACTTTGTCCTTTTCTAAGATCCGATCATACATCATGAGTTGGTATCAGGAAATGGACCCACCTTGAGCAGAAGCACTCGCCACAATCAAACAAGTCGGTTTCGCAGACATTGTATTTATTTTCCTCTTCCCTTTAGGTGTGTTATTTTATTTATTTTATTCGAAATGAATTTAAATATACTTGTCAATTCATGCAGGAGAAGTAAGAGAGGAGGAAGAACTGTCAGCTGACAACAACATCCGCTTGATTATTTCAGAATAAAAGCCCTCTATGCAACACAGGAGAATGCAGCTTGTGAAATGAATGTAGGCCTGTTGTGGAATGATAATGCCAAGCACGTTTTAGCTTCTCAACATTTAAAATATTCAGTCTGCATTTTTTTTTAGGTGAACATGAATTTCAAAAAAGCAACAAGACAGGCACTGATTACAAAAATAGCTCCAACATGCACATATTTCTCCATTCTTCAAAACATCATTTTGGTTAAAAGTAAATAAATACATTATTATTTTTACACAAAAGAGAAGGTGCTTGAAGCATGCATAACATTTAGCAGAAAAAGAAGAGAGCTGGCCAGCAGCAGCAGTATGGTTTTGCTGATGTTTGTGTATTTTGCAAACTATGGCGTAACTCTTGCAACTTTACAGTGTCACCGGATTAAGTAAATATATGGGGCATTAAAATACTTAATCCAACATTTTAAGTAAGTGATGTGGAAAAAATTGTGATTAAAAAAAGTCAGATATCAGTAAAGATCTTCTTTTAAATTTCCATAAAGGCAGCAAGTAAACATCATCCCCACAAGCTGAAAGAAAGAACATAAAACCAGATAAGTTTCAAACTGAACACAACCACAGATCTACTCTTGGTATTTTGCTCACCATTAAAATGAAGAAGAAAGAGTTGAGGCTATAGACAGATATTATGCTGAATGGAAGAAATCATACCTGTAAAAATGCAATCCCAATGCCCACTGCACCAAGGATATACAGCTGACTCAGAATAAATTCCTCTAGTTTCATGATGCAGCCTCCCTGGAATCATCAGGAAGTTGAATAAATACAGATCATAATAAAGGTTTTTGACATTATCCACAGCCAAATGGAGAGCTTTGCCTACCTCCACCTTGTAGATGTTAGAGGGATGGTCCCTGAGACCACAGAGCTCACTGGGAGTTTTACAGCAGCTGTCAGGGACCAGCCGCTTATTGGCTTGGATCCAAACGCTGTCCATCCAGTCAGAGGAGTTATGACTGCCACAACACTTGAACTGAGGGAGAGACCCGGTGCAGGCCGAGAATAAGAAGTGTCATATGAAACTTAACATTATCTGGATAAACTAGCACTTGATGCTGACTCGTTGTATATGAAGCATTGTATATATGCTCTAATTTCAAATATTTAGGTAGGGTCACTTCCATACGGAAGACTCGTCTTCTGTACTTCCACACCTCCTCCTGAAGTCTATCCACAGCTTGTGTTACGCTGTCTTCTCCAGGTTGCTGGTATTTCTGCTGCATGGTCACCTGCAGGTTCTGTCTGAGATCCTCGTCCAGCTGTGGGACAAGAAAAGCACTTCAGTGATAGTGCAGGAAAATCATCTGTCACCTGCAAATCCCCCTCTCATCAATAAAAATAGCCTGCGGTCAAGTTTCCCTCCTCCCTTGTAACATTCTTCGGTACCTGTGCAATGCCTGCACATAACTCCCAACATATGAGCATAGCTCCTCTCTGACCCAGCTCCCTACCCCACATGAGCTGGTTTTGTATGGATTTGCAAAAGTCTTGCAGCTTGACTGACAAAATGCATAAAGTGAAAGTGAGCCATTTGATATCAGCCTGTTGGATAAACAGTCTGATATGAAATGGATAAGGTGGTGGAGGCAGATTACCTGGTAGCACAGAGGAAAACACTGGAGATGAAGAAAAGACGGAAAGAAGAGTTGTGTGAAAGGAAGGAAAAACAGGACAATTGAAGAACATGCACAGAGAGGCATGCTTGGATTTCACAATGGCAGAAAATGAGGTGTTTCATGGAAGATGAAAACAAGCAGCAGAGTTGAAAGTCACATTAAGCCTTGGTAAAAATGAATTTAATAATACTATCTAAATTCATGCAGCATGAAAAGTCAAACTCTTACTGTGCTGGAGTGAGATTTAAACTCCAGATGACGTATAATTAGGCATTCACATGGTTTAAAGGTACTGTGAGGAATTTTAACTGGTTGAGAAACAGGCTGAAACTGATACTGATGCCTCAATATGACATTTGAATACAAACAAGATCATTAGAAACAAGATTGAGTTTTTCTTTGACATAATCTCAACACCTGAAACTGCTGTGAGGGGGTAGGTGTTAGACCAGATAACTGAAAACAGGCTGAAGAAATAACTTTTTCTGACTTTTTCCATGACAAATATTCTCAGTAAGAGATGCATGTAACTTTCCAGGGACAAAAGGAGAAGTGTTTTGTCTGAAAAGAATATTTTCACATGTACAGGACAAACAAAAGGGGATTTCATTTTGTCCACAGGGGGGCATCAGTGCCAATACAAACCAACAGCTTTAAGAACATTATTAGGAATATTAATGTTAAAAATAACGTTATTATTGTCAGATATATTTACAAATACATATACAAACTGAAAAAGCACTCTACCTCTTGGTATTTAATGTAGGCCAGCACACCGGCAATGATTTCCAGCAGGAAAATACAGAGCAACAAGATCAAATACTGAGGAGGAGAGACAAAATTACTGAAACAACATGGATTTGGATCAATAGAAAATAAATAAAATGGATGCTCGCAGTTTTCCGGTAGGGCTGCAGTGTATTTCTGTCCAAGATTATACCATAAATACACTATACTAAGTAAATGACTGAACTGTACTATAGGAATATATTCAAAAGGGTGGTGGTAAATGCAGACATTACATCACAGAGCATGTGCAGCTCTGCTCCTGTATAATATCCTCTTACTATATCCATCCATCTGCCTGTCTGCCTGTCTGTCTGTCTGCCTGTCTGCCTGTCTGTCTGCCTGATGAGTCAAAGCAGCAGCCTCTGATGCCCCTCATACCTCTGCCATGAGCTGCACTCTAAATCTAAACTTTTAAAGACACACTCTGCATGACTCTGTCTGTTATATTTGACAGTCACTCCTCTCTGATATAACATGAATGTGGGCAGACAAGACAGGAGGTCAGCAAGGATTAACTTTCAGGTTTTGTGTGTGTGTGTGTGTGTGTGTGTGTGTGTGTGTGTGTGTGTGTGTGTGTGTGTGTGTGTGTGTGTGTGTGTGTGTGTATAAACAGGAACTTAAAAGTGTTCCTGTCGGTTTCAAATTTCGTATCATAAAATGGGGTCAGTGTTAAAGTGGTGTTTAGTGAAAATCTCGTCTGTGGAGCAGTGTGTTGTGATACTGTACTGCCTTACCACAAGCAAAAGACTCTTCATCTCTTTCAGAGTGGCACAGCAGCCAATGATCCCAGTCACTATCACAATGACTCCTGCAGCTATCAGGATATAAGCTGAGGCGGAGTACAAGCTGGAGTTGAGTAAACTGATGTAGTCACTCTTTTCCACAAGAGTCCACACCCCCACTGCCAGCACGGCCCCGCCTGCCAGCTAAAAAATGCACAATTATCAGACAACAAAACATTGGCTTATTCTCTCATTGTGTGCAGTATATGTTTATAAAAAAGGGTTTTTATATCACTCTTGATTAAGTCTAGAGATCTAAGTCTAATGTTCTTTGTTAAGGTTGATTTTGGTGCCCCCTCAGGGTCTATATAAGTCCCTAAGGCGGGAGTGGGATTCATTTTTAGCGTGAGAGTTTTACAGCTTTAGTTCACAACCTTTACTGAATATATATGCATATATATTTTTACCTCTGAAGGCTGACATCAGTGTTATCTTTTCTATATGTGGGATCCTCTTTCCCATCTCCAATAATAGCATCTTAAATCTAAAACAGTCACTGCCTAGTGTTTATAACACATTCTGTTAAGATTTATATTGTCAGTCATGTTCTGAAATCAAAAGCATAAGCCCATGTTTGTTTTTGTTTTTTTTAACTTTTTCATCAAATCCATCTAAAACATGGTACTAGTTAAGATAACTGTGTTAAGATTAGGTTGTATTGTGCATGGAATGATATATCTACATGTTTGTTTGTGTTATTCTAACCCCATTATTTATTTTGCATTTTTTATTTTTATACTAATTTCAGATAGATTATTCTTTAGATAATTTTAGAAATTCAAAAGTTTCTCATGGCAGTATTTCACTTTTTCATATACATTTAGCCTATTTGATAAATTGTTTGCTTATTGTTGTATTTTGCAAATGTTAAAAAAAAGTGACATCTGCATTATATATTGGCCTTCAGCTGACACGCTCTCTCATCATAGGCATCGGCTAGTTTACAGTATTACATTTTTTTTAGAAAATCCCTATTTATAGAGGATTTTATTGCCCTATATACAGAGAATTAATAAACAATTTTAGTTAGTTTACTAACCCAGAATAAGATGTTGAAGAGAAACAGTAGATATTTCAGACAGATGGTCCCACAGGAATGCCTTTTTTCAGCTCGAGCCTCCATCCTGAAATATACAAACTTAATTAGTATTAAAAAAGCTAGAAAACAAACATGAGGGGTCTCAGCCTACGAGACCAGGTCACACCTTACAACGCTGCTTTAGTACTAAAGAGAGAATAATTATCACTCAGATCTCTAGGCTCATATTCACATAACAGACAGCTTAAGACTACTGGTGCGCTATCTGATTGAGACTTGTCTGTTATGGTGAACTTGGAGGAATTTCCCTTTTTTAGTTTCAGCTCTGGTGTGAAAAGGGGTTTACCGGATGGAGTTCTGACACAGTTTACATGCGCTGTCTAAGTGTAATCCATTTAAAAACTGCATAAAAAGTTACACAGAGCAATAGGACGAGCCCAAAGTTGAAATCAAATATGTTTAGGGGAAAACAGACTTAACTACTTGGGTCACACGCCATCCGGCATGCAGATATATATTTGTCCTCCATCTCAGTAACTTAATCTGATCTTCTATCACTTTAACTTCTTACCTCGAGAATGAACTGATCTGTTTCTGTCTAAACCTAAACAGAACTTTCTTCACCAGCTCTGACAGTGAGCATCATCAGATGCTGTTTTTAATTAGTAGGGGTCACTGAAAATTTTTCTTTAAAAAACTGAAAAATTCTGAAATAGGATCTGTAAAGACAAAATTATATGTAATAAATGAAAAGTTTTATCGAATGAAAATATTCAACATGATTTAAAGTTGCCTTACATGCGTGAGAAAGAGCTCTCCATGTGTAAATGTGAGTGAAAACAAAATCTCCCAATGGTCAGAATCAGAGTTATTTTTAACTCATTGTGTCATGGAAAAACTGCTCTCCCTTTCCGCTGAGACCAAAATACTCCTACCTGATTTTAGATGGTGGGCCCTGAAGGATGCAGATTATCGGGGTAACGTCTTCCCAGATCCGGCCGACCCCTGTGTCAAAGCACTGCTGTCTTTGAAGGTTAACTGCAACAGTGCTGGTTCTCAGTTGACACCCAGACCCGAGCCTCCCACCCGAGTGTCTGTCCCCTTCTGGCTCAACAGGCAGCTCGCCCCTGCACTCTCAGTACTGAGAGCATGGCTGCCCCCAGCTGGTTTCTCACGCACATGAACTGCTGTGACACTCAAACAGTGTTGAAAAAATGAGACTGCAAAAGGTCCTAAAATATATTTTATTGCAATACAAAGAGAAATAATGACATCAGAAAAGCACAGAAGCTGCCTAGTAACCTTGTAAACTTGTCCACTTTTTGTGAACCAGAAGGATTCAAGTCAGGACTTTGGCAGAAACCTTGAGCCATTGTGTTTAATATTTCCCAGAACTCTGTCCAGCTGTTTCAACAAGGACGCATAACCCACAACCCATAGTGCCGACACCTGGGAGCTTCTTTTCTTCTTTTGTTTATGTGCAACAGCTTTTTTGAACAGTTTCCTCCGTCAGTAAAAGTCCATCCTCACACTGTTGATCTTGCTTGAGAATCAATATCCTAGAGCAAGGACGTGATCACAGGTCAATATGCAGCAAAAAGTAGAAAAAAGAGAAGCAGAAAAGGTTTGAAGTTTTCATAACTGATCCTGCAGCTTTGCTGAAACTATTTGAAGAGGATGAGATAAAATAAATAGTGCTAAGACAATCCGTGGACAAGATATTGAGTATCTAAGCCACATCTCACCCACCCAGCCAGAGAAGTCATCAACTCTTCAATGTAACATCCAGTTTTGGCACTACACTCGTAAAACAGAGCTTGATGATGCTGTATGGAGCAAAAAGAACAAAATATGTGATTTATTCTGTTTAATTCAAGAAGTGTTGTTTATTTATTTGTTTGGTATATACATTATGAGTAAATCACTGCAGATAATAGTTTGAATATCCAAATTTGTGGTGAGTATTTACCTCTGCTAGACTCTGCCCCTCCTCTGTCGACACTTTTCTGGTTTCTGTCAGGTCCAGCTTGTTGGCAAGCAGCATCAGTGTGGCACCATCACACATCCTCTCCTGAGACAGACACAAAACAGAGTAGAATACACACCCCTTTAAGCAAACAAAACATATAAATGATGAGTACAAAAATCTAAAAAAAAGATAGAGTTGAGATTTATCCTAGAGATAGGATTCATCTCTGCTCAGTCCTGGCGCTCTGTTAAGTAACCTGCATTTGTATTCAAATTGAGACAAGCTGTTTTGCATTTTTTTTCCAACCACCTGAGGAGCTCACCTTCACAGAATCTATCCATCCTCTGACAGCGGTAAAGGAGGCGGGCTGAGTGATGTCATACATGGCGAGAACGCCGTCAGCCTTTCTGTAGTACTGCTCGGTGATGCTGCGAAACCTGAACACACATTTATTTAGCGAATAAATATGAACTTAAACCACCCTAAATAATCCAAACATCCTCATTGGTGATTTCTAACATTTTAAAACAGTATTTTTAATCTGTGAACTAAACAAAGAAACGAAAACCTACATATGTTGGTGCTCTCAGGCTGCTGGGAGAGAAAAAAATAAAGAAAAAAATAAGCTGCAAACCAAATATTATTTCAAACACACCAAACCCGGATTCAGATTTAATCGCTTCAACATGTGATACCAGAGCAAATACTCCGCTGTGTAATAATGGCCCACTTTCCCGACAGGACTGTGTTGGCTTTCAGGGAAACTGGCTAAAATACACTACAAACTAAAACTGTTCTGCCTTGGTGCTCCATGCTGTCAGCACATCTACTGTACATCGATTGTCCATTTTACTTTCCTTAAGTGCAAAACAACCTCCTCTCTGTGCAAATGAATCTCATTCTAACGAGTCAAACTCACAAACAACAGCCCTAATATGCTAAGGAAAGAAATTATTTCTGTCTATAGACACTTTATGACCTTTTCAACACTGACAAGTTACAGGGGTCGTGTTTTCTTGCACATTATGCCACAGCAGAGGCTTCTTTATTTTTGGAATAAGCTGTATCATGTCTGACCTCTCTTGTCCTGCTGTGTCCCAGAGCTGCAGAGTGATGGTGGCAGAGCTCAAAGTCAGAGTCTTCATTTGGAAATCTATACCTAGAGACAAGAGTAACCCATGTTTTCAGTCTTTAAATTGCACAGAGGAGCAGTTTTATCCTTAAATCCATGGTAATAAATGGAAAGCTTACCAACAGTGGACCTCATCTCACTCTGGAAGTGTCCTGAGCAGTACTGCTGAATGAATGAGGTCTTACCCACCCCTGAGTTCCCCAGGAATACCAGTTTGAACATTCGCTGAGGACTGATAATTTCACTCTAAAATCAAGGTATAGGAACCAAACGTAACAATGTGATTCAGGGTTTTTATCTTTACTTTGCAGAGCATGCACATTTTTCAGAACTGCTGTCCATCATCGCCGTGAGGCCTATAAAAGCCTGATCGTATAATGTTCAGGATTACAAATATGTTGGGGTGGCTCTTACGTGGTTATTACAGTAAATAGATATGAGATTTTTAAGATGTGTTTGTAAGATTTGCTTGTTCCCTACCTGAATTTGCATCTCTTCAACATTTTCATCCCTGACTCTACATGACGGCTGGTGTCTCTTTGATGAATTTGTCATCTCTTTGTCTTTGTCCTGCTCCAACTCATCGGATGAGCTCAGCTGTCTTTAAGATTAATGGATACACAAAATTAGTTGCTTCCTCTGGTGTTAAACCTTGCACTGCTGCAAAGATGATGACAGAGGACGTTGGTCATACAAACCTCTTCAATGGCTTTTCTTGCAGTAAGTAGTCACCTATTATTGAGCCTTTCTTCTGTAAAGGCTTTCTTACGCTTGAGCTCTGAAAGTTTTATTTGGAAGAAATTAGAGAAAAAGATTTGTTTAAAAAAATTGTATCAAGGAGCGGTGTTAAATTACAACTGAATTCTCTCTGAAATGATTGGTTGATTCACATGGAAACATGCAGGATATCAATTTAAAAAGCCAAATTTGCAGGTAAAAGTGACATTTATTCAATTGTCATCATTGCAGTTGACATTATAATCAGTAATCAGCATTGCACTTATTGGATTACGATACATGTGGCAGGACAACATGACAAAACATAACCAAAACGTCAACATTTTGTAACAGTAAACAAGGTTCATTACAGGATTGTAACGGATGCTTCACTCAGAAACTTCAGAGGGAGATATTTTCAGTCATTCAAATGCCCTTAAAAAATTTGACAAGTTTTGGCAACAAATGTAACTATTTGTTTTAAAAGAGAAAGATTCCCAGAGACCGTCACTCTTAGAGAATTTTTAGAGGATTTTATTCGTCTGGTTAAAACTGACCCACTGTAGCTCTTTACGTAAATATTCACGTGTACAGAATTAGAAAGAATATTTCAGATTTTCTCCACAGGTGAGCACAGGACAGACTAAATGTCTTTTTTCATTCCTTCTACGAGTGAAAAAAAAACTTGCTGACATTGAAAAATCACACACAGTGTTGCTGACATTAACACAAGCTCAACCAATCACCAAAGTGTAACAGTTGCCCATGTAAACAATCATTGTCCAGAGGATGGAAAAAAGCATGAAGTTACTCCAGGAGTTAGCTTAGGTAGGATAAATCTGCTGCATCCATGGAGAGCAAAGGTCTTCACTGAGGTAATAAGTTAACGGAACAGGAGGGAGGACAGTGTGTCTGTGACTAACCCTCTTCTGAGTGTGCTGGGCATCTTTCTCATCACGCAGCCTTTTGTTCATATCCCTGAAACACACATACGGAACGATCGCAAAGGTGTTTTTGAGTCATGTTATAACAACATCAACATGCCTTTTAAATGAGTTGACAGCAGCTGCTGTGACTGACCTCAACAGCTCCAGTTGTCTCATGAGGCTGTCCTTCTCTTTCTGCATGTTCTTTGACACCTTAATCACACTTCTACAGTGAAGAAAAGCAGAACGGTAAAGAACAAGTGTATTGAGACGACTGGTTCTTCTTCTAGCATCACTCTGTCAAATCATTAGATGGGATGTGTTTTTCTTTTTTCACGATGGAGTGAATGGCTTTGTGAGGAAATTTACAATAACAGTGTCACCAGACTTTAAAGGGAGACAGTGTATCCATGGTGTATACTTCTAATCTTATACTCAGACACTTCTTGTGTTTCTCACCTCTGTCTGGCTACTTGTTCCTCTGCCTCATTCAGCTGCAGCAGACTGAGCTGACCGAGAGCTTTCTGCAGCTGCTCTCTGCTGCCCTCCACCTGCTCCTGAAGCTGGACATTGCGGCTCCGAAGCTGCTGATTCTGATGCCTGATGTTTTCCTGTTCACAGCTAAGCTGCCGGATTCTGGTCTCAAGCTGAAGAGAAGGACAGATTATGCTGATTCACTCTTTGAGTAAAATCTTAAGAGATTATATAAATGTCATTTAAATCCCCACCTCCTTTTGTTTGTTGAGAATATTCTCCACCTCTTGCTCTTTCATCTTCAGCTCCTCTTCAAGTTGCTGACCTCTCTGTTTGTGTTTAATACTGTCCTGGATGTCACAATAAATCATATTAAACACTGTTCTGACATTTACTTTTGTTAATCAAACAAGGGTTGGGCTTAATAACACACATCTATACCTGAGCCAGCCGCTTCTCTCTCTCCTCTCGGATTTGAGTTTCCATTTCTTCATAGATTGAGCGAACAACCCTATCATGTTCAGCCTCTCGCCTAAGATGAAGAGAAATCGAAGTCAATACAATCCTAATACTCAATTTTTGATCTGTTTGTCGCATTATGTAATGTGTTCTGGTTGAAGAATAATGTGAGAAACCTGCGCAGAGCTTGTTCAAGACTGTCCCTCTCCTTGATGGAGTCCTGCAAATGGGTCACAGCATGGATCAGGACATTTTCCAGGACACTCAGCAGATCTGGTCTGTCTCTCTGGAGGTTACACCACAGAGAGCAAAGGTCCTGCTGACTGACAAAAAACACACAGCACAACAAATGACTTTAGAAGAGACTGGGAACATTTCATTGAAGAGAGGTGCTGGATCAAAAATATCTGCTGCAGACTTTGAAATATACATAACATCTTAAAGATGTGCTCTGTGTCCTCAAAAATAGCATAGTAAAGTCATAGTTGATTGTCCTATTTTGGTAGCAGAGAATACTGAATGTAGACTTTGGATTTTTTCCCACTTTGTCTTTGAAAGCTTTGTCATGTGAAATAATTGCATCATGTGGTGTGTATTCACTGTTTTTTTTCCTATTCTGTATTCAATAATTCAAAACTCACTAAACTTGCTCCACCACCCCATTTTCTTTCAAATCAACAAGCAAAAATCCCCAAATATAGCATATTACCTGAGCAATTTGTGCTGCATGTGTATGCTACATGGATACTGAGTTGTTCTGTTGTTTTTAAAGATAAGCATTTGACTTGCAGTTGGTTAGAACTTCTCAGTGAAGGAGAGACTGTATTCTTACTCTCTGAGAAGTCTGTCAGCACCAAGCTCCATCAGTATGTTTGCAAATCTAACTGCAGCAGGGTCCTGGGACAAGTCCACCCGGTCTGTGTCCAGTTCTTCTTCTTCTTGATCCAACTCTGCTGTGTCTTCCAGCCCCACCAACTCACCTGAATCATAGTGTGAGTGAGAGAAGACGGTATTTCTGAATGAACAGTAGCTGTAATCAGAGACATCACAGGGAATAAAAGGTCTCAAAGACTTCACTCACCAAGCCCTGTGTTGAACTCAATCGGAGTGAGAAAGCCATTGCTCTGTCTGTCCAAACTCTCAAACACTGTCTCCAGCTGTTCAGGTGACAGAGGCAGCTCTCCTTGTAGTCTCTGGCCAGAACAGGATGGAAACTTTCAGACTCTGCAGCTAGCTTTCGTTTTGTTTTTCTGCCATACTCTCTACTCACCTGCATATCTCGCTTTGTGATGAACCCTTTCCCCTCTTTGTCACACAGGACAAACAGCTCCTTGGCCTTGCCCATGGTCTCAGCCTGCGGGCTTCCTAGAGCTGCCTCTCTGGTGCTGGATGAAGACAGTGGACTACGTCCCCGCCCTGGCAAGGGGCTCCCAGGGGGTAAACCCCGAGTTCTGGGGCTCACAGGTACTGTCTCACCACTACCCTCAGCCACCAGCACTTCTCCATCATTCAGCCAGTGAGACATCACTGCAAAGACAGACAGCTGTTGTATAGTTCACTTCACTTTCTGAGAGAATCGAGCTGGAGTGGTATGGCAAATTTTCAAACTGCAGCAAAATATCCTTGTTTGATTTGGCCAATAGTGCAAAGTCTATTCAGTTTATGTGCATGGATACATGGCAATGAAAAGAAAATCTGCTCCTTTGAGAAGCTAGAATTAGAGCATAGTGGGCAGTTTCTCACTCTTTCTGGCAAATATAGGAAGAAACAATAATCTGTGATCCAAAAATAACAGAATTTTTATCAACTGTTCATGAAAAATCCAGAAAATGTCAGCCACACTCTTGTCACACCTTTAAAATGCAGAAATGTATGCTTTTTTTTGTTATATTATATATTACATAAAACACATCACCGCCATGGATAGAAAGTTTTAAAGAGAGTTGTTTTACTATTTTGCAACACTTCATACAGAAACAAATTCCTTAAAAAAGCCTATGTAAAATGAACAACAACAACAAACTGTCTCTTCATTTCCATCCCAATGACAGGTCTCCTTCTCTAGTTTTTAGTTGCTTACATAATCAGATACATTTTTCTTACCCAACTTTGGATGTTCTCTCCCAGTGCTGCAAAATATTGTGGGAAGCTTGCCTTACAGGACCTCCCTTGTCAAACATGAGGTGCAGAACAAACTAAGTTGTGAGTGTACACACAATCTACAGCTGCTGTGAAGATTTCTATATCTTCAGGTAAGCCAAACATAAATTAGTAGCCTCATGCAGCATAATCTATTACTCCCAATGTTTACTCAGATAAGGAAAAATTATATAAATGTGATGCTGCAACTTGTAGTATTTAAACCTGTGAACCAGGATGTGCAGAGGATAAAAAACAGGATGGTGTCATGTGAGTTACTGTGTGCCTGAAGGGAAAGGCGGATAGCCGGAGGAGACGAGATGCAAATCAAACATTTGCAGTTGTTTGCATTGTCAGAAATACCACGATTGCAAACAAATTTCACTCTACAATCGAAACTACAGGGAAAAAATGCCTCGGTATCTTTGCTGGCATTCATAAAACAGTGATTTATCACAGACAGAAGCCTCCCATGTAAACAGACTTTAGGTAAAATGACATTTATATAACAGGAGAACAAGGTGAGTCCAGAATAAATAGTGTTGCAGAAAACAAATGCCTAAAAGTTGCTGATAATGACCAGTTAAGCATCTTGCTGTTAATCTTTGAAGCCTTCCTTATGACACGAGAGATATGCTGGGATCCTAGATAAGAGACTTAGCTCTGTGTAAACAGTGTGTGTTAAGGATTTTTTAAGTCACACACCTCACTCCCACTAAGCCTACAGTCACACCACAAAAAGAGGTTTAGTTAAACTAGATGTAGGTGACAAAACTGTCAGTCTAAATTATAGTCGTCCAATTATATGTCTGTGATAGAAAGCACCATGAGACCATGTATGTCAGGAACATATGTTGCTCAAAAATACAGTGACAGCTCTACCTTTCAGTGGAACACAAAGATAAACAAACCGCACGATTGTGAAATACAGCTTAGCGTCTGACATTGTACCAAAAGTCAGACAAATATCTAGAAAATAGATGATATCGCCTCCCGACAGACAACTATAACAGCGTAGCTCCCTGAAGTAACCAAACACAGGAGCTGTGAAGTCGGATCGACTTCATTTTAATTATTGATAAAGTAGAAAACAAGTTATTTAGTAAATAATGCATCAAAGCAGACATCATGTGCAAATAAATCGTGTCTGAGTATATAGCAACGACTTAAATTTCGTACTGTGTATCTAAAAGGCGAAGTTAAAAAACTTCTACTCACCTGCGCCGCAGTGCTGGACGAAAGTGTCCCACACCTTTGAACACCTCTCAGTTAATCGGGTGGCAAGTCAGACCTTCCTCCGCAGGGTGGCAGTGAGGACCGCGTGCTAGGGAAAGTTACCGTAATAGTTGATGTAGCCAGGTTATCCAACTCATTTAGCCTGTCTTATATATATCTATGATCGAACTCACTCTTTCCTGACCAAACATGTCTATTTCACATTATCTTTGTACGTACAAAAATCACAGAAATAAATGAGACGTCATTAACACAACTTACACTGATGTGTGGTTATCATTGTCTTGTGGATGGCAATTTTCATGTATAGTGATGGAACCTATAAACTGAGTATTACGGTAAAGAGGAGCGTTACCATGGAATTCACGGAAATGCCATGTTACCGCGGAAAGGCAGCAGTAGAGGCTACAAACGGTTAGCTTGTATGGGGGGATGAGAAGTGTTTTCTGTTGTTGTCTGTGGATAATTCATTTTCATCCTTAGTCCGTTTCTCTGTGGTAAGTCTGTGTCTGTTACTTTGTTTGTGAAAAGCTGTGACTTTGGTAATGCTGTGATTGTCTTCGTAACTAGCCAGCGTGTCTGGAGGGAGTTCCTCGAATCTGAGCTGGATCAGAGCCAACCGAGTGTTTTGTTGTGGAAACAGGATTGTGGTACTAGAGTTTGTAGATACTCTACCATCCGTCTTGCAGATTATCATAAGCCTTGACCAAACAACAGCAGACTATCGTCACAGGTAGATTAGATGCATGAAAGAAAAGACAGAGAGAACATCACTTTCACAACAAAACAAGAGACGGTGGTGGTGTGGCCGTGGATGGAAAATTAATCTGTAATCCCTGCCGTGACCTTTCTATGCTCGCCTGTGTAACAGACTGACCACGTTGACTCTTCATGGTTACATGGGTAGGTTTACTGCTACTTCAGTTGGCTCAGAGACTTTACACTCAAAATGTACCTGTGCTGGAGATAGTTGACTCCATCTGGACTGATTTGATCATTTTAACCCGAATAACTGCGTTTGTTGTGTCTCACAGATTGTTTACTTTTTCTTGCAGCTCATGTAGACAAGAGGACTGTCCACAGAGATGTCAACATGCCGCACTGGAAGAGTCCTTAAAGATCTAATTGGGTGTCTTGGATTTTCTACATGCATCACCACAGTATTTTTCTCAGACAACAAACAGTATGTTTTTGAAAGGAGAGAAAAACCCGAGTGAAGAAAACCTCAAATGGAAAGTTACCCGTTGATCGACCATGTGAATGGACCAGTTTTGGTACTGAATTTTTGTACAATGAACTGCAGTATGTAGACCAAGACAAGAACCCGTTTTTTTAAGTGTGAAGAAAACCCACCAAGGCACGGAGGTACATAGACTGTGAAGCTTGGTGGTTTGCAGGACCAGGCCCTGAAGATGCTTCAGTCCGGTAACTACTCTTTGGTGCTGCTGATCCAGCTGATATTGTTGGCCTATGACCTCTTTGTCAACTCCTTCAGCGAACTCCTGAGGGCAGCGCCTGTCATCCAGCTAGTGCTTTTCATGTAAGTAGCTGAACTACATGCTTAAACATTCAGTTGTTTCATTAGTCTTATGTTATATTAACAGAAAGTATCTCCAGAAAAATTATCTTATTTTTCTAAATGTTAATTTAAGCAATTTTCAAGCAGAAAATATCACAAAAAATCTGGTTCATCTCAATTTTTTTACTAAATTTTATTGCCATAAAAATATGTTTACATGGCATGTCTTGGACTTAATTAAAAACTTATTTCTGCACCCCAAAACTGTTAAATCATGGACAAGTTTATTCTCTTAGGTTGAACGTTGCTTTTAATGTCTGCATGATATGCAGAAAAATAAAAACGTTCTGTACCATATTTGTTAAAGAAAGAACAATTCATATCCTTTTTACCAAGCCAAGATTTTTGCCTTTTCGTATTTTGATGTGGTATTAGTAACACAATTACCATGTTTTTGAATGAAGCTTTTGATTATGTTGAATAAACCTGTAACATCTGTCCACAGCATTCAGGACATCGCTATCTTGTTCAACCTGATCATCATTCTGCTGATGATGTTCAACACATACGTGTTCCAGGTTGGCCTGTTGTCCCTTCTGCTAGAGAGATTCAGGGCCCTGCTAATATTTTCTACTCTGTATCTGACTCTTAGCATTTGCTTGCACAGCTGGGTGATGGTAAGATTCCTCTTACTGTTATTGACAGAATGTTTAATTATTTTGCATAACTTTCAACACTCATAAACTAACACTTGATCACTTGCATGTTTTTTTCTTTTTTGTAGAACCTCAGGTGGCTTGACTCAGGCCGTTTTGTCTGGACAGATGGTCTTCAAACCCTTTTTGTTTTTCAACGAACAGGTATCTGGTGGATTACTTCACAGGTCTATTTTCTCTCACAGATTATGTTTCTGTAGCCTTGAGTGATCACTGAATGTCTTTTCTTCTTGACAGTCGCTGTGGGGTATTACTACTTATACAAACGCACAGCCGAGTATATGGGAGATCCAAGGCTGTATGAGGACTCTCTGTGGCTTCGCGAGGCCTTTGCTAGAGCCCGACAGTGAAGAGGGAATGGTTTTGAGAAAGACTTTTAAGAAACATCATCACCAGCTGAAGTAATATTGGACTGTTTTGATAAACAGATATAACAAGCAGGGTGCTGGTTTGGCAACTGGTAAAGCTCACTAACAGGTCAAGAGGGTGAGACAGTCTCGTTTGTGCTTGCTGGCTGCTAGTTGTCAGGCCGTGAGCCAGACACGTGGTTTACATTGGCAAGTTAAGTCACAGCAGTATTGTATTAATCAGGATTGGCTCTTCTAACCTTTGTGGCCTTTGTAAATCCATTTGTGTTGCAGACATGACCAAACAATGTCAAAAGCTGAAATAACTGTTGCAGATACAGGTGTTTTTTTTTGTTTTGATGTACCTTTTTGTGCAAAGTGCAGTCATGGTCTTTTATAAATGTCTTATTTTCAACTGAGAGGGAACCTGCTGTTTGTTTTGCCTCTTGTAAGATTAGTGTTGTGTTGTTTACATGACATTTTTAAAAAGCCAATTTTCATATGGACCCAGTTGTCTTTGAAGGGGGATCTTTGAATCATCCCCTCGCTGTTTTTATTAAATAATCCTTCTCTAATCCTGGTGTAATCCTTCATCACAAGAGTGAGCAGTGTTATCCAGGACACAAGGTGAAACAGACGGCTCTATTTTTAACATGGAGATTAATCAGGGATTGAGGTTTTAGGCGCCACTTGTAAAACACGCCATAAATAGTCTTCAGTGGTTTAAAATAACCTAATCTCAAGCACTGGACAGGTAAACTTGTTGTGAACTTCTGTGATGTTATTCACAAAGCTGTCGATCAACATTTATACTATTATATAAAATAAATACGAACCTGAACATCCTAAATCACAGAAATCATTCACTCTCAAAGAAAGACACCAAAAGTTTTTACAAATCCCCTTTACTTGTGAAAAGAGTCCACATGATCCCCAAATATTGTCAGTGCAGTCCAATTATATCCAGTTTGTCTTGTGTTTGATGTTTCTACTGGAATGTCTCATTCTGGAAAATCAGTCAGCCTGAACTGCAAGAAACAACAGGTGAAGACAAGTTAACAACCAAACTCTGTCAGTGATGAAAAATGAAAAACAATAAAAGTAGGTTTAAATTAATGTACCTTCATACATAGATCCCAACCCAGAGTAATAAGAACAGCACACCGAAGCCCATGAAAAGTGACGCCACCAGGGAGATCAGCAACTCTTTGTACACGTCTCGAGTGTATTTTGTTGACGTCACCTCATATCTTGTGTAATGTTAAGGACAAGCCTCACAATAAATGTTTCAGCAAAATCAAATGCCTTCCTCTGTGAAGCTATTTGGAAGTGTTTCCAGTGTGCAGTGCAGACATAATCACATTTACAGGAGCATCCCAGGAAATCATTTTGAAAAAAGCAAATATTTTAATTGTATTCGACAGATAACTCTTCCTGAATTTGTAAAGTAAAATTGAATTATTTATTTCAAGCCTTATTGTTTTGGTTTCAGTTATTATAGCTGATTACTCACGAAAATCAGGACTCTGGTATCTCAAATAACCCAGTATTTCCCAAGGTCAATGAAAAAAAAACAGATTTAAAACACATAAACTTCCTACTTCTGAAAAGTAACTTCATTTTACTCTCAGTACTTGGAGCTTTTCAACCTGGTGAATTGACTGGCAAACCAAGCACAGTAATATGGCCAGCAAACAGTTTGGCAGTGATTTTGGTGCAGTGGGCAAGCAATAAGTCCAACTTGAAAAGGAAGCTGGTATTATAGTAGAGCTGAACATCAAGTGGAATCGTGATTTGCTCTAAAATCTCCTGGTAGATGACACTGGACTTGATAAAACACAGTGAACAAACACTGGCAGACAAAGTCCAATTATCACAGACAACAAAGAGACATCATACTGGACTTCAAACACTGGGATTTTGTTCTTCTCAACTCTTCCCCCAAGCTCTAGGCCCTAGATCCCCAAATGAAATGCAACATTTATTTTCATCTTAAAACAGGACTTGGTACCATTGAGCAACAGTCCACTTCATTTGCTCCCAATCCCAGGTAGAAAGCTTTGGGCATTGCCTCTGGCTCATTAGTAGCTTGAAATTCAGTGTAAAAACTGTAGTACAATTTTTCTGAAGACAGCTGTTTGTGGTGGTTTTTGATGCACTGACACCAGCTTCAGTCCACTCTTTGTGATACTAGTCCATGTTCTTGAATTGACTTCCTGACAGTCCTCTCAATGCTGTGGTGACCTTTGTTTTTTCTGCATCTATCCATTACACTTTCCCCTTCAAATTAACTTTTCATATCCTCCTTGTGGAGGTTGCTGATGATCATCTCCAGACAACTGTCACTTGTCTCCCTAATAGTTTTGATGTAATGTTCTGAACTAGATAAAGATATTGATGGTAATAGAAATTTAATCAAACTTGAAATCAAGTATTCTACAATTCTGGGTCCTGTATCTGTACAATTTTTACGCTGTGGGATATCCAGGTAGATTTTGATATCCTGCAGTTTGGCTGCAAAAGAAGACGGACACTCGCCGAAATAGAGCAGGTTTCATAAGGACAGGAAAGACCCGATGATTGCAGTAAGTCAGTAACCTACATCTGCAGAGACCTCAACAGCTCATGGCATACAGACTCATATGACAAACTAAAGCCCTATGCTACTACTATTAACAGCTGCATTGAATTTCTTTCTGAATTTAGCCTCTGTACAGCCATTTCCACCTCCACAAAAGCAGCATTTCTCATCTTTTCTTTTAAAGTTCTGACACTCATGACAATGTAATGCTGATGTACCAAAGGAATAAGTATCTCTGTGTTTGTGAAACCTATACTGAAGTACAATTCATCTAAATGCTCCACAGCGCTGATTTTAACAACTCTCCTCCATAACAGGTAACTTGACTACTTCATTCTTACAAATTAATGGCTTTATTCTCATAAGTAATGACTTTATTCTCATGAATAATGACCTTAGTCCCGTAAGTTATGACTTTATTCTCAAACTACTCTCAAAACTTGAGAACCCTGCTTCTATGCTGATGTGAGTTCACCCTCCATAGTGTGAATACCACACAAATCTGTCTTCATGCCTTACTGCACCAGAAAACTGACAATTAAGCTTTTATGAATCCAGTTGTTCATATTTAAAGTAAAAAGATTATTTGGAGGTGAATCCACTGAACACTTTTATTCTCTTGTATGGTCCTACTGCAGGTTGCATTAGTGTTACAGTCTCCGATAATAGCCCATTTTTTATGTTTATCTCGCATCGTTAAGTGACAAGAGCCGTGAAAGGATACACGAAGAACCAGGCGGTGAAGAACATGCCGATGGCCAACAGGACGACTGTTAGATGGGGGAACACAGCCGGGTTCACCGGGCTGGTGTATCTGGTCATAGCCTCGAGTTCCTGCAGCCATAAAGAGAGACAGAGAGTGATGCAGTCAGGATAGAAAATCTTCAAAACAGGTAATTTCTTGTGAAAGATTGAACTATGATAGCATAATAACAAGAAGCACTTTATGTTTTAACCGGGCGACAGGATGAATCTTTTACATGATAGATTCCCAGCGTCTCTCTGTTAGCAAATAGCTAAACTATGAAGCTAAACAGCACAATTTCACAAACAATGGGTATTGTTTTGGTAAAAACGTGTGGAGTTTAGGTGCATTTCAGTTCTCATAATAGTTAAACTTCTATGAATGGGATAATTATTGGAAATGTTACCATTTTGACGCGAAGTGGAGCTCCTACTCTTATGGTCCAAGATGGAAAGGCCACGTACTGTCTAACACTTCCTTGTTTTACGTGACGTAGAGTGACGCTAATATTTTGCCCTGTATTCTGTCTCCTAGACTTTTATTCCTCACCGATTCCAGTAAAAAATCATATTAATTCGTTTTTTTTCAACTCACATACTTAAAATTTTATTGAAAATAATAAATAATATTATTGAATTTTTCTTACCGTCATAAACGTTTCTAAATTTCTTGTTTCGCAGTGGTGCGTAATCCTGACAGGCCACACTCAGGACACATGTAACCAACGTTGATTAGTGTTTTTTGGCTGCCATCTTGTGGTCAGTTTGAATAAGTGTACATCATAGATAGACTGTAGTGTATGACATTCAGACCACTTACTGCTGATATAAAGAAAACAATCCAAGTGAAACGTAAATTTAATCAGAAATTTATTTACTACATGCTTTCAAAGTATTACAGCATATTTTTTTGACAAAATGCCTCACAAATGTAATAATAAAATTGGCTAAAAAGTAGTGATATTAATTTTTTCATGTTATGACATTTGACTTTCAACAAATGTGGCAAAAATTACTAGTCTGTGTTTGTGTGTGTGTCTGCGTGTTTATATGCTTATCATCTTCCTGATAAAAGTTAATATATTACGGATGATACACAAGCCAACAACAAAAAAGGATCAACTATAAAAACAGTAAGATAAAACACAAAACAAAAAAAGGAGCACTGGTAACAAAAGAAGCTATACAGTTATACATAAAGCAGTTCTACCAGAGTATATGAAAACCATCTGGTGCACTGGACAGAGCAATAGTATAGCCAGTATAGTTTATACATACAGTGCAAAAAGTGCTACAGTGGTTTCATTATGCTAGCTGGTGCATTATAAATAAGCTAAAATAGTACACTCTAACCAGTGAAGTCATAAAAAGTCAAAGCATTGTACAGTTTCTTCATATTATGATAAACTCCATAAACGTTTGTCTGATGGCTGTTTTTCCTATTCAATAGTGATTTTACACTTGAGACACACTATTGCATTTTATTCTGAATGCAAACAAAGAATAAGGATTTAAACACTTAAAAACTTAGTATTACAGTAAGAGTTACTTAAGAATGCTTTGAAAATAAAAGAAAATCTCAAAGCAAATAAAGCATTTTACAAATCACTTATCTTGGAATTGTTATCACTGCATATTTTTAATTGTATAGGCACAGAAAAAAGTGATATATTCAGAGCAAATTATGTCCAGTGTATGAAATCCATCAGTATGTCAAAGATTTACATTTCTTGTCACTTGCAATCAAGGCATTAAAATGAATTTCCAGTGATGAAGCCTTTGAGTTGCCTCAGAGCTGAGATGTATCATTTAAAAGAAAAGATAAGACATGTACCTGGAATGACAAAAAACTATTTAATGCCTAACCAGCATCCAGATGGTAAAACACAGTGTAAGCTATTCCAGTGTTTCTTGAAATATTGTCAGTGTTTGACTTGCAGTTTCACCATCAGACGCGTACATTTTTCAGTGTTTCAAATTATTGTCCAGTGATTTATTTCCAGTCATAACGCATGCAATCCAGTGAATCAGCTAAAATGAGAAAGACGCAGTGGTCTTCAAATGTATGCCTTCGTTTGTGGAGCAACAATAGGGATAAAGCCCTAAGAGACAGCAGACAGTCTCTTCATGCAGTGTCCAACAAAATGCTCCACTGTAGAGGCTCAGGATCTGCCAGTGTGCAGGACTGAGGCAGTAGGAGAAGTGACCATTCACTGGGGCCTTCAGTAGAAGCCAATTATCCTCCTCCAGTGTAAAAACTACTACGAAGTGTTTTGTTTCTCAGTTAGGTTCAGTGCGCTTTAAGACTCATTTATAAGGAAGAAAAAGCACAAGTATGCAAAATGTTTTCTCCAGTATCTGAATTTGCACTTCACTAGAAAACTTGAATCCTGCGAAGTAATTACGTCTTACAGTAAGTATGAATGATATAATGACCAATAATTAAATATGTATTGAATTCAGAGTATAACTTACACAAAAAAAGTTAAGGATGACACAAAAAAGTTAAAGTGATGGAAAACATTTTCAGTGACAGAAAAACGAAGTGTTTCATATATAAATGATAACCGCAAAAGAGATGTCTAAATGCATGTACATGTAGATAGGGTCACAGTGGGGGAGGCTTGATATACTTGGTTCTGTATGTATATTTTTAAAAATAATGTACAATAATGAGACAGAATGAATTCTATCACAACAGCGTATAAATGGAACCAGTTTGGAAAATGTAAAAATGTAAAGGCACTTGAAGACACCCTCTTCTTTTTCACACACAGCTGCTCTGAATGAGAAAATGGTAGTCAGAGTACGCTGACTTTTCTCCACTGGTGGCACAACTCACTGTATCCTGTAAATGAAAAACATGGAGACAAAAAGAATTAATCAGCCATAAACTTTATCCAGACCATGTGCAAAATAACTGCATCAGACAGCAAGGAACATTAATGTCTGTCTAACTCACAGACAGGGAGACACGGAAGTGGTAGGTGATGTCCTGGAAAGACAGCACGGACACGGACCACAGATGTTGAGTCCCCTAATTAAACAGTAGAGGGGACATGAAGAAGTGTGCATGTTGAAAGAAGAAGTGACAGATGCTAGTTTCAAGAATCAAGATAGGCAGGGGTATTGATTATGCGATGGATCTATATCAGGTTCATCATGATGTACCTTTGTTGATGTACTCTGTCCATCATGGAGCTCTATCTCTGTGTGGTTGGGACATAATCGCCCTTTTGTGGCTCCGCATTGTCGTACCGTCACACTGATCTTGGACCTGCAATAAATTACGGATGCCTTTCACCCTCTTATATTTCTTAACAACTGCCAAATAGTTTCTTAAAAAGCTGCTTGAGTAATTTTTTGGGGTAAAATTTTGAGTAATGTATGTACCCTTTAAAAGACTTTAGGTGCTGAGTGAGGAGCTCAAATGATGCTATAATGCTTTACAAGTTTGTCAGTCATGTAATTAAAAGATTTCTGCTAAATTATTTCACTTCAATGTTTCAGAATTCAGCAAAGTCAAAAGTAAAAGCACATATACATGAACACAAGTCCAAATTTGAACTTAAAACAACATATTTGAGAACTGATTTGCTATGATAAGACCACAGCTGATGTTAACATTCAACCACAGCAAAGTTTAACATGATACAAAAGGTTTAAATTAGAAGGTATGACATGGTCACCACTGGTTTAACTGAGCATTATATTCAAGGAAATTATGCTTGCATATATTAAATTCCTAATATGTAGTTGTAAATGAGTATACTCACATCATGTGAAAAGTAATCTGTGAGGTGGAGGAATTTCTTTTTCCATTAAATGATACTGTGTAGCTGAATAGGAAGTAGAGAAAAACATTAATATCAGACTTGAGGACCTAAACTGAGACTTAAGAGCACAACAGGCAAAGTGACAAAATAAGGCAAAAACATGTTGGTGGCTCAGATGCTTCAAATGCTCTCATACACGACAAATTACCTTTTAGTTTAATAACTTAATATAAATTATACCTTTTACATTTGTCATCAATCTCTGCAATGTCAACTCAAGACCAGTGGTTTTATTAGGAATGTACCTGCAGCTCTCAGGTGTTGCACAACTCTGCGCTGTGATCTCTTGGTTTGTCTCCACGATTCGTAGACTAGTCAAAGAAGGAAGTGACCTTGCTCCTGAAAGCGGGAAAAGCTCATCTATAAGGACTATATCTACAGAATTCCATTGTACAGTAGATATGCTTTGTTTGCTGCAGTCAAACAAATGGCTTTATTGTGTTTGCATACTGCACAGTGTATGTATAGAGAAAGTACAGTGTCTAGGCTTGTGGATTTACCCTTTGTGTTCAGGCTACGCTGTCTGCGTGTAACTGGCTGCTGACCCACGGGTAGACGGTTGGCAGTACCCACACCATCAAGGTCTGTAGGTGCTGGTCTTTTGGACTTGGCAAAGTACAAAGGTGCTGAGGTGTGGCTCAGACGGTTTCTATTGCGGGCCTCTTTGTCCATGAGCCTGGACTTGGCCTTCTTGTTGATGGTGCTTGGTGTTGGAACCAGACTGCCTATATCTGGAAGAGGAAGATAATTAACCTGCATCACCTTCTTTTAAAAAAAAAAAATCTCTCTCTTTCTCTTTCACTCTCTCTCTCACCTGGTGTGGACTGGTTGTTACTCAGCATCAAAACTGTTGCTGATTGGTTGTTGATGGCTGTGGGTGAGCAGCAAGCTGAAGGATTGAGAGGAAATGATTAGATCAAACCTGTTGGTGTGTGTGCTCTGTATAACCACGAAATTAGTTTGCTGGTCAGTCACTTAGTTAGAGTCCCTATTTACCTGGAGGAGGGGTGGTGGTCGTTGGAGTGTATTGACTCTTGCGTGAGGCCCCCAGTGCAGCTCTAGACCTGCACAAAACAGGACAGAAGGCCAAGAGCATGCTTTACTTAAACAACGACACACTACGACTAGTGATATTTGGATTTACATGATGGAACTCACAACCCAACACTAAGCAATCAAAGAAGAACTGAAGGGCAGAATGAAGACTGAAAAAGCAACAGGAAAGGCAGCTGTGCAAAGCCTACCATGGGCAGACAGGTGGACAGAAAGTGACAGTGGCGGTGAAGATGGGCATCCAAGAGATGTAGAGTACACAGGAAGGAAAGTAGCTACAGAGGACAGGAATAGATCACAAAGAAAGACATTCATATAGAAGAAGTAAATTGATTTCTGTCACTACAGAGTTGAAGGGTCGATCCCTCCGGGGTACATACCCATCCTTCTCTGTGACGTCTCCTCTGTGATGAAGAGTCAACACATACAGGACTGACATGGAAATGACGCTACAGAGGAGAGAAAAAAAAAACACATCGTCATCATGTCGCTGTTGGACTCAGATGAAGCTGATTGTTTCGTTTTACCCTCCCACCCCTGCCCAAACACATTTGGCTCAGTCGAACCTGAAGGCCATGACAACAACCAGCGCCAGGATGGCTCCCTGCATGAACTTCTGGCTGATGCAGCCTTGATCTGGAAGCAAATTCTACAAGACAAAAATCCAAATCAACAGATTTATAGTTGTCCATCTTACTGTTAACTCATCAAACATTTTAAAATAACATTTTAAAATAAATGCATCTTTATGACCACACACCTTGCTTCCAGGTTTGGCTGTCTTCTTCTTAAGTGGGCCGCTCCCTGTTCTGCTAAAATAGCTCCCTGATTGGCTAAAGGTGCAAAAACAAGGTATGATTTTACCACACAAGATGTTTCTTCTCTGAAGCTCTAATTTCAATCCATTTCTACTAGTTTCTCTCACCTGATGGTGCCGCCACTCACTGTGCTCTTCATGCTGTCCAGACGACGCAGCTTGGCCAGTTTGCGGCTCCAACGCTCCAGTTCATCTATTCTGGTCTCCAAGTTGTCTGTAAGCTTACAAAGCTCCTTCACCGCTCCAACATTCTCCATGAAGATGCGATCCTTTGAAAGTAGAGTGAAGGCTGTTGGTATGTTCAGTGATGTCTGTCTGTGCTGTGTGCTCATGTTTGTGTAGTACCTTGTTGACAACTAACAGGTTGGGAATAGTCTCTCCATTGGCACACACCACATCGCCCCCTTCCTTCACTGCTTCGGGTAAGATTTGCTGAACTTCTTGAGCAATCACTCCTACAGGAGGACAGAAGAAGTGCTGGCTAAGAAATGGTTGCAGAAATATGGCGTTCATGGATTCAAGACACACTTGCATAAAAATGCACAAACAGCAAAAGACATAAAAAAAACTCATTAAGACATAAAACATGATTCACAGTGATCAAAGACATGGTTTGATGGAGATGGTTATTTGTGAGGTTACCAGTCTCAGCAGTGTTCTCTATGCCCACGGTGGCAGCAAACTCAGGCTTGTATTGATAATGGACCAGCCTCATCTGAGAAATCCTTTTCAAATTGTCTGTGGTGTCGACCTACACACAGACAGGATGACATCCATGCAGATGACATGAAAACACAATGTCTATGTTGCAGAAGAAATGTTCGGCTTAAGTACAACGAGGAGACAAAACTTAAAGTGAAAGTGCACAGTCAGCTGTGCTGAGCGTGAGCACTTTGGATGACGTGATTCATGATGACAGGCACATGAGGCACACAGTGACACACACTGACAGTTTGGAAACACGCTTGCAAAAGCACACACACAGTCCAACATAGAAATACACTGGGTGTCATTCTGACCTCCTGGACATTTTCTTTGGCCCTGATATCCGAGGGGTGAACCAGGGAGCCCATGACCTTCACATTGCCATGGACTACCAGAGCCTCATCCGGTCGGTCTGTGTTGATGCCGACTCTCCCGTGGTGGTAGACTGAGTCTGGCAGTTGGCCCCGCTGCCACAGCACCTCATTGTCACTTTCAAACTGGCCGGGATTTGATGCCTGTAACAGAGAAATGGAGAAGAAGGTGCACAGACACCGAGGATTCAGATATTTCTGTAAGATATACTGTACCAAACATGATCAAACAATTTATTAAAAGGTCCCTTTGACATTTTTGGAAAATATGCTTATTTGCTTTCTCACAGAGGGCAAGATAGAAGGACTGACATACTGCTATGAGCTGCCTTGTGGACAAATCTGTGGACATGACTCCAGCCACACTTTGTTGCACTGTTGTTGTTTTTTTGAGTTAACTTTAAACAGATTCTGCTGTTTTTAGACAGTTTGTAGCTCCTGTTTCCATTCTTTTATTCCAAGATAAACTAGTCGGGCCAACATACTGTATATAGTGAACAGATGCAAGGTACAAAAGCAAATTGCCATATTTTCAAAAATGTTGAATAAATCTCAAAACACAAGAAAGAAAATTAAACGATCCACTTAACACAACACAGTTTAATTAGCCTTTATTTAAATCAATCAATTAAAAAAACTATTAACTTAATTTTGGTATCCTGTTAGTGCACTGGTGGAAACAAGTGAATGGTTGTTTGTGATTGTATAATAAATATTATTTTTAGTTTCAAAAATATGTGTTGAGGAAATTTTTTCATTCTTCAGAAAAATAATTTCTCCAACACACACTGACTCATCTAAGAAAGAAAACCACTGAAACAGAGCTGAAAGCAATGACGTCTTAACCATTAAAACGTCAATGTTTTAAAGACACATGAGTTGTAACTTTATGTTTGAGTTATAGTTTAAACTTGGAGTATAGCTCGATTGTGGGTGGAGTAGTGCAGAGGTCACAGACAAAGAGAAAAAGAAAAACAGACGCCAAGAAGATGTTGGCATTTGGGTTTTTTCTTTTTTTTGTTGTTCTTTTTACAGAATTTAGAAAGTTTTGAACAGAGGACCAAAACTGGGGGTGCAACATTCACACAGGGATATGATTGTTGTAGGAGGCAGACAGACATGGCCAGACGTTACCCTGACGATGATCCTCTCGGACACGTGAGCAGCCACAGTGTAGCTCTGACTGTGGGACTGAGCGTGCAGCGCCACCACCAGCATAAAATACCTGAAAGGATGAACACAACTGTAGCTTCGTTTGCATTAAAGTAAATTGTATTTTTATATATGATAGAAAAACTCTCACCTCTGGTCTGGGTTTGGTTTGCCTTTCTTCCTCATATTGTTTGCTGTGGTCTCACTGAAGTGGAGCCGCCCCACTGTCACCTTAGTGACCTGCTCTGAAGGCAGGGTGACCCTAGGGGACATGAAATCACAAAGACATTATTTATATAGACAAACGTAATAAAAAAAATGTCTTTATTTATTATTGTGGGGCTTGTATTTAACAATAAAGATAGAAGAATAAAATCTATAAACTGCACAATACACGGTCATAGTCTCAGTGACATCACCCATTGGTTTCTGAAGAGCTGTCATAATGCCAAGCAATGGCAGTCAGCTTATTTGAAATGCTGACCAAACCTCACTTTTGATCTACCTACATAGTCAAAGGGGTAAAGATGGAGTGAGCCATAAAAGCAGGAAGTCGTTAACATCAGAAAAAACTGTGAACATTTCCTTTAAAATGACTTACAGCACTGGCTTGAAGGGCCTCTTGCTGCGGTCGGACTGTGACTGCTCCACACTGATGGACTGATTCATGGCCTCCACCTAGAAACACACACACAGATGAAATAACACAAAACACTGTTGACTGTCTGAAAAGCTGATATACTTCTTATTCAGTTTCTTACTCACCTTCACTCCGTTGAGTTTAAGATAGAAGCAGTCAATATTCTGAAGACCTTCATTTGTCTTTATGTACTTGGGATCTCCCAGCATGCCGACGTACACTGTGACCTGGAAGTGGTTCTTCTTCTGGCAAACAAAAGCGTCATCAGCCAGGGAGAAGTTGAAGCCCTTGTCTGCGTCGACCCGGTAGGTTGGTGTTGGACTAAAGACAGCAAAAATCATTACAAAGTGTGAATTGTTTGAACAGGAATTGTTGTACATTTGTTGTGCAAAAAAAGAAGGAAGTCTTGCTATTTTACCACCAGGGGGAGACTCTTTATCAGACACACTAACAAAGGGCAACCCACAGAAAGATGCACAAACAAATAAAACGTGTTTATTTTTTAAATCCAGGAGAGAAATTGAACTCCTATAAGGGGGTTAGGGTTCTTCTCTTCACAGTTTTGTGTCATGACGTCAACACTGGGAATTAAGATCTTCTGAAAAATGTTATGAACATCGTTTTAAGTACTAAAAGTCATCTGTGTTACATAGGTGTAGTGCTCTAAAAGTTATAATGAGTGACCAGGTGGTTTTGATAACATATCTTAAAGGTCTTTTGAGTTCGTTTTAGCTTTCCTCCCTTTTTATTACTCTTTCTATTTAGACATTGCAAAAGCACAAGTAGATATACACAGATTTTTCCCTTTACCCTCTCTTCAAGTTGTCTTTCTAAGCCGAAACCACGTACTTGTTCACTCCCCCACACAGCTCACCTCTGAGGAATTCGTAGACCTCTGCTGCCCTGCCATTTTTCTGCCACTCCTGCTGTACACTTTGAATTATTCACTCAACCAATTATAAGTTTTTTTTTTTCTTTTTTGGCTCTCTGGAGATTAGAGTGCCTTAACCTCCCTGCAGAAGACAGCAAAACGAACAGATATGCCAAAGCGAATTCAACCCACAGCTCTTTGCAGTTTGCGTCATAGAGTTGCGTCCACTTGTTCTGCTGGTGAGGCTGCCACTTGATGCACTGATAGTTCGGGTCCAGGTAGGAGTTATCGGCATCTTGCATCAAACCTGCCACAAACAAAATATCAGCACTTAAAGCTTAATAGAGGAAAGTTCAGAATGTTTGCAGCTATTCTTTGAGGTCTTTATCTGTGTGAGAGTTAGAGGAGAAGTGAGAGCTGGTGAACGTGAGGTAGAGGAGGCGAGGAAGAGAAGAAAGATGCCTGCCTACCTGGTTCTTGTTTGATGATACCTGTGAGGATTTGGGAATTGAGGGTGCTGTTGGGTGAGTCTGAGTGCTTCCTCTTCTTGGCCTGGTGGACAGGGATGCTGCTGTGGGGAGGGAAATGGGAAAAAGTCATTAACTATACTTATAAATACTCCTTTCACATGACTGTTTTGTGATTCATTTTGGGAGCACCATATAAATAAAGTTTAGCTGTGGGTAAATGTAGGCTTAACATGACTCACTCCTGTCCCTGAGGATGTTGCAGCAGCTGGTGAAGCATCTGTGTCTGCTGCATGTCTCCTCCACCACTTGTGGCTGGACCGATGGGATACTGGGATATCATAGGCTCAGGCTTCAGGTACATGTCTCGATGCATGCTGGGATAGTGCCCATGGGGAGGGAGTGGTGGAGTTGGAGTCATGTGACACATGTTCTCTGGTGTCATTGTCCTGATCATGTGAGGATCTAGAAGACAGAAGGATAATGTCTAGATTTCTCCTCATTAAGATGTTAACTCTGTAATTCAGACTGATTTTTTCCTTCTTTCATCCTATTGAGGCCAAATACAATAAATGTTCTATTGATTCAATCTGCAGGAATGCGTTTCTGATAACATCATTCCACAGCTTTTTATTTCTCTGAAACAACACAGGTGTGCGAGCAGCAAGAACAAGCTGTCCGGCCTCTCTTTAATGTGAACTTGCAGTAAAGTGAGTGTTTGTGAACGCACGTCATAATAGTATGTAAAGCTTCAAAACATTTGGGGTGTTCAAAAACACTCCCTGATTAATAAATGACAGAAACCAGCTAGAGTCAATATATTGATTGGTTTGCACACAAGGCCTATTGTCTTTCTCTTTGTGATCTGTTCAATAAAAATGAACTCATGATTAACAGATATCGACTTCAGCACAGAGAAAATGGTGATCCACACACAGCTTGAACACCTCAGAGATTTCCTGACTCAGTTTTAAATGAGGTCGACAGATAAAAGCATATTTTGTGCTCTTTAAAGAATTATTTCCCCACAGAGACAAGAAACAGATGTATCACTTACCATTCACCTGTTGAGGAGAGTACGGCTCTGAGCTGGAGTCTGGGGGCGACTCGGGTAGTGTCCTAAAAACAGACGGAAGAAGAAGTTTGGATTACAAACCAGAATCAGGATTCAATAACAATATGTTTACAATGTGTTTGGTTTTGGTGCTAACCACAAATAATAAAAACTAATACTATGACTTTTATGTGTAAAATTAGTTACAGTCAGTTTAAGCAAACACAGTCATAGTTTACTGTCAAAAGGAGCATCCTTGGCATTTCAAGGCTTTTTTTGGTGAATTTCAATGTCACATTTTTTTGGAGTTTTATTTCCCATTTTGCAGAGTGTTGACCTTCAGTGAAAGGACCCTACATATGTATCTTGACTCTTTCTTTCTCTGTCTACCATCAGTCTCACCCCTCTTTTTACAAGCTGGTGCTTACTTTACATGATACGCATGAAGCAGGGTGAGTGTCCACTTTTGTCATGTACTCTAAAAAAATTACAGCACCAACATGCTGCCTCTTCTACCTGACAGAATTTAAGTTCCAGAAGAATCTTGACAAGTTTTTATCACTCTTCATAACAAAAATATGTTAAGCAGTTATGCTGCGTTCAAGTTACCTCAGAAGTCAGATGTCGGAGCTGAAAATGACGTCACACCCAAATTACCAGCGTTTCAGTTACCAGGTCGGAAAAAAGCAAAATTGGAGGAGGAAACAAAATGGCATTTGTTCTGATTGGTCATTACCTAGCAACAGTTCATGGCAACAGTCTGTTATATCTTGATAGCAGAGTGTTATGCTGAGGCTGCAGCCCTGATTACAGCAAAAATTCACATCAAAGTGCAGACAGGAGTTCAGGTGAGAACCAAGGACAGAGACTAAAACAGCTGAAGAAATATTACAACAGAGAAAACTTCTAAGTTGAAAATGCAGCATTATGTAAACAGCTGGAAACAGTATGGAATAGGAGGTTTAAGGACTGATACATGGAAAAGGTCCCTTCACGTCCTGTTGTGGTCCTGTTAACCCTCTCAGGGTTACAATCTGCTATCACAACCTACTAACTACACAGTATCCCTCACTAGGTTTTAACTCATGCATGTATGTTTTCTTTTCTTGCACCTTTATCCATCACTCTCTGAGATTATGTGCTCACCCTGGAGCGTAGTGGCCCCTGTGCTCAGGCTTGACGTGAACCTGCTGTTGTTGTTGCTGTTGCTGCTGCTGCTGCTGCCCCAAGCAGGGGTAGCTGTGTCGGAGGCCCAGGGATGGACCCGGTTGGTAGGCGTTCTGACAGTTAGGGGGCCCAGGCAGAGGGGCTCCTTGGCGTAGTGGGATAGGGGGGCTCACGCCACACACCAATCCCCCAGCTGAGGACACTCCTGCCTGGGGAGATGAATAATTTGGTCCTGGAGTGCTGTGGACCTCTGAGAAACAGCTGGAAGAAGGAAGAGGAAGACGAAGAAGAAGAAAAAGAGGGATTAGTCTTATCAGAAAAAAACAAATTCCTTTGTAACGACATGATCTGATTGGCTTGGTGCATGTTGTTTTGACGGTGGAGGGTCGATTTGGAGTCCCTACTGACATGTCAGTGCTATCGTCCTCCTTGCTGATGTACTCTTCCAGGATACTGGTGTCGATGTTGGCTGGCTCCAGAGAGCTGGTAATATCATGACCTGCGGAGAAGGGAGGGTCGGGAACACGGGGGAGATGGAGAGCATCTGGGGATTAGCAAAGGGAATCTTTCAGCAACTCCACATGCTGCCACAACAGCTCCACTTCCAACACAAGCTTATGTTGTAACAACTCCCCGGGAGACTTATCTAATGGCATATGATCAACTCAGCTCAGGCTTTTCTACATACTCAGAAGAAGTTGATCGAATCATATAAATAAATCATCAAAAAATGACATAATGTTATTTTAACGCTCACGCAAAACAAGGTTGCATGAGTGACCAACTGTCTAAATATGTGTTAGTAATGGACATTACAGATCACATACTGGTGATTCACTCCCTCTGGGTCTTTGCACATTTAACTTAAATCCTTCCAATTTAAGGTTACCAAGCTTTTCCATGAAGATATCTGAGATTAAAAGTACGCCTCCTATGATTTTATATAAAGATGCAGTCAATTATTTCAGTAATTTCATAATTCCCTAATGATCCTTTTACTTCACCTCAGGGTCATTTTCACCCTTTGATAGCCAAAGCTTCACAAATCCCAAACACATGACCCCACTTAATCTTTAAAACACCAACAAGTACGCATACATTTAGTAAGAGTTAATCACTTTATATAAACTAGGACGTCCTATTGCACACGGAGTATCAAAAGAGAAGAGTAACACGAGGAAAAGTGACAATTTTATCTTTGAACCTGCGCGTTGTTGTCCAAAAATCTGAAAGAGAATGAGGGAGCAGGACAGAGGGGGTGAGGCAGGGGGTTAGGACCTGGTATAGAATGGGTGGGCAGGCAACCCCAGTCTATCTCTCTCTGTTTCACACACGCACACATATACACACATGAGCACACACATATACAAACGAGCACACACACATTTTCTCCGATAGATTAAGCAGCTACTCAGTCGGGAATGCGAGGAATTTTTGTGTTACCATTGGGAAAAAAAATCTCCTTTTCCCCCCTTTTTGGTCTTTTACTTGTTTTACTCATTAACAAAAACCCAAAGAAATATCACTAATGAGTAACATAACCATGAGTGATATCACTTATTGTCACAGTTTTTCCCTGAGTCCAATTAAAAACCATTTAAAGGTCCATAGCATCTTATAATAGATAAAACTTGTTTCTGAGACCAAAGGGCAAAGTCAGGAGTAAACATCAGCATCCCTAACCTCAATCTCTAGATATACAAACCAAACTGCTTGTCTTCAGAGCCAACTCAAAAACAAACTACATGCTGTTGTCTGACATCCTTAATTCTGATTTAACCATGAAACTTGCTTTTTCTCCACAGATTGGCTTTCCCTGTTATATAGAAACAGATGGATTACGTCTCCTAATACATGCCAGTGTGAGAGGAGACAAGCAAGATGGTTCCCCTGAAATACGTTCCAGATGTGCACCCCACCCAAAGAGGCAGTAAATTTATGCTGGCAGGCCTGATAACAAAAAGTAAAGAGGGTAGGGGTGGATGGATGGAAGGTGAGGAGGAAGGGGGAAGGCTAAAAAAAAAAAAAAAAAACACAAGTTTGATGTCCAATAATGGAAATGGAAAAATGGAGTGGTCTAGAGGTTTTTGTATTCAAGAGAACAAGCAGGGTTGAAAATGAAGAACACGTTTAAAACCATGTTTTACCCAATCATTGTTTGTCCTATAAGTTATTGTTTTCAATCTATTTTCAACTTTTTCACAAATGTGCCACCTTTAGTTGAACCATAGGCATAAACTAAATCTCTGACTATTCAAGAAAAAGCTATAGGTCTTCTTGGAAATGATAAGGCTATCACATGGGGTCTCAGGGTGCATTTGTAATTTAGGATTTTTGCCAATGTAAATACATTAAGTTAACTTTACATGCACAACATTTAACAGTACTTTAAAAGATATGTAAAATATTTTACTGATCTACTGTAAGAGAGTTTATGTCCAACTGCTAAATGGAGAAAATGTAAAAAGAAAATTAAAAAGAAATCTATCAAAAGTGAACCTTTAAGTTAATATGCTAACCACTAATTCCTATTTGTATAACCCATAGCAACAGAGTAACTTTTTACACATAGCCACTACTTTTTGAACCACCTGCAAAGTAAAAAAAAACAGTAACAACAAACTTATCTATCAGACTCTTAATGGGACCTAGTTAAAAAAGTTAAAGCCCAACAAAGCTAAGACCTCAATGTTTCTTATACTGATCAGAGAAGAGTTATTGGAAACCCAGTCCTTTACTGTCCTTAGATAACAGATACATAGAGAGACTTTAAACTCCAAATCACTGAATGAGTTTAAATCAGTAAATCGCTGTGAACTGGATGTGTACATTTCTCCGCTTCAATGTTTGTCTCTGTCCAGCTGTGTTCAACTAAGAACAGTGAAATGATTGTCAGTCCAACTTCGATACAGACTGGTCTTTTCAGAGATTAGGGCCTGAAAGGGGAGTGTGTGTGTATGTGTGAGCATACTCGTGTGTGTGTGTGTGTGTGTGTGTGCGTGTTTGTGTGTGTGTGTGTGTTATACCACCATTTCAATGCCTGGTTTGTCAGCAGAGTAATAATCTAAAATGAACACAAACAGAGAGCTGAGTGTGTGAGTGCCAATTAAACATAGTTTGACTTATATCAGTCAATCCAATGGACAGCTTTTCCTTTTCTTGACACCTTTTTCAATCACACAGAAGAACACAATGTAATTTTCTTCATTACGAGGAGCTGGATCTATCGTGGAAGCCATGGCCCTGTGAACACGTACTTTGGAGGAGCGTAAAAAAATGTGAAGGAACAAATTTCTTCCATCTCAGGTTTGTATGTACACATGAGTCTGTGTTTATGATTTAACGCTTTTGGACGAGAAACTAAGTCCATCAGACGGTAAGAGAATGAAATTTGCACACATATGCACACATACTGTATTATACCTAGAAAAGTAAACATTTCTGATATGTTGAATTCAAATAAAACACGTAAATGAATAATTACAAATAGATTCCCAATAAAGATTTAAGTTTAACTATTTACGTAACAAGTTAGTGTTCACTGACGATCAACAGGGTGCCATTCATTCCATCAATTCAAGCACTTTTAGAGATCACTTTTAATCATAATAAACCTTAATCGTAGATGTTCTCCATTCATCTGCTTTTCTCAGAAGTTCCCACTGACACAGTGTCAGAATTTTAACATCACAACCGCACACAGCCGTAAAAAATCTCTATCCATCCATCTAAAGTGTTAAACAGCTCTGACAAGTAGAAAGAGTTTAATAGATGTTCTACTGTTTCTACAGACAGGATTATCACTAGTAAAGAAAATGCAAAGCATCGCCACAACACAGGCTTAAATTAAGAGATGAAGGATCCTCACAGGGAGCAATAAATCTAAAGAGGAGCAGTGTGGACAGAGCGACAGAGTACCTGCACGTAGCCAAAGCATGTTGATGTCCTTGAGATGAAAGCACCTGAAACAGAAGACGAGAAGGCAAATTCCTCTCTATTTTTTACATGTTTCCCGACACGAGCTAAAAGACTTTCTTCTGCAGACCTGAGAGTCCCAGACGAGGGTGATGTGTGTGTATGGTGTGTGTGTTAGCGTGCATATTGCATTAGTGTGTGTGAGAAAGGCTGGGAGAGAGTTATAATAAGGATTATTCCCCTAGTCATGAGAAAGGGCTGTACCAGGCTACCACACACAGAACTTGTCGCATACAAGCACTGGCCGCACCGGTGGACCTGGCTCAGGAGATTACAGGAGTGACAAGGCTGGGTCTGGGACACAGAGTGAGATAGAAAAAGAGTTTTAACAACAGACATGGTGAGAGAGAAAGAGAAACTGAGAGGACGAGAAAGAAGAGGATGGTAAAAGAGGCAGGACAAGGACAGAAGGGTTTATAAAAGGAAAATAGAACAACATGGAAGAATAAGGAGGCAGAATCAGTGGTTTCCCTAAAGAGCTCTTAAATATCATGACCAAGAACATGCTCATAAAAGTGTTTTTTTGTTTTTACATAGAGCTTCTCTAATCACCTCTCTTTGATGCTTATAAGGAACTCACGATACAGACAGCCAAGCCATAACGCCTCAGTACTGCACTCTACGTTTGACTCTTTCGTAACAGCTTTACTTTTCATCATTACACACATAAGATCAGAAAAAAATGTGAATTCATCTCAACCACAAACAACATTCACCCGCTGAGGATTATTCTGCTGGCAGTCAGCGCTGATGGGAGTGAGGCACAACAATGAAAAATAAAACCTACTCGTAAGAGCTGTAAGCCTGGCTGCTCAAAAACAATACATTCCTCTAACTGCAGTTCACGGCTAAACCTGTAAATCAGATGAAACGTCCAACCTGTTTCACCCAGATTTTCCAAGATGGATGACAGCCGTGATTTACAACTACAGGGGGAGTCTGGGGGGACTTATTACAAATTTTGATATGGTTACATGGAAAGTGATGTTTGTTCTTCATGGCAGTATGACAGAGGAATGTGATTACTTCACCCAAGAGGTTGAGTTTCAGGCAGATAAAATTAAAACATATCTTCCTCATAATATGGATCTAATCCAATTGAAGAGTATTCAGCCACATTGGCAGCATGTAGAAAAGAAAACTGTCAGATGAAGCTTTGATTTTGGTTAGATTTAGACAGAAAACTCTTATCCTGTGGCTGGTTTGGAACAAAAAAGAAATTAACCATTATTTGGTTTCCAGATCACAAATGAACAAAAATTACCCATACCCAATAATAGTCAACCAAGAATGAACCATGCCAGTCTTGTGATGTATTTTCTGATACTTTGTACCACCATCAGGTCAACTGTGTTTGTGAACTTGTACCAAACATAACGCATCTAACAACCCTGATAAGTGTCAGTCTCTTTCTTCTTGCTAAATTAGCCAACATTATCATGATCACATGCTTAGCTAAGAGAGAGAAACTGATAAGCAGATCTCAAATTCAACTTACTCGATTTATCAACCATTAGACTTAAGGGGTTTCAACTCTATCAAAGTAAATCAACTGTCTGGCTACAATGCCAAAAGTACATTTCCAGCTTCTTCACGTTGAAATTTTCCTATGACTTTAATGTCGTTGGGTTGGTTTAATGTTGGATAGTAGGACAAAACAACACATTTAAAGGTATCTCTCAAGGAAATAGTGCTGTGCCACAGTTAGTGAGGGCAATGACTAACCCAGGTTTGGAAATGTACAAAAACTTAGCTCATCTTTTTCCTTTAAAAATAGATGAGCTGTAGTTGCCAGCTGTTAGGTGACTCAGAAGATATTACAAGAAGCAACACAACATCAAGAAAAAATGTTGTCATGATCCTTTACAGGCTCCAATATGGCTGTTTGGGTGTGAGACTAAATGTTTGTTGTTGGGTGAATCTGAGAGGAGAAGGTCAAGTTTTGTGTGTGTGTGTGTGTGTGTGTGTGTGTGTGTGTGTGTGTGTGTGTGTGTGTGTGTGTGTGTGTGTGTGTGTGTGTGTGTGGGGGGGGGGGGGGTGGCCGTCTCCTCTCAACAGCCTTGTCTCTCCACCCTGAGTCTGCACAATCTCACCTCCTCACCCGGTCTGCTCACTCTCACTCTAATGGAGTCAGAGAGATGGAGAGGCAGGAGAAGACCAAATACTTCAGAGAAACACCAGTCTCACCTCATTGTGTTTTAACGGCTGACACGTCTATGCCAGGAATGTACACTGTGCATTAGTCTGGATGTATACATATTCCACTAATCCGATTAAAACACTACCAGTGACAAAATCCATTAAGGCGCTATTTTAGTGTCAGTGCTTCTGTGTGAGCGTTCTTTTCAAATAAAGGATGAACTGAACAGAAACACTCATTAAAGGCTTTCAGTGTTATTTCTTGTTCTTAATGGGGGCTGATTGCCTTAACATTTAAGTGAGTGAAACAAAAGAAAGGGGACTTATGATATCACTATGATGAGATTTATGAGCAGACTCAATAGGAAAACACACATTTCAGGCAGCACCTACTGTAAACCTCTCACAGAAGAGTTGACATTTTAGTCCAAGCAAAAGTGGCTGAAATAAAGCCAAAGAAAGAACATCTCTAGTACTCCCCAAGCAAGAATGTAAACACACTAAATTCCTGTCAGAATGGCAAGGAGCCTTCGACAGTCATTGATGGCTGTGTATATTTAAGTCAACACTGTGTGTGTGTGTACACTTTGATCAAGTATGAAGTCTTTCCACTGATGACTCAATACACATTAGCAGCTGTGTGTGTTTTGTGTGCAGTTGACAACTCCAAGAAAAATTGATTAAAAAGGTCTTTAAAAAAAGAATTCTTTTGCTGTAAATCAGTGAAAACCCATCATGTGTGGCGTCTATATTCTCAAATTGTGCCAGATTTAAACGTAGGTCTAGAAGTGAATACACAACTCAGATGTATGCAGTATAGGGATGACAAAAACTGTTTGTATACATACTTCATAGACAAAAACCTTGAAATATCGTTGTCATCTATTGAAGCTGTAGTTGAATTATCGCTTTAATGCGCTGATTTTGGTTCCGCTTGTGGTTGTCTTCCATGATGATACCACACTAATTCACAGTCAAAATCACAGTGCTGTCTCCAACACACAAAGTGCCCCTGCCCTCTTGCAAAACACACCATTTATCTTGACTTAAATTCCTGCAGCCTTCCAACCCTCAACCCCAACCTCCTCCACCTCAACTTTTTTTTTCTTTTTTTCAGAAGTCCCCGTTAAACTTGATCTGTTACCCATCAGCAGCACTTTTGCTCCCCACGCCCGTGAACCCCTTGGACTTGTTTTTGTCTTTGGGTTTTTTAGATAATGGGAAAAACTTGGTGTACGCTTTAAGACTTTTTGGAAACACTCACCCAATATCAAAAGTTCTCTGAGATGTTTTAATGTGATGGTCTCCACCTGTCACATGTGGTGCATCACAGTCAGTCATACTGAGGCTAAACTATACTAGACCAAACTTTATAAACACATTTAGTTTCGCTTTCCTAACCGAAATGTATCTATAAGACGTGCCAAAATGGTTTAAAAGAATTAACATCTTGTACAACATTCACATTGTTTTATTTATGAACTGTATAAAAGTCTTACCTTCAAAAAACCTCTGTAACGCTTCTGTTTCATCTACCACGTCCATCCTAGCGGGTCCCACATAAAAAATCCATGAAAGTCTCCCCTTGTCCGAACAAAAGTGATTCGGATCGGGGAAACTTTCACATGTGCATCACGGAATCCTGATGATACTCCTCAGGAACTTTTTCTTCTACGTTTACTTTAACATAAATCCATTTCAACAAACGGAGACTTAATACTCCCGTTTAACAACTTGACACTGGATTGACGTCCCTCACCGCTGACGCTGCGTAATGTGGGCTATAACTTTGGATTAAGGTGCCAAAAAGTATCCAAACGGAGACAGCGTGGACGAATCTCCTTTCAGGTGCGCCGTCACGCCAGCCTCCACGAGATTCATTGTAAGCTTTTTAGCTTACTTTCGGTAAAAAAAAAAGAAGTTGTTACTCTGTCTTAAAGCGGAAGAATACTCGGGGAAATATAAGTCTTTCCGCGCTTTAAGACATGCGTAAAAGTTGGCTAACTTTGCTTCCCAGTCGTCTGGTGTTCCTCCTCGTCTCTCTTCGCCTCTCTGACAGGATGTGAGCAGAGGGTTGGAGGAGAGGAGCTGCTGCAGGTGAGGGATGTACGACACTAAAACTGTTGATGCGAGGACACATTTTTCTGATTTACTCGACATAAAGTTTACGTTTTACTTTATTTTCACCGATGTCCTTTAACATCATGATATTCTGATGATCATTTTAATCCTTATTCAATCATCAGCAGTGGATTTCTGCTGGCTCTCTCAAGCCGATTAAAAATTACTTTTGGGAACTTTTAGTTTTGTTTTAGATCCCTTTAAAATATTCACAATGTCTGTATAGATTCTAAATCTTTGGGACTGGGGCTTGTTAAAGGATGAATTAAGCAATTTGAGTTGCATTAAGCCAAAAGACAGATGTGATGAACATTGTACCCACTTTTTACACTATAAAGGACAGATCATATTGTGTTCTTGTACTAAAACTGTATGCTGCACCCTTCAGCCAATGGTGTGTGTTTTTTCTCGAAAAAGCTCAACATTGTTAAATTTATCTCTCATTCCCTCCTTTCTATCCTGTATGTGATATACGGCCCACATTCCCACCCCTAAAGAGGATTCCCTTTTCTGTTTAAACCTCATATCACTCTTTAGGCCTTTGTCTATCGAAGAGAAATGGTGTATTTGTGAAAAATGTAAGCTTTCTGACTTTTCAGGGTTAATAAAATATGAAGTGAACACTGCTTAAATTTAATAAAAACACTTCAATCAAAATTACTTGAGGATATCTGCATTTCAACTCATTCGATATAATGTCACAATGTGCTGGCAAGTTCAGTTTTAACGTCCCTCAGTTCATTCTCTCATAGATTTTACAAAGATTTTCCTCGATGCAGCAGCGTTAAACATTCGGGGAACTTTATCTGTGTGTTTTAATGACTTGTGTTCGATTCCTCCAGTTTTAACGACTGTACAGTAACAGGCATGTTTTGTGTCAAAGCTTCCTAAGGGGAGGATTTGAGGGAATGATCCATTTCTCTAAACCTTATCAGCTGCAACCCACCCCCCCTTATAACAATGCCACTGTGTGCAGCCCCCCCAGCCTTGACGCCCATCCTACCCCCCCCATCCACCACCCCCTCACCCACATGTGAGATGCTGTTGTGTTGTCTTGTTCCCCCACAGCTGGAGCATCTCCCTCTCCACCCCTCCACCCCTCTGCTTTTCCTCTATTCAACCCAAACAACACCTCCGTTCTTTCAGCCACACTATGCAGATTGTTTCAGAGGACAAGCAAGAAAGAGAAACAGATAGAGGCTGCAGGGGACAATGAAACAGCTGGCTGAGCCAAAGCAGTTCATTTTGGTTTTCTATATTTCTTATCTCATGTAGCTCTCTAACTGCATGTGTGTGGATATGTATATGAGCATGTTGGCCACTTGTAATGCCTGTTGTGTAAATATATACTCTATTAAATAAGTCATAATATTCATACTAAGTTTAAGGATTATGTTGAGGGGAAGGGTTAAGGTGAGGTGTCGGTTTAGAGCAAGTTTTCAGAGTTAAGTCAACAATATCCTTCTCCGAATCAACAAAAATAGGTTTGTGGATATAATGCTGAAGTTTTCTAAATATACCTAATACATAACATAGAGAAGCCTCCAGCACATTGTTTTTGTGCCATCAGGAATCCTGGGCCTCCTGAGAAGATATAACACTGGACCCTGCCAACACAGCTGAATTACTGTAACACTCTATGCCTTTATGACCTATTTGAAGCTATAAAGGACTAAAACTTTGTATAACTCTGAAAAGCAAGAGAAACTGCATGGTGTTTGTCGACAATATCTGAAATGTTATAATCTAATTGAATTCACACACAAAATATTTCACACAAACATATGTACAGGGAGGTGTGGAGAAAGAACTATATCTATAAAGTCTAAATCTATAACACTGTCCTGTTCAGATTACATGTATTCAGAGTAATTTTCCTCTATGTGATAGGATTCTGTGTAATTTCCAAGATACTCTAATCTATGCTATCAGATTTCTTTATCAAAGTCCTGAGATTACAAGTAATCAAATTTTGTTTTTTTAAGACTCAGATGAAATGTTATAAAATAATTTTTTCCAGAGTAATCAAATAATGTATGTTCGGATTATTCTACTACAAGTAATCAGATAACATCACCAGATTAGCTAGTAACCAGATCATATGTAATCTGATTACTTTTCCCAGATTTATCAGTTTAAATGTTATCAGAGTATTTCGCTGAATCGTCAGAATACCTCGAGACAGAACTTTCCCCAAAAGTATTCAGATGAAATGTAATCAGAAAACTCCCCTGGAAGAATTTGGTGTAGCCTATAAATATTTAGATATAATTTTCAGGAGGACAAAGAAAAATACATTATCTTAAAACCAGGTCAAGTTTCTCTGTCCTTTCGACCATAGACTCTATAAAACATGGATGTAGCCTCAGTGATGTTACCCATTTGTTTCTCTGACAGAGTGCAGGAGAGTGACATTCTGGTGCTCTTAAGAAAACCCTGAATGCTTTCCTGATGTTATCCAGCAGGTTCTGTCAGGACGATAAACTGGGCAGGCCAAACAACAGCCTCACACCAATACTAACTGATATATGGACAGGAAAATCAGTTTTGAACTTTGATGGTGCCCTCATGTCTGAAAAATGTCACAGAAATACCCTCTTAGACACTTCTTTAGAAAATACACCATCACAAAATGCTCACCTTGGTATCCTTCCCAGGGAAAATACGTCAAAAACTTTCAGTATATAAAACGTAAGTGCCCTCTCTGGTGCCCTTTCAATTAAAAAATGCGTAATCGGAATTATAACAAAAAAATGCCCACTAGATGGCTGTCAAGTACCCAAAACATAAAGAGTGCCCCCGGGTTTCCCTTATTGTGGATAAATTATAAAATATTCCCTCTGTATGCCCTTTCAATTAAATCAATTTGGACTAGTGCACTCCATATGCCCCTCCAATAGAGAAACTGTGAAAAGCCATTTCAGTTTCACCTTTTTATTTTATTTTATTCTACTTTACTTCCTTTTTTAATTCATCAGGCCTTATTGTGTGTTTGATCAACATGCAAGGTGTAACGCTCCAGAAAGTCTTCTTTAGTGTTCAGTTTTAGTGGTCACTCGTCATCTATATCAGATTTATAACCATATTAAAAATGACAGAACAAACCTACTACAACGTGAGCGTCATGCAGAAAGTAGAATTTAAAAACATAATTATTCTGTATTGATTACCCATTGATTATCTACTAACTCATCAGCTCTGTTTTATGTGTTGTTTATGGTGTGGTTTATTGTTTTTGTGTGTTTTTCATAACAAAGGTTCTATATTAAACCTCAACAGCTGTTGTAGATCAGATCTGAATCATGACTTTTGCTATGGTGACTTATCTGCACAAGCTGACAGGCAGGTTGGTGACTGACAAAAGCTTGTGTTACACTAAGACAACACACTTTACTACCACATGAAGAGGCTGGCCTACATTTTATAGGCTTCATTGTTTTGATTGACAAGATATGCAGACATAATTAGCCTCTCTTATGCATGTTTCAAAATGCTAGACTGCTCTGAGCTTTCCTTTTGTTAACGCTTTTGTTCATGAATGAAAAAAGCCCTTGTTCTCTTTAGGACTTGTTTGAATTATTGATACGGTTGGTGTTCATTTAACGATACTGTATACCTTAGTGCATTGTCATCACGTCACAGGTTTTCCTCACAGGTTTGATCCAAAGAGGATAATCTGAAAAGTTGATTTTTTTGTCACATTTGCGACATTTATAGATTTAGAAAAAAAAATCTCAATATAGAATCATTTTTAAGATAGCCCATTAAATATTTATTTTATTCATATTTTTTATTTACATTGTCCAAGGGAATTTTTTGTGTTTCATGTGGTGAAGTTTGAGTGTGGCAAAAAGGGTTTTAAAACTTTTTACAATCTCAACAGATAGGTCCAAGACTTAACCTTTAGCTACAGTCAGTATCAGATTAGAACTTTTGGTCTTGGCATCACACAAATTTAGGCATACAATTAAGCACAATTCAATCAAGTTAATCATTTTATTCATTACTGGTGTGGATGCAACTTTCCTTCTTTATTTCCCCTCCTTTCTTTCTCATTTCACCAGTTTTGTTGCTGTTGTTTAAACATGTGTTGCAGAGCCACAGATCATGAAATCTTTTCATTTTGATTTCTCAAAGGTTACTCCATTAGCCTGGATTTGAACCCAATACTCTCTCATTGCAAGGAAGTTACCTTACTATTTCCTGAATGAGTAGCTTGTCACAGTGCTTGATGTTTCTCCGATGAAGCTGCTCTCTGCCTCCTTCATTGTTTACTTTCCTCACGAAGCACGTAGCAAGATCCGCGCATGAATCCGCTTTATCAAGCTTTATTAGCCTATCAGAGTCAGCATGACTGCGGTATGATGATTTGATTTACCATGACTCCAGAAATTATTGAAAAACCTCAGAATATTACGAAATTACGTACACACTCCTCCCGGCATGGACGGTTGAAATGCGTCCATGCTGTCTCGGTTTAAATTGGTTACTTTGTTGGTTTGGTTGGGGCGGGCGAAACTGTTTGGGGGGCCCCCTGCTGGTTGGGGGTCTAAGGCAATTGCCTATTTTGCCTCAATGGTAGGAACGCGTATGGCCCTATTATGTATGACCACAACTGTTTCACACTGTGGTGATTCAAAAGCATGGTCACATACAATATGTTCACTATTCTCCTTTATTATATATATTTCACATGAATCAGATACTAAATGTATGATGCCATAGCTGTGGATTATTCAAGTCAGAACACACCACTTCTTTTCTGTATCAAACCAATGCACCTTTTCACCAGCAGAGGGCAGAATTGTTTTATGTGGGTTTGAACAGGAACATGTGGAAAGGTGAAGGGAACATTTCAGATCTTTGACAGTTTGATGTAGGTCACCAAGAGTCTGGCCAAACTTTTTAAAGAAAATGAGCAGACCTTTTAATATGCCTGTTAAAATGTAAAGTCAATGAAACCAGGCTTTAGTATCCTTGTAATTGTACATTTCAAATGGAGCCTCTTAAAAAAAATTTAGATACCTTTTAGTATCTCTCCAATATAGTTAATGTACATATTGACTGTGAGACCAGCAGTGGACAGCTTTATTTCTTTGTAACGATTAGACAAACTTAGACTAATGCTCAGTCTTCAAACAGGTGATTTTTCAGTTCTGACATAGTAAGTTAATGATCAAACCAAGTGGCGAGGTTTCCTAAGTTACCAAAGTCATAACAAATCACATTTCAGAGTGCTTGTGTCTCAGTAACAGTTGAGAAAAAGCAACAAACAATCTAGGTCAAGGTGTTCAGGTGCAGTTTTCTCTTTCAGCCCACTTTTAGGTGGTTACTTTTTTGTTGTTGTTGTTAAAATATGATCATCCAGGTAACTGTTGTCAGATCATAAAGTGGCATTTTCTGACTGGTTTTCTTTGCAGAGACAGCACTCTGCAGCTGGACAAAGAGTGGTCATTCTTAGCAGGTAGTGACACCGAAACCTGGGCAGCGTTCCACACTGTTGCTTCGCTTTCATTCAGCCTGTCGAGTCCAGCCAGCTCAGACCAGTGCCTGCACTTCTGCATGACGCAAAACCTGTGGAAATTAAACAAATCCATGACATGGCTTGCATACAAAATATACCTCTTTCAATCAATCAATCAAACTTAATTTTTAAACACTGTAGCACAAAGTGATGTCTATTCAAGCAGGATATTAAAAACAATGAAATAAAATAAATACAAATACAAATACCAAACCCGCCCACCCTCACAACCCCCATTCAACACATACAGCACTCACACGCTCATGCACACAGATGCATACTCAAAAGACCAGGTAAGGACTCTTCAACTTGCCACAGATGACTGAGGAAACGCTATCATGAGCTAAAAAGTGGGCCAGTTTACTTGTGACTATACTTACAAATCATAAATAGTGTTTTAAAGATATACTTTTAATGCAACTGATCTAATCTAAAATCTATAGTCAATCTTGCTTTCAAGCAGTGGTTCACATCTTTAGTTCAGGATCCCTATAGAGGTTATTTGACACTTAAATCAGGGGACTCTCAATGAAAAAGACAGCAAAGAATGGTTTAACAAAATTCAGTTATTCTTTTGACTTGTATGTGTTCTTGTGTTCTATGTTCTTGGATCATCAGTAGGTAAGTTACTGTTTAAGATGTTAGGCTTCAAACAGATCAAAAAGAAGTGCTCAAGTGTATTTTAAGTGTAAGAAGAACCCCTGCACGACGATTTAAAAGCATAACAACTGCTCTGTTTTAGAGTGTCACTGGATGAAGGTGTATTAAGATTAATTTATTTTTCATTTTACTGCAGGGGTTACATAATACAAAAAGGTTTTAACCCTTTTATGCAAAACAGAAAAGAAACACTGCAAAGAAAAATGACTTTAGAAGGGTTACATAAACATCAGAGGTCAGATGCACTCACACTCACAGCCATGTAGACTAAAGCGCTTACGCAGACCGACGACCCCACTCCCAGCCAAGTGTCTGAGAAGCCCCGCCCCCTCCAGCTTGAGTTACCTGCAGACTCACCTATCACTCACCTGCTCCCGCGTTGGTGCCTCCTCAGTGACCGTATGTCTGGTAACCGGTGAAAAAAAACAACATCAGCGTTTTGTAAGATTTTCAGATTGTAACGAAAAACAAACGGATCCAAACTTTGTCGGAGTTTATCGTCCTGGTCGTCCTGGTGGGCTGCGATGGCAGGCTGATGGTATATTTTTGACACCTCGACTGAGCATCCCGTCCGGAAAAACACTAACACAAAACAGTGTGTTTCTGTGAGAGGTAAAAGATACTCTTTATCTTTGTTTTTCTGTCTTTCTCTTTCTTTATGAAGCTGTTTTTGTGGGTCAGTGACACAAAACGATTCTTCTCAGTAAAGCTTCAGACTGGCATAACCGGCTCCTCTGTGCAAAACTTCCATGTGACTGTCATGGAGCTTACTTCCATTTCTTACATTGTCCTCTTAAGAAGAACAATCGCCTGGTTACCTTTGAATCTGATGTTTTAACTGAACCATCTAAGGCTCAAGTTTAAAACTGATTGTACAGTTGTGGTTTAGTATGAGTGGCTTACAGTTTTGTGGTTAAGGAAGCCAAAATATCTCTGAGACTCTGTGAGCAAATTTAGCCTTTTCTGGGATGATACCTCTTGGAATCAGTCCTGCAACTATTTCCAGAAACTCATCCATTTCCCCCAGTGTAACTCATATAGTAATACCTGTCCTGATTCAGGATGTAAAAGAGCAGAAAATGTATGTTGCCACCACCAAATTTCATCTAAATGGGCTTGAATTACTGCACATTTCCCACCACTGGGAGTAATGTGCTTTTATTAGGGTTCATCATATTCAGGAATAACCTCATGACAGGCACCACTATGAAAGAAACAAGGAAAAACTTTGCTTATTTGAGAATCAATATTTCAGGCGTGACAAAAGTGTTTTTCCTCTGTGTGTGTTGGGAGAGTTACATAAGTGTAATGTGAACAAATCGGTGAAATCGGAGCTGATTTCGTCTAGTGCTTCTCATCTGTGCACTGATTCAGAGAACGTACCATTAATCTGTAGGTCTCTGTTCATAATACATACTATAACATCATCATCAGGTGTCATAACAGTGCGATGTGATTCAGATGGAGGACTGTGTGTCAAGACATACATTAAATCAGATAACTGTTATCTTACAAAATGCTTATTCAGCAGTGTGGAGCAAAGTCCTGGTCTATAATATCAGAGAAGCTTACATATTGTTATTTTTACTCATTACATAAGCTTTTGGTGCCAATGTTAGTCTTGCCCAAAACTGTCAGGAAGCCTGACTGATGATACGTTACATTTACAGTTTGAACAGATTTGAACAGTGTCACTTTGAAATTTTGATCCAACTCAATTTCTAAGTTTTTAAAGCTGCAGTTGACTGAAGGAAAAAAAAAACACTCCAGCATTTTGTTATATAGGCTGGTTTATTTGTATTTTTTCTTCTTTTGCTTGTCTGGTGTGTTGATTGTCGTCAATGCCAGCCACATGACTGAAACCACACGCTTAAAACATGACATGGTCTGAGGAAGTCTGAGCCAAAGTTCTCATTGCTCTGAAACGATGTGTCGTCACAGAGAGCAGCAGGAATATAAACAGTACTTGCCCAACTTCATTCCATCAAATATAAAAGTCAAAACACCCAGACATAGTCAGAATTTAAAACAAAAGATGGCCGACTTTAATGGATAAGACATCCCACTGTTTTAAGTGACACCAAGATAAGCCTCTTGCACACTTCATATCTGTTTCTGCACTTATTATTGTCAGTCTTATAGTCTGTGGATAAAGAGTCGTCGTTATAGAACAATGAACAATGAGCACGTCAGGCTGAAAGCAGGAGAGGTGTGCAGAGGGCCTCTCGCCATAAGGCTGACAACACATGACACTCCACCTGTCCTACTCAAGCTTCACCTCACCTCCTGAAACCTGGCGGAGAGCCACGGCAGGAACAATAGAGTAGAGAGGAGATGACCAGCAAGATAAAGGCAGAAAGAGGAAGTCTACCTTTTGCGTAGAGTTAAATAAAGTAAATACGACCTGTTTTTGTTGTTCATTTGCATTCTCAGGAGGAATTTGATTCTATCGTCCTGAACCATACTCATGGAGTTAGTCTACAAGTAAATAAAAGTGTCTTCAGGATGCGTAGTTACTCACATGCTGACTGTAAAAGTTGTTGTGATTTAGCTTTGCTCTGTTTGAGAAGATATGAGAGGATTATCTGCTGGGGCCGATTATGTTTATGATGAGCTGTGAGATAAGCTCGAGTGACCGCAGCTGTCACTTGTCGGACTGTTTACATTATGCATCTTTGTATGTGGAGTTTACAGCAGGTCATTATGCAAAAGCAGGTTTATGGTCCAGAAAGGAGGCAAGGCGGGTCAAGAGGAAATAGTAACCCTGTGAAACTGACATGGACGATCATAACAGTCTAGTTTGAAAATGAGACTTAAATGTTTACAGCTATCCCAGGAGGCAAGGCCAGTATCTTACCTTTGTGGATTCATACTTTTAACAATAAAACAACTTCACAAGTGACTTTCAGTGATACAGGAAGAGGAGAAGTCAACTGAGGTAAAAGGTAAAAGGCGATCCTTATCTCTGGAGAGCCACACACACGTTGTGTAACAGCTCATTAGGGTCCACAGTCAGACCAGGTACTGATACAGTAGGTGTAAAGCTGTGGTGTTTGATGTAAGCCCGATATAGGTGTTACATAATCCTTTAAACACATGCCTTAACACAGACGAGTCGTTCTGTTTCATATAGAAATGTATGATGTTGTATCATCTCATATCATATATAGGGTAATAGGGTTGTACAGTAAAGTATCTTATCATGTTGTGTCCTAATATATCATTTCGCATCATGTATCATACTTTGTCATATTTATAATACATCACATATCACTTTGGGTTGAATTGTACTGTTTGGTATCGTATCATACATTGTTTTTTCTTAGACCATGCTGATTTTTGTATTGTTTCTATGGCTGACCGAATTAATTGATTGCAGCTAAGTAATTAATGGTGAAGATCTAATTACACAAAGAATATTAGCCTGCTGTCTGCTGTCGTTCACAGTCAGTCTCTAAACTATCACCAGTACAGGCCTAACGCCTGGCTTTGTTTTGCAGGTTTGTTATGTAGGTTACAGCTCAATTTTATTCACAACCTTTGTGAAAAACATAAAGTTATAAATCTTGAAATTTCTAAGCTCAAGAGAGGAAAATGGTATGATGTCTGATGCAACAGGCTTAAAGAAGAGCGAGTCAGGTAAATAATGCATGACTGTTTTGGTAGAACGCGTACCCTCCAGCGTCTGCCGTTTTTCTGTCTTTCCTTTAAACCCACCCTTTTTCTGGTTGTCAACCTCTTTTTTCTTTTTCAGGTTGATGCCTGAAATCATGAGTGCGCCAGGACCTCCACAGAGGCAAACCAAGTAAGTGTCGCACACATTCCTACCCCACCACCACCACCACCTTCACGTTTACCTTTTTGATAGCACGCTGACTCACTGTCACTCAGGTCCCTGAGAATCACTAACCTGGTATGCAGAGGGTGCTGTGGGTCAGGGACCTCGGGCACAGAGCGGCTCTGTTGAAAACTGTCTGCTTTGCTCGGGTTCCTGGCTCCAGCCTCCCAAATACAACCCCCCCCTCTTCCTCCCCCATCTCTCCCTTTCCACTCTCCCTCTCTCTCTCTCTCTCTCTCTCACTCCCTCCCTGGCTGGTCCATATGCTCAAAATCTCAGGCTAATCTCATCCAGTCCTGGCCAGTCGGCTTACTGTATATCACAAATCGTTTATGCGCTCATAACAAGTGACAGTGCAGGAGTTTCAGAGGGTTTGGGACACTGACATCCAGAGGTGCAGGGGGCCCAAGATGAAGAGCATGCAGCGTAACCTCGTCTCTCCCTCTTGTTATTGCAGTGGAGTGGCCAGATCGGACAGCAAGATCAGCGCCAAGGCCCTCTATGGTAAGTGATCTCTGGAGTGTTATAAGGTTGTTGGCTAGTTTTCAAGACTTTATGAGTCTTTCATAAATAGTTATCACTGCCCTGTATTCATCTGGCATGAGTCAGTTCAGGCAGTTTAATCTAGGTGATTACTTAATATATCGCCTGTATCCTTCTTCATTATTACCTGTTATTAGTTCTTAAAGTTGGAAATGTATTTTATCCTTATAAGATCCTTTGAAAGAGGAACAGATTTATTCTAGTCTATAAAAGTTGTGTTTTACTGTGGTGTGCTATTTTATTACGGTGAATAAAGGCACTGCTGTACATTCAAATCAATCCCACTCAGACTATCCTGCAGTCTTGAATATTCACAGGTGCACCACATGAGCATTAATCTGCTGCTATGTAAAGAATACAACGCTTATAATACTCTCTCAAAAGTAGAAACAAACTACAAACTACAAACTAGCTGTTTACAAAGGAATTCCTTTTCTAAGATAGAAAAGAAATTGTTACAAATTGTCAGTAAATAGAGGAGATAATGGTAGCGGTATCTTTTGATCTTGCTCCAAACTGCATATCCTCAAATTGTGGATCAGTACTGTAATTCACTCAAATCACAACAACATTTGATTTGCCATGCAAACGACTCTGTCAGGAAATCCCGCAATCTCACTCTGCTGCATAACACCACAGCCGCACGGCCTCACTCACTAACCTATCACAGTCCTTTCCTGAACACACACACCAGCAGTGATAACAGGGGGCCAAGGTCCTGCTGAGGGGCCTGTGGAGCTCCATCTCTGGGGCACGGGAGGGAAGCTATGCTCCTGGAGGGAACAGAGTTTTCTGCTCTGTGCCAGGCTTGCACAGCATGCTGGGATTTGTTGCCAGATGCTTCATGTTTTTCCTGTTTGTCTGCACTTTGTATTCGGGTTGTGCGGGGACATAAACTCACAAAGTCTAACTTTAAGCCGTTCGTACATACGTATGCATGTTTATTATAGTGTCTGTCTGCACCACAGATATGTCAGGACGGTGTTAAAACTCATACCATGACGTTTTTATTTCAGCTGAAACATATTTGTGTAAGGGTGTGTGGGAGCGTAACTGAAATGTGCTATGCTGCATTGGCAGGGTGTGCCTGTTTTTAATGTGTGGTTGGAACAGGGTGGGGATGCCCGTGTCTTGCAGGTGAATAAAAGAGGCATTGAAAAGAGGAAAAGAAGAGGTGGACTCTGGCCTTCTGGCCCTGCCTGTGCTGCCTCAGACATTAGCTCACTGGTCCCTGCTGGCAACTCCCTCTTCACTCGAACATAGAGGAATATTGTGCAGCATATCATAGGCTCAGATAGAAACTTACACCAAGGTATGACAGGAAAACCTGCTGGCATGCACGACTGCACTGCTCTTTAAAGAATGGCCTCATATGACAGATGATGTTGTTTTAAGGTTGCAAGATGTTCCCATACCGCCTGACCTTGTATCTTGTCTGTGAAACACTCTTATGCTATAAGTCATCCAGAACTCCACAGGATGCACCCACTCCTGCGATCGCTGTGAAGAAATATCTGTGCTTTGTCTCCTTCTGTGCAGCAGATGGTCACCACTACTTCCTCTCTGCGGGATGACATAAGCGTGCCTGTCCTCCCAAACCAGAGTCCACAATATTGTTCATCCAAAACAGGGACAGATATTTGGTTTTCTTGCTCCTAGCTGAATAAACAGCGAGAGAAACAACAGCAAGAGTCTGAGATCAATCTCCTGTATGCAAAAACTACCCATCATTTACACAGAGCAGGGCAGCAGTCAACTGATGCAAATGTCGCACAAGTCCTCCTACCTGATCTGTTTGTTATCAGCAGCTTTCAGATCAGAGAGGAAGCACTTCACACTCACCACACAAGGACTACAGACCATCCAGCAGTCTTTTGGGTGTCTCGGTTTTTAGGGGGGAGCATGCCTCTGTCAGGTAAAATGTGTGTGGGCTTTGAGACTGGATCAACAGGTAGAATTTTAATGAGTTAACTTTAATCTGTACTGCTTTCTTGTTATTTTTTGTCGTCTTTGTGACAGATTTACCACTTATTTTCTCCAAGTCTGCCTTGCTAATGCTGTTCCTCTGTTGCTTGTGTTTATCTGTTATGGGAACAGCAGCTTTGTTAGTGTATATATTTAAAAAAAAAGTAAAAATATAGTTAAAAAAATAATGATTTGTGTTTGGTATGTAGATCTCTGTTCAGACAGGTCATCTCTTTGGTGAATCAGGCTAAGGTGTGACAGTTCGGTATTTTCCAAAGACGTTTGGTCAGTTCTTTGTGAACAAAGCAGCAAACTTTTCAAGTCATGGGCTGAGGCTGAAGCCACATAATGAAAAGAAATGTAGACATGAGCTTGAGCCGCCACGGTTGCTTCCTGTTAGCGCTAACTTTCAGGCTTTTAAGGGTTCAAAGAGGCAAAAACAGCCTCATGAAATGTAATCAAATTTGTTTGGTGTTAGGCGACTGTCAGAACTTGGATTGTTTAATGGTAGTTATTATAAGGTTGGTTTAGCTGATTGATCTGGCTGATGTATTGGTTTGAGAATCTGCCAAGCAGCCATGTTTATTGCTGGTCATTGACTCATAGGACAGTTCTGAGGATCTGCCCATCTGCCTACTAAGTGGCTCTTATTGCAAGCTGTTGCGGCACTGTGAATTGATTGGCATAAATGTCAGTCATTAATAAGACATGGAGGGAGCTCGACTTTCAGAACAACACCTGACTCTTGTGTTTCACCTGCGTGGAGCGGAGCTGGAAGGGATCGGTGGAGAGGAAATGGCAGGAACAGGAAAGAATTGCTTGCGTCATAAGGACAGTGAGAGCTCTTAGCATGGAAAGTTATCACCTTAGAAACCCTTTTTTGTTTGTTTACATCACAATAAGACAGCGATAAAGAGGACGGCAAATATTGGAATAGAGCCTTGACACAGTTTTAGTTGAGTGTTTCACAAATAGTAAAGCCTTAGTGACACATTCACTTTCAAAGCTCAGAAAGAAAAGTGTGGCTGGATGTCTGAGTAATGAGAAAGAAGGAGTGACTTGAATATCAGAGTGTTGACTCCTGCCTTGGGGACAGTAAGGGAGACCTGATAGGAGCCCTGTCAGTGGGGCTGATAGGAACATGCTCTCATTTAGCCGTAATTGTTACCTGCGGACTATTCACCTGGTAAATAGGTCAATGAGCATACTGGCACACTCCTTTAACATTGGCCTGTTAAAAAACGACCGTTCTAGCCAACAGTACAAACAACCCTATGAACAAGGCTAGTTAAAGTATTGAATTTCACCCAGTTTCACCAGTGTTTGAAAAAAAGAAAACGTCTGCACTCAGAGGACCTGACTCTGTTTTTGATATCTTGTTTCTTTTAAAAGGCTTCAGCTGAGTGTCCGAGCTTTAATCCTCTGGTTCACCCTCACTGATGTCGTGCTGTCATTTTTGACAGACTAACAGGAGAGCAAATAGTCAGAAATATGTTTGTCTTGTGTTGATCAAGTCAGCGAACACTTGACTTGCTTGTAACGTGGTACTTATGAGGTTTTAAAAAGTCATATTTATAGATTCTGACTTTGAGACCACTGTACAATACTGTTAAGCTTAGTAGCATTTCATTAGATAATCATGAGAGAAAATATTAAAGATAACCAGATAATTAATCAATAAAGAGTATTTAACAGTCTGAGTGGTTTATGACTTTGACAGTTATAACTCCGATTATTGATCGTATATAATCTTTTATTGGTGATGTAGTAATCAACAGTGCATGACTGAGTTTTGCATTAACTCGTGATTGCCTGGGCTTGAAGCATTGACAGTATTATTGGGTGTTTCGAAATGAGAAATGCACCTTATCAAGATGAAAAGTGTCCTCAGTGTCCGTGGTGTGGATTCATGTGGTGCTGTCAGATCTGCTGTAATCTCCTATGATCACCCATTTTTCTTACCTGCTTTTTTCTGCACTTTCTTCTTCACTCAAACACGTTTTCTTAACAGCTTTTCAGGGGAAATTGAAAGTATTTCACTAACCTGGTTATATGTTTACATGTGACAGCTCATAAAACTCTGCCATGGATGAGGAAATGAATACAGTGTATTATTGATCTTTGACACTGCAACAGACCTGATTGCCAACCTGGCAAGCTTAATGTTTTATGATAGAGGGCAGATGAAATCACATAAGCTTTTGGATACATGATTTAAAAGTAGACTTCTTAAAATGATCTGTTGTTGGTTTATCTGACCTCTCACCACACTCAAAATTAGCCTAAAGATGTAAAATCACAACTTTAGTGTCACTTCAATAAAATATTTGAGAAAGAAAAGCCCTAAAGTTTTTCTCTGTGGTATTTAATAAACGATCATGGGTTCAGAATATCATTTTAAAGTAAATATTTATATGTCTTCTAGCATGAACTGTAATGAGGTCGAGATGTAGGATTGCCCTTTGAGGCCATTCATAAAAGCATTACGTGTCCTCTTTACTTCCTTATTGCCCATCTGGTCTTCACAGCTCACACGCTTACGTTTGTTTCATTTGCTCTGTCTGCTGTAACGTGCAAACATGTGGACTTTAGGTCAGTGCCACTGCTGGCTGTTTACATCGTGGGCAGATTGCAGGTCAATTTGGTGATTTCTCAGACATGGTTTTTAAAGTTTTTTTCTCTCTTTCAACAGAACAAAGAAAAAAATACTCCAACTCCAATTTCATCATGCATGAGACTTCGCAGTATCATGTAGAGGTAAGATCTGCTCCTGTTCTCTCAGAAATTGAAGCTGGGTTTGTAATTTTAGTTATTTGTCTGTAAGAATGATTAACAGTGAGAATGATTAACAGTATATTTATCAGATGTTTTTTAAGAGTGCAGCTTAACAGATCAGAGTTAGATTGACTTCAACATTCATTACCTCTCTAATTAGTTAAAGTCTAAACTTTTTCTTATACTTATTCTTCAAAGTTGGAGCTTAGAGATAATTTTAATAGATTAAAAAGTTCTTTTTTTAATTACTGGGTCATCTCAGAGGCCCCATAGAGTGGCTGTACTCCTTATTACAGCAAACACAGGTTCAATTCTAACCTCAGAAAATACAAATAAAAATGTAATGTATTTTAGGGAAACCTCATCTTAAGTGATCATAAATACATATACTGGTGGTTCTCTATCTGTGTCACTGTGTAAGTCATCACCTTGTATTACTTAAATTTTCATTTTCTTTTTATTGCAACTTCTACATTATTTTAGTTCTTTGTCCAGTGCACATACTACCCATTTACGTGCACTGTGACCGCAGAGAATAAAAGGATGTTAGCAGGGATGTTTTGTTTTCTCAGTTTTAAAACTTAATTTTTGACACAAAAAGAGAAGACTTACTTGTACCAAAGTTTTTTTTTTATATAATTTTATATTAAAAATATTGGAAAAGCTGAAACAACCCTGGAATGTTCTACAAATGCATGTGCTTATATGTACTTAAGAAAAGTCACCAAAGAAGAAAAAAACATAATAAATTTAAAAGTACTTACCCTTAATCTGATGGTATATTGCACTTTTACATTGAGATAAAAGCTGATACCTTGGTTTATCTCTTGAGTTCATCATATTTACGGGAACTCAATCATAATAAAACAATCAGGCCTGTGATTGCAGCAGAGGGGGGCTGATGTACAGGTGCTTCAGTTCACATATGTATATGTTGAACCACAGCTGAGTGAGTAGCATATGTGATAATATCTCCCTATTATCACAAATGGGCAGGTAATTATTGATAACAGCAGTGTATGTGACTATAAGGCAGATTTTACATACAGGAAGACATGGCAGTAATTTATACAGTTCAGTGACACCGTCAGCTGCAGGCATTTGAATAAAACAAAATATATTACGATACTAACTGAGGTTTAATGGTCAGCTTTGTACCAACATTCAACACACTAAAGGTTAGCTATTTCAAGTTTTCTTGTCTTAATGCTAGCTCAGCTAACTGACTGCTGTCTCTCCCTCTATGCTGGATAGAGAAGCTCAATAAAGGGTTCATTTTTGTTAACTCTAAGCAACTAAATCATTCAAAAATGTACACTCATACAACCAAATAACGAGAAATCATGTTATATAGGTTTTGTGTGTATTATTACTATCAACCTTTCATTCTTTGTATATTATTTACTCTTAGTTAGCACTGAATCACTTTCTCACATGGATAATAATCTTGTCTTTCATTTAACAATCCCTCGTTTCCTCCCTAGCATCTCTCCACATTTATCATGGACAAGACAGAATCCATCTCTACGGTGGATGATGCTGTCAAAAAACTGGTTCTCCTGGACTCAAAAGACAAAATCTGGACCCAGGAGATGCTCCTGCAGGTCACTGACAAGGCGGTCAGACTGCTGGACTGTGACACACAGGTAGGGCTACACGTCTAATTTTCATCATCAGTTACAGTCATTGAGTATAGTGTGTATATACAAAAAGCATATGCATGTGTAAGCTCTGTCTGTACTTTTTCATCACCTTACATTACTGCTCAGGTTCACTTAAACTCTCACTTATACAACCTTTTTTTTCCATGACTAAACTCGTGTTTAGTAAGGAAAAGGAAGGAAAGGGAAACTAAGTTATTTCTGAAGAGCTTGGCTTGCTACAGTATTTACCTCAGTTTCCAGTTTAAGTACAGAGTCATGCAAATAAATGTTGAAGCACTTAAGTTCTGTTTTACACAGACCAGTTATAACTTTATGAACACCTGGGCAGTCTAAGTGTTTAATTGTTTAAGTCATGCATGGTGTTGGTAGTGTACAGGAGTGCATTACATAATATTTTTCTTCTCTCATGTTTCTTGATGAAGTGTACAAAATATAAGGAACACATTTCAAAGTACCACCACCGACGGCTACGTCTTTAGTAATCAATATAAAGTATAATAAGTACCTGTCTGATCATGTCAACAAAAATAGAAAAAATATGAATCACCTAAAAGTAGATTATAATAGAGCTGCTGTAGGGAATTATATTCGATAGACCAGATAATGTTAAGGCTATTCAGTGCATTTTACTTGTTTTGCATTTTCTGTTCTCCTCTGACCGGTCCTCTGTTGTCCCCCCTGCAGGAAGAGTTGGAGAACTTTCCTCTGTCCATCATCCAGATGAGTCAGACGGTCCTGAATCAGACGCGTTACCCCTCTGTGCTGTTACTGGTGTGCCAGGACAAGGAGCAGCACAAACCTGACATCCACTTTTTCCACTGTGACGAGGTGGAGGTGAGTCTCACCTTGAACGTTACAGGCTTGGCTCTGTTGGCGTTCTGTCATGCCTGTGCAGGATTGGCTGGCTTTGTGTTTTGTGTCATTCATAAATCCTAGCTGCAATTGTTGTAGTGCCAGATCAGATTTCAGCAGTGTTGGTGGCAGTATGCCTGTGTGTTTGTGTGTATTCAGAGAATTTGCTCAGGTGAAAATCTATCCCTGAAAGGGTGTACGACTGTATCTCATCATAAAGATAATGGCCTTATATAATTCAGAATATCCACTAGTACAGTTAAAGACAGGCTGTATAAAAATCTGATCATAAAAGACCGAAGAGATCTAAATGTAATGACCTTTGGATTCATACAACCTACATAACACAGAGCGTCTTTGAATGGAAGTGAAGTTTATATCTATTAAAACTGTGAAAGTGTGTCTTCAAAGTGAGGAAAGAAGCAATTGACTGATAAATGCATTTAATTTGGCTTACATTCAAACATGCTTGATAGTACATTTAGCCGCCTCAGATTTGTTGTTACCCTCTATTGAAGAGTTGGCATCACTGATTGCATGGCAGGTCAAATATCTAAACAAACAATTGAAAAACTGTGCATTAAATCAACATCAAACCCTCAATGCTCAGCCTTTAGTAAGCATTAAGAGGTAAAAAAATCAACCTTTCTTCAGGAAAGAGCAGTCAAATTGTGGATTACTTTTTAGTTGTGAATGTACCTGACCCTTCTAGCTGAAACTGTGTGGTTACGGTTTCATATGTGCAGCTGCAAAGATAAAAAAAAAAATGTTTTTATTTCCCTCCCTGTCCTCAGGCTGAGATGGTTCATGCAGATATAGACAGTGCCATTGGGGACAACAAGCATGGGAAGAAGATGAGGCTACAAACACTGAAGTGAGAACGCACTGCAGCAGACACACAGATGTGTACACCTACGTATTAATCTACACAAACACAAACGCACATAAACACTGGAGGAGGTGACTGACCCGTGACTCGCTGCATGAAGGTTTGACAGCTCCCTTTCTTTCTTTCTCTAGGGTGAACCAGGAGAAAATTTCCCGTCACAGAGAGACCATCCTCCCCCCTTCAGGTCCTAAGGGTCCTCCACCTGCTGCAAAGGGAAGAGTGGCAGCTACAAACACACAGGGTGAGAATAACTGTAAATGCATGCAAAGTTGCTCTTATTAGACATAAAGCTAATGTTTTTCTCACTCCAATAATTTAACCAATGTGGATGTAGACAGAAGAGCTTCACAGAATGACCCAGAGTCACATGAAAAACTGGCTCAGCGCATTGAGAAGGATGTGGTGAGTGTACTGCACCTGTTGTTACATCACACAGCTCCTTTCTGAATCTTGAAATGTTGTCTCCTTCATATTTAACTCAAGGCTTTGTCTCTCACAGCAAATCCTCAACTGTGCCCTGGATGACATTGAGCTCTTTGTGGCACGGCTGCAAAAGGCAGCAGAGGCCTTTTCTCAGCTCAACAAACGCAACAAGAGTAAGAAGAATAAGAAGAAAGGACCAGCAGGTCTGTGCCCCTTTCTTCTTCTTCTGTGGTGGCACGAAGGCAGTGACAATACGCTGATATTGCTCACAGTGCAATGTTTGTCTTTTTGTGTCCTGTGGCCTGGGACTCTCATCCAGTGATGCATGTGTGGTACAGTAGTTGTGGCCAGTTTGGTGTTGTGTTTACAAAAATAACGCTCATAGCTCAGCTGGTGTCACTGAGGTAATATGTTTACTCCTCAGTCACACCCTGGAGGTGCTGATCTGGTGTATTTGTGTCACGTAACATCTACAAAATTGGTTATTTGAATTTGTTATTATCAGTGTGTTCTTGTGACAGTATTTCTAATATGTTTTTGACTTATTTGGTGAAAATATATGAATTAACAGAGCAATAAGTGCCAGAAGATGAGTGTACTGAAAGTGTCCAACATTTTTTTTTTTTTTTTCTCTGAGAAAATCAATCATGTTACTTTACGATGTTGTATCACCAAATGCACTGACACTAGCGTGATGCTGTGTTTTTGTCGCTATACGCCTCATCTAGCTGTGACCCATTTTGTCTGCCAGGTCAGGGACAAACATGCACACAGTGAGACCATTTGTAATTAGCGATATAGTAGAACCAACAAATGTGCGTTGTCCCTGACAGCAGAGACAGATGTGCTGAAAATAACAAAACTCTGTGCAGAGAACCAGTTTCTCAACTTGGAGGTGTGAAATCACCTGACAGGTCACTTAGTGAAATTGTGAAACTGGCCTATCGAGCGTTTGATTTTTATTCCTCATTACATCCAAATTTAGAAAAGTGAACCCTGAGTTACAGGGTTGTGAGATTTTTTTGTACATTCTGAGTCCTGAGTTGAGAAACCCTGATGAAGCACATTTTTGTCTGAAGTATTTTACTCTCTGGCCGAGCTGAACTTTTCATCTCTAAAGCTGTTGATTAACTTACCATCGCTGTATTTCACTGAAGGTAAAAGTCGTAAACTCTGCTGGAAATTAAATAATAAAATGTGGGTTTATGCCTTTGAATCCGGGCCAGAGAGTAAACCAGTATCGTATGTTAACTTGTAACTCTGGAGTCTGCGTGTGGTCATTGTTGCTCTGGTTGTTTACAGAGGGCATGCTGACCCTGCGAGCTAAGCCCCCCACTGAAGCAGAGTTCATTGATAGCCTGCAGAAACTGAAGCTGGCCTTCAACCTCTTGGTGAGATATCACAGCTCCTAACCATCCTCATTTATCTGAGTCCCTCCCTTTATCACCTTTTTCACTGTCTGTCTGTCTGTCACTGCGCCCCCGCAGGCCAAACTGAAGAAACACATACAGAATCCCAGTGCGTCTGAGCTGGTCCATTTCCTCTTCGGCCCTCTGGAGCTGGTAAGATTAGTCATCTCTTTAGTGTCTGATATCAGGTAAATGTATATTTATATGTATGTATAAAGAGAGAGTTAGAGATTTATATATATAGTTTTGGGCATCTTGACTTTCTCAGAACAGCTGAAGAGAGACAGGAAATTTGAGGAGAAGAGAGCGAAAGATATGCAGCAAAGAGTCGTGGCTGGAAGTTAAACCAGAGACCTCTGCAACAAGGACTATAGATTCTGTCTGTGTGAAGCTGACACCGCTAGGCCCCAGATATCGATGCCATCAGTCTGAGCACTTTGTGGTTTTAAACTATAAATTCATGTCACGCTTTACAGTTTCTCTCCAGCCTGAAATAACCTCAGTGTTGACTGAATTTAAAAGCACATCCATCAAAAAGCTCCTTTAAATGTCCTGCACCGTCACAGTCAGACATTCCTCTAATTGTTTTTTTATTTAGAGCACCACACCCTCTGTCGCTCAGCTTAACTCTCTCTAAACTGGAGCGACGTGGCTCCGACGTGCACTCAGGTACAGCCACACTTACGTAATGTTGGTTTTCTCAAGCAGCAGTGCCGGGCCACACCTTCGATACTGCTGGTTAGAAAACACAGAGACGCTGTGTTGGGCTGCATGCTGTTATGACACTTTAACCTCTGGACATGTTGGATTTGCTTGATAAGGTCAAGATAAAGCCTGAGCAGTTATATTCAAAGTAACTCCTGCAGGTCTCTAGCGATCCCAAACAATGAGTCTGGGCACTCAGCAGTTTTGGATACAGTAGAGGTGTTCAATTCAATCTACAACATTCATATGTTATGATATTTCTCTATTTCTATGTTTTGCTTGGAAAGCTTGTGTGGTTTACTCCTGTTGGTATCTTCATTCTATAGATGTAAACAAAAGAAGACTGGATTAATACATAAATAAGGACAGCTATGGAAAAAATAGACTGTAAGCCTATACAAGGATGATGTATTTCTTGACACAGTATTCATCACATAGTGAACAGAGTGTGTTTTAAAGTCAGTTTCATAAAGTGATTAATTATTACCTGCTCACCCTTTTTACAATTCACAGACAATCCCTGTTCTTTTTAACTGACATAATTGGGTTGTCTCTACTTTCATACCTCCCAGATAATGTCATCAGGTTAAACGGCAGAAATGTGTTGTTTTGTTTAATTTCCTCAGTGAGCACCATGGCTGGATAACAAACCTCAGTTTGACACGTACAAAGCAATCTAACCACTCAAATTCCAAAAAAAATATTGTGCAGTAACATCTCTCATCTTACTTTAAATTTTAATCTTCTTTGATTACTTACATGAGGAATTTGTGAAGAATGATAATTGAAAACAGTGTTTTCATCATTTACTCTGATCCATAACCACTTTAGGGGGATTTATCTATCCATCTATTAAACTGAGCTTTTAACCATTCGGGAGCCGGGTAGAGGTCTAAGGTCATCAAACCAACTTCTGCTGAAAGATCAAAACACAAACACTGGGCTGACCGAGCGTTTTCAGTTGCTGGTCCCAGGCTCTGAGTTAAGCTCCTCACCAAAATGAGACATTTTTCTGACCTGGGCCTTTTCAAATCTCGACTGAAAACGTATTTATTTATGCCGGCTTTTAATACCCAGGAGCATGGCGACACTTTGTTTTATTGCATTGTATCACATTCTTTTTTTATTGCTTTTTTATTTATTCATTTTTATTTACTATGTATTGTAAAGCACTTTGGTTCACCGTAAAGGTTGTTGTATAGGGCTGTATAAATAAAGCACATTTACATTTACTTGAATACATCTACAGGTGCTGCAGAGTTGTGGAAGTCCTGAACTGGCTCGTTCGATAGTTTCCCCTCACCTTTCAAAAGATGCAGTTGACTTCTTGCGAGGACATCTCACCCCCAAAGAGATGACCATCTTTGAGATACTGGGAGATGGATGGACCAAACCCAGGTACACAAAAGGCTGCATGTGTATTTATTCTCATTTACAGACAATACCTGTGTGACTATCTGCAGCTATCAGACACATAGACATGAGTGCATTATTAATGCTGCTGTCTATGAGGAGGTTAACCTGTCCTGTCCCTCCTCCTCCTCCTGCAGAGCAGAGTGGCCGAGGGATCAGTGCGCTCCTCCTTATTACCCAAAGTTTCGAAACGGTTGGGAACCAGCGCCAGAGCTCTTCAGGACAGCTCCATGGGAAACAGAGGGATCCAAAGGGCCTCTGAGTTCTCCCACCAGCCCAGATTACAGAAAACATTCAAGTGAAGATGTAAGGATTTTAATAGTTTGCCAGGTTTACTGGTCCCATTGATTCAAAATGTGTCTAAACGACCTGCTTTCTTTCTCCAGTATTATGGAACTCATTCCTCAAGCTCATCAAATGGGTTAGTAGTTAAGTATCCATCTACTTAATTTCCTTCTAACATAAATAAATGGTACAGTAACAACAAGAATCAATTTGTCATCATAGGTCTTACAATGGGATGCCCCACAGCCGCAAATATGCCAAAATCCGTTACCACTTTGTGGCACGAAACGCCAATGAGCTGTCTGTACTTCAGGATGAAATCCTTGAGGTTAGAAAATATTCTCTTGTACTCATCTTTTGGGTTATATTTTTAAGAAACAGAAATTGGTTTGATTCTAGATTCCAGTGCTGTGAAGTGAAATGTGACATACGTCTTACAGGTAATAGAGGATGACAAACAGTGGTGGAAGTTAAGAAATCGCAGCGGCCAGGCTGGTTACGTCCCCTTTAACATCCTGGATGTCGTGAAGATAGAGGAGCCAGATGGCGTCTTCAGTCAGGTGACCTGCTGCACATACATCAAACCCAATGTGTCACCTACACACGTTTTTTGATAGCTTTGTTTTACAACTTTCTTCTATCTGCAGCGTTAATTGTTCTTTTTTCCCATTTGAATCAGGATCACATTTACTCACTTTGCACGTAAAAAATATCACTTATCTCTGTTTGCAAACTCAGGCATGTTGTTCACAGGTGTTAAGAATGTTTAATTTCTTTATCAATACTTGTGGAAAAATGTACTTTTCAACAAGCTAAATTTTATTTTAGGTTAAAGACCAAAGGTTAACTTGGACTGAAAAAAGAGCTTTTCTGGGAAATGTAGATGTCATGAAAAAGGGATTTCTAGTTATTAGTAAGATGATTGGATGGATTAAAGGTGCATCAGAAAAGACTTGGTAGAAATGGAATATAACATCCATAAGTATGCTTAAAAGGATCATATTTATCATGCTAACAGGAGCCACCATCCTTTCTGAAACTTCACCAACAAAAAGGGTGAGCAAGAGAGCGTATCGATGTAGAATCTGACAGCTAGCTCAATGCTAAATATCCTCAATTCTACGGACCGCACCTTTAAAAGACCACAGTTGAAAAGGTCAAATAGCATTTACAAGTAAGCATTTTGAAATTAAGCATAAAATTTACAACAGAATAACCCAAAAGTACTTTTAAAACAGCACAGATCAATAATATACAAAAGTGTAACAAGATTTTAATTTTGGAGGAATTGGTTCTGGATCAGCGCAGCTTTGGTTACTGTCTTTCTTCACCTGTTATTGTGCAGCAGGATGTTCCCACCCACAGTGAAAGCCTACGTTCTTAAAAACACGCACTTCTGCATGCAAGTTCGCCAACGCCCTGCAGCAGCTCCTGCATGCAGCTGCTCTTCCTGGTGTCAAATACTTTCACACACAGTTGTTTTTTTTTTTTTGCTTTTGGCTCCTGGGCAAAAATGTATCAACCAGCGGAGTGAAAGACAAACCTGTTTTTGTTATAACACTGCCAGTGGTTGGGCTTCCCATCAACTGTGTTTGTGTTTGTGTGTGCAGCAAGGCTACAGAACATCCCCTCCTGGTACCCTCGGCCATGGAGACAACTTCAACAAGGGAAGAAACAAAGACAAAAGTAAGGGAGTATAAATAGAGTCATTCCCTAGTTATCTTCTAATCTAAGAAGCTCCTACGGACTGCAGTTCTTGGTCTGATGTTTTTATTGCCCTATTTCTATGTTTCAGTGATGGATGAGGTCAACAACGAATTGTTAATGAAGATTACAGCTAATAAACAGCCAGCTACCAGGAAAATTAGAGTAGAGAAACCATCTGGCAACCAGACACCGCTGACGTATGAGTCAACCCCGGAGCAGGTGACCACGTGGCTCAGCATGAAAAGTTTCTCCAAACAGTAAGTCCCCCAAACCTCCTTAATACAAACCAAATCTCTAAAGTTTCTACTCGCATGTTGTCAGAAAGTGTAAAAAGATAAAACAGCAAGATAATGAAGCTTTCTGAATCAGGGAAGAGATGCAATAATTGATCTGAAGTGTTGAGTATGTAAGCAGGATCTCCTGGACTCTCTTTCTGCAGGACTGTTGATTGTTTGGGGATCTTGACTGGAGCTCAGCTGTTTTCTCTCAACAAAGACGAGTTAAAAGCCGTGTGTGGAGATGAAGGCGGCCGTGTCTACTGTCAGGTTACCGTTCAGAAAGGCCAGCTCGAGGTCAGTCACACACCTGTTTGATCCTGCCAGGAAACTCCTCCCAGCTTATATTTAAGACAACGCTGTTTAATCTCCTGTTAGAAACAAGCAAAACACCACAAAAGCCACAAACAGATGTGTGTAATTATCCCGTTTTAACTTTTGTCCAGGCCTGTAAGGGCAAGTGAAACAGGTACATTTAAGCAGTTGTCAGGTGTCAGACCACTTTTATTACAGGTGCAGACTAAAATATGGGCGTGTGCGCTGTGCACATTATAATCACCAAAGAGCTGTTGACAGAGGATTATTTATCTGTTCAACAACTCCTCCATAGAAAAAATAACGCTTAAACAAGCATTAAATACAGTAAGACAACTCCCACAAAAAAGTAATCTTCTAAATCTTCGTTAAAATAAATGAACAGTAAATTAACCACAAACTGCAAATCAGACTCTGTTTTATAAGACTATATCTATAATCACTTACCTGTTAACAAATCTTCTCTGTTACCTGACTGTGAATTTCTCACTTTTTATCATATAGCATTTTTAAAAATTAATACATTTTCTGAAAAGATGACAAATATTAATGATAATAATAATAACGGGTCCTGACCTGGTCATTAGAGGCTGATTTTGAGCAGCAAGGGGGGGAATTATTGGTCTTATATTTGTAAAATATAAACGTGTGTATCAGGGCGGCACACTGGTGTAGTAGAGTTTGAATGTTCTCCCTGTGTCTGCGTGGGTTTACTCTGGGTACTCCGGTTTCCTCCCACATCCCAGGTTAGGTTAATTGGTCACTTTCAAAGCTGCCCGTAGGTGTGAATGTGAGCGTGGATGGTTGTTTGTTTCTATATGTCAGCCCTGCAATGAACTGGCGACTTGTCCAGGGTGTCCCCTGCCTTCGCCCGAAGATGCTGGGATAGGCTCCAGCCCCTTCCGTGACCCCCAATGGGAAAAAAGCGGTAGAAAATGAATGAATGAAATGTGTGAATCTTTTGACACCAAAATATGCTTCTTTTTTAGTTTCTCTGGGGTTTTTCTTTTCCATTTTCTACAATCTAAGTCACTAAAGATCCTAAAAATGTCTGGGGTTTTTTTTGTATTTTGAATAAACACAAGATACTTACTCCTTTTTGAAAAGATTCTACTCAGAGAGGAAACAACTTCCACTCTCTGTTGTGCCCTCTTCCTTTTGCTTTTGCCTCACTAACAAGTCACCTAACCTACCAAATGACCCTGATACACAGTACCGCCTTCTTAAAAACAAAACACCCTCCTTTTCCATCAGGATTGACAAGCTCAGGGCATTTGACCATGCTGATACCACTTATATGGCCCCCACACCCCGTCCCTGGATTTAAATGGGCACCCAGAGAGCCAATAAAGAAGTGGGCCTCACCCTTCTTTGCTGTTTCATCAAGTTAGGCCAACAACAGCTCAGTATCCCAGAACCACCGCCTCTCAACCACCCATCAAACCCACATGTGATGAAAGGAAAAGACAACAGTACAGTCAGGAGAGCTGTTAGAAAAGGGACACAGAAGTCTACTGGGCCAGACCTTATACCTGAGGAAGAGAGGGAGGAAGCGATGGAGAGAGGAGAAAATAAACTGTTATCTCTCAGCTTTATTTTGGCTGGCATTGAAACAACTATGACAGATGACAGATTTAACAGGTTTCATTTCAGTGTATCTCACATTTTGTTCCGTTATCCAATTCTTTTCATTAAAATAACTTTTTTAAAGGAGCATTCACACTAAAATAATCTTTACTTCCTATCTGTTGCTGTTGATTGTGAAAATTCTCCATTGAGCGCATTTAGATTCTAGGATCTGTCACTTTTACATCTTTTGGGGTGTTTTGTGAATATGGGATCCTCAAAGTGTATTTTTAAAAATCTAACAACTGAAGTGTCTTTTTCAGAATTCCAGTGGGGAGTCAGAGCTGCAGGAAATCATGAAGAGGAGGCAAGAGAGGATCAGCTCTGGCGGCACAGACTGATAGTGTGACCCATCAGGACTGTTCCCTCCCCTCATCCTTTACTGCAGCTTCTTCAGTTATTCTGTTGATAATAACCTGCAATGTTGTATACATTTTTAGTTGTATATTTATTTTATATCAACCAATGTGTATGTCTATGTATTCAGATGTTTTATTGTGTAATTATAGATCTGTTTTTTTTCTCTTAGCCTCCTGAAATTCAGTTGTATAATAAGAGGAACATGTCTGTACAGTTAAGTGTGTGTGCGTGTATGTGTGGGTGTGGGTGCATGTAGCGTAAGAATTTGTAGAAACAGTGTTTTAGAAGCCTTTGCTTGTCGTCATAATTGCAGCTGTTTTACTGAATGACTTTGCTTTCACATATCTATATCTGTGCCAGAATTTGTGACACATTTTCTTATGTATAGCCAATAATTGTCATACTGCTGTGTTCAGGTTATGTATACAAAAAAACACACACACACACACTAACTTAGTCCTGATATCAAAGAAGTTTCTGTTTATAATCAGGATTCAGGTGAGCTTGAAGCACAGAGAAACTGTCATTAATCCTGCAGGAGGCAGTGAGATACATTCAGTGAAATGCTCTTTCAGTGTAAACTGCACAAACAAGCAGGAATCATAAATATACAAAAAAGTATGTCGTTCTGATGAAAAATAGTCCAGTTTAAATTTGAACAGAATCTTTGTTGAATGGTTGTAAATAACAGGGTACCAACTTTGAAATGAATATGATTAAAGATAATTTGTTAAATATTTGATATCATGCCTGTACATATTTCTTGTATTTGTCTGTGAATAACATATACAAGATGTGGTAGAATAATACAATCAATATAGCTGTTTATTGTGTAATGTCAAATCATTAAAAGAGTTGTAAGTAAAGAAGTCATACAGAATAAATACGAAGAAGTGTAATTGTCATGATGTCCCTCTAAAACTGTTTCTCATGATAAAGAAATAACTCTGTTTTCACGACTGGACTCAGAGGACTGTACAAACTGTTGTTCAAAAACACCGTAAGATGATTTAGAGAAAACCTGTGTGAGCTTCAAACTGCAAAGAGTCCAAAAAGAGCAAACTACAAACACCACTGATTAGAAAAGATCATTGTCACACTTATGTGTGGTTATGGAACCATACAGATACAATCAATGAACAATGCCAAAGAGGAGGAAAGCACTCTTTTCAAAGCAGTTTAGGACATCAACCTGGTCATTTATGGAGATATGCATCAAGCCAGAGGTCTCCTGAGGTCTTCAGTGACCTGAAACAGAAAAACAGTTTTCCTATTAGCCAAAAGAAACGTGGTTTTGTTGTTTTATTTTTGCACTTTTCTCTGTGTCCAGGTGATTTTTATTCACCCCTTTAGCCCTATCAGAGCAAATATCATGTATTCTTTAGGCTTTATATAACCCTTACCTTTCTCTGCTGTCACAAAACTTTGCTACGACTTACCTGATAACATCAGCGAGGCCCTGCCACATGGTTTTCACTTGGTAAGGGATCCCGTGTTTCTCACACAGAGCCTGGACCTGCGGAGCCACCCGGTGGTAGTTGTGGCGCGGCATTGTAGGAAACAAGCTTCAGAGGCGAGATCGAGAAAATCAATGAGAAGCAACAGTGTCAATAATGTTGATCAACTGTCTCTCAAAATTTTTATTTCCTACAAGTTTATTTTTTTTATAATTTACACTGCAGTTTGTTTTTGCAGAAAAATACAGCAGATGTGAACTTAAAAAGACAAGGAATGTGGGTCCAAAAGGAAATTCAGATAGGTGTGAAGGACTCTAATATGTTTTTATTTATAAATACTTTAAATAAACTATTAAAAAGCTAAAATGATCATACATTCATGATTCAGTACCCTGCGAATTTCCTTTTGAACCCTCAATCTTTCTCCGCTTTAACTCACTGGTGTTCAATCTGAAAGTTGAGGTGTCCACTGAACCAGTCGTTGAAGAGGGACTTCTCAATATTGCAGGTGGCCTGTAACTAACAACAGAAGATGAGACGATAAAGAGAGTGAGAGAGTTGAATAAATCAGCAGCAGCATTTCCAGGTGCTTTTCATCAGAGTCAGACTGTTTTCATAAAATAAAGATACCTGCATGGTCAGCCAGTCCCTGTGCTTCTCGTGGTCAATGTCCATTGGCAGATGGTTCATCTGAGTCACCCAAACAAACCAGTGACTCTCCAAAAACCTGCCATTCACAACAGAAATACACAGTTCACTGAACACTGTGATGCAGAATAAAGTGTCACTTTTATATACAGCATTTATAGACATGTAGAAAATATGAAAAGTAATAAAAAGTAAAAGAGTAAAAAGAAAAGCACATTGAAGTTTTTGTAGTCTGTAATTAACAAAACAACCTTTGATTACACCACAACTGAAACTTTAGTAAACAAAAAACGAAAAATTAACGATTTGAAAACTATAATTTAAACACTGTCTCAAATTTTGGTGCTTTGTGTCCAGCCCTGAGATTAGTAATTATCCCATTAACTCTTCAGATCCAGCTGCTTCAAAACTTTGTAGAAAATGTGTTTTTATAAGAGTTTGTTGTTGAAATTTTTACCTGACAAAGCTGATGAGCGCTACCGAGCCCAAGAGACCGTACAAGGGGATGTAGGAGCACAAGAAGCGAAGGTAGAAAGACATCGACCACGCCAAATCCTGCTCAAAGACAACAGGGTTACTGTGTTAAATATAGATTAGACGAACTAAATATATAATGCTCCCTAAAACTCAGCTCATCCACTCTTTAACCACTTTGTCTATCTCCACTACGGTGCTTGTTTTCCTTCAGTGCTGTCAAATACTATCGGCATTTTAAAGATCCTGATAGCAGAGAAAGAGTCAGAAGCAGCTTCTTACCCCCCAGTCGTGACGGGAAATCATTGTGCGGATTATCTGAACATGGAAGTAAACTGGAATCAGAAGCGGTGGGCCGACTAAAGAGAAAAAAACAACAACAAAACAGTCATTTGTGCTCAGTTTTTCCTAGTTTTAACCTCTTTTAAAATAAAGTAGAGACATACTGAGGAGGAAGTACTGGTGCTGGTGGTGATAGGGCATGTATTTAATCTTTTTTATGCCGTACTGTAACAGAGAGGGATAAAGAGTTAGCAGGAGCAGCTGGTTAAAGACTCAACATTGGTTCACACTGGATTTTCACAGACTGGTGCGCTACTTGCCTCCACAGGTTGAGTCGCTCCGATTACAAAGAAGTGCAGCATGTTGACGTCAGGGTCCTTACTAAAGATGTTTGGTTTAGCGTGATGCTGGAAATGTCGATGGTTCCACCAGTTGGCAGACGCTCCCTGAGAAGACGGTCTTTAGAAGTCTTTGAACACTTTTAGAAACTACTGAATGTAAAATCAAGAGCAGAAGTTACCTTCACATGGCCGATGACAAACTTTTGCAGCATGTGGTTCCAGCTGGACTTCTTGAAGACAGACAGGTGGCCGAAATCATGCTGCAGCCATCCAGCCTGCGACTGGGGGATTAAAAAAAAGGAAGACAGATTGCAATTTGTTGGCTGCAGAATTTGAATCTCAGTTCTTCAGTGAGTTACCTGAGCAATCGCTTGCAAGATGGAGCACAAGAAAGTCAGGGTCCAGCTGGTTCCCCAGAGCCAGATGATAAGCCAGGCGAGGACCTCCAGCAGTAGGATATGACCCAGGTGGAGACAAAAGAACAGAGGCTGGGCTTGAAACAGACCCTCTCTCTCTGCCTGCAAACGCAAACTGAGGAAATCTTGAATGATGGCCTCCTAAGAGCAGAGAAGGAGACATTAGCCAGGTTTAAGACAAACATGAACATTAGTGGACACGCAGTAGTACAAAAAGGATGCAGTTTGAGTTATTTAACCACAAATGAAACGTGAGTGGCCCGAACTGAGCTCTGTAAGACTCATGAATAAGAAACAGACCAGTGAACAACCCAGACTGACTTCATTTCCTCAGGTGTTTCTCTACATGTCACTGACACTACTACATGAATAGCGTGACGTTATTTCACATGAAGCTCACATTTTTGTCCCGGTCCTGGCTGTGCTCTGATGCTGCCAGCTCTCCAATCAGCAGAGGCTTCAGAAACTTCTGAACAAACTTCAAATCGGGATGGAAAGCAGTGAACGCTTCCTGGAGCAGAGAGAGGACAGATCCTGTCAGTGAGGCATTAAATAGAAAGTTGCACTTGGATTTTATCAAAATAAGCACCAACATGACCAATAAGAAAATCCACTATTATCAGCAAAATGTACTCAGGAACCAAAAGTGTAGTACAGGGTATGTCTAACTTGCTATGCTATATATTTGTGTGAAGAACATTTTAAAGTTATGACTTTGCTTTTCTTGGAGAGGACAGCTGAGGGGAAGCAGGACTGAGATATGGGGATGAGGGAGTTGGGGACATGCAGCAGTGGCTCACGGTTGGGGGTTGAACCATCAACTGCTGCAATGAGTACTATAGCCTCTTTTTATGGGACACACTTGGACCGCTTTGACGTGTGTAAACATTTAATGTTGCATATAGTCAAGGTGAGGTTAATTTTACTTTATACACTCTAAGAAAGTTTAGCTATCACAGCTTAAAAGGGCCACTTTATACATCTGTGTCCATTAAACACTGTTTGTCTCAGGTGGCTTTATGATCTGTAGAAATTTTGACACACCCTGTTTTTACTCCTCTGTTTTAAAAAGGAAAAACCTCATCCAGAAACAAATTAGGAAAAGTCAGGGGAAGTCAATGACTATAATACTCAGATCACATCATCTTAAAGTTTGGATGTGAAATACCTCTTGGATGAAGAGCACCAACAGACTATAATTACCAGCATGCCACAAACCAACATGTAGGGCACATGCGGTTTGATATTTAGTGCTACATTTTACACTGTAAACTGTTCTAATTGTGAATCTGAATTTGTTCCGTAACTATAGTTGCCAGATTAATGTAGATGACTAGGGCTGCTGATTGGACTTTAAACCTGCACTCAAGAGGTTAGAGTCATAATCCCAGTGGTTACTAGTTCGACTCCTGACTCCACATTTTCTACCCCTTGCATTTATTGTCTCTTTGTAGTTGTCTTATCCAAAAGGTGAAAATACCTATAACTATTTTTTAAAAATGTATAATTTTGGAAGAAGGGAAGAGTGGGGTAAGTTGAGCCAAAGGGTAGGTTGAGTCAACTTACCCCATATACGGGGTAAGTTGACCATAGGAGACCACTTTGTTTTTGTCATGCTATATTATCAAGACAGTTACGTTTACACTCATTCTGTTGGTTTGCAGGGATTCACAACATCTTGAAATATATACAGATTCGCTAGTTAGAGACAAGACTGCATTGATGTAGGGATCCAAAATATGAAAAATGGCTCATCCTACCCCACTCTCCCCTATACCAAAAGAAGACATAAAATTTGAAATATATGAGAAGCATAAATCTACTTAGTCATGTCTCATGGCTGACACAAGACTGCCAACACCCATACTGACTTTGATAATGTTCAACATGTTACCGTGGCATCCTCTCCAGCATAGTGACTGATGACCCTGAAGCCTCCCGGGTGTCTTTGGGCCCACTGCGTGATGTTGTACACCTTACGATCAATAACCAGCCATTGGTCGTTCCTGCTGCAGTGTCTCTGAACCTCCTCCCAGGTGTAAACTCCAGCGGCTTGGCTCTCTCCTGCCTCCGTCAGCTGGCCTCCACCTCCCATCCTCAGCACTGACTGTAGTCTGGATCCTCCACCTGCACTCTGAAACACAGACAGACAAAGTCTGACACCTGGATGTGAGACTGGTCAGTGTGTCACCCTCCTTCCCGACTGCGCAGGGGGAGCATTTGGAGCCGCTGTTTAACCTGTTGCTCTCTTTACTGTAAGCACCCAGCTGATTGGTGAAGTCAGACAAAGAGCAGGGCAAAATCTTCACTAATTATTGATGATGAAATCCGACAGGCAGGAGGCGGCAGAGGAGGAAGCAGGGCGGATTTTCACGTGTGGAGTGTGCATCATTTGGCCAGAACAGGCTTTAATCGTGGCCGTAAATGCAACATGCGTATTCTTATGTAGTTATATATAGAAAATACTCTCTACCAGTCCGTCGCTGCATCTGAATGTGAAATTTCAATATGAAGCAGCGAGTGAAGGCATTTGGTCGCAGAATACAAACACAAATGTAGTTCAGACTGAAAATCAGAGCAGTTCTGCCACAAACAGCTAATCAATTGACGTTAATCGGCTGTTTATCGATTAAATCTACAATAATGGCAGCAGACAGCGGGAGGCAGGCCCATAAGAAAAAAAGATGAGAAATATTTCAGACTTACAGAGCTCAGATTTGTGCTTCTCTCTTGCGGTATTCAGTCACATTCACACACCAGCTCACTTTGTTCACCCCTGCTTCCTTCGGGTTCATTTTAAGCTCTATACATCCCAAATTCTTCCTGCCGTCTTCCCCCCAAAATTCACGTACTCGTTCACTCACTCATTCAGTGCAAATTCCGAGCGGATCATTCGAGGGTTTGTGGGCCAATCGGCGCACAGTAAATCCCGGAGCACAGACTGCTGTGCAAAAAGGCTCAATAAACAGCTCATCTCTATGTCACCGAGTCTGTGGATATAACCACATGGAAAAACTCCCTTAATAAGGCCACAGTGATGAAAAAGGGAGAGGAACTCCGGGGCTTTACTTCAGCTGAAAATGCAAAGGATGGAGTACAGAATAAAACTCTTGAGAGGAAATAATGCGTCCAAAATCACCAAAGTGGACCCACAAAAGAGAGTTATTTTTCACGAGCGATTTATTATTCAGTATACCCATGCTGGGGCATTGAACTGTTAAGATGATTTCATACACTCATCACTCTACAGTAGAGACTGAAAAAGGTGGAGCTTAATCTCAATACTGGTAGTCTATTTAAAGCCTGCAGTAATTTCAAAGGATTTGAATCTGAAGGATGACAAACTAATGAAAGACAAATGATTTTGAGAGAAAACAGGCAACTATAGCATCTAAAATGTAGTGCTGTGTGGGGTAATTTCAATTTAGACTAGCATAGCATTACAGAGCTGTTGTCATATTTGAACTCAATTCCAGCACTGATTAAGACCACAAGGTGTTTATCTCTGATCTTTAATCAAATAATATGATATTTGACATTATGTATATGTAACTGTTGTCATATGAATTCTATATGATATACAACATAATTAAAAAAATATAATGTATGACATTAGAGAGGTCATATGATAAGTTGTGGCATGATGTTTGATCTGCTAGGCCATGATATGATATGATATGATATGATATGATATGATATGATATGATATGATATTATATGATACGATATGATATGATATGATATGATAGTGCAGGACATGATGTAATATGACATGATATGATATGGTATGGCATATCATGACATACCATGATATATGATATGATATGATGTTAAAGGATATATTTGATACAATTGGATTTTGCTCTACAAAATGTGATATGAAATAAATATGGTGTGACCTGAAATGATTTAACATAATGTGATATGTGTCATATGCAATGAAAAGACTTAGTGTAATGTGGCATGACAGGATAGAACATGGTATGATTTTTTAAGTTTATGCATTTTAATACTGTTAACATTGTTTCTGTTGCAATTAGATCGTGGGGTTGGTGTGAGGGTTTGGGCTGGGGTTGATTTCGGTATTCTTTTAATCTTGGGTTGGGGTAGATTTGGATATTCTTTGTAAAGAGTGATTGATTGATTAATTGATTTTTAGTAATGTGAATGTTACTTGATACATGAATTTTTGTTCAACATGGTATGATGTGATTTGATATTACATGCTATATCTTATAATACATGGTATATCATTTGATACTAAATGATATTAAATTAGATTTTATTATTGATGATGTAACATGTTATGCTGTTCAAATACAAAATATGTTATGTTGTTATATGTATCATCAAAGATGAAGATAAGATTGATATGGCATGTGAGATATAACATATGTGATGTTAAAAATGATGTTTGAGTTATGCTTACAATTTTTTATATAACTGTAAAAAAAAAAAGCTCTTTGACCTGTTTATCATGCAAACAATATGTATATACTTTTTTTTATCATGACAAATATTCATCTAAGATGGGTTGCAGATCTTAATAACTTTTCTTAGGGTCAAAAGTTTAACAGTGACTACTTCCAACAAGTAAATAACTAATGTTCAGCTAAATTAGGTTAACATATAAACTTATATATATGTTTTAAGTTTTTACAGAAGAAAAGCATAAATTTTGATTATTTCAGTGGGTTATCTTATTTTTAAAATATATAATTGAACAGAGGTAAGTTGTTAAATGTTTTTTTTGTATTACCCTCATTTACCAGCAGATGGTGCATATGAGGACTTTCAATCAGACACCTTCCTTGTCCCTATATAACCTTGAGGAGGCAGCAGCAGATATTATGACAGTTTTGGGTTGCATCCAGAGATGTGAACAAGGATGCCTTACAATCCAAATTAGTTGTTTTATTATTAATGACTTGCTCCTGATACATGTGACAAATGGTTGTCATCATCTGTTAGATTTTTTCACTCAGTGTATTTTCATATGTTTCCTGTACCAGCTAGATCATACAGAGCCTCATCTACATTAATGATGTCACATCTATGCAGCGTCCTGCCTGTCTATTCACTGCTTAAACTCCATTGTGTCATTTCAGGGTCGTTTCATTGCGGTGCAGAAATTTGCAAATCAGCTCTTTGGCTCCTCAGCATATCAGACAGGATTATCCTCAAGCAGCGCATGGCCTGTCTCACTGTTTGCCTGCTTCCTCTGCCACTGCTCATCAGGCTGACACACGCATTGTACATCTGACCCTCACAACTTTTCAAGGCCTTTCTCCATTATCACAGGCAATACAGAGGCTGTCAGGCGCACTACTGATACTGTCAAGTATTCAACAAAATCAGAGGTGGAAAATTCTGATAGATTTTGTAGGTTTTTCTGTTAAATCTACCATTTGAGAAAGTTTACACCCTCTTGCATCGAAGCTTGGACTTATGAACTATTACTTTTTATTTGAACATACATGTTCCTTTTAAGGTAAAAGTTTAATTTTGAACAATGAGGGAAGTTGAAATCTGTAGTTAGCTTTTTGTTGAAATAATAATCCAATAAATCATTTAAAAAATACATTCAATAAACAAAAACTCAAAAGTTACGCATTATGTCCACATCAGTGTCACATTCACTTATTAAGAAATACAAGAACTTAGAATAACTTAAAGATGATCTTTGTATCTGCTCTGTGTCAAAGCAGTGAGCAGCACACTGATAGTGAGTTAACTGGTCTTTAAAAAAAACTGCTGAAGCTAATGTGTGAGTAGTCCAATACAAAACAGCACAGTAGTGACCATGTTTGGCATGTCAAGGAAAAAAACTGTGTGAGGATTACTGAAATTAACTGGGCTGGAATGTATGCATAATAATATATAATATATGTGTGATGTATTGTTGAAGCTGACTGAGGGGAACTTTTCCGGGTTTTCCAGGTTTGAGTGAATTACAGAAATTCACTCAAACATATAAACAGTGGATGGACAGAGTTATAGGTATAGGGGAGAGTGGGGTCTCTAACTAGTGTATCTGCATATATTTCAAGATTTTGTGCATCCCTGCAAACCAACAGAATGAGTGTAAACTTAACTGTCTTGATAATATAGCATGTAAAAAACGATTGGTTTCCTATGGTCAACTATGATTTCCCTACCAACCCCCCACTCTCCACCCCAGCCCTCCTTCACCTTCTCTCTTCCTAAATAACAGTCACTTCTTCAAATTCATTCATGTGTAACTGGTACAATAATTCTTTATATTATCATTGCATATAGGTGCTAAAAAGCTGTTTTGTAAAAAGCCATTTTAACATGAGAATGTGTTAAAGTGATTCAGAACATTCACAGCTGTATTTTTGAAAAGAAAAAGTAACACATTTCAACAATCTGAACGGAAACTCTGATCCTCTCATCAGACTCCTTTACTTTCTCACTTGAGCCACTGGCTTAATTTACCCCAGAACTACTATTATGACTTAATTAGTCCTCTAAGCTAAAATGGTGGACTTTTATGTTGTAGCTCACAGATACCACAATTGGTGCATAAAACAAATTTAAAATGATCTTTTTTGGTCTGAACACAATTCTTATAAAACTTATGACAGACTAAATTCACTTTCAAGATTTAAATTTTTTTTTTTTTTTTTTTAATTAATGTCTAACTCCTTCACCCATGTGCTTCTAACCTTCACAGACTCCATGAATTGATGCTCATCTCCTAAATATTTGGTCACATGATCAATTTCTTTTACCATTTCCAAACAACAGGGGGTGGCTCAACTTACCCCACTCTCCCCTATATAGGTTGGCTATATCCATTTATTTGGGTGCACCAGTCATCCACTTGTGTGATCATGCTCGACTTTAGGCCGCAAACTATCAGAATAAAACAGTTCTTGTGTTTAAAAGAACTTGAGATCGTCAGTGGAAAAATAGGAAGGCTGTGTCACGAACCCACGTTGTCATCCGTTTTACAAAGATCCAAGCAAGATATATATTTTTTTTAATTTTGTTTTTATTTTTAGACGGGGCCTACCCTCATCTCTCTTAAACACACACACACACGCACAAACACACACGCACAGTGACCATGTGATGTGGATGCCCTCTGCTCCGGTTTCAGAGGAAGGGGGGGAGGCAGTGGTTCAATGTAAACTCTGTCACCGATGGAGGAAACACCAGGAGCAGAGTCACTCATCACTCCTCGCTGCACTTTATTAAAAAGTGTTGGTTTTCACTCGGATCTAAACTCCGGGAGTCCTGGGCCTTTAACGGGGAGCAGCTGCTTTAACAGGCGGACTGACTGACTCCTACTAACTGCTTTCTTTGCTGCCGGCAGGGTCACCGAGCTGCGCACTCATTGTGGACTTCTCCTCCAACACGAGCAGGCAGGCAGAGAGGCAGCTACTGACTAAATAATCCGGGGAAAGTGAATTCATTTTTCCTCTTACCGGAGCACGTGGACAGGTGACCTGGAAGTGGCGTGTGAACTTTTTCCTCAAAGCCTCGAAGAAGTTAGAGAAGAGAGGGTAAGGACTCCAGTGATCCATATCAGCTCAAAATTCAGCAGAACTTAGTTCAGCTCCTGTACCAGAGATTCTATTACTACTACTATTATTACTACTATTACTACTACTATTTTTACTTCTACTACTACTATTACTACTATTACTCCACGGTTTTTTAGTGATTTTCTGTTGGAGTTTTGAGATCAGTAAATGAAGAGACAAACAGACACCTGACAAAAAGCTTTGGCGTGACTGTCAGAGTGTTGATTGGCTCTGACCATGATGCTTTGCTCTGCTGGAGGGTTCAGCCACACACCAGCATCAGCTTCCAGGCGGAGGGTTAACTTGTCACAGACACTACCTCATCAAATGACTCTCTTCTGATGCACTGAGGAGTCAGGGGCTACAGGCCACAGCATGGGCAACTCCTCTGGGAAGGAAGACGAAGAGGAAGGAGAGGAGGGAGGGAAGGATGGAGAGGAAGCAGAAATCACAGAGAAGAAGAAAAGGAAAGAGGAAGAGGAGGAGGAGGATGAGCTTCCTCTAGGGGTGGAGGAATTGTTTGAGAGCGGAGATCCTGTGCTGGACTTGAGCTACAAAAAGTTTAAGCGTCTTCCTTTACGTGTTTGTGGACTGATGCATCTGGAGAAACTGTATGTATGTGGAAACAGCCTCCGCAAACTGCCTGATAGTATATCCAAGCTGCAGGGTCTGCGGATCCTTGCCATCGACTTCAACAAGGTGGAGGATGTCCCTCTGGCTGTCTGCCAGCTCACTAACCTCACCCGCCTCTACTTGGGCAGCAACCGTCTGATGAGCCTCCCACCTGAGGTGAAGAACCTGCAGAATCTACGCTGCCTCTGGGTGGAGAGCAACTACTTCCAGAGGTTTCCACGGGAACTCTACGACCTGCCTCATCTTAAGTCTCTACAGATAGGAGACAACAGGCTGAAAACACTGCCGCATGACCTGTGGCGTATGGCAGCTTTGAGGGGATTATGGCTCTACGGGAATCGCTTTGATACCTTTCCCAAAGTCCTGCTGCGCATGAAAGGTTTGGAGATCCTTGATCTGGACAGAAACAAGATATCTGAGTTTCCCAGTTTGAAGCGTCTCAAAGCTCTCCGCCTGTTCTCATATGACCACAACCCTGTGGATGAGCCTCCCAACGTTGGTGAGGAGGTGCTCGTGGTTGGAGAGGGTGCTGCTGAGTTCTTGGAGGCACGTGAGGCGAGGAAGGAAAGGCTGCGAAAGGCTGCAGAGCTGGAAGCTGAGGAGCTGGCTCAAGCAGGAGAGGAACCAGTAATCCACGGCATCTTAAAGAACAGCAGCTCCAAACAAGCAGCCAACGAAGCCTTGGCGAATGTAGATGATGCAGACATTATGGAGGAAGACGTAAAGGGGGAGGAGGACTTTACAGAGTATGATGGAGCTGAACTAGAATATGACCAAGAGGGGGTTGAGTATGAGACGGAGGAGCTGATATGTGAAGGAGAGGGGTTTGAGTATGAAGGAGAGGGGCTGGAGTACGAGAGTGGTCAGGTGGACTATGAATACGAGGAGCTGGAGCAGGAGGCGACGAGATAAATGGGCCTGAAAAACCCCACATACATCCACACTCAGACACTCTGCAGGCAGGTGGAGGTGGATAGCACTGAAATCATAAATACTTTATTTTTCTATAGAAGTTGAAGTAAGGTGTGGGGTTTCCTTAGCTGTGCTGCTCTTTCTTTATCCGATGTTAACTGTGAATATGACCTCTGAAGAGTTGTGTTACTGTGAACCTACAAAAGCTGTGACATCTTAACCAGTTCAAAATGACCACATTAGAGCGGGACTCAGGTAAAACGTGTGCAAGTGTATATGTGCAAGGCTCCGTGTGTGAAGTGTGTAAGTCTTTTCAGAATAAAGGATTTCTCTAAATGATCACCGGTTTGGAAGTCAAAAACGGTAATAGTTTATTTTCTATCTGTGGAGTTTTCTCCAGATCACAAGTTGATTATTTCATCCAAGAGCTAATGACAAGAGGTATTTTTGCTCATTATTTTGAGTCTCGTTTTCATCCTTCAACTGATTTAAGGCGAACAGGTAGGTCATGGAAAATACCATCTTGATGAGCTGTATTTCAACCACAGCTCTGATATGAATCATCCAGTGGAAGAAAAAAAGTAGAAAAAGTTCACCATTCTGACTTAAGATACCGTAAACTATCAACAAAACTGCTCTAAAAATAGTCCCGAGTAAGGTCATTTTGACTTGGATACACCAGAGACTGTCTTAAAACGATAATAAATATGTTCTCAGACAACAGCACTGTCTCTACATGTCTTAATTTTAAACCAGCTATTGCTTTCACACTGTAGTATTTCCAGTCATTGTCGCCAGTGTCTGTTTTATGTGCCTGCCAGTGCACTTCGACTCAGCTCATTGCTATTTTTATAAGTCAAGCGTGCGTGCTCATGTAAATGTGTGTATTGGATTTAGATTTACAAAATATTTATGACATGCCAAACACAAGCCCCCAGCCCTTGTCACTGTTGTGTAAGCAGTCCTATAGGGCCTGAGTGCCAAGAAAGAGAGGGAGACAAGCAGGATTATTAGAGGGATGAATAGCTGGGGTGCCTCACCATAAAAGGTAAGTGCATAGGGAGGCTCTAAAATATGAAATGGACTCAATTGAACAGGATTATATTTAAAATAAAAAAAATCTTAAACCACCTGTAGGTCAGCGAGTCAGATCTATCATGGCCTTTTATACCTCTGTCTCCTATATAAAGCAGGCTGGCCCTTGTCATCCTCTTATCTCTACACTAATTATTCATGTAGAGTTCGTATGTAATCCAATCCTCTGTCCCTCCACGCATCTTTTTCTCACATCTCATTGAAAGAGTAAAATATTTATCCCAAGTGCTAAAATATTGATGCTCAATCTCATGTGGCAGTGTGTTTCGACTACAGTATGCAGAGCAAACAGAGCCGTCTCAGACTAATTACCTTTTTTAAGCTTCAGGGTGTTGAATGAAGGAATCCTCATGGTTAGCCTCATACAAAACCATTAATTTTACATGGATGTGATGGTATTTTTGTTATATTAAAGATCCAGTCATTATTTTCACTGTTTACAAGGTGACTGCTTAAAAAAGGCTATGGTTTTAATACATCTATTCACTGCTAATAATAATTGTAATTATAGTTATACAGCCAATGTAGTTATAGGAGTTTGAGCTAATTTTTTCCTCCTGTGCTGTGATTGGTCAGGAGAGCTTGCCCCAGGAAACCACAGTTCATATTCTGTGTGAAACCCACTCACCCATCTCTTCCCGCACCTAAGCCAAATAATGGATTGGTTATTTTTATTAATTGACTACTTTAGTGAAGTTTATGTAAAGTAAACAGGCTCAAGATGAATATAGACTTAAACCCTGTGACCACCGTGGTCTCAGACAGGGACACAGACTGTTCAGTTGTAGTCACGTTCTCTTCACTGTTCTTACTCATACTTGGAGTAAGAACTGCTGTCCAGGAGAATCCTCGCTGACATGGAAATATCAACTTAGAGGTTAGCCAGTTTTGCAGAGAAGTAGACTTATTAACCAATAAACAATGCAGTCGCCCCCTGCTGGCCTATGGAAAGGATGCAGAATAAAAAAATCCAAGTACTACATCCACTTTTATCTATCATCTGTAATCTGTGATGTCTGCGATGGGGGAGATTTCAGCTCTGGCAGTAAACTGATAATGTAACATCACAGCAGAGCACAGCTGACCCTTAGTGAAGAGTATAAAGCCACAGCAAACACATGGTGTGATGCTTTTTTTTTTTAAACAAAAATAAGCCTTACTCTTCATTCTGCTGTATTTATTTTTGCTGCGGGGGGCAAAACAGTCCAACACACCGCAGAGGACACTGAGAATCAGCGCTGTCCTCAGTCAGGGAGTAATTATTATGGTTTACACTCCGCTCATTCTCTGTAGGTCACAGATACCCTGGCAGTCAAAGACAATGCATAATCTCCTTAACTCTTTCTTTGGCTTTCACATGACGCTGCAGAAATGTCCGTGCGGCAGCTTTTCAACTCAAAGAAAGGGGCCTTTACACAGATTAAAGTTACACATTATTTGGCAGGATTATTTTATAAATGACACTGATGGGAGAGTGATTGAGGTTTTCAGGATTTGATTGTTAGGCAATAAATAGTGCTACAACAACTTCTCTTTCATATCAAAGCATCAAAAAGAAACTCGACTTTATTTTTGTAGAATCATGCAGGTGCAGACGTGAGAGTCTAGCCCCTTAAGATGAACCTGAGAAACAGAAAAAGCTTTTATAAGTCCGAGTATACATGGACATAAGTGAACTTAAGGTGTTGTACTTATCTGTGTACCTGACCATGTCGTCACGGTTATAGGCATAGTCCTTTTTTGCACTGAGGATTCCTGCACGAGTGCACTTGTCTTTATCAGCATGATGAACAAACCTGAAAAATTAGGTTCACAGTATCAGTCAACCAAACAACTTCTCAGATATTATCTCGTAGTGGTTGATATGAGCAGATTGGTACTATCATACAGGCACTGTGAGGAGACTATAGGGACACTGTAATGTAATCATGTGCTGGTACACCTGATCACCTCTTGTTAGCTAACTAACGGCTATAAATAAGAGATTACATGGTTGTAAAGATCCACATCTTACAGCAGTTGATGGTGCTCAATAGATTGTCAATAGAATCGATCCAACTCTTTACAGTGCCTTATAGCTACTTAAAAGCACTTACATGCTCCTATAATGAGTAGTGAAGTGTGAACCATCAAAAGGTGTGTTAGGGAAAGCCTGGTTGTTTGGAGCATTAGAGATGAACCCAGTAGACTCCTAAAAAAGCACAATAGACCATTAAAAAACAGACACAGACATAAAAGCCCATCCTGAGCGGTTAGATAAAAATATGTAACCTTTACTCCGATGGTCTTCTTAGTTGGAGAATCACTTTTAGTCTTGGGTGAAAGCAGCACAGAGGTCTAGAGGAGCAGAGAGGACACCGAGGATAAGAAATTTAAATTTAAACACGCAATAAGAGATTGGCAGTGGGTCAGGACTTACCGGGTAACAGGCCAAGGGCGTGACGGCGCCTCGAGTGTATCCTGATTCTTGACTGAAACATCCACGCAGGCTCAGTGTGGCCTTATTGCCCTCAAAGACAAGCACAGCAAGACATGACCTTGTGTTATTTCATAAAGTTACTAATTTTACACCTGTGTGTAACATGAAGCAAGATCTGTGTCAACCTGTAAAAACGTTGGACACATGAAATCACTCCTCGTCACTGAACTGTAAATCTGCTGAGGGTCAACCTGAAAAACAACAACAAAAACAAGACATAAGAGCGGATACAACTTATACATCTGCTGCATGATAACTGATAAACATTATAAATCAGTTCTTTAAATGATAAGAATTCTATCCTGCAAACCTGATTCATTTTATAACATGACTTCTCAAAATACTTGCCATGGAGATTTTTCTAGGTTGTCGGTCTGTGTCCCTTGTAAAACCACTTTCTGTTTTTGGACCCACGGTCACAATGTTTTTGGGAACTGGTGGAATTGACAACATTAAAAACATCATGATAAAAAAACTTCAGGTTATGAGAAACTAAAAGGCAGACAGCTTGTTATGATTCGAGTGTATGCAAACAATGTTTAACCTGTCTTTCAAATCAAGTTTACCTGTTTGTGTTGAAGTATTCGGCTTATACATCCTTTGGTATTCTGTCTAAGGAAACACAGAAGAAGACAGTTTCACAGACAGTGACAAGTCATTGTTTGAGAGGTATTGCTATGTTTCTGTCATACCCTTTTCTCCAGAATTGCTGTTTTTGGATAACTCCTCAGCTGACGGAAGTCCCTCTCTCTGTGTCTATGAAGTAGATTTGTCAAAGAGGCTGAACCATCAGGTTGGACATGAGGCTGGTAGTCTTGTTTTGTTTGAGACATTAAGTTGTTGGACAGTGGAAGCCTCAAGGAGGGAACAACACGCCTGTATTTGTGATAAGTTTACACTATATTCAGTTTGTTAGCTTCCGAAGCCGAAAGCTAGACCAATATTTTTATCAATTTATATTTTACTTTTTGTTATAACTCATTGGTTAGCGTCAGACAAGTCCTAGATAGGCCTACCAGCTAAATTAGCTTGAAATTAGCTGTAGCTAGGCTATCAGAAGACATAACCTTCTCTCTTGTTTTGCCTTTAACAACCTTAATCTTTACTGAATGTTTGTTTTCACACATTATCTTGCTAACAGCGTTATAAGTGAGGAACAAAATGTGAGCTTGCTAGTTCTGCTAGCTAGTTTAGGCAGACGCCGTGTCATGAAGTATATTCTTTGTAACCTGAAACACAGCTGAATCTCTTGGGCTTCCCTTCCTGAGGAAATGGTTGATGAAATTATAGTCGATGGCTTTGTTTTTACTCAAGTGTCTCAGCAGCAGCTCAGAGGAATTTGGCCATTATTAATAATTTAATTTTTACCGCTGTGTTTTTCCTACTGTGACCTGTCACAATATCCTCGGTGAAAAAGTCACCTCACTTAATTTCCCGCTGAGGTTTAATTACCAAGATTAACTGAGTACACCTGAATGGGTAAGAGGGCCATTTAAGAAGTGAGCTAATGAAACAAAAACTGGCTGCAAAGTTGGAAGCTCTTCTTTCTTTTGTATAGTAGAAATAAACCTTTTACACGGTTTACACTACCCTGAATAAACTAATGAGTCATTTCACACCAAGTAAATTGTCCTATGCATAAATTTACCTTATAAAATAAACAAATGTCATTTTCAGGTCGAATTATGCAACACTTACACCATCTGAGGATTTTCAATGTAGTCCAATCTGGGCTTGTAATGAATGGCAGGTCTGTTGTTTACTGTAAAGCCAGAGTGGCCTGGTGGTTTTTGAAGGTGAGAAGAGAAGTTCACCATGCCAGGGTCTAAGACAGCTGACAAATGTTGGCCATCAGTGTTTGAATCATTGTACAGATGATAAAGTCACTTCTTTTCATACTGCAATGCTGGGATTTCTGTAAAGCACGTATTTGAGTGTTGGACTCTCACCTCTTTGACCATAAAACTCCCTGTAAGAAGTGTTGTAGAGATCGTCACTGGCTGGTTGTCCCCTGTTGCTTGTTGCTCCAACAATCGGCATGACTATCCTCCCCAGTCCATCCATCTGTGACTGCTGTAATGTAAACCCACAACAGTGATAGATAGCACAAATCCTCGGGGCATGTGCACAGTGCTGTGACCAGCAGCAAAAACTGTGTAACTAGATTGAAGGTTTGACTGTGTCTAACTCGACAAAAGCTCTGTGAGACAAAGTGATCACAGGGTTTGTAGCAAATAATCCAATAGGTGCTCTCTTTATTTATTCAAGTGTGGAGGAAAGTTCTATGTTACTCTGACCTATGGTTACTTTTGTTATTTATTTACACCAGGACCTACCACACAAAAAACTAACACTTACTCCTGAAACATACCTGCAGCTCCTTCACCTTTCTGTGTTGTGATGGTTTGTAGGTGTACAGGTGTCTGTTGCTAGGAGATCTGAACAAAACAGTCACATGACCTTGGCCTTTTCACATATGTACAGGCCAATAAACTTGATGTGCTGCATATTTGTCAGTCTAATGTAAATAAAACAATAAAGAAATATATTTATGTAATAATACCAATAAACCCAGTGTGTTAAGAATAAATAATGAAGATTTATGTATTCATCATTGACAGGTCCAATCTGTTTCTGTCTCATAGATTTTAACTAAATGACTCTTGATTGATCCATAGCTTGTAATATTTATACCATATTCACACATTTTAACTGATTAAATTGATAAAATAAATAAATAAATTCTAAAACATGTAATAATTAGAATAAAATCAAAAAGATGTAAACACTTAAAAACAAACTATGCTATAATTTATTATTCTGAGTGAAGTGAATCTCCTTAAAAGGGCAAATTTGCCACTTTTTCAAAAATGCATGGCAACAGTGAAGGAGGTTTCCAGAATGCTGGGGGGGCTTAAATGGACAGTGGCTTAAATAAAGCATCTCAGACAGAGGCTAAAATGAGGGTTTTCAAAGACAGCAGCCTGAAGTTTGTGAATAGTTTGTTGAGCTGTAGACTGTGTTAAACTACTGAGAAACTATCAGAGGAAGGATATAAAGAAAAAAAATAAGCATAATGCCCTTTCTTCAAGTTAAACTACAGGAGTAACCACTTAAGAGATCTTAAATCTGCTTACAACTACATTATAATGTGTGACCATGCGTTAAATATTAATATCATGTTAGCACTGTGGTGTGATGCTGGACATTGCATAAAGAAATCCAAATAAATTTAAACAAATGATTTCTAACATACCAACTGGTACAGTTCATTAATATGTAAAGGGTTTAGATTTTCTTTGTACGGATGTTTACCAAACTGTAAATACACCCTTTAAAAAACAATCAATCTATGTGTTTTACTTGTTTTCTACGTGTTAAACATAGAGAGTGTTTATTGTGCTTTTCTTTTTCCAATCAATACAAATTAGTTCTCTGCTTGAGTTTTTGCAAATGTAGTGAATGAATTTCTTTGCCTGGGTATAAATAATTCACACTAAAATTTCAGCCACTCAGTCCCACTCGTCTGTCCACTGGATGGCAGTGTGATGCCACAGTGACTCTGACTTAGAGCCAGTGTAAGGTTATGTAAAATGATGGATGGTTGGAAATTTGCATCACATCCTGATAAAAATGTTCCTCCCAGACAGAGGGGAATCTTTCTCTGTTGTTAGCGGGAGAAAATGTCTGTACACCATCTATACATCTAAACCCATACATCTACATTATCATCTCAGTTTCATACTCCTGCCTGGTGTGTTAAGGACAGTCTGAGCTGAACATCAGAGCAGTTTGACCAGTACATTTTCAAGGATGCTAACAACTCTGTAAACATAGTGTGAGCACTGCAAACACAGTGAGATTTCCTCCACTGCTTTACTTTCAAGCATGGACTGAGTTTTTTTTTTTTTTTTCCATGGCCATCTTTCCACATTAATTTCTCATTTCTCATAGCTTATCTTTTCATCACATTTCCTTAGACTCACACTGCATCTTCACCTCTGTCACATCTCTTCTTGCTCCTCTTTTTTCCTCCATCTGTCCAGCGTTGGCAGCCGGCAGAGCCTATCTTTACCAAGCTGTTGCTTGTATTACCACTCCACAGTCTTTCCTGCTTGACATGCTGTCGTGCTAAGCTTGGAACTGTTCATTATCGTCTTCAAAAGAAAAAGTGAAGACAAAGAGAAACTACAGGGGAACGCCTGCATCATTGAAAGTGACAGTCTCATTTCCTGCTTCTTTTCTCTTAAACACAATGTGCACATTATTGGCATTTCTAATTCTAATTTCAGAGGGATCCATACAGCATGAACAGACTGTCTATTTTCATTCCAGTCAAAGATTGCTGCTGTACTTGTCTAAAGACTCGTGTGATTCCTCACTTCGGCAAAATTACAATCTGATTAATCCTCATTTTAAGCTCTGAGCTGTCGCCAAGCTAAAGTCTCTATCAGATTGCCAATGATACTATGAATAAATGAAAAGCGAGAACCTCCTGCAACAGTTTACACTCGAGATGCTTCTAAGAAAACAGAGAGGAGCCTTAAAAGAGGAGATAAAGGTGCAATGCTTCTAAAAATAGACAGAGGTGATGCAAGCGAGGGTCTCCTGTTGTGTTGATGTGCTTGGCTCGCCTGCAACAGTCTGTTATAGTTCAGAGAGGGACGAAACCTCAACCCCCCCGTCTGCAGGAGCTCATCTGTGTTTCCTGTCCAGCTCAGCTCATGATCCGGTGCAGCTCCAGGTTTCTCTGTCGGTTCAATAACATGTTTCTATGTCTGCAATAGAATAGCATGGAATTAATATTTCCAGAGACATAAAGAGACAGCTCAGGCGCTAAGACCCGTCTTTGTGCGTGTCAGGTCTCAGAGGTGCTCTCTCTCTCTCTGCTTCAGCACCTCTCTGTTCTCAGTTTTATCTTCATCCTGCGTCCTTTTAAGACTTCTCTACTTAATAGGCAAATCTGGTATGGATGGCTTGGAATAAATTGCATTGTCATCTTTTTCCATTTCATATTTCAGTCAGCCCCAGTGTGTGTACTGTAAAGCTAAGGAGGTAGGCTGTGATGAGAAAGAGGGGGATTCAGGCATAAAATGAGACGTTCAAAGTCAAAACAGATCTCTTTCCTGTCATCTAGGAGACGGGGTGTTCTCTAACTCCACCAGAAACTGATTAATTTAACAAAAAGCAATCTCCTCCCCCTCACACTGTTGTTGTAAGAAATGACTTTGAATGTTCAAGTAATTACTGTTTATGTCTGACAGATTTAACCTGAAACACACACACACACAAACAGATGTTGAACTTATACACAAAGTGTCAGACAGGAAGCGGACTGTAAGAACAACGCAAACTAATTAACGAGAAAACCTGTCAGCATCCTTGAAACTGGGATGAAAGATTCCTTCAGATCATAGCGTGTAGTAAAATTAATTTACCTTTATGATGCTCAGAGCACAGCTCCATCATACATTTATGATTGCAGTGAAAGGCAAAACAACCTCTGCCAATTACATCCTCTATCAGCAAATAGAGGAGGATGTCAAACAAGACTGGTGTTATTAAGAGGTCCAATTATATATACTTGTATTTAATTAGACTGTATGCATGTCTAAGAATCACCAAACACTGTCATAATGTCAGCACTGTTGTTGTTCTTATTTTGTTCCAGGCCTGTCTTTTCTAAAGGGGTCCAGACCTTGATTTAAATGATTTTATACTGTATTTTAACTTTGCTGCACATATTTTTATTTTAGGCACAGAAATTTGAGTTTAAAAATAAAAAATCCACTATTGAAAATTTCCTCTATGGCCACGTTTTTATCTTAATGTGATTCACACACGCATGTTCTGACAAGTATACAATCCACCGTACACTAAGACTGTGAAATAACCCCACACCCACTTAACAGGGATATTAGAAGCAATAAAACAGCAATTAGTGCCACGAGATAGTGACTCCTTTCTTTGTTGTCATTGCGAGGCTTTGTATTCAGACTGTGGCTCTGACAGTAAAGGACTTATGCCTGTTTTACTGCTCATCTATTCTAGAGAAGACTGTCCAGATCCAATGACTCAAAAACTAAGGTAACTTAAGTACTTCTTTAATTTACTGAGTATGTATTACTTTAAATGAATTTGTACATTTTTCTGTTGTTTGCTGACAAAGCTAAAATGGAAGCTGACATCTTTCTTTAGGTCTGTTGACCTATCAGAGGCTGTATCTGCCATCAGCTGACATGCAGGCGCCCAAAAACCCGGCTCTCCATCTCACATTTGTGTTGTTGACACAAAAAACTTGATCAAACCAATGTTTTTTCACATACATACAAAATTTAGAGGAATTAAATAAGAGATTGATACGGTATTTGATCGATAGGCAGAAACAATAATAGTATTGGTATCAGCAAGATCTTCTCTTTTTATATCCCTAACTGGATGTCCATCATCTTGTGTCGTGCTGAAGCTGGTTAGGCTTGACGTTGTCATGTTGCATATATTATTCTGGATAATTTGTCTGGACAGTACTTGCCATTGTTTTGAACTGTTGAAGTTAAAAGAAATAATGATAATGACAGCATGAGTCATAACAATAATAGTACCTTCCCATGAAGCAGCAACTGTCTGGTCTCATTTTAAAATGTGACTAAAAACTTGACAAACATCTCTTTAAGTTACAGTAAGGACAGAGATGTGTGATTGATGTTCACGAGCTGAGCATTGACAATTATGCAACTGACTGCAATGGCAACGACTTCAAACTTGGTTCCAAAGGTTTGACCATGACCCTTTTCAGACATCACTGCTGTGCACAAAGGGAATGGTTGACCCATTTTTGCGTGGGAGGTGTGACCCAAGCCTGAAAGCTAAAAATCAGCAACACCAAACACTGATGCTGTGAAGGACGGTCTTTTTCTCAAAAAGGGTTTTCTCAGTCAAGAGCTGAGCTGTGCCTCAATATTCACTGTAAGAATAATGAACGACTTTTATCCCATTTTCATCTCTATTCAAATGTCCGTTTTTGTGCAAACCAAACCTTCATATTAATTTCACTACCAAGCAAAACCAAGATCTGGTTGCAAAATAACTAAACCAAAATACTTGCACTCTCTTTCTGGCAATGCAGATTTTTGAGATATAACCTTGGCCGTGTACTCTCTCTCAGTTTTGCATTCTAGCTAGAAAACTCTTCAAAATCGCACTCAAGATGGGAGTGTCATTTGTGTTGCAGCCGTTTGGTGGGTAAAATATACCGTGTGTACATGAACGATATTATTGTCGCCGTCTTATGTCCCCCCTGTAGTCGGTTTTCTCAACTTAAATTATTAAGATAGATGGTGTTCCACCTGTGAGTCTAGTTCTGTTTGCAGCTTCTACCTGTTAGATATTATGACAAAGAATATGGTTCAGATAAGATAAACTAAGATGATCCCAAAAGATGATTCATCCTCTTTGGATCATGAACACAGGTGGTAGATAGCATGTTGCATTTAGTCAGCTACACGTAGGTCTGCTTGAGTTGTGTTACTATAAAACGTTTATCTGAGAGTAGTTGTTTTGGTGAGAACATTTTAATCTTACTCTGTTGTAATAGGGGTGCTGCTACTTGTACTTGTCTGTAGCTTATTCTTATTTTGCTTTTTTTTTGTTTTACACTCAGTAAGGTTCGGCAGTATTTTGTTATTGAAAATAAAGATAAAATTGTATGCAAGCTGTGTAGTGTGACTCTCAACCATCGCAATGCGCAACCATCACAGTCATGTGGACATTAACTTGCAAGAACGATTGGAGGGTGGTGCTAGCTCTTCTAATGTTAGCCACACTCAGCATCAATTTAACACACAGACTCAAGAGTCATATATTTCTTGTTCTGTGATGTCTCTACAGTATAAATGACAATCATTCAATAAAAAAGACAATATGGCAGAGAAAGAGAGAGAGCATTGAATCCCCAGACACACATGTTGTAAAAATGATTCTTTAATATGGAACAAAATCAGAGCTCAGCTCCAAGGATCCGTCCACCCAACACACTCTGTAACACTGATAGGCGGAGGAGAACGAGAAAATCAACCAGTAAGATCACAGTCCGCTCGGCCAAAAAACAGGAGAGGCTTTAAAAAACATGGAACGCAAAACCAAAGTGCTACCAGGTTTGACCTCGAGATGCCCTCACTCCCTCCCCTCTGGACCCAGGATGAGACCACATGCTGCCTCACTACTGCCTCCTAGGGCTCTCCCGCCTCCTCACCCACCTCCCCTGCTGGAGGTCACAAGCTCATTAACTTGCTGACCTCTAGGAGCCAGGTGGGGTGGGTGTGTAGGGGTGGGGTTTGGAGGAGAAGGAAGGCACATGTGCAGGTCTTTACTCTGGGTCTGTTGTTAGTTTATCGTGAACACAGACAAGACGTCCTGGTTATTAACATGGCTCCAGTGGAAGTGTCTGTGGTTCAGTCCTTTTTTTTTCTCCCAGGCTACATGAAAATCTAATTACCTTTAAAATGCTTCTCAAGCTGAGATTCAGATGGAATGTCTAAAGTTTTTAAGGAAATGAGACGAGACAGGAGGGAGAGGACTTCTGCAGAGGTCGCCCAGTAAGAACCCGTTACTACACTAACACCGGGACATCAACAGAAGTACTACACAGATATGTACAGAGCAACCAAGCAACACATCAGAATACTGAGTAATAAATCTGGTGTGGGAAAAGGGAAGGTAATCATAGTCCACTACAAAATGCACATATCCCACTACTTTTACATGTAGTTGGTCCAATCTTTAAGGCTATTCTCTTGCTCTTGCTACAAACATGGCAGCAGGGACGCTGCCACAACAGGAATTTGAGTCACAAATCTGTGCTTGACATCCGACTATGGCTGCTTTGTGTTTCTGTGAGCTGAGCTGGCGGATGCTCTTCTCATCTGAGACATAACAGAGAGGACGATTAAAGACAAAAATATAAAGGTATGACCAGGTATGAAGCGCATGGATCTTCTTTCTTTTACTGTGAGCTGAATCCTTCTCTGGTCCACAGAGGTTTGCAGGAAAAACAAGGTTCTCTACAGTGACGGATGAGAGTTGCTAATGGACAAAGAATTACACATAGATGAGGAAGCATGGATTACTGGGAAATTAGACTCTGCTAGTGTGCACATTACCAGCCGAATGGGGGAGTAAATGAACAATCGAGTAAGAGGAAGTGGAAATCTATACGTGGTGGATTAAAATGAAGAGTCGTAATGGCGAAGCAGATGAGACACGGACAGAGAGAAAGTGAGAGAGGGCATCTGCCAGCTTCAGCGAACAGTCATCCTGCACCTTAACACACTCAGTGTCACACGACAAACTACACCGGAGAGAGAAAGAGAGAGGAAGGAGAAGGGAGGCACTGCACAGAGAGCACTAGCACTACCATGGACGGACACACACCTAAACACACACGCACACACATACACACTACTGCACAGGGTCCCGGTCTGCGTTCCACTGCACTCTCCTGGCTGCCAGAACCTCGCTGTGTCTTGTCAAGGCAAAAGAAACTTTGAAAAACAACAAACCAACCGATTAAACGAACAAACAGACAAAAAAAAGAAGAACAACACACACTTTTGGTTCCCACTGGCAATAATAAAAAAATAAAGCAGAAACGAAACCTAGATTATAAAAAGGGCCAGTGGCACCAGGTTTTACAGAAAGCATTTTCTCAATGACTGGCTTTTGAACAGCTCTACGCTTTTTCTTTTAGTCTACCAAGTATATACTATTAACCTTACCAGGCAGCTAAAATCTATACAGTACTGTCATTTTTCATATATTTATAGATATTTATACACTATACAAAGTTGGCAAAAATACATAAATAAATACATTAAATTAGATTGTACACATCACAATTGTGTGTTTTAAATTAGAGCACTCTTTGTTGAAGAGGTGGGCCATAGCAAGTGGAGAAAGGAGGTGAAGAAACAGGAGTGTTACCCTCGACATCCCTCAACACAAACAAGAGTCACATTCTGACTCAGTGAGTATAATTTCTCCATATGGCGTTACATAGATCAAGTGTATTGCTTATTACCTACCTGATTCAAAATGTCCACGTTATGGCAGGAGTTAGAGGCTGCTCTAACTGAAGTCTATTTACAACCAGCGAGGAAAGAAAAATATTCTGAAGGATCTGGTTTGAGGGGAAAAAGGGAGAATATATATTTTCAGTGCATCAATACACGACAGACTGTGTAGGTGTGTATATATGTGTGTGTTTTTGTGTGTGTGTGTGTGTGTACTTTTCATCTCCCTGTGAGACTCCCTCTGAAAGATGGTATTACAGATGTGACAGGACTGTGTCCACTGTCCTTCCTGCAGACAGCTGCTGGGAGTATCTGCAGTGCCATCGCACGTCTGCGGTTGGGACAGTCCTTAAAACAATGTCAACTAATAAGCTCCATCCCCGGGCCGCACACACGCCCAGATGGATACGTATACGGCTGCAGCACGTTGAAAATAGAGAAGAGGGCGCGCAGACACTTTGCACGGTTAAAAACTCGACTACAGTCCAGTGCATTTCGGGAGCAACAGCGGGATGAGTGTTTGTTGGTTGAGAAGGCACAGGGCACAGTTTGGACATTTGGAACGATAAATCTTTAATCTCTATCGCAGTTTTCAAATGATTAAGAACCCTGATTTCCCTTTCATCTGCGAAATTGCCACTTACAGTCTGGCTCTTGCTCTAATCCCGGGTCTTTTTCTTGTTCAGAAGACAGGCATATTATGTGGTGAGTTCATGGCAGTCAGTTGTGCTTAATCATAATTCTACCCCAACCCCCCCCCTCAAAAAAAAAACAAAAAAACAAGGGTTTGAATCATAAGCATGCAAATCGTCTTTATGGGGTCAGAAGGATGCTGTACGTCCTTCTTTCACTCTCTCCCCAGTTACATGGCTGTCCCTATGTGTGGCCTCCAGCAGAGCAATAATGACTCCAAATTCAATGAGGAAGGCATCATCAGTGTCAGTACAGGGCCAATCCTGTCTAACACAATGGCATTACAGTAAATCCCCGTGCCTATGAGCAGACAGGGTGAGATGTGATGCCAAGTGACTGGAGCAGACTGACTCTACAGGGAGGAGAACAGTTCTCTCATACAGCCAAAGGAGCTCCTGTAGTAAAAATACAAAGATAGTGTGTGGCGTAAAGAAACACAGGCTACAACTGGAACCACTCATGTATCTCTTAGTCTCGCTTCTGGAGGTGTGGGTGGTGGAAAGGGATGTGGCAGTGTTGCTACAGTGGGCTCGAGATGTGTCGGGTATCACTCCTTCCCTTTGTTTCTCTTGCCGCGACCTCACAACACCTTCAACAAAAATACAGCGGACATCAAAAGCCCTTATTCAAGAAGGGCAGGTATAATCAGCTTCAGCGTCATCAACATCACCACTGTTAGTCATGAATATCATTGTTTTCTTCATCATTTCAAGTGACAAATGAAAACTTGGTGTACAACAAATGTTAATTTTTCACCAACGATATTTACATAAAGTTTTTCAAAAACAGAAGGTTTTTCTTATCACATTTTTGTAAAGAAATTAACCCAACACAAGAACATCAAGCACACACATACATACACACTGACCAACAGTCAAATGTGAACAGAAAGAGAAAAAGATATTATTACTCATTATTGTTTTTCATGATCATTATGTTACCATTCAAATAATGCTTACTTGAACCCTGATTGGGAGGAGTCACATCAGGTTTTTGCACCAGATGCTTAAAACAATTGAAAGGGTGAGTTGGGGGAGGTGAGGTCCGTCTGCAAAGGGTGAGATTTGCACAACTACTGACTGGACAAAAGACAAAGGTGAGGCAGAGCCAGACTCCTGCGCTGACTCAGCCGTCCTAATATGATTCAGCAGAATAAAACATCATCTGCAGTCCCTCCAGGATGAGATTACTACAGCCTGATTTTAATTCAAACACACATACACCTAAAGCGCATTGTAGCCTTAATTTAATATTGCACAAACTACAGCATAGCAGGCACCTTTCCAACAGAGTGAGTCATTGACGCTCGTCTTAAAAAGGTCCTATCCATCAAGGCAAAGTAGCGTCACAAGATACAGAGCTGAGAGGATGACAAGGTCAAACATTACCATCAGACTCCGAAGAATATCTTACTAATCCTTCGGCAAACAAGTGTGACCTCCTCAGCTAATAAAGCTTTCTCTTATTTAGAAAGTAAACAGGACAGGGAAGGCTGCTGGTGACAGTGATAAATTTGGCGGGACACGCGCACGAATTAACATTTTAGACCGGAGAAAAACTCAAGGAGATGGATCTCGGTGCACAAAAAGTGAAGAACAACTGAAGCTGAAAGACATGAGTTTCTCTGAGAAATAAAACAACCAATCACAAAACTTTTCAGCTGCTTAGGACAGAAGAGGAAATGTCAACCAACCTTGAAAGTTATGTGCCTTTATGATATCAAAATGAACAAACTAGTTTCAACAACAGGCAGAGTACAGCCAAGCTAGCAATAGTCCTATAATGGTAAATGTTACTGACAAATTCAATAAGGGCAATCATAATCCATAATATACATAATATTATCCCTACATTTCACTGTACATACACAGTATATGAAGTATGCACTGTGGACACAAGGTAACAGGCAGTAGCAGCTGACATTCAGGAGAATTTTAGTTTTGAGAAATTATATAACCTCTTCTTTCTGGCACCAACAAAGTTAAAAACGGACATTTCAAGATTCTTATATCGCCTTCTCCTCCGTGGTGGCTGTTTAAGTTTGCCTCCAGTTTTACTCGCTTCTTTTACTCTTTTCTTTTTTGTCTTCTAGCACAAACAATGTGAGTAAATTAACTTCCTTTAAGATGCCTTGAAATAGGATCACGATTTCACCTTTTGTGAGTGAGCTTCCTGAATAGCCCTCAGTATCGAAAACATAAAACACAACATTGAGAAGTAGAGCTAAATAGTTAACAATTCATAGACACAGCACTAGTGTCTATTTAGGACTTAAACTGAAAATAATCCCATCATGCAACACACTGTATTCCACAAAAGAGGGACTGAAAGCCCCGTTGGAGCTCCTAAAGACCATGAATAAACATCCAAACCCCAGCCAGCTGCTGCTCTTTTAGGTAGCTTATGCAGACTTTAACACAGCCCCTGTTGATCATCTTAGTTTGTGAGCATAATAATGTTGGCTAATTTGCACAAAATTTGCATAAAAACTAAAACTGTTTCGCAGGGATTTAGTCAAAATAACCACCAAAGTACGGAACAAATTAAAACTAATAAGGACACGGGGAGAAACGTGAACAGACCTCCAAAGATATTACAAACTTTAAGGGAAACTATCTGTCCAAAATATTTCACCAAGAATCAAGAATATCTTCTTGAAGCTAGAGGAGGAAGAAGACACGCAGACCCCTGGGTTCACTCCAACAGAATGAGCCCCTCAATGGCTGAATGGCTTCATGACACTGAATCCAAAAGTTATTTACTTGTTTTTCTCTTTTTCTCCAAATGACTGACTCAAATCCCTCGACTCATGCTGCTGTTTTAGTGGCAGGAAACCAAAATTCACTGATGTGAATTCAAAAGAAATTTGCAGAAAACTTTGAAACATAAACCAGTGTGTGGCGGTGGGCTCCAGATTGAACACTAAATAACATAAATTGGGGAAAAATATCATTTGCATAATTGGAAATCTGTTCTGAGGGTTTTAATTCAGAGGCAAAGTTGTGGGCAGTGTTGGCTGTGTCCATCATCTTTAGTTCAACTTTTTTAATGACACAGTAATCACCCACACCTGCAGGTGCCATTTGGCTTCCACAGAGAATGAGGCGCAGATGAAAAACAGAGCCGAGTTTGAACACAAGAAGAGACCTAACAGAGTGGAGATAGTTCGAAATGAAAGTCCTGACCAGGAGCAGCTGCAGCGCTGCCTCGCAGTATTCATGAGCTCAGGGTAGTTGAAGGTCACTGCTCAGAGAGATGCTGCCAACAAAACGCAGTACGTTTGGAGGTGTGAGACAGGTGGCAGCGCAATAAAAGTGGGCTTGGAAACTGCTCTCTGCTTTTTACAGTCTAGCTGTGAGCTCGCCATCCATTTTAATGTCGCTGTTGTTGGGTTTGCTGGCAGCAAGAGCACAAAATGACTATTGGTTCTTTTAGGGAGTGTGCCGCTTTCTGAACACTGTGATCAATTTTGTACCGCCGCAGTACGCAGCAAAAAGCAAACACTTATTTTGAATTGAATCAGCTCACGATGTACTCACATTGTCATATGATCCTTTATTTATACAAACGCTGCTTGTGTTACTCGTGATTACTTCATGAGAATCAGGTTTAAGAATGAACTTCTAGAGGAGAGGATATTGTGCAGTTTATACAAATGACTTTTTCATTGATTTCATGATTCAAGTTTAATACTGCATGATTTGGAGAGGAGCTTTTGTACTTAATACAGGTAAAGAACACGTGTCAACAGAAGTACCAGCACCAGCAAGATATAACTGTGTTTGTTCATTTCTTTCATTACCTCTACATCAACTCCAACGCGACTAGATCTGCAACTCAGCTGGACCTATACTGTTTCTAAAACCCCGAAATAAGTTTCAATAAACCTTCATGATTAAACATCGCAGTACACCAAGTCTCAACAGAGTCTCAACAGACGTGTTTTTGACAGAAACAAAAATACGTTGCCAGCTTGGTTTACATTGAAGACGCAGGCCTTCTTCCTCTCAGTCTTGTAAGTTTTAAAAGCTTACCCCTGCAGCCTTCCAGCCTCTGGTTTACCTTTGAGGATCAGCTGCATCACATCTTGGCTCATGTTACTAAAAATAAAAGCATATCCTCCGGTTTACAGGGCCGCTGATGACTAAGCTTTGTAAACTCCTGTAGCACAGCAATTTATCACAACTTGTGCAACATGTAATCTTAGCGAAAGGAACTGGCAGAGGTATTTTGTTGACTCGCCACCTGAACACCTGCACATTCAAACCACCGTTTGTTTTTACAACTTCAGCAACGATTGCCTACCAATTATTTTCCTCACTCTGACCGACAGGCCTTTATCCCCCTCCATCATCCTCGTGGTTACTAATGAGATTGTCAATGTTTTGTATAATAATAATCAGCGAGCATTACCTCTGCAAACAGTAAGTCGCTGAGGCTCAAGTGAGCAGATATTGCTCCTTTCTGACCACCTAATGGGAGTGTAATGTGCTGTGACACTGCAGGCAGTAGCTGTCAAAACAGTGGGCCCTGTTTCACGGCTGGCCAATTGTTCTGAAGGGTGCTGGACTGGATCAGTGCATCTCAGGAGCCAGCACCAAGACTCACATGAGGCACACTGGCTAGGACACACTTACAGGACACAGAGTGCTCACCAGAGTGGCTCACACTTACTCTCTACAGAGTCTAACCTAAATTAGGTTAGACTAAAATAACATAATCTGATTACCAACAGCATTGTGAGTAATAGTACTCAGAGCTTAGTCCCATAACCCACTGGTGATCATCTGATGACTATTTGTGCCTTGTGGAATGATGGTCATGTTTAAGGTAGCCAGTGGTTGGCAACAAAAGGATCCAGCAGACTTCCTTTCATTGTGCAGCCTGATCATCAAACTGATAAATCAAGAGTTCAGATTAAAATTTCTGATGCAGATTTCTGTTCATAGAGAGAATTTTAAGGATTGTCAAATTAATGTTGATGGGATGTCATTGCAGCAGATTTCATTCTTAAAGCCTATTGCTACAACTCTACCTTGACCACAAATGGACAGCAACCAGACACCAGAACACTTTTGATGCTTAAAACCAGACCTTCAACGAAATATCAGGGAAACATTGTGGATGAGACAAAAGTTACGAGTCAACTTAAAAATGTGAATATGTGAATAAAGGTCTTTGTTCTTGAAAGGTGCAATATAAATTAAGTTCATTATTATTATTGAAGAAATAAATAAAGTTGAAATATTACAAGATCAAAGTCTTATTACAACAGGAATAAAGTTGTTTTATTTTGAGATCAAACTTGTAGTAAAGTCATGAGTTTTAGACTGTGGTTTGATTTTCTGTTATTTTGAAGGGGCTTGAATTTGAACGAAGTTATAATTTAATCAAAATTTTATTAGAAAAAAAACTCAATACACAGTCTTGGCAACACACTCTCTGAAGTTTTAGGATTCTAGATTCATCCATTTTTTAAAAACAAACAAGCTAACGGGCAGTCTGCATCCACTGCTTGTTAACAAGATGATCAATGGCCCTCGCTGTAAAGTAATCAGCTGGCTGCTCTTCTGATATCACTCTATATGTGATTTTAGCCTGTTGATAGATTAACTTTAGCCAGCAATCCTCACTTCCTTCTCATAAAATTGTAATTTCATTCTTTCAATACTCCAACTTTATTACCGTTATAGAACAGATTTAATCTCTCTGACATTTTCATGACTTCATCGTCACGGTATTTAGTGATGCTTTTTCTTCTGTAATGTCACCCTCATGCAACCCTGGCTACAGATTCTATATTTTAAGGTATAATCTGTAAATTAAGATTTATAGTAAGAAAATAATGCAGCATTAACAGAGGCAATGGTGTTTAAACTTCACAACAAATAAGTGATTATATTTGCTTGCTAAGTCAGTCCGATTACAGAGCTGTTTGAAAGGTGTTTTCTCCCTTAAAAGCAGCTTCACTTCAATGATTTCTGAAGAGCTGACAGGATTACGCTTCACAGGACTTTAGGAATATGAAATCCCAGACAGATTGACAGCTACATTAGCAAAGTACAGTGAGAGAGAGAGTCTTTAGGAGCAGCTCTTAATGGATGATGGTTTTCGTGTTGCTGCTTTATGACTGTTTTTATTTACGTTTAAGAAATACAGAGCTTTGTTGAATGTGCCTGACAAACGGGGGAGCTTCCAGTACACTCTGTGGTGCTCTTAAGCACTCAGAGAAGAGATAATGTCTAAAACGCTTCTCAAGTATCTCAGAGCAGTAGCATCATCTAATATTTCCCTCTGTATTCAAAGCCTGGCCATTCATAGTTTCTGAGAGCCTCGATATCTACAGTATTTCTCACCTTTAGAGCTAGAAAAATACACATCTTCTTACTATTCAGCATCACAGAGTCAACCAGGTTGACCCAGGCGCTTCCTGTTGATCAACACATTGTGCAACAGCATCATAGCAATGTCCGGCCTCTATGTGACAATCACACACTGATCTCTCCATCCTCGCCTGACATTTCAGACACTAGCAGCTTGCCACGGGGAGTCTGGTAGCTGACACTTACACACACGCTTGCACTCAGGCACACGAACATGTATGCAGGTACATTGAGGACCAAAAAAAAAAAAAAAAAGAGGCACGGGAAAAGGAGGATGAGAGCCCTACACCCATCCTCTGTGTCCCCCACTTCATCTCCAAACCCTGAAATCACAGAGCAGACGTCTCCTCTCCCCAACTGCTGCTCACCCTTTCAGACTCTCCTCCCTTAATTTTGACCAGTACTGTAATCATCATCATCATCATCGTCATCAAAACTATCATCAGCGTTATTGTTATTATTACATTTTCAAAAAGTGCAGAGAGAACTTCCCCGTGCCCTCGTTTGGAAGGCAGGGCAGTAGAGGAGGATGGGGAAACGATGGCAGTAAGAAGAGCAAGAAGAGCGCAAGAGGAGAAAGAGAAAAGAGAAGATTTCTGCCCAGGCTGGATTGTGTTGCTCCCGTTGACACAAACACACACACACACAAACACACACCCAAGCAAGGCAACAGGCACACATTAATGCAGCACACCACACGAGTCTAAACTGGGGAAGATCGATCCCCATCAGCACAAAACAAGAGCACAGGGCAGCACAAAGGAATCGTAGCATCAATAAACAGACAGAAGTGTCCGTGTGCACAAACAGCACACTCTTAGCTATTTACTTCTGGTCTTTATTTTAACATTGGAAGAAGATTTGAAATTGGTTTCCTCAGTTGGCGATGCTGAAAAATGACATCATCGATCATGGGGGATTCGTTTGCCGTGTTTCTCTTTTCTTTTCATCTTCTTTTTTCTCTCTCTGTGTCAGGGCTTCATGTCTGGAAAAATCAGGAGCGATCCTTTTTCACAAGTTTGTAGTGTTCCCAGCTTTCCCAGCTTTGGAAAGTTCAGTTTAGTTGTTTATTTTTTAATCTCTATTTTTTTTCTTTTTTTTGTTGTTGTTGAGCTACAGCACAGCACCCACAGCACACAGACGACAAGAGGGCACGGAAAGAGCATCCAGAGAGAGCGGAAGAGGGGAATCCACTAATATTGTGCCAGAGGAAGAGAAAGAGGGAACAATAGAAAAAAAAAAAGGATGATAAAGAAGAGTCTAGGAAAGAAAAAAGAGGGGGAGAGAAGAGACAGCAGTATCAACACTTTCATCTTGAGTTCAGCTGGTTTCACACACCGAGTATTGATTGCTTTTGACAACTTCAGGCTGAACATTAAACCTTTTTTGAGCAAAAGGGGGGAAGACTGAAATGAGAAGAGGGTATAGTACACTTGAGACAGGTGACAAGGAAGAAGAGGAGAAGGAGACAGTCGAGGAGACAGGGAGGGAACCAGCAGAGAAGCTCTGAATAACATACTCTATACTAGTCGTGTGTATAGGGGGACGTCTGCCAATCTCTATGCTTAATATATTCATATGTATATGTACATATAGTACATACAGTATAGTATTGTGTACCTGGAATAGTCATACAACAGGATTATACGAGATTAGACCGTTACTTAAGTTTCTCTGTGATCCCGTGGGACTGGCACCTTAAATGGGTCAGGGTCTGCAGAGCAGTTCGGAATCAGGGGCAGACAAAGAAACTGAACATCAGACCTTCACAGGCAAAGTGCATACGGACAGACAGGAACACAGACAGTCAGAAACAGGGGGGGGGCCACTGGCAAAGTGGGAGGACACAAAAAATTAAGACACAGTTGTATGAAGAAGAGGAGAGAGAAGATTCTGACAGAAAAAAGAAGAGTTTAAAGGTTTAAGAGAGCAGATGGCTAATTGTACCCGTGTTTCGCAGCCTGGCAGCAAGTCAGTCTTGTGCATAAGGACAGGAGTGGGAAGAGGAGGAGGAGGAGGAGGAAGAGGATGCGGGTAGGGTCGAGGGGGAGCAGGAGATGAGGAAGGGGCCATGGAGGAAGCTGGGCGGTGCGATCAGGCCTTGAGAGCGTGCCACTGGGCCACGTTAGTGCGCGGCCGAGCGAGCATGTCTTTCCAGTGCTTCACCTCCCCTGGTCCACTCTTCCACGATAGGTAGATCTGACAGAAAGGGAAAAAAGAGAAGAAGTGAAGATTATCCAAACATGTAGGTTTTGTTTTTGCTCCTTAAAGCTTCACTCTGACCAGAAACCACCTGTTCCAAAACAGTCCAGACGTTTGAGCAGTATTGGACAAGTGGCACACAGGAGGGAACGGGGGAATGAGTCGAAAGGTAATGAAATGAAAGGGTTCTCTCACATGCCGCATAACGAATGGATTCTGAAATATATTTTGCCATTGAAACCTTAATCAATGAAGCCTATTTCTTGGCTGGGAGCAGATACTCCCTGGAGTATGGTTGCCTGGAAACTGCTCCCAGTCAAGAAACAGTCCAGCACATAACCTTCCAGAAAAACGGCAAACTGGCTCTTACACACTTCTGATATGGAGCATTTCAACAAACTAGGAGTAATGCGCACATAAGTAAGCCTGTAAAGTGCTGGTGGGTAGGTTTTGTTAGCATTATAGAGACCCGGGTGCACTGTTTACCCCCCGCTTTTACGCTAAGCTAACCATCTGTAAGCTCTAGACTGAAACTATAATCACCAGACAGGAAAACAACATCTGTTGTCTTTTTTTTTTTGACTCTGCAAAAACTAAATACAAGTTTATTTTGGTGAGTGTGAGTATCGTTGTTTCCCGTTGTGGGATCCTCACAAACTTGCAAATGAATGTGATGCAAATGGCCCTGGTGAGGAGCAGTACACTGCTGCTTGTGCAGACATATGCTGCGTTCCAGTTGTACTCAGAAGTTGGAATTTCAGAGTTTTTATCTGGAATGCACCACTGAAGTCGGATTTCTGACTCGGAAAGTAGGAGGATCCTCGCCAACCCCAACTTCTGTTTTGTTTTTGTGAAATTTAATAAGTGGTACATGTTGTGCTGCCCAACGTTTAACTGTGAACACGGTGCTATGGTGTTTGTAAGAGTAAAATACTGCGTTATGCGTTATTTACAACTGGTATAGCTAACAACGGCTAACGACAACTGACAGTTGTAAACAACAGCTAACAACGGCTAACTGTAGGCGTCCATCTTGGTTTTCCGACTTGTTAACTGGAATGCCGTCGACTCGAGTGTAAGGTCATTCCCGGCTCCGACATCCGACTTCTGAGGTAACTGGAACGCAGCAATAGACGAGGAGCTTATAAGATACCTTTATAGACTCTTTTGATGTTAGTAAACGGAAGGATGTTTCTGGTGGGTGGAGCTTAGCCAGGGGCAAATCAATCAACAAAGTGCACCATCACTTAGCTTCACTTATTCAGAGTCCAGAGAGTGACACCAAAGACGCTGCATCCATGTTTTATACAGTCAAAAGCACAAAGCCAGATTGAAGCTTCGTAAAAAGTCCACCTGCCTTGACCAGAGAGGTATCATGGATGGACTGATGTTGATCTGTGGTTGCCATCATCACAGGAGAAGTTGCAGTGGCACATTTGCTAAACTTGGTCACGACTGCTTAGTTATCTTTATCCAGAGAGCACCGTGTTTATTCAAACTCGCGTACAGAGAAGCTAAATCGGCTTCTGTACTGTCACAGTAAACAACAAAACAACTACAAGAGGGCTGTTCAGTGTTACCTTTCCAATAACATCGTTGCGGCTGAGCCTGTCCTTGTCCATGACAGTGATGATGATGGTGGTCTCCCTCAGCACATGGGCGGGCACGTCAAAGGGGAAGGACTCGTTGAAGACGGGGTTCAGACAGCGCTTCATCGTCACCGTCTTCTTCTTCTCTATGCGTTTGTCCTTGTGCATCAGCCACACCTTCACATATGGATCTGCGGCATTGATGCAGAGAACAGCAGTTTACATGAGAGCCAGGATCAAGATGCCCACAGTGGGTCAGGTTTGCAATTACCCTCTTAATTGTTAAAGTCAGGGAAGGCAGCGGGGAAGCAGATACCTAGTTTGAGCTCAAGGTCAACTCATCCCCTGAGCTGGGAAACATAGAAATGAGGAAGTATTTATGGAAATAGGGCCTGGGATTTGTACCACCAATTCTGGAGCATTAGCATATTCTGTAACGCTAACAGACGCAGCTAATACTACTGCAGGAAGAAGAAATTGTACAAAAATATGCCACGGGTAGCATCTCACAGTGGGACCTGATACTCTACAAATCAGCAGCAGACTGAGCTGACACAGATTAAGCCTTACAGCTGAAGATCCTCCCAGATATACAGAAAGGAGAGGGAGTACTGGCAGGGGAGTGTTGCTGGCGGTAATGTCACCTTGCTGCCGTCGCTATGGGTCAGTAAGTTTGCCAACATGTGGACTGGAGCTGTTTGTGAAGCCAATGTCATCAGAGTGATGAGCAGGGGTCAGACAGAGAGAGGACTAAACAAACAAGGAGGAATCTTTACCTGAGGTGCCCCCGATATCCATGGCTTTGAGATTGCGCGCTTTAATGATGTTCACAGTGATGGTGTTGGCGGTGGGATTATAGCAGAGAGACAGCAGCAGGTCACCTCGTCTCCCCTGAGGAACACACAGACACAGACACACGCACACGCAACACAATAGAGTGTGAATCACCCAGTCTAATATCACATTTCATCAGGGAATAACAAACTCCCGATTACTCACTAGCTTGTTGTGTAATCTTACAACACTGCCCTCTCTGCTCTAACTCCATGTGCCAAAGACAGACGGTCCAGTGACCCGGCCGATGCTCACCCTAATTCTATGTGAATCAAGCTAAAAGAAGTCAATAACACTCTTCTTTAAATAAAACTTTCATCACAACATCTGAATGAAAACACCGAGTTCATCATTCGGGCAGATGGTCGTCCCGCTCTCTCTTACACTGCCATCACTGCAGGGCTTGAGCTCCTTCCAGAAGGTCTTTAGCTGTCCCAGTTCCACCTTGTTAAGGGGAACCGACACCTCTCCAATGGGGTCGTTCCTGCTGAAGCGGTCGTAGTCCAACACCTGAAGGTAGAGAGTACGCTCTCTCACCTTCTCATACGGGAAGCCTAAACGGAGGCAGAAAAAGCAGAGAAAGTGAGAAACATGTTCTTGTCAGTAGAGAGAGGGCAGCCATGAGTCTGGCAAAGGTCAATGTGCGTTTAGAAATTGAACCTCCAGCGAGCCCTCTCTTTAATGACTCGAGTCATAACCACCTTCTTCGTTCATTTTTCAAGACCACCAGCTGTCCTTGTCGTTTTTTTCAGAGCTTCAGGAATGTTTTTAAGCCATTTTACAACCGTGCTGTCAAACAAGCACAATGGTTCTAATAAAACAAAGTGAGATCACACAGTGGTGAGACATTCACTGCTCTGTGTGGCGGCTGCTGCTGCACATTTGCAGTCTGCAAAGCTCCAGAATAGAGTTTCTTTTTTGGAAAAAGCTGTTTTTGAGAGGAAGATTTGTTAAAGCAAAATGTGTTTTTCTGATTTTACACCTTGTTTGTCAATTTTCACACCATGTCTACAACGCACTTATGCAAAGAGAGACCCTCTGTGTCGTTGCAATGACTGTTTCATGGGAGCAGGGTATAACCTTGCATGTATTTCAGCAGTTAAGTGCATCATTTCAGCAGTTATTACAATGGATTTCACTTTTGTGTCTTTTTTTGAGCAGCGTGACACAAAGAAACTCCTCCTGGCTGCGAGTCCTTCCTCTGTGCTCATTTTCTCACTGTCAATATGTACTCTGTTAAAAATCTATGGCTCTTTGAATCAACATGAATCCCTGGCCTCACATTTTCAAACTTTGTTTGTATGGATTAAACAAACGAAGTAAATAATGCTTTAATTAGTCACTTTAACTGTGCTGGTGGGCACACTGTTTTCCTTCTTAAATAAAGCAAGCCTAGCCGTTTTCTCTGTTGGTATGCAAAACAGCTCCTGGCTGTAGCTCCATTTTAAACATTTTAATATTAAAGTGGGATTGATCTTCTCATCTGACTCTCAGTAACAAAAAGGAGAGTTGATTTCTCTGATTGCACTATTACTGCTCCTTCAAAAGAGAATTTACAGCTGTGCTTGGGTCTTGTAATGGAATCATCATCATAAAAGAGAGTCTTACAACCTTTTTTCTCAATCAGCGTCTTGTAGTAGTCAATGTCAGCTAAATTGATACTAAAAACTGTGTCTGGAAAGTTTGTGCCGAAGTTTGTGGCTTGGCCTCTAATTTATGCACATGAAAGAAAGAGGACTGTGTGCTCTTCCTACTACAAGCTTCTGCTATCCACATACACGTGTGAAAACGCAGGGAGCTCATATATAGGGAGGGAGTTTCATAATGATTTGAATATATTTTTTTGAACAACAAACCTTATATTGAACACTGTTGTTACTGTTTGTCACTTGTCCCACACTGCTGGATCTAAAATCCATCGAAATTTCAAATTTGACCCGTAACAGCCTTAGAGGGGAAAAATTTGTAGCACATAAACAAAAATACACATGAATATTTTTAAATTAATTTCATGTATTTTGGGCAACTTCAGGAAAAGTCATCAAGTTTCAGGCTTAAAGAATGACGTTTAGGGTATTTTTACTGCTGTTAAAAGTCAAAACGGGTCAAATTTGACCCGAACAGTATGTGAGGGTTAAGCAAACAACTCCAGACTAATGAACTAATCAGTGTTCAAGCATTTAGTTGCATTGTGTCTGTCTATATATGAGCAGACAGTGGACATACTGTGGGTAGGGCCTACTGTACATAGATATCATAATCACTAGATGCCTCACGTTCCTGTCCAGATTATAGACTGTATATAATCGATCTTGTTTTCTGTTCCTGGGAAGTGTTGTGAATCTCACTCCTTGACGTCAAAGAGTTCTTGCACAAGCAGGAGAGGGCAGAGTGCACATACTCTTGCACTCTCTCTCAGTGCACCATCATATTAAAGAATTAAAATTGTAACAACATAAACAGTGAAAGAGTTTTCTTATAAGGAGGCGAGGTGAAAACATAACAGACCCTCAAACAGGAAGGTTTCGTTCCAGTGGGGGTTGAGGTTCTTCCTCTTGACCTTGGTCTCCAGTTTGTGCTTTTTGTCGGGCAGCAGGTAGATTTTGACGAAGGGGTCTGAAGTGCCGGAGAAGTCCTTGGCTGGGAGCTCCTGGCCGCGTAGAACCTTGACGGTGAGGGTTGTATTTTGGAAGCTGTAGCCTATGCTGAACTGGATCCGGCCGAGCTTCTCGCTGATGGGCCCTTCACCGTCGTCGTCCTCTGAACCTGGAGACAGCTGCAGGACCAGAAAAGCGGTCAAATAAACACAAAGGCATGCAACACCAGCTTTTCACAAGACAAGTTCAGTCCAAGGGCATACACTTTCTCCAGCACGTGCACACAGTCCGTGACAGAGAGAGAGAGAGAGAGGAGCTGTGAGAGGAGGAGGAGATCTTAGAGCTGCAGTTCTATCACAGTGTACTCAAGCAGCTGCTTCAAGGCAGAGATTGGTCTGACATTAAGAACACTGAGAGTTTTATTTCCGTTTTAATGTTCTTAAGAGGCAGGAGGTGCTCAGATTGAAGATAGAGGAGCTTTAGACCACCCATTCTCTCTCGCTGCCTCTTCGACTGCTTTATCACTGCTGTGCATTAAAAGGCTACTATCTGATAGAAAGCAGTGAAAGAGAGCAAGAGGCAAATAGAGTAGGAAGGAGGGAGACTTCCACAAGGAGCATGGAGGGAATGGTAGCTCTGCTCAATGTTGGCGCTCTGCTTGCAGCTGCCATTATGCTCGCTTCTATTCTCTCGAAGCTCTTCTTTCTGTCTCTGTCCTTCGATTTGTCTCTCAAGAATAACAGCTTGGATTGGACTGAGGCATCATAACACCAGTTTGTGTAACAACCTCCTCTCAAACACTCTGTTAGTGCATCACCTGACACAGTTCTTTCAGCGCTTGAGGCAAGAGCTTCAGTTTCAAAGTGACAAACACTCGCTCACTCAGTTTTTGTCAATATGAGTTTTTTTGGAGTGACACGCAGAACAGTTGTGAAATATTCAGAGTCTCGTTTATCAAACAGTGTGAGTCACCTTGGACGGCTCGTCTCGCTTGATTGTCACTGTGGGAACTGCCTGTGGTTTTTTTGTCTTTCTATAATGGCTCATTTTATTACCATGTGCAGCATCAAGACAGCTTGGCTCTGGCATGGAGGATGACTCTGCTAGTGATAAACCTCAAAAAGTAAACCTCTTTGCTCAGTCGATACAGAAACATATCCAGTCCTAAATGTCTCGCCCCTGTAACAAACACATCCTTCCCATTCAGGGCATGAAACCAAATTTTGATTAATTACATACAGTGATAATAAGATTAGGATTTCATCAGTTAATATCATTTATCTGCAGTCAAAACCTGATTGAACTGAGGTTAGACACAATCAGCACATTAGCTCGCAGCCACAGACGCAACTAGTGTTTTATTTTTTCTGTGGCGCTTGAGCCGAATGAGTAAATTATGACATTATAATAAAAAATCAAAACAAGGATGCATTCATGAGGACTCTTCAGTTGAAATTGCTGGATAGCAGGGTCACTCTTGAGAGTGAAACACTGGTTGCTCTGAAACAGTTGTGATCCTGTCAGAATTCTGTGGAACCAGAGTCCACTTTTGAGTTTGACATGCAAAAAAACAACATTTTAATACAGCTGACAATTTTAATGCATTTTTTTAAAAGCTTGCTGACTTGACCGGACGAATGGAGTATAACTCTGATTCCAAAATGCAGGTGCATATTTTTGATGACAGTGGCTCTAAATGGATCAAACCAACTGGTGCAAGGGGAGAGGGGTGGTTTTGTTTTTGTGTTTTGTTTTGTTTTCTATCTAACGTGTGGAATAAGATGTTTTGAATATTTTGATTTATCAAGAAGGATAGGCGATAATAAGCACTTGCTTCAGCCTTTGCCTTTTCGGTCAGGTTTTCTTTTCTTTGTAATCTATTGTATATATTGAATGGATATGACCAGATCAAAATAAACTTCAAACTTCAAGGGGTGCTTCATGAAGCTGATGCCAAACTGCACCTAAAAAGAAATGTTATTTTTTTATTTTAAAAAATGTAACAGCAAGCTGATATTTGTGTGAAAGGTGCAGAGTGTAGTATAGAGTGAAACTTTGCAAGGCAGGCTTCATATGGGATATGATTTATGTCTGATACTGACCGATACAGAAATTGATCCGATATTGGTGCAAAATTGTGCATGACAAGTTTTTTTTTTTTTTTCAGTCTAGAATGGACTGCTTGTATCGGTGTGCTGATAACTGAGATTTTAGATGCAGGCTGATATAATCTGATATTTGTTTTTTTGCTGATATCGGACCGATATCTGATATCAATATCTTATCAGGACATCCCTAATGGCAATACATGTTTTTGTATCTAGTGGGTGGTGACTGAAATTACATCGATTGGAGGATTAAGAGGAAGAGAAGAGGTTGTTGTTGTTGTGCCCTAAAAAACTCTGTACCGTTTGGCATTTTTGATGGTAAAACCTTGGCAAATGGAGAATCATATTTTTCATGCATTTCAGCAGCGTCTTGTCCTCAAAAGCTTTTGGAGTTTTATCAGCAGGAGGAGTGAGCAAGGGGAGCACTTAAATCTAAATCTGCTAAATATTCCCATTTCTACACGCTGTACCTTTAACTCTCATTCTTGTTTGTAATAAAAACGTGTTGTACAGTTTCTGAAGAACTGTACTGTGGAGGTCTCCGGGGCAAGCTTACTCATCTGCAGACAGAAATAGTCCCAAACAAATCTGCTGTTTGAATAATATTTGCCAAGATTTACATCACAAAACCGAACTGCCTTTGTACATAACTTTTTTAAAGACACATCTTTGGCAGACATCGTTTGCTTTTGGCTTCTATAGACTTTTGGGGTGGGGGAGAATTTAGATGCAGGCTGTTTTGTGTACAGCCTGCATCTAAACTGATCATAATGACAAAGAATATAACACTCCTAAAGGCGGACAAGGGATAGAAAATGTGATTGAGAGGCTCTTACCATCACCATGTCTCCGGTGAGAGAGTTGGCCAGGTCGGTCACGGAGGAGTGGCCGTCGGCATCAGGAGGCTGGCCCTTGGGGCTGTTAGCTGGCTTGTTGCCCCTGTAACAAAAGCACAGTTTGACCCGAGGGAAAGGAAGCATGGATATGTGCTGAGAAGCTAAGTCATCTCCGGAAAGAGAGAGTGTCTGAGCACATGGGGAGTCCAACCTCCACCTGTTTGGTGCTTGAAAACCGTCTATCTGAGAGCCCTGATTGCGTCCAAGTTTACCTTGGATAGATGTGCCTTCATAGAGGATTGTGCTTTCTCTAGCTATAGTGAGCAAAGCCAAATAAAGTCTGCCAGTGACTACAAAGATTAATGCTGGGCGCTAGAACTGAGGACATTTGATGTGGTGAGGTGTGTTTGATGAAACTTGGAGTCTGAGATGACTGTACATATGTCCAGTGTGGCAAACATCCAAATCTCCAACAAGAAAGTTACCTCCACCGAATGAAAATAGTAGACAAAATAAAACCAGCTAATTCAAAATTCATTATAACCAATCAGTTATCATCAGTTATCATTAAAGTTCATGATCAAGCCTTATTCCCTCTAAAGACAGTAACAAGACACACATGTATAATGACATGTATAGCAACATGAAGTCAATATATTCACATTGGACAGACATGTATAGCAACGTGTTGGAGACCAGACATGTAACAGGACAGATGTTGTGCTTGTGTGTTTAAATTTCTCAGAAAATAAGGATCTGTATGGACAACAAAAAAGTTCAAAAGTTAAAGCAAAAAAAGAGAGAGCAGAGATCTCCCATGGCGGAGCTGGTTCTTAGGTACAAATGTTAATAGATGTTAATTTTGTTATGAGGATTGTTGAAAACATAAAAGTTAAAGTGGGTCAAACATTCTGGGAGAAAAAACCTCTATGTTCATACACCATGAAAACAAGAAGAGTAAGAAAGTGTAAGAAAATAAACAGTAAAGAAGACAGAAATAAAAATTTAAAAAAGTCAATTAAAAGAAATAAAAAGAAAGAAAATAATGAACAAGAAAGAGGAGAATGCAAAAAGTTCTGGCCAATGTAATGAGAGACATTGGGCACAAAATACTCCATAGATGACTGGTCAAGGCACATGGAGCGTCTGAACACAGAAACACCTGAAGACAATCAACAAACAGTAGGTAGAAAAGAAGAAGAAGAAGAAGAAGAAAAAGAAGAAGACGAAGAAGAAGAAGAAGAAGAAGAAGAAGAAGAAGAAGAAGAAGAAGAAGAGAAATGAAATGAGCGGACACAGAGAGGGTACTCAGGTAGCAGAAACACATACAGTCACAGGACAGAAATCATAAAGACCGTAGATAAGATAAAAGGTTCAACAGGGAACGTAAGAAATAGAAAAGCAAGCTGAAAATTATTTATCTGTATAAGAAGAGATAGCAAGTATTAATAGCATGAACAGTGAGGTTACAAAAAAACCAAAACCAAACAGAGAGTGAGATTGTTACAAACACCAGCACATTAGAGAGAAAAAACAGAGCTGCAAGAAAAAGATAGGGGATGAAGGAAGGAAAGCCTGGAAACACAAGAAAGGCTTAGTTTGGTCAGTCTGATAAGTATCAAAGAATAAGAGAGACAAAAAAAATATAAGAGCTATGCGCACACATTATCTCTAACAGGAGACAAAGGGGCAAACATGCTGAAGGGAGAAAAAGAGCACAGAGGAGAAAAGAAAAAGACAATAAATACAATTGATCACCAGGAAAGAGGAGAGCAAGAACCATGTCTTCACAAGGAGAGCTCAAAATAAACCAAAGATGAGATTTAGAGTGAAGAGAGAGAAGGCGAAGGTACGTATATTATACAAAAAACATAATTTCTTCAAAAAACACAAAAGGGACAAATAGTGAAAACAAAAAAGGAAGAGCACATTTAGAGTGTTACAAAAGAGGTCAATGGTAGAAGTGGAGCACAAATTATAGAGGCATAACTTTCAATCTAAGCTGATTTTCCACCTTTAAGCAACACTCTAAAAGTGTGGAACAGGGTCACAGGGGCCAAAGCACAAACTGGCATTGGCTACATCTGCATATAGAACATATGCAAGTAGGTGTCACTCAGGGAGTGAAGGCAATGCCCTTGGACAGGCAGGAAACAAGGAGCCCATAGAAAGTCTGTCTGTCTGGCCAGCATTCTCTGTTGAGCGTCTCACTTAGAGAATGTGTGTTTCATTGGTCGATTTTTTTAATATAGGCCGCTTTGTGAATTGCAAATCCGGATGAGAATTGATGTTGAATGCAATAATGTGTACATTTCTGCAGAAGACAAGGACAGAACCAGGGGAGGGAAGTATTCTGACAAATAGACAGACAGAAAAAGCAAGCAAACAAGACAAGCAAACAGACAATCACTTCAACCAGCAAAGGAACCAGAGCGAGACGGGGGGAAGGAGGGATGCTAACCACTTTCACGATAGGGGAAGGGAATATTCATCAATTGGTGTTAGTTGTATTAGTTGCCAAGGGAGGTAATTGCATTTCAGGGGCACGATAATTTATTTATTTCTTTTAAACTGCAGGCAACGAGTCTGAGGAGCGAGGGGGAGAAAAAGGGCGAGGAAAATGCTAAACCAAGATGTAAGGATCTGCTCAAAGAAGCTCTAAAGCAAGGAGAGAGACATTGGGTTTGACTTAAGCTAGGCACCTCCCTCCTCCTCCACCTCCCGACTATTGGTGGGGTTGTGTGAGGCTTCGGTTATTCATTCTCTTCATGCTTCATCCAGGGCTTCAGTGCATTCTCAGGTTAGAGTTAGTGCAGCCAGTGAAAAAAGGCCTTTTTCTACCAGCCTTGCTCCACAGCACCTGAGACGCTCCTCTGCTCCAGCGCTGCTTCTGGGCCGTTTAAACCAAGCGGCTGAGGCTGCAGGATATAAGATACTTCCTCTACGTAATACAGCACTTATGAATCGAAAACAAAGATCTGTTTTAGTTGATTTGTCTTCTAAATAAACATTATTAAATGTTGCAGAGGGTTATGTTACAACTGATGCTCTTGTGCTTTAATAGCCTGCAGTTTTCTACAGTGTCCAGTGGGAGGCAGAGTGGACTCGAGTTCAGATCACATTCTCCCACAGCTAAGGCACAGAAAGTGGGCTGTTGGCATGGCAACGGCTCTAGAAACACAGACCATACATATCAGTGGTTTGGGGTGTGTTTGACAGGGGGGGTTGTTGGTAGTGGGCGCAAAGGGAAGGGTGTGTTAAAAGGGTGCAGGAAACAGGCAAACATACTGAGAACAAAAACAAAAAAAAAGAGCAGGTTTAGGATATATGACAGGTACAGGTGAGAGCCTCGCAGACACACACATTCACATGAACACACATATGGAGGCAGGCGGGGCCACTTTGGGTTTCACCGTCCTGTGATACTATCCTGTTTTTTGTTACCTGACTGAGGGCCAGCAGCTCGGAGAGAGGGGTAGGGGGGAAAGACACTCCACTCCTAGGCTGGAGAGAGACGCGAGAAAGAAAGCCCAACCCAGACCCCCTCCCCCCCCCGAATCTTTTTTTTTTTTTTTCATTTTCATTTTCATCCCCACCCCTCTGCAAACATGTCACACTCAAACAAACACGCCCGTCTGAGACCATGAAGTGATGTATTTCAATGTCTATGCTCAATTTCATAGCCGCCCACTATATCTATCATTTGTCAGGGGCCACGGCATACTTCCCAGCATCACACACACAGTCAAATCCACAGCAGCGAAGCATGGCACCGCTTACATAACTCACCATCCACATGAAACACATGAACATTCACACTCCAGTCCGTCCCTGCTGCTTCACTTCTAAAGCTACCACCAAACACTCTGCTGCCATGTATAAATATGGATGCTTTCACTGTTAACTAATTGCTTCCTGCGAGTTGGATCTGGAAATGAGTCTAAAATAGCATCATTTACTGAAATCCCATTTCAGGAAGAGGCAACAAGGGAGGTGCTAAATGCTGCCTTCTGTGTTTCTGCCTTTTTTTTCACTGAACTCCAAATGGAAAGGAGAAAACCACAAGACAATTCAGCTGGTGCCAAATGTTGATCTTTAGAAGTACTGTTTTATGTCTATCTCATTTTGTCTGGAAACTGTACTTCTGGTGTTTTAAAACACACCATTATTCCCTTGGATGACCGGACGATGCACTTCTGACTACAATACAGTTAAGCATAGCAAACATGATTACTTTTGAACCTGAAGATGAGCACGCCCTATCTATTACCTCCCTTTATGGCCCCACAGTGCTCTATGGATTAAGTATTCTTGTCTCCAAGCTCAATTTCAGCAACATTAAATAATCAAAACATTTATAAAGTCCATTAGTGCTCCAAACATGAGGCGACAAAATGTTTGTATTGGACACAAAGATTTCCTCTGAGATAGAGGCTGCTGCAGATGGGCCACCTGTTCTGAGGCAGGATACAGGAGTCCCAGGTTAATGCTCCAAATAGCTTGTCTGCTCCACACCCTTCAATCCATCTATCGGTATGTAAGAGACGAGCATATGTACCAGCATGTACGTGCTGGCTGGAGTGCTGCCTGCCTGCAGCCCTGCATAACGCATGGCTGTGCAGAGTACCCTAAGTACTCTCTCCTACCACTCTCAGGGAAGAAAGATGGATTCGTAGCCTGAATTTTCTCTCATGACATGTGGATAGATGGATGGACGGGTATATGAATGCACTCCCCTCCTTCTACTCTCTAGGTGGCTCCTTTTTTGCCTACCTTACTGCTATCTACTTCTCTCTCTTGACTGAATGCATCTGAACATCCCACTGTGATTTTCTAAGGAGAATGGTGGCCACAGGGAGCTGAAGCCTTGGGGAAAGCCTGATCCAGAGTCCCCCTGAAGGCTGTTTAGTCTTGGCTGTCGCAGGAGGAGTACTGTGTCAGACTAGCATAGCAGAGCATAATCGATTTATATGTTTGTGTGCAAACACAGGCACAGATTTCTATCATCTGGGAGAATTAAAGCAACATTTTTAAAATTAATTTTAAGAAAACAAGACCTGAAATTCACACCCTGACACATTTGCATGTCCTCAGATTGACCTAACATCACATTATGACAGACAGACTGTGTACTGTAAATGGCCTCAGCACATCCTCCACCACATTAAGATTGAACTCCTCCTACTCCCTCTAATGTAGTTAGAGCATAAAACACGCAGTCATGACGTTAGATAAACAAATATTTATATTCATTGAGGTAAAAGGTCATGCCAGCCATATGCTGAGGTTGTTTTTTATGTCAACTTAAGCACCGTAATAAGCTCATAAATTATGGAGCAATATAATTTATTGCCTGCTTGGCAATTAAGAGACACTAAAAGAACCACGGAGCACTTCACGTCTCCGAGGCAGAGGGAAAACATCTTTATTTATCAATATTTGCAACATGTATTCTAAAACTAGGAATAACTCTCCTGGCTCACACAAAATGATGTAACATGCATGGATGAATAATTGAAAGACCACAGGCAAGTGGATTGAATGTTAATGTAGCACATGGGCAAGTCCCGCCTCCTCTGTCCTGAGTGTGCCTCCTCATTGGGTAGTTCGCGTGTTGTTCAGAGAGAGCTCTAGATTCGATGCTCTTGGGGATTGTGGCTTCTCTTTATAGCAACACTGGAGGAGAACCTACAGTATAGGTTCAGTGACTCGCAACAGAATTGTATGAGCGGAGACCAACGAGGCGTTATGGAGCCACTATAACATCCCAATTAAGCTTCTTAAGATCCGCAGCTCATGAAAGCAGCATGTGTGGCCTCAGAATAAAACAACACACAACTCTGTAACCCAAACAGAGCTCTCTCACTACTCAATCCCTCAACCTTCAATATCTCTCTTTCTCTTTTTCTCCTTAAACGTGCAGCCTTGGTCTTAAAAGTCTCAATCACGATCACTGACTATAATGCCGTCACTCAGGTCCTGCCTCACTTCATAAACAAATGGCCGCTTGGAACACTTTCATCCATTGCGCACACAAGGTCAGCGACAGAGCGTAACGAATATCAAGCACTATAACACCTTCTCATGGCCGGTGGGGAAAACAGCGTGCCTGTTTGGCTTGCCTTCAACCATGGCCAAGCAACAATGAGGCGTAAACATACTGCTGAAGGCTAAATGAAAAAAAGCTTCTTTGTAGGTATTTGTTAAGTACTTTACATACATGTTTTTTTTTTCAAGGTTCTCTGTTGAATCCTAATGCAAGGCCACAACTATTTTTGTTAATGTGTTAAAAAGGCACCCTCTTTGGGGCTTTTAGGGAGAAATACAGGATAATAAAAGTTTAAACAGGCCTATTCAGGCGTTCATACTACTGCTGAAATCAAAGGACTTTTGCTATTTGAGGAAGATGTTCCCAAACTTAACACAAGAAGTTTTAAACTGCATTAAAGGCTCATTTTGATTCTGATACTACTATATAACCTTCAAAGCATATGAGACCAAGCAGACTATTTCTACTTATTTTTTGACGGCTGTCATTGCTGTCAGATTTTGACAGAAAGCAATTTTTTGAACACATTTAAAACACATTTGTTTATATTTCTCTGGCGACATTTCAAAGTGAGTGATGAGCCTTTTTGCTTATAGGAATAAGGGGATTTTTTTTTTGCTTTAAAATGAAATGGTATTTTTCTTCCTTGAAAAAAATAAGTACAAATGGACAAAAAAAAAAAAGAGTAGGAAACTGACTGGAAAAAATCAGACAGAGCCCAAACAAAATATCTCCGTCTGGTTACTTATTAGACAACTAGAGTTAATTATGGAAATTTAAATGATAGGACTCTAATCCTGAATTGTTTGTCCTTTTCCTTGACAGGAGACCATAACGTCTCCTTTTCCTTAACGTATGCTTATCACATTTATGACATACATTTGTGAGATATGGCTGTTTAAATGCTATACAGGCCAAGGAAAGTATCAAAGGGGTTTATAACATAAGACTTTAGAATATCATAAAGAGCAACATTTACTATGAGCATATAAGTATGTGATTTTAAAAATGCATGCTATTTTGTCCCTTATAGCACACCTTAGTTAAGCTGCAGCAGCATCTTCCTGCTTTCTGCTGCTGCTGTGGTGGAAAATAAAAACATAAAGTCGGTTTTATTGCATTTGTTTGATTACCAAATCAAAGCTCTGTTAAGTTGCTCCTTGTTGTTAATGTTTAAAAAATGTGATTTTGAGTATGAAATTAATAAAGTGGTAGAGAATGATTTAGGAATTTAATAGCTTAATTTTTAGATTTATTGCTTCTATGAAATGACTAGGCTGTTTGTTTAGGTGTTCAATTTATACGAAAGGCTCGTGAGGAACTTTTGGTTTATCACATATATACAAAATGATGAAAAACGTAATCCTGCTGTTTTAACAGTAAAATAACATCTACCTATAGAAATTGTAATTAAAATGGCTGCCTCTGCACTGTGCTGTTTATCACACTCAATAGCAGCATCAAGAGCTTATACAACAATAAACTCGAAAGACATGATCAGTCTTGTAGCTGATGGTCTCATTCATTTTTGTCTGTCATATAGAGAAATCAGCTTGAATATTAGTCTGATAATAATCAAACTATGGTTTACTGTTTATTGACATTGTCACATTCTGATACTCTAATTTATTTTGGTAGCTTTGGGCAGTGGCCCCAAATCTGGGGTCAAAAAACGAAATGTGGGGTTGTGAAATTATTAACGTTACCGAGAAACTTCTACTGAACAAATTTCGATATATTTTGCCTCTTCTTTAATCATGAAAAAGGTCTGGTTTAATCTTCCTGAGTCTAGGAAGGGTACTTAAATGGAGCCATTTGAGAAAATTACAAAGAAATGTCTCTTTGGTTGAACTGCTAATAACTCACAGACACTTAAGACGTGTCTTGGCAACCCAACAAGACCTTTTGTAAAAACTAACATGCCAAAGTGACATGCCAAAATTTCTATAAACTGATCATTGTTTGTTTGTTTGTTTGTTTAGACTTTGATCGAAGCACCAACTCTGAGCTATAGCTATCAGGTAATTCAGTGGATTAAAAAGGCTTCAAATGTAGATTACTCCCATAATATCATCAGTGGATCTGCCACACAGAGCAGCTCTTTGATATTCTTCATGAGGAGATAGATTTGGCTTTTATGTTGATTATGTTGTGAGCCGCACCAAATATTCACATTAGCTTTGCCGGCTTTATGTTTGTCTGAAGTGATTTGAGAGAGTCATCTTGTCCGGTCTAATATATTCAAAAGCTAGGACATGAGTGATGCAGGTATGGAAATGAATGACAGCCACATAAAAGACATGTTTGATGTTAATGCACAGACCGTGATGATATGGCTGTACAGAGACAAATGGAGTCACAGCTTTGTCTCCGTCTTGAGAGCCCCGTTTTGAATGAGCAATATGCCACGAGTGATTGATTAAATCACCGACAGACATCTGTGAAGTCAGCACTAACACCACAGGGAGTGATATACTCCCAGAAAGCTTCCAACTTGCATTTCAAATATCCTACGGACTTAATCCTAGCCTATAAATTAAGCTTTAAATTAATGTGTGGGCAAATCATTCATTATACTTTTGAATTTGACATCTTTCATGAAACAAATAAAACAACAAGTGGCTCAAGTGGATTCAGTTTAAAGCCTTGGGGAGAAATACATAGGAGCTCACCAAAGGCCTATGGTATTAAAGCTTTTTATTATATTCAAAATCATTCCCTTAACATCCAGCTCTCTATTGTTCACAGAGTGTAAACTGCCAGTCATCCTGATGTGACTGAAAGAAATGAAATGAACCACAGGTTAAATTTAGAAATACCACAATGTACTCACTCACGGCTAATCGAGGTGAGTCCTGCTGGCCACAAGCTGGACTGAGCAGCCTGTGGATTCTGCTTGCTGTTTAGTCTATTAGTGGATTTCACAACCCATTTAAGGAGGTTTCCAGGTGAACACAAAGGCTGGGAAAAGCCAGATGTAATGTGCAACGGCAAATTACACAGAAAATTGCACTCCACTGTGGCTCTGCAGGTTTCACACTAATCCCGAACAATGGGGATAGTTTTGATGTTCACAAAAGCGACATTCTTCCTCAAAGAATACTTTCATGCCTGTTTGTAACCTCACGCAGAGCCGTGTTGGCTCTGGGAAAATGCCAGAGGATGCTTGGGGGCAAACGACCACCATAAAGCAGACCGACCAAGATACAAAGGTTTTTAACCAATCTTTAGTAAAGCATTGCTCAAAAAGCATTGCCCATAAAAGTACAAAGACAAAATTGTTGTCGTGCTTGAGCCTTACAGCTTCCCAAAATGCCTCCATGACACACATTCATCTTCATAACACAGTTGTGCAGTTTAGATAAGAAAACAGTTACCATCTGTAACAAAACAGAGCCCTAGTTTGGAATCAGGTGTCAAATTGATTGAGCACATGTGAATAAGGCCTAATTGCTATGACGAGTAAATCAGAATCTGTTCACCCTCTCCTGCCATGCTGTTTCTAGGTGTGCCTTTTATTATGTATCTCTAAATTGTCTCCAATTTGTCACGGAATCAAAGTGAGGTTAAATCAAACTAATTGGACTGCTGAGGAAATCAAGTGTGGAGCATCTGCCCACGGCTAGACTGAATCAATGTAGGATTTCACCGTGGCTGGGTGGTGTTACAAACTGGCTTAAACGATCATCACAACCACCATCCATGGCTGCAAATGTGCAACACAAGCACAGTATAGCAAGAGCTTTTTGTGACACAGGACACAGTCGCTGTTCTTGTTTGTTAGTTTTAAACTGTTTCCCAAAAAAAGGGTCCGTTTCCTCAACAGAATGCCGAACTAATTATTTTGGGAGATTGGGAGATGCAAGAAAGAGAAAGAGAGAGAGAGAGAGAGCTGCATCCTTATAGACGAGTGGAAATATTTTGGCTTCGAGTGTGTAAGGTAGCTGGCAAGGAAAAGGTTTATTTTTAGCAGCATGTTTATGTAAGTGACTACCATGTTGTGGAATAATGAGGAGGCTCTCTGGGCCCTCGCTGGAGCTACAGAGACGGGACTCTCAGAGCAGCAGAGGGTGATTGAAGGGAGCTAATGAGCAGGAGGGAAAAAAAGAACACAGGCGTAGAATAGGCTGGGATAATAAAAGCATGAAAAACACAAAGGAAATACGACAATTACCAACGGTGAGTCTGTAAGGCAGAAAGACAAACAAATGGTGGAGGAGAATGATGTCAAGATGTGGGAAATGTTCATTATGGTCAGGCAAAGAAACCATTGGCATGAGAAGACGGCGCTTAATGTGATTTCAGGAAATTTTAGAGCTCGTTAATGCTCTTTACTCAACTCAGCATCATAGACAACTTTTTCATATGCTTTCATTCTCAGCTCTTATTCTTACTTCGATAACAGAGAGTCAAGCTCTGCCGCTATTCAGTGGAAGGTCTGTGGCACAGTCCACTCAAGTGCAGTGACTCAACTGACAGCACTAGAAATAAAACTTCTCTCCTCCTCTACACAGATTCTCAAACCGTCTCTTGTTCTCCTCCAATTTTGTGTCTCTCTCATCCTTTCATTTGCACTCCATTCTCTCACATACAACAAGCACTCTCATACATTATCTGGTACCTCTTCTCAGGAGGGGGCTCCTGATTGGCTGCTGGTGCTGGTAGCGGCGCTGCCTGCGCTGTTTCCTGCAGGTCAGGGATATTGGCAAAGTCATCTTGCTCGGCCACACCTATGGCCAAAGCCAGGACCACCATCTTCCCTTCACTGGCTCGCCGTGAGAATAAAAATACAATTTAAGACAGAGAAAGAGTCCGAAGGAGAGAACAGAAAAGGTATAGAGAAATCGGATGTGCAGAGGGTGTGTCAAAGTAGGGGGGAGAGAAGAGAGGAGAGGTCATTTCAGGTGAAGGTGAGGACAGAAGAGCAGAGAGGCAGTGGGATAATAAGAGACCAGAGGAAGCAGGAACAGAGAGAGTGGTCATAAATCTGTAACACCAAATAACATCCCAGCAGTAAGCACTTTGTCCAGGGAAGGATATTAGGAAGATACCTTAACCTCAAAGGCCAAATTAATAATAACGTAATGAATTTAATGAAGTGGTGCTGAAAACAGCTGCAGGCTGTGTTCACGTCGTAAAGACAACAAATAATTAAAGGAACTGTTGATGATTAGTTAATTGTTGTTGATGAATGTGATATTTAGCAGCCTGTGCAGCAGCTTCTACACATAGAAACAGTATAAACAGACTTGTATGCGTACACTCTTGCATACCACTCCACCCACCTGCCCACACCCACACACACAGTGATCTATCTGGTTATTTAACCCGCCTTCTGCTTTCCCTCAAGACTCACCTTTTCCTTTGAACATGGCCGCCGTCTTTCTCAAGAGTTAAGATTTAATTAAGCCTCATTAAGAAGATCTGGACTAATTGTTTCTATTTGAGTGACACAGTGTCTTGAGGTGCTCGGTGTGTGTCACAGTTTCTGGGTCACTGCTCTTGTGCTCTTTGTGTCGCACTCCTCTCCTTTCATCTCCTCAGTTTTGCCACATTTGCTCTCCAAATCCCCTTTCTCCTTCATCCCCTATCCCCTACTTTTTAATTCCCTGCCTCCTCATCACTGCCTCCTTCCCTCCTTCTGTCACCAACATCCACGCTTACAGCTTAAGCCTCCGACGGCGTTACAATACCTCCGGGAATACCTCCACTAAGAAAAGATGGTGCTGCCAAGCCGTGAAAAAATATCACCCTATACTTCCCAATACCATCTCTTTTACAGTCTGCTGTCAAAGGCTTTTCATGCAGCACCATACAGTCTGGTTAAACAATCTCCTTCTTATACGTCTATACAGGGCTCTAAAACCTTTTATGACTGACGCACAACAGCAAGTCCTTCTGGATTGTACTGCTTTGTTGGAATTGACTTTATAGGTGTCAAGTGTTTATTAATTTACTTTTGTTTTACATCTTATTTTTACGTAAGTCCATCTATTCCAACTGTTCATCCATCCCTTTAAGCTGACAGTTTTTCCATATCAATCCTGTTGTTTATCTTTTTATGGCCAGACATAACCATTGTCTGTCACAACCATTTCTGTATGTGTTTTAATTTCCCTTTAGTTAACTATTTGAACAGCTTTACCCAGGTCTTTAAGCTAATTCTGCAGCGAGTATCCATATAAGCTGTTGTTGCGTAAGGCCTTGTTCAATTTGAAATTCTTTGTTTTTTATTTTTTTAAACCAAAAACTTTTAGTGGATTATTTCAACCTTGAAATCTTTTGGCTACTATAAGCTAGGGTGACCGGGTGACCATATTCTGAATCCCCAAAAAGAGGACACAACTACATGGGGGTGGAGTCACAGAGTCACATGTAGACGGATCGAGTGCTTTTTAAATGCTTCTAACTCATTAAGTCCATGTGACACAAACTCAAAGTTTACATACAAAACCCCTGACATTTGAAGGATTTGATAAACTCCCTCGGACAAAGCCGGACAAGGCTGGACAGGCCGGACAAGCCCCGCACAAAGAGGACATGTCCGGGTAAAAGAGGATGTATGGTCACCCTACTTTAAGCATTGAAACTACATTGCAGTTAGCAAACTATTGGAATACCTGTTGAATTCAGCATACTCTGCTGCTTATCCTTTAATTGAGTATAACTAAATTAGCTTTTTGTTTCTTGCTTTTAAGACTAATTATTAATACTGTTAGCTTTACCTTTATTTTGTGACTTAACAAACCTTTTAATCTGCCTATCAGAACCAACCATTTTAACTGCTTTTAGACTTGAGGAATTCAAAGCTGCTTATCTATCTCATTGAACTAACCCCTGGCTATCTTATCCACATTTTTTAATTAAAGCCAAAGTCTACTCATTATCAGCTCCACTTTTAAGTTTGTCTAATTAAATCAAAATTTTGTTTTTATTACTGACTTATTTACCTTAAACCCTTTTTTTTAGCCAACTATTACAAACACTCCTCTCAACTGCCAATAATTAAATGTTTACTGTAAAATGATAGGTGCATGCTTCAGGGGCTATCAAAGCCAAATTCTGCTCAGTGTTTCCTGCAATAAGTATCCTCGGCACAAAGACTAAACATCAGCAGAGGAAGCAAATAAAGGTGGCAAGTGCTCTGAAACTGAGGTTTTGGGCTCTGTCATTGTGAAAAAAAATCAGGGTTAGAGGACACAGCCCTGTGAATGTGACTCAGGGTTCTTCAATGTTAATTTTTTATGAAATTTGATTTATTATTTATTGAGCTACACTCCAAATATTTTTATACATTTTCCCTGGAAACTGCACAAGTATCTCTGGCTGGGAGACACGGGTCAATGATATAGACCCCGTGGTTGGTGCTTCGACAGATACTGTCAGTGTAATGGTTATTGGGTCCCTCTTCTCCTTTCTCCTTTTAAGTATCAGCATTTACACTTAAGAATATTAGTAAAACACTCCAATCAATGCACTGGACATTAAGGACACGGGGGCCGATGAGTGGATGGACACTGACACCAGTATAAATGACTGGGTTTGAGCCAAAAAGCATGGAGACCAATCTACCCAAGAGAACCATTTGGTGAAACATCTCCAAAGGCCAGATATCTGTGTCAATCACATCGACACATTCACTGAGCGATGACTCACCCAGAAAGGGAAACTGGCCAAGACTGAAATTAACTGGCTTGAACAATGGGTCACGTCTATTACTGGACTGCTCTGTCATCCACCACATGAGGTGTTACCGTTCAAGAGAGGGAAATCCAACAATGACCTCTATCTCACAATGATAAGTGCTCTACTTGACTATTATGGGTGACATTCTCTATGACCTTGATGGTGGCATGTGCTGCTCGGCTAACGCTCAGTTAGCCTGTGGCCTTAGTTCAGCTGTGTCATAACCAAATGCCTGGGGTAGCTTTAACACTCATATAAAAGGATAAACAGACCTTGAAGAGCAACTGTAAAGGGATTCAGAGCAAAGGAACACTAAACACGTATTGTACTTTCGCAGTGTCCTCCTCACCCTTCATCGCCAACCTCTCTCCTTCATCTGCCCCCACTGCGCCACAGCCCTGAAGCAACAATATGTCGTAGAAGTAATGGTGCTGCCGACATAAGATCAATTCTTCAGGGTTAATACAAATTTACTCACAGCTGCTTAACCCTTGTTCTTCTACTGATGCACAGCCACACATGGCCAGTGTGATGTACGGATGCTGACAGACGCATCAGGAGGCCAGCAGCCCAGCAAGCAGTCACGGATTTTCACTCAGCAGATCAGCCACAGTGACACCAGAAACAGAGGCGCAATTTTCAGAGAAAAACACCCATGAAATACAGATTCAACTTACTGGTGTTTCTATTGAGCAGGGCAGTAAACACCTCTGTGTTGTCCAAAGGATGGCTCAGAAACAATATCATCTAACTGAGTCGGATGGTGTGAACAGAAAATAAATGGTGACTTGAAACTTTCACTGTTAGCTCTGTCCTGTAAGGACAATTGCAACAGACAGGCTGAATGCCATCCAAACAGATGTTACTGCTTAGCAGAGCATGCAGTGTAAACGTTGAACCATTCATCACAGAATGGGGTAGAAATAGCTCACAATATGCTCCAAGTTCCTTGCCATTTTTCATGCACATGATGTCATTTGTTCCAAATTAGGAAAGATGCGTTTTTTTTCTCTCTCAGATTGCTTAATAAGAAGCTTTCTCATTTATTTGGCCACTCATAGAAGCACAAATGTTTAAACATAACTGCACATAATGTATTTAATCCTAAAACACTAAACTCAGCTGATTTTTGATAAGAGTCATTAAATAACTCTACAAGCCACAATAAACAACATTATGTAAATATGCAGGATCAGACTGTGATGTATAATGTCTTGATCCATCTGCACATCCCCAAGACTCAGAGCTGAAAGTCAACAGCTTATTCACATAAATATACTCAAAAACATACTGTGTATAATCATTTTTCTAAATTAGCTAAAGTCAGGCCTACTTGTCTTCATTCTGCTTCATCATCCTGCATTAACATGGTAGGTTTGAACTGCCATCATAACTGTGAATATCATAGGAAACAACCTGCACATGCTCCAAACACACAACCTTACACAGTCTTGAAAAACAGACTTCTGCAGTTTATATTTACACTTGTATGCGCACATACACACAAGTCATATTTCAGTGGCATATTTAATCTTCACATTCTAACATTTTAGTTTTTATGGTTCATTTTTTAAATTTTTTTAAGGAATTATATCCTTCCCTGGAAAGCAGATAACAACTGAAAGGAAACACCCGGGAGAAAAGGCAGAGAACATTTCACAGTGGTACAAGTACTGAAAGGACTTCAACACAAATAGCTTAAAAAACTATTTGAAATATTAAGATAATAACTCTCCATAGTGTGTCACAGACTCTAACATGCAGATACAGACAGAAACTTTGTCACATGACACTACAAAAGACACTGTGTGAAGTCATGAAGGAGGAGCTGCAGGGACTCACATAAAGGATTTGACGTCCAGGCCTCGATTCTTCATCTGGTCCATCATGTAATCCCAGCTGCCAGGATCGGCACGTGTGCGCCCTCCTGCTCCACCTCCCCTATAGCGAGAAGCCCCTGCTCCTGCCGGGCTGCCCCGTGCCCCCCGGGGACCACCTCTAGTACCTGCACCCCCACTCTCACCACCGCTGCCGCCTCCCTCTCCTTTCCCTGCACCCCCACCGCCACCACCACCCCCACCACCTCCTGGCTGTCCAGGTGCAGTATGTAACTGTCCCAGGCTCTGTGAGGTGGTGGGCGGATGGCCCAGACTGGGGCCTGGTGGGTGGATGAGAGGCTGCTGAAGGCTTTGCTGGCGCAGCAGTGTCCGAGGCCGGGTGGGGATGTGCTCCAGAGTGGATGCATAGGATAAGACTGGATCCCCAAAGCTGGGAGGGCAGAGGAGCAGGGAGGAAAGAGAGCGAAGAGAAGGCCACGGCCGGCAAAGGACAGGATGATGAGGAGGCAGGTAGAAGTCAGAGGAAGAAGAAGATGGAGAGAAAGAAGAAGAGGAAGAATAGGATGAAGACGAAGAGGAAGAGTGGGCGAGTTTTTCAGGAGTGATGAGGTCATAGAGGACACAAGGTGGCACAGGGCAGTAGGACACAGCAAAAGGAGTCAAGTTGGCGTCAGGATAGATACAGGAAAGTTCACCCAAACAGGAAGTTGACAAATGTGAGGGGGAGGAGGAAGAGGAGGAGGAGGAGGAAGTAAGGGTGGTGGTAGAGGAGAGCGGGGCAGGGGGAGGAGAGTTTGGAGGTGGAGACAGGAGGAGGAGGAGAGAGAAAGAGAGCACGGTGAGGCAGCAGCAGTAACAGCAGTAGCAGAAATAGCAGTAGAAGGTGCAGCCTGAGTGATCGCTGTGTGCTGTGTGCTGCTGATAGGCCTGAGTCCAGCAGGCGTGTGCCAATTGCGAGCTCCGCCTGCGAGCCTGCGCCAGGTGTGTGTGCGCTTTGCGCGTCTGCGTGTTCTGTGCGTGCCGTTTGCGTGAGGGTGGGTTTTTCGCGTGCAGCAGACGGATACGGACTGTCCGCAAGGGCAAGGTGCGATTCGGCACCACCTGACCTCGTCGAGGTACGTGCGTGGTAGCTTTTCCGCATCCCGGCCTTCTTGATGGCGTTTTTTTAGCGTGATGAGAGATCCCCATTTCCCTATCCCGTCATTCAACTTTTTCCATGCCTGATTGCTTCTCTTCAGTTCTCTCTTAGTCTATTTCGTGGTTTAAATACATGCCGCACCTCTAGAGACATCCCAACAGCCAACCAAGTCCTACAGTACGGCTCCCTCCCTCTGTCACCCTCTCAGTCTCCACTCCTCCCCTTTATTAAAGAGTTTTATTGGGCCCACTGCTTTACCTTAAAGGTGCTTCAGTTTTCATAAAACCACAAAATAAACATAAACATTATGCTTATGTTTTGTGGGCTTTACTGCATCCTGTAACCCTTTTATACATTTTTCTCTACTCACTAAATATAACCTCATGTCTCTCCGATCGGTGTGTAACCCAGACTGCCAGAATTAGGTCATGAGAGAGCTATTCACATCAGTTAGGTGCCTTTTACAGCCCCTGGCATACTTTACCTACCACAATTTCACACGAGCCTTTTACTGTGCTTTCCATGATATAAAACAGTCACAAATAAAAGGATAAAAAGGTAAATGGAGGGTTTTGCTGTTATGGAGCGGAGTAAAAAAAAAAAGAGGAGAACCAGAGGAGTGGCTTCACATGGTAGCTGAACAACAGAGGGAACGATGGTAGCGATAACGACAGAGGGTGACGATGGAGGAGAGACAGAAAATGGGGTGTGAGACACAACACAAGAGACACAGACACTTATAGCAGCCTGAAAATAGAATCCAATTACAGACAGGGGGGGCAAAAAAGAAAGATGAGGAGAGAAGAGGAGGAATGAGGAGTGAGGTAGTGATGAGCGTAAATGTGTTGTGGAGGAAGAAATCACAGGCATGAGGTGTCAGAGGAAGGTGTAAAAAATCACCAAGAACTGAAAATTAACTGCCTCATTTACAGCACACTGAATACAGACCCTAAATCATGTCAAACATCATGACTGCGGGAGACATGCAGTCAGTAAGCAACATGCAGTTCACGTCTCGGGTTAAGTTTTTAATTAAAAGGCGGGTTGGTTGGCATGGTGTGAGGCACTATTTCAGGCAGTGTCGGAAAATGAGACTATTTTGGTATTGCATTTTTTTTTGAGAGTACACTTGCAGGCAGTGCAGTTCCTCACATAAATAAATCATACTCTCCTGCACAGTTACACAGGAGCAGCTGGGGTTTGAGTCAGTGTGATACAGCTCCAGCAACTATTGTTATCTTCTCAGGATGACGAAAGATCACATCTCCCCGGCGCTCGCACCTTGATCTGTACCCACACGCTCACCTTGAAACCTGAGCTGCACCTTCCTGCTGAACTTGACCTCGAAACTGATTCATTCATCTAATCATAGCCGCTGTGAGGTAACATGGTGCAGGAATAATATTGTGATGATGATGTGTTTCTTTCTTTTGTGACTGAAATGTTGGGCTGATTCTGGACTCACTCGCTGGGTCTCAGTCCTCCTGAGTGCATGTGTCCCTGGACGGTCTGCCACCTCCCGGCCTTTACTCCCTCTGTCACCATGCTCTTCACGCTGTCACTGCGATTAGGACCCCCCCCATCATCCCCATGCCCAGTTGCTGCCCCCTTCTGACCCCCTGACACTGCCCCACTGAGAGACAGAGACAGGGGTGCGGGAGGTCCCACGCCAGACACAGAGTACAGTGAAAAGAGAGTAACGACAGGCAGAGGAGAAAAAGACCAAAGAGTGTGAGAAAGACGACAAAAGGCAAAAACACACACACAAAAAAAGGAGAGTAGATTGAGCAACCACATGGCTACGGAGGTAAGACAGATCAGTAGAGCGTGTGAGGGGGCAGGACTGGTTTTCCAGGCCAAGTGAGAGGCAGGTAGATGAAAAGGTCGGGAGTCCAGTGTGGAGGAAGAGAGGGATGGGGTGAGGAGAGCAGGGAGGAAAGAAGAAAGAAGAGAAAGAAGAGGAGGAGGAGGAAGATAGAGGGAGCCTGTGGAGGGTGGAAAACCAGCAAGCGGTCACTCCTTGAGGGCCTCAGAGGACCAATATTATAGCTGCCAGCATTCACTAGCGGCAACAGAGTGTGGACTCTGGTTCTTTAGTTCTTATTCTCTTGTTCATTTGGGCATCTGAGGTTTGAAATGTGTCGCTATGGGAGCCAATTCAATCGTATCAACTGTAAGCAGGACTACGGTGCCTCATGAGCAAATATTTGATTCATTTAGGAAGCCATCCAGCGTGGCATTTGGTTAAATACAAGTGCTTTTGTTCCTGTAAACCATCGATTAGACTCTATTTTTAGATCCTGATGTGTATCCATTCATTTTTTTCAACATCTATGTGTCATCTGATCCTCACTTTGCATCAACGAGAGTAAACAGGAAGTGGTCGAATACATTAGGCATATTTACCTCCAAAAGAGTTCAGGAAAAATGTCACAGGGCCCATATTTCATCCCAAACCTGTTGTCAGGTTTAAAATGTCATGTCTTCTCAGTAAGCAGTGATGATCAAAAATAAAGCACAGTAGTGCCCTCTGGTGACATGACTACATTTCATTAATATGCATTCTCCTCCTGCTCCAGGTGACACATAAGAAAACGGCACAGAGGAGGTTGTTTCCTGGTGTGCACATGTAGGAATCGGAGGGGAGGACAACACTTGCATCATGTCTCTACGAAGGTCACCTTTCACATTTAATTCTGACCGATTGACCTGACAGAGCAGGAGGAGAAGTCATCAATCACAGCGCCAGCATGGATGACACTGCCTGAGCGACGGTCAACTCAACAGACCTTGTATATCGAGCTGGGCACAAGGTGAACGTCCTTAATCTTTACTGTAAGTGGGATCACATAAATAATCCGGTCTGTGATTCACTGCATGGGAGTATTTACAGGAAAAGTGCGTCCAGATATCAATCCTTGTTTTTGACTCAACTTCACTGGAAGAATTTACGGACAAATATAGCCGTAAATTCTCCGACTGTTTTTCATCTCAAAGCTATCAGACTAATTAAATAAATAATATATAGTGACTATAAATCACCAAACCCGATGACTACATTTGAAGATTGGTTTATGTCTGTTCAACACAATCGTTTTTTCCTCCTTAGATCATGACTGTAGCTGACATCCAATAAATAACGAGTTCAATATTAAAAAATGGGGCTATTGAACCCCCAATCTGATAAGTCCTTAAAGATGGAGATTGATCGAGTAGGGTTGAGGAACCTGTTTGACGAATGAGGCGGAGCGTTATTACAGAGATTGAAGGCTGCTGATCTCAAGAGAGTCCTTAACGGGGAATGATTTCCCAGCTGTCTGTTGGTTTAAGCAGCGCATTATTAGTGGATATGAAGTAGTCTGCCTAAAAATCTGGGGCCCCATTTCTATGATACAATGTTCAGAGTCTAAAGAGCATGATGCAAAGTTAATTAAGCTGTGTCTGACAGGGGTTTGCTAGTTCAGCAGCTCATAATCTAGGCTGTAAGTGAGACACAGGGATGGGTTAAATCCCTTAACTACCCATAGGTGTGTTTTGGGTGTAAAATGAATCAAGAAAATCACTGTGTCTCCTCTCATGCTGTTGTCCTTGGGGGGGTATAAGATTTGGCCAATAAGGTTTTACATTTCTGCTGTCATCCCTTTAATCCAATAGTTTCTCAGAGCTTACACTTTACCGACAGAGAAAAATAAATTTTCACTGCAGAGAAATGTTTTTTCTCCGCAGTGAAAATCATCAAAAATTTTTTTTTTTTCAGTGGGCGAAAGAAAAACTTTCAAAGGCCGAACCTGATGAAAAGCAACTCTGCAGACAATGAACCACAACCTTAGGGGTTTCTTCCTTTTCCAGAAAATGAACTTCTCCAAACACGAGCGCGAGGATTTAAACTTGGTCTTCTGAGATCAGCAGCCGTCATCTTCAGGCGGAGTTTTTCGACAGCAATCCATTTATCCACTGCACTCCTAAGCACACTACCGCTTTCTTCTCTCCAGGCACTTAAACACAGACTCCTCAACAGCTGGGTCTATTAAAGATGACCAGTTATTAGAGTTTATCAGACGGGTGCCTGGTAGCAGGATGTCTAAGCTTAGAGTCCTCTCAGTGCCCAGAGGGAGATAGGTCTGACCTTGCTGAGGCTTTATTGGATTCAAGTGCTCGGTGAGTGAGAAAAGGACTTCTATTGCATCAGGTAAAAACAGTTACCTTATCTCCCAATATGATAGACAGCAGACACAGTTCAAGAGCTTCAGTGTTAGAGCGGTACACATTAGATAATAGGTTGATGGGGGTCAGAGAAAAGCCACAGATGGATGTAAACCACAGGTGAACACTGGCACCAACACTGCAACCTGGTTTAACGGTCAACCCTCCACAACAACAACAACAACAACAACAACAAATTTCTGTTCACACAAGGAGCACAAGAAGATAGGTAACAGGAAAGGTGAGTTAAAGTGTACATGTCTTTAAGGAGAGAAAGGCTACGAGGGTTGTCCGTCTCCATGGATACACCCCATGGGAGAGAGGTGAAAGGTTAGAGGTCAGGAGTTAGTGGGAGCAGAGGCAGGGCTGTAGGGAGTGGGGGGGCGTCTGAGCGCAGCCTCTGTGTTCATTAAAAGGTGATGGGATGTGAGGAGCAGCAGCAGCAGCAGCGGGATTAGCCCCGGGATACTATCAGGCTCTGTTGCACTGATGGTCAGATGGCTGTTTCTGGGATGCTGTTATGTGCGTGTATGACATTTCCTACATTCACATTTCCAGAGCAGATTATGACTAATCATTAGTAACCATTTCTACCCTCTAGTGTGCTAACAGTTGGGGATTTTTATTGATGTCCTTATCCTATTTCCTATCGACGGAAATCACATTAAAAACCAATAGTTGATCTGGAAATGTGAAGTTTATGTAAATTGCAAAACCATGACATTTATGGAACAGGCTTTATGTAAAAGCCTTTTGGCTAAGAATTACTAGTTGATCTGGAATAAAATTTTGTCCTTCAGGAAAAGGAAAATAATCAAATTATGGGAGCAGGTGGATTTAAAGGGATAGTTTATAATTTTCCCATGGGGGTTGTATGAGGTACCTAATGTCCAACTGAGCAACAGACGGCTATTAGACATGTCGTTTTTTTTAGACCTAATTTCAACCATCTAGATTCTGTATATTTTTAGATGGAATTTAAACATTGCACCTTAATCCATTATTCAATAACTATTTATTTTAAAAAGCAACTGCGAGTTGCATAACTGATCTCCAAGTACTTAACTAAAATAATTATGAAAGCCGTTGAGCAATATACAGTTTAGTATAGTATAGTCGACTAGTCTAAACCTTCAATGCCTGAAACCACAAATTATGGCCCGAAAATTCAATTTTTTTGGAGCTGAAATATTTATTTCACTTACTACTGAAAACCCCCAAAAATCTAAATCTCCTTAACATTTAACAAGTTATTTATCTCATTTGATACATTAGATGTTTTTGGAAATTGATAAACCACAAGGACCTTTTTATCATTTATATATATTGAGGTGTTTTATTAGTAATTTGTTGATAATGTTGATTTGATAGAAGTATATAAAAGTATGTATCAAACATGATACAAAAGGCATTAAAGGGTTAAACTTGGTCATCTAAAAAGCTTTCATGTTTAGACCTGTGGTAGCCTGATTTTAGACCAGTCGTCTATGCTACATTTAGACATCTATTAGACCTCTTAAAGACCAAAAAATACTCAGTGGGGTGAGTGCACCACCTACGATGGATAACAGTCAGCATGGCCATTATTTAGAGAAGCAGGCCAGGGTTCCTACACTGAAGCTGGACTTTAAACTACTGAAGACACAGTCAAAAGAAACATGTACTTCAGCCATAAAAGACCTTTCCTTTCCACTGAGACTATTCTTTAGAGTCAGAATCACGTTTTTTTCCCCTAATGTTTAAATATGTGTCAACTTGTCTACAGCTTTCGTGGGACCCCTCAGATTTTCTGGGGGATCCTGCTCACCCTTTCAGGATTATCATTTGTGTAACCAACCTGCTCACTAAACATGTCCCCTTATTTGTTTTTTATTTTCCCAGAAAATTAACAGTAGCAGTGATCAGCGAATACAGAGTTGTTTTGCTTCAGTACATAAAGTGTTGGTGTTTACATTGAGTGTAGCAGTCCTCTGCGGTCTAAGGCCATTATCACTCTGCAAAGTTCAGTGAGATCAATTTGATGACCGGTTTAGAAAACCACAAGAATGCAGCAACAGTGAAAGGTTTATAAAAGTGAAGGTTGATTTCTGTCTGCGCTGGCCTTGGTACTGCCTGACCTTAACAGCTGAAGTATGGCATAAAAGATAGAATTGTATTTGTGGAAATATAGGCCTGTTGCAGGAAAAGTTGCTTTATACCTGCGGAGGAGCTTTTCGCTCAAAGGTGAGGCAGTAAAAAAAATCTTCAAACATGGTGAGCGCTCACAAACCAACCTCCCTTTAAATGTAGGCTTTTTGTTAAGGGTACATGTGACCTTTCTACAGGCTTACATGGCTACCATATGCGAACTCAAGCTGATTCGTCCTCTCACTCCTTCTGCTGAAGAGTACCTCACACAACCCCACCTAAATCACTGGTGCTTTCCTTTTATTAAGTGGCCGGGAATTTTAACATCCACATCCAATAGTTTAATTTGATGAGAGGCTAATTATGGTGACTGCACAGCTAAAAATAGGTTAAGGCGTTCAGGAGGGAGAGGTAACGGATGCGTGAAGGTAAAAGAAGATAAGGAAAAGGAAGGGGAAAGTAAAGGTGGCGCGGCCCCTGCCTCGTTACAGCCCTGCTCAGGTGGAAGTCTCTTACCAACCTTGGACCAAGACTCACTTGAGTGTGAGGCGAGGATCTCCGTATGGGGCATAGGGAGAAATGTTTAGTACGAACTCCTTGGGTGGATAGGAGCTCCACCTCTGCTGCACTGTGCTGCTGTCATTGTTATTCCAAAAGTCTCTGTCTAGATCACTGCGGCCAAAGAGAGAGACAGGTCAGAGCAACACAACCAAGGAGAGCCTTGGCACCAACCAACTGTTTGCATCAGGCACCTGCTGGTTTCGGAGATGTTGCGAGGGCTTGTTTTGAGGAAAAAGGTCAGCCGTAAAGCTGTACGGCACAAGATTAATTCTCAATTTTGACAGACGTTAAATATCAACATAGTGGACTGATTTAGAAATGAAAAGAGGGGGCAGCCTGGAGGAGAGAGGCATTCACAGAAGCATTTCATAAAGCAATGTGCCGCAGCAAAGACACAGAGAGAAAGATATAGGCAGCAAGAAAAGAGGAAGTCATAATCTGATGAACACACACAGCATGTGATTACATTCTGATTATCTAGCACGGCACCACTGACGACACACATTTGAGTAAACACTCAGAAGTCTGGCCCCCATCCTCGGCGTGAGCATGAACAAATGAGACACAAGGCAGGGGGAAAAAACTGCACACAGTCAAAGTAGAGGTGGAAAAGGTGAGCAGAATCACTGATGTCATACAAGTCACACAGCAGAGGTCAGAGCTGCAGCACATGGGATAGAGCCAGAGGAGAAAAAAAGGCAATGCACAAAGAGAGTTGGAAGCTGAAATGACCAAACAGAGCACAGCAATCAGCTGGAGCCAGTGTGAAAGAAAATGCAAAAAATTAAGAGACCGAGGACTTCAAGTCAGAGTACATTCACGTTTTCCAGTTCAAAGCTGTCATTACAGATTAAAAGTTACACAGACAGTCCAACAGGGTTGCGACAACAGCGGGCTATAGAAGAGAAGAAGTGACGAGCAGGTTAATAACAGTATTTTTTGGAATAGAGCATTGTACTTAGTATTACAAAGCTGACATTTTCTGGCTCTGACCTATAGCCCTGTTTCATCAAGCACAGAAAAGACCTTAATCTTAGTTTGAGCCCTGGAAGAAATGTTAGATCAAAATCCTGTCAAATATTTTAACTCCCAACACTGCAAAGAGCTCAAGCCCCGCTCCGTTTATTTCATCATTCTAAGCAGAGCAGAGGCGTGGCTACAACCCTGCACTTAAGGGAGACCTATCTTACACCCTTTAAGATAAGTGCAGGAGCAGGCTGGTCCAGCCAAAAGCTTCACAGGTAAACTAATGCAGATTTAATCTATGCTGATTAAATCACTAACCTTTCGTTTAATGTTCTGCCCGAACATGCTCTTGCAGAGATCAGGCTCTTCAAGATAAAAACAGCCAGCTTTCGTTTTCCGCCCTGTCTGTTCGGTGTATATCAAGAGATTCAAAGCTGAACTGGATTCAGTTCATTATCACCAGATTATTCTTCTCTAACTAGTTACTAGGCACTTACTTGATGGCTTTCTTCTCCCCTCGCCCACGTGCTGAGTCTGGAGTGTCTGCTGTTTCCACTCCTGGCTTATTCCTCTTCCCCTTAAGCCAAGCAGAGGGAGGGGATGACAGAGAGATCACAGACACAAAAGGTTAGCTTGGGTTTGTCCTTTGAAGCTGTGTTTTTGCTTTGCTAATTTGAAGTGTAAATGCCTCCCTTATTATCTCAGGAACACTGTGCCACCAGTCCTTTGCCTGATGGTCTCCTGATTACACTCATCAAAGTCAAATCAAATCTGCTGTGGAGAGCCATCTCTGACTATGATTATCATTTGCACCACCCTGAAATTTACATGCCAATTGCCTCTTTAAGGTAATCCGCTGGGTACTGAAGAGAAGCCTCTAGAAAGTCATACACCAACCTGATTACAAACTGCTACAGCATGACCTGCGGTAACCATGGAAATAACAGTGATGATGTAAAACTCCAAAAAAAAAAAAAAAAGTGCGGTCTTCTGGGCGCATTCTACGGGAAAAGCTCATTACGGGTAAAGGTGTTTCGCACATGTCACAATTCAGGTAATCTCTGCTGACACTTTGCTAAAGTGGGACAGGGAGGGGATGAGCATAAAGCAGCTCCATCCCCACCAAACAGCACTAACGCTCCCTTCAAAGTGGTGCGCTGATACACAGTGAAGATAGACGAGGAGTCTCCATCTCAGAACACAAGTGGGAGTTAAAACACTGAGCTGCCATCATGGTTTGGCTCAGACAATTGAATCTCAAGTTGGCTAAAGGGCAATTTCCTGTGGTGGACTTGTTTGTTGGGTGCTATGCACTAAGTTTGAGGCTGTAGAGCTGGACTTCAGCTATGTACGAACAAGGCAGCCCCCTGCTTCTACTTTACTTTTGCAATTTGGTTTCAAAACTAAGCCTACTCAACTTGAGTAGAGTTCTGGCACCAAACCCTTACTTCTTGATCTCAGTGTTTATTTCTCCAATGGACTGTGCCAGTCCTCTCTGTCCCGGCCGATTCTAAAGTTTCTGTCACTTGAAGGAATTACAACCTCTTGGTAGGCTAAAGTCTTGTTTATATTGTCAGTCTATTCTGGAGTCTTTTAACACGACCTCATCATAACTTTGTGATTTGACAATGATCCTTCTACAGCAAAGTATTGGTGTCCTAGGTTGTGATTTTTTTCTGCATTCAGACATTACAAAGGCACAAGAGGTAAACAAACAGCCAACCAGTTATGACACAACAACCAACACTCGAAAACTCAGCACTGTTCCACCTAGGGGTGGGTGATATGGGAAAAAGTTTATCACAATATATTTTTTTCATATCTGTCGATATCGATATATATCACGATATAAAAAATGAACTTCAACAGTGCTTATTGGTAGCAGGTCTTTTGCAGTACAATAAGCTACTGCATCTGTGAGGTCTTTGTGTCTCTTTGACGTTTTTTCACAAGGCGTTGCACTAGAGAAAACGGACTGAATGGTCAGCTGTTTCAGTTGCACAGGCACCATGGGCTCCTAGCTCCACTTGGGGTTTGTAACCTTTTGCATTGTGCATGCTCTGCTACATGGCACTGCTTCAGGTGGTGAAAAAGATTTGAGGTATTCACCGACTTTCCAAGAACATGTACTCGATATAATTTGCAGTGCACAGTGCAGTTGCGTGTATCTGCAGCCTGCTACCATGCAGTTGTTTGCTACCTGGTTCTAATTCAGCACATGATTGGTTCAGCGAGACGCGGACTGGGAGCAACTCCCCTTTTCATCGGCTATTCATATAGTCTACCAAAAGATGGCAGAATGCCAACTATCAAAAAGCATACTGACCATGTTTTATATTGATATTGAGGGAAATTAATTTTCAATACATCGTTATTGTTTTATCGCACAGCCCTAATTCCACCTGACCTGCTCTTGATCTTGTCTCCCTAGAGCAACATGACACAGCATACAGAGGGAAATTAGTTTAGCAAACTCATGAAAATCTTAAATTGTACTTGTTATTAATCTCACCTGTCATCTAGCTAACTTGTCAGCATCCCACCTGGCAAAATATGTGGACCACAGCTTTAGTCCCAACAGACAGAATTTACCACCGCCTATATTCAAGCTAACCTGGTAAGCACAAACTCATGAAACCAAGACCTACGCATGAGTAAAAACACAAAGGACTCAGCCAGAGGTTATATATGAGTTCCTCTCAGAGTCTGGATTGATTCAGATTTATATGAAGCATGCGTTGCTTATAAATAGCACAGGCGTATGATATGCAAATGATACCACAGCCCATATACAGCGCTCAAGAACCAGCTTATGCAGGCTCCATAAGTTCCAGATGACAGGGATCTCATTTCAAACTACAGTTCACACCTTTGGATATTGTGGCTTTGGATATTGTTGGAGCAGTTACAAAGCCAGAGTTGACAAAAGCACTGCTGAGCAAAAACGATAAAGCCCTCAATGGCCCTTCAGAGCAAAAATGATATCAATCACACAAGAGGAAACAAAGCTGCTCGTCTATTGTATAATCAGCACTAACCTGAAATAGAAAGGTCAACAAATGAATAAACATAGATGCGATGGGGACGACTGGTTTAACAGCTGCAAACAAGAGGAGTGTTTGTAGTTTAAACACTGACGCTTGGATAAGCCGTCGCTTCATGAACTGATATAGACATGGAAGTGATAAGTATGTGAAATGAATGCATCACATCATGTCAGTAGGATGTTGTCAGCCTACATTATGAACACTGTTTATGATCTGCAGTCTGCTTTAGGCATTTGATAGCTGTTATCTATGGCATGCCATGCTGGCCCAATATACTAAATTACCATTACTCATTTTTGTCTGAAAACATAAACATAAAAACAGACTACCATTAGAGCTGCAAAACATCTGCACACCCCAGAGGTAGAGTCTCCCACGCACAAAAACATTCATTACAAACATGCACACTGCGATGAAAACTGTATTCTCATTGAGTAATTTCTAAAAAGGCGAAACGGCCTGGGTTTCTGTCAGGTCAGGACAAGCTATCAAAGGAAACTCATGTATCATTTAATGCCAGCCTGAAATTTTCAGGGAGGTGGGAAGACACAGAGGATGAGCAAGAGTCCGGTACAGAAAGAGGGGCGGAGGCTTAAAATAGAAATCAAATTTAGAATTAGAAAACAACAAGGAGGCAGCTAGCAGGAGAGGGAAACAAGGACAGAGCAGGATGGCATTAAAGACAAAAGGATCGCAGGAAGGGACAGGTGCGAAAAGTGAAGCGAGACAAAACAAAGAGTGACAGGGTGTCCTGAGTGGATTGGATGTGAAAACAAGGGAAAGGCTCGAACAGTCAAACACTCAGCGGTGGGTACTGAGTCCCACAGTCGTTAATTCTATGCACTGAGTCACACATAAAGAATTACTTCAAAACCATCTCCTCTACACCTCTCCTACAGCTCATTCACCAAACAGGAGAACGCACACTCCGCTTTGGTTTCCCGGGGAGTTGTAGAGACTGCAGGGATTCAAAGCAGTGAACAAAACAAAGCTCAGCGGCTCCAAGAACACGACGCAAAATACAATACAGGAAATTAGCTCAATGCCCCAAATGAGGGTTAGAGCAAAGCAAGAGTGAGCATTTCACCCCTCTTCATCCTCTACTCAAACACTCTTAGAAATACTTGTGTCTAATTCAAAGCAACCGCCTTTTTATGTGAGGACAAAAGATTTCACGTGGTTACAGTATTCAGAGCTGTGTGGCTCTGAGCCAAAAGTTCAAAATAGCTCAAATTGATATGATTAACCAGTTAAAAGACATAGTTAAGTGCCTCAAGCTGGATAACATAAAACCCAAAGTACTTTCAGTTTTTAACCATTTAGCCTCAACAGAGCATGTTAGATTTGACGCTGTTTAAGTTTAGAACATTGTGTAGGCAGATGCACAGGAATAAAAGGCCAGCTGGATCTGAACTCACATTATTGCATCTGAAAACACAGGGCCACAAAAAGGAGAGGCAACAGCTGTGATGAATACATACTGACAGAGAGGGAAAACAGACTATTTCCACTTGTTTGAGCCTTTCAGCCGTCTTGATTGGTACAATCAATACATTGCAGAATTAGGATCACCTGATTCTCGAGGAAAAAAAGAGATTTCAAGATTGTAGCCATAAATTTAAAAGAAAAAACAGGTACATTTACAAAAAAAAATTGACATAACCTCATGAAAATTAAATTTACAAGAATAAAGTCGTAAAATCATAACCAAAAATACACAGCAAAGTCATCAATTTATATAATTTTGGCTGGTGAGCTAACTTTATTTGTGTTAGATTAAGACGTTTATTCCTTTAAATGCATTACTTTTTTCACACAACTTAATTTCTCATAAATTTAAAGCTTTGTTCTCAGAAATTTGCTGAAACATTTTGAAAGGGGCGACATAAACAAAAAACTGTGTTTTCTAACAGACTGTCAATCTGTTTATTTCTGCAGTTAAATTGAGTTTTTTAAAATGGAGATTTCTGAAGGACACACATGTGACTGTAGTTTTTAGTACTTTCACACTGACTTGATCTGGAGGTCAATCATTTGTAGCTTTAGGTTCTGTGTTTTTAATTTGTATTCCTGAGTCATTTGGGTCAACTGCAAGCCAGTGTAAACTTTCCCCTCCATCGTATAATAAAGACCTAAAACCTAAATAGTCAGATGAAGCGGACTGTGCTGAAAATCTTGAATATGTTTTTAACACTCCAGTGATTCCTGTAATCACCATAACTGGTCCATGTGTTTGCTTGCTGATTCAGTTATTTGTAGGCATGACAGTAGATGTGTGTGAAGACAATTGGAATACATAAGTCTGTTATTTGGAAAGATGAGGAGGGGAAGACTTGCTGCTGGACTGCAGGGGGATGCTGAGGGTTTTCATGAGGACTAAACACAAGAGGAGACAGAGAGAGTAAAACTACCACTCTCTCTGTCTCAGTTGGCAGTGTACTGCTTTTCCAACACCCAGCTGTGTTTGTTTGCACTGAATTAGCAGGCAGCAAGAGGCTACATGCTCGCTCAATATTATCCACATCACACCATAATTAGAGAGGAGGGTACTATCAAAATGGTCGTCTGCCGCAAAATCATTAATGATCCTTCGTCTGTCAAAACATTTCTTAAATACCTGTCCTCTCCACTGGCATTAATGACATAGAGACACATGTTTGTGTGAAAGCACAGAATCTATTCAGCGTTAATGACAGTACCTGTCTCTTCAATGTCAAGACTGTGAATCAACATCAATGGAGCATCTTCATAAATTAGAGTATCATCAAAAAGTTGATTTAATTCAGTAATTCAGTTCAAAAGTGAAACTCATATCATACAGATCCATTACACACAGACGGATGTGTTTCAAGTTTTATTTTGATTGGATTTACTGAAATTAATCAACTTTTTAATGACATTCTAATTGATTGAGATGCATCTGTATGTGCAATATTTACAATAACTCTTTGTTTTAACTCCATAATTACAGGTTTCAGATCATCTTTATCCTGTCATTTGCATAATTCCTGTCATATTCCATACAAGCAGGACTTCCTGACACATGGGTAATGCAAAAAAAAAAAAAAAAAAAGCCTGGAGGTTGTGTATACAAGCCCAACAGGGATTGAATCAGGCTGTGAATCTGGTCAGGTCCAATCTCATCTCCGCTCACAACTATGTCACGGATCAAACAGCTCAGGGCTCACAGGAGCGAGCAGAGGGTTTCTGAATGCCAAACAGACACTGCTGCCTAAACAGATGTTAGCTGCACCACCCTTGATATCGCAAAATCCCACCCAGCACCTACACCAGGAGCCCATACTGACAATCATCAGCTGCATAATGCAAAAAAAAAAAAATCCACTCTAAGAATATTTATTTAATTTTTCTGTGATTTTGTTGATGTTTAATTACATAATCATAGAAAATTAAAAGAAATACAAAACACAAAACCAGAGGCAAAACTGCAGGAAACTCATTAAAAATTGTGAAGTCGCCTATGGAAACGACACTGGCTAAGCACAAATTCTAAAAATGTCTTGCTGATGCATCTATAAACAGCAATAAGCAAACAGACTGAGCCAGCAGCAGAAGGAGATGATGGCATTGAATGTGCAGTTCTTCCAGAGGGCTTAGATAACAGAAAGCCAGGCAGGAGGGAGGCTTCAGGATGACTGCACATGAAGACTTTTAAAATAAAAACCCATCGCACTGGTTGCCAAAGCTAAAACACCGAAAGCAGAACTCACCCAAAATGTCTTGTCTATTAACCTATGAATCATGACCAAAACTGGCATGGGCCCACTCGCAACTGACACGTGAAGCTCGAGGCAAACATTTGTTCTTATGAAAGCTGACACTGTCAAAGAGTACATTTGGAAACATCACAAATGAAAGTTTGGACGTGGATTGGCTCATGAAGGTAGGAGTCACATTGAGCTCCGCGCGCATTGAAAATCGGTCGCTGTGAATTTACAGTAGGTACAGTATGCATATATAATAAGGAACCGCGTTTGAAAGTATCCATGTTTATGCAAATGAAGCTGTATATACGTTTTAATCATGCGTTCAGGGAATATAGAGCCTCCATGGAAGATTACAGAGATAAAGAGATCAAGGGAAGCGAGGGACGACTTTTTATAGAAGAACAGATTGAGGAGCTGCTGCGCCTTCATGGTGGTTAGCCACATAGAGAAAATAACACACCTTAAGGATGATGTTATAAAGCAGAGAAAATGGTTTTTAACAAGATTAGTAGTGTTTATGCTTTGTTAGAGCGCAGTGCATCAACAAAATCATATTTGTCATAATAGGGAGACTGCCATTTATCTAAGTCGCAATCTTTTTTGTGCATTTAGCAGTTGTGTTTGTTGTGCTTTCACACCAGTGGGCGGCTGACATTCCTTCGCAATAAATGGCCCAAAGACAAAGGGCTTTGGTTACATCTTAATGTCACCCTGTAACAGCAGAGTGCCAAAGTCTGGCTCAGTAATGAAGCAAAATGAGAGGCAAAGCCACGGTTCTCTGCATGACCATTGGAGACTGACTCCATGAAAGAGTCAATCCCAAAGACTTAATGAGAGCCAGTTCCACAAGAGTAAAGCCAACATTCTCAGTTCCCCATATTAAATGGCCGGGTTACAGTTCACAATCCTGTCTACTCCGTGTTAAGCAGTGGCGGCTGCTGGTCTTTCAAGGAGGGGAAGCTCATTTTTCTGGCCTACATCATAATTGTATTTGTTTATTAGTATGTAACAAAACAGAGTCGCCAAACACAACGGCAGTCGTTTTTAACAAAGACAAAAGTCGCTGAGGATCGGTAAAGTCTCCGGAGCAGTTAAGAACAACGGAATGAATGACTTGGAAAATGCTCTGGTAGATGTTTTATTCTTCAAGATCGCTGATTCGCTTGTTTAGCTGTCTATCAAAAAAGGATTTCGCCTCAGACAGCTCATCCAATCATGGATGCAGAAGCTTGGAGTCCGGGAGAAAGTCGGGACCGCCCTCTCGCCATAGAACTCCAGTGAAGCTGGGCTTCCGATGGGCGGGACAAAGCCCAGCATTTATCCAATGAGCGTCTAGTTTTGCTGCTGGAACAACCCACTTTAAGCTTCCACATTGAAGTCAGCAGAAGCCCAGCGTCCGGCTGTTTAAAGCGCTGAGGCGCTGCGAGGATGAATGAGAACGAAGTTATGCCGGTTACCTATAATTATCAGCTTCTTATCACAGTGTCTGAACAAAAGATGAAGGCTTTCTAGTGCGTATTTAGTTAATGAAATGTACACAGAGCCGTACGTATTTCACCACTTTTTCTTTTTTTGGGGGGGTGACATTTTAAGGGAAGCCGAGCTTCCCTTGCAGTCTTAGAGCAATCGCCACTGGTGTTAAGAGATGGTTTATGGGTCAAACTTTAAAATTAGAATATACAAAAAAATAGAGTTTCTGTCTCTTCAGTTGTTACCATGTCAACCTATGATCAAGAGTTTATTTTTCTTGGTTTCATTTACCTATTTGATGCTTTAAAGGGGCTTTAGATATGGCTCATATGCACTGAATTAGCAAAGAAAAAGAACAACAGCAACAGGAGACAGAAACAGTGATGGGCAATCTGTTAATAAGCTATCAGTTACTCTTCGTTACACTGAGCTTCACTACTTCAAAGCTACCACAGGCTAAGCTACATCAACAAAGCTCTTAATGTTAATGTTATTATTATTTTTTATATAATCAGTATTTTGCCCCATGTATTTTGTTGAAATGTTTCTGTGATAGCCCAAATGATGACCTGTAACTTAAAGGTATAAATATAATGTGTGTGCTTTCTTACATTCTCTTCATTTGATAAACACATACACCAGAACCAAGATGTTGTGACTTCTAATTCATTGTACACCACCTGACTGTATTTGCTGTGTCAGCTGTTGAGAGTTCACTCACAGGTGTTTGGTTATGTAACATCACAGGCTGGTTACGTAGCTGTGTCCAAATCTCCTGCATGTGTCTCTGTTGACTGACACAACTTGTGTTTGTTTCTGCATGATCAACAGATCGTCTTGAGTTTATGTGAAGTTCTTCCTTATGGCCGACGTCATAAGGAAGAAGACACAATACCACATTTACACTTCTGGTTTTTCAGCTGGTGTTATCTATTGATCCCCAGCAGATCATTTGTCCTGACACCAGAACAGAGCGCTTTGCTGTCACCGAACTTTGTGAAGAGAAATGTACTAGAGTTCATGTTAACTACTGAAAAGCAGATATTGTTATTTGTAATAGTGCCACTGCCAATCATTGCTTAATAAAACTAAAAGTCAAGGTATATGGATCATCGTAAGAGTGAGATGCCAACACATTTACCACATAAGAAGTCAGTGCCCATATCAGGGATATTTTTGCATTACTTTTGTTCGATTGATGGCGGTGGAGATACTTTGGCCCATAATAGCCAGACCCTATTGGGCCTCATGTTAAATCGCCCAGCCTTGAAATTGACAAACAGCTATCATTGAACACATTTGGCGGGAGAGTCGGTGTGATGACGCTCTGCTCAAACAGCTTATCCGAAATTTATGACTTGCTGCCCGACACCAGAGGGTGCTGTTCTGGTGGAGGCAGACAACGTCCATTCTATAAACAGTCTATGGTCATAATTCATGTATTTTAATAATAATAAGGTTTAAAGTTATGCATAATCTAGGCTGCAGCATCTTTCAGAGACAGGTGTGTGCTGCTATCTACTAAGTGTCATCTTAGCTAATAAATTAATTGAATTTAAACTCCTGATATTAGCGTTGATGGTTCCCTTTAACAACTTATTTATGCACACATCAGATAAAGAATCATTCTTGTATTGCTGTTTCTTTTACTTACAGACTATCCAGCAGCCTGTAATGTTTTTAGTAAATAAACATTTTATAATCACTCTATTAAAATGTTCGACAGATTCGCAGTTTTTAGAGTGACACTGACCAAACTGCTGAGCAGACCTCTAATTTTAGGACAGAGTTGTGGGTCTACCATGTCCCACTTGCCCTATATGCTTCTGTTCTTGGTTTAACTTCCTCCTAATAAGGAACCTCAGTCAGCAGAAGAGTTTTCTCAGCTCATGAAAACTTTAGGTGTGTTAACCTCTCTTTTCTCTCTACCTCCACTTTCTGGTCTAATAATTGTCACATCTGCCTCTCGAAAAATCCCAAATTGTCTACAGCCCCTATGTCAAACTCAAGGCTTTACAAGAGGAGCTAACAAAAGTGGTGTCACAGTGGCTATCTCCAATAACTATACTGGATCTGGTCGCTACTCACCACACACACATGACCGAATAACCCCCAATGAAGGAATAAAATGATAGGAAAACACACATAGCATCATCTTATGTGTGAGGATGTGGGTGATTGCATTCCTCGCAGGGTCAAAAGGCCAACCATCAGATCATCATCCTTTTCTGACCCCGCTCTGGGGCTACTGCACACCACTATCACAGAGTAGAAATAAGATCCATTTACAGAGCAACCCCAGAGACCACCACTTTTCAAGGTGCTGGCAGCAGAACTACCACCATCCCCAGCAGGAAACTAGAAATCATTCACTGCTCCATTTAATCTACGGCAGAATATCAGATGTAACACTGTGTTCCAGCCAAGCAAACAATAGAAAGATTGTAATGTACCTCTGTCCTATTTTAGCACAGCCCATTTCCCCCTAGGTTTATATACGTTATAAAGTGTAATCTGGCTACAGTCATCTTACTGGTGACTCAAGCAATGCAAATCACATGATGGAGAGAGACACGTGGTGTGCAGCACCTGCTACAGTGCCAAATCCTGCCATCTGTAGACCAATAAGTTTCACAGCAGTTAAAAATGAGGTGGAAGATGTATGATTCCTCACTTACATTAAACTTCTTTGCTGACATTAAACTTGTGACCAGTGTTTCTAGGTTGTACAGGATGTAGGTTGAGTCAGAATCAATTAACTCTATAGGCATGCAAATGTAGGAAAAATGAGTCAAGTGTAGTAGCAATCAGCTGTGGAGCTCTGTCTGCCTAATGACTGGCTGTCTCCATTTAATCAATCACATTTCATACCACATAATCACAATGACATGCCCTCTATTAGAGGTCAGTGTGTTTGATCTGTGCTCTGTTTCTACTCTCAGTGAGTGGACCTGAGCTGATGCTGCATCAGCACACTCTGTAGATGTGGGAGCTGTGACTGTCTGAGGGATTTTGGATCTGCACTGTTGTGGTTACACAGACATGGATGTTACTCTGGCTGTTTCCTGAAGCAGTTTTCAGTGATGGGAGGAAAATAAGGGCTGCAGTACTGCACTTCAGCAAATGGGGTGTGTGATTCATGACATCTCTAACCCTAACCTTAACCCTAAACTTAAGAGCATTAAGTTATACTGGCTGCACTTATATATTGAACAGTTATATCAACTAACTATAAGGTACAGACTTTTAATCTACAAAAATGAATCAGCTGTTTTTACGGCACAAACCAGCTCCTTTATTAGGGAACACCTGCAGAATCTAAATGAAACCAAACACATCAACATAAAACCTCACCGTATACTGTAGAATTATAGTCATGTGTGGTACAGTTTTAACCTGCATTTGTGAATTTAACAATGAGGCACGGTCACAGAAAATGGTTTTTGCAAGTGGTTTTGAGCTCATGCAGTGATTTCTACTTCAGAGATTTCTCTAGAGTGTATGAACTCCTTTACTATTTTCAGATGAAGAAGTTTGCATGTTTTTGCAGTTTACTATACTCAGTGTTATTCTGAAAATACTGAACCTTTGCTTAAGTCTCTCACAGACTGCTGAATCTCTTCCTTTCTTTCTCTGGAGAGACCCAGCCTCTCTTGAAGGCCTTTTTATGCCCAAGCATGTTACTAATCAATTGCAAATTAAACAAATTAGCTTGGAGATGTTCTTCCAGGATTTGTTTTTCAGCATTACTCAACATTTTAGTGATTTTTTTTGTCCCCATCATAGCTTTTTTTAAATGGCTTTCTAGCATCAAATCTAAAATGAGCATATATTATATATGGCATATATAAAGTGATACTTCTTTTCTGTTTTAACATATGATATGTCATCTTTGTTTTATTTCTACTTATTTTTAGTTCAGTTACAGGGTTTAAATGATGATCAAACAACCATGATCCCTTTTTAAAAAACATTTTACACAGTGTCCTAACTTTTTTTGCATTGGTGTTGTAGTAAAATATGGGAAACGTTGAGGTTGTAGTGGTCCCTTGTGCTGCACAGGAGAGTATTGGAACAGAGTGTTTCAATGTTCTGTCAAAGTTACTTCTATTTATGATGTCTGCAAAGCTTGGCAAATATAAATAAATGATAGTAAAACCTCAAGAATAAAGAAGTAGTTAGAGCAGTACCTCTCTGACAGAGTACACTTTAATTGAAGGTTGTCGTATTCCTACAGGCAGAATTTAGGACTAATCTGTTGTAATATATGGTATGTAGCAGTAAATTGCCAATAATTATACAGAAGTCATCTTAGTTTGCATCTCAATTATGATAAAAGCTCCGTCTTTTCAGAGCTTCTTGTCATGTTTCAGATGAGAGGGAAACATATTCTGTTTGACCAAAGGGATGAAACCCCTCTGAACTAATGAGAGGCTTTTATTCAAGTACCAGTGAGAGACAAAGAGATGTCATATTATTCTGTTTCACAAAAAGTAAAGAAGTACTTCCAAGGCCAAAGAAAAGAGTGAAAATTGGTGAAGCAGAACTTTTTTGACCCTCTACTCATTAATCTTTTCTAAACTCTCCAGATTCTTCTTTTGACCCAGCAGAGGAGCCTTGAACTGTGAATAAATGTTAACAACGGTGGAAAAGTGGCTGGAAATAAACCAGTTCAGTCCTGTGTATTAAGGAAATTTAATAAGTAATTTTTAAAAAAATCAAATATTTCAGAGAGCTGTCAGCACAACGATGTTTTCTACACAGAAATATGGAAATGTTCTCAAGTTACTTGAAAGACACAGATTTTTTCTGCTACATTTTCACTGAATAAATATTGAACCATTATACAGAGGTGTTCAAGTCAGAAAGGAAAGAAGGTGACCCTGAAATACTCTGAAAAAAAGATGTTTATGCAGACAGAAAAAGAAGGCAAGCCATCTCTCACCTCAGATATCACCTTCTAATCGTCGATTGGGTGGCTAATTGGGTTTCAAGAGGGGCCAACCCCTCGAGGTCCCCTCTACGAATTGCCTAAATTTAATATAAACCAGCATCTAAACACAAACTCTGGACTCTGTTGTGACATTCTGACAGTCTACACCTGTCCGTCAACTCCATAGCAATATACAGGTTTGATGAACTACAAGACAAGAACTACAAACTGATATATGCAGTGTGATGATCTACACAGTAAACACAAGCTACTGGGGTCATTTTTCAACAAATAAAAGTCCTTTGACCTATGGTACTTCACTACGTATACCTACAAAGGTGCTATATGGACAGTTTTTACATGTGAGATACACATTATAGTCAGTAAGAATTATTTTTCCCCTGCTTTTGGTTAATTACTGATTCAAAGATCTGAATAACTCTGCCACCACTCATATGTCTTCATTAACAACTTTCTTGTAACAGAGATTTCTCAGTTCAACGAGTCTGCACAAAATATTTGCTGAGATTTTCATAATATTTGCACACATCGTGCCTCCTGAAATGTACTGAAGATGAGTTTTTCTTGTGAAATCTCACAGCAGATAGTTTTTACTAAGGCACTTGATTTATTAAAGCACGCTAAGATGGCACAAGATGTGACTTGAAGCTACAGAATTCGCGTTAGTGAAGCTTACATGATTACGTGTGTGTGCATGTGTGTAAACTCACCAGCTTGCGTTGACACCAACCACAGACGCCACAAAGAGCCACCAGCCAAACAGCACACACTGTCACTGCGAGGGAGACCAGGAACACACTGAGGGACACTGAGCCTGTGCACACACACACACACACACAGAATACACAGGGAGGGAGAGAAAAGTCAGAGTTACTTTTTTTTTCATACATGGGGACATTTTTTTTAACATGTGAACAATATTAACACAGGGATGATGCAGCAGAGGTGACTGTATGCCACGGTAAATCATGTAGTCAAAAGAGGTCAACCCAAAACAGAGCTGGGCTGTCTCCCTCCATGTCTAATTGAATATCCAGGCAGAGCGGCCATTTTTACATTCTGTCATAAAGCGCTACGAGACACAATCCCACAGCTGCCCTGTGCATGCCGGAGCATTTCAATACCTTTCCAATAAGGGCTGCAGCCAGGCATCAGTCAACTGCACACACATCACTGTCATGGTGTCACAGCTTGTTAAGTGACAGGCAGAAAGTGAAAGGAGGAGGGAGGAGGGAGGGGGGAGGAGGGGAAAGGAGTGAGGAGGAGTGGAGAGTGGAGGGGAGGCTTGGCTGACAATACAAGGGAGCTCATGATTAATGGGTATCAGTAGAGGCCCGGTGAGAGAGGTGGCTCAGGAAGCGAGTCATAAAAAAACATCATCTATTGCTGCTTGCATGTGACTCAGAGTGTGTGTGTTTGTGTGTGTGTGTGAGAGACGATTCACACCTGCGCTGATGAGCCTGTGCCTGCCTCTATTTACATCCAAATAGTACTCCTGACTAAAAGTGCACCAACATGAGAGTTTCAGGTTTCAACATTAAAAAAAATCAATTGTCTTTAATTGAAAAGCTGGAGATTTATTGAGCTTTGGTGTTAGCACAGCAGGACAGACGCATTCTTAAATGTACAGCCACAAACAGCTATCAGGTAGCACTGTCAGTGACAAACACCGCTGCTTTCCTTTGAGTAACTGGGTTTGTCTTCTCTCCACTTGCTGTCTGCATCTTTTCCTTTCAGGCTGTCACATCTGGCCTTTTTATCCTGTTCCTCCATCATCCCTTCTGCTTTATTCTTTACCTCATCGTGTCCTCTGGGAACAAAAAGAAGGAACTCTGCAGCAGGTCAGCTCGTTTCATATGGAAAATAAGAATGAGACCGGCGTCGTACTCTACAATCTTTCCCTCCGCTACAACGGCTGTTTTGAAGTCAGTGTGACACCTGAGGCTACTCCCAGTCAGGACACAGAGAGCACATATAGAACAGTAAAGAGCGTGGACAGGAACATAAAAACAGATGGAGCATGCTTTGGGTTTCATGAGCTTATCCTGTGTTTGCAATCACATTTGTATAAAAAAATTGATGATATTCGGTTTTTCATTACCCTTAAATAACAACTGATTAGTCAAACTTACTTCTATTAATCAATCTTTATTTACATCGTGCCGATTCATAACAAATGTCATCTCAAGATACTTTACAAAAAGAGTTGATCTAGACCATCCTCTTTAATTATATTAACAAAGACCCAACATCAAGATGGGATAAGACTGAGTCTCAATAATAAGATCAGATCCACTCTGATCCCATCTTAATCCACCACGGATGTGACACTTTGCAGCATTTAGCAAGTCACAGGGGCAAGGAGAAAGCTTCCTATTCACAGCATAGACTGTATAGACAACTTGGTTCCGCCTCCCACATGTATACAGATTTGAAGCCAAAAATCTCTCGGTATCTCTGGGATTTTTCCTTCATTTCCTGAAACCAGCCCTGCGCAGTAGCAATACGCGCATTCGGGCATGCAGTCGCCGAGAGTCACCAGGATGACGCTCGGCTCAAACAGCGTATCCAGGAGAGCTACACAATCCCTGAACGCCCATAGGCTGTACCAGGTGTCAATCATAGAAACATGAACCCCCTAATAACTTTTAAAAATGGAGCTTCACAGAAAAAAGAGGACTTGAGCACAAACCAGTCTTAATGTAACTACATGTCAACATCGCAAGCGGGGGGGAGAAAAATTTCACAGTCACAGTCCTTAAACTCTGAGCTCATATGTTGTCACATGTCAGATCGTCAAAGTCAGAAAAATAACAGGACCAATCCCTGACAAGCTACAATAGCAGTATAGGAACAGTTGCGTTCACTAACGTTGTAGCGTTCCATAAAATAATGTGACGAAGCACGATAAAAGACAGCTAGTCCACCCCTGTTTGTAATCTGTGAGGTTACATACCCCTCCTACTTTGTCCAATCAACAAGCGCTCTTTTCAACCACCTGATGCTGCTCGGAAAGTTCGGTGCGCTTTAGAAATCACAGTGTGAAAGCAGAACTGAAACAAGTGATAAATGCAACAATGTTGCGACTTTCAGCTCCCCAATCGAACCGAGTCCGCTTGGTCAGGTGTGAAAGCGACCTTTGATTCACAGGCAGAAACCTTGAGCAGAACCTGGCTCATGTTAGTCACCCGCTGAGACCGCGTTGGCATCAGAGAGGGGATAGAGGGAGATGCAGAAACAGAGAGATGGACTGAGACAAAACAGTAACAATACTGGTGCATACAGATGTGTGGTTACAGTGCCAGAGATAACGGAATAAGTTTATGTAAGAGCAATATTTTAACATTACAATCTACTCTGGATATACGCTGTGACAAATATGAGGGTTGTCTTTTATTTGCATATCACAGAAAACTGGACAATTGTATTCTTTCTGAGGGACCTTGCAATTTTTTAATGCTTTTCAGCAGCATCCTGTGACCATGACAACCACAGAAGTTATAAAGATGAAAATCTACGGGAGCTGATTCTGCTGGATTTGAAAATGTAGAGCTAAATGGGGTCTGTAAATCGTCACCTTCAGAGAACAGGCAGGTCAAAAAGGAAGAATAAGTGTTTTTTTTTTTTTTTTTGGTCTTGGTAAATACTGTAGACGTTATTCATGAAAAAGTGTCTTTAAGCTACAACCTCTCCCTGTTTGGGAGAGGTGAGATTACAGCAGGCGGTAGGCAGCAGCCTGTCAGACACAGGCTGGAGGAATCAGAATAAGTCATGGATTCAATGTAGCTCACTGTATAAAAGCACCTTCAGCCTCTCTATAGGAGCCATTCAGTGCAGAATTAAATGGCATTTTGCTTAAAAATTTCATCATAAATCACAACTTCCCTTATCTATCCAGAGTAAAAGTCTATTTTTCTTATTGTCAAACAATCAGGGGTATATCTACACTGGAATTTTATGACACCTTCAGGCGCCTGTTGAGTTTTTCTGTAATAAGCCACATTTGCTGAAATTTAGTGCTCCTCAACAAATGTATTTCTCTCCTCTATGACATTTTCATAGCAGTTTTTTTTCTCTAGGATTGAAACCTAATAGTTTAGGTCCACTCTATTTACAGAGGTTTTATCCCTTGTCACAGTTGCTGGCCCCTGGTCTTTCCCCATGCTCTACTTTCCACATCTCGTCTGTTTTCAGATATCCAATAAAGGCAGAAGTGCACCAAAATATGACACAAAAAGGTTAAACCTGTATTAATTCCATTTATATCCTCTAGTTGTTTTTTCTCCCATCTTTGTTGAGTGTCTGCTGGTGTTACTGCCACCTGTAGGTCATTAAAAGAGTAAGAAACTTTTGAGAAATATGTAATAATCTTATGCATACAAAATAGGCTCCTTTTCATGCTCCTGTAAGGAGTAATTGATAACTGTTGTCAACAGCGATGCATCTGTGATATATGAAAGCAAATGAGAGCAAGAAATACACTCTCTACATGATAACAATATTGTTCTTAAGTGCTGTGAGGGGGGTAGGAACATTGATGAAACAGTTTTTGTTTCTTTTCCTACAACAAATATCCACAGTTTCACAGTAGGAAGTCAATAGGAGGAGATTTTTTGTCAATGAACACTACTGTCATTGAAACGAGACTAGATTAGCAATAATGTACGGGTTACCATTTTGTCCACTAGGGGTGCCAAAGTCTTCACAGACAGAAAGTTCCTCATTGAAGCTTTTTTTTAAAAAAAGGTGTTTTTTTTTAGTGTTAATAAAAACTGGGAATCATGATGTTTTAGTCTCTTTATAAGCCAATGAGTAACGCCACCAAAACTTTGTCTATGTTTCATATAATCTGTGCTATAAATCTGCTGATCACTCAGGAAGGAAACAAGACTCCTCACAAATCACTTACTACCTTTGTTTATACCCTCATTGAAGCAGCTGCTTAGACTTGAAAGTGCTTGATTCAGCTTTGCTTTTGTTTTGATCACAAGGGTAAAGATGTAATCAGGGTAATAGTTGAAACAAGTGCTCCCCAATCATTTATGATTTACAGTCAGCAAGGCCTCTAATGGTAAAGGTAACGTCACGTCCATGCTCTCCTTAAGCATTAGCAGGTCAGTGAGGCACAGCGAGCACTTGAATGATAAATATATCTATTCAAAGACATCCAGAAATAGACACGGGCTATATACTCTTCAACTGTATATTCACTAAGAGGTCAATAAAGTTAAGTCCATTAAAAACCACAGAATAAAGAATGGTTTTTAAATAGAGTAACCTGTCTCTAGCTCAAGGCCTTCGAGTTCATCTCGATGCGAAGAGGCTCAGTGATGAATGTTCTGCTGTTTGAAGGAGAGTTAGGTGGATCTGTGAAAGCCAGCAGCTGATGTAAGGCTTTAAGAACCTGTGTTCTCTCTGAGGGTTGAAGGGCAGGGTGGGTGGTTGGTATGGTTTATGGTCCGTGTCAGTCATGAGAGCTGAGGGAGTTGAAAAAAAGAAAAACTCCAAATAAAATGCTGCATCCAAAGAGGCCGTGCTACTGCTCTCAGTAATGGACGACTGTACTCTGCTTCCCACTTCAAGGAATAAAACTTGTTTTTTTGGCGCTACGGAGAAGTACTGTGGGCAGGAAAAGCAGAGGAATAAAAAGAAAATTGTCTGTGTTGAGGTATTAGGGAAATATGCAAATCCTCAGCTCTACAGCTAAAGCATCATTAGCGTAAGAGAGGCCCGCTCTACAAACAGCTATCACAACGTTCAGGAAATTCGACTTATCTTTCTCCTTGAACAAAACTTTTACTTTGAAATACTCTGGCAGGTGAGACATAAAACAGTGTTTGTATGCTGAAGGAGGTAGTAAGGAGAGACTTTCACATGATCATAAAGGACGGCCGCTGCTTACGTATTTTTGAGTCAGTGGGGATTTTTTTTTTTCCTCAAATGGAGCGTGATGAATCACATCCAAAAAGACAGCACTCAGTAAAACAGACAGAACAGCCAAATGAGCCATTGAACCCTTTGATCAGAAGCCTTTAGAAGTCACAGCACTCTTGAACTTGAAAGTCGCTTGTTTGTTTCAGATTTTAGTGGCTATCCTCTTTTATATGCACATAAAAGACAAAATAAACTGAACTGTGTAGCGGGTTGAGTGGTGGTGCTGATGGTGTAAATGAGCTTGCGGTAAAACCTCTCACTGAATACGAAAAAACAAATGCGAAGATGTTCGGGGGGGTGAATTATGGTCATTTGAGGAAGAGGCAGAAGTAAAACTTTCAATAAAACAAGCATAACTGTGGATTCAGAGAGCAACACAGCGCATGTAGGTGATCTGGCCCACATGTGGTGAGCTAAGCCAAGCAGAAAGGGACCAGTCCTCAGGGGTGGAAGAAAATTGCTAATTGGACAGGCGGAACTGGAGCAGTGTCCAGTCAGCAGAGCTGCCACACCGCATCTTTATGCTCCGGCTGAGGTGGAGAGGGCAGAGCCTCAGAAGCTCAGGGTGCAAAAGCTCAGAGCCTAATCGCCACTTCAAAGTACCCCCTCCTTGTATCTGAGTCTGGGTTCTGCCCTCTTTATAGCCACTGAGCTGCTGCTGGGGTAATCCCCAGATGTCACTCAGATGTCTTTACAGTCTGGTTCCCTCTGAAGCGCAATCTGCGTGCAACAGCAGAATCCTACCTCTAGTAAAAATATGATAATGCGCATTTCAAACGGAGTCTTTCAGACATACTCTGCAGTTTGCTGCATTTTGGCCATTTCTCAAGACAAAAGAATGATTGGGAGTGAACAGCATAAACACTTAAATAAATGTGTTTCAACTCAATAGTCCCTCTGTGCTCAGTCACACAAAATAATTTGTGTGGGAAGAGCGTGAAATTGATTTCAATGGGTAGATGTGGATAAAATGAACAATCACAATAGTTCCAGGTAAATAAAGTCATTGTCTAATAAACTGATGAAGTGACATTTCACACAGTGAGCTACGCTTCCACCAGTTTTGTGCGATAATAAAAAGGATGACCTGTTGTTGTCACATGCTTCAACCCTTTTACTATTGAGCCAGACAGTCTGGCGAGTTTCAACAAAACGTCACTTCAAGTAGGATGTGCGACGGATGATTGACAATATTCTTCTTCATGCAGACATCATTGTGGACCCCTCCCACAGCTATCTGAATGAGTGTACCGCTTTATGAGTGGGCACTGCTTTTTGTTACAACATTCAGAGAACATGGCAGCAGATATTTCTGGAAAAAAATGTCTAAAATAAACTCTGTATCCATTCGCTTGGCAGAATCGTGCTTGATTTACTAAAATATAGAGTTTAAATATATGCTGACAAAATCGAGGAATCTATCCGAAGGCTTTCCGATGGATCTAACATCTACTTGGCTGAGTTTAAAGATTCACAGTGGAGGTTTCAGTTCTGACAAACCTTTGATTTAGGAAGACATGACCCCTATTTTCCAGGCAGTCCTTAGCTTCTCTTGATTTCAAAGGGGTGTGAAAATCCACCAGAGATTTGGTTAGGTAGGTCAACTTGTTCAGACATCTTTGTTCTCTCATTCAGCTTGTTGTTTGTTGGAGAGCTTTGATGAAGCTTTTTTTGGTACTGCACAGTGCACTGTAATTGACACCCTTTTTTTTTTTTTTTTTAAAGGGACACTTCATGTTTTTCAAGTGGGGCTTATCAATAGACGGTGTATAACCCACAGGGTTAACCACAGCTGGCTTGTCTCTGCAAGATCTGTTTACCTTGTTTACCGGTATGAACTCAAGTTAGCTGCTGTAGGACAAGACTGAGCTGGAGCAACAAACTCTACAGCCTTTACTCTGTGAACTGTTCAGCAGGTGAAGCTTGAAATTAAGTCAAACGGAGGTGCAAAAACATTAAAATTTGGCGACTTGTACAACACAGTCATGATTAGTTAATGAGTGTCCTGAAGGCAGAAGACCATGTATGTGAAAATATTACAAAACTGAAAAGGCTTTCTGAGTGAAAAAACACTGAAGTTTTTTACACCAACAATAGAGTTTCTTAAAATTCGCTAAATCACACGGTGGGGTTTACTTCATCTGCAGCAACTGACAGTCCACTTCAGTTCTGGCTCTCCTTGCTGGTTTCTTGACAAAGGGACTGAGCTGACTGAGATCCTCTTTGGTAACACTCTTACTATTGACAAGTATCTTATACAATTCTACTTATAAATCACTAAACCATCTCTCTAATGCAGGGATCTACAAGTTTTACAGTTTTCAAAACATTCAAGTGAACTTATTGTTCAGTTTCTTTAAAATTGTAACATGGCAACATATCACTTGTCAATTATGTAAGGTATAAAACTTGATTTTTCACCCTCTGAAACCACAAAGCCACCAAAAAGCAATGAAAACACAAGAGTGTACTGTAGCCTACTGCAGTCAGAGTAGACTGTGGTTTATGTTTGAGCATGCACAGATACCAGTCCCAATATCCCATCGCTCTTATGTAAGAACAAATAAATGAAAAAAAGGAAACTGATCTGCTGGGATGACTCCACTACAAGAGCCAAGAAAAAGCAACAAGTCACTTTTTCTACTGTCAGTATTTTACAACTCATAATTCAAGGACTGCCTGGCATTTGACAAACAATCACAGAGCTGTTAGGCGTAGTGGAGTGTGCATATGCAGCACATTTTCATGTTGGTAAAAAGCTGCTGAATGCTTTGGCAAATTGATGGAAATAAACACAGTTCTGGTGACTCAAATCATATCAAATCCAGTCCACAGTGGAGTCCTATGTGCTGTTAATCAGTGGGATGTGTGAACAGATCAGTGATATTCGACAGGTGGGGAACGGGAGCACTTGTGGTCAGAGTGTCTCTTCCCCCCCTGTGGGCCACAGGGAGTGTGTCCGCTCTGTGTCCCTGTATGCTCCCTGTGGCTCAGCTGCAGCACTGCTGTGGTGTCACAGAGGCTGTTGAAGAGGACCGTTGCCCACGTTCTGTCTGCTCTCACATGAGCAAGAAGATCCATCTCTGCCCAGGGACAAGCCGAGCTGGAGCCGGACCAGCAAAACATCATGTGGCACATGCCTGGTGTCACTTCTGATGGCATAGTCATTTTATTAGCACATCTGACACAGAATGGGCCAGTCGCCCATACCGCCCAACATGATCCGGACACTTTGAATATCAGTTATCTAAGGCTGTGGTGATGTTTTCATAGAGTCACAATGCAGCAAAATCTAGTTGTAGGGGTCTTCTGGATCTGCCACAGAGCTGATAAACACTATTTAATGAATGAAATTTAACTTTGATTCAACAAATACAAGAAACAACATGTTGTTCTTTTTTGAGTATTACACTCTCTGCATTGACTGTGTATTAAAACATGACCTAGGTCAACAGCCCCACTGCTATGATGTACATTTAAAGCCCATTAAAGACTTTAAATTGTCTTTGGTGTGATTATGTTTTAATGTAATTATTGACAAGTCAACTAAAAATAATTCCTGCATTAATCCTAGGGCAACACTTTAAAAAATACACGCTCCCCTTATCGCCTATATGCTAATAATGAGTACTCTTAAGTGCCTCAGAAAAACAAGCAGGATTTAACTCCTAATAAGATGCTCAACGAAAAGACCGCACAGTATACTTCAGTGTCATTGGAAGGATTGAATATAAATATCAAAATTTCACACTTCATGTGTAATCATTATTTTATATTTTTCTTTTCACCACACTTGAGAAGCTACGGTATATAACTGCAGCTCTATTTGTATTAGTATTACTTAATAACAACCTGTTTAGGCTCTTATTTCCACATCTGTCCTTTTCATAGTAGAAGGAGAAGCCTTAACAAAAACCTCCTAGAAACCTTGAAACATTACATAACTTAAAAACAACTGTGAAGTCCTCCTTGGACTTTCCAAAAACTTAAATAAAAGTTTATTTTTAGCTTAAGATTTAGTTCTCAGTGGAAAGTAAATGAATATTATCTCCTCTTTATTCTGAGCGAATGAGTGGGACAGATAACATTTTGGGACTATCTAATCCTCATTATTTCTTTCCGTTGGACTTAATGCAGTATGCATGGCTTTGATCCATCACATTATCTATCAGTGTCTCTTCCATAATTTTCTCCCTGCTGCTTCAACTCAGAAAGCCTGAATAAACTCTTACGATTGAAATGGATGACTTTCATATGTAAGCCACTGAAGGACTCCAAATATTTGTCAAGGACACTCCCTCCCCAAACACTCCCACACACACATACACAAACACACACACACCTCTTCACAAACAGTCTTGTTTTCCAATTTGTAAGTGGCCCTGCATGCATCAAACGCACATAAATAATAAATTACACACATATATCACCACGACACTACTTCACAACACATTCATTCATCTGCCTTGGATATTGTTGTAGCGTCGCACATTAGCTGTCACATATCTTGATGACTTTTGATTGTGCCAGATCAGTCAGGAGGACTGAAGAAATTATGCAGAAATATGATCATTGATTATTCTGCTCATGTCAGTAGGCACACACACACACACACACACACACACACACAGACTATTCACACTCTCCCTTTCTCCTCTCGAGTAATCTGCCCAGACTCTCCTCCTGTCCTGAGAGCCACACTGGGACAAATGACGGTTATATATTACAGAAACCTGATCAATCTGAATGAGCCTCTCCTGTTTAGTGGCCCCAGAGCTTTGGGATGTAACTGCCTCCTCTCACAGTTACAAACAACCTATTACTCACCGGCCCCACTGATGCCCTTGACTTTATTGACTAAAGTCCACATGGTGGCTGTTGATACTCTGGAGGTAGACTAGTGTCCATCTCAGTAATGAGCTTGAGAGCTGTAAAGTAACTCAGCCATGACTAACATTATTCCAGCTTCAGGGGCATTAAAGTGCCTTTATATAGCCTATCTTATTTGCTGTAAGGAGGGTTAGTGTTAACAATAAAACGACACCTCACTGAACTGTTTAACTGCACCTTTTATCTCTCTCATTTTATCCAGAATTTTTAGTATAGGCCATGCTACTTCAATGAATCTAGTACTCGGCCTCACCCTAATTCACCATAACTTAGTGGCCAAATGAGAAGGTAACATAAAAAAGGGAAGAAGCTCCAATAGCAGTTACCAAAGAGATTACTGCTTTGGTACACAGCTGGTTGGCAAACCCTGTAAATGTTGGGGAACTGATAAAAAATGATAATCCAACTGCTTCCTCGTTAAGCTAGAAACTGAAAATCGATTAAAAAAAATCAGGAGGGACAATTGACCTTTTTTTTTTTAGATAGAGTAAACCTCAGCTCAGTGAAATTCTTGATTCAGGTCTGTAATATTGTTTTATCATGTTACACCAGTTACAACCTGACCACACATCATGTCAAAAAATTAGTGAAAACGTAAATGCTCTCGCAGACATCCCGTTAGCCTTGTCTAATGTTACCTAATTGTTTAACTTGATGAATGTTTCTATTGAAGCAAACTGACTAAAGTTTTTAATGTAAGGTTAGTACTTCTCTTAAAGCTCCTGTGAGTAACTTTTGGTTTGTATCAGCTGTTGCGCCCCCTGTGGACAAAAGCAGTATTTGCTCATTTTGTCCTCTACATGTTTAAGCTGTGACTTTTGACAAAAAAAACCGTCATCCAGCTGATGTGTGACAGCCGAATGTTTCATTAGTTGTAGGTATTTTCTGTGAACACTGAAAACCTGGCTGTTTATCCACCTGCTTTAGCTAACACCTACACCTTCACTGGTTTTAGGCATTCAGTATGACAATTAATAAATTGTCAAGCTGGTCTCTGGTGGTCTATATTTGTTTTTGGATATCATGAAAAGGCATCAATATGAGTTTTTGTCTCCTCATAGAAGCTATAAAGAGGCTGCTGTTGCCATGGAAGCCAACTGAGCAATCCAAAGGACTATTTCTGAGCTGTTTAAATAAATCATTTTACATCAATACATCATCTTCAATCAATATTTTGCATCAACGTTTTACGTCTTCAGTTGAGCTGGATAATGAGCAGGATAATGTGTAAGGAGCATGTGTTAAGCTGTAGATAGCATACATGATATCACAGTGAGAAGTAGGTCACAACAGCTAATACAACAATAAAACAGTTTCTGCTAATATTGCTTTTTGAATTAAGTTTGATATACTGCCAAATATCGATGAACCTAGGAGTGGTTCTGAGTTAATGCCTGGTGTTGTCTGTCCAAAATTAAACCACTTCTTTTGAGATTAAATTAGTCCTCCAAGTTGCTGATGATTACAGATTTGGAAGCGCTAGTATTGTGTCAAATACCCTACATCCACAGGACTCCCCCCCAGAGAGACTCTACAGTAAATTATGACAGCTCATATTTGACCAGATAAACAAACACCGCTGGATATATTTTTAATGCTTTGTCATAAAGTTTTAAGTTACAGAAAGGATGAAGAAGGCACAATACTGCAAACCCTTTAAGTGCAGAGATCCCCAGTGAGTTGGGTACATGAGTAGAAAGCTTGCCCAGTTATGGATGCTAAGCCTGGACTAGATAATCATGGCTTATGTGTTTATGATGTGGCCATGCAGTGCAGGCTGTATAAATCATGCTTTCTCCAATTCCATTGGGTGGAATAGATATGTAAAAAGATATCTTTATCATGGCCCATATTGCCAACTGTTTGATGTCGTTCCAAAGATTTTTGGCCGACTCCATTCCCTGTAAATTAGGATTCTCATAATCCTAATGCTGACTCTGTATCACTTTCTTCTGCTCTCTGCTCGACTGCAAAAGTCATGTTTGAGTTATTGCCTTTGTTAAAAAAAAAAAAAAAAAAAAAGGGGGTGCTATTACATTTTTCAGAAAATGCAATCACACACCAGTATATACTTATATTCTCCCACTTGACATAGCTTAAGCGCAGTGACATGAGTGGGAACACTTGCATTTTAGGGATGTTAAGGAACGAAGGAAAACGGTGAGAGAACAGTGCAGGAAAAAGCAGAGTGGGAGTGAGGGAAGAGAGACTAAACTGTAATGCTATTGAGGAGCAATTTGTGAAGCTTTTGCATATGCATACAGGCCTGCAGTCCCCCTCTGCCCACATCATCAGCTCACTGCTGGTGACATCAACTAAGACAAAGAGGTCTCAGATGCTCCAGATGTATTATGTGGGTGGCATTATAAAATCTAATCCGAGTCAGAGTCAATTGTATTTGCCTTAGGATACAGGGCAGAGTTATATACATCTGTTGGATGTGTGCGCGTGTGTACCTGTGTGTGTGCGCGCACTTTAGTGTCCATTACCACTTTTCAGTTCCCCTCTACGAAAATATTAGCCTAAATATTCTCACTCCTTGTGAAACGGGAAAACAATTAAGAGGGTGTAATTAAAGGATTGGCAGGACAAGTGCAACTTTAATTGAATGACAGCTGAATGACAGACAAATGACAGTGAAGCCGCATTGTCTTCACAACTCAGTTATCTGCACATAACTACACGATGAGCTTAGATTAAGATTTTTGCTTAATTATTCCCAACCCAAACACACACATTTGCTGTGCAAAGTTCAAGTAGAAAAGTAGTTAAAAAGCCATGCAGACTCTATTTATCATAAATGAAATTATTTGGATTTATGACTCACTGATAGCCTCTACCTTTGCCATCTTCCTCCAGTTAAAGTCTGCTTGTAAAGAACATTTTATGATCTATCCAGACAGACCACAGCAGAGGTCATGGCAAATCAAAACCTGGAGGTTGGAGCTCTTACTCTTGACCACAATGCTGTCAAAGTCATTCACCTCTAGACTCCATAAAAAAGCTAGTAAAAACCAGACCTTATGTGACCTGATGGCTTCCGTGTGGCTGTCTCTCTGTCTGTGTGTCTGTCTTTGTTTTTCTGTGTTTTTCTGGCAGCCTCTCTCCCTGGAGTCAAATCCTCACACTGACTAACTTGTACCCTCTGCTGGTGTGATGACTGATAATCTGCTCCGCCTGCGACCACAACCTTCTAACAACTGATGTCAGGAGGACGAGGAAGAGGAAGGACAAGTGTATGACAGCTAAATGAGCTTCCTTTGAAAGAAATGACGGCTTCGGTGTTGTTTTTGTGCGCGCAACAGGCTGCAGAGTTGTAATTTACACTGTCATGGGAGTGCAAAGGAGGGAAGAGTAACTCCACTACACGGTGCATTATATTCATTCAGTGGCTGCTGCTCTCATGCCATGGAACAGCAAATCCCATCCCTCTAGTGAGCACCCTCTCCCCAGGTGACCTTTCCTGTCAACGGCTGTGCATTAACATCAGAGGTCCACTATGGTTGAAGTGGTCCTGTCCTCTTCAGTGCTGTGGACTGAACTGAACTAAGGCCCCGGGGACGACACTGCGCTGGCTCAGTGTCAGGAGGGGGTTAAAATACCCCTCTGCTTTTAGACTCCAGCTGGACAGACACCACAGAAAATAACTCTCATTAGCATCTGCCAATGTCAGGGGAAGGAGAAATTAAAGTAATGAAATACATCCTATAACATCTACTATACGTAAATGTATCTGCCCCCATAGACCTAAAATGGGTTTGTTCCAAAAAGCACATTTAATAATGAACGATCAGATTTACTAGGCAGCCTGTCCCCCATAAGGATGTTTTACTTTCTGCAGGCAGCCTGCTCTGTATAAACAATAATTTGCTCTTGATAAGCACAGGGTCATCTTCAACGGGCCTGCAGCTCCTGTCTTTGTTGCCTGACTGCCCATTGATGTGTTTGCTTGTATAACTGTCAACAATTTACAGCTGGGTAGTACCCAGCAGACTGAGACATATTGACGATGCCACGCAGTTGCCCGCTCGCAGCAGGGATACAAAGGCTCATGGGAAATATAGTTTTCCACAACTACCGGTCCTCGAGGTATTCATTTCTGCTGGGAGCTGCCTGTAATTTTCCTTCTACATTAAAGAAAATCACACAAACACCTGAGGACATTTTAGCCCAGCTCTATACTATAACAGCTTCTCTGAATTCTCTCTCTCAAGTATCTGTTGCAGGCATATGAGCCTGACACTGTCACTGCCCGGCTGTCGCTGCAGTGAGTACGACCTCCGAGTATGTGAGTGGCCATATTACCTGCAGTACTGTGCACCATGTCACTGTTTGTCACGTCAGCCAATACAGAGAGGTATTCCATCTGGCTGGCAGGGCAGCGGAGAATAAATGGCAGGCTTTAGCCGCTGCCATTAAGCAGAGTGACACACACGCGGAGCTCTCACACCTACTTGACATTATCACCCTAACATCATGACAAGGATGTCATTTGGCTAACTATTGCGGGCGGAGCTGATGGTGGGAAATAATAGAGGGGATGAGAGTTCAGGCTGGAGAGGAATAAAGAGAGAGAAAGGGAGCAGATTCGGGTTATTAGCTGAAAAACGCTTTAAATGTTGTCCAGCCAGAGTGATAATGAGACACAAACCGTAGATATGTCATGAAGTGTGAGAAGTATGTCTCTTATTTTGCTCAGTGCCCTTTTGAGAGCTTAGATTACTTTCAGTGATCGCCTGAGCAGTAAGTTGTCACAAACAATCTAACGGACATTATGAGCATTATTTATAGTGATTGGAATGAAAAACAAAGAGGAGGCTCTAACCTGATCCTTGGTTGATTTATTAAGTCTCTTGGAGGGAGCTATAACTCTCGTCATGTGTAATAGGCCAGATGGAGTAGGCGAAGAATAACTAATGCTGTTGAGGCAGCCTCTCCGCCCCGAGCCTCCATGAGGTCTGTTAAATTACTAAAAGGACAAACACAGGGTAGTGTGATTTGTATGCATCCTGACCTTTAGGCCAATTGAAGGACTCTACACAAAGCTATCCAGGAACCGTGTCCAAATAGAGAATCTGTTAGATCAGTATCCTATCAGACATTTGGCTGCATTACAAATAAATATCATACCGATTACAAATTAGCATGATAGGTCAGAGCTGGGCATGTTCAGCAGCTGTTGTTAGCATTCAGAAAAAGACAGTAATGCAGTATCTTATAGCTCAATGCTGCTCATGGGCTGAAATGAGTTTTCCCACTCTCTTCCAGCAGCCGCTTGTTTGTACAGAGACCTCGGACGAGTCCATCACCGACTGCTGCGGGGTGACGCAGCTCAAGGAAGAACATTTATGATCATTACTTTATCATTTCCTTTAAGTAATAATCACCATATTAATCATTTTGCACTGCAGACACGGTAGTTCTTCCTTGAGCTGCGTCACCCCCCTGTAGTCCGTAATGGACTCGTCTAAGGTCTCTGTACAAACAAGCTTCCGCTGGAAGAGAGTAGGTGAGTTGTGTTTAGTCTCTTTGCTAAAGAAATTAGGCAAAGTTAAAAGATGTTTGGTGGCTAGTGCTATGGCTGGGACCCTATATGTACTGTTGATGAAGTTAGGTGCTGTTCTGAGCATTATTTGTGGCTATAGAGTGGCGTTTTGGTTGATGTTTGTTTATGGCTCCTTAGACAGCTGTGTATTGCTATCATGCGGTCGTTTCTGAAGTTGGTTTAACTAGAGAAGCAGGCGGTCGGCAACATTCATCTCTCGAGGAGGTGTCTAACTCTGTGTTTCGGTGTGTTTGACCGTACATTAATCTTACGCCGGAATATCCCTTTAAGCTTCTCTACATCACAAAACTCTACCAGCTTGTCAGGTGGTTTGCTGTTCATTTAAGCTCATCATTGACAGATTGTTGTGCAGTTGTTGCCAAGGCATCTGTTATTTGTGGGGCAATTACTAGTGAAAACTGTTGGAAAATACAGTGCACACTGAACACCCAGATGCTGTACTCATTATCCGTAAAAAAATGGGGAATCACTTCCTTGGCCACATAGAAGAACAGTGGCCCCATCATCAACCCACCCACACACGGGTTAATAAAAGTAAAAGCAGGTCTATTATTACTTCGTTTAGTTAAATTGAGGTCAGCTATGCAAACATGTTGGCTGATATTTTAGGGGAAGACAAATGTGATGAAATGTTGCACACTACTTTCTGTCTGGTTGCAATTCACAGTCTAAACTGAAATGGACATATTCAAAACTTTTAATCAGTGCACAGTTTGTGCTTTTGATTTGAAACAACAGTGACCAATCAAAATAAAAGCAGTGAAAACCACTGTATGAAAACAACACAATGTTAGTACCAATGCTTTGTTTTCACTTACAGATGTGTATAGAAGCAAGTCAACAAAGACATCTACTTATTCTTATCATGATATCCGACTGTGCCTGCTCAACTCCTCCCATCTATAATATTTTGTTATGGAAGTATGTTCAAGGTATGTACAGTTATTCTGCTAAAATATGGTTAATCATATATATTCAGATTGTCTCCATCAGTTTAACATTAAACTGAGTTGGTTATGGAAAATACCTGCCATGTATACAGGTAGATTCTTTGGTTTCTATTATCTATAAGGTAATGTACCTCCTTACATCAGACACTGAATGATACATCAATTTAAATGGGATCTAAAGACACAAGTAGATACATAAATTTATATCCTTTAAAATAATGTTTAAATGATAACACAGGAAATAACAAATTTAGAAAGTCTAAATAAATAAATTAAATTATTCAGATAGATAATGAATCCAGGACTTAAGTGCTTCACGGACATTTTGTAACAACACAAACCACTTCAATTTGAACGTATGAGGCAACTCACAAGTTAATGGAATGATTTTTACACAAAACCCTGACAGCTATCTAATGAGTGTGCGCAAAGTGGCTCGCTGTGTACTGTTTGAAATCAGTAATTGATGCACAGATGAAATGTAAGGTTCAGGGGGGAAGGGTGGTATGAGTCTTTGCCTGTTTGTGTGATTGTTAGAGCTGTGTGCGTTGTGTTAGCCTGTGGATGCAGGGTGATTCACCAGGCTGTTCTAGAGGATTCCTGTGTGGGTAGACAGTCATGAGGATAGAGACCTAAAAGTAGGGAGAAGAGGAGGAGGAGGAGAAGGGGAAAACGGCACATGCAGGACAACGCAAAGATTTGTGCTCCTCTTTGGACCCTAGTGCCCTTGTGTCAAACGGCTGGTGAAAAGACATGTGCCACATCCACAGTGTTCTTGGATGATGTATGGTTGAACGGCTGAGTGCTCATAAATAGATGATGTAATAATATGTAAGGGGAGGGGCCTGCAGTGTCACTCCTTCCTTCATCTGGCCCAGAGAGATTGTGCAAACCTTCACTCAAAGAGCAGAACCCAAAATAGGATTAGTCCGGAGCCCGTTAAAAGAAAAAAAATCAAACACAGAGGACTGCCAGCATGCCCTACCTCAAGGCTGTGCTAGTTGAGAGCTGGCAGGCTGACGATGGGGGGTGGGGGGTGGGGGGGGACCATGCATCGGGCCTGGCTGGAGGAGGACAGTGAGTGAGCATGGGCATGCAAGCCTGCAGATGCACACAGCTCTTTTCATTAGCTTGCTTTCCATTGTGAGGCTAAAATGGACCAGGCACATTACGCTCATTACTCACATCTCTTATTCACCCCCTCGAAACAAGAATGAATCTTTTTGCACTTTGTTCTTGACAGAGATGATTGCCAAGTGGGTCATAGTTTGATAAGAACAGATAGTGATTTTTTTAAATATATCACACATCTCAATGGCTTTTTTTCAACTGGCCATTATTCTGACAAGTCTTCTTATGGCTGGTGGCCCATAATCCAGTCAGGAACGACCCTTCCCACATGTGTTTGATGCCTCGCTCAGGCCAACTGTATCAACAATGAGTCAAGCTAAAGCTGCAAATCACACTTGGAATCAGAATGTGGCTCATGAGGTGAATTCATTGCATTGCTTTCTGGCTTAGATTTGATTTTGTTTGAGGGGAAACTGCAGCCGCAGCTGAACAGAGACCAGGCCACAGAGCCAGAGACACGAGAGAAGCTGCTTTGTTCCTCCCCTCAGGAATCGACTTCAGAACACTGTCCTGGTTGTTGGCCACAAACAAACAACTTGTCGTGCTGTATGCATGTTGTACAAAGTTGAAGTTGACCCCCCGGCCCCTTGCATGCAGCAGTCAAGGAGGCACTTGCTTTCACACTACATTTAATATGCAGCCACATGCATCACTGACCATCACTGATGCTGTTTGAGTGAGTCAATCCCAAGAGATCCTGCAAGCCGTGCAAGGAGGAATTACACCTGTATCTGGAGCAAGATCAGATCACCCATGATGCATTTTGGTTCTAAACACAGGCAGAGCCTCATAAGGAGGGTCAGAGATCACAAACACACATACAAGCTTTATTCAAGGAACACTATTCTTATGAGATCCGAGCACTTCCTGTGTTTTCCTACTGAACTCTTCTCCTTTTCCTCTGGGACACATACCAGTTTGCACAATGAAGACTGTCCTATGCTACACAACATTACCGCCTTTGTTAAGTAGTCACTGCAATTCAGGATTCATAATTAAATCAGTGGGTCGATTAAGGCTTCATAATTTAAGATCTTCCCCCATAAATATTTGCTGATATGACAGGATGGTTTGACGATGTTTTCATCTGGGACCCTGTTCATTCAGATAGAACCAAAAGTAAAATGTATACTGATGGGAAGAGATTGCATTTGTTTGGTCTGATGGCTTTTGCAAACAGGTCAGATTTTCTGGTTTTGATTAGTTTCAGGATATTCTCAGAAAGAGCATTTACAAAACCTTAAAAGTAGGATACATGTTGGTGGATATGGAATATGCTCCTCAAAAAATCTATCAGTGTGCTTGACATGCTACTTTTTTTTACATGATGAATGTGTTCATTTTGAAACAAATAATGTGGGAAAGCCATTATTGTAAGAGAAGGAATGACAAATATAAACTGCACCCCAAAAGAAACTTGAGTAACACTTTATTTCACGTCTATCTCTATAACGCATTATAAATACATGTATAATGTGTTATAATCACGTTATAGCACTGTATAACTATAGTTATAAACACTCATAAAAGATCATAATGCTTGATAGCAATAATCATAACACATTATAAAGCATTTTATCATGACTTACAAGGTCAGGTATTATAATGTGTTATAACTGTTAACAACTCACTGACAATGCCCACATAGATAATGCAATGCAACTGTTAACGGTTATAACACATTATAATAACTGACCTTGTAAGTCATGATAAAATGATTTATAATGTGTTATGATTATTACTATAAAGCATTATGATCATTTATGAGTGTTTATAACTACAGTTATACAGTGCTATAACATGATTATAACGCATTATACATATATTTATAATGTGTTGTGATTATTGCTATAAAGCATTATGACCATTTATGAGTGTTTATAACTATAGTTATACAGTGCTATAACGTGATTATAAAGCATTATACATATGTTTATAATGTGTTAGAGATAGGCGTCAAATAAAGTGTTACTGACACTTGATGTTTTCTGTAATTGCTAGGGTGTAAAATACAGGTTTTATTACTTTATTGTGTTGCACAATTTATGTAAAGCCCTGTAGGGTTGAAGAGACCACCGTTAGATTGGTATTTATATGTTTGTGTCTGGGTGAAATGTCTCACTCTAAACAGCATTATTCAACTTCCATAATTTCACAAGGTCATATTATCATTCCTGCCCCTTATTAGCTGAAAATGACATCTGTTTAACAGAACAAACAGATGCAGCATTTTCCAGGGAGCGAACAGTGTTAAATGAGTCAGTGATAATAGAGGAAAATAAGGTCAAATTCAATTTAAGTAACAGAAAATATGTATACTTTATTTATCATGGCGGGAAATTCAGAGGAAATGTGGATCAACGAATCGATGCCTTAATTTATCAATTGAAAGCAAACAAGACTGTCAAAACAAATTGAAAATTTGAATCAGCTATCCTGAAAAAGTGGTCATATCATTGATAAAAATCAATCTATACTTATACATCATTGCAGTTACTGTAGCTGGTATGTAAATCCCCATCTGCTGCAGGCTTATATCACTTTGAAAACATTTGCTCATCAAATATTGGCAGGATCTTCTATTATGCATTCCTATTTATAGCAGTACATCCAGAAAACATTTTAACTGGAGTGTGTTTTCTCCAGTTACTCATCCTGCTGAAATAGATCAATTCAAAGCAATTCAAAGGGTATCACATAAAGACAAACAATGCTGGTGGATCATGAAAAATTCAGGTGTACATTCTCAAATCCCAGTTCTTAAGAGCAATCAACAGGTAAAACATCAGTTTGACAACAAACAGCAGTGCCCTCTAACCAGTGTAGCAGCTGCATGCAGTAGTTTCCTTCCTCTTCACTGCATGCAGCAATGACCTCAGGTCAGCGCTATAAAGATGGCCGTCCGCTCCAATATAACCACCCAGACACATTAAAACCTGAAGACAGCTTTTCTGAGAACTCGAGCTAAAAATAATCTGGTATGTCTTTTCTTTCCACATCAGTGACAGCGTACTGTGAACTAATCATACACTGTCATTTAGCTGCACATAATCCACCAAAACAAAGTAAATTTATGGTTATTGGAGTGATAAAATTACTAATACATCCAATAACTGACTAAAAATAACTCAGAGATGAACTTTTGACCCTTTATCTTACAGTCACTCGAAGGCTGTAGCTGCCCTCACTTCTTTAATTAACCCCTCCCTTCTTTCCACCTTCACCTCTTCTTGTATCTGAGCTTACGATCTCTAGGCGGACGGTACTCTAACAGAAAGGTATCATATGGTCCATGACCAGACCGTCAGATCTGTCGGGAGCACATTACACAAAGTGCTGCAGCAAAAAGCGTCTCATAAACAGAAAGAGCCTGAGCAGAGCACGCTGTGTTTAGAAGTAGAGGAGGAAAATGGAGCAGCCAAGAGGACGCAAGAAGCATTTTGAGTGAACTTCCCGAAGCGATTACTGGGATCACTCTCCACTCTTCAAACCAGTCTCAGCTCCTCTGCCATACTTACACTATCTCAGCCCTACAAGATTTAAAATTTCACGGGTAATCTTAAGTAATACCGAATGACCAACGGTTTATGAGATGCAAATGTGACACAGAACTAAATATTTAATGCAAATAGCCTATTACATTTTATTAATATTTCAGAGGAGAAGAGGGAGAGGGGCTGAACGGGGCTCAGGGATTTGGACCGAAACAGAGGTGTATGCAAAGTCTCTCTGCACAGATATCCCCAAGTTATTAAGCGAGAGCCCACCCTTTTTACCCACCAGAAATATCGCATTGAGACGCAGTAACGATTAATGCCACACATGCATCACTCATGTCACCATGTTTAGCACTATAGAGGCGTGTATAGGCGCTTGCTATATGACCTTGGGGGATTTATGTTTTATACATGACCCTTTCATGCTATGTCTCATGTCAATAGCGCCTGCACAAACCGTCCTTAATGAGGTTTGTCAGGCGCTTTAAGAAGCAGGGAGATTGTTGGACGGAGCTAGGAGCCACATGCCTGTCAATCCTCAGCCATGTCTGATGTGCAGTCATTGTGTGTTTGCCTCAGAGTCAGAGCCTGTTCAGCGGGGAGAGAGCTCAGAGTGCAGCCATCGTCGGATATTAACGGTCATTTTAAAAGGAACGCTCCTCCTAAAACAATCCTAATTATGAACATTTTTCCTTCTCCAGCATCGTTTCCCGCAGCCGTCCTCATGAGCCCATTTCACCTCCTCCTCAAAGCCTCTCCTTCTTCCTCCTTTCTGGCTCTTGCTCCCTCTTTGTCCTCACCTCCTCCCTCTGTTGCTCTGTAATTAAGCCGTGTGTTTTAGAGGGCAATGGACTCTGAGACAAGGGAGGAACAGATACACCCCAGGGAAAGATGGTGTGAGAGGCAGGCAATATGACATCCTGCGCATGCATTATCCCTTTATGATAGCTCAATTAGCAAGTGAAGGCTTCCATCATCTCGTTGAGAGTGTGCTGACCGTCACCGGTGGGCAACAATTCTGTCCTTATCAAGTGGATAATCACGTATAAGACAACATAATTCAGCATAATCATTCTCATATAGAGGCTCATGAGCATCTCCACTTAGGCGAGAATATCACCAGGGGCATGATGCTCTGTGGAGTCCAGCATGATAGCATGACAATTAGCATATAGTGGTTTTTGGCATGCAGCCGCCTTGTTTTGATTATGTAATCAACATGCTTATTTTGGTGGCGAGTAAGCACAGCTGAATCACAGTGCATTCTGGGAACGCTCTGTTTGACCTGCATGTTTGTTTTTCCGGGGCTGTGCGGTGGGATCCTGTCTGTGCCCAAATATCCTGAGCGCATGCAACACAGCATGGGGACTGTAGAGTCAAGATTCCTCTGTTTACTTGTGCAAATCTGTGTCAGAGGGCTTCTGAGCATGTGCCAACTCTATGGGCAAATAGACTCTGAGAGTGAGTGACCAAATATTGAAATATCACCCAAAGAAAAGGCTGCTGGAGTGTATATTTCTTCTCCTTCTATGCCAGTCGTTAAAAGAATCGGCAGCCCCTCCTCAGCCTGGAGCCGTAATCACAAAGAATGGACTCAGTGTGGTTGGCATTAATCAATGAATGTTGCGTCAATGAAAAATGATCTGTGGACGTAGAAAAGCTGCGGTGATCATTAGCATGAAAGAAAGAGGGAGCTGGGGGGGACATTTCACAACATGTCAGATTTGTGGACCGGTGGCACAAAAGGCACGTTTCAACTTTGGAGCCCAGACCAATCAGAAACGTGCTGCTTGGACGAGCTCAGCCCAATCTGCTGCGTCTCAGCTCGGCTGAGTCTGTGGCTGAGCTCTGTCAGCTCACTGCCATGCATGCACAATTGCCTTGCATCCAATTCATTGTGCTCCCCCAGCTGCATCAACTCACACCGCTGCCGAGGCAAACACGGAGACAATAAGCTGCAAAAAAGTTTGATGACTTGAGGTGAAATCAAGAAGAGCCACACAAACAAAGAAGAAAAAAAACAGTAATCCAGATCATTTTTGAGGAGATTGAGTGGGAGGAGAGCGAACAATAACAGCACTCTCCCAGCTGTTGTATCAGTAATTCGATCTTTTTGTGTGTATGACAGGTACTCCGTTTACTGGAGATGGGATTGCTTTTCTTGAGCCAAAGTGTTCAACTGGTGAATCTCAAAGCTCCTCTAATCTGCCCCTCTTCTCATGTGAATCCATCTTTGGGTTTAGAGATGTGGGACTGTGTGTTTCTTTCCTCTGTGTCAGGTTTTCCCACATCATCTACTCTCCCCCACTCCCCTAACCCCCTCCTGCATGGGCTCATTACTCCCTGTTCTGCCTTCTCCTCCTCCTTCTCCTCCTCCTCCTCTCTCCATCCCATTTCTCCACAAGGAGCTCTGGTGAGGCACCACAAGCACAAAAGATTCCAGTTTTAAAGTGCCTTGTTTACCCAAATGGCTGAGTACAGATATGAAAAACAATAACTGCGCAAACATGCCCAATGAAATCTCTTATTTTTTTCAATTCACCAAAATGAGCTTGCACTGATAGCTGTTGCTGAAAATCTATCTTTCCATTACTGTGGCTGTTAAAAGTGTGAGAGTGAAAACAGTTTGTGTGAACTCTCCACACACTCACAGACACAAACAATCGACTCCTATTCATGACCTCGCCTCCCTCTGTTCACTTCTGCAGAACAAAAGCTCTCTTACCCTTTTCATTTACAGTTTCTGTGCATTTCCAACTAAGTCAAGATGTGGCAATGACGTAAGAAAGCGCTAATGGAGGAGAGGCATGCAAGAACACACACGTTTTAAGCCCACATCGTCATGGACAACCTCCTGGCGCAGGGGGGGAGACAGACCTGGACAGCTGATATGCCAAGGTATTGTAGCCAAAGTTCTGGAACAGTGAGTGGGCCTAATCCGAGGAGAGGGTCTACCTATACAGCCGGCTAGATAAGGCAAATGAAGGAAATATTTTCCCTTGCCCTGCTGGTCCCCACTGAAGCAAGGAAATAGGGAGATGAGACGAAGGGAGGAAGGACAGAGGAAGCAGGAAGGAGGGAGAAATGCTCAGGCAGCCAAGCCGAGGAGATGGCACTCGTACAGCCCAATCTGTCAGTCTGACTACCTTGCCAGATACAGGGTGGCTCACACAGAATCACACACTTTTTTGCTAAATACCAAGAGACAGTGCGGCTAACACACATAAACACAGAGACGAATGCTCAAGCGCACACGCCAACTTGTGGAACAGGCTGTACTTAAGCAAACAGCTTGATATATCCCCTGAATGAACATTCGTAATAAAGCACAAAAATACCTGCGCCGTCAAGTTTTGGTATTATTTTTAAAAGAGACAAGCTTTTATGCACTGTATTGAAACTGGCTTAAACATGGCACCACATGGAGCCTACGGCTAACTATGGCTGTTACAGAGAGAGTAAAACCTTTTAAAGAGAAAGCCTATTATCTATTTCAGTGACTAAGACTAAAAGCTTTAATAATAAAATAATAATGCATCAGCTTTCATATAGCGCTTTATCAGACACCCACAAAGCGCTTTACATTGGATACATCATTCATTCGCTCACACAGTCACACCCTGGTGGTGGTAAACTACCTTAATAGTCACGGCTGCCCTGGGGGAGATTGACAGAAACGTGGCTGCCAGTTTGCACCTTCAGCCTCTCCGACTACCACCACACAACACTCACAATCATACACCAAGGACACAACGTACAGACTCAGGATAGGGGGGAATCAACCACCAACCTTCCAGTTATTGGATGGCCACTCTACCTCCTGAGATACTGCCGCCCCTTAACCATATTACTGCATCTGAAGCCAGAAACCAGTTAGCGTAGCATAAACACTACAACAGCAGAATTGTCTGTTGAAGATAAATAAGCTCAACACACATATGTTTACCTTTTGTCTCGTTTTCGTTGTTTTCGTGTTTTTTGTTTTCGTACGCCCCGCTCTCTTGTTGATCCTGTCTTCAAAGTTACTCAAAATCCGTCAAAAAAAAAAAACCCAGAGTGGTCACATTGTTCTGATAATTAAAGAAGAAACAAAAGAAGCCAAAGAACCAACAAAAAATTACGCACCATCAGTTCATTGTTTGTTTGTTAAAAACCAGAAACCTCCTTCTGTGAGCGACAGCTGTGCCAATCAGTGCTGCACTGAACTGCACTCTGGGGGCTGTCCACAGCACATCCCGGTGAGACCAAAAAAACTGACAAAAGGAGGAAAAACATTTATTTAACCAATAGCGACTATATTTGATTAATGAGGATGAGAGGGATATCCATTTAATCAGAAACAGTCATGAGAAAAATATGAAAAAGAGCGCGTAAAAGGAGATCAAATTCAAAATTCTAATCCGAACCTTCACTTTAAAAAAAACAACTACAAATATATTTCACATATTCATTGCAGTCTGTTTGCACTTTTCAGGAGTTCCAGTTTGGTTGCTTTCGCTGTTTCATGCAGGTCCTGTATGAGACATAGCATAGGTCGCAATAAACCAGCCTGAGGTCAATCCTGAGACCCCTTACAGTCCCCGCCGATGTTCACTCGTCTGCGGTCAACTTCTTCGATTTTGATTCATACACAGATCTGCAGCAAACTCAAACCTGCCAATCAAAAGTGCAGTGGTGTAATTTTCTGTCTCGGCAGCAGCAGGAGCCAGTCTTAACCACAGTGTGCCAACGAGGGAAAAAATAGCATGTGATTAAAAAAACAGTATTATGTTCATTTTGGACTGTAATCCTGATTACCTCTATGATGCTTGTTCTTCACCTGACTGTATTTCCTCTTGCCCTGTTAGCAGCTCAGGTCCTGTGCTCAGTGTTTTTCTGTGTTTTATTGTGTTATTTAACCTGTCTGTCAGCCTGACTTCAGTTTTGGTTAAGAGCACTTTGTCACCGTGTTTTGAAAGGTGCTGAATAAATTCACATGTTATTATTTTATCACTCTGAGGAGTTCAGCGGTAAATGGTCCCATCACATTGTAGTTGCTTTGGTGTGTTGATATAAACAAAACTAAAAGCAAATGACAGATTTTGGCATACAGCGATTATAGCTCGCCATACTGATTAAAAACAGATGTGTGTTGTGACACATTTCATACTATAAGCAAGTTTGATGAAGTTGTATCCATATAGCGCACAACTTTAACTGGCACTTTCCTACATTTTATACATCACCCGCCTCATTGGCTCTTGTGATTATCTCAGCTTCACCGTAACATAAACAGTGGTCATGTTCGGCTGCTTGGGCGGCCTCTGAAACCATCATACTTCTGTAAAGATGCTCTGGACTAGGATATTATCTTTGATAAACACTTGGGATCAGAATGATGGATTGCTGTTTGAAAAGACAACAAAAAAGAAACATCTCCGGTTTGATTCCAGCTGGGGACATTTATTTCTTCCCCCTCTCTCTCTCTCTTTCTCTCTCTCTCTCCATTTGAGTATACATTTCTATTCAATCAGCTGTCCAGTACAATAACACAACAGAGCTGTTTGTACAGTAGCATGCAGCGCAGGCCAGCTCCACGGGGTCCGAGAGAAATTACTGCCCATAGCTGACAGAATGCTTTGAATCTCCTCCACAGAAGCTATTACTCTTCATCTGTGCAAAATCATGGTGTGGAAAGATTAATGACTCTTTTGGATTGGTAATGATGTCTGTCAACAGGATAATTTGCCAGGAATTCGCTGGAAGTCTTTAACAAAATGCGATTGTGTGACCACTGGAGGTTTAATGTGAGGATTAGCGGTGCTGATTGCGTTCAAGGATGACTGGGCGGAAAAAAAGACTTCTTTTTTCAAAAAAGGAGAATAAATTACATCAGTGGATTATGAATACATTAAAACATAGACTGTCTTAAAGAATAACAGCAAGACAGTACAGTGACCTCAAGGGGCCACTCACTGAGTGAACTCCTGACCTCCTACAAAGTCATCATTTGTTATCACAGGTCCACACACCATTGCTCCGCAGAGATAATGTCACAGAGCACCCAAGCCACCTCAGATCTTTGACATCAGCTCCTTGGTGCTCTACAATGCTATGGCAACTGCACACACACACACACACACACACACACACACACACATGTAATCTCTCCCGGGTACGAGATGCAAAGCGGGTTTTGAGGAGACAGCAGTGATCACGTTTCCGAGTGACTCCTTCCAGGATAACCGAGTAAAGGATGTTCCTCGCAAACCACAATCCTGCTTCCAAAACACTTGATCCTAAGATGACAAGCACGGGGCCATCCATTATGCAACAGCCACCCCCTATTTCAACACTACTAATCAAAACTAGAACAAGTTCTCTGACCAGGATTAACGCTTCCCTGCCCTCACAAAAAGGTAAAAGGATGTACCTGCAGAGCTGTTTAGTTTAATCTTTAAAACACATGCTCCTTACAAAACACAACATGGCTTCAAGTGAAAGAGAGAGATAAAACAACACAGCAGCGGGCTTTGAGTGGTGAGGACAAGAAAAAAGAAGGAGAGTGAATAAGACTGCCAAGAGAACATAGATCAACATGACAGAATGGGATTGTTATGCAACACCCATATATGAAAACGTTTACATACACAGCAGTGGTGACAGAGACGTGTGATCGGGGTAGCTTTGTGGCAGGTAGTATAGATTTATAAATCGCCAAACCACAGAGTATCCGATCAAGAAAACAGCTTCATTTATTTTAGATACGTAGCTAAGATGCAAAAACATATACACTCAGTATATGGCAGCTCTACACAACTTGAAATCACCATAAAAACATGGTGGGATATATCACACTTCAGCTATGAGCTGAACAACAGTGACTTTCATTATAGCTGAATGGAGAAAGAGTCTTTGAGCATCACCACTGATACAAAACTGCACTGCTTCTGCTGGCCAACAACAGACTGCTAGCTGTTAGCCAGAGATACCTCACATAGAAAAGCAGCTTTATAATTGGACTGCTGTCCTTATATGACCGAGGCAGATTTATGGACATCTCTTCTACACTAAAACGCCCCATTGTGCCCCCTTAGAGGAAGCGTACCTACTTCCAAAATAATCTAACTGGCTGTATGTCATCCAGTGAAAATACAACTTTACAGCTCTGTACATTTGATATGTTGATATATCAGTTTTGTCTTTTTCTTACTTCCCTTACTCTGTCTAGTTTTTGTTTATTATCTGTTTTTCTTCCCTGCATTTATGCTGTTTGACGTCTGGGTCTCATTTTGCCAACCTGAGGCTCATCACTGACCCGTAGAAGACAGTGAATCTACTTAATTTTTAATATAGATTACACATAAAAATAAAGCTGTCAGAGATAATACATTCATTGTATTGTGAGGTAAAAAATAATATGTTCATTTTTTAAATCACACAGTATTTGTCATCTGTTGTGAAGCTGCTGCAGTGTTGTCTTGCGTCCGCCATGATAGAAAAACATCTCAGTAACCATGATCGGAAGATTCTGATCCAATTCGGCTCAATCGGTAAAAATTGTTTTATGCCGATCATTGTTCCAAAACATGCCCATGTTAACACTTACTCTGATCGTGACCCTCTTTACTGACTCCATCTTCACTCTTTAGCCTTTGGCTTCTTTATTGAGGTCAGTACAGGAGGTTTCATCAACACTCTGGCATAAAACTCAACCACAGTTGCCATGTCTGCTCCTCTAGTAACAGAACAAGGCGTACATACAGCGTAATGATGTCACATCTGCACGCACAGTGCAACCTTTGACAGAACTGTAAAATAAGTACGCAAGGGCGCCATCTAGTGACAACATTTAACATGGGGGAACATCCTGAATTGGATGGAGTGAGCCACTACCTTGTCTGCTGATTTGTTGACAGCACAGGCGTCAATACAACTTTTTTTCTGCATTTTTTTTAGCAAAATCAGATAACTCTGCACATGTCCGAATGCTTCTAATCTGAATAAAACATGGTGCATGTATAAGAACATCAGGATCGGATTATTTGATTCTGCACCCATATAAACACTGGATTCAGATTATCCGATCCCTCAATTTTTTTGTCAGATCAAGAAATTTTGCACATGTAAACGTGGCTAGTGGGTTGGTTTAAATGTCAAATGGAACAAATATATCACCTCTATACTTCCAGTTTGAGCTACCACCTACAAGCTGAGCATACAGGTGCAGGTAATTAGCTTCATAAAATAAAAGATGTGATATTTTTCATCTTTTATATAACCCTGATAAGATGTATATGTCTGACTGATACCTGCATGTGTCTGCTGTATACTGAGGCTTTACTGTGTTTACTGTTTTTTACACTTTTTCTCCAAAATAGATTTCTATTACAATATTATGTGATGGGGTTAGGGGAGGCCCTGCTAAATCCATCCAGATATAGAGCAGTCATATTACCATGAATGCAGACACTACCTCGGAGCTCAAGTCAAACATGTTAACTGGTTTATTAAGCCGTCTCTGTCATTCAGGACTGAAGAGGATATGAAGTCTAAAAGAGTGAAGCCACATTACAAGGTCTTTTCATTTCAGCTTTCCCTCCTTCTCTTCGCAGCTTCCTGTTTCTATTCATACCTCTCTTATAAACCCCCCCATGCCAGACTAAACCAATCTGCTGTAACCAACCCTTCATTCTTTACTATGTAGGCTTCCCATCTCTGCTGTTTTTCCCCCTTTTAAACACACACACATAGACAAATACACACAGGGCCTCCTCTCCTCTGTGTGACCTTGACTGGCTAGCACTCCAGGGCTTGTTCTTTGCTTCTCCCTCTCCCTGTCTCTCCTGCTCTCTCTATCTTTTCATGCTCACAACCTCTCCATTGTCCGTCCCTCTACCCCTTGCTTGCTTTCACTCGTCCCCCTGGCTGGCTGATGTTAGACCAGCCGGTTTTCTCCTCTTTCCCGAGACACAGAGGAGAAAGGGACAGAAGATGGCAGAGAGAGAGAAGTGAAAGAGCTCCCCCTCCCCTGCAATCCAGTCAGCTGGGAGTCCACCGTAAAAATAACTTCAGCTCTATGGAACTGTATCAACAAGTCTCATACACAAAGCTTGTTTCTTTTTTTAATTGAAATGAATACTATTGTTTGAGTTTCATTCAATGTGAGATTAAATTAAAGCATGGGAATCTTCACATTACTGTGTTTGTTCACCATTTTCAAGCCTTATATCACATTATATAAGACTGAAGCAGGATTACATAAGCATAAGACTTCAACCAGGCTGCAGAATAATCAATAAAAACTATTCTTTTTGTTCTTTGCAAATTCAAATTCACGAAGAATTACAGCACACAAATGTGATTAGACTCTAATCAGCTGATTCGCCTTCCTGTGCCACTGTGAAGGATGATGAGCTCTCTTATAGAAACGGTGAAGCAGCAGGTTCAAATCCACGTTTCATTGCAGGTGTTCCTACAAAAGCAGCTAATTGCTGCTGCATCGCAGCATTGTGGCACATTCCCCCCTGATCCTTCCCATTTTTCTATTTACTTCTTATACAGCATTCATCTGTATAATAAATTGGAGTTGTTAACCATTCAACTTTCCATTCAGAGCTAAATAAACCGAAGCTCAAGTGACTGAGTGATCTATTAAATGTCAAACAGGCGGATTAAGTGCTCCCTACAGTTATATTATTCCTTTGCCAGTTTATGTCCCTCACATATCGAAAGGTCTCCTGTCTCTTATTGTGCTCACCAATCTGATGCTCACAGACTGAATCCACTGCATTTAATTCAGTCTGTGCTTTAAAGAATGACATTTTCATTTACTCCACATCTGATATCAAAACAGAAAGCTGACGGGACAACAGAACAGCTTGCGACAGCTTTATACTTTTAAACAACGTTAGGAGAGAAAATAAAGAGTATCTCCACTGATCTTTGTTTAAGTTTGATCAAAGATAGAAAGACTTGTGGAATTCTGCTGCTAACTAAGCCCACAGCTTTCCTCACAGCTTCTCACTATTTTTCAATTCATCTTGCTCTAAGAGGCATGGACAATACAAGACTGCCACAGCAACAGCCCCAAATAATTTCCATTCCCGGATTAGTAAAACAGCCATGAAGTAGAGGGACATCATCAATTTCTACAGGGCAATAATAACAAAGAGGTGAGGAACGCACAGTCTTCTGCTGACACCTACACTTCACACCATGTTAAAGACTGCACAAATTCCCTCCGTTTTCCATCTCATTTCCTTTGCAGCCAAAATCCTTTGATGCACACCGAGGATTGTCATACACCACCAAGGTGATAAGCTGAAACCTACAAAATCTGCAGCAAAAAATTTGATTTTTCTTACAGAACTTGGTGACAATGAGACACAAAAGCACTAATGTTATAGAAGGGGGGCTGTTTCTTGTTATCCAAAAAGACAGAAACAATATCAGCCTACAACTGAAGAGGGACCACAAAACCACTGCACAGGTGTTTGATCTCAACAAGGCAACACAGGAGGGTTAGACTTGGATTGAAAACCTGACCCCAGCAGTTTTCCTCTGTTCCCAGATCCTTTTTTTTTTCACTCTGACCTTTGCCGATCCACCCTGTAACTTTTCTGGGTCTTCATCCATTTCATTCATATATTTGAGATCCAAACTCCTTTCCCTGTCTTGATTTCATTATTTCTGCTCGACCTCTGACATTACATGGATGGTTCCACATGAGAGGGTGGAGGAAGGTGAACTGCCTACAGCACCTGCTTTGGAGCAGAAGATGACTGCTGCCAATTTGGGACTGTGTTACCTCCTATCAGATGGGCCACATTGATGGTATGTGCCTTGTGGCCTCCTGGGGGGGTCCAACTAATCTACATGAAAAATAGTTGTGGACTAATCGTAGTTAGACAGCATATTCTAGTCTTTCAGGCCATCAAGACATTCATACATCGTTAACTATTGCTACGTTTGAGTTACCTCAAAAGTTAGATGTCCGAGCTGAGAATGACGTCACACCCGAGTTACCTCCGTTTCAGTTACCAAGTCGGAGGAAAGCAAAATCAGAGGCGGAAACAAGATGACTACATCTATGAAAGTTATTTTAGTGCTCGTCTGCATATAAGCAAGGGCAAGGCAAGCACTAAAATAACTTTCGTAGATGTAGTCATCTTGTTTCCACCTCTGATTTTGCTTTCTTCCGACTAGGTAACTGAAACGCTGGTAACTTGGGTGTGACGTCATTCCCAGCTCGGACATCTGACTTCCAAGGTAACTTGAACACAGCAAGAATCTCAGAGTCTTGCCCAAGGACACTTCAGCTTGTGACTGCAGGGGCTGAGACTGAACAAACCCTGCAATAGAGAGACAACCAACTTTACGACTGAGTCAAAGCCACCAGAAATGTCAATGCAGGAGTCTCAACAACCAGGGCTTGAAGTGAACCACTATGTTGGGGTATGCAATTTCACCCTTCTCTGTCCTCTCCATATCAATGTTACGATAATTTATAAGAGCACCTGAAATTTGTTACCTGTGACGCACTGCAGCGATGCTCACATCCTGTTGTAGGTATTGTATGGAGCTCAATTATCTGTTTTTTCCTCTGAGACTTATATTAAGGTAACACTAAACTAAAGTCTCCCCTGTGTTAGGAAAGCAAGAGAAATCTGGTAAAAAGATGATGACAACAATAACGTCGACCTGGCAAAGGAACTGGCACTGTTTCACAAAAATGTCCACATTAATCAGCACAGATTACCTTCATTTTTGAGGGATTGGATCATGACAGTCTCTAGAAAAAAAAATAAAACAACATGTATATCACAGAGACTCTTGGAGTGTAAAGCAGGAAAGCTTCTAATCTCACAAAGCGAGTAGATATCATAGTGAGTCGGTGCGTCACAGTTCCTTAGCTGTAGTTACTTAACGCTGACTACCTCTCATGGTGCATCACATCATTGTTTTGATAGGCACACAGAACCGAGTGGATGGTATTGATTAACTGGAACTGTAAAGCCAAGAGGCAAATGATGCCGATGGCTCATAGCTACGAGTTGGAGCTGGTTCTCAGTAGAAACTAGTTCTTTATGCTCATCCCCAGTTGGAACAATACATAATACTGTTCCATCAAATAGCTGTAGAGAAATTTCAGTCTGCAAAGTGTTGGTCAACCAAACCTAACATTGCCCTTATCTCCAAGGCAATACCTCTAGCGCGGAGAGCAATTGTCCTTTATGCATCCCAAATGAGGTCAGCCAGTCTTAAAAAGTGGAAAACATCCAGGAAAACTTTTAAACATTGTTGGTATTCCTCATCCTTTAATTACACCAACCCTTTTTATATTTTAAGTTGATTTATAGTAATGCCAAAAACCAAAGTATTTACTCTATCTGAAGAGCTCTCTAAGTGCAGGTTCAGCCTGCCAAACTTAAGTCATTTAGATTGGTAGCCCTGGCAAGAGATATAAAGTGTAGCCCCAATCCAAGGCCAACTTCACCCTAAATCAATGCTGAACCTGACAACATTATATTATACGTTATATGCAAGTGGTAGGTTGTGTGGGTTGCCAGACAGAGAACAGGACCGCACATCAAATAAATTTAGGGCAATTTGTCCCTGCTGAACAAACCCTGTCTCCAGACTTAGCACCACAGAAGGAGGAAGATAACAAAACATCCACACTCAGGAATGAAATTTTTTATACTGCTGAGAAAACAAGTGGGGGTCTACACTGAAATCTTCATCATTTTGGGATATATAACATCACATACTCCGCTGACTGCTTCCCTGCTCGAAACCAAATTGAACTGTGCAATAATACAGGAGATGAATATGTCCTGAGGTGACATTGCTCCACCTGCAGAAGCCATAAAAGCCGTGCGAATGATCTTCCACTTGTTTCAGTCATAGGGATCAGGCTAATTACATGCATTATGCATGAAGTCTGTCAACTACAGGTCTCTTCTCAGAACATGCCCACCCCCTTAAACATGACCTGTACTCAATTCATTCATCCTCAGTGGAATTGATCAATAAAATGCATCAGTTCCTGTCCAACAAATCTGTTACAGACAGTTCATCAAAACAGCAATCAACGCCCTGGGCTGGAAAGCTCTTCCCTCACTGGTTGTCTGCTTTTTGACAAGCTGAAAGCAACAGCATGTTTCAGTTTTTGGCTTCAGCTGAAAGTTCCAGCTGAAGTGAGAATATAGAAGTAATTCTCTCCGCTCTGTGTAGCACAGACATTTCACAAGTAGGGACAGTCTTGTGCATGAGGTGATGATGCCGCCTGCCTGACAGATTTTTCACACTTGCTGGTGACGGTTTCGAAATAAGGAGGAAAACACACTATCATCATGTATCATCAGGCCAACACGCTGGTTTGTATTAAGTTACACTTCAGAATGTAATTAACTGAGAATGTTTTTAGTTAACACAGTTATCATTAATTAAAATACAGTATCTAGTCACTAATGAAAATGCTTCTTTACAGAGTGACAAGAGTTTGGCATCTAGATATTTACCAACATGTAGAAAAGAGACAATTAGACCTTTTGCTGTTCAGCAGATATTAAAATTGCAGCTATTTGCATAATTGATTTATAATTTCCCATTTTTCGAGCAAAAAAAAAGCCTCCAAAGTAAGAACCATTAATGGGGTTTAAAAAATTGGGGGTTTGGACTGGTGGTTGGACCATATTTGAGCATCAAAAAGACTAACCTACCAATCTAACCATCAGGAATATACAGTAGTCAGCACATTCATTTAAAATGAAAACAGATACAGACAGATATGCATGTAACATCAACACATAATAAGAGGGTGAAAGCCTGAGTCACACCACTAATCAATTCAAGTTCAAATGAAACCTCTTTAGGATGGACATTATTCACTATTAGCATTATAGAGGCTGCACTAGCTGAGATAGTTTTCAAGTATGCTACAGTTATGATTTATGTCTTATGTCTAGCTCAGAGTGGGTGAAAAGTCCCACATAAATCGGTTATTGTAATGGTGCATTGTTCTGACAGGACACTACGGAGAATTAGGAGAGAAGTGTTTTCCTCCATAGATTTTTGATTGATACTTTGATCTGACATCAAGTGCTCATTTTCTATACGCACAGATAAATTCAACTTCGTTATAGAGAACTAGAGATGTACCGATCCATTTTTTCTGATCCAATCCAATACCGATACCTGGGCTGAGCCAGCTGACCACTATCCAATACCGATCCAATACTTATGTTGAATGAATGAACTGTATACCTTGCCCTGTGAGTGAGAGGATCAGGCTTTACATTAGCCTTGTTAAAAAAAAGGTAACAAATTCACAGATATAAATTTACTTACTATCTATTAACAAATAACAAATTGTACATTATCACACAGCTAAAAGAAGCAAGACTTCCATGTAAACATTCAGTGCAAAAGAACAGACAGACATGGGATATAGAGCGAACAGAATCACTGTGTTGCTGTGTATGATATTAAATACAAGAAGGAAAAAGACTGGATAGGAACGATGGATCGGCGTCAGATATCGGATATTATCAGATATCTGATCCAGTTAATTTGTCAATATCGGATATTCGTTCCAAATAGCAGATCGGTGCATCCCTCTAGAGGACTGATAAATAACATAAACTCCGCAAAATTGGCTATCATGGTTTACATTTAACATTTTGAATGACTTATCACTCTATCACTGTGCTTGGTCATACTTACATAGCTGAGCATTTCTGCCAGACGTGTAGAGGGAGTTAGCGACAATTTCTTTAGCTGTTAGCTTGTTTGGAGACAGTCAGACCTGAGAGTCAGCACTGAACTAAGAGGCGCTCAACAAGTGCCGTTTCAAGGAGGGATATTTATGCCCATTTCGCCTCGTCTGCAATGTTTAACGAGTTGAAGTTGGGTTGAAGTCGTTCTGCCATGGTTTTGGCAACAACGGAAGGACGAGGAGGCGATGTGTAGCGCTAAAGCTAGCAGCGTGATTCGCGAAACAGCCCTGTGTGCGTATAATGTGCATATCGGAGTTAGTGTGTATGTGGAGCCCCTGTTGTGTGCTCACTGGCCATGCCTCTCATGGTCCCGCAACGACGATGTAATGTGAGTAAGTTTTTAGCCAAAATCACGTTACCTGCTGTGTCATTTTCAAGGGCTTTTCTTCTGCAGAGCTTCAGTAGCAACTCGCTTCTGAGTCGGGGGCGGAGATAGCGCTGCTTTGCACACTTCTCTTCACGCTAGCTTGTAGCCTAATATAAGCCGTCGGATATCAGACGGCTTCTGCGGATCTTAACGATTTCTGCCGACTTTGCAAAGTCAACTGCAGAATTAACGGCGTTCTGAATGAACGGGGCTTTGAAAAAAGTCCCCCAGCGTGTGTTAGACGTCACCATCTACACATGGACCAACCAGGGGCTGCCCCTTTCCCTGTTGTCCGGGATACAGTGGAAACACAGTCACTGACTGGCCCGGTTATTTCCTGATCGCTAATACACGCTCCCAATGGGCCGAAGTCCAGACTGTTGTGGGAAGGAACGGCAAGTGATTCACGCAACAGGATGGCCCAGCCAGGCTAGCCTAACATTGCCGGTGCAGGAGGAGTGGCAGGTAAAATCATAGATATAAATATAAACGCTAGATGGCTTACGCACGCTGTTAGCCAACGGAGACCGACGTCCACACATGGCGGCCATCTTGGTTCAGGCAGCTCGCCCACTCATAACATTAGAGTCTACGGTGCATGTAGCATTTAAATAACCATAGATTGATTAATTTTAAACCGATTTTCGAACGGTTTGGTTTGTATCATACCTCAGTGTTTTAGTTATGTTCCTGCATACTCAAGAATAATATTAACCATGGATTTTCATAAACATTAAGCAGATAGAGCAATAGCTATAGGCCTACAGATACAAGGTAGTTATATTAAATCATTTATATATAAAACATTCAATCAGTCCATGTATGTTATATTAGTAATATTTCTATTATATGGATAACTATAATAACATATAACAATAACTAATATGTATTTATTTTCAATAGAAATATCTGCCTCATGCTCTCCAACTGATGTAAAATTGCTGGGTCAACTTTGTAATGCCTAAGTGGTCTCACTCACAGCCAGTCTGTTAGCCAAGTTAGACAGCTGATAAACACAAGCACATCCACAAAGGCGGTCACTTAGACAAAAAAAAAAAATAAAATCTTGATCGTGGTCTCAGCCTTGACAACTTGTGTAAAGTGACTCAAAGTTAGCCCTTGCACGCAAATAGCCATGAAAAACTGTGCTGCACGATTAAGTCTTGTTTTTCTCAAGGAAAAGTTGCCATTTCAATATGTCCAAGCATCCCGACTCATAGCCACATTATGAAAGTATGTAACAAACAAAACTTTTTGTAAATCTGTTAAGATCTCAGTGAGTTAAAAGTATTTCTGATCATGCAGATTACTCACCTTCCATCAGCTACCATAGAGCGTAACAGAATGGTATACTGGAGTGAGATGGCCGCCGTGCAGGGACACCACTGACCCCGCCTTGAGTCATCTAGCCTTTCTTATCGATATCTATAGATAACAGGCACTTTTCATCTCTGGGACACTATTGTCTTTAGAGGCATGATGAAAGCCAATATCGTAATTAGCTTTTTTACAAGCATTGCAATCCGCTAACGCACACACTCACAGTGAATGACCAAATAAAAGATATGTTTTATAAATAACCAAACAAACTGAAATGCATCTTAAAATGGGGATTGTGCATGACAATACATTGGCTCCCAAACCTGAGCTCTATAGCATTTCACACCTCTGACCTATAAGTTTCAGTCAACTGTTATTTGGGCCTTTGAATGTCTGGTGAACCTAACCTAGAGTTCATTTTGAGTCTTATGTGACATGACATAATCAGTTTGTCTTCTTCAATTTTCAAGAACCTTTCTTTACCTTAATCTTTGGGTACCTAAGAAAGTTTCATTCTGCAAAGTTTACCTCTTACTGACGTCCAGTGAGGGCTTTACTCCAAAATTAAGTAGCAACAACATCTTTAAAACCAAAGAACCACCCATCAACAGAAAACTAAAACAGAACTGCCTGAAAAACACATATTAAACATGTAACACAGTTTTACACAGTGTGTACAGACTGTACAGACAATAAGATGTCCATTTGCCCCCTGCATTCAACCCTTACTCTTTCTCTTCTAAATGCTTAAGTTTAGTATTGATCGAACTCCGCATTCAGTGTGTTTCCAGGTGTGCATTTGACTGTAGCCAACAGTTTGTGTGATTGTCAGACTCACATATGATCAAACTGTTTGTCCTCACCCCCCTCTAATCCTCGGAGGCTATAATCAATACATCCCTGGTAGACCTTTCTCCCGCTCCCTGCCACTCCACCTTGAGACGCCGTGTGAATTTAAAGGCCTCAGCAGTGTGACGAGGGAAACACCTGCTAGAAAGGAACACCCGCTCACATCAATCAATTTAAGGTGTGTCGATCGAGTATTGATTTCCTTAATTAAAAAGAGTAATTCATCAGTACTGAGCCAACTCATAACCTTACAACTTTCTTTGCAGTCAATTAAACCCTGGAGACAGCCTTTAGTTACAGCCGGAGCCTTTAAACCACTGAGTCGAACAACTAGTTGCCAGCTGTTTTATACGCTTACTGGTTATCACCTTGTTTTATTCCTTTAGTACAATTGCTCACACCTACCTCACATGCTAGTGACTAACATGACCCCTTTAATCAGGATGTACAACACACTACACAGTCTGTTATCCTCCACGTTTCCCTTTGCATCCCTCTATGACCTTCAACAACTAAAGAGCTAACGTTAGCAGTCCTGAGAGGCTGCACTTGACACAAAGGTGCTTTGCACTAAATGTCAGCTTTACAACATACTGATAACATACTTGACGGTGATGTCCTTGGTTTTCGGGGTGATAATGATCAAAAGTCAAAAACTATTAAAGCAAAAGACCTCAATCTGGTAAACAGATAAAGACAATGAAGATTTCCAAATTGATTGTAATGCGTTTCAAAGTTGTCTGGCAGTCTGCTCTATTATCCCAACAGCCAAGCTAATAATCTACAAATCTGGCAGTGCCACATTTTAAATAGACTTTGCATCCATAAAACACCACAATCTCGACAACAAGCTGGCAAAAGATCTAAAACTTAGCGACAGAGTATGTCAATTAGTTTACAGTTATGAAGACTCAAAAACTGTTGTACAGTATAACAAAGTTTTTTTTTTCCTAAAATGTTGTTTTGTAAAGAATTTGTTGATCAATAAGTATAACCCACTAAAACATGCATGAAATACACTAGCTTCTAGCTCGTAAAAACAACTGCTACAAGTGGCTATAGGTTAGCAAGCCAACCAACTAGCTCATGCCATTTTCAGGCACTTTCAAATAATAGATAAATATAGAGTTCATCAGATACCACTTAGGTCCACCTTTTATTCTATTCTTCTTTCTCTCGTTTTAAAGGTCTGTTGAAAGTGACATTATCAAGCACTTGAGCTTGACAGGATTGGCAAACATTGGGATGTAACACCTATTTTATTTAAATCAAAGCTTCAATGAGGGACAAACAGTTTGCGTCAGTTTTGCTTACCCCCTGGACAAAGCAGCGTTTTCTTTTCCTTTGCTAATCTCGTCCCATACGGGCACGGATAGTGGTTTCTGTACATAAATCTCATCCTGTTTTCTTTTAACAGTCAAATTTATCACTCATTGTGAACCTAAGCTGGTGAAAATGTGAGAAAAGGCTGTTTCTCCAGCAAGCTGTAAATCATATTGTCTGGCACCTACTCTGTGACAGTGGTTTCAGGCAATTAAATTACAATAATGAAAAAGTCAATATTGTCGCTGAAGGTCTAGGATGCTTTTTAATAATAATAAAAATAATGCATCGGATTTCATATAGCGTTTTATCAGAGACCCTCGAAGCGCTTTACATTGGATACATCATCCTTTCGCCCACACAGTCGCACCTTGGGGGTGGTTAACTACCTTAATAGTCACAGACTGACGGAAACGTGGCTGCCAGTTTGCACCTACAGTCTCCCCAACCACCACCTCACATCAGTGGAGGACACACACTAGGAGCAAGGTGGGTTAAGTGACTTGCCCAAGGACACAACGGAAAGACTCGGGATAGGGGGGAATCGAACCACCAACCTTTTAGTCATTGGACAACCCTCTACCTCCTGAGCTACTGCCACTTTTTGAGTTTATAAAGCAAAATCATCACCGTTTTCAGAGTTATACTGTTGACAAAATAGCTTTTCAAAACTCCACATGGGCTTTTAAAGAGCTATTGCACCACTTTTAAACTGACTGACTGTCTGTGTGTGTGTGTTTTTTTTCCAATTTCAGACATAATGGGTAACTCCCATGTGTTCTCTGCTACCCACGGATGCTGTAGACTGGTGCTGGTCGCACACATCCCTCCAGTACAGTACTGTGTTGTTGCCTGTGTGGTGAGATCACATTATCTCACTTCACAGGGAAATTGAACAAAAATGGCTCCTCCCACTCTGCCACCCTCCCTCTCTCTCACCTCCCCTCCTCAGTAGCAGCAGGTGTTGTTCTAGTATAACCTGAAGATTTGGGTGGTAATTAGCATTACCTCTCAGCCCCAGAGAGCCGTTTCTGCTTTATGGTAACAGCAGGGGACATGAGTAGGGAGTGTTTCTGGGCGCCCGATGAGAGGAGAAATCACGCCTCGAAAACACGTGGGAGAGATTACTCAAATGTGCCTCCTTTGTACCCTCTTTACCCCATCGCGCTGCTGCACGGGTTTTCTCTCCCCGTTAAGCAATAAGCTGCAGCCCCATATCCCACTGGTATGTGTGTAGGATGTCGGAAGCTGTGGAGCTCCATTAATAACCTGTATACACTTAGGTTTCGTTGCAGCTATAGGCTTTGACCTTGTGTTTTGTTGCCCTTATTGTAAATGTCCAAGTCAAGATCAACACAAGGAAATGCAAACCCGGCAAACAATGCATGTGTGAAATTGCTCTGACAACAACAGGTTCACAATTAATCCTTCACAGTGCGTGGAAATAAAAGCAGGATTGGGCTAATGATAAGCATCCCCCCCTAGGAGGCAATTAACTGCACTGATATTACATAATGACAGCCCACACTTTTCACTAACATCAGTGGTCATAGGATCCAAAAACATACGTTATTATCAGTGGATGTGTGACACTACATCCCCACCTTATTAATGCCAGGCAGAGAGAGAGAGGAGAGAGAAGGAAAAGGCGGGTCACTAATGTAACACCTTGAAACTGTCACAGGATCATCTCTGCAAAAGAGTGTCATTTCTTGACAGGATCTTACCTTTGCTATTGTCCTCTTCCCTGTTCAGATACATGGCTGTTACTTCACTCCGAGGCTGATGTGATGGCGTTGTCTCAATTATTTGCGGGTACTCCTCTCTGGCTGGCGTGTATGGTGAACTCCGCTGATGTGCTTCGTAGTAGTAGCTGTTTATTGTTTTGTTGCTCCTTCAACAGCCTCTCCTCTCCTCCTAGCGGATAGGTAGGCTAACCAGTTTCAGACTCTCTCTCTCTCTCTTTCTCTCTCTCTCTCTCTCTCTCTCTCTCTCTCTCTCTCTCTCTCTCTGTCTGTCTAATAACCACAGGTTCACTGCCTGGCTCAGAGGACAAAAATGAGAAAAAGTGACTTTCGCCTCTGTGTTAAGAAGTCTTCCTCACCTCTTCTCGCCGCCTGTTCGCTCAGCTGCCACGCGCGGCGATGCTCGTCTCCGCTCGTGCATCCGTCTTTTTTTTCCGCTCGGAAATTCTGCTTGGCTGGTAATGAGGAGTGCAGCTATAACAGCCCACCTTAGGGAATTGGACAGGACCGGTGCCAGAGTTACACAGGTTAATTGGGAATCTCATTAGTGTGGAAAAAAGTAGAGGTTCCGCTCAGATTAGAAACCTAAAGTAATCTATTTCTAACTTAAGTGTTGCATTCTAAATATCACACGTATTAACGCGTTAATCCACTAAAAACCCTCATTATGCAAATGTGCCTTTTAAAAATTCAATATCATATAGGCGTAGGCCACTTAATTAGTCTTATTTATAGGGTATATGAGCTACCCAATAAGGTTTCAACATATTGAAGAAGAAAAAAATCTCACGATTAAATCAGCAGGGGTGGGAATCACTAGTGGCCCCACAATACGATATTATCACGATACTTGGGCCACTATACGATATTATTGCGATTTTTAACATTTTGCAATACAGTGACTATTGCGATACAATATATTGTGATTTATACAAGTTTGTCCTAATAATGTTTATTGTATTCTATTTTCATGTAGCACATCTTGCAACCCACAAACGTCAAAGTGATGTAGTGGTTAGCACTGTCGCCTCACAGCAAGAAGGTCTGGGGTTCGAATCTGGCTTAGGGCGTTTCTGTGTGGAGTTTGCATGTTCTCCCTGTGTCTGCTTGGGTTTACTCCTGGTACTCCCCCCACATCCCATAAACATGCCTAAGTGGGGTTAGGTCAATTGGCCACTTTCAAAATTGGTGTGAATGTCAGCATGGTTGGTTGTTCGTCTCTATATGTCAGCGCTGCAATGAACTGGCGAGTCGTCCAGGGTGTCCCCTGCCTTCGCCCAAAGATGCTGGGATAGACTCCAGTCCCCCCGCAATATGATATATCAGACAAAATATCACGATACTATGCTGTATTGATTTTTTTCCCCCACCCCTAATGATCAGCAATATACCCTAGAGTAACTTATGTTATCTGAGTTTGTTGTTCATTCAGTGTTATTGAAAGGTCACATCTTGCATGTTGAGCAAGATACCAGCTAATTCACCGAGCCCATTTATGTCATTTTTTAAGATAAAATAATTGCAAAAACAGAGAAGTTTAAGGTTTTCCATCATTAGCCCTTTAATGCCTTTTGTATCATATTTGATACATACATTTATGATACTTCTATCAAATCAATATGATCAACAAATTACTGAAAAATAACACCTGAATACAGTCTGATAAATGATAAAAATGTCCTCTTTTAGTGTATTAGTCTCCAAAACATCTAATGTGTCAAACGAGATAAATAAATATATATTTGTTAAATTTTAAGGACATTGTGATTTCTATTTAAGTGAAATAAACATGTCAGCTCCAAGAAAATTGAATTTTCCGGCCATAATTTGTGGTGTCAGGCAATAGAGGGCTACATATTTCAAAACAGGCTAAAGATAAAATGAAATAAAATAAAAATTGTGTCAAAGACAATACATCTGAAATGAAGATGATAGTTCTTGCTGTCATGTAAGGGTGTGTGATCCAAACTAAAAATCAGCCTGAGCTCATGTAAGGAACCTTTGGTTGAGGTTAAGTATGGCGCCACCTGTGGATAAAACGGTCTTTGCAGAGCTTGTCCTGCACATGTGACAGCAGGGGTGCCTTTAGCAGTCAAATGTATCACCCATCAAGAATTTTTATCATGAAAATCCTCCGACAAATCCTTCTGGCATTCCTCCTGATCTGCAGTCATTCCAGACATAAATGACTAAATGTATCGAAAAAATCAATCTCACAGCTGGTGGTCTGGTTTGCAGGTCATCATGGGGTATTCGTTTTAATTTCTATCTGTGTGAATGAACAATGACAATTCTTATAAATTTAAAGTAGCTGTGAAATGCACAACACCCCCCAAATACTAAAATTAATTACACAGAGGGGAGAGGGTAAAAGTAAATGTATTCAGATACTTTCCACCACATTGACACAAGTTATTAGAGCAGCAAAATCATGTGAAAACTCGGCTTTGGTGTCTCTCAACATTGATGTTAAGCCAGAGAAAGAAGGACCCATCTGGTCTTGTGACTTCAACCATGCCACACCTGCTGCACATCCATATCTCTTCTATAAATGGTGGTCAGATGGTCACATATGCAGCACACTGTCCTGTGCAGGTTTATGAGGCACTGCACATTATCAGGCACATGCAGGCCAGAGATTAAGAGCTCTTAAGGAGTAATTGTGTGCACCCTCTGCCAGATTTTGATGCAAGGTGATGTGACTGCTATGCAAATAGTCTCCAAATTAGATGCATAAATGAGATGTAGATAACCCTGAGTACTCAGGCTGTCTTACATCACATGTAGACAGCCCCTGTGAGTAAGTGCTGATGGAACAACTTGTCCATGACCTTGACTCAGTCTTGTAAAAAAAATTACTCAGAAGGCAATTTAAAACAATTTCTTCAATTATTCTTGCTTTTCTGTTCTCAGAGTCAATTTTCCAATTCAGCTGAAACTTCTTGTTACATAATGTGGGAAGACTGAGGGATGGGACATTATTAAACAAATGAAACAAGTCAAGACTATTGTTGAAACAGCAGCACAAAGCTAACACTACCACTAAGTCTATTGGTGGAAATGGTTAAAACTGACGTTGTGTGATAAAATGTTGATATTTAAATGATAATCCTCGCAGTGAATCAGCCGATAACCTCTGGAGTGAAATCTTAACAGCACAGGCAGTAATGTTTTTATTGTGCTATCACGGCCCTTCAGCGGCTCTCGATAATAAATATGCAGGTTTTTCTTACAAGCCTGCAAAATAGAAAGTTAATATTCCATTCAATCATGCATCTCTTTGGTATCGCAGATTACACTTCAATAGAATATGAGCAGAGCCGTACTGTAGATGCAAATGCTGTGAGTCTTTGCTATATTGCATTTAACAGTTTGCCTGTGTTTTGTCAATAGCGCTGGGAAGGTCATTTGCTCAAAGCATCCTGCAGTGATTTCCATTTGATTATATTTTGTTTTGCAGCTCGCTCCATGCTATTTGTTCACTATTGAGAATCTTTTGCCATTTGTTAGAGGGGTATTCTCTGCAGGCTCATTTAACCACAGTCCATCTGCAGATTCTCTCCTCCATCCTGTGCTCCCAGCATCATTGTGCCTGTCACTGATGCATCTGTCTCCACTGGTATCTATAAATACCCCCCTTCTCTACCCTTCAAAAACCTGATTCCCATTGATTTAGTGACCTATATTCACATCAACACCATCCCCTTCTTCCTGTGACTCCCTGCTCCTTCTATCGATGGTCCTCTACTGTCTCCACCTCTTCATTCCCCGCCTTATGCCATCATTATTCTCTGTCTTGAAGCTCAACTTAGTGTACCTCTCCCTGCACCTTCACCACCACCTTCCCTGGCTATAAAACGTGAGCGACTAATAATAGTTCACCGTGGCAGCTTAAGTCATGACATGAAAGGGATTCGGATGAGAGGAGAATAGCGGCTGCTGCTCATGTCTGTATTTAAAAATCTTGTCATTGTGGTAAACAGAGCCTTTGGCTAATCTCCTGTGTGTGTGTAAACACTGGAGTAGATAGTTTGATGACACTGGAGGATCCCAAAGAGGTTCAAAAATTCAATAAGAAATCCGACTCTGGCTGAAAGAAGACCTGCTTACAAACACACTATCATATTATGAAACAGCAGCGTATGATCCTGTGAGTGTGTATATGTGTGCGTGCAGGTTTACAGGATGGTGCCATGATGAAATGATCCTACAGGATGCTGCAAAATAGCACCACAGACACCAATGCTATAATGTAGAAAACATGGCAAACAGCAGGAGATTTATAATGAATAAAGAAAGCCCTGTCATAACATCAGTTCAGCAGAACAGTACAGGAATCAAAGAGGGGCTTTATAAACCTGGAGCAGGCGGACAAATCCACCAGAAAGCACATTTCCATATTGTTATTGTGCAACTTATAAACACCCTGTTTATCGAGTCAAACCGCACAGATCAGGCGCGGCAGGAAAATGTGCATCAGCTGCAAAAGGTATGGAATAGCATAACTGAGTGTGAGATAACAAGCCAGAGTCAGATCAGAGCGTGTGATTTACTGCCACACCGCCCAGGCTCAGCATACACCTGTAGTGAGTAGTTTCACGATGCTCCCACTCCCACCACAGGCTGAACTGAAGCTCCACCGTGACCCCATGCTGACACCTGGTGGCTGCACGAGGCAGCAAATCATCACAACATAACAGTCTCAGCTGCTCTCCTGTGCCCCGAGGAGCTACTATGTCATCCTAACGCTCTTCAAAAGCCTCACCCTGCTGCTTGGTTTTCACAGTGGCATCACAAAGAACAAAAATAAAAAACAGAAAATCAGCTGAGTTACTGGAGCTTGAAACGAAACAAAACGTAACCTGCATCACAGACCACAACGGGAGACTTGAGGACAGTCAGTTTATTGAACAGCAAATTGTGACAGAAACACAATATTTCATTTTTTTTTCCATTACATTGTAAATAATGTCTAGGACGACTGTGTCACTAACGACATAAATCCATAAACACCCTCTTTGTCGCAAAGAGAGACTTTGTAGTTGGACAGTGGGAGGTGGGGGTCCTTGTTTTTAAAGTGCTATAATGCACAGTTCCTCTTGGAGGATGACAACAGAGGCCGTGACGAGAGCTCAGACCCCAGAAGGCCTCCAGGGTCCCTGTTTGCATCATACATTGTGTGATTGACAGGTTGTGACGTCATTTGTAATTCTCCTTTGTCTACCGTGTGTGTGTCTGTGTCTGTGCCTGTGCCTGTGTGTGATTTCAACTTATTGCATACCAGTGGGCTGGTTCACATGTAGGATTTTTTTTTTCTTTGTGAATATGTAAAGCACAAATCTCTAGATTAAAATGTTATAATAAACTCTTCACTATAATTATAATACATAATATCTAAGTTACATTCTTATATCTGATTCATATATGTAGGCAATGTACATTTTGTGGATAACATAGCAGACACTCTCATCCTGTGGACTCAGCCCTATGTGTCAAGTTTTACAGACAGATGAACTTCAAAAGTTCATCTCAATCCACATCTCCACTGACGTAAATCAGACTGAAATCCACATCTTGCAAAAGCAACCATTGATTTCTAAGGATTTTGTCTGAGTGTACCCAAAGTGTGTCTCTTGTGCCTAATAATAGTCATTTGTGCTTTCTTTGATTGTATACACTCTAAGTCATACATTTGGTGTTCCCGAGCTCCTCTGCATTCACCTGCCCTCCCTGGCTGTGAGGGGAGAGGGGGTGGCAGATAGAAGGAGAGAGGGGAGAGAGCATTGGTCTGACAATCAAAGAGAAAAATACCGCAGTGTCACACTAACAACTACACATCAACTACAGCACTACACAGTCAGACACGCACACACACAAACAGAACCAAACGCACAAGGTCAACGGAAATTCACAGCTGTGGGTAAAACAAAACGACTTGCACAACATTTTAAGATTCAACAGAATAAAAGAGGATAAAATCAGAAAACAAGAGGGAAGAGTAGAGGCGGGGGTGGTTCAAATATCCACATCAATAATCTCAACAACACAAATACAGGCATAGTAATCACAATGACATTGAATATGAGATGAACTGGCAATCGGAATGTTGAAAAACTATGACAGTGATTTATCCAGATGAGCTCACAGGAGCAGGCAAGTTTTTTTTTCCCATTTCCTGTGGCTCAGCTGTCATCCACCAACATGGCTGGAGGTGCCTGTCGATGTCTGGCAGCTCTGATGTCCCTCCCTGACCTATGGCTTTCGGTTAAGACTTGGATAACGCTGAGAGATTCACTAGCATGTGACTTAGTCGGCACAGCCTCAGCTGTTAGTGCCGCTGCCTTCATATTGCAGCTACCACATTTAAGAAGCACCATTCAAATAGACTGATGAGTTACAGGCAAGTCCCTACTGGCCCTCTCCTGGGTGGATTTTATTTCCAGAGATGTAGAAGTAGAGCCACAGGTCACTCACTTGAAACAGGCTACATTTCTATCATCTTTATGTGACAGCTCATGTGGTCCAAGTTGATAGAACTGCAGCAGAAGGGCGGATCAAACTTTACCCATTGCTTAGGGGACCGCTGAAAAAGAAACATCTAGACCTACACTGTTCCCCTTTGCATACAGTAAAAAAACTCTTCACATACACTGCATTTAAGTCCGAATGATGCTTGCTGTATTAAAACACACTCCTTCATTTGATATGTCCACATCATCATAACATAAAATCACTACGATATGGACTGAGAGGGGGGGAGCTGAAGAGGTAGGTGTGCAAATAAGCCATCATGTACAAAACATACAATAAATCCTACAACATAAAAGTTCATATCATCTGCATATGTACAATATAGATAAGGTGGACACTTTGACACAGAAATAAACAACACAGAGAAATACATAGTGCTATACCGCCTATAGAAAGGAATATTGATAAATAGATCTCACTCCCACACAATGAAAAGTTGCATTGCGTATCTACAGTGCAACAGTACAATTGACGAGCTGCTTTGAACAGTGGGAGCGAGGAAGGAATGTGATTGGATAATTCACGTCAAAGTCACCTTGATCTCCGGTGAGATAAACCAATGGCAGGGCTTCAGTGTTGTGATGCACAAACAAGATAGGACAAGGCTGCTTTCCACGGCAGCTTAAAGCAAACAAAACCTAAAGCGAACGATCAAAGACGTTTGGTAAAAACGTACAGAACACTGAAACCACGTTGGTTTAATTTTCTGATAAAGTAAAGTTTTTCATTAGCTCTTTGGGGTCCTGCCACTGACTTCAAGTTTGGAAAAAACAAAAGTGAGCTGAATTCATCTGTAAACAATAATAATTACGTGTGGATCTGAGAGGGGTGCTGCTCCAGTTAAAATCTAAATAACTTCACAATGGTTGACTGTACTTGTGAGGCTCGATTGATATTCTGGCACCCTTTGAAATGAATTTCAGCCAATATAGAGCACACCGCAGATTTTTTTTCAAGTCCTAATTAAAATTTTTGATCTGGATTAGATTTTTCGCTGCACTCACATGCAGATCGTCCTCATAAAGGTCAATGAATCATTGTCAGATTCTTACAGGGAGCGAGGATGTCCTATCAGCTAGCAATCCAATCACTCATGTCACAGCGGGTGATCACCATCATTTTTTAACGGCAATCATTTGCTAGTAATAAAACACCCCCGCTGTGACATCACTGATTGGGATAGGACCACAAGTAAAAACACTTTACCACAGACAGATGCTTAGAAGCAGCTTTTGAATGAGCCTGTGTCAAAGTAGGAAATGCATTCAAGTAATTTTCTGGTGCACATCAACCAAATGTGGAGCCTCGTCTCTGCACTGGACTGCATAATCTGGAAACAGGAGATACCTTTCACAAAGGCAGAACAGCCAAACCATTGTGGGAGCATCAAATATCAGATGGAACCTGATCTCCTTTAAAAGCCAAGGCAATCATAGCTCATTACAACCACTTACAGGAGGGATGTGGTTACTCAGGAGCTTTCATAGGAAAAGTGCTGGTAGCAAATCAACACATTCCCCGGGTCTTTGTTTGACTACAGGCATAGATATTTCACTCCAATTCCAAGTATAATGGGTTTTAAGACATAAGGTCTGGAGGAACGTTTTTCTACTGTATTCTACCCTGTCTAGTGTTCTCGATCATCAGTATGTGCATATAATTTTGCTAGATAACTATTGTTTTCCAGAGGCTGATGTAAAATTAGGTAGGGATTGCAGAACTGCAGCAACCAAGGGCAGTACATCTACTTCAACAATTCCACAATCATCTTCATAACTGCAAAAATAAAACAAAGAAGTTCTAGTCGTAAAGCAATCTTGTTTAAAAACGTCATCTGATATTTGTGGCTTCATTTCCAGAGTGCTAGCTTAGTGTGCCTACTGGAATTTTGTGTGCCACCATAGGCAGCTTGGCAAAATAAAACGAAGGCTCCATCCTAAACTATTTCAACATTCAACACAACAAATTTAAAATGAAATGTACGAATTGAGTCGTGCTTGGACCCGTCCACAATTTTTAAAACGAGATGAATCCTCACGCAGTTGTTTTTGATGCATTACAGGAGGGAAAGGCAGAGAGGAGGTTCTTCTTAGTTGTTTCTTTTAGGCAAGAAGCTGAGAAGGAATTCACCCACTCCCAGGAAGTAGACCACCTGGGCGATGCCAAACAGGGGTGCGATGACCAAGGCTCGACAGTAGGCTCCTTTGAGGAAGGCTGACGGACCCTCGTTACGCAAGATTTTCCTGGAGGGCAAAATTAAAGCTTATTGTAGCAGCAATAAAACAACACAATAGTTAAATACGGTACATTTTCAGCACAAGTGTGTCTTATGAGCACATCAGAGCAGTTTCTTGTAAATTCAGTCGTAGTTCTTTTCTTGTCCTTTGTGTAAAAGACACGCTGACTTATTATACAAGATTGAGTTTAATGACATACATCCAGCCTTGGTCACACACACACACACAGCACCACACGCACTGCAGCAGTAAGGACATAATAAGGTCACCTGATACAGTCAGTCACTCCACTGTAGGTGTCTTCTGTGCTTCCTCGGTTCAGAGACTGCAGTCTAGTCTTTATCACTGAAACACACAGAGCTCAGGTGAATATAAAACAGTGACTAATGGTGCAGACATGGCAGTAACAATGTTCAAAGTGTCATTGCCTACCATCAACGGGGTTGACAGCAACAGCCGCTGTGCTTCCCGCAAGGCAGCCTGATATGAACGACACGTAGAAAGGAGCGGGGCCCTCGACACCCCGTTTGCCCAGGTTATTCAGATTGGCGAAGAGGGGGAAGTAGATGATGGAGAAAGGAACATCCCTGAAGAAAAAAGACAGTGTTGATTTCCGTTTTTTCAGAAACAGTGTGGGAAAAAAATCCTTTGAGTCAAGTATGTAAATTTTCTAAATGCAATCATTATTTCCTGTTTAATCACACTTATATTACGGGTTAGAACTTGTGTATTACAGGTGCAAAGATCCCGCAACTAAAATCAATTTTTACTTCGATACAATCCCTGCAGAGCAAAGCAAATTTAAAAGCAGCTAAGTTTGCTGTGAAAGATTACGTCCAGAATGGGTGATATTGGTGAGGCCTGATGTGTTCATGTAAATATAACATTAGACTGTGAAGAAAACTATGACACTACAAAGTATCTGGAAATGATAAAACATCCAACCAGGATCAGAAAATCCTTTACAAAATAAAATGTCATGTTGGAAGAGTAGGTTTTATATCACCTTGTATGCCTCACAGATGATACCAAAATGCTTATGGCCTGTGCTGTGTGTAAGCTGTATTTTAAGTAACATCCAAACCTACACAAACAAAGCCACAGAATGTTTTGACTCCATCTAACCAGTCAGTGAAAAGCTCAACAAGGTGTAAGAATTAAGATGTGATTTACGCGTATGTTGAAACTCCACTCCTAATCCGTCGCAGATTAGAAACTGCATTCAGACTTGGCTACATTTGAGCTCACACATTGCTGGTGTGATCCAGTGCTGGACACTGGACACTGAACACTTAATCATGTATGCGATATGCATGTATGATGTCAGGACACTGAGAGAAATTCAGAAAACCTGCTCTTGACCAGGTTAGTTTCACAGACTCAGTTACCATAGTAACTGCTTTACCATAGTAAATAACTCAGAGTTTAAGTTACACCTCCCTCTAGAGAGTTACCCCTCCTTCTTCAGTTTGAGTTAGCTTCTTCTCTCTAAGGGCTTCCCTCATTTCAAGGTCAACACCCTCAGGGTTTGCACTTATCTGCTTTCTAGAGCCCGCCCCTGATTCATGACCGGGTAACACCAACAGCACTACATGCATAACACTTTGCCTCCTAAAATCAGACCCCTGTGTGCAGTTTCTACATTTTCATACACAGATTAATCTGCAAACACAAATTAAAGTTATGATCTATAACCTGTTTAAAGACAGGTTGTACCTGAGCAGTGTTGCTCCAAGGCCTTTATACAGCCCAGCAATGCCCTTCTCTCGCAGTAGCTCTCTAGTCAGCTGCATGGCTGTTGGGGACTTGGTCTCCACAGTACCTGCTGCCACCGTCTCTGGCATTAGCTTCCTCTGAGCCGCTGTGGAGCAAGAGCAACATAATATTAATGTTAATAAAAACGTAAACAAATAAGGCTAAAAGAATAAAACAGAGTGAGAAGCATCTATGCATGCAGACATTTTGAATAAACAGTAAAAGGAAACCAAAATTAAGATATTGTAATCCCTGGCATGACCACTAGAGGGAACAGTCACTCTAGTTTCTTTCTTACACTGCCCTTCAGTGTTTTCTGAAACACCATCTGGATTTTATTTCCTCTTACCTATGCGTCCAGCATCTTGGAGCTGGATTTTCAACATCTCCATAGGAGTCGTGACAATAACCTACAACAAGATAGAATTGGTGTGTCAGATACAGAACAGGATATGCACACTATGTACAAAGCAACTTATTATCATCCATGTGAAGGCAGGCAAAAAAAAAATAAGGAGGTTAGGATTGATTAGTCCTGAGCATGTAAGGCGAGAGGTGAGTTTAGAGTATATCTACTAGCATCCATTAGCTATCTGTCACCTCTCGTTTGCCTCTGCGATCCGCACAGTAGTAACTAGTTAACAGGATTAAGGGTGAGATGGCCGTGTTCTCAGCCACAATCTTAATCCAAAGTCTGCTACACTTAAACTAATCACGTTCCTTGGCCTCAAAGCCTTTGCCCCCATTGACAAGAAGCATTTCCCTCTGGCTCGATCACTTAATGCACATGGCCTGGCACTTTCACAGCACCTTATCTGATCAATCAAATCCAGCTGAAAGTCCATCTATACCCTTTAATCTATTTAACAGGACAATATTTCACTGATTAGAAATCATTTTTGGCGGAGCACATATTAAAATGTAATTGAAGGGGGAAATTTACAGACATTTAAAACAAGGTTTGGCTGAGTCTGTCCACAGGCGGTGACAAATGAAGCGAGGTCCAAGATGGTTTGTGTGTTAGCTGACACAGGCAGCGCTAATGGCAGCAGCTCCAGATGGAAAACAGGAGGATGCATCTAAAGCAAAATCTCACTCACTCACCTGGCATGTTCCTGCCCCACATCCAGCCAGCATCTCTTTGACCAGAGTGAGTTTTCTAAAACAATAAAGACAGAAAGCACAGTCAGATGATTCATGCACTCGAGTGACGTTGTGATAGATGGACAACTTTATTTCTGCAGTCAGAAAAAAAAAGAGTTGTCACCACCTGAGCTGGTGATGCTAATCTCTGTCTTCCATATCAACATGTCAGACACAAGGGCAGATTAATAATTCACAAGGTGAGCCGTCGAGCAAGACAAGTCAATCATTCATCAGCCTGCGTGTCAGTCGCCATAGAGATGGAGATAGATGCCCCAGAATCTTTCAGCTTTATCTGTTTAAGCAGTGCTCATGGGGGGACAATAATGGGTGATGGATTTCAGCAGCTGCTAATGTGATTTCAGGCATGGCTTCTGCCGACACACATCCGAGCGATTCTTTATTTTTAAACAGTGAACAAACCACCGTGAGTCTCTCTGTGTCTGGAGGGGGGCGACGCGACACAACGGTAGAGGATTACCAAGAGGATTGGTGAGAACACAGACAGCTAAAGTGTCAGGTTACATGTTGGTAAACATGCCAGTTAATCACAGCGTGAATGAGAGGAGTGCGTGTGTGTCCATCTGTGAGCATGTGTGTGCATGCCCGTGAGTCGGGCGGCTTGTCAACGTTGCCATGCCTCACCCATCCTTGGAGAGGTGATGCCTGAAAAAGTCGTTGGCGGCCAACTTGATGGCTTTCTCAGGCGTGACTAGAGTTAAGTTTACCGCTGCTCCTGAATGGATGAAAAGAGAGAAAGAGCAAGAAAGACAGACAGAGGGAAAAAAAGAAAAAGAAACAGAGAAGGAGGTGAGACAATGAGGCTGAGGGATCAAAGTGTTGGATGACTGTATTTGGGCTGTATTCAGTTTACTGTGGCAAGAATCTGATATTATACTGTATGTATCATGAGGTCATGTTGGGGTCACGTTAGGGTCATTTTGTTGCAATGGTAATCCCACAAAAACTGATCATCCAACATTGTAGCACTATTTTTTTGCAATCTCCCCAAAGGAAATAAACCACAAAATGTACCTTTAGATTGTTTCCACACAGTGATTTTAGGATTGATACTGTACTCCAAACTAGCAGCAACATTCAGTCTTGAGAAGAGAAGCTAATATGTGGGTGCTAACACCTTCAGTTCCTCCAGTGTCTGTTTGAGGTTGGCTGCAAAAGCATTTCAACTCACCTCTGTACATCCCGAAGTACCCCTCTGATCGGATGGTCTTAATAAGGCAATCTGACCTGAAACACAAACACAACAGTTCAGGTTTGTTGGCCTGATGAAACAGTTGGACTAAACGTTTTACTGATTCCTCTAGACTGCAGCAGAAAACATTCTATCAAAATGTGATAGTCATAAATGATGGCTGTTTCATACATGCTGGTGTATAGGCGAGATCCATTTTGCTGGTTTTGCAAGCGGGTCTTTGCCAGGTCAATGGGAAACACACAGGTCACTCCAATCAGGCCAGCGATCCCCCCATTGATTAACTTGGCAGGCAAACTGCAGGAAGTGGGAAGGACAAAAAGAGAAAAATGACATGTGGGAAAGAAACAGATGAAGGGAAGGAAATGCCGGCTGCTGTGATAAACCTTACCTGATCTGTTTGTCAGCCATTTATGTGAAGCCTTGGCTGGTCAATGAGTCAATATGTTTGTAAGCTGGTCACTCTGTGGTCGTCCTTGGCGTTTGATGTTTGTAACTAGAGTGTGTTGCTCCTAGAGTGGGGTTGCTAAAGCCTGGTTATGGTTTGTCTGCTCTCTTCTCTGTGTGGTAGCTGTTAGTTCCAGTTAGAGGATACCTATAAAGACACACAAGAGGACCAGGTAGAGCTTAATAATAGTGCACAACTGCTTATATATGTCCACATCAACAAAAGTCTCAAGATGGTGTGATGGTTTATTCACTTGACTTCTTGATGTACACTTTCAGTGCTAGGAACACACTTCTGTACAAAGATATAAGAGCTGAATTTTTTAAAATTTGAAGTGCAAACCTTAAAGAAAAATGTACCAGCTTTCCTAAAGAGTGCAATGTGTGCACGATGTAAGTATGATGTGCAATGGGACTGTCAAGGAGCAGCCTTAGGATTGAGTACTCTGCAGGGCGACTCTAACCCGAACAAGCCTCGGTTGCAGGTGAGGTGGCAAGTCAGCAAAATAAATACTTGTGTACTTGTGTTGGGAAAGTGAAACTAGGGCAACTAACTTCAGATGAATGCACAAAAAATCAAGACAAAAGAAGAGAACTATTCAAAAGATACTTTAAAAAAATAACAGCTCCACATCAAGCCCATGAGTCCTGAGAAGAAATGGACTCTTATCCTAAGAATCCTGTTTCACGAACCAAAGCAGACACAAAAAAGTGGGTTTGCAGGTCAAAAGCATAAGGCCTGACAAGCACACCAAAACCTTGAATTGAAGTTGAGGATAACACAAAAGAAAAGCAGCAAATTCTCATAGCTGAAACCCTGAAAAGGAGACATGTTTGACTGTTTCTTCTTCCTGAAAGTAACAATAATTAAACTGGTTTTCATGCATAGAGCTGGTTGTTTAATGTTTATCTTGATAAGCCCTAAATCAGAACAGTGGGGCAACATTTGTTTTAAGCAGAGCTGTGCCTATCACTGCAGAGAGATTACTCTGTTACAACAAATCCACTATCACTAGCACATCTGTGCGTCATATGTGTCCTTGAGCACTCATGTTTTATGCGAGAGCTCCGTTATTGTGTAACACATTGTACAAGGGGCAGATCTAACCTCTGTAGGCTATACCGTCATTTTATGGTTAACAGATGAAACATGTCAAAAAGAGCCAAGATGCTCCTTCTTTTTGGTCCTGAATGCCCTCAGTAAGAAGAGCTGCTTCCCATTTCCCCTTTCATTTTCTCCACCCCCTCCATCCACCAATCATAATCTCTGTCCACGAGTACAACCCGCCTCCTCCTCTCTCCTCCTCACTGGCCCTCCCCCTCATCATTTCCCTCAGTCACGAGTCACGACTCTTAAAACACAGCTTTTGCGTCTCAGATCTTTGCTGACTTGCAGGTTTTTCTTTGTGAAGTGCATCTACAAAAGTCACACAACCAAAGACCCCACACCCAGGTTCAGAGAGAGCACACAGTGGGACTCTGGTGGATGTTTAGTTTTCTTATGAATGCAGCTGTGGTTTGGCGTGTTTGGCTTGGATGGAGACTTGAGGCCTCTGCTGACTGTTCCAGAGGTGGAGGAAGGAGAGGAAGGAGGAGGGAGGAAAGGACCTTTCTGGTCTCTGTTGGCTCAGTTTGTTCTCCTCTCTCCTCCCTGGAGCTTCACACAGCCGACATCACAGCCCTTCTCTGTCGCTTATCTCCCTCCAACGAATCCTGAACATTTTCTCACCCAGCAGCAGTGAGAAACAGCCCACCTCCACACTGTACTGAATGCTTCCTTTGTCCCCTGTTTCCTGTAGCTCACTTCCTCTAAAAATATGCAAGATTTGAAAGACTATTTGCAGTCTGAGGAGGAAATGCATGGGCAGTAAGGGCAATGCAGTCTTCTACAAGGTTACCCCAGAACTGACATGTCCCTTCGTTGCTTGCACCGTTAGTCATCCACTTCACTTCATCTCCAACACATGAGTGTGTCTGCAGCAGGACATTTACTTGACCTACAGCCACCGCCGTGCTGTCTGCTGTCTTGTCAGGACAATTGGAGTCTGTGTGGAAACAACTGACTTCAGTGTGTCTTCAGCACAGTGGCATCACTCATCACACAAATTTCCTGGAGATTCTATTTAATCTAACAACAGGACAGAAACTGTGGGGGAAGCGAAGGGAAATTAGCATTTATTGTAATCAGAAACAACGTAAGAATGACCACACTGTTTGAAGGAAAGTTCCTTTGAATGTGAAGAACACAAAGAGACAAAAATGAGCTCAAGTGACACAAAAAAATGAAATATTTTCCTCCTGAATATATTCACAGAGGTCATATTTTGAGTTTGTACATCTAAAGAAGATAAGGTCTGATGAGTAAACAAAACGCAGGGTGATTGTGAAACTTGGCTGCTGCGTAAAGCTTTTAACTACTTAACCAATCTGCCTAAAGTGACTTCTGATTAAAGGGTGACCAAAGAGCCAGCGTGACGACAGATAACAGCTCTGTTTCTGACCCTTGATCATCAGTCAGCCTTGAACAATGAGGCAATAAATGCTGCTTTACTGACGAGGACTCTGAAAGGCAATGTTGAACTTTGTCAGTAGAGCAGAAGGCAATCTGTTTTGCTAGAGGCCATAGGGCGTCAAAATAAGGTAAAGAGTTACACGCTTCACATTTCAGTTGTTAAGAGTGTTGTGTGTGTGTCCAGCAAAGTTGAGCCACCATACACTGCAGAATTCCCAATATTTTCAGAGAATATTTTTATAATTACAGATTATATACCTCATTTTAAAATTCAAAAAATTTAAAAAATAATAATAATAACAACAAAAACAACAACAATGATAATAATTAAATAAATAAATAAATAATAATAATAATAATAATAACAAAAACAACAACAACAATAATAATAATAATTTAAAATATAATAATAATAATAATAATAATAATAATAATAATAATAATAATACAGACCAAAAGTCATTATACCTAATGCCCCTGAGAAAAACTTTCTGTTTCTGTCCATTTTTGCACTCCCTGTGAACAATAGTGATACTTCTTTTCTCTTGGCTAAACTGACAAAAATCTCATCCTGCTTTCATTTAACATTAAAATTTTATTTATCAGGAAAACTAGGTGAGGAAAGTTTCAAAAGGGTTCATCTTTATTGTTTGATATCTTTGCAGCAGTTTAGAGGAAGTGAAAAATACATAATACTTAGTCACTGTTCTTGCTGACAGCCTTGATAGCTTTTTTAGGCCATAAAGGGGAATCACTGATAGTTTTAGTCTGTTTCACAACCAGTTCAAAACCCATGACAGGAACTTTGACAAAGATGGGTAAAAATGGCTGCAAATGCAGAAAAGTTTTCTTCAGAAGTTTCTTGAAAGAAGTTGTTATACCGAAGTATTTCATTAAAAAAAACTAATCTGTTCAGCACAATCATTAAATCATCCTTCTTTTAGCTTTTAATATCCTGAAAAAGATTCACATCTGGACTTGTCTGGTCACTGTGGTTTATTTTAAGTGTATTGTGATAATCTGACCAGAAATTAGATTGATACATAGATTTTTGCAGAGTAGACACCCCCATAACAATTATGAATGACACAAAATACAACAAGGAAGGCATTATGGTAAAAAAAAAAAAAAGATTTTCCAAGAGGTGACAGATAGTACTTGACTTACCTAAGGCAGCTTTTGCGTGGAATAAGTACAAAAGAATTGTGACACGTGGTCTTAGATCTTAATAAATCACTTTATGTGCAATTTTAGAAAGTTTAAATTGAAGACTTGAATTGGGCTGATGGCTAAATACGAGTGGGTTTGTATAGAGGTATCTCATATTAATGTTTCCTCTTATTCTGAAACATTTTTGAGTGTTTTTGACATTTTTTAGTCCAAGAAAACAGATGGATGCACTAAGAACTCACAGTATTGTATGGACGCCAGCTTCAATCTGAAATTATGTAACTGTGCAGCAAATCTGTGGCTAGTTGTTTCAACTCATCTACCCCAAGCCATTCACTAATAAGTTAAACGCTCACAAAAAGACAAATAAACCCCTCAAGATACTGGAAATCTGCAAACAAGTAAACACCAGTGGATTTACTATGCAAAACTCCATGCAAAGTGCAGGATATCCCCTCATTCAAATCAACAAGAGCAAAAAAAAAACTCTTCTATCCCATCTCTTACTCGTCTACCTCTCTGTCCTCTCATGCCAAACAGGGTAAAGGTCTTGCTCACTAACTGACAGACAGTTTGGTGACTGACAGGAGGAAGTGGGCAGCTACAGTAGTGACAGAGCTCCACGGTAGTCAGCACTCTGCTCATGTGACTGTGGCGAGTAGAAAGGAAGGCAGCAAGGGAAGAAATCACACGGGCTCTTTCTCATCAGCATGGAGCAGGCTATGATTACCAGTCCATCTGTCTCACATGAACTGGTTGGTGTCAATATAAGCTCGAAAGCCATCCAGTGAGGATCTGCACTAAGGACGGTATCAGACACAAGATGTGTTGATGCAGTCCTCCATCTCATGTTCAGTTCTTCTATCAGATGCAAGAATCGAAAGTACACCCAATCTGCCTGCTGTTCCACTCCTCTGTGTAATATACAGTTAGTACTAGCTTGTATAAAGGACTGTGTTCCAGTTTGATAACATCCATTAGTATGTTTCTGAATCAATCTTCTGAAAAGATTGGGTTTTAAATAGCTCTCTGTACTGACAGCCTCTCTGGTGGAGTTTACGTGCTTTTTTCCCCTCTAAATACTGGTTTATAAGATGCGTGCTATTTTGGGACATCTAGAGCGCTGCGGAAACATGTGATGAAATTTTGTAGTGTCACAGATAAATCTGATTACTATTTCCTCTTCCCAACAGCATCGGGATTAAAAATCTAATACCTACTTATGAAAGCTCACTCACTGTCTCCGTTTACAACCAGCGGCTGAGAGCTACGATGAGGGCACAGTGATGCGTTCTCACCACAGGGCCAACACACCGAGTTCACATTACAGCCATTGATGCCTGCACAGTAACACATTGTTGTAAAAATCACCTGCTGTAGATCAGAAATAACAAGCTGAGTTCAACTTACAGGCAGCCAAAATGCCCCTTCAGTGCAGAGAGGTGGTGAAGTGTTTAGTCCCTCCTCTGACACCGCAGGTATCGATGCTGCCCCAGATTCTGAAGACACCGGGGGCTTTTCTGCGTGTATCTCCTGTTTTGCCTCCCTCTCAGCTTTCCTGCATCCTTAACAGGAAAATAATAAAACCTCTGTGTGTAGGCCTTCCTTGAATAAAAAAGCCAACTACAGCACTGAAGCATCTGGTTACAGTTTACAGATTACAGTACAGCTATGAAAGGCCAGACGGAGTTTAAATTTCACATAGCATCACATCATCTTCCCACCAGCAGGGCTGTACATCATTACCATTCAGTGCACACGTACCCGTGACATTTCATAGGCTTTGCCTCTGGGACTTACGCACACTTTCAGAATCCTGTATGAATGCAGTTTAAACACTTTTTTAAATAGATAAAGGTAAACAGCAGGAATGTTTTCAGTAGTGTCTGCAATGTCACCCTACACCCAAGAATGGCTCGCCTCATCAATAATTTCAAAGCTGCAGGAAAGCTTTACGCCACTGCTTGGCCTCTGCATAACCTCCAAAAGATGGGAACTTTTATACCTTACGGTCTGTTTAAGATAGGGCTGGGTGATAAAACGATAACGATATATATCGAAAATTAATTTCCCTCAATATCAATATGAAACATGGTCAATATGCTTTTCTATAGTCAGCATTCTGCCATGTTTTGGTAGACTATACAAATAGCTCATAAAAAGGGGAGTTTATCCAGGTCTGCTTTGAACCAATCATGCGCTGAATTAGAACCAAGTAGCAAACAACTCCGTAGTATCAGGCTGCAGCTACATGCAACCACAGCACTTTAACACGTGAAGCCGACAGCACTGTCAGTGAGAAAAAAAGAAAATGAGTGCTACCCCCGGCAGATATGCAGAGGAAGGCCCAACAGATGACGACATCATCGACAACACTGTCATGAAAACGTCAGTGGTGTGGAAATATTGTGTTTTTTTAGGTTGGATTTGAAACAGAGTAATGTGCACTGCAAATTATGTTGAGTACATGTTCTTGCAAAGTCGGGGAATCCTCAAATCTTTTTCCCCACCTGTGCAGCCGAAACAGCTGCCCATTCAGTCCATTTTTTTCTAGCGCAACATCTTACAACAAAACGTCGAAGAGACACAAAGACCTATTGTATTGCAAAAGACATGCTACCAATAAGCACTGTTAAATTTCTTTTTTTAATCGTGATATACATCGATATTGACTGATATGAAAAAAACACACATCATGATTAACCTTTTTCCCATATCGCCCAGCTCTAGTTGAAGACTCTCAAAATTTCACTCAGTTGCAAATAGTTCCCTTATAAATGGGTTTTCTTTTTGGGAGGAATTTGAAGCCTCACCAAAGGTAAGAGGGTGAACAGAAAGCAAGTGAGACCAGCCTTCGGTCATGTAGAGTAGAAAAAAACTCAGCATTAATGAGGATTACTATTATAAAGGCTTCTTCTTGACTTCCTTTCATTCTGTACTAAGAAGTTACAGTATGTTAATGATTAGCCAGACTGTCAGAGGTGAGTGCTCTGCTCCACCAATGAAAAGGGGAGGTGGGTTTATTTAAAGTGGGTTTAGCCTCCTCTCTACCAGCAGCCCACATGATAATAATTACACCTTCACTGTGGAGCAGAAGCCGGCAGAGGGCGGCCGCAGTGCCCCCCTTTGCAGGTCAGGAAGAAATTCGGTTATCTACACCGGTTCTATCAACATAAAGAACCGAAACACAATGTCCTCAACAAACTTAACTCTATGATACTAACACGTTTGATAAACAACCATCCTGGTGAAGCATTTTACTTGAGTTTAACGTGCAGTCTGTTTAAGGGGTTAAAATATGAGCAGGCGTATTAATAACCGGCATTTTAACCAATCTAGTGTAACCATTATTGATTGTCCGTTTAGGATGTCCGTGTCCACCCCGATAGAAACGGTCATTTTTAACTTGTACTATCGTTACATATTGAAAACCCACCATATGTCAAAAATGCTAACATGCCACATAACGGAAAATGATTCCTCTCACAACGAAGAGGTAAACCGTCACACACGTTCAAAACCTGACATAAAACCTCCCATTTCCATATCGTGAAATGGTCCATTTTTACAATTCCAATAGACAATTCATATTAAAATGACGCCTACTTCTTCGCGGTCCGCACAGGTAAGATTATAACGGTAACAAAAGCATTTCTGGAATAACACACCCGCTAGATTCATACCAAGACTGTAACTGCATCCAGTCATCTACGTACCACATAGAGCCGATCCCGTTATCTCTCCCAGTGGGGGTTTGTGGTGTAAAATCAAAGCCTTCACACTGTGTATCTTTGGCTGACAGAGCGACAGTAGCTAACCTACCGGTGTTACTAGCGATTGAGAATCCAGCGGAGAGAGGGAGGTAGGTAGAGGAGGTGGGAGTGGAAGCAGGCAGGCAGGCAGGCAGAGAGGCAGGGAGGGAGGGGGAGCAGCCGGGGTAACGATGGAGTAGTGAGGAGTGGAAGAAAACACAGACGGGGGATTTAAAGGGTCCTCTAGTGGTATATAGTAGAAGTACAGACATGGTGTTTTTTATTTGCAGTAGAGGTGTAGAGATGGGAGAAGGGGGATGGGGGTAGCGTCATCATGACGTCTCATCTCAACCCGATGACCTTGAACAAAAAAAATAGAAGAAAAATGCTTTGGTGGAAATATTGGCAATGACTCACTACAGGAGTCTCAGCTGAGAGCTATAAAAAACAGCTGACACGATTCCTTTAGCCACAGCTTTACTATCATATTAAAATGTCAGAAATGATCAAATGTCCAGAGATGTCACTGAGGTTTTTCATGCTGGTGTCAAAGTGATGCAAGGCACTTCAAAAATAAATGTAATCAACCATAGAAGTGGCTCCTCTTGTACTTTCAGTCAGTGATCCAGGTTGTTACAGTCCATCAGCTCCCAGTGTGCTCTGCCCCTTTACTCCACCCTTAACACTGAAAAAGATCCAGGTGGTACAATAGCTACATCAGTGAAAGATGAAGAAAAAAAACTAATCGTGTCTTTAAAAATGTGAAATTAGAATTAGAACTTAAAGGGACATTCCAGCGTAAATTTAATTTAGGGTCAAACACACCATAACACCGAGTTAGACACCCCCTCGAGAGATGAATGTTGCCGACTGCTTGCTTCTTTAGTCATACCAACTTAAGTAACGACCGCAGGATAGCAATACACATCATTTCTTCATGGAAATACAATCAGAAGAGACGCTAAGGCAGAAGAACTACCGCGTCTGCAGTGCAAAATGATTAATATGGTGATTATTACTTCAAGGAAATGATAAAGTAATGATCATAAATGTTCTTCCTTGAGCTGCATCACCCCGCAGCAGTCTGTAATGGACTGGCCTGAGGTCAAGCAAGCGGCTGCTGGAAGAGAGTAGGTGAGAGGTGTTTAGACTCTTTGCTAAAGAAATTAAGCAAAGTTAAAAAGATGTTTGGTGGCTAGTGCTGTGGCTAGGACCCTATATGTCCTGTTGATGAAGTTAGGTGCTGTTCTGAGCATTATTACTGGCTATAGAGTGGCGTTTTGGTTGAGGTTTGTTTATGGCTCCTCAGACCGCTGTGTATTGCTATCCTGAAGTCGTTACTAAAGTTGGTAAAACTAGAAAAGCAAGCGGTCGGCAACATTCATCTCTTGAGGGGGTGTCTAACTCGGTGTTACAGTGTTTTGACCCTAAATTAATTTTACGCCGGAATATCCCTTTAATCTACTAGACTGAAATCCTAAGACACTTGTTCAAGAGAAGGGCTGCAACTTATGACTGATTTTAAATAAATTATTGATCCATCTGAAAGTTATTACAGTTAATATTAAATAAAACATCTTTTAGAGGTTTAATAACCAACAAAAAGGACAAAGAGAAGCAGAGAAATTCTTTGATTTTAGAGCTTGCTTGTGAAAATAATCAAAATGATGTCAAAATAAGTTAGTATTGTGTGCTTTTGGAATAATCCCATCCAGAAATTTCACTTCGTGTAAAAGTTCTACTCAACATAATGATACTTTATAAAAATCAAAATTTTTTGCTTAGAACTGTGATTTTTAATTTTTCCTTCTAATCATTGTGCCTCTCATAGCAATCTTTAAAATTGATGTCTCTAAAAATATTCATGGGTGTTTAAATTCATGCTGATCACTCATATCTGTTGTCTTCCGTAGGTAAAAATAAATTTAAAAAAAGGCCACCAGCCAACTGCTGTTGTCAATACTTTAAAAAAGAGCTTTTTGGTATTCAAGGACAGCTGTTTGGACAGCAGACATCACCATGATGAGGGCAACTTGTAAACAAACAGGTTACTCAACTGTAGGTCAGCCATCTGCACTCAGTGTGAGTCTGTCTACTGCTGCGTTTCACTGAGAGAGGAGCTCTCTGCTTCAAGTCCCACTCTCCTCAGTGACTCCGAATACTTTCTCTTTCCTATGTTGACAATGTCCTCAATCTCATCAGCCAGGTCCCTCCTGCCGCTTTCTATCATAGCCTCCACCAGCCTCGACACGGACCCTGGTCCTGCGGTCCTCTGACCCCGAGCCCAGAGGAACAGCATGTCTAGCACCAGCGCTCCAAGGTTGTCCCTGTAAGGAAAGCAGAGAATCAATGAGAAGACATAAGATAGTTGGGGCGGGAATCACTGGAGTTCTTATATAATGATGCTCTGGTCACAGTGTGATTGTTTGGGGATTTAAAATGGGATTTGGATCTGAAAGACCAAAATGCCTTCAATGTTGAAGGTACCTGACAAATACATCTCTATGTGTTGCCTACATTGCTGTGCAATTAAATATTTGGACCAAATGCAATTGCAATTTTTACAAAAGGTATGAAGCTCTTTCAAAAGGTTTATTCTGTCAGATTATTCTAAAAGCCTATTTTGTGTTTGCAGTGATAACTAAAAATTATACTTTGTGACATGTCAAAGTATATGTGACTTGTCAATACAAAACTGCCAACAACAACAATACTGTATAGATTCCCCCAACCCTTGAAGACAGCTAATGTACATGATTGATTTGATTTAAACCAAAGTAATAAAACAAGTGGTTCTCATATCAAAACAACTCTACTCCCTCATAAAACCAGATCACTACAACACCTGGATGGATGTACACTGAGGATTGCACCAACACTGGCTATTCAGGTTTTATACTACGACTCTTTCTCAACATCACGACAGCAGCAAGCAGTCGGTGGTGTGTTTCCAAAGAAAGACGAGAAAGAACATTCACAGAATCCCATTTCAACCCCTCACAAAGATTACCCGCTGCAGTGTGTATTTTTGATTCTATAGAAAGCATTTCTCCTCCACCTCCAGGATGCGTCATGGGAGGTTTTTTTGAGCATGAGGAGTAGGGGGGGAGGGACAGATGAGCATCAGTCTGTATGTAATCTCCTGCGGTGTCCCAGATGGCTTAGTGATGGCTGACAGTGCAGATTAAAACAATCAAATTCTCTACCATTTCTCTCCGTCAGTCACGTTACGACTCACTCCATCTTGTTCCCTTGAGGGTTTTGGTTGTACTGAAACACGCACTCACACAGGAATCTATGTAAATCTCTCTCACAGGTTTACGAATTTAGACTTTATCTTTAGATATATATCAGGCCAGTAGGAGGTGATACTTAAGTCCCGTTAGAAATAATCTGTACAGTCATATGAAAGAGAACCTAACCTGCTAAGTTCTGTGATCTTGTGAACAAGACAATAGTTACTAAAAAGACACTTAAATGTCAAATACAGGAAAGTTTGCAGTCAAATTTGCAGTATTTTGTTTTGCAAACAAATATATAACCCCATGACATAAAGACTATAAAATGTGTTGAAAAGTTAAAGGTCAAAACCAGGAAATATCCCCACTAGTGATTGAACTGTTTCATTCAAATTACTTTGAGAAACTTAGGTCAGGTCAACAGTTTTTCATACTGACCTGTGCTTGTACTGGATGCGGTCAAGCTCCTGGAAGCTCAGGCCGAGATTGATGCCAATAACTCTCCAGTCGTGACCAATCTGAAGAGAGATGGACAGCAGGTTGGCTTCTGTCAGGTAACCACTCTCAGGGTCACCCAGGTTCAAGGGAGGATACTGGAGATCTTCCATGATGAAATGATTTTCTGAGTTTAGAGCCTGTGAAATGAAAAGTAAAAGAGACACGACAGAGTAAGACGGTTTCTCCTAAAGGTTAAACATCCACTTCCATCATTATATACACGTTTAATTAAATAAGTGCCTCTGATATTCTAGGTCAATTTTCACCTGTTCTAAAAATGTCAATAAATGTGAAGTTTATTTGAAATGTTGAAATAGGAAACACAGAAAAATGAAATAGCATCAGTCTGTTAAACTTACTGGGAGCTTTAGTGGTAAGGTCGCAAGCCACTGACTATCTTGGCCTTTCCTTTTCCTCGCCACCTCTTCAGGTAAGTTTTCAGGGATCTCCCCTCTGTAAAAAGACACCTGTAACAAAAACATTGAGTATTTTATCATTTCAAAGTACCACACCTCCATGTTTGTTTGTTTGCCTTCATTTACAAGGGCTCTGGTTTCTCTTACTTGAATAAATACTGAGTCATTTTAATGGGAAAATGACCATTCAAAATTTTTGTGCTTATCTGCTGAATGAAAACTTACTACAACTAAATAAATGTTTGGTTGTTGGCACTTCCTGTTTCTAAAGAGGTTATGGTGTAATACCTTGTTGCCTCAAGCGATGATTTGCCTGTCATGCTCTAGTCTCCCACTGATAATACTCTTATATTTTCAGCTGTCATTTTCCATTTAGGACATCAAATCCAAAGATTATCATCAGAAAAAATAGATTTTTCTAAGAAATATTTTCTATCTCTGTATTTTGAATCTGATACGTAATCCATTATTGGCTATGGACATTAGAACTAATGCCATTTCCAGTGGAGTAATTTGGAGTGAGTATGTGGTCAGATTGGACTCAGTCGTGTCTTAGGAAAGATGTGTCATTTTTGTCTGAAACTCAACTCATGCAGTCTTTTTGCCCCCCTGTGGAGGTTTTCGGTTGTGTCCTGTCCTCTGTTTCATAATGCCCTGTTCTTTGTGTGCGCACTGTACTTGTAATCTCGTTTATTCTGACTTAGTGTTTGTTATAATATAACAGAGACAAAAGGATTCAGTCTTAGCATGGACAGACAACAAGAAAATGTAACAGCAGACACATTTCACTTTACTTTTAAAAGGTGCTTTTTGACCGCAGGAACTTTCCCCAGAAACTAGGAGCCTTACCCAGGAGTTCTGGTCTAAAATTAGTTCAGGGGTAGAAGACCTACCCCTTGAAAAGCCCCTGCTCAGAAGGTAGTACTTTTGAATGGCCCAGGAAGGCCTGATGAACCTAATGTTACCAGTTCATTAAATCGATGTATAGACATGAATTATAACTCTGTTAATGTACACATTTCTCATCTAAGGGATTCTTTGGGGTGTTTCAACAGATTCGGGGGTTAGTCTATATCTTTTACATCATAGGCTGATGTGTAATTTACACACAGACACCAGCTGTGCAGAGAGAGAGTTAAACAAGTAGAGGTACCAAAGGGCAGCTGTACAAGATCAAATGTTTCCAGTAACCTGATTATATTTAATAATCAATACAGCTCAACTGCTGCCAATGTGATTTCTGACAACTTTTTCTAAAGTTCAGCTGACACTAGAATAAAGAGCTGTGTAAGTAATTTCATTTCCAGATATTCTTCCTGGATGTCATTGGCCTGATCTGCATTATTTACCCTCAACTTTAACCCCGGTAGAAACACAGACAACAACGGGGCACAGGAACCATTCAGTTCCTCGCAGAGAAGTCCCTGGTACTCAAAGTTCTGGATGCTTGTGGTCATAAATCACCTTCATATATATGTAATATGATACTTATTATGTCTTACTTGTCCCCTCACTGGACCCTTTTGACCCTGAGCTGGACAGATGTACACCTCCTTCAGATTTTTCAAACTGGAGTAAAACACAAAACAAAGGCGTCCCCCAACACAGTCTGGTCTCTCTGGAGAAAACAAGAAAGTATAATGTCGAGTCATCACAGCATATCATACAATCTTGACAGGAAAAGGAGCAGCAGGAATCGTGTTTATTTAAGATAGAGCCTCAAAGAGGACTTCAGACCTGAGCTGATATCTAAGCCTCTCTCAAAGCCTGCAAAAAACTGCTCTCCTTCCAGCAGGTCACACAGGTCTGAAGGCTGAGGTCCATCATATTGCTCTGATAAAGACTGCACTCTGCTTTCCACCTGGTCAGAAAACATCACAATCACTAACTGGAGTTTTTACACATGTTACATTACAAAGGCATTTCTATTTAATAACACAGTTGAAGTAGAATTTCAAACCTTATTAGCAGGTAAACACTGGAGCATCACTTGTGAAGGATCAGTCTTCCTCTGGAGGACCATGAACTGAACTTTAAACTGCTTTAGCTTCTGATAGACTTTCCTGACCACCCCACTGACACAGCGCTGAGTTGTGTACCACAGCCAATACCTGTCATGGTGGACACAAAGCTGTATTACAACAATATAAATAAACGGATCAAACAGAAAGAGGGACAAATGATAAAAACTCACCAAGAGAAATGGGTGATGTAGAAAATGGCATACAGATGGGTGATATAGAGAGACACCTCAGATGTGATATCAGTCCAGGTTTGTGCAGTAGGGTCTCCGTGTAGCAGATGTAAACAGGACATATCAATCGTATGGCCTAAAGAAGCAGCATTCAGTGTTACTGTAACATTCTTATATTTTTAACAAAAATGTCTTTACCTTTACAAAGAGGGCATACTGGACCTGTGACTCCTGAGGGCAGAGGGACCTGAACCTTAATAGGTTGAAGAAATTGTAAATTGGGAGTCTGGGAGAGGCAGAGGAGGGGGCTGACACTGGCCTGAGGATCACCACACAGTGCCTGCACCTCTGACACAGACACCTGCAGCACCTATGTGCACATAGAGAGGCAACCAAAGCTTTATAAGATGCAGATTAGACAAGTTTTGCCTGATATAATCTTCTGTACAACTCAGCACTACCTGTAAAGTTACAGTACGGGTCTGCACAGTGGAGTCTGGAGGAAATTGGAGCTTTATTCCAGGATCAGAGCTGGATATCAGCAGAGCTCCAGCTGGTGTGAGAGAGCAACTGTCCTTTCCTGGGCGGGACACAGCCATAAACCAGGAGAACTGGCTGACTGTGCAGCAAGCCAGCTAAACAGACACAAAGGGGTCATTTTTGGCTGTACTTAAAAAATATTTAAACTGTAGTGAAAAATGTTCTTTTTTTTTGTTTTTTGGAGTTGCAGGTACCGTGCTTTACCCTGGCTGGACGTCCACCGGGGTGACTGCTGTGGCCTTCACTTCCTCTCCTGAGAACAGTGGGCAGAATGCTCCATGTCTGTCCATCAAACTTCTGCACCACCACTTCTCTTCTTCTGGGCCGATGATACGGCACACACACCTCCACAGGCTGTGGGGATTTAAAAGTTGACATTTTCAAACCAAAACACACTGTCAGAAGTTTGGAGGAGCACACCCTGTGACAAGTGCTCCAAGTCTGAGCACCGGTACATTTCTGGATACTCTTCTGTAACATATTTAATGAAACAAGTTCAAGAGAGGCCCAGATATCTTGACTGTTGATCCCTACAAGGTCAAACAAAAACTGAGGGGTCAACCAATTATCTGTCTATTAAAGATGCATGTCTTTGGCTCTAGTGAGTCTTTCCCTTAGACTGTTTCCACTCACTCTATCTCACTTATTGTCCCACCAACAACCACTGCTGAAACTACTATAGTTGAAACCAGAGCATGTGTGTGAGTGGTTTTAATATATACATGAACTTTAAAAGCTTTCCAAAGGTAAATTATCCCATTTATTGCTGTTTTATATATTTATCTACAATAATTAGCTGTGATGGAGTCTATTGTTGGAATGTCAAGAACATACTGTAACGTTTGACTACAGGTTCTCATTTTATGCAGTACCACTCATCTGTATCATGAAGCACTAATACTCAAAATCAACCTTGAAAATTCCATTTTGCTTGTTTTCCATTGATATCATTTATCTATGAGATACTTTCTGTGAACTTTATGCCTACATTGGCCTTAAACCCCCAAACTATAAAACAGGAAGACACAGACACTTAGACATCTCCTGATGGTTGTTTTAACTAGAATTTAAAGCTTGAGTTCAACCTCTTCAACATCCTATCTTAGTTATTAAGAGACAGTTACCATATTCTAGTTATCTAAGAGGTCAGGTTAGTATTTGTGGCAGACTGATCCTTTATTATGCAGAACTTTATCCCGAGGGACCAATGGGAATTGGTTCAAGACAAATTTATTTCCACAAGACTTCTGTTTTATACCTTTAAGAAGGTAATTCCATGTGGGCGAAGTTCCAGTGGACGACTCAGGAGGGTGGCGTGCTCTTCCAGCTGCACCCACTTTTTTTCTGGTCGTTTCTCCAGCCACTCCAGAGTTTTTGTTGTCTCCAGGCAACCCGGGGGGAACAGCAGCTCAGCCCCCCCTGGGAGAAACACATGACACCCAGCGGACGAAACACAGAAACTGAGGAGCAAAAAGGAGCACAATGTCTTCAAATGTTATATAGCTTATACACTTCGCTGACCATTATTGCTGCAGATCAGAAAAAAAATGCCCACTACTGAGAGTGTCACTTTACCTGTGCTGATAAAATCCAAGGTGCAACTCAGGAAGTCCTGTTTCTGCTTTATCTAGCAAAAAAACAGCATTGCAACAAACAGAGTAAATGTGCTGACATCAGATGTAAACGCTGTATCTGACGGCAACACAGTAAAGATAATTTAAGCCCCAATCAATTAGACACCCTTCTCCCTTTCTACTCACCAGGTGCAGGAGGGAGAGGAGGAGGCGTTGGGGGTTGTCCCAAAGGATTGTCACGTACATCTATTTTCAGCAGAGGCAGTTTGTTCACACTGTGTGGGATCAGGCGGAGGTCATTGCTATAGATGACAAGCTTCCTGAGAGAGAGGAGAGCGCCTGGGCAACAAAGTAGACAAAGTTTATTACAGACTTAAGAAACTAAACTCACTTAAAGCAGAATTCTAGTTTTATCATCGTCATGGTTTATCACTGACACATTCACTCTCCCTTGCAGTCTTACCCATGCTCTCTGGTAGCTGCTTCAGTTTGTTGTGAGACAATTCCAGGTTAACCAGCTCCTTCAGAGAGCCAATATCTTCAGGCAGATACTGAAGGAGGTTACACGAGATGTCGAGTGTCTGTAGTGCCTTCAGCTGACCAATGGTCGGGGGGAGAGAGACCAGCTCATTCCCGAGGAGGGAGAGGTAGGTGAGGGCGGACAGCTGGCCTACATCAGGAGGCAAAGCTGAGAGGCGGTTGTGACAGAGGAGCAACGAGGAGAGCTGCGGCAGACTGAGAAGGCACGAGGGCAGAGAGGAGAGCTGGTTAAAGGAGAGATCCAGGTGTACCAGGCGAGAAAGAGAGGAGAATGAAGAAGGCAGAGAGGTGAGGAGGCCAGGTAGTGGGTCACCTTGGGAGTCAAAGAAACAGTGTCCTACAGAAATAGAAAAAGAGCAGAAACAGCACGGTGAAAAAAACAGGACGTACAGCATCTAAAATCATGAGATTGCATCATAAATGTAATCAGAAAAGTACCCCTAATAGCCAGCGAGCACAGCTCTGTCAAGTAAGGAAGGACATTCAGAGCATCATCCAGTCCTGATTTATCCTCCGAGCCCAACCTCAGGTACTGAATGCCTCTCACCTGCTCTGGTATGGACCCCCAAAGCAGTGGAAGTGCCGCTGCTCCTCCCAGGTACACATCCAGAGTCAGTCTCGTGTCAGTCAACACAGCTGGGACTCCCACAGAGGGAGGTAAGGGTGGAGTAAGGCACACAACCGATGAAGAGGAAGGCGAGGATGAAGAAAAGTCGGCATGTTGATGATGATGATGATGGGTGGAGGAGTAGGAGGATGAGGAGAGGCTTGAAATTGATGGACCGCATGTGTCCATGAGGCTGGAGGGAGACACAGAGGGAGCATCCCTGTCTGCTTCAACAACTTCGGTCTGACTCTCAGACATCACACCACTGGATATGGTTGTTCCAGCCTCTGTATCTGGTTTCTTTGTGTCCTGGTACAACAGCTTCAGAGACAGAAGGTCCTCAATAAGGTCTTCTTCACCAGCTCTGGATTTCTTTCTTGATTGGTTCCATGCTGCTGATACTCCCATTCCTGAAGCATCCAACCTGTCTGTCTTCCTGATCCAGCCGGCCGCCTGCTCTCCATCATCTTCATCAGGAGCAGACCCGTCCATGAAGGCGACTGTTTGGATACTGGACAGCAAGCTATGAACCCCCTACACATTCAGCACCGGTCCCGGGTTTTCCCCCCGACATCATGATTCAGAGACGCTTCTCGTTGCGTGATATTGTAAGTCCAGCTGACATAGTTAAAAAGACTGCCATGAAAAGCTAGGAAGATTTCATGAGGCATGTTTCCTGAGTGAAATTAGCCAAAAGTTATAGCTACATCATTTTCATGGATTTTGGCAAAGCTTTGATATCCAGTAGTCTCTGAGCATATATTGGCACTCATATATCGTCCGTTTCTGGCGTTTTTAGTCCAAAATGTCCAGTAACTTCTCTGCTACAAACGTAAAACAATTGTATCCCTCCATTCGGCTGACTTACTTCCTTATATCCGGCAGTGTTTTGAAAGAAAAGCTTCACATTGTAGTTGTTCGTTCGCTTTAATGTACATCTTCTACCGACGAAATATAGGTGGGGTCTTGCCCTATGTTTCAGCAGTGGCAGGAAGGTGCCCGCCTCTCCGTTTGATGCTGTGTCCTACAACGAGCGCCTCCAAGCTAACGCCGCCAAAGATTCAAGTCAGGGCGGGACAGATGTGTCAACGTCTGCTCTCACTACAGTACCCTTTTATAACCACGGGGTGGCAGTGTTGAGTCTGCTTCATCAACATGTTTAATATCAATCTTTCCTGCTACTGGCCATACACTTAATCAAATGAAATAAAATATAATAAAATAATATAAAATAAAATACAATAACATGAAATGAAATAAAATAAAGGATGATAAAATGTAATAATATATATAATTTAATATAATAAAATAAAATGAAATGAAATAAGATAAGATAAGATCAAATGTAATAAAATGAAATAAAATATAATATAATATAATATAATATAATATAATATAATATTATATTATATTATATTATATTATATTATATCATATTATATTATATTGTATTATATTATATTATATTATATTATATTATATTATATTATATTATATTATATTATATTATATTATATTATACAATGTTGTTTTGCTAAAGCATATATTTGTTCATTTTTTTCTCTACGATATTTAAGGGAGCACCAACACAGGAATAACTATCCAAATTATTGGTTTAAACAACAGTTTTAGGAAAAACAAAAATGTGAACACAAACAGATAATTTTGAAAACAGAAAAAAATCTTCCCAGAGTGGGAGAAGAGCATTTGACAGCTGTCAAAATGACGTTGTGCCCGGTCATTGACTTAAACTGGCGTTCTAGCAATGTAGATAGTGATTGGCCGATTTATTAACAAATCTATTCTGATTGGTCATTTTTTACAGATTTTATCGATGATGATTGGTTGGTTTACATTGAGCCCGCCCCCTCAGTACGCTGACCATGGATAACAACATCAACTCCCCGTATGTCTAACACGGAGTTGTCTAAAGTAGCTCAGGGCACTGTAATTAAGATCATTTACTTACGGGACTCAGCGATAGAGAAAGAAAAGTGACATTTTTAAAATTATATTAAATTAGCGATTAAAACAGATGGACAGGCAGTTGTAACAGTAACCCCAAAAGACATAGACAACATTTAAAAAGACGTTATAAACACAGTATGAGGGTCGTTCAGAAGTTAAAACAGACTCATAGGTCTTCTTGAACCTGAAACTTCTCTTCTTTAGCTCAGGAGCGGTCGGTCACCGGTGGCATGTTTCCTTTAGACTCTCCCTGGAACATCTCGTTTGCAGGTTGCGGCTTCCTGGGCATCTACCATGTAGGTGTCGCCAGCTGTCTGGTGGAGCAGGCTCCTTACCTGGTCCAGAATGCACGGCACATCTATGGAGCTTCAGCCGGAGCTCTCACCGCCACCGCTCTGGTCACCGGAGTCTGTCTCGGTGGGTGCATTTTGATAAAGTTTACTTGAAAACTTTCTTTGAGCGCATTTATACGTGTAACCTTAATTTCTGATCCCTTTGTACATATAAAACGTCAAATACTTTTACATATTGAATGGTTGGGATAACATTTGAAGAGGTATGTTGATGGTAAACATCTGAGTAACTTTGACTGTGTGTCTAAAATGATTGTTGAAGTTCTGTGTGTCTTCTCAGTCACAGCTGAACAGTGTCATCAAGTGTCAATCAATTGAATTTATTGATAAAAACAGGCTTAGCATCCTGGTGATACTCCACCCAAATAACTATATTGATTCAGCCCCTTCTTCCTACAATCTGTTGATATTATGAATCTCTTTTATGTGAGAGGTTGCCTCATAAGTAGGACAATGAAATGGAAACTCTTAAAAATGATTTTACAAGCATAGCAGCACAAAGATCTTTATTCATCTCATCATCCTCAATGAGGTCAGTTCTGTCTTTTCTGTATCCAATCATTTACAGTAACAATGTTTCACTTTCATTACAGGAGAAGCTGGCGCAAGCATCATCGATGTTGCCAAAGAGGCGAGGAAGCGTTTCCTGGGACCCATGCATCCCTCCTTTAACCTGGTGAAAATAGTGCGTCACATGCTGCGGCGAACTCTGCCGGCTGACTGTCACAAACAGGCCAGTGGGCGGTTAGGAATCTCTCTCACTCGAGTGACAGATGGAGAAAATGTCCTGCTGTCTAACTTTAACAACAAGGAGGAGCTGATCCAGGTGGGCTTATAGTTTGTATATTGAAGTGTTGGTTTTTAATGATAAACTAAGCAGTTAAAAACGGGTCATTTAGAAACCTCTGATAAAAAGTGTAATTTAAATTTTTCAGATCTAACCAGGACCAATCTTTTCTTTCTTATATTCATTATTTGTTTATCAGGCCTGTGTCTGTAGTGCCTACATCCCTGTATATTGTGGCCTCATTCCTCCCACGCTTCATGGAGTGGTGAGTAACTTCTGTATTATTTAGCATGTGTGGTGTTCCTACAGTGCAGAAGTCCTGTTGTTGAAAGTCTTACTATTATACGGCTCATGCTTTGTATTTCCTCTTATTGTATTCTGCTGCTGCTGCCTTTGGCACTGTTTTCTCATTATTGCACCTCCATCAGAGCCCTCCCTTCCTCAAGAATGTCTCTGTTCTGTGTGGCACATGTGTGGAAATGATGATTATATAATTTCTCAGGAGTCAGAGTTTTTCAGAGATCTCACCCAAAGGAAAAGCAGAACATCTATTTATATCCTTGTTTTTGTTAACTTTCAAACACTGGACATGTTTGTAGCACAAAGGTTTTCAGGGTTTTTTTTTTTGTGTGCAACAACAGTGCTGCGCCCTCCCCTTTGGCCTTTGTGGTTTTATGAGAGCTCACATGTGCCTGTGTGTGCACAGGGCCTGTGACCAAACAGTGAGAGTGGCAGTGCCTGATGTGATTATGTTGGCACAAGCTTTAAGGTTGCTCTGTCCCCCCTGACTCTCAGTGGCACAGATTCAAAAATCTGCCTTCAGACTGATCGGTGACACATTCAGCATGCCCTTAAAGTTCCCCAGCTTCATTAAAAACAACACTGATCAAATCACAGGGTATGATATCACTGTTATTACATTCAGATAAACTGTCACTCTGGGGTTAGATATCCTCATGAGTGATTTATGTTAAAATCTACCCTTTTCTCATACTTCAGCGTTATGTGGATGGAGGGATCTCAGACAATCTTCCTCAGTATGAGCTGAAAAACACCATCACAGTGTCCCCGTTCTCAGGAGAGAGCGACATCTGCCCCCGAGACACTTCGACCAACATACACGAGCTGCGATTTACCAACACAAGCATCCAGTTCACCCTCCCCAACCTCTACAGAGTCTCGAGGGCACTTTTCCCCCCAGACCCCATGGTAAACAAAAAAAACTCTCCTCGAAACTCTGAGGATAAAAATCAATCTACTCAGATGACATGGAGTGACCTGGGCTGACTCCTTTGAAAGATGCGTGTTTGTTTTTATCTTGAGTGCAGGTTATGAAGGCCATGTGTAAGCAAGGATATAAAGATGCTCTTCACTTCTTAAAGAGGAATGGTAAGAAATGTTTTTTTTTTAGCTTTGTTTTTAGCCTTCTCCAAATCTAGTCATGCTCTGTTTAGAAAAACTGGGGCAGGGAGAGCAAGCCTAATTAATGTCTCTCCCTCTGGCTGAAATGAATTAACGGGTATGCAGAGTTTTTTTCCTGATATGCTATCAGGACTCAAGCTTTCTCTGACCACATGGCCTATAATCAATGAGCTGCTTTTTCTTGTTGGACTTTGTTTGTTGTTTTCTGTTTTGGAGCAATTTGTGAGCACTTCATCAACAAAAGTATCATAAGTGTTTTGATTATTATGAACTCGGTGACACATTTAATCACTAGAGAGCAATTTCCTCAGAATTGATTTAAATGAAGAAAATATAATTACTGTCACATTTGTGGCTGTTTACAGGATTGCTGTACTTTAATGGACCACTTAGAGACAGACCTCTGCTGGCTAATAGCAGAGAAAATCAGGATTATAATGGGAGCAGGGAGGGTGACGTGGAGAAGGAGGAAAAGCCACATGAGAAAGAGGCAGCAGTAATGGTTGAATCCACTTCTTCAATAGAGGAGCATATCATGGAGCACCTTCCACCAACCCTGCATAAAGGTAACAAGACTTTACAGGGAAGCAATGAGAAGTTAAAACAATGTATGGTGACTGTGTGAAAAAAAACCCACGTTTTAATGGTAAAAGCTTTGCACTGAGATAGTAGTTTCCTAGTCTTACAGCTACTCCGTATCCTATTCACCCCGTCAAACATGCACACATTCACACACTCATAGCATGGAAAGTGATCAGTATTGATCAATATCAATCAATTCCATCAATGAGTATGACTCACTCTACCATCGGGCCACAGCTGCCTCATTCTGGCTCCAGGTGGCCTCTTATTCCAGCACTAACTAGGTATGTTAAGGCAAACTTTCAGTGGATAGTCATACTGATATTTGAGAGATAGATATTTGAGTTTTTCTCTGAGCATATATAGACCTTTATGTTTTTCTTTTTAGTCTCACTTAAAACAGGTCTTAGCACATACTTATAAAACTACATGATTCAGGTAGGCAAGAGGCTTATTAGAGAGGGGCAGGGGTGGTGCAGTGGAGTGGGGTCTGAAGTTATCTGTAGAATAAATTGACATGAGTCAGCATAAGCCTTCAAGGTTGTAAGCATGTTGAGCTTTTTTCATCCCCTGAAAAACAGATTCATGATGTAAACAACCATTAACACAATCACTTTTGAATTTTTTACCACGATACATACCCACTGTGTCAACTTTTTTATTGCCAGTGCACTCTCAGAGCTTTCAGGATAAGGGGTTTAAACAGGTTAATCATATGAATAGTTCAGAATAATGCTTCTGATCCTCTTTTCTTCCCTCCTCAGCTCTAATTGAGGCCTGCATGGAGAGGAGGAGTCTTGTGCAGTCCCTTAGCAACATGCTTCCTGTCAGGATGGCCTCGATGTTGATGCTCCCGTACACCCTCCCTCTGGAGTCTGCGATGTCCTTGACTCTCAGGTACTTCAGGACTTGATTACATCTGGCCTGGATTCCCCTCCTATTTAAAATGCACTGAGAAGAGTACTTCAGCTGAGAGAATCTGCGTGTCTGCTTTGTTCCTGTTTGTGTAGCTATAATACAGTTAAAGTCCTTGGACATGTGGGATAGCTTTTTAAGAGAGTTGTTATCATTGATTAGTGGCTAACTGCTCTGTAACGGTAACACATGAGTGTAATTAATGCATAGACTCCTGGAGTGGCTGCCAGATGTGCAAGAGGACATGGGTTGGATACAAGAGCAGGTATTAAAGATACTCCAGCATGTTCTGCACCAGGCTTCGAAGAGCTTTTCCCGACACGTGTCTGCAAGGTAAGTGTGAACAAAATTACATGGACCGAAAAATCAAAGTGTCTTTTTCTAACTGATCAAACAATACAGTCAATGCTTACTGTGTGTGAACATGGCTGGATGTCAGCCTACTAATAATGAATGTTTTGACCACTTGGTGGCAGCAAATATAAGGTGTGATCACAACATGAAAAAATCCTCTCATCTTAATGTTAATCAGTCCAACTGGAAACAAAAAAGGAGCTTATTTTGCAAAAATACTGAGCAAAGTATTTCAGACCAATGACTAAAAGTCTATTATTCCCCCTTTTAGCTTTGATCTAGTTCTTAGGTGTTACATTTTTTACTTTATCATGAGTACCATGATTAAAATCAACAACAAAATGGTCACAGTTTGCAAATCACCCTCAGCTCTTTATGCTTCTTATGGTCACTGCAGGTTTTCCTGGCAGCTAGAACTGCATCACTACCGGTCCCTGCAGTCCAGTCTCAGCTCCAGCAGACTGTTTCCCAGCTCAGCAGTCCTGGATGTCTTCATGCAGCTTGACCAGTACAAGAACCAGCTGCTGTCTGGAGTTTTGTGTATCAACATGGACCTGCAAGGCTCCTTCCAAAGTGGGCAGATGTCAGCAGAGAGGGACCCTCCATCTGTCCTTTCCTCTGAAGGCATTACGTTCCATGTTCCACCTGCAGTCAACTCTGGAAGGGTCATCAGTGGATGCTAAGAGCTTGTATAGATCTCTAATTAGGCAGGTTCAGACATACATCATTTAGATCCAGGAATTATGTAGATCTTCATGATAACATTAAGGAACCTTTAAGCTGAGCCAATAAGTCCTATTTTGGCTGATACAAAAGGCAACAAGTCACTTAATCAACCAGAATCAGAATACTTGATTTATCCCAGGGGGAAATTCTGTGATTACACTCACTATGTACTACATATATATGTTTTTTAATCATGCATGACACTGAAATTCTCTAGTTACAGTATTATCATGGTATGTTTACCTTGAAACATTAAGTCTGTCTGGAAAAAACTGGAATTACATGACGTTAGCAGAAAAAAATGCACAGTTAAAGCAGCATGCTGAAAACAGTATTTATGTTTTAGGTGGAATGCAATCAGACTGGTAGTTAGGCAGAGAGTTTCTGCTTCATCAGGCTTTGAGCTCTGATTCACTTCTGAAACACAGGCTGAGACATATAGGTGGAGGGAAGATAGGAAGCACAGATGTGTTTGTTACAGCGGTAAATGTTGTAAAAGAGACATGAAGTATCATCGTACAGTGTTAAAGTATATTGTCTTGATGTTTCTATGTCAATATAAATGTAATAAGTGTCTTTATAAGTAGTGTGTTGGATAAACACAAAAATCCTCTTTTTTTTCAATCAGGCAAACTTAATTTTATGCTTTTATTTTTCTTGATGTTTAAACCCTTAAAGGTAATTTTATTTTAAATTTACATCACATTTAAAAATCGCTGATTCATAGGTTGTGCTGTGACTTTGATTTTATTTCAAGTTTTAGTACAATGAAACAAATCAAAAGTGTTTATTTCAATGAATCAAAGAGTTGCTTAATTTAAGATGCACTTTCCTTATTTAGTGTTAACTAACGGCATACCTGATATACTATTACTTAACACTATATCTTTCTTGCACTTTGAACTCCAAAGATATCTACCTGTGTGATTTAGCCTCAACTTGTGCCTTAAATTTGAATTTATTGTTGTAATAATGCAGGGAATTATATTTTTGTGATTACCAATTAAAGCCGTACTATTTAACTACAACTGAGAAGTGTTTGCTTGTTGCTGTAAATACACAGTTTAGAACAGATGAACCAAAGTGATCCTCAAATTACCCGGAAAAACAAAGAGTTACAGTGAAAATCGTACACAGGACAGGACAGGGCAGGGAACAGCACACAAACCACAGTAACCAAACAACAGGCCTGATGTAAGGGGGGCTGGCCTTCTTGGTAAGCAAAGGAAAATGAGTAATTTGAAGTTTGTCCATCACTTCTTCATGTTGAAATCATGTGACTTTTGCTTTTAGATCTCCAAAAAAACATTGACTTTTTGTAATGTTCTATTTTTAAAAGCTTTATCTGGCCTACTTGTTTGTTTTTTTACCCCCTACATCCCATTGACTCATCTGTTCTCATAAACATGTTCACACAGCATACTACTCAGCTCAATAATCTAAATAAACAACAAATGAAAAAAGAGATTAAGTGGTGATCAATCATTGCTTAACTCACCGCAGGCTACTGTCAACACGTAATCATAACAGAACTCTTCACTCAGTCTTATCAGTTGTGCTCTGTTGTCAAACCTGTTTTACTGGGCATCCATAAACTCATCCAAAAAACAGACAATCTGTTAGACCGACCACTAAGGTTACTAATAAATATTTATTTAAAAAGTTCATAGGAATTTAAGGGAATTTTCCAAAATGGCTCAAAAAATGTTTTTGTTGTCTTTATACTTGTATGATCCTTGAAAGCTTTGGGGAAACTCCCTGTAGGTTCTTTTAAAGAAACATTTTCAAGTTTCAAATATATTTAAGAAAAAAAAAGACATATATAACTGCTTAAAAGCTAAAATGTTGGACTTTTATGCGAGGGTTTTAACCTCATGTTGTAGCTCATAGATACCACAATGGATGTATAAAACAAATTTAAAATTATCTTTTTGATCTGAACACGATTCTAATAAAACTTATGACAGACTAAATTCACTTTCAAGATTTTATTTTCTTTTTTTTAAATAAATGTCTAACCCCTTCACCCATGTGCTGAATTGAATTGAATGAATTGATGCCCATCTCCTAAATATTTAGTCATATTATCAATTTATTTTAGTATTTCCAAGCAACAGGGGATGGCCCAACTTACCCTTTGGCTCAACTTACTCCTCTCTCCCCTATTCGTTGGTAGGAGTTACGACGAAACATGAAGTCTCTTCCGCCACTAAAATTTCCGAGCAGCATATGAAGGCAGCACAGGGCTGCTGCCACAGTCAGAAGTTCGCTCCGAAGTTCACGGCTTGGTTTCTAGAGTGTGTCCACCAGGGGGCACAGCCCGAGGGAGGCTCAATCCAAACCCTCCACTCCGCTTCTGTTCGTACCATGAGCTGAATCTGTCCGGGGACAGACCAAGGAAGATGGCGGCCACTGACCATTCCCGGTCCGAAGCTGCTAAACAGCGACGGCAGGATCAGCTGCAGCGATGGCTGGGCTCGGAGACGGATCAGACGGGGACGGAGGCCCGGGAAACTTTGGGCGGCTCTGGCACGCGGCGGGCCAAAGTTCGATTCGCCCAAGGAGCCGTGTTTATGGCCGCCTGCTCAGCCGGAGACCGGGAGGAGGTGGCAGCGCTGCTCCGACAGGGAGCTGACATTAACCACGCCAACATAGACGGACTGACAGCGCTTCATCAGGTAGTAGGATTAACGCAGCAGCTCACTGTTTGCTTTGTAACTGTCTTTATGTGTATGTTAATGAGCTAACGGCGGTTTCACACTCCAACTGTCGCCTGAATAACGGCAACGGCTCCGCGGATACCTCTTAATTATACTCCCAGCGAGGAAGACATAACTTATACTGCTGTTGGAGGTGAAAAAGTACAGTCAAGCATCATTTTATCACACCGTTAGTTGAACAAAAGTCAGCAAAAGTTTTCTCTGAAACCGAACCCGTCATTTTATTAAATAAGGGTTGTTATTTAAGGTCCCAGCAGGAATATTGTGGCCTGGAAATGGAAAGAGTTTTTCAGCCTTTTGGTAGGCTGGGCCATCCGCTTTGTTAAGTTAGTTCAAGGTTTCTTTAACTGGCATTAAATGCAGGGTTATAAAGATAACAGTGAGTAGCACACACCTTAGAGTTTGTTGAGTCGTTTCTAAACAAAAACAGACACTGACAGTCCGGCTTGTGTAGAGAGTCTCAGTGAAATAGTGTGTCAATGAATTCAGGGAGTTTTTCATCATTTTCTCACAGACTAAAGTAAAAGGAAAGCCTATTTGCAAAGTCATAGCTGCCAAACAGGCAGAATCAAAGAGGAGGACCTACCCCCAGGTATTTAATTGCAATTTGATGATGGTTGCTTTGCATGTCCCAAATAGGCTGCACTTCATCTGAGCATGTCCCAGTCTTAATGCAGCTCAGGCCTTCGTCGACCCTCCCTCCTCTTGACTTCAGTCATAACACACAGGAGCGGTCTGGACTACATCACTGTCACACAGGCTCTCGGTGATGCAGTATTTCCTCTGCCTTTATAATACCGCGTGACATAAACACATTGCTGTCTCTGAGCGTATGATCAGCTCTCAGTTCCAGGAGTTTAACTTTGATATCTTGGCTCATTAATCAACATAAGAAGATGATGTGCTTTTGATTTTCCTGCTCACTGGGTCTGTATTTGCTGCCCAGCAGGCCTGAGTGCTCCTCATGATGTCATGCTCTCCAGGAAAGTGATGTTTTCCCTGTTATTTTAAGTTGATTATATGTATTTGATGAAGATGCCTACTCATGACCAGTTCAAAGACGTGGGCATGTTCCTAGTTAGATGCTGGATGCTCTGGCCGTGTCCCCATGTGGGACTGTCACCCACTGTGGTCCCTCTCCTGCCTTCCATCCCTTTCTCTCCTGTTGCTCATCGGCTGCTTGGCAACCAGAATTAAATATAGGCCCACACTCTCTAAACTTTCCATCCTCTTCATCCAAAGCCTTTCTGTCTTCTCTACTCTCCGCTTTCTCTCTCTCTCTGCTTTGTCCTCCTCCTCCTTCTCCTCTTCCTCCTCCTCCTCTCGGCTCTCTCTCCCTCCCTTTGCCAATTCCCCATGCTGGGGACTTCAGGGATTTCGGATGAAGACATGGAAAACATTCCTCAAACAGCACAAGCCCCTGTTGTAAGAGGCGATCTCCACAATGAGTCACTTGATGACCAATGAAGGAGTCTGCTGGTAGAGGCTGCATGTGCACCCTCATAACACGCAGGGTGCGAGAAGTGCCCTCTGTTCATTCATTTGGCTTGGAGCACCCACTTGTTCAGAGGGTCCCCCTTCTGCTGCCTTGGAGGCTGCTTTTGGCTCATAGAGATGTGACTTTACAGCTCTGCTATAAGCCTCGTTTTAGATCTAAAAATGACTTCCACTACAACCAGACTAATCATATTATATTATAAGGGAGGCTGTCGTCCTGTAGAAGCTTTGTGATTAGTTGATTTAACCTAAACGCAAAGCCTCTTACAGGAGGCAGCTTAAGGAAGTCTGATTGACACCGTTGAGCACGACTGCAGATACCTGCTGCTGAGTTACCATGAATAAATGGCACGCTATACAGGAGACGGGGTACATTGTGTCTTAGCTGATGCCATCACATGAGATTTTAGTTAAGAAATCAATCAAAGCAAAGCCTGTGAGGACGGTATCACATGTTTTTAAGAAGAAACGCAATGCTTCTTACACAAAGTTTCATTCTCTTTTTAGTATATGAAAAAATAGTCATTAAATGGTAAAACTTTTACCTGCATAACCGAAGTATGTAAGCTAATCTCTGCTTGCATTTTGATGCTAGCAGAGACCTTTGGCTCAAAGCATGATATGGTTAGCCTCACAGAGCTGTTAGTATGCCTGTTGATGCTTTTATGACTTATTTACTTCCTGTAAAGAAACTTCAGTATGGTTTCGTCTCACACGAGCATCAACAACTGCTTGAACCAGTGAATCGTTAAAGAACAGAAGCTTTCCATACAGCAGAAGTACCTTTATCTTTATCTACGCTTGAGTAAATATCTTTGGATTCTTGGACTGTTGTCAAGATAAATTATAGGAAATGGTTGCAAAAACAAGGTAATCCCATCATTTCAGCTGTTAGAACTTATATTTGACTAGAAAATCATAAATATTTTTTGCTAATATAAGGCAGAGGTTTGTCCATTGTTACTGTAGGAGCCAAAATAAATTTGTTGAAAGTATGATTTCTAATAGGTACGTCACTTCTGGTGGTTGTCATTGAGGGGTGTGGTTTTGGGATGTTTGGAGGGTTATTTAAATCTCACCAGAGTAGTTTTGGTAAGCTTTGGTAATTTTCTGTTGACCGTTTTTCACCGTTTCACTCATCCTGTTTTAACCTCATTTCAGCTTATCACTTTTTAATTTGAAAGTAAAAGCTTTGGAGCTGGATCAACGTGTTTTCTTTTCTTTTTTGAACAATTTTTTAACACTCAAACCGGACTGATAATTTAACGGGTCACAGATGCAAGTGAACCGTAACCCCAGCTGCCTTTTTTTGTTGAAGGAAAGCAGTCGCTACAGTTACTCTTGTTTCTGCATATAATTTCTTTTTCAAATATGTACCTGCTATTTATTGAGGGAAAAAAAGTCTTTATTGTATAAAAATGAGATACCTGTCTCAATCAGGGGGTTATTAAAAGTGTTTTATGCACAAAGATCAAACATAATCATCCTTTTTCAAGAACAACACTTTTTTAAGGGGAATAAAAACTGGCGTAAACATAGCTCCTTCCCTATCTTCAGAAGTCAATATTTGCTGAAATTAAGCAACATATCACCACCTAATACCATGGGGTCCTCATGGGATTCATCCCGGGACTTGTGCTGGCCCACATCAGGATCTTAGCTAGACCTGGCCTCAGGAAACGCAGCTAAATAGATTCGCTGTTTCACTCATTGTGCCAGAGACTGACTTATTTGGAAAGTACTTGAGGGCTTTTAGCAGCCCACTTAACAGAAAGTTATTGCATCTAGCAGACAGAGCAGTCATTGTTTTAGCCTCGGCGCTTCAGTTGAATTTGATAGTTTTCTCAAAATGGCAGCAGTTGTTCGAAAACAAACCAAAACAAAGTGGGTTAAAGATATTGTTTGCCGTAGTGAAAGTAAAAATGTAATAGATGGGTGCTGGCTGGCTTTTATTTGTTAAAGTGCATCTCGAGGGTCCTTCAAATCCACAACAGTAAACACTTGTTCGGTAATCCATCATGTGGCTGTGTGTCCTCTGGCAGGCCTGCATTGATGAAAACGCTGAGATGGTGCAGTTTCTGGTGGAGAGCGGGAGTGACATCAACAGAGGGGACAACGAGGGCTGGACTCCTCTACATGCTGCAGCGTCCTGTGGCTTCATCCAGATCGCTAAGTGAGTGTTGACAGGCACTGCTCTGACACATTACTGTCACTCCATTTATGCTGCCTTTACTAGTGGCTGAAACACTCTCAGCCTACACTGAATTCAGTTTAGACGGGGACGCTGCGCAACATATCGCAACGAAAAGTCATAATAAGGGAATTGATGTATTTATACTCTTACCAGCTTATTTCTGGCTGTTTGTTTACGGGGCTTTTATTTTGGTAGGTACCTGATAGAGCATGGTGCTCATGTCGGGGCGGTGAACAGTGAAGGTGAACTTCCTCTGGACGTGGCCACAGAGGACGCTATGGAGAGACTCCTCAAAGCTGAAATTAAAAAGCAGGGTAAGGATCCACTCAGCTCTGAGATTAAAACCATTCAGGTCCAAATATTGGACATCATCCATTATTCAAGGATTCAAGGAACTTAATTTGTCATACTCCACACCTTTGACAGTCTGTGGTATGAAATCGGTACCCAGGTCCATTTCCAAGCCAAGAATAAAATACAATACAATAAATGAAATGTAATACAATAGATAAAATACAATAACAGAGCAAGTTGTCATCATCATGGTTGGTGTTTGTGTAAAGTTGGACTCAAACCAAACTGATTTTGAATTTCTTGTGCAATGAACATCCTTAGAAAGTTGATGGCAAGATGTATATTTGCAAGTGAGCTTGCAAATTTTGGGCTTCAATGACTGAATCAGGCAATGCTTGGTGGGTAAAGAAAAATTTCTGATTCACTTGATGATGAGTCCATAGATGTATCAGCATGAATAAATCCAACATCCTGTTAAAGTAAAAGCAGTTAGTTCACATCTGTGAAATCTCTCTGGAGGGATTTAATCTGATCTGAGTTCAGTTTAGTCTAGAGTTCAAACTAATGCAAGTGATGCAGTGCAAATATCTCCACTGCTGCTGGTGAGAGCACACCCTTAAAAGTCAAGCTTGCACGACCAAGTTTTAATGACAAATACCGAAATATCACCGCAGTCATTCTGGCTAAATTATTCCCCAAACATTTTGTTCCTTCTTCCTGCACTCCTCATGCAGACACATGCTTCTTTTTATCTCTGCACCTCTCTGTTTCCACTCTCAGCAGGGTCGTATCTAAGCTGCATCCAGCAGCATAACTGTCACCTGAAGGGTTTACATTTTAAGACTATTTTTCAGGCACCGCACATGTAAAAGTAAGATTTATGCCCAATGAAAAGGCACTGAACAAATGTATATATAGCAGTGTTTACATATGTCTGCACACTGAAGAAGCAGCAGAGTGAGCGCTCTTCTGCTTTATGTCTGGAGCTGGCACTGTCAGTGATACTCAAAATTAGGGAATCAAACACTGAACTTGAAAGCAGGCTGGATTATATAGAGATTACTCCAGTAAATGATATGATAGAAGAGCGTTTAATAGCATCAGCAAAATCTGGTTGCTCTTTTGCTGCTGGACTTGATTCAATAATAAGATAAGATGAAACCATTAAAGGAAGTCGCTGTGTCACAGAAACGAGTCAATGACACGAGATTAAAAATTTAAAGGCTGCACACAGATTTTCAAATCAGGATTTACTGCTAACTTTTAAAATAGTGAGAGAATGTGGAATATAATGTAGGTTTCAGGTAAGATTTTTATGAGTGAAATCAGTTTTGTTATCTACAGAGTGAGGCTTCTTGGCGTGTCGCCCTCAGTACTTGTTGCCCTTATTTTTCTGTTTTAAGAAGCAGTCACACTTGAAGTGCTCTGTGCTGACAGAAATAGAGCAAGAACCTCACGTTCTGTGACCTTCATACTTTTGTAGCGCATTGTAGCTCCAGGCTTGTAACACTCTCAAAACCTACTTTTTTACATCGGTAATGAGGCTGAATGAAAATATATAAAAAATCCAACCTAGAGAAAATTATAACGGGGCAGGATTTTCTATTTTCAGATGTCGAAAATCTGATTTGAATTTTCAGTCCCATGCTGTTTGTTCTTTGTTTCAGGAATAGATGTAGACAAGGCCAGGAAAGAGGAGGAGAGGGTCATGCTCCAGGATGCCGAGGCAGTGCTGGCAGGAGGCGGCACTCTCACACCTCACCAAAACACCAAGGCAACCGCTCTACACGTCGCTGCTGCCAAAGGCTACATAGAAGTCCTGAAGTGGGTTGTTAGCTTTTGTCTTATTTGGATAACACACCGAGTCAAAGAGCTTCGATTCATTGCCTCTTTCTCTTCTCTTTGCTGTTCGTCGTCTCCCTCTCTTCTCCCTGACCTTGTTTAGGGTGCTGCTGCAGTGCGGGGTAGATATAGACAGCAGAGACATAGACGGGTGGACGCCTCTGCACGCAGCAGCTCACTGGGGGCAAGAGGAGGTGTGCACCCTGCTCGCTGACAACATGTGCGATATGGGTGCTGTTAACAATGTGGTGAGCACAAACAAACAACCTCCCCTCAGCTCTGATCCCGTCATGGTAAGCCCTGTTTGATGATGCTCTGTGGATGTCCTTGTAGGGCCAAACCCCTTTAGATGTTGCAGATGAGAATCTTGTGGACTCTCTGGAAGAGCTGCAGAAGAAACAGAACGCTGTGAGTCCCTGTCTATCTCGCTCCGTTAGATAAACCTGATTTGATTGATGGCATTACAGCACCGAATGTTCTCTGTGTTTATGGCTGTTTATATTCCTCTTCAGTTACGCAGCGAGAAAGAGAAACAGACTCCTGTTATTGAGACCAGCCCGCCGATCTCCATGGTACCAGTCCGCACACGCAGGTCAGTGCCAGTGTGTTGGTGTGTCGGGCATGGATTTGTGTGTTCTTGGGCACCCGCTATGCTGTTCTTCACTGAACCCCAGTAAACCCAGTACCATTAGTCTGCATGCACATATGATGTTTACTGCTCCAGCATTCCTTGAGCTATATTACCTCTGTCTGCTGACAAGACATGGGTTAGACGTAGCAGTCAGAAATAGTCCGTGTCCTTGATTTATACTGGAACTGCTTTGAGCATGTCGTGTTTGCCCACTGGAGGACTGAAAAAAGAGCTTTACACTCGAAAATGCCAAAAGAAAGACTTAAGTTGTTGCACCTGTTGGTGTCTGAAGGGATATTATGAAGCCCAAAAACAGCAGCTGACATCTAGAAACTGCTGACTCCATCTAACTTTGAATTAGCTGTGAAAGAGGTAGAGTTGAGGCCAAAGTCAATCTGTCGGGGTAACAGCCACAGCAAGCCCACGTGTCAGTCAGATAAACTAGGGGTGTCCCAATAAAGCTTTTTTTACTTCCGATACGATACCGATATTGTGGCCCTCAGTATTGGCCGATCCTGATATTGATCTGGTATTGGCACAAAATTGTGCGTGACAGGTTTCACACTCAGCTGCAACGTCTTTTTGGGACTTCAACGAAAAATACTGCCACACGGGCGACATCACTCCTACTCCTTGCTAATTTGTTAGCACCTTAGTGAACACTGTTGTTGTGATTACGCAGGCTTTGCACTCTGGATCCAGGTACTGTTAGATAGAGGTGCTGGAGCAGAGTCTGGAATGGACTGCTTGTATCAGTGCTGATATCAGAGATTTTAGATGCAGGCCGATATAATCAGATATTCGTTTTTTTGCAACCAATACCCGATATCAATATTGGATTGGGACATCTCTAAAATTAAACCCCCGTGTATGCAAAAAAGAGCTGGACAATATAATGTAAAATTAAAATCTCCGACTTTTTACACAACAGCTGATTTACTCTTGTAATCGATTTGTTTTCCTTCTCGGCAAAATAAGCAAAAATGACTGATTCGCCAAAATGGGGTTAGACTCTGTAGTTTTTTCTTTTTCTTTTACTACTATTGCAGTTGTTCAAGGAGGGACTGTGACGGCCACAGGCCTTGGGGTCTGTGTATACATTTCAGCATTATAGCATAGAGTGACTTCTGGAGCCTTAGCACTTCGTAGATGTTGTGATTTTGGAGTGAAGAACTATGCCGCTGTCTTATGTGTTGGTGTTGATTAGAGTTGAATAAAGGAGAGAAGCAAGTCATTAGACCAAAAAGAAGGGTTACAGTATCCTCAGCAAAATGCAGCATGGCTGTGTCAGTCATAGATTTCCATCATACCTCTCTCTTGTCATACATGAAGCAGCAGGAAAATGATTCTGGGATGTTGTCTGCTGTAAGCAAGTGTTTGTTTTTTTTGGGCTGTAGTGGTCTTGTGCATCCTGTTGTGAGACACATTTCTCTGGCTCAGCTGCATGCCTCTGTGTAAGATGTTGAAATACATTGGTCATACTGCTGCCCTTCACTAAAGCACCCTTAGGCGTCAGACGGTGGTTTATTTGAAGTCTTATGCCACAGAACTGAATTAGTTCCAAACAAACGACGAGACTTTGGCCCTTCGCCGTTTTGGGAACAAACTCTTTTATGAAGCAGGCAGCCATGTTGTTGTTTAGATCTCTGTGGTTGGTGAGCATAGGGGGAGGATGTTAAAGGTTTGGAGCGGCAGATGGGGGTTAGTAGAAGAAGTTACATAGATAGTTAAGATTTTTATTTTTAAATTCTGTGCTAGATCACAAAAACAATTCAATCACAGTGTTTCCCCCAGAATTTTTTTCAGCACGTTGCTGGGTTCGCTGTTAGCGCCACTCCCTTGCAAGGAGCTACGCTGTTACGATCACTTTGCATTGCGTTACCCGCGCTACTTGCTATTTACACCGTGTATAAGCTTGAACGTCACCCTTCACATTAATGAAAGAGGGTTCGACAGGATTTGATGCGTTCATTGATGACTAAAAACAAGTTGAAAATAACATTGCTAGTGGCGCATTGATATGTTGATATTAATATGTATTACGTGAAATTTCAGTAATTTAATGTTGGCACCTCTTATGTCTTTGCTGATCCTAACTTTTATCTGTAAAAGTCGAGTTTTCTGTGGGAAAACCAGTTGCTGTGAGTTAAATCTGAGTTTATCACCTCGTCTGACATCAACTTGGATGGCAGTGGTGCCTGTAAAGATATAGCCCGTTATGACGCCTATGGTCTCATTTGCTTGTTTGGATCTGATTCTGTTCCTTTGACAGCTGGCCTAAAACTCTTTATGGGAGCTTTAATTAAGATGTGGCATTTAAAGAATGAAATAGTACAGTATCAGGTATCTGCTATGATAAATAACAGGATCAGCATCCATCATCGTAAAGTGAATGAAGAAGATTTACTGACGTTCACTACTTGCAAGATTGTCAAATGTAAAAGCTGCAGTGATAAACCATGAAATCAGGTTAAGGCATACAACTGAAAGAGTGTTCTATATGGACTGGACTTGCGTTGTTGTTTATGCAGAGGGTCTGTTGGTATTTCTTCCCGAAGGTCGCAGCTCCACATGTTGGGTAAAGCTGTCGAATAAGTAAGGAAAGTGGAAAATAAGTCATAAAAATCAAAGCGACTCTTAGCGAAATGTTGATTTAGTGCCTCACAACATCACAAAAAGCAACCACCCACATGTCCATTGCTGCATGCTCCCTCTAATTGGCTGCATGTGGAATGACTGCCCTCACTGATCAGCTCCCTGCATGCCACCTGTCCTTCCACCCCACCTTGGCCCCGCCCCTGCAGGACTTCTATCTCTCGTATGAGCAGCAAGGAGAAGATCTGCCTCCACGAGCGTGAGAAGCACCCGCCCCCCGCCCTGCCGAGCAGCCCAGCCGAAGAGGAAGAGGAGGAAGGCCAGACGGGACAGACTCAGAACCAGGGGAAGGCCTCCAGCAGCTCGAGCTCAGAGGAGGAGAGCGAATCAGAGAGTGACGCAGAGTCTGGTGAGAGGAGATGATGCTATCAGGGTTTTTTAAACGATCAGATTGTAAGACTTCCTTTTAGTATGATCTCATGTGATTCACAGAAAAAGCCAAAAACAGAGAAATCATCAACAACTTGAACAACAAACGCAACACAAGCAGCCTGCTTTCTACCTCCATGTCAACAAGTCAAGTGAAAAAGGTAAAAACTCAAGAGAAAAACAAAGAAAGACGCAGTGTTTTAAGAATACCAAGTGGCTGTTTCAGTAATTTTTGTATTTTGTATTTTTTTGACTCTGTGGCAGGATCAGAGTAAGCCCCCGGCCACTGAGGCCCCTGCTCCTGGCTCTTGGAGAACATCCCTCAGGAAAGCAGGCAGCTCAGTGACTCTAGGCTCAGCTGGCCTGCAGGACCCCACTAGACCTGCAGAAAGCGCCCTGGGCATGACCCGCTCTGCCTCCAGCCCCCGCCTCAGTTCTGAGGCCGACACCAAGGTCTGCATCTCAGGCGCTCAAATGACTCCAAGATTCATGCACGCTTCAAAACAGTGACTAATTTACAAATGTAACGTGACGGGCCAGAAAAAGCCCGCTTTTAAAACCTCACATGAAATAAAACTCTCGTGTCCTCAGGAGCCCAGACTCGCTCGGGTGCCACCCATCCCAACACGGAGACTCTTCAGTATACCAGACAGCAGCCCTGACAACTCCAACAGGTGGGGCTGTGCTCCAGTGCGCTCCCTTGCTTGTGAAACTAGAATCTTGTTTTTCTGAGTCACCGCATATGTGTCCTTGTCACCCTGTCCTTCTCTCTCAGCTGGCTGAGCCGTAGCTCCTCTTACACCCGGCGCCTCCATAGTCAATCAGGGAATGATCTCACTAGTTCCACCCCCTCTTTGCTTCACAGGTCAGTCCTGCTGCCCAGTGCACGTCCTGCACTTGTTTGCTCTCCTAGCTTGTGTGGGATTGTTGTTGCTGTGTCACCCCCTACTCCCCCCAGCAATGTTTGTGTTTGTGACTGTGGAAGATGCTTTTGTGTTTCCAATGGGATTTTTCTCACCAGCTCATCTTATGGAAAGAGACTGGATGACCCTACTGTAACCTCAGCTAGCACAGGGACGAGCTCTGCCATACCCAGCCGCCTTAACAGTGTCATAGGCCAGAGGTATGACACTCTTATCTCCTGACCTCCAGTTTCCACCGCATCTGGAATGGCGACAAAAAGGCCGTATCCGCCAATCGCAGCTGATCATAACCATTCAACTTAATGTTTCAATTTCCATCGGCTCCTTCCGTTCTGCTGCGGATCGCCGGACTCTGCAGAGCAAGCGCTCTATTTTTTCTGGACGCCAGAGCATGCCGGATAAATTCAACACAGAGTAGTCTTTGCTGGAAAGGAAGTCGGGCACATACACAAAATAAAACATCCGGCTTCTCTCCAAAATAAAACTCTCCGTGTTTCAGGCGGATCATATTTCACACCATGCAAACGGGCCGTGAAAGGTTTTTAGACAGCATTTCACCCCAATGACACCATGAATGAGGAGATGCTGGTTTTAGAAGTCTAGAGGTGGATTTCCTCCTCTGGAAGGACACAATGTACTGCTTATATGGTCATGTGGCTGTCTTTATAGAGACGACTCGTTATGTGGCGGTTGCACGTGAATTCACAGGTTCTTGAGAGTTCTCGCAATCTCCACTGTCCGTAATACACTTCGAAATCCGCCTCACAAACGGATCCGGTAGGAATTGGCGGACAGTAAAAATCGCCTCTGCTCCAAATGTGGTGGAAATTGGGAGGTTATACTAACAGTACATGTCCTCAGTTATCTCAGTGATCTGAAATCTATCTTTGCATCCCTCCTTTAGGCTCCCTCAGGAACAAGCGGACAAGAAGAATCAGTCTGCCGTCACCGCCTCCATCACACAGAGCTCAACAACAGGCGATCAAGAGACCAAGCAGAGGCGCAAGTGAGGCTTTTCTCTGAGTGCGCCCATGGCCAACTGTTTGACGTCTAAAAATGATGGTCCTCACTTTGTGTCTGACTTGTGCAGGTCATATTTGACGCCAGTGCGGGATGAGGAAGCGGAGGCACAAAGGAAGGCTCGCTCACGACATGCACGACAGTCCCGCCGCTCCACTCAGGTACGAACATCATCTGAAGTTCAAGAACTGTGGAAGCTCCATGTATGAGTGTGGCTGATGAGACTGTGTTGTGTTTCTGCTCTGTGAAGGGGGTGACGCTAACAGACCTGCAGGAGGCCGAGAAAACAATGAAGACGGACAACAAAGGAAAAGACAAAAAGGAGGAAGAGGAGAAGGAGAAAGAGAAGGAGAAGGAAGCAAAATCGAAGAAAGGAGAGGAAGGGGTGAGAGCTGTATTTCAGAATTATGGGCATGCTCTTACATAATGTCACGTGACGTCACAGTGTGGGGGTTACTCCGTTCACAGGAAGTGAGCTGGAGGAGTCGTATCGCCAGTCTGCAGAAGTCGGACCTGTTGGGCCTCACGCAGCCCACTGGCACCGCACGGCCTCAGATGTCTGACAGGAAAGGTACAAACCACCACTTCCTCTTTTTTTTTATTGACAAAACAAAGAACTGTACAGTTGGGAAACATTTGATTTGCTTTCAAACAAATACTGCTGTCTGGCTTCATTCCAGATGTTGAAGCAAGCACCGGAGAGAGTGAGACCGAGCGGTGGGCGAGGGAACGCAGGGAGGGGAGGCAAGCTCGGGCCAGAAGAAAGGCTGCGAGGACTGGGGAGGTAGATGACTGCGCATGTTGAATGATGAACCAGAAAGCTGATCGGCTGTGTGTTACAGTGTGTTCTGCTGTATGTGTCACCCGCAGAGTGATGACAATGATCCCAGTGGAGAGGAAGAGTTCTCAGGCGGTGTTCTGGATCAACAGGTGTGTTTTCCTCCTTTTGTTTTGTTCTCACCTCTGCAGACTGTTACTGTAGGCACCGGACTACACTTATTTCTTTGTCTTGTTTACAGACAGACCGTCACCCGAGTTCCAGGTATGTTTCAGAATTGAACTCTTTGACTCCTTATTACAGAGGCCCAGTCTTTTAGATAACTGTATCGCTGACTTCTGACCTTTGCTCAACCTCTCAGATTGGACGTATCCTGTAATGATTATACTCTGGGAGGGAGCTCTGATACCAAGGATTATAAGAAGGTAACATAGATTTGGTGGCTACTGGGTTTAAAGTCCCACTCCGATTGTTGTTTTTTTCACTACTTAAAGTGTTCTCAGTGGTCTTTCAAGTGTGACGATGAAGCTTTTACCAAAAATCGCATTACCGGTGTCATTTTTAAGCGCTTTTCTTCTACAGAGTTCCAGTAGATCATTAATTATCATTAAGTAGATCATTAAGTAGCAATTCGCCTCAGTCGTGGGCAGAGACAGCGCTGCTCTTCACACTCGTCTTCACGTTGGCTTGCAGACTAACATTGCCGGTGTTGTAGAAGTGGCAGGTAACATAGGAGCTATTCGGCTCTCGGACACAAATGTCTTTAGGGACACGATGAAAGTTAATTTCATAACCAGCTGCAATTCGCTAACACACACGCTTGTTCCGCGATCATCCTCTGTATTTCTCCTCTGTATGCAGAGTCTGGCCAGTATAGCGGGGCTCCGGGGGCGGAGCTTGGTTTGGTTACATATGAAATCTCACTGTTTCTGAACCTGCTGTTTGGGTCTGCCAGAGATTCACAGCGATTTGAATGAAGAAATACTCAGAAAAGCAATTTCACATTTAGTTTTCTCACGATATGTCCTGCAGCATCAGAAAAATACCATATGAACATATAAAAAAAAATAAAAACACGATTTTCATCGGAGTGGGTCTTTAAAACAAGTATTCTAGTGTGTTTTTTTATCCTTAACTTCTGTTTATACGTTTGTGTGTGTCAGTTATTTGAAGAGGTATCCAGAGAAAACAGTCAGCTCCAGTCTCAGCTGCAGGACACCCAGAGGATTGTTAGCCAGACCAGGGTGGACCTGGAGAAGGCCACACAGGTGACCACACACACACACACTCAGAATGGAACACAAAGCTTTCTCTCCATCTCTGCTCGGGAAATGTGATCTTGAACTTGTTTTCAAAATAGGACCAACATTTTCTCTCAGAGGGTTACGCTTAGTTGACTTGTAGAAATGCATGATAATATGTTTTCAGCGTTATTGCGCAGACTATTGAGAATTATCGGTCCTTACTGCACGAGTAATATCATACAAGTGTTAAAAGTAGGTGACAAATAATCAGTTAATATCTTTTTTTATTCTTAGTTTAATTGTGCAGTTTTTTTGTGTGTGTTTGTGATCATATTGACGAGCTGCCGTCGTCCAGGTGCTGATGATCTTCATTTTTGTTGTATCTTACAGCGACAGGAGCGCTTCAGTGACTGTTCAGCTTTGTTAGAGCTGGAGAGAAAGGTAAGGAGTCCCTGCTGATGGTGCTTCCTGTTGTTCTCGTTTTTTTTGGCTTCAACTGCCTCACCTTCTGCCACCCCTGCTATTTGTTGATCCTCTCTCTTCTCTTCTCCCCACTCGGACCACTCTTTCACATGTATTCACTCGACCTTTGTGGCCCTCCTTCTCCACATCACCTTCTCCCTCCCAAACCCCCCCCCCCTTCCTCTCTCTTTCCTGCTCCACCACACGCTTCCCTGGCATCAGGACCGGAGGATGTTGGAGCGGCGGATGGCGGAGCTTGAGGAGGAGCTTAAGGTGAGGAGACATTAAAAAGGGGTCTTAACCACAGCCGCAGACACTCTGCATGTCTTTGCTTGTTACGCACGGCTAAAGCTTGTGCAGGCCAGTGGTGGCGTGGAGGCGTGTTTCATGAGTGTGTAAGAACAGCAAAATATTTTCAGGAGGTTTGAGTTCTTGTTTTTTTTTCTCTGACATATGCAGATTATTTTTTCCCTCATCGAAGGTGGTTTCTCTTTTTTAATGTAGCGTAACTCAATCATGAGAAAAATGTCATGTCTTTTCTCCGAAGGTGCTTTATTACATCTTTGAAAATCCCAAAAATGTAATAAAGCGTGCCTTTCTATGTCAAGGTTTTGATCTTGCATTCTGTTGTAAATACTATAGAGATGTATATGTTGTAAATACCAGATCCTTCCTCTTTCTTAGGTGAGCAAAATGCTGCTGATGACAAGAAAACAGAAGTTATTCAGATCATTTAGCTCAGCAAGAACTGACCTTTTCTGCACCCAAACAGCTCTTAAAAGCTGTTTTTTAGAGCTGAGTCCTTCATGACTGATACATAATCCCTACTTCAGCGTAGAGACTGTCTGCAGTCACAAAGCTGTTTTCCTGCGGTGAAGTTAAGTGGGTTAATACAAAAATAATAATGTTGGAGAAAACCTAAACAGAGGTAAAAGGTTTAAAGATGTTCTTTCATCAGTTTATCACTAAATGATGAGAGCATTAATGTTTCACTAAAAAGATGATTGTGATGTTCTTCTGAGGTTTTAAAGCACCATTTGTCAATATTGATATGCCACAGTTGAAAACTTCAGTCACAGTTACCTTGTATTATGTATGTCTTGGACTAACAGCAACATTTTTATCAAACAGATGATGTTTTTTCGGGCAAAGCTGCATCTTTGCTGCTGTTTTAATCTCTTCATTTAAAGGGATATTCCGGGGTAAAATTAAGTTAAGGTCAAACATACCTTAACACCGAGTTAGACACCCCCTCGAGAGATGAATGTTGCCGACTGCTTGATTCTCTAGTTATACCAACTTTAGTAACGACCGCAAGATAGCAATACACAGCGGTCTGAGGTGTTATAAACAAACATCAATCAAAATGCCATTCTACAGCCACAAATAATATTAAGAACAGCACCTAACTTTATCAGCGGGGTGGCGCAGCTCAAGGAAGAACATTTATGATTATTTCTTTATCATTACCTTGAAGTGATAATCACCATATTAATCATTTTGCACTGCAGACGCGGTAGTTCTTCTGCCTTATTGTCTCTGTCTGATTGCATTTCCATAAAGAAATGATCATAAATGTTCTTCCTTGAGCTGCGTCACCCCGCTGTAGTCCGTAATGGACTGTCCCAAGGTCTTGCTACAAACAAGTGGCTGCTGGAAGAGAGTAGGTGAGTTGTGTTTAGTCTCTTTGCTAAAGAAAGTAGGCAAAGTTAAAAAGATGTTTGGTGGCTAGTGCTATAGCTGGGACCCTGTATGTACTGTTGATGAAGTTAGGTGCTGTTCTGAGCATTATTTGTTGCTATAGAGTGGCTTTTTGGTTGAGGTTTGTTTATGACTCCTCAGATTGCTGTGTATTGCTATCATGCGGTCGTTATTAAAGTTGGTATAACTAGAGAAGCAAGCAGTCGGCAACACTGATCTCTTGAGGGGGTGTCTAACTCGGTGTTATGTGTTTGACCCTAAACTATTTTACGCCGGAATATCCCTTTTAAAGGTGTAAAAACCAGCAATGACACCCTCTAAATGATATTTGTTTTAATCTGAGCTCACTTTTACTTTCAGGTTCTGGTCGACCTAAGAGCAGATAACCAGCGTCTTAAAGATGAAAATGGAGCACTGATCCGTGTCATCAGTAAACTCTCCAAGTAGATGGAGAGAGCGAGACACACCAAAAGCAGGGAATCCCCCCCTCCCTCAATACATCCATCCAACCAACCATCCCTCCATCCTTCCACACATTCTTCTGAGTGCCAAAGAAGGGGAGAGAAGCAGCAGACTGCCCCACACGTACATTAGCACCACAGCTTGACTTGGATTGTGACATCTCTCTGTGAACAGCTGGGGAGGCTTTTGTGTGCCTTAATGCCCAATTTGTCACAGGAAGACCTTTTTGCAGGAAGACGTCTGTGGCGTTTGGTCAGGGGCTCCAACAGCAGCAACATGAGATTCAACAACACTCAGCCTGACCGTGGCTGGTGCAGCACCCAATACATCATCTATGAACTAAAACTGTGCATAAGGGGGACAAATAAAAACCACGCACACACACATTCCCATGCGTGCATCACACACTTCCTCGATGCACATTCCACGAGCACACAAGGCACCCTGGGCCTTAAAGCTCCCACTTTATATCGTATTTATTTTATTTGAACACATCCACGTCACACGATTCACAAATTTAACCCCACGCACAGTTCAAATCCTGATTGTCAAGCATGTTCTGGTAAAGATCTTCAGTAAAGGCTCAGTCTTTACACTCGACAACGTCCAGACGACAGGAGGAAGTCCATGAAGCTGTTGGGTTGTTTTGTTTCCACTTGCAAGTGTTTGAACCCACCTACCTCTCCACCTTTGCACCTCCCCTCATACATTTATATTTTTGTGACAACAGACACACTCCATGCTCTTAAAAAAAAAAAAAAGTGACCGCAGAACCAGGTCAGTCGACCACAGCACTTTACTCTTTTCAAAGCAATAAAAAGACCTGTGAGGCTTTGTCCATCCTCCAGGAAAACTAACTTACTCCTCACTCAGTCAGAGGAGGGAGAAGTCACCCATAGCTAAAGGTCTTGCAGAGTTCTAGAAATTGCTGTTCCATGGAAGCCTATAATGCTATGAATGGTTTTAATTATTACCGTTGATTGAGATATTTTCATGGTTTGTCAATGTCGATTCCTCTCTTTCAAGGGAGCACAGTAATGTATATTATATTTGTATAAATATTAGTCTTGAATAATACCCTTTTTGAAGTTCAATTCCACGTAGCCTTTCTTCACATGTTGGTTTTCTAATATATTGAATGGATGTCTGCACCCTAATAAAAAGAAGTGTGTTTGTAGTGAGTGCCTGGTTATTGTGCGGTGACTCTGACTAAATCTTAAAAAAATATAACTCTTTGACAAGCTGTATACTAACATCTTACCCATCCTCTGCACTCAATCTTACCTCCTGGCTTCTTCATAATGTGCACTTTCGTTGTTTGCGTGTGCGTGCTTGCTTTTTGCTGCTTGAGCCACTCTAAATTTGTGTCATCCCTTTCTGGTAGCCAGATGTCCTACATCACTGTGGGGGGAAAAAATCCGAACAGCTGCAACATTACTACACTCGCACACAGTGAGTGTAATGGAGGAAACAAAGCGATGCAGATGTATTTCCAGTATGTTTGGACTGTTAGATTAATCTGCTGCTGTTCCCAGGTGGACCATACATCATGAGTGTCTGTACTGACAAGCTACAAGTGTCACTGCCTCTACTTCAGTCGATGTCTGGTTGAACCTGTGAGAGCCCTGTTGTCATCTGTGCACAAAAGTGTAGTTAACAGAAGACATCCATCTGTTTGTCTCATCTGAGAGCAGAGTGATAGTCCACTGTTGTAGAGAGGAGAAGAACTGACAACAGGCTGAGCTCCTAATAAGGAAGGGCAGGCTGGCTGAGGCTCTCTCTCTCTGTAAATATCCCTCAGGTCTGAGAAAGACAGGGGAAGGGAGCTGGGGAGGAAGAGGGAAGCGGATGGATTGCAGCCTTATATGGACAAAGCACTGCTTTTCCCAGGGTTTGCGGCTCTGACCCCCGGCATGATGCCAGATCATATACAAACAGCTCCACAGTGCCACCAAGTGATGCAAAACTGTCATTACTGAAGCTGTGGCTGCAAGTATATCCTGCCAGATGGTTTTCTTTTTTTCTCTCAGCAGAGTGAGTTCAGGTAACAGAGGGGGGTGACTTCTGGAAGCTGGAATGGAGCTTGAGGACCCTGCGGTAGACCTCCTTTTGTGTGCTGCTCATTTTAACCCGAGTCAAGCCGGAGGTTAAAAACTAGGGTTAACATCTGCCATTACTTAAAATTAAAGGGATATTCCGGCATAAGATTAAGTTAGGGTCAAACACACCGTAACACTGAGTCAGACACCCCATCGAGAGATGAATGTTGCCAACTGCTTTCTTCTCTAGTTATACCAACTTTAGTAACGACTGCAGATAGCAATACAGAGAGCCACGCGCTCATCCAAAAAGCCACTCTATAGCCACAAATAATGCTCAGAACAGCACCTAACTTCATCAACAGTACATATACGGTCTTAGCCACCAAACATCTTGTTAACTTTGCCTAATTTCTTTGGCAAAGAGACTAAACACAACTCACCCACTCTCTTCCAGCAGTCACTTGTTTGTAGTGAGACCTCGGGCTACTCAGTTACAGACTAGTGGGGTGACGCAGCTCAAGGAAGAACATTTATGATCATTTTTTTTTATCATTTTCTTTAAGTAATAATCACCATATTAATCATTTTGCACTGCAGATGCTTTAGTTCTTCCGCCTTAGCGTCTTGAAGAAATGATCATAAATGTTTTTCCTTGAGCTGTGAAACTCCATGGCAGTCAATGCGGTTGTTGGAAAGGAGACGGTGAGTTGTGTTTAGTCTCTTTGCTAAAGAAATTAGGCAAAGTTAAAAAGACGTTTGGTGGCTAGTACTGTGGCTGGGACCCTATATGTCCTGTTGATGAAGTTAGGTGGTGTTCTGAGCATTATTTGGGGCTATAGAGTGGCTTTTTGGTTGAGAGCGCGACTCTCTGTATTGCTATCGTGTGGTCGTTACTAAAGTAGGTATAACTAGAGAAGCAAGCGGTCGGCAACATTCATCTCTCGAGGGGGTGTCTAACTTGATGTTACGGTGTGTTTGACCCTAACTTAATTTTACACCGAAATATCCCTTTAAGAAATAATAAATATGAATAATTATTTTGTTTACACTTTTTTTTTTTTTATCAGAAAGTCATTCCCAAGGCTCAGTCTACAAACCTAAAAGGTTTGACTCTTGTTGTTGGTAATGAGTCAATTAACAGTAACAAGGTAAAAGGACAGTTAAGCACAGAGTGTTGTGATGCTTCTTCAAGAGGATGGGGTGTGAACATAAGCAGTCTCAAAGCTCCTTAAACAATATGACGAGTGCTCTAAAATGTAACCTCCATGTTCAGTTTTGTTGAGTTCTTGTCTTAATCTGGTTTAAAACACAAATGCCGCAGTCAAGAAGTCAAAAGTGTTGATTTTCTTCAACGCTTTTTCTGAATCTGACTGAAAACTAAATGTGGTGAAGCAAAGGACAACTCCTGACTTCTCAGAAGAAAACTTTTGGAGCAAAGAAAATTATAGTGAACCGGGCTTAATTATGAGGCTAAGGATTGTTGCCCACAATGAAACTACAGTGTTTTGGAAAATGAACTCCTTAAAGCTCATCTTGTGCTGCAAACATCATATTTTAACTGTAGTCATTTCCCTTGTGATGACATGCTCAGGGGTCGCAAGCTCCAGTGCTATTTTACCATTATATTTTGCGCTGTTTTAAAATCAATCAAAACTTTAAAAGATTATAGAACCGTTTATAGAACATTTAAATGTGAAGTATTGTGAAGAAAGTAGAGTTTCTTGTGTCACAAAAGCAGATCTTGGTACTTTACCCAATCCCAGACTATTTTGTAGTAGCTACATTAGAAAGTGATCCCTCTTCACTGTTTCAAGAGGAGGTGAAGTGCTAGTTTGAGCCGTTGTCTAACATTAGCTGACAGACGTAAATTATAAAATTACAGTCTTGTCGGTGGTGGTCTTGTTTGCTTTTATAGTTCATTCATCACTTTTTGTCTGTTTCATAACCATCTAAAGACTCTAACAGTGATCTCAACCACACTACAATGGCCAAACCTCTTGTCTAAACTGGTGTGCTTACATCTGTTTACATGTACAAGATAGACCTTTCCTTCTCCCTGAATGGCCCTTTCATTGGGCTTGTGGTGAAAAATAAACTGTTTTTCAAAACCTTTCCTCAAAGTTTAACATTCAGTGGAGGACAGCAAGTGTGTCTTTGGCTTTCAGGTTGTCTGTTAGTTTGAAAATTATTTATCAAACCGATCATAAGGTGTGCAGCGAGAAGGAATCACCTCTAGACCTCTTGAAATAATACATGGCATGCCTCAGGGCTCTGTTTTGGTACCTCTGTTGTTTACAATTTATATCAATAGTATTGGTCAAAATGTCCCTGATGCAAATTTTCCCTTGTATGCAGACAGTACTCTTATTTATTGTTCTACCCAAGATACTTTTTATAAGTTGAAATTCATCTTAAATCAATACAAAACTCATGACGTTTACAAATGCAAAGATAAAGCTGCTAAACCTGTCATCTATATTACTGTGTCACTTGCTGTGTGATTAAGTCTGTATCTTTTTAAGAATACCAAAGATTGTAAATAAGTTATTCTCTGTTGTATTTTAACATCATAAACAGGAACTTGTAAAGGAGCTGGAGCTGCTGCTGGGCTTCAAGTTCAGGAATAAATTATGTTTTTCTTTTGCTGCAAAGAAAAGCCTTACAGCCATATATATGCACCTGACTGACTATGGGGATGTTTTGTGCATCAAATGAAAGCCCTCCCTCCCTGGATACTGTAATGTAATGTAATTCTCCTCATTAAATCCATGCCATGTTTTCCAGCAGACCTCAGATCAGATCCAGGTTTTCTGTACAGCTCTTACAGCTGCATGCCTCTTCCTACAACAGTAAAGCGGGATACAACTAAACTTGGATCCACTTAGACAACAATATTTTACTCTGTTGCTTCCCTCCAGACATGGACTGTAAAAGAAACTCTAGCACAAAGACTGGTTCCTGAGGAGGTTAGAGGTTTTCTCACTTTTTTTCTCCACGTCTCTTTCTTCTCAGGATTCCTCTTTGTTGCTGCAGAAACAGATGCTTCTTCCTGTTCAGCTGAGAGTGAATCACTCTCACTGTAGTTTTGTGTGTAAAGGACTTCTGTTTGATGTTTCTGCAGACTGTTGACTTTACAGACTCTTGCTGATGCTCAGGAAGGACTCTGTTTGATCAGAACGATTGCAGATTTTATTTCAGGTAATTATCATTTTATCTCAGATTTGCTCCAATAGTGTGTCAAGATAAATGTAATCTTCTTCAGTTTCTTTTTTGGTTCACTTTTGTGTTCACTATTTTGTATGAAGTTGTCCCAGGATTACATTTGGACCGGTCTTGTGACACTTAAGTGTCAAAGTACACAATCCAGAAATAGCCTTTACTACCACTGTGGTGTGAGTAGTGTGTGTAGTTCCACTGTATAATTTCAGAAATCACATGATGACTTTTACCCAGAAATGGAGATAAGTTTATATGTAGCTGTTATAATCCAATAGAACAAGTTTAGTGGTACAAACTGAGATCAAAAAATATTATACTTTTGAAGAGCTTGGACCATGATTGCATTTTGTCTACAGGACTTCTTGACTGAACTGAAGCCAACTCACCATGTCCTGTGAATCAGACCCTTACATCTTCTCCACGGATGCCTTACCCAGCGACCTGCGCTTCCTCCCCCCTCTGGCCAACGGTCTGCTGGGATGGAGGGTGTACAACAATATCATGCACATGGGTGGCGTGTATAACGGCGAGGGTGGACGCTGTCATCGTGCGGATGTTCCCTGCCCTCTAGCTGTGAGGGTTGAGGTAGAGGAACCGGTCCAGCACATGTACAGCATGGACACCCACACAGGTAATCTCTCCAGTGTTTGACTGTCCGGGTGTCAGGACTTCTGTTGGAGGTGGTCCCGTTTCTTGCTGCTAAGTTCTTCATCTTCACATTCAGGTGTTTTTACCCACACACTGAGCTCAGCGAGTGTGGCTGTGTCGCAGTCCTTGTATTCACATCGTTACTACTCCAACCTGATGGTGATGGAGGTTCTGATGGTGCGTCAGGTGGCATCAGAAGAACCAATCACTGTGCAGCTGGTCAGTTCCTTCTCTCCACAGAGCAAAGACATTGTATTTGAGTCTGGACCTGATTACAAAGGTGGAAGGTAAGATCCACAAAAATCAAGTGTACAGTTCACACTGTTTGACACTGACTGCCTTTATGGCTTTCACCCTCAGCCACATCCAAGGAAAGACGAACAGCGCCGAGTACCCAGGAGGTTTCTGTCCTGAGGTGCACCTTATCTGGACACCCATACCTACCTCTCTGACACTTCTTCCAGAGCAGAGCCAGGCTCGCTGGGGCTTCATCCTGATCGTGGCCAACAGTTTAAATACTGCAGAGATGAATTTCGATGAGGGCCTGAATCTGATGGCGACTGGTAACCTGCGCCCAGCTCATGAAAAAGCCTGGAAGGAGCTGTGGCTGCAGAGCAAGGTGGAGGTGGTGGGGTCAGAGAGCCTCTGCAAGGCTCTGATTGGCTGCTTGTTCTACCTCCTCAGTGCTTTCCCCTCCATACATGACACTTCCGGGTCTTTTGGTGGGGTCAGTCCAGGCGGGTTGTCTAATGGTGGGGACGGTCAGGACTACTGGGGCCACGTTTTCTGGGACCAGGTACGGCTAGCAGCAGCGGATGATTGGCTTGGTTGTATGATGTGTCACACAACAATTCTGCTGTCTTGTTGTAGGACATTTGGATGTATCCTGGCATAGCTCTTTTCTATCCAAAGCTAGCCCGATCTGTGCTGGAGTACAGGGTAGGAACTATCGATGGTGCTAAAGACAACGCCCAAAAGCAAGGCCACAAGGTATGATTATCATTAGAAAACTCTGTGTCACCATTGCAGCTCATCATTCGAGTATGTGCACACCTCTGCAATGAGACAAACACATTTCTAATGAAGGCAAAAGAGCTGGTCTCCAGGTTTTTTTTTTCCTTATTTGCATGTAGTGCTTTGAGTAAAAATCTAAAGCATGGAAAACCGGACAGCCTAGCTCCATTCAGAGTTTTACAAAATATGCCCGCCAGTGTACAACCAGAATACAAAGAATTTGTGGCTTCTGGTTTTGGTTCACATACTATAAACCAAAAGGCTGCATCACAGGCTGAGACTTGTGGAACTATTTGTTTCCGTGTTTAGATCAAACATCTTAGATATACGGGAAGATCTTTAAAGATTGATATGTTACCTTTGGGTTAAGCTTGACTGGCTGTTTCCCACAGCTGTAAATCTTTTATGCTCAACTTTGACTTCTTGCTTTATCCTCCGACATGAGAGAGGGGTTATTTTTTATTAAAATCCTCACAAGTACAACGAAGTAAATGGCAACTATATGACAAAACCAAAGTGTGCCATAAACTTTAAGAACATAACTTATATAGAACATATCTAAAAGTTCGCTTGGTTACCTCTGATCTGATCTTAAAAAAAGTACTTCAAAACCTGGGAAAAAATCACAGAAAAGCTTACTTTACTACTAAGAGACATGAACATCACAGCACAAAAACAGCCATTTTTATCTGTGGGCTTATCTTATGACATTTGACTGGGAGGAAGTGTTTAACAATGAAAACGCAAAATTCAACTGAACCCAACAGTTTGGCGTAGATGTTTTTGTTGTTTATTCTTCTATTAGAGTCCCTGTTTTGCATTGAACAAAAATGATTGTTTGAGTTGTTTGACTCTAAAAGAGAAATTTGATCTGTACAGGGGCTGAAGTTCCCGTGGGAGAGTGCTGTTTCAGGCAGAGAGGTGTGTCCAGAGGACATCTACGGACAACAAGAGATTCACATAAACGGAGACGTCACCCTGGCCTTCCAACACTATCTCTACCTCTCCGAGGTGCACTGTTTAATGTCCACTCACCAGTACTGTGCGCTGTTTCACTCCAGGTAATGATACTGACTGAAGTCTTTGTTACAGGATCTGTCCATGTTCACTGAGGGCAGGGGCAGTGAGGTGGTTTATGGTGTGGCTGATTACTGGGTTTCTAGAGCAACACTCAACCCTGAGGACCAGAAGTACCACCTTCTCGGTAAAAACATGATTATAAAGACAACAAATCTATGATATTTATTCAGCTTTACACCAGAGGAGATCTCTGGAAGAACTCTTACAATAAAACTCAATTGAAGCTCAACTTCACTCTTTAAAGTTTCTTGTTTTTCTTTTCTTAAATATTTTAGGACTTTTTTTAGATATTTTAAATTTGATATTAAAACACACTTCTCATTGTCCCATGTAGGAGTTATGCCCCCTGATGAATACTACTACAATGTCAACAACTCAGTGTACACAAACACAGCGGCCAAAATCAGGTAACAGGGATGTGACTTTACTTTGCAGTGCAGATGAATATGAATACTGCTGCCAAATACAGTTTCTCATCTTTCAGTTTACAGTTTGCTGTCGAGCTGGCGGCCCTTCTTCATCATCCTGCACCAAAGGAGTGGCAAGAAGTGGCAGAAAACCTTGTAATACCTTTTGACCAAGAAAAACAGTACCACCCCGAGTTTGACGGCTACACTAAAGGTGAATTTTTGAAATGGGCCTATATAAGAGGAATTCTAGAGTTTAGAGCTCTGTGTGAGGGTGTATTTGGGCCTCTTTCAGGTAATCCAGTTAAACAGGCAGATGCAGTAATGTTGGGCTATCCTCTGGGATTGCCAGTAACCCCGGAGATCAGGAGAAATGACCTGGAAGCGTATGAGCCGGTAACAGATCCTCATGGTCCAGCCATGACGTGGGTAAGATATGGCATGTTGATACATCTGTTTGAGATTTTTGGGAGGATTTGGAGTCTATTTTGAAAAACTACAGGATACTGGAAAATTAGGGGTAGGGGTTTAAATGAAGGGAGGGATTGTGCTTTACAGTACTTAAATTTTACATGAGCATTTACTGCAAAGTGTACCCAATTTTTTACGTTTTACAAAGATGTAAGTTTCAAAACTCGTCTTAGGTTGTAATGAGAGTTAAGTTTCTCCTTTATGAGTTGGTTGCTTGTAGTGTAAAAATGTTTTGCAGTGTTTCTGTTCACTATAAAATCCTGTTATTTGTGTCCTTGTATTTATGCACCAATATGTTTAATTCCATTTGAAGGGTATGTATGCTATTGGCTGGCTGGAGCTGGGGGAGGCAGAAAAGGCACATGGCTTACTTGGGAAGTGCTACAGCAACATTCAGGGTCCATTTCAGGTATCCATCAGGCTCACATATGCTGACACCAGACTTGTTTATGCATTCTAGTACCTAGAGAGCATCTTATTTAATCTCTCCTCTGTAGGTGTGGAGTGAGTCATCTGATGGATCTGGAGCTGTCAACTTTCTCACGGGTATGGGAGGATTCCTGCAAGCTGTGCTGTTTGGTTACACCGGCTTCAGGTTAGAAGGAGGGAGGACTGCACCACTGAAAATGAATACAGCATGTTCGCAGTAACACAAAGTTTGAGCTGAAAATCTGTTTTTACTAGGGTTCAAAGGGAATGCTTGGCATTTTCCCCGCTTCTTCCCAAGGACATCTCTGAGCTCTGTGTCCGTGGTGTGAACTACCTGGGCAGCCAGATGGACTGGCTAATAAGAAAAGATGAAATTTGTGTCATTCTGAGGGAACAGGATAGCAACTCCAACACCAAGTTGTACGATCTACAGGTGGTCCTGAGGGCATCAGGAACGAAAATTCCTCTCAACCCAGGTATTATACAGTCCAAAATAGTCACAAATCAAAAAGTTCCACACAGGAGGAGCTTTAAGTTGTTTAACTTGTTGTTTTAGACATTGTCAAATATGCTTGTTCTTCAGGTCAGCCAACAACTTTTCCTCGAGAGCCTGGATGTGTTTGTAAAGCAATGTCAACATCCTCCTGTTGGCCTTTCTGAAACCTCATCTGTGAGCTTCCTAATCATCTCATGAAGCCAGACTGGAAGATGTGACACCAATTTATTGAGGGGTCTGGCTGCAGACCTCCACTGTGAGGACCTGCTCCACTGAGAGGACCCGAGGTGACATCTTTTCTCACGCGCTCTAGTTCGTTTGAAGTGGTCATGCCAAAGTGTATTTTCTCTCTGTTGAACATGTGAAAACACAAAAAATCATATATACACATAAAATAAAGCCTCAATAAATAATATATATTCACACAAGACAAAAAATACATACTTCCTAGTCTTATCACTTTTAATTTGGAAGGCTGCGAATCAACTTCTGATGCAAAAAAGACATACTCCTGGTATATTTGCTCTTATTTTGAAAGGCTTCAAATCAACTTCCGGTCTGCACAGTGACGGTGGGTCCTCACAGTGGAGGTCTGAAACTAAGGGTCCTGACTATGAAGGTCTGCAGCCAGACTGTCTTGAATTTATTTGATCTGGCAACTTCTTATATTTTTTCACCATTCTTCATAGATCAAGAGAGAATCATGCAGTATTCTTTTTTTGAATGTGATTATATCTTATTACTTATAGACCTGCCTCTTGCTGCATGAATGTAAGTTATACATGGTTTAATGTAAAGGCAGCGTGGACAGTCTGCTCCTGTTTTTATACTACATCATGTCTTAGGACAAAGCTACTAACTTCCCCACTACATTTGCTTGACACAGCCAACCTCTCAGGGTCCATCCTGTTTCTGTGTTGAGGTGATATGTGAAGGGGATGCAGCAGTGTAATTCTTTTGCTGGATGACATATAAAGCTCCTTACTTTCAGGGACCTAAAAACAGTCTATAGCTGTTAAAATGACATCATTTTTCTACTTTAAATTAATCTGTCCAAATTTGTATACCAGCACTTTCCTACTGTCAGAATTTCTCATGTGTAAAATTACTTTTTCATGTGCATTGTTTCAAAAGCAAGCCAATTACACTAATACAAACTCATAATATTCAGTTTTAGGACAATTGTCCTTTGTGTCCATCTATCAAGAGTTAGCATTTTTTTTGTAATCATGACAATAAAAATGTGTTTTGCATACTTTTGTGTCAAGAGGATACTCATTTTTCTTTTTGGTTTGTCTCCGAAAAATGTAAATATGCCACCTACTCAAACGGGGGTTGATCCAGAGGGAGGCCAGAGGTGGCCACGGCCATCGAAGTGGCCTCACCTTGATCCTTAACTCTTATTGGCTCTTTCCATTGTCTTAGGCAGGACTTTTATTAAATTCCCCACTGGGCTGTGTTGTAACAGGATAAGTGTGGCTTACTCTATTCTAGGGTAGCACATTTTCATTTGTCTATATTGCGACTTCGGGACATCTTCATATTGATCCCTGGTGTTGTAGATAAGACTCCTGCTTCTCAATGGAATGATTACAGGTTTCAAATCCTGGAAAAGGACAGTTTGTGTCCTTTTCCAGGACATCACTCTATAGCCACAAATAATGCTCAGAACAGCACCTAACTTCATCAACAGTACATATAGGGTCCCAGCCATAGCACAAGCCACCAAAAATATTTTTAATTTTGCCTAATTTCTTTAGCAAAGAGACTAAACACAACTCACCATCTCTCTTCCAGCAGCCACTTGTTTGTAACAAGACCTCAGGCCAGTCCATTACGGAGTGCTGCGGAGTGACGCAGCTCAAGGGAGAACATTTCAAGGCAAAGGCAAAGTTAAAAAGATTTTTGGTGGCTAGGACCCTATATGTACTGTTGATGAAGTTAGGTGCTGTTCTTATTTGTGACTAGAGAGTGGTGTTTTGATTGAGCGTGTGGTTCTCTGTATTGCTATCTGCGGTCGGTACTTAGGTTGGTATAAGTAGAGAAGCAAGCAGTCAGCAACATTCATCGCTCGAGGGGGTGTCTAACTCAGTGTTATGGTGTGTTTGACCATAACTTAAATTTACACCGGGATATTCCTTTAATGTTGATTATTTTTAGCAGTCTATTCTTTATAAGACTGATTGTAATTACTAAATCAAATTTTCATATTTAATGCTACTAATCATAGTTTCACTCAGTGTTGATATGCTGTCTTCTTTGACATTGGTTTAACTTCAGTTTTTGGTTTTTATATGCGTATACTCCATGATAATTCCTAAAATCTATCAAAAAGTATTCCTATAGTCCACATGTGTTGTAATTACTCCAAAGTTCAGTCGGGTTCCAGAGTCTGGTGTCTCCTGTCCCTGATAAAACGAAAACTGTTAAAAGTTCACAGATATTTCAAACAATTGCAATTAAACTTTGATAGGGGATAAAATGATCATATCCATGGCCCAACAGTTGTCTTAGATTCATTCCATGTTCATTGTTCACACAACGTGAGCACCGGTAAAAGCCAGAATAGAAAGTACTGCGCTCTTATCACAGACTGTACAAAAGCCCCAAGAAGTAAATGGCTGCAGGCTGTCTGTGTTGGTGTGCTGAAGGCGGAGCCGAACACTCCAGCCACTCATTGATTGGATGATTTAAAACTGAGCAGCGCTGCAGCCCTGCCCTTTACTTTTGTTGGGTATGCCTCATTCGTTCTTACGCGTCGCTCATTGTGGGATATCACTGGCCACAACATAGCGATCCGCCCCTGTGACCGCTACGGATACATAAATTGAACAGATGCTCAACAACGTCACTGAGCTGCGCGTTGTGATTGGCCGTTGAAGTTTTGAACAAGCCTAACGGTTTCAGCGGGGAGGTTTGTAGTTACCGTCCGGGAGATTCAGACTGAGAGGACTAGTGAACACATGAATCCATCATCCTAACGCGTTTAGTTTTAATATCATTATGCGATTCGTTTAGTTTTTGATACCAAGAGGGAAACGGGCATCGGATTTCTTTTTCAAGAACTTGGACATAAAAGGTATTTTAATTTTATAATTTTGTTTTTCGAGTCCGATTGTTAGCATCAGCTAACAGGAAGCTCATTGGATCACATAACGTTAGCATTGACATGGAGACTACTCAGAGCAGCTGTTGTTCATAATTCTGTTGTTTTATCAGAAATGACATGTAATTCATATCTTATTAAACTACTATGAGTGTATTTTGGTACACATGTTGTTGTGTACTTCTTGTCATGATGGTGGACTGTTGCTCGGCTAGCATTTAGTGCAAACGTTAGCTGATCATGTTTTTGTCTGCAACATTAACTTGATCCCATGCAACCAGTACTAATCTCAGTCATTATAAAACTGATGAAATAACAATCTATGCTAGTGTGAAATGGAGTCTGTGTAAGAATTAACACTAAAAAGCAATACAGTTCACAATACACTCCTGAACTGTAACAACGGGTTGAATAAATTGACCACCTCCAATGTTCACCTCGTTTTTCTTAAAGGCAATATCTCTGTGACTTTGTTTATTATTGCCAAACAGTATGATCTGAGTAGCTATTTACAGGTCTTAGAAGTACACAAGTCACCTAGATGAAAAATGGGCCTGTTTATATTCACATTTTGATTGTTGAGCTCGAACAAGATTGTCTGTTTATCTAAATTAACCTATCTGACAGCCAACTGATCATGTAAGGGAGACCATATGTTGTTTTGAATTATATAACATTTAGGTATCTGTGTAAGATTTCTTATTCCAGACTCTTTGTGCAAAACAAAATGTTACCTTTTAACCATTTCCTCCATTGTGTATGTTTTTATTTTCTCATACGAGGATGCATTGGCTTTATTACCGCACTGCTGACTGAGACAGGCTTTATAAAAGTGATGTGTTTAATAACCAGTTCTGCTTTACTCACCATCACTGTTCTGTTTGGTCTCTCCCTCAGGCCGCCAACATGAACTCCGTACGTTCATCCGTACAATCCCTCATGCAGATGTTTGATGGGAAGACAAAGGACTTCATCAATGACATCGAAACTGTTGATATGGTTTGGCTTGAAGAGATCCAACAAGAAGCCAACCGAATGTTCTCTAGGTCAGTTTGAACTAAAGCAGCATTTTTGTTTTTCTTTTCTTGAATTGTTGGTTGGATGTTTTGGCTGATGAAGCTGATTTTTTTTTATTCTGTTTTATTTTAGGGATTTTAATGCTGAACCAGAGTTAATGCCGAAAACACCGTCTCAGAAGAAGAATAGTCGAAGAAAGCGTGTGTCTGTGGGGCGGCAAGAGGAAAGTCAAACCAGGCGCAGGTTGGTTTCTTTCATTTCTGTTTAAAGTGACATCAAAATTGACATATTTATTCAAATCATAAGAATATTTTAACCTGTTGTACCCTCTTCAACCCTAAGCAAACATTCACTTCTTTTCTAGGTTTTCTAAGGGGAAGCGCAGTAACCTTCGCAGGTCCTCTGTGACATCACTGAACTTCATTGCCGAAGAGCAGGCCGTTCCTGAAGCTTCCACCTCTGACACGAGCGTAAACGCACTGCCAAAACGCACCACACGCAAGAACAAACAAATAGAGTCTGAAGTTGCAGAGGATGTTAGCGAGTTACCGTCTGACACTTGTGCAACTAAGGAGGAAGAGAAGAAGAAGCCAGAGGTTGTGGAGGATGAAGAGGTGGACAAAAATGACACGTCAAACGACACAGAAGTGGAGCCAGACAACAAATGTAGCGAGGCCCCATCTCTACCTCAGATACCCTCACCTGATGTGGTTGTCAGTATAACCTCTGCTGAACGTCTGTCTGCTGAGCTCGCTAAAAAGAAGGAGTCTTCTCCTGGCAGAACAGCTGCTAAGATCCCGATAGCTGGCACGACTCAGAGCACACGGCGGAGCTTGGTCCGCCACTCTCTCAAGCTTCGTCACTCCCTGGCTGGTATGCGGCAGAGCATGACTCAGGAGTCTGTTCGCCGTGCCTCACGTCGATCCATGCTGAAGAGGAAGGCGGCTCGTGCTGCGAACTCCACATTCAACAGCAACGTTGACGGTGAGAGAAGAGAAAATTAAGTCAGTTCTCCCACACTTTTGATTATGTAGTCTTATCATATTCTTATTACCTGCTTTTCTTTTTGTAGAGGGCTCTAGCGTAGAAGAGGAGGAAAGAGAGGAGTAAGTAATGCCTGCAGATATTTCTTTGCACTAATGAATATGCTGATGTCTCAGGGGTGTTCAGGTACACATGGTTGTACCAAACTGTTTCAAATTCAAGGTCCTTACCCAGACCAGAAAACTGGAACTACTTCTAGGTTTTCGGTTTTGGATCTCTTTTACCTGTTGCTGTGGACTCAAACTGTTGTTACTGTGATAATCTGTGTGTGAGCACAGTGTAGTAAATAATGTAGTTGCATTACTGCGTGTGTATTTTTAAGCCCACAGCTCTGACAGCTCACACAAACCAACATCTAATTATTTGTACTGTATTGATACACCCCAGTCAAGTTTTATGGTAAAGAAGAATCCGTTTCTCTCACTCAAACATAATTTCTCTCTGTCCTAGGGTGTTAGAAGCTGCCTCTGCAGACACAGAGGATAATACCACACCTGAGGAATCTCCAGAGGTAAAGATCAACGTCTGTATCTATTACAGGTGTTTAACTTTCAATTTGCTGATCAGGTGATGCTTTTCTTTTGCGTTATGTTTACCTAACAAATGTAGATCCAGAATAAACCGTCCGTGCAACCTGCTATTGTACGTGTTACTCGATCGGTGGCTGCACACTCTCTCACGCTGGCCTCTCCATTGTTGACCTCCGAGCTAACAGTGAGCACTCCCAACAGGAAACCTGGTGAGGAACTCAACAATGTTTAATGTTTATTTTGGGGTTTTGACAGTAGTTTGAGTTGAAACAGTTTTGTGCTAAAATACATCATGGATGTGCTGCTTTATGTTAATGTGTGTATTTGTGTCTGTGTTGCAGTTGTAACTGAGAAGCAACAGCTTTCCAAGTCAGGTAGTCGGTAAGTGTCCATGTGTGTTTAATATCTATATGTGTGTGCATGTGTGTGTGTTCCCTTTCCTTGATTCTTGTAAAAACTGTTATTTTTGTATCCGCAGGTCACGCCAGAGCTCTAAACGTAAAGCACCGGATACTGTGGAGGACAGCCCCACAAAATGGGTCTCTCCTCCCAAGAAAAGTCAAAGTGTAAGATGCCAAAACTGAGTAAAATACTTAAAAAATGATGTTTGCAGTAAGTACATTTCTTGATCAAACTAACATCTGATTTTATCACTACACAGGCAATAAAACCCAACATGAAGTCTTTCCTCCACACTGTACAGAAGAATCAGATGCTGATGATGACCCCAAATTCCCTCGGCAGGACTGGGGTTATCAAATCCTTCATTAAGCACACCACTCCTCTGAAGACTGATTTCAAGGTATGTTGTGTCCTGATCTTGAAGCATACTGACAGTGTCATGTGGCTCTGGTAAGGAGAGCAGAGTCAGAGAAAACACGTAACAATTCTGTCAACAGAATATCTAATTTAGATGCTGTCATTTGGTTTATTCCAATTTCTGCTGTGTGTACACAAGTACTAAAGACCGTCCACTTGGGATCTGGACTCTTAGACCTGATGTTGACACCAAGCATAAATAGAGTGATATTTACCAAAAGGGAACGCAAAAAAAAACTATAATGGCAGGACCAAAATGTCAAATCTAAAGCTTCACATTAGGGGTGTTCACTAACCTTTAGGCCCTTACAAACTGCAGTTTCAGGGCAGGATATTTCCACCCCCGTTGAGCCTCGTCTACATATGACGCAGGAATGTGTAAAGGTGAGGTGAAATCGTTCCCCCTCTTAGTTTCCCCCTGAGGTAGTAACAGGTAGACTGGGTTGGGGATGATGTGAGGTGTAGGAGCTGGCAGCGCCGACCTGTCTGGTGTGTATGTGCATGTCTGAATGTGTGTTTTTGTGAATCTCTTGCTGTATGTTAGCAAGCTGTGTCTCTGGTGCTCCCTCAGTGACGTACAAGAATACCAATATTCTGCCTTTTCAGGGTGAAAGTACAAAGCTGTAGTAATGGTGGGACTCTGTTGCAGAAAGGCAGTGTGTAAGATGCTCATGGGCAGCCATATGCTTACCTCCCCTACTTTTTTAGCATAAATAAAAAAACTCCCATAACACAACAGCCACTTAGAAAAGAGAAAAAACAAGTTCTTGTCTGACTTCCTTGTTCTGAAAATTTGAGTGTTTAGATTCTGAAAACAAACTTTGTGGCTGAATCATGCAGTCCTGTCATTTGGATGTTATTCTTTTCCCCTCCCCAGTTGTCCGTCGGTACCGTGGTAAGTGTTATAACGGAGCACCTTTGTGGGCATTTGGTGGCGTCTAACATCCCATTTGTTTAAATTCCTCCTCATAAATTCCTGAGATGAGCCCTTTTCACATTTCCACATTTTGACATAACTTGATTTTATTTATTGATATCTGCACTTGAACTGCACTTTTGACAGTAATGGCTTAAGGTGTCAAATTTAAATTTCACTCCAATGAGAATATGAACGCCAGCCACTAGTCGTAAATCATCAGAAAAACTGACTCAGTTTGATTAAGTAGAAGAAATGGATGGTTAAAATCAATCCCATCGACAGAGCCTTGCGATTTCAGGCTCATAGGTGAAAGGGGCTCCTGTATGTCGGCTACACCCTATGCTACTCCTGTTGGAGATGGTGTTTTTCATTCGTTGGGTCACTAATGCTCATTCTTTGCAGGCTTCTAATCTCATAATCCCCACAGTAGCTTTGATACCTTCACTGCTTGTTTACTTTGTTACATGATTCAATCAGTGATACAAAGTGAAGTAAAAATCCACCCAAAGCCGAAACAATTCAGTGAAAATACAAAATTTTCAATCACGGTGTTTGTAAAGATTGACAACATGCCTCCACCTTCTCCCACTGTGCAAAAGTGATGACAAAATATGGTATGACAGGCACTGACATCTCAGACATTTGATGCTTGAGTTTATTGTGAACACGGATTCTGAGTTCCTGCCCCTCTTGCTGATCAAACCACACATTTTATTAATTGATAATTGAGCAACGATCCCTTAGGTCAGCACAGTGATCTCCATGGTCCCACTCAAAGATCTAATGGTGGACAAAAATCACTGTTCAATATGTACTTTGACTTTAAGGGCACACTTTGATTTTCTCTTTGAACACATTGTCGTAAATGTAACATCAACAGGTTGCTGCTCAGTTTTCTTTTTTCAAAATGAGGAAAAAAATTAATAAAAACAAAATAGAACAAGGCTGCAACCTGCTATCAAAATTATGTCAATAGGAAACTGTGACTCTTCTAGATTTATCCAGAATTGTGGATGTCCTCACCTACAGAAGTGACGCCACTTGCTAATCACCTAAAACTACTCATTATGAAATAGTTGGTGGTAACCAGTAGGTGAAAAAAGTAGAATATCAGACATACAAGATATAATGGGGGGTCTTATTTATCTATTTTGAATTAATTTATTTTTTGAATAAACCCAACAGTGAGCCAAGTTAGCTGTTTGCATTAGTTATTGATACTTTTCATCTATTTAGCAGGAGGATGTGACGTCAGCCCCTGGTACTGAAATTAGAATCCTGATCAAGTATGACCCGGTTTTGATAAGTCTTTTAATTGTGTCTATTTTTGAAACGAAAGCGGTGACCAATTTTAAATTCTCTGGATTTGCCGTTATACTACCTGAAAATTATGTAAAGCTGTAAACTTTGACTCAAGCCGTTAGTTCCACCAAAGGAAAAGCTAAAGAAAGCAGAAGAGGTATGAGGTAAACTGGAGTGATAAGGTTTGTTGTTGGAGATAAAGTCTGTATTCTGAAAACTAATTTTGTCAGGTTGACTATATGCTTGAAATTGAGTTGCTATACAGTAATGGTGTCAGATTAGTAAAGCAAAGAAAACACACAGACTTCATGACAAATACAGAAACCCTTTTAGGTTGGATTTTTGCTTCATCGGTCTTCTCTGGTGACATCGTGATCTGTTTCCGTATGAATGCACCCCACTTCTTTTCTTTTCTCACCGGTTTCAGTGTGTTGTAAGGAGCTTATTCCCTATTTTTCTTAAAAACTTCATGCACCCTTATTTTCCTCAGACAAAAGAGCGTCACAAGCTGGAGGCACTCAAGAAGAAGCAAGAGCAGGAAGAGGAAAGGATGAAGAAAATGGAAGAGGAGAAGAAAAGAAAGCAAGAGGAGCTTAAAAGGTTCATACTCCACCTCTTTTGATTCTCTGACAGGACAAATTCAGAATTTCTGTTTTTAACAATTCAAATCAACTTCCAGGAAGAGAGACGAGAGGCTGAGGAGAGTGTTTGAAGCGAAAGTAAAAGAGGAGCAGAGAGAGGAGGAAAAGAAAAAGAAGATTGAGCAAAAAATGGCCCAGATTGATGAGAAAAATGATAAGGTACGCCACCAAGTCAACAACTCCACATCTGTACGCTCATTGACGGATTCAAACCTTTTAATTTACCTCTGAAACTAATGTGCTTGGTTTACACAGCGTATGGCAGAGGAGAAGGCCAAGAAGAAGGTGGCTCTCAAACGTCAGGAGGAGCTGGAGCAGAAGAAGAAGTTGGAGGAGGAGGCTAGAAAGAAGAAGCTGGCTGTAAGAATATGCTCTTATTTTACTTGTAGTCACCACAGTAGCTGTGTTAACTCAGGCTGCTTCAAATATGTCGGGAAGGCTCCAGATAGATCATTTTGGAACAAACAGAACTGGTGGTTCTGGCTTGGGATGAACAGATGAAACAGATCACAGGTGTGCACTGTGCAGCCTGATGGACAGGTGGTATCATACCATGAATTGAGGATGTGCTGAGATGTGATCACTCAGGCCACTTAGGAGGCATTCGTCCACATTTCTTTTGGATTATTGAGCTATTTGCAAAGAAAAGTATAAAGTGATTTCAGAATATTTATTGGAGCGTTGCTCAAAACAAACACCAAAAAAAACCCAATACTTTTGTAAATCAAGTGCTGAATCTTTTTAAAAATCTGATTTTCTGTCACATTTTCTACTTGACGGTTAAGACACATTCATTCAATGAAATACTCTAACATCGTCCTCTGAAAATCGGGGTATTTATCTGTTGTGTGTTCTGTAAAATACTAAAGGAGGAAGAGAAACGGCTGCAGGACTTACTTGCAAAGAAGAAAGCTGAGGAGGAACAGCAAGCTCGTAAGCTGGCTGAAGCTCGCAGAGCAGAAGAGCTGAAGAGAGAGCAGGAGAGAGAGAGACAAGCTGCTGCTGAAAGGTAAATTATAAGCACCTGTAAACTAACAAAATAATACTGAAAAAATGCACTGGTGGTGACATTTTGAAAAGCCATCAGATTTTCCCCAGAGCTTGTTTTATTGACTTGGTATTTGTTTATCAGAGAGCGTGTGGAAAAAGAAAAAGCTCTTGCTTTGCAACGGGAAGTGGAGAGAGCAGCAAGAGAGAAAGAGAGGAGAGAACTGGAGGAGAGGAGAAGGGCGCTGGAGGAGAAAAGGAAAATGGTAAGAAATCTGGAATCAAAATCTCTTTCCCATGTGGCTGACAGTTCAGTCAGAGAGAGCTCGATTTGCAAACAAAAATCACAAAATGCTGGTCCATTTAAAAAACTTTAACTACTCATGATCTTAATGTTACTTCAACTCTGCTTTCTGAGTGAGTATGATTCACCAAGTACACGAGGACACAAACAGTATGTCAACAACTCATTTCTGTTCAAGAACTTTTTACTGTGAGCAGAATCACTCAGAGGGGTCTTCAGCCCTCAAAACAAGCTCCTTTTGTTTATCTAAAGCTGGTCTGGGGCTGATGAAGAGTATTAGGAGTATCACAAACTGAGTTTCACACGTGTTTTATGAGTGCGGCCGATTTTGTTGAAACTGTGTTGCTTTGGTGTCTTCATTAACATGATATGGAGCCCAAGTATATGCAGAGACCCAGTAAAGAAACTGATTTTAATAAAGCAGTTTCATGACTGATATCATACTTTCTCAACCCTTCTTTTGAGCGTTAATGAAAAATAAAGGAACCCAGTCCATATTAAACAACAAAATGTGGCTACACAGGTACAAATATGAGTTGATCTGGTCCTACTTTTATTAACAGGTTAAATTCTAAATAAGCAATGCTTAAATACACAAGTCTGAAGACAGGAGGATTTGATATTTCGGTTGCAAAGCTGCCTGGTGATGATTGGTTTTTTTTTCTTGTGCTTTCAATAGGAGGAGCTGCAGAAAAAAGCAGCAGAAGAGAAGGCTGCCAAAGAACGAGAAGCTGCTCGGCAGAGAGAGGCTGCTGCTAAACAAGCTGCTGAGGCAAAGGTAAACCAGCAGGGGGAGTCACACCTTGTTTACATGCATGGCTGCACATAAGCAATGGTTCACCTTAAGATTGATAATCCTTGATTTAAGCTCATCAAGCCATGCAAAGAGATTGGAAAAACTTTGCTTTAGTTCTGGCATTAGGGTGTTGAAATACTTTTTTCCTTGTAGATTTTTATTACAGTGCATGTGTGACACTGTGGCAGCTACCATTAACGGCTAAATATCTTCCTTTTCCTCTTTTTTCTCATCTCTGTTCTGTAGGCTGCCCTTAATGTTACTGTGGACATAGAGGTAAGAAATAAATACATACCCTCGAACAAATAAGTTCTTATTTTTGTTAATGTCCTAGATGAGTGAAGAAAATTATTCTGTACTGAACAGTTTTCATGACTTTACCTTACAACAGTATTTAAAGCTACAGTTCCTCTTTTCTACTTTGCAGCGCTCCGTAATGACCACACCAGGAAAAGGTGCTGGCCTTAATGTGACTGTGGACATCGAGGTAAACTTAACATGATACAGTTTTGAAATTTTTGACTATTCAGCTACAATTTTAAAACACAATACAAAACAGTGTAAGTCTAATACCATGTGTTTATTCCCCTCTGCAGCAATCACCACAGTCCTACGCGATCACTCCAAAGGGAGGCGACAAACCTTTGGTTATGCCCAAAAGTAAAGAAGATTATGGAATGGACCAAAACAGTGACGACTCAACTGATGATGAGTCCGCCCCAAGGAAACCTATCCCATCCTGGGCAGAAGGTAAAAAAATACTGTTATAGTTGTTTATTATGATGAAATTCAGTCCTAGAACAGTTCCACTCAACATCAGTAACTAAAACACTAGTGGTGTGGCAACTAACAGACTAATTCACCGCTTCTGCATCTCAGTATGATATCAGTCTCCTTTTGTTAAGCCTTGAATGAAAACCCTTTTATTTTGTTTTTCCTTTCAGGTCAAAACCTGCAGCAGATAATTATGAAACAGTACTTCAATCCACCTGATCTGAACTCTTTCTTCGGGGTTATTGAACCACCTAAACTTGAAAACATCTTTTACAAGAGCAAGCCACGCTATTTTAAGCGTACCAGCTCTGCTGTGTGGCACTCACCTCCAATGGGATCCAGATAATGTCTGTACGCTGGTACAGATGACATCGCTGTATAAATTTTTATGTCTTTTTTTTTTTTTTTTCAATAAAGTCCCCACTTTTTTCTCTGTTTATCATATTGTTAAATCTATTTTCTTTAGGCTTTTTAGGATTTACTACTTTTTCTATTGTCTAGTACTTCTCAAGAAATTGATGTTTCATTCTTGTACTTGAAAATGGGAGGTTATGGTGACCCAGTGGGATGTGACGGCTGCTGTATGATAAGTTAAGAGTTAAATTTGTATCATGTATGTATTGATATAGTAGAGTTCTTATGTTTGGGATATATTCAAGTGTATTAAAAGGTTAGATCAACCAAAGATTTTGTGGATTGCAGCTTGGTATTGCCCAGTTACACCTCTGCTCAGGCTTCAGGTTGGTAAATTTATGATGGCGGTAATGTCAGGTCATTGGACTCTATTAAACGGTAATATAAGAGTGTATATGTTTTAACCACAAAATGTAAACTTTAGGTAAGAGTGGGGTAAGATGAGCTGTTTTTCATATCTCAGATCACTACATTAAGTCAATCACAGTTTTGTCTCAAACTAGTATATCTGTATATATTTCAAGATGTGCAAACCAACAGAATGAGTGTAAACATAACTATCTTGATAATATAGTCTGCCAAAAAAAGTGCTCTCCTATGGTCAACTTACCCCGTGTATGGGGTAACTTGACCATAGGAGTGGGGTAAGTTGAGCCGTATCCCTACTACCTCCCCACTGAGCAATAGACTATTAGACGTCTAGTTTTTTTAGATGTAATTTCAACCATCTAGATTCTGTATATTTTTAGACAGAATTTGGACGTTGCACTTTAACCCATTATTCAATAACTTTCAAAAAACAACTGTGAGATGCATAACTGATCTCCAAGTACTTAACCAAAATAATTATGATAGCTGTTGAGCAATATACAGTGTAGATCTCTATTAGCAGGCTAGTCTAAACTTGGTCTAAATTTCGACGTCTAAAAAAACTTTCATTTTTAGACCTGTGGTAGCCTGATTTTAGACCAGTTTAGGCTACATTTAGACGTCTATTAGACCTCCTTTAGACCAAAAAATGCTCAGTGGGTAATGTTGTAGCTCATAGATATCACAATTGATGTATAAAACAAATTTCAAAATGATCTTTTTTGGTCTGAACACAATTCTAATAAAACTAAATTCACTTTCAAGATTTATTTATTTATTTTTGTAAATGAATGTCTAACCCCTTCACCCATGTGCTTCTAACCTTTACAGACTCCATGAATTGATGCCCATCTCCTAAATATTTGGTCACATGATCAATTTCTTTGACCATTTCCAATAAGCAACAGGGGCTCAACTTACCCCACTCTCCCCTATATTTGGCAGCACAAGGCTGGATCTATAACACCATAATGCAGTCATAATGTCTCTCAACCATGCCTTTTCACCCACTTAGGCCAAGATACTCGCACCTCTTTGAATTGTCAAAAAAAGAAATAAGATCGTCAAAAAGGATGCTTTGGCCAAGTGTAGTAAAAATGCAGTTAACGTGTAAACACCGGTAAACACAAGCTTGTGCCAGAAATGTAAAAAAATGCCATATTCCTCCTTTTGACGTCGATGCCAACGTTCAAACTGGATGCGTCGACGTCCTTACGTCTGCCGTCCTCTCAGGTAGCAGTCTGGGAAGTGAGATATCTAGCATCTGTCTCAGCAAGTTACAGTGGCAGTGTTATTACGCTTTGAAGAACGAAACCGACAACTCAGGTAGGTCCTCTTCCTCATCCCGGCTATCTTTTTAAACGGTCGGTGTGCTGCTATTGAGGTCTGTATCTATGGTGACGTGATGGAGATTTGGTTGCTAACAGTGCCTAGCAACAGAGGGGCTCGTTTGCAGGGTAACGTTAACGATAAACATTGAGCAGCTCTCACTGACCAAAGAGGCTAACATAAAATGTGTAAAAATATGGCTTTGAGAAACTTTTTATTGTAACAAACTAGATACCAATACAATTTTGAATTTAAAAATATATTAAGCTTGGTAACTGGAAGTTTTTTTGTGACATTAATGTTATTTCGTGGTGATCTTTGAATCATGTCTCTCAATGCATCGGTGAAAGAGGCGTTAAAGTCTGAAATAAATGTTGTCCTATCTTAATAATAACCACAAAAGACCTAATGTTTAAACAAAATATGGGTTTATGGTGTAACATAACAAACTTTGGCAGGTATAGTAAAATCATACATCTTAATAAATGTAAATATAGGGACAGTGATTTTGGATACGTCGTTTTCAGACTCGCCATTAATGTCTTTTTAGAAAAACACTGTCATTGAATCCATTGTTTTGATTACCACAGAAATGAGCTCCCAAATCCGACAAAACTTCCACCAGGACTGCGAGGCAGCCATCAACAGACAGATAAACCTGGAACTCTATGCTTCTTATGTTTATCTCTCAATGGTGAGAAAAAACACTGTGCATCTTTGTAGTGCATAGCTTTTAGGTGTTAAATGTATGCCCCATAATGTTCTCTGTATTTTTGTTTAGGCCTACTACTTCGATAGGGATGACAAATTCCTGCCACATTTTTCAAAGTTCTTTCAAGCACAGTCTAAAGAGGAGCGGGGGCATGCAGAGAAACTCATGGATCTACAGAACAAGCGAGGAGGACGAATTTTTCTGCAGGACATCAGGGTATGAAATTACATATTTATCCAGTTAATAATCTACATTGTGATTAGAATATTCATTTTACCACACTATTCCACTATACAAGTTACAACTTTCATAAAGGCCTTTAAATTGTCAGTTGGAGTGCAAAGTAAAGATGTAGTTATTCATGTGTAGGTTATTTTTGGAAAATTGGAATAACAATGGTTTTAAATTGTTGTGAATTATTAATGTCTGTCTCAGAAACCTGATCGTGATGACTGGGGCAGCGGCCTAGAGGCTTTGGAGTGTGCCTTGCAGCTTGAGAAAAGTGTAAACCAATCCCTGCTGGACCTGCAGAAAATGGCAACAGAACACAACGATCCTCATGTAAGCAGCAGACAAAAAGCCAGCACACTGAGATACAGCCTAAATCTTCTATACATGTTAGACACTCTGTTGTCCTCCACTCAAATCAAGCTTTGGATAAAAATATTCTTTTACCATAAAACACACTAAAAGGCTGGTTTATGATAGAATCCAGGCCTTGAGAGGGGAAAAACAGACATGTAAAATGACTGATAAAAAGTCAAAAGGAAAACTTTGAGTGTGGCTAGAAGCATCTGTTGCCACAGCTTTGTGGGCAACAAACATATCAAGCCAATGTTTGCACAAATTCTCCTTAAACTACAGGAACTATGGCAAGTAAAGAGTACATGCTGTTTCTGATCTCAAAAATGAGCTTTTACTGAAACATGCTGTGTCTGTTTGCACGTGCATGCCTGATGTCTGACTAATAAAAAAAGAATTGTTCTTTTTTTTCCAGATGTGTGACTTCATAGAAACACATTTCCTGGATGAACAAGTCAAATCCATTAAACAGCTTGCAGACTGGATATCCAGCTTGAACCGCATGGGGGCCCCTCAGAATGGCATGGCTGAGTACCTGTTTGACAAACACACTGTGGCTGAAGAAGGCAGTTAAACTAAGCTACGACACTGATAACCCTCCTGGTTCCAGCAGTATACCCCTTCGCCTCTGACACATCCTGCTTATGATACAGATAACACTGTTTTATTTATTCCTGTGAGCTCTCTTTTTACACACACACGTTTTGAAATACACAGATGGCTCTCAGAAGCAATAAGTGCACCTGTTAGTTCACTTTTCTTTCCAGATCACAGTCTGGGCATGTTCGTAAAAACTGAGCCATAATAGCTTTTTAATGCCACATGTGTGATCATATAACATTGTATTTTATTGACTCATTCATTGTAAGAAATGCAAGGTGGCCATGTGCCACAAATTCATGTCAAAATGTTGTTTTAAGCAATAAATGAAATGACCACCAATCAGTTACCCATTAACTTACTATTACCTATGACAGTGCAGTCCACATCTTAGGAACTTTGATTGTATTTGTCTCCTTTTATTATTTCCCACTTTCTTCCTCAATGTTTTAAACAACTCACTCTCATATATTAGTCCTTCAAACTGATAGAGAGGACAATACTTACCAATACCATCCAAACCTACAAGTTTTAAACAAATAACTATAATAATTCATTAAATGACTGTATGATTTGTGATTACATTTAACTGTGAATTTGAGGTAAAGTACATATACAGTTTGCCTGTACAACAAAATAAAGTCAGATGGTTAAAAGACATATATTTTAACTTCCTTTTTTTATTGGAAAAAAGCTGAAAAATGACCAAAGGAACAACATGATACTTGATATTTATTAATGATGAAATCAAAGTGCTAAATAAAGAACACACCACTTGCCTTCTTGCTGAATATCAGAGGAAGCTGTTAAGTATATTTAAGTTTTCCTCTACATGCGCTGAGTTAATTACATATGGTGCTTTTGAATCATAAGTAGGTTAAGTGTTCAGTAAGAGCATACCAGGAAGTAGAGATTAACTTAGATACCTTTAGTCTGCATACTGCTACAAAAAACTGAAATGCATTCCGATTGTGACAATGATTAGTATGTGTTTGGTTACGAATATTTCAAATACCATACAAGGTACAAACACAGTCAGTTACACCCTCTTTGCTTAGTCCTGCTCCCTCCCTCCAGCCGCCTTGTTCCCCCCACCATCCGCCAGAACGCCCAGAAGGTCTCCTTCAGCCAGTGAGATTCCCGAGTCATTGGGTGAGTGCTGCTGATTGGTTTCTTGTTGTGATGATGCTGAAGTGGGAACTGTGTTCATGTTATTGCTCAATCCCCCGTTGGCGCCCCCATTGCTTGTCCTCATGTTGGCGCTAAAGTTACCATGGTTACTAAAATTACTGTGACTTGTATTGTTGCAGAGACTTCCTGTTGTGCCAGCGCCGTTGGTGCTAGTTGCATTAATACTGCTAGAGCTGTTGTTGGGATTATTAGGATTTGCTGCTGCTGTGCGAGACGGTGGAGTGAACGAGAACACCCTTTCTCCTCCACTTCCTGTTGCCCTTGCACTTAGGGGTCCTTGTTGACTATCAACTGAGGGAAGGGGGTCCAGAGTAAGGCGGGGAGGTAGAGGGCGGCGAGACAGCAGGCCATGTCCAGGTCTTACTTTTGAAATTGGGCAGAGTTCAGGTGGGGGGTCTGGAAAGGAGAAGGCAGGAGCACTTGGGGCTCCACCATCCTCACTGAGCCAGGGGAATGCAGAGGATGGAGGTGGGGGGATGTGGTTTGGGGTGTCTGGAGGAAGCATCTGTGATGCCACCATTGGATGAGCAAGGGAGGTGCAGCTTCGGTCACACTCGTTCTGAGGTCGGCGGGCAGGTCGGGGACGGGGCACAGCAGGGGGGACACAATGAATAGGTGTTTGTGGGCAGCTGTAGAAACCAGGTCTCTCATATAAGGGAATGTTAGAGAAGGCGTAGTCTGCATCTTGGTTCAAAGGCTGGCGAGCTTGACTCTGAGCTGAGAGTGCTTCTGGGTGTAAGAACAGAGGAAAGCGGCTTAACGGAGCTCCAGGGCGGCGACGCAGCAGAGAGACCCTTGAAGAGCGAGGAAAGTTAGGAGAATGGACACCAAGAAGACGACCCAGACCCCCAAGCAGTGGGGTGGAGTAGTTGGCCTCCTCATTTTCTTTGATTTGCTCCAGATTTGACTGGAACTCCATCTCCTCCTTGGGAACACTAGTTTGGATGAAGGGAATAGTTGTTATATGGTTAAAGTACAAAATGAATGTCTGCTACAGAAAGATAAAAAGAACATGACTGAACCTTATATCCAGGGCTGAGCCCATGAAGGAAGGTTTGCGGTGTTCAGCACTGGCAGCAGTGTAGGGAGGCTGAGGTTCAGACTCATTCCAGTACATATCCCTTTCCACCAGCGGAAGACTGTCATACATTTCATCCACAGACAACAAGGACACCTGGGAGATAACAAGAACCCAAGAAAATGAAACGCAACAGCCTCAAACCACATTTGATTAAATATGGCGAGAGAGTTAAGTTTAAATCTAAACCTGTAGATTGCGATCGACAAGCCAGTTGGTTTCAAAGTCATCGTCATCCTCACCAAAAGGATTTATGAGCTGCTCAGCCACCTAAGACCATGAGTGAAAAAAGTGATTCAGCTCAGAAATGGACAAATGAATATCAAGTAAACAATTTCTCTCACAGTATCAGCTTCAACATCATCACCAATCTGTTGTTCCTAACCTTCAGCCAACCAACATAAAAGAAGAACTGTAACAGGGTGAAAACAGGCAGGTAGAAGTCCACATCATGACCGGGGTAACCCTGAGTGGGGTCCAAGAACTGTCGACCAATCAGACAGGCCAGAAAGAAGCTGTAAACAGCCACCGTCACCACCTACTTAAAAAAATATTAAAAATAAATACGTCAAGTCTGGCAGCGTTTGATACTACCTTTGAGAGAAAATTCATTTCTCTAGAATTTGTATTGCTTTTGCCAATTTCATCATGTTTGACAAGATCAGATTGCTAGTTTTGATGAATCGTGAATGATTTTAAAGTTCATGATTATTGTTATACCGCTCAAAATCGTATTCTTTAGGCCATCTGTATTTCTTATATCAGCACAGCATTTTGATTGTTAGTAGTGTTAACCCTTTTTCTTTTTTTTGACTATTAATTTCAGATTAATCACTGCATTGAGCTAATTAATCACTTTGGTCTTTAAGCAAGTCATCAACTTTGGTTTCAGCACAGTGTCTCAACAAAACCTGAGTATAGACAAGAGGCAGGCTGATCCAGTCATAGCCGTACAGCTTCATACACTTTGCACGTAAACTATTCAACTCCTGAACAGAGAAAGAAAAGCAAGACAGGCAAAACTAGTTTGAACAATGTTTCACTGCATACATATTGCAAAAATTTAGGAGATATGTAGAATCTTGCATATTGAACCTACAGTGAGAATGGCGGTGAGTGCCACATCGTTGTTTATGCGACCTTCAGTTCGAGCCCTCAGAGTCAAACTGACAAACCACATGCAGGGAACCCAGAACTTGTTGTGGGGAGAAGGCAAGTCCTCCAAGCTTCTCAGCTCCTCTGAGGTCATCAAACCTTAGAAACATGGTATAGAAATGGAAGAAAGCCATAAGAGATAAGAGATAGACAGCAAAGACCAAAAGTCCCACTTTTTACAGTTTATTCAAGACCTTTAAATCACACGAATGCAACAAGCACGGTTGGCTGGAGTGGTGCTAATGTGGCACCAACAATTGTGAGACTGGATGGTTCCATTGACCAGAACCTTACCTGCCTGCACCAGATGCTCCATTGTGGGAAACCTCTTGTAGACAGCGGTGCTGACAGAGCGGTAGATGAGAACACCTGAGAGGTTGGCGTAACGCATTAGGGTTCGTCGGGTCAACCTGGAGGGCTCATCAGTTCCACGAACATGACCACCCACTAATGAAGCCAACCGGTCCGGCCAGGGGAAGTTCTCAAACTGGCCCCACCAACGGGATACAACCAAGGTGACATAGAAACCTGTTAAACAATTAACAAATAAGGAATTGAATAAAAACCTCCTAAGATGGATTCCAGAAAAATGGACTTACTTTAGGAGTTGAGCAGCGGCCAATACTTACCCAGCACAAACGACACAGGGATGAGTTCAGCGTAGCGATCACAGTATAGAGACAGCTTCTCAAACAGCCTTCTTTGGTCATCATGTAACACAAACCTGGTGGAGAAAACATCGGCTGAGTTGATTGCGATCAAAATACAACTAGCTTTAATTTCATATAATGGGCTTGGATGTATTGAGACAAGTAATAACTTCCCAGCTTGTGGTTGTCATGTAAAAAGTGTCTTGTTGATAGGGGTTCTTTTGAATAATGTAACCACTCTCAGTGCGTCAAGTTTATGTAGAAATAATCCAATGTCCCAGTAAAGAGGGAATCACGCAAACACGTTTCATGTAAAATCTGCTTCTCGAGCTCTAAACATAGAATGAGTCACTTAAAATATGTCTTATTATCTCAGTCAAATGTTAGTGATACTTAACAGATAACATTTCAATCCACTGTAAAATGTCCATCAGCCTAAAACATCAAGTATGTGTGTCACACCACATTCACCATTGTCAGAGGATGGTATTAAAGATGACTGATTCATTCTGTTACTATACCTATAAACAATACTGAAGAAGTAGTAGAGAAGAGTGAAGATTATGAGCTCCCTGTAGAGAAGTTTGTAGATGCTGCCCTTCCACCGCAGAAGCAGATGGAAGAAGGTCCCCAGACCTGCATCAGCAACCCTGCGAGAGTAGGTTACTGTCATGGCTGCTCGCTTGCCATTGTTCACTGACTGTGGCCTGACATGAAGGAAAACCGCAGGGCGTTTTTCTCTGAGTCCTCTTAACTCAGCATCAGAGATCAACTTGGATTTTATCAGCCAACGTGTTCACATACCTAATTAAACAAAACAAAATGACAGGTTTAGGTGGTTCTCGGCTTTCAATCCATGCATGCCAATCCTATTTGTAATCCCACACAAAGTCAACTCAGCACTTTCCAGCTTTTCCTGAACACCAAAATAAACATTCAAAATCTAAAATTCCCCCATCTTTAAAATTGCCCACCTCATCTTTGCAGGGTTAAAGAAGAAAAATCAACACAAGAGGTTGACACTAACAGCGCACATACAAGGCTATGAAGTCGTGGTTACTTACTGCACACTCAGGAAAATCGTGGTGTTGTGGCCGCTGTGGCTGGAGATGTGTAGACAGTGTTCAACAAAAAGGAAGTAGTGAAGAAAAGAGAGAGAGAGTAAGGGAGTCCTACACCACCAGTCACTTGATGTGTTAATCTGTTTCTTTAACAAAGCTGCATTGTGAGGCCCGGTCCTGTTAATCTGAATAAATCTGAGGACAGCAGAGCACCAACCCTGCACACAAATAGGTTGGGCTTGTGCTGAGTATTGTGTTCACATTTTTTTAAATATGACTCTGATGCAACCATTTGTGGCTCAATTTATGTCCAGTGACCTGTAAAGTTTGGTCATAAGTCTTTAGATTTTGTTGAAATAAAAAAATTATTCATTATTATCCCTTTAAGGAATCACTGGATATTCAGCCATCAGAAACTCTAGATCAGGCGGCGCTGTTTTACACCCCTCTGTTGGAAAAAATGTGCATAGCTTAGCTCTAACTGGCCAGAAGGTGTTAGCTATTAACCCTTCCTTTCTAACCAGGAGACCAACAACAGGGCAAAGTGCTGACAACCTGCTTCATACCATTAAACCCATTTTCAAAAAGCAGTTTTACTCATTTTCATGCACTAAGGATGAGTTTATTTACGCTTAGGTGAGTACATTCTTTACAGTTTTTCCCCCTTTCCCCCTTGATACTGTTTCAGAAAGTTGTGTTTGCATTTCATTTCTCAAACTATTTCTTTTGTCATGACAGACAAAGAAAGGAGTGTGACTTTATTAATATATTGTTAAAACATTGTCAGGTCCAGTAACTACTGAAAAACTTTGCCTGTGGTTTGCTTTGTGAAACTTTAATGCACAACTGAGTTTTCATGTGATTTTAAGGTGTAGTGTAACCCTTTTCTCTGCACCCACAGGACACCAGGATCCTTGTGAACCACCAAAAGCACTGAACCGTCTAACATCAGTGGAGACATCAAGTGGTTTCTAATCAATCTGTGAGAGAGTCATGGATGCTTTTGAGGGGATCCATAGCGTCCAGATTTCCTCTTCTCCTCTGTCTTCGACAAAGGCAAATCCAGGATATGAAGTCCTTAGAACTGGGAGATCTGGAATAGCGGTTTATTCCTCAGCAGTATTTTATGGTACACCTGAGGACAAGGGGCGGCCTGCTTCAAGACAAAAGTCCAGCAGGGACGTAGAGACAGAAGGCTGTGTAGTTGGACGGTAAGAATCAGAACCTAATGGTTCACATGACCACAACAGATTTGTTTGATCTCACCCATGTGGTGTATACGTAAGGGATTTGATCATTAAAAAGAGTTATCCTGTTGCTTTTGCCACTAGATGGAGAGGTATTAGTTTATAATGTACAAGTATCAATGAAATTCTTAATAGATGGGGTACAATGTATCTCCTGTTTTAAGTCAACAATGAGATTGTAAAAAAGGCATTATAGTTTTGGTACTACAGTATGGTTGCTGTCTTATCTGTGGTCATCACGTTCATAAAATAGACTAAAATTCACATTGATGGCTATTGGTGATATTCAAAAGCAAGTAAGACCACCAGGGACAAGATTGACACTTTGTATGCCTTTGACTGTCAAAGATCAAAAGGGTGAGATTTTTTTGGGCAAAAGACACTACTCAAGCAGGTAGATGACAAAATAAGCAGAGACTGAGACAAACCAAAAGTTACTCCCAGAAGCTTTAAGGTAACAGCCTATTGCCCATATTCACAAGGGGATTTTCCATAGATGGCACACTCAGAATAGACAACACAGATGGGTCATGAAGTCAGTGAAATTGTAAAAGCCTAGAGGTACAAGGCTATATAAGTTGAAACAACATAATCTCACTCATTAGACAACAACTGATTGCACCTATTCAAGAGCCATTATTAGCTGTGGTCTGACAGCAACCAACAGGTAATTAGAGACATTTTATGAGCTTGTATTTTTAGGAATTGATTATGGGAAGCTGTAAAATGATAACTGTAAGAAACCTAAACCAACAAGCATCCATAAACACAGTTGTACAACATTCAACCAGCCTGTCATCTTGTCACACTTAATGTGCAGTCAGTGGAATATGTCTGTCGAATGAATGTTGCGAATACAGGCTACTGCTGTTTACCTTGTGACTGCATTAGGTGAACTCCAGCAAGGCATGGTATTATCTCAGTCATGCTTTACATATAGAGTACAGCTATCACATGAATGTAGCGAAGAGCTGCCAAAGCACGTACATAACACACATTCAGATTTGTTTTCAGTCTGTGGGCCAACTGCAAACTGATATCAGGACTTGTTGCGTTGTAATTTTGGCCTTATTTACAAAACAGCCACCAAACATCTTTTGAACTTTACATAATTTCATCAGAAAAGAGACTAAACACGACTCACCTACTCTCCTCCGGTAGCCGCTCTTTTGTAGTGAGACCTCGGGCCAGACCATTATGGACTACAGCGGGGTGACGTAGCTCAAGGAAGAACAATATTACTTCAAGGAAATGATGAAGAAATGACCATAAATGTTCTTTCTTGAGCTGTGTCACCCCGCAGCAGTCAGTAATGGAGTAGTGGCTGCTGAAAGAGAGTGGGTGAGCTCAATTTAGTCTCTTCGCTAAAGAAATTAGGCAAAGTTAAAAAGAAGTTTGGTGGCTAGGACCCTATATGTACCGTTGATGAAGTTAGGTGCTGTTCTGAGCATTGTTTGTGGCTATAGAGTGGCTTTTTGTTTGAGGTTTGTTTATGGCTCCTCAGACCGCTGTGTATTGCTATTGTACGGTCGTTACTGAAGTTGGTATAACTAGAGAAGCAAGCAGTCCGCAACATTCATCTCTCGAGGGGGTGTCTTAACTCGATGTTACAGTGTGTTTGACACTAAATTAATTTTACGCCGGAATATCCCTTTAAGTTTGAAAACGATGTAAAGACAAACCTGAGTTTCATTTAGCTGTAGGCTAACACTAGCTGTAGTTATCAGCTAAGGATGTGAGATTAAAACCTGCTATAGCATTCTGAACAACTGCACAATCTCATGCACTCCAACAGCTCTACAGTAAGTTTTATCTTCAGAAAGCCTCTTAACTTTTCCTTTTTGGTGATATGGTTGACAGGTGATAATTGTCCTTTCTGTTTATCATTGAAGACATAGTAGGATACCACCTGCCCGTGTCAACAAAAATAAACATAGTAGAATTTATTGCATTTCAAAAGTTCATAATGTATATTATATGACCTTTGCAACGTCGTTGAGGTGAGGTAGCCTATTTACTGCCTGAGTGTGTTGGCTCCAGAGCGTGTCCCGGTCAGGGCGTTGGGTGGGAGTGGATGCGCTGTCATGTGACCGGTGAGAAAGAGGCAGAACTAGAGCAGACGCACTCGTTTCCCGGACTGGAGTTAAAAAAAATGGGTAAACAAGAAAATTAGTGACGGGCATTGCGTGAAAAAAGTGTCAGAAAGGTCGTCGTTTCTGTCGAACTTCGACGTGTTTTGAGCCCGTGGGACAGCCGTTGGAGCCGCCGCCGCTGTTTTTGTCGGTTGTCTACGTCAGCGTCCGCATTCCTCTGCCGTGATTTCAAACGGCTGCTGTGATTAGTTTAAAGAGAAACGAGTTAGCTCAATTATTGCAACAGCTATCATCTGAAAACAGAAACTGGAGGAGACTGGAGGGGGGAAGCTGACAGATACCAACAGAGAGAGGTTTATCTGCTGTCCTGGACGCTGACAGACAGGGTAAGGGCGGGTACAGCGGGGGAGAAACCCACTCTATTAAAAAGTTATGTTACTGTGAGCTGGCAGAAACTAGCTGACAGGAGGAGATGTAAGTGCTCATTGTTGATTGTTGTCAGTTTGTCAATATTAGGGTGAACTTTTATTGGCTTTGGGAAAATGACACAGCATTGAATTCTCATCTAATGCTCCTTATAGTGGAAAAGAGGGACTTACTATTTCATTACTACTTTCTACTTTATTTCACGGGATGACAAAAAGGACCTCTTACAGTTTTGGTGGTCTAAAATGAAAAGGGAGTATAGTGTGAATTGTTTTTGCCTCCTAATTTTTGTTATTGCTTTATTTTATTTATCATTGCATTTTCAAGATAATAAATAGTTGAATTCTTTATTATTGGAGTATCTTGTTTGTTTAGTGACTCTTTTACTCAAATCGCATATCAATGATTTAGTGGTTTTATGCACCCAATGAAGAAAGTCACTTCCTCATTTCTGGACATGCAAGTATGATAAAACTAAAAGGGATTTAACTGTAAGGGGCGATGTGTAACATTAAACATACTCATATCTAAGATTTGCTCTTGAATTGCATCTGCAGATGAAAACAACAACATTCAGTGAATGTTAAATGTTACTTTCCAAACCTTGAACACACCTCTTTCTTCTGCAAATACCCAATTTAATGCTTTTCTGTATTATCATGTTAGTGGATTTGTTACATGTAAATGTCAGTCAAAAACTCTAAACATCTTTGCTGAATAATTGATAAATCTGTCATTCGCTTACAAGCTAAACTGCCAATGATAGAAAAGTCTGTAAGTCTTCAAACACTCTACGACTGAATTTGATTACTGTCTGTTTTTAATGTCTACATTAAAAGTTCTGATTAAGAGATAGTAACAACAATTTTAGTCACATAATCGCTTCACTTTAGGTTAAAAAAAAAGTCAAACTAAAAAAGTAAAACAAGACAGATCAGACAGATTGTGAGGTCTGTCATTATCATTTCATCCCAGTATCCAAACCTGTCCTCACAGGAGTCTAGAGGAATGATTGGGTGTGAAAACTCTGTGTCTCACTAACAACACTGATACGTTTCTGCTTGTGTGCAGGTTGGTAGATCTGGATCCAGAGCCAGACACCAGAATGGAGGGAGGAGGCCAGGTCAGGCCAACTTCAGGCAGAGATCATGGCACCCTCTCCCGGCTTCGTAGCTCCTCGCTGGAGATCAGAGAGAAAGAAATCAGAGAAAAGGGTTCAGAGATCCTCAAAGAGCAGCTGGACGCTGCAAAGAAGGTGTTGTAATCTTCATGCTGACATAGGATTTTCTGGCCTCAAAAAAAGAAGAGTTGTCAAAGCAAATACTGGGCCTTTTCAGATATGATTGTGACACTGTCTGCCACACATTTCAGGAACTGAAACTGAAGGACAGAGAGTGTGAGCGTCTGTCTCAGGTCAGGAATCAGCTAGAGCAGGAGCTAGAGGAGCTGACAGCAAGTCTGTTTGAGGTAAGCAGGAATCACTGCTCTCTCATGAGTGTGCTGTCATACTGGCACAGACCTGAAAACCTGATTATGAGGAAAGGGGCTTGATGCTTCATATGCTTGTCTTCTTAATTCAGTGTTCGCACTGAAGAGCAATTATAACTTCATGTCAAACTGCAACATTTCCAGTTATTTAGAACAAAGAATCAAAAGATGATTTTAGAAAAGAGCCATGAGGCAAGGTCAGCAACACTGATAAAAATCTATACATTTGTGATGTATTTAATTACCAGGAAATCAAAGATAAAGGGTGATGAAGTTTTAACTATCAATGATATTTCTTCAACCTAGAAAGACTCAATCCGGCATATTTATTTTGATGCTTTTGCTGATAGGTTGATCAATGTGCATTGTCATAATCAAATAAATAAAAAAAGTAAATGTAGACTCTCATTAAAATGACAACAGCATACATCTTCAATGAGAAGATCAAGAGTATAATTGAACATTTGACATTTTTATGACTGACAATTTTATATCTTAGAAATAATGAAACGACATGCTCATATAAATTCATACTAACTGTGAGCTACATATACTTTGATTAATCCAATTAATTATGTATACATTCATTCACAACTATTATCATTTTTATCATTCTCCATAACAACTTAATAAAGTTATATTGTTGATGTAGTTTTCTCTGCTTTTTGTGCTGATCCAAGTCTTCAGAATTTAGAAATGTACCATTCAGCCTTGGTGAATGATCAAAAACAGCTGCTGATCGCTTCACTTTTTTGGATAAGAAATATCTCAACCTCAATGTTTTGATATTCACCACATCAGGAAGCGCACAAGATGGTGAACGAAGCCAACGTCAAACAAGCAACAGCAGAGAAGCAGTTAAAGGAGGCTCAGGGAAAGGTGTGTGTGGAGTTTTTTTCTTTTCATTTATTTTGGGACAAATATCAACAGCTAGACTTTGTTTCATTATTTTTCTGCATTTTCTGAGTGTCTTTTTGTTTCTCTGTCAGATCGATGTCCTACAAGCAGAGGTGACGGCACTCAAAACTCTGGTGTTGACATCAACACCGTCTTCACCGAACCGCCAGCTGCATCCTCAGCTGCAGTCTCCAGGAACCAGAGGAGCCCACAAACACGCAGGAGGTCATGTCCGTAACAAGAGCGCGAGCAGCACCTTTCCATCTTCACCTGGAAAACCAGAACCTTCTTCAACCAAAGAGGACAGAGAGGTAACATCATTAATATTTGTACATGCACCGCCCTGCTCCTCAGGTATTGAGTGTCAGACTCTTTGCATTCGTGCATTTCCTGTTTTTCTGCTCTTCAACCCTGTTGTCCATTTTCCTTTTCTTTCCTCACAGTACTAACTCCTCCCTGAGTTTTTCCTCCTCTCTGTCTCTGGTCTCTTTCTTTTCCTCTCTTAGCCTGCTATGCCTGCTCTCCTCTCTCTGATTCTATGCCTTGTTCCTGGCCAATCAGTCAGTGTGAACTTTGACCCTTATCGGCAGCAGGGAGAGGGACTAGTTACTGACAGCAGACAGGTAACCAGGATCAACATGCATTTCAGATTAAGCTGTTGGCAAATTTAATTGTTTTTCATTGTTGTGAGTTGTTTTTTAAAGGGTATGTAAATGTTAACACTAAAGATGATCAGGCAGTTTAATATACCAGGGTGTTTTTTTGTTTACAGATGGACTCTATTCTGTACGCAGAGTTTTTATTGTGGAAGGAAAAGCCAAGTCTAGACCGCTCCTCTGCCTTCCTGAGTCGCATCTACAGAGAAGACATCAGCCCCTGCCTCTCCTTCACCAGATCTGAGGTCAGAATCTCATTGAACCTGTGTGTCATGTGTTTGTATTTCACAGTATGAAGTTGTGTTGACTCGACGGATTTGTGTTACTCACAGCTGTCGCAGCTGGTGCAAAGCGCAGTGGAAAACAACTCTCTGACTATCGAGCCAGTGGCAATGTCAGCCTTACCGATGGTTAAAGCTTCAGCTGTAGAGTGTGGAGGCCCAAAGTGAGTCAGCAGATCCACATGAATGTCTGTCACCTAGCTCTTCCCCCACTATTTCACCGCTAAACTCTTGTTTTTTTTTTGTTTTCTGCCTTGATTATGGTAATAGCTAAGGTTTCCACTGTCTTACCACGAATCTGTGAGGGGTTTGATCAGCGGGCACATTTCTCTTCACTGTCTGATTTCTAAATATTTTTCTTCCAGTGGCTTTAGAGCAGCAATAGAGACGTAAGTCCTTTCAGGAACCAATCACTGTTGTTCTTTTTCACTAACATAAAAAAAAAAAAACTATTGCATGAAATGAAGTCTTTCCGTCTAAATATGTGTTCACTTCAATCTGGTGATCCAAACAGGCACTTGCATGCGTCTGAGTGTATTTTGATAAAATCCTGAAAATCTTCCTCTTCCGGTGACTAACTTTTCCTCATGGTCCACTAGCCTTGTATGTGTTTTCATTTGAGTCAAAGACAAGAAACAGTGATTTCATTGATAATACCTGATTCTGACTGGGATAACACAATGACAATCTTCTCTCTCTGTAGAAAATGCGCTTTGAGTGGCATGTCGCGCCTCTGCCGACATCGCATCAAACTTGGAGACAAAGAGAGCTACTATTATATTTCTCCTTCCAGTCGAGCACGGGTAATTTTCATCCTTGGTGTATCTCTGTAAGCTTCACAAGAACCACTTCAGTTTCTTCTTGCAACCCTGTCTCTCTCTTTCTTCCATCTAGATCACGGCTGTTTGCAATTTCTTTACTTATATCCGCTACATCCAGCAGGGCCTGGTGAGACATGACGGTGAGTTAACGCTCACAAATTTGACACATCATTTCATTGTTTAACTGTGAATCTGTTTTGCAAAGAAGAGCTCCGTTTCAGACACTGACATGTTATATCTGTTGTTGTTCTTGTGCAGCGGAGCAGATGTTCTGGGAGGTGATGCGTCTGCGCAGAGAGATGACTGTGGCAAAGCTAGGTTTCTACCCCACAGACCAGGGCTAGAGGATGTGACAGTCAGTGAAATCTAGGCAGGAAAGTGCCAATCAGGGTAAAATTGTAATTAAAAGCAGGTGCATAATCAGTTTTTGTAGAAGGTTGAAGAGTGTCGAGTGCTCCAGCAGAGGCCAGTCAACAAGGGAGTTAGATTTTGTTCAATGTTTTTTACGCATTAGGAGAAAGAAATGACTCGGCGCAGATTGAAGGAACACTTGATTTCAAGGCTGGAGTTGGATTTTTTAATGAAAGTGCAGGTTTCCACTAGTCCTCACTTCTACGTGTGAGCTTTGAACATTCCCAGAGGAGTTCATGTATCATGTGACAGGCATTGGTCTAATGGGAAAAGATGAGGACAACCAAGGATTTAATGCAGTCTGAAGAGTTTTTTTTTACCTCACGTATTACAAACTTATACAACTACATAACGGATGAGCTCTATCGCAAGACTTCCAATATCAATATACGTTCCACAGAGGAATTGATAGATGTTTTTTGTTTGTACTGACATGCTCAAAGGAGTTATGTTGTCGTTTTTTTACTAAACCTTTCGTTTCAGCACGGCCTTACCTTTGTCTATGCACTTCTTCCTCTTGATGCCTCGTGTAAAATCACACTTGCAGCCTCTTGCAAGACACCTTTTCATGTGAGCCCGGCCTTACTTCACCATCTGATGTATTAATGTCCGAGGCATGACGCCTCCTCTTTCAACTGAGAAACAAGCTCCAATACAAGTGATACAATACACCTCGCTGTTGCCACTGAACTTTTGCATGACTGCAGAACAGTATGTAAATACTGTACATTAAAAGCCATAAATAAGTTTGCATGGATGCTGAAAATAGCCATAATTATGCAATGTATTTTGATTGTACCTCATAGTATCAATGTATTATTATAAATGGACAGGTTTTTTATTGTAACAGTGTCTTGAAGTTCAAAAAAATGAAGACTTTTGTTTCAGAAAGTGCAATATCTGCCTCTTCGCCCCCTGAAGAGCCTCTGGTTTCTCAGAGTACTGCTCAGTTAATGTGTCGCTGGTGAAAACACTCCATTAAAGACAAGCCAGAGTAGACTTTCTCAGTCATCTTTGCACCCTGTGTCATTTATTAACTGATAAAAAGATCTGCTGGTTTGGCTTTGTTGTTGGGGTATTGTATGGTTACTTGTAAATCTAACTCAGAGAGATTTTTTTTCTGCTCTGCACACAACACTGAATTAGCTTTAGATGAATTCAGGTCCTGACACTAAATGCTCTGAAGTCTCCACCGCACACAGTGACCTTAAAGGTTTGTAAGCAGAACCGGGGCAGTGGCACTGAGGGACACTGAGATCATATCCTGCTCAGAGGGGCTTTGAGGTATGAAAATCTGTTTTTAGTTTAGACATTCCAGTGAGATTTTAGTTTCCGGATAGAACGATCTTATGCAAGGTTGTTAATCTATTGTCACAGGGATTACTACCTTAAAAATAACACTTTGATTTAATGAATGAGCAGTGTCACAGTGATCTGCAGGTCAACTTCAGGGATACCCTATGATTTAAAATGATGTCTTCAGCTCATTGTAATAATACAAAGTACACATCATTCGATAAAAAAAAAAAAAGAACATTTTAATGGACGATCATTTTAAGAAGCAAATATAGTATAGGCAGTGAGATATTTTTAAGACCATTTGAACAAATGCTGAACAAACTAACTCTTCCCCTGACAGCACGGCGCTCTGATCAGCTCTTCTTTCTTTAGGAAATATCTGAAAAAGAGAAATGTCATTATTCAGACCTTAAACACTGCAAAACTGGCGCAATGTCAAGTATTTTTCTTCATGAAATATCAAGAATAGGGTGTACTACTCTCTTGTGTTTCTACTCAACACTTAGCTTTAGACTGCTAGTTATTTTTTTTTATCTTTTAAGTCTAACTTGAAAAAACAAACATTAAAATATATATATATACTATATGTCTTCAGCGACTCACCTTCGATAACAGAAAATGATCATCAGCAGCGCGCCAATCATCACTGCTATCACTGCAGTGGCCACAGAGATGACGGACAGTGAGGTGGGTTCTGAGTAAGTGCAAAATATTGGAAAAGAAATAAACTATTTTTAAAACAAAAGTACTCCAGAAAAAAGGGAATCAACAAGTGTCAAAAGAAATCATTCAGATTAACCTGAGCAAATGAAGGAGCCCGGTGTGTTGAGGCACTGAAGGTCTTGTGGGCAGAGAGAGCTTTGTTCTTCACATTCGTTGATGTCTGTAAAAAGAGGGATTTTGACTTTTCTAAAAAGCAAGGACTTAGTGAAAATAGTCACACTTTTTTACTGAGCCTCTCTTAAAGACCCTCCCTCATCCTGGCTAATCACATACAGTAAGCAATTCCTGCTGCCAGCAGTCGCTTGGTTAAAATACCAAAATGGGATTTAGTTCGATGACTTGAAGCAGCAGAGGTTCATGAAAGTTCTTGTTTTCATTGTTGAACTACCACTTTAAAAAAAAAAACGAAAAGAAAACGTGGCTCAGGCAGAGATATTATCACAGTTGTATTCAAGTGAAGTCATGTTCAGTGTTAATTTTTTGTCTTATATTTTCACCCTATTAAAATAATTTTTTGACGGAAACGAGTTTTTGGCCTAAATCATCTCTAGATAATACTGGCCATCTCTGGTAAAACTTGCCCAAATCCTTAGTTGAAAGGATCATGGCATGATCCTAGAGATTGGCCAGCATTATCAAGAGATGATTCAGGCCAAAAACTCATTTTCATCAGAAAATGACTTTTGCCATTATTTTAATAGGGTGATGATTTTGAAATTGAAGCAACTCTGGCCAATGCAGTTTGCTGACTATCCTTATCACTGTCTGTCATAAAACAAAGATGCAGTGCCACAGTGCATGAAATTCCATATTTCTCTTGGTTAAAACTGAAAATCTGGTATTTTGAAGGTACAATGATCATCTGAGCGATGATCGTTGAATATAAAAAGTTGTAGATTAATTGTTCATCAAGACAGTCAACATCTAATGAAGTTTTGGTTCACATCTGAGTCTCACCATAAAAAAACAAGCATGATTTTTATTTTTTATTTTACTATTCTGAGCGAAATAACAGGAAACAAATCTCAAGGGACGACTCAGTATGTATTCTAGTCTTATTACCAGGACAGGTTTAAGCTCTGTACCTTGACATGTCGGAGGTTTGGGACTCCACTGCCGGCTGTTTGGCTCACACTTGACAGATGAGGATCCCAGCAGCTTGAAGCCAGCGTGACACTTATACAAAATCACAGAGTCACAGAGTAGAGAGAAGCCAAATTGAATCCTAGGAATGGCACCACAGCTGGGATCTGGAAGAGGGAGGAGATGCAGGTTGATGGGATGAAGTGGACAAACTTGAAGTGTTTTCTTTTAATCTACTCACCTGTGTCAGGCTCTTTCCACGGACTGAGGTCAAGGTGGGGGATAAGTGGGTGTGAACAGGCCAGCATGTCCTCTGGTCTCTCAGTCCTCGAGAACGGGTCAGCGGGGACGTGAGTGATGTGGCTGTTGTCACAAATAATCCGGGACAGAGTGACGGTGTGGAGGTGTTTCCTCTGGTTCTTGGTGAACACTCCATCTTTCTCCCACCAAAACCTCAGGAGATAATGACAGGTTTAGTTTCTTTACCTGCTACATAATGATCATATTATCACACTCAGAGGATGTACTTCTTCTACCTGTCCCCATCTCTCAGTGCTCTGAATTGTCTCGCCAGCAGGCATGACAGAAGTGGTCCAACTCGACCTCCGGGCAGAGCCGGCTCAGAGATGGCACCCACCCACACATCGATGTTGTGTGGTGTCCCGTACAGGAGCTGGAGTTTATGAGCCAGAGTGGAGTTACCAAAAATTTCAGCCAGCTCTGCGGTCGTGTTGGGAACAGAGAGGCTGCAGAACTTTCTCCATGAGCTGTATCCTAAAAGGGTGAGATGGAAGGATCTAAGTCTGACCATGAAGTCTGAGCAAAGGCAGGAAACCAAAAACTGATTCTGAGATGAAGCTGTGTGACTCACTGCTTTGTTACGTAATTTTGGGAAGGAAAAGTTTTAGCTCTATTTTTGATATAGAAAATACAAACTAAGCATGTTTTTGCTGAATCATTCAGGAAGAGAGGGAAAGAGAGTCCAACCAAAGCTGCTGAGCAAGCTTTTCACTGTAAGCACGATGGAGATTTTCAAAGTAAAATTAGGCTTAAGACCCTGTTTCATGTAAGAAGGAGGAAATCCAGAGTTGTCAGGGGGTTAGATGATGAAATAAAACAGTCTTCTTGACAGTCAACAGAAGATCTTCAGTAAAGAGTGAAATAGTAACACTTAAGACAGCTCATACCTGGAAGGCCGTGGTCTCTGCCCCTCTGAAGGTTAAGGGCCCCGAGGTCTAGTGGCATACCTCCCTGTGCCTGAAACAGCCTCTCTGTTAGCTCCTCTACCATCATCTGGCCTGGAGTCTGCAGCTTGGCTGGAGACAGCAACAGGCCTCGCAGCACGGGGTCTATACCACCTGACGCACCAGGAGGAAAAGTCAGTATTTTAAGAGGGATTTTATATGAATGCATGACATCCATGGTGTTTACCTTCCTGCACAACCCTCCAGGAGGCAAACAGTGAGTGATGCAGAAGTAGTGGAGCATGCTTGGAGTCAGCGGTGTATCCTGGTCCCAGCCTGTTTACCACAGGCTGCACTGTGACATGGGCAAACCGAAATGCAGCAGCTGCAAAGGCGTTTGCAATGCTGGGATCGACTTCAGGATTGTAACCTTTGTATGGAGGAATCAGATGAGATGTACTCTCACCAAGGACCCGTGGCAGGTAGTGGTCCCATGTTAAGATCTAAAATGAAGAAAAAGAAAAACAGGACTTAGTGCAAGGACAGCTCACATCAGGCAGGTGAGTTGGGGTGTCTTGCAGAGACATGCCAACGAATAGATCACTGCAACTTGTATGCAGGCTTGGACAAGTCATCCATCAACCACCTTCAGCTCATCCAAAACGCTGCAGCTCGACTCCTCTCTGGCAAGAAAAAGCGTGACCACATAACGCCAATTTTAGTGACCCTTCACTGGCTCCCAGTTTGCTTTTTCATTGATTTTAAAATTCTTTTATTCATTTTTTAAGCTCTCAATGGTCTCGCCCCTCCTTACCTGTCAGAGCTCCTGTATCTCCACTCCACACCCAGAGCCTTAAAGTCCTCTGACCAGTTACTGTTGAGCGTCCCCAAAACCAGGCTCAAGTCTAGAGGTGACGGGGCTTTTAGACAAGCCCCCACACTGTCCATTTTTAAAACTCGTCTTAAAACCCATTTTTATTCATTGGCTTTTAACCCTGCATGAGACTCGGCTCCTGTTTTAGTGTTCTATGGTTTGTTTTTAGTTATTTGTTTCTATGTTTTTAAATTAGTTTTTCAAAACATTGAAGCTATATTTTATTATTAATTCTGCTTTTATTTTATCCATTCTTTTAATTGTTTATCTTGTTGTTTTGTCTAGTTATGTACAGCACTTTGTACAGCTGTGGTTGTTTTAAAGTGCTCTACAAATAAAGTTGAGTTGAGTTGAGTTTTTCAGCGGTTGCCCCTTAGACTGTGGAACAGTTTACCTGTCCATTTTAGAGCCTCACAGATCTTAGAGTCTTTGAAATCACTGTAGCTTTTATTCTTTTACTGTCTGTATTTTATTCCACTGTTTTTAATTGTATTGTTATCTATTTATTTACCTTTATATATCCTATGTACAGCACTTTGTTTGACTGCTGTCTTTTTAAAGGTGCTTCATAGATAAATTTTGACTTTGACTTTTGACTTTGACCTACCTGATGAATAGCTCCCATGATCTTGCGGGCCTCCTCATAGAGGGTGTCAGGGCTCCAGTGGGAGTTGAGTTGGTGCAGCACTTTTACAAGCCGGTTGTGCTCTCTCAGGAACAGCGTGTGCAGGGCGATCATTCCCAGATGCTCATTTGCTCTTGAATCCCCTGTAAAACACGAATCATCAACAACAGCTCGGGTTAAGCCTGCAGATAAACTCGCTTCGTTCACCTGCTCACCAGCATGAAAGCAAGAGGTTGTGTTCTCCTGGTGCATGGATCTGTCCCATGACTCCGAGGTGGTGGAGTTTCGGGGGCCACATGGGTCCAGGTGGGCCTGCAGGCGCGGCATGAATGGCATATAGCCCAGCTCCTGGTCTGAGTACTGGGAGTTGAGAGCCATCTCACCGAGAGGAGAGGAGTGGTTTCTCAGAGCCCGGGCCAGGCTGGTGGAGCTGCCGTACACCATGCTGGCATCGACAAAGGAGGTGATGGCGTTGAGCTGCTCTCGCTGGCGGTGAGATAAAACTCCAGAGACACAGCTGGGAGCAGAACGAAAGAAAGGCATGCAGCTCTGGACGCCATTGCGAGGATCTGACAGAGGGATCTAGGAACAGAGGGGTCTGTCAGCATGCAGTTTACAATCACCTGTTTTAAGCTGCTGTAAGAAACATTCACCTGTATGGGGAAGCAGGGTGTGTCTTGGCTGCAGGTGCGCGTGCAGTCAGCTCCAGTCCTGAAGGCAGCAGTGCTGGGGCTCTGCGGCGTCAGCACCATGTCGTGGTCTATCCACTGACCCCACTCAACCAGGAGGTGTGACAGGGTGGAGTCCAAGGAGATGTTATCGTTGTGAGTGAACAAAACCTCCTGAGACACCAGACGCACCTGGACACCAACAGAGTCTAAGAGTTACACAGCTGAAGGGACATGGGAGGAGTGGGTGCTGCTGCAGGACGCTTACTGGGGGCAGAGAGGTGTTATGGTAGGTGTGCTCTGGATCCCAGCCTCGGGGCATTCCCCATGCATCCTCGTACTCTGGAGGCAGCCAGCGGGGGTATGGGATGTTCGCAGCGCCCCATCTGGGATGCCGTCTAAACAGGAAAACAAGCACACACGCACGCACGCACGCACGCACGCACGCACGCACGCACGCACGCACACACACACATTGAGTAAATAAGAATGATTTTTAAAAAAACTTTTCCGATGGGAACTACTCTAATACTGTGTTTGTACATGTCTGTGCTGTTAAAAAAGGGATATTCCGGTGTAAAATTAAGTTAGGGTCAAACACACCGTAACACTGATTTACACACCCTGTCGAGAGATGAATGTTGGGGACAGCACCTAACTTCATCAACAGTACATATAGGGTCCCAGCCACAGCACTAGCCAGCAAACATCTTTTTAGCTTTGCCTAATTTCTTTAGCAAAGAGACTAAAAACAACTCACCGTCTCTCTTCCAGCAGTCGCTTGTTTGTACGGAGACCTCCGGGCGAGTCCATCAGCGACTGCAGCGGGGTGACGCAGCTCAAGGAAGAACATTTATGACCATTACTTTATGATTCCTTGAAGTAATAATCACCATATTAATCATTTTGCACTGCAGACGCGGTAGTTCTTCTGCCTTATAATCTCGGTCTGATTGCATTTTCATGTAGAAACAATCATAAATATTCTTCCTTGAGCTGCGTCACCCCACTGTAGTTGATGGACTCGCCTGGAGGTCTCCGTACAAACAATCGGCTGCTGGAAGAGAGTAAGTGTTTAGTCTCTTTACTAAATAAACTAGGCAAAGTTAAAAAGATGTTTGGTGGCTAGTGCTGTAGCTGGGACCTTATATGTACTGTTGATGAAGTTAGGTGCTGTTCTGATCATTATTTGTGACTATAGAGTGGCTTTTTGGTTGAGCATGTGGCTCTCTGTATTGCTTTCCGCGGTTGTTACCAAAGTTGGTATAACTAGAGAAGCAAGCGGTCGTTGACATTCATCACTTGATGGAGTGTCTAACTCTGAGTTACGGTGTGTTTGACCCTAAATTAATTTTACGACGGAATATCCCTTTAATCTTTAGTACTTTGTTCTTGATTCTAAGCTTTATAATAAGAACTGCAAACAAAAAACCCACAAATTTGATGAAAGAAGATTTAAGGTCATTTAGAAAAAGTTAATGACTCAACATCAAAACCTGCTTCATCAATCAGTTCACCTAGTACAAAGGTGGTAAACACTCACCTGTTGTTGCACTCTCCTGTGATGGATCTGTAGCGCTCTGACAGGCAGTCAGATTCACAGCTGGGTGTTTGCAGTTCACTAGAGCAGCCAGTGGCCTGCAGCAGATTCTCCACATCAGCTTCACTCAGAAGCTCTTGAGGAAATACAACGATTAACTTGAATAAGAACTACAACACATTTAATGAGTCTTGTATAAAAAACATTTACTGAAACAATCTGGGGACAGAAAAACTAAAGTCCTCGCAAAGCCCGTAAATATCAAAGTCAAATATTGCCTAAATATCAGCACCAAGATTACAAGAATTTAAAGAGTCATGAATGAGAATACTACTGTTCAGTACCATGAGGGCTGGGCTGCACCATAGTGTGAGTGTACACCATCTCTCTGATCAGCTCTACCGTGTTGTCCAGCAGTTCTGCAGCCCAGATCTGGGTCCTGGTTCTGGCTTCAGTCTGTTTAAACTGAGCCAACAGGTCACTGGGTCTCAAGGCTCCTTCAGAGAGCGACTTCTTCACCCTGAAAGACACTCACAGCTTGTTTTTTGATGCCGATAAAAGTTAATAGATGTATGTTATGTTGTAATCAGTGAGGAACCTTTCACTTGTGCGCTTGTACGCAGCATCAGTCAGCTCAATCGCTCTCTGAAGAGCCTCCTGCACAAACGCTGATCCTGGATACAGAAATAAATGCAGACAAAACTTAAGAATTATTCTTAGTGCGTGGTCTCCCCACTAATCATAAGCACGAAATCCTACCTGAGGTGTTCTGAAATACTGCATCCAGTAAAGCATGCTCAGGGAGGGAGAGGAGGACAGCCAGTCCAAACACGGAGACACACACCTGAGACAAAACCACATCTTGCTGAATACATCTACAAGTGTTTGTGTGTGTTTTTTTTATTCTATTTAACTAATTATAAGTAAACAAACAGGATAAAAATGAAACTCACCATGAGTGAAGTGTCCATCTATAACATCAACACTGTTCGGTCTGTGCAGGTCAAGAAAACAGAATCACACTTGCAGCATCTTACTGCCATGCAGTCCCCGACTCATCTCGAGAGCCAAGTTGGACTGTGGGTGTATTCAGCTCAGGACATGGAGGTTGCCATTTATACCCAAGCAGCAAAGCCAACAGGTATGTGCAGAATCCCCTTATCTGTCCTTCTGGTGACAGGAGCTCTACATCAAACACTGGACTCTCTGCCTCGACCTAATAACCTTTCAAATCAATTTACTTCTGTCCTTTCCACATGATGAAAACCTTCTGTCATATTTGGATCATTTTAAGAGAACAAATCCACCTACCCCTGCAGAACATATACGCCTTTAAAGCCATGGTCAAAGTTTAAACATTCAGACCTTTAAGCAAATCAAGAAGTACCTCATAGGCAACAAAGAAGCATTTCTATTTAAAGGGTCCACTGACATGAAAATGATAAATAAGTAGGGTATTCAGCGAAATGAAGGAGCAGGGGTAAAGATGAAACTAGGACAGGATCTGTCAGAAATGTCTTAATTAAATCACAGTGATGTGACTCACATTAGCAGCAAACAAGACGGTCTTCCCTCTGCCTGCTTCACCCCTTTGATGCTCCAGGTGTGTGATAGCATCAAGTGAGTCATCAGTCCCATTTCATTATGTTGTTATTAGTATTATCTCTCTTGCCCCACATTTCCAGAGCCTACTGTTTGGCCTGAGCTGAAATGTAGAAATCTTTTTTTTTTCCATCAAAAATGTCCTGAAGAAGAAAACATCAGCATCAGTCAGAGTTACTGGAACAAAGATTACCGGCTGTTCCCAGTCAGCCATAATAGTCTCTCTGTACCAGGATTATTTTGATAGCTGTCATGGTTTAACTCTCTTAAAAAAAGACTGTCCTGAACAGGTCACTTTTTAGTTGGAATAAAAATAGTGAAACATCCATTTATCCTAGATCAATGACACAAAGAAAAATATTTCAAGATTTTTTTGTTTGAATCTTGATGATTAGTGCTTACAGCTTACAAAAATCTACAATCTCAACACACCAGAATATTGTGGAAAAGTCCAGTTTCTTGTTGGTTAATTCAGTCCTGAAAAAGAGCTCTAATCTGTGCTTGAACTCTGGATACCTGCAAAGATCTACTGAGCCCTGAGGCTGCAGTCAAAGCATCAAGAGCCACTAAATAGGCTACAAGTGTCGTGTTCCTATTGACACTGTCGAGCTCTCAAGCCACTCCTGAACCAGAGTAATTGTCATAAGTGTCTCACCTGGGCTACAAAGAGCAAGAAGAGGACTGTTACTCAGTGGTCCAAAGTCCTGTTAGTTTTGTATCTCGTTTGAAAGTCAAGGTCCAGGTTGGAAGGAAGATTAGAGCACTTCATGCTTCTATCTGCTAAGAAAGTCTTTGGAGATCCAGATTCACTGTCCAGCAGGATCTGGCACCTGCTCATAGCCCCAAAACTACCAGAAACTGGTTTTCCAACTGTATTATTCCTGTTCTTGATTGACCTGCCACAAGAGAAAGATGAGAAACATCAGAGCAACAATAGAGACGAGCAGAAGGACGGTGTCCAAGTAACCTGGACTTCATAATACCTCAGTAGAGCCACAGACTTTTGGCTCCATGCTCTGTTACACTGATGCAGAAATATGTGCAAAAGGAGCCCCAACCAAATAGTGAGAGCATAAAGAACAGAATTTTCCAGATGGTTGTAACATTTCTTTTTTTAAATTCCTTTTTTTTTTTTTTAGATAAGTGTTTTATAATATCCTCACGCTTAGATATAGTTGACTTTTGTAAGCTTTAAGCTGTCATCATCAAGATTTGAAACAAAAAAAGTCTTGAAATATTTTCCTTTGTGTGATGAATCTTGAACAAAAGGGAGTTTCAATTTTTTGAATTAAGTTAGCGGGGAAAATATTAACCTTTTTAGGGCATTCTATTTTTTGAGCCGCACTTGTGTATCAAAACCTTCTTAGATTTTTATGATCATTTAGATAACTTGGATCATCAGCCACCAGGCAAATATAGTGAATCGTTTTTAGGCCTAACAGGACACAAAACTCCTGGGCAGGACCTCTCCATCTTAACAGAACTACAGGTACATGCCCAGACAGGAGCGAGGTACAAGTCAAAGCATGGCATTTAAATGGAGTCAGGCTCGCACAGTCTTCCCCAGTAGTACCAAAGATGGCCTACAGAGGGCTCGGTTCTGAGAAAAGACATGTTTCTTTGCAATTGTCATACCGACACAGGTGAACTTTTTTTACAGAGCCAGTTTGATCATCAGATATCATTAACGGGGAACACAAACTAACACATTTTAACATAAACACATTTTATTTATAACTTATTACATAGTCAGAACAATTCACAGAATTTTTTTTCCTTCATGCAAAAAATACCAAATCATTAGAAGCGATATTGTGATGGCACCTATAATAGATCGGATTATTGCTAAAAATGTGAAATGTAAATCATAAATATAAAGTAGAAAAGAAGGCTGCAAAGGCAAACTAAAGTTAGAGTTACATTATAATACTGTTTCAGGAGAGGCTTAGAGCCCTCCTGCTTTGATAAAGATTAGAGTGCATAATAAAAGTCACATTATCATCAGCAGTTTCAGACTTACATACAGTGTTAGTTAACTTGTTGTGTTGTGCAGAGAAGCTAAATTCACAGCAGAGATCTTTATTAGGCGTGCTGAGACCATAGGAAGCGATCACAGCGCTCAAGCATCGTCTGGATCATCGCTCTGAAACAAAAACAAGAAGGGTATTGGATTAAAAGAACTACACTACCAACAAACATATAAAACCATATTTATTGAGTTCTCTAGTATTTTCTCTGCCTTGACTCAAATGAAGGATTTGTTACAACAACAAAAAGATCCTCGGGTGGATTTTGGTTCGCGAATTTCCTCCCAAAGAGACATTTTATGACCATCATGGGTAATGGCTTTAGGTCTCCTCTAGGATAAACAATAAGAACAAGATGACCTTTTTGAACCTTAAGATTATTCACAGATTACTAATTTGGGAGTAAAACCATTGTATCCCAAACCATAAGAAAAATATTAGCATACGATTTACTGAATTTTATGTATAGAAACATTTTTGGAACTCGCTTAAAATCTCTGACCCACCTCTGCCTTTTCTCAGCGACTCTCAGCAGCTCGCAGACCAGTCTGGAGTGCGACGAGAGGACCAGCTGCACTCCGCACTCCTCCAGGACAGCCATGGCGCGGTCAGGTCCAGCTGTCCGAGCCAGCATCAGAGTTAGGCTCTCTGGGCTGATCTTTCCACTGCAGTCTGCTGAGCCGTTGGACCACCTGTCCCCATTCACGCCTGTGACCTGCTCTGGGTCGACTGCGGTGCTGCTCTGCTGACATAACTGGATCAGGAGCTTCCATTCTTCTAAAGTTTGAGGCTCAACACCTGGAGGATAACAAAAAGAAAAACATAAGGCTGTGAAAGTGCCTGTGAAAATGTTTGAAGCTGGTTTTGAGTGTTCGTTGAATGATTGTTTGGCACCAAAGTTATCAAGAAACACAGACACTCTAGAGGTCGACTAGTGCTATGCAGTATCATAACAGCCAGTACATGGTTTTCTTCTGCCTCATAACAGTTTGTCCCATTACACCTGTTATAAGGTTAACATTTGCTAAACATACTTTTAATATCTTTGAATAACTCTTTAAAAACCGTATCTCATCCTGCTCGAGTACAAAATTCGGCCTCATCCTCCTCTGTAGAGTTTTACCATCAGGTCCTTCCAGAAGACTTATATCATCCAGCTGACAGATGGTGGAGAACGCCTCCGTACGACGCTGCAGCTCACGGCAGAGGTACAGGTAACCCATCCAGTACCTGCACACACATTGTATAGAGGTTTGTGCTGTATATTAAACTGTAAACTATAACTGTCATTGAGTCGACAAAATAAGAAGTACCCATGACTGCGGCAAGTCTCTGCCATCTTCTGCTTGGAGGAAAGGTCAGCAGGTAGACCAATAAGAAGAGACAGAAGGCGGCCATAACCCCAGCTGAAACAATGGGAACGCCACCTGCAGCAGAACCACGAGAGACTCGCAATTATAACGATATTTTCCTTTGTTAGTTCAACTTACAACAGACTAAACAGAACAAGAAGTGGAATGATATCTTTACTTTTTACAGTCATTTTCCAACTCAAACTGAATAAGTGCTCTGGCCTCAAGTAAATTATGTTGTAGAATTAATGCAAACAGCGTCAGACCTGGGCTGTCGGTCAGAAGTCAGGGTATCACAGTGTTGAGGTGCATCATGAGTGAGTGCCAGCTCCAGCCAGTCCTGTCTCAGTGATTCAGGTTCAAGAAGAGACTGCAAAAATGACAACCTAGAGGAGGAAATCAAAGCAATATTAAAGAATTAAAATGCAACGTCTTTTAGTCTTTAATAGAAACAGGGAAATGAAGGCTGTGAGGACCCTGACCCAGGCCAAAAGAGTTTTTCAATCTTAGCTGTTTTGAAAATGTAAGAGACCCCACATGTGACAACAGCTGATGGCAGGTTTTGTTCTTGTCATGTGTGGGGTGCAACCAAATGGTGAACACAGCACATAGGGTTGCTGACCATCCCTTATAATATGGAATCATCTTATATTTTACATTTAAAAGTTGCAGCCCATTTTATATTGATACAGGGTGTCCTCTTGGATGCCCTTCTGGTAGGAAAAAAAAAAAAACATTTAATGCCCTCTCAATGTATAACACAAAAATACTCTTGGAGCTGCCCCTCTAGTTGGTAAACCATAGTAAAGTGCCATCTGCATGCTCCTCCTGTAGATACAATGAAATGAAAAACCTAAAATGTGATAAATACCTTACTGGTAACTAAGTATAAATGTTTGTTGTTGTATAAGGATTGTGCCAAAACGCTTTTTGTTTTAATCAAAGTTTTTGATAGATTGATTGAAGTTTATTTTGAACATATAAAAAATGAAAAAAAAAAAAAAAAAAAAAAGTAAAAGTGTTAATTCAGTGTATTCCATCATTTGACCAATATGCAACGGCTGAGTTTTAAATCAATTATGTAATTTAACATTTTGTCTAAGTAGGATGTAGATTTTTGTGGTAAGAAGTTCAAATTAATTTTCAAATGATTTTGTCTTTTTTATTGAAGAATATGTGGATTTAAGAGTTTGATGCTCAAAATTTCCTGGGTAAGAATTACACAAAAATCAAACAGCTAATTTATACTCATTCACACCCTGTATTATTCACTTTACTGATTCTTTAAATCAACATGTTTTTGTTTTTACTTTTTCTTATAAATTACTTATAGCTAAATAAATTACTCTATAGCATGTTGTCAGGCTGTGATGAGACATACCTGTGCTCCTCAGTTTGGGATTGGACCAGATTATCCAGATATGCCAGGAAGTGGCCTTGCTGAGCCATGGCCATTACATCAGCCGGTGTGATTGTAGGATAGAACTGGGAAAAGGACCGTACAGCTGCTTCTCCGTGCTTGTCATAAAGCCTGGAAAGTAAGAAAAAATACTTTGCAATGTCAGTCACAACTGTGGTGTAAGTATTAGCTGACTGTCGGACAAAAGTACTTGAACTAACCTGTGTATATGAGCGAGGAGAGGAGGTGCGCTCCAAGGCTGCAGCTCTCTCAGACTGCGCAATGATCTCAGCAAATCCCCTCTCTGAATAACCTCAACCACCTTACTGGACTGTGTCAGATCTACAGAGAAACAAATAAGTCAAAATTTAACTCCATGGGTATCATAATGCATGGATCCCCATGGTACAGGTCTGAAATAATTGATCACTGGACCACAGATTTGATTAATGAATCGTACAAATAAAAACCTGACCTCGCATGGCCTCGATGAAGGAGCTTTGCACATCTGGCTGCTCCTGATAACACAGCAGACACATTCTCCTCACTCGCTCTTGGTCTAGCAGGAAGAAGTAGCGTCGCAGGAAAGTTGTGCATCCTAACCCCTGTTCATTCTCCTGCTTTCTGAAGCAGCTCAGCTCTGTGTACAGGGTTGCCAGCTGTGTGAGGTTAGCCAGGAGATCTGATGGCAGGGGCTCTGGATTCACAATTCTTAGAGGCTCTAGAAGAGTGGTCTCGTTCAAAACCTCAGCCTCCTTCTCAGAGGAGTCACACGAGTCCTCTTTGTCTTCAAACTCAGAAGGTTCTGCTTTCTTCTCCTCTGTAACGCTCTCTGTTGGTTCTCCTGGCGAGCAGGGTGACTCCTCTTGCTGCTCTGAGCTTGTGTTGAGATAATCCCTTTCCCACCTCTCTTCTCCAGGTCCATCTGTGTTCGTATCCCCCACAGCAACAAAACCAACCTCTACAGGTCCTAATATTCGCTCTAGCACTTGCAGCCACTCCAGCAGAGTTTCTCCCAGACAGACCGGATCCATTAGCACCCAGGGATCCTGGAGTTGGGAGCTGTTGTTGGAATAATGTAACACATTGATTTAAAATCAGATCAGTAAAACTGGAAAATGTAGAAACCTAATAAAATAGTGACCAAAGCTTACATAGCTCGCTCTGTTGCAGATCTTAGTTCTTGCATGTCGGCTTCTGTGTTGGGCATGTCATCATAAACCCTGAGACACGACATTTGATTCAGTGATTTCATCTGATTTGCCTATTACTGTCTAAAAAGGTTAGTACTTACTCATTGTCTATTTCCTCTGAGTGGGGAACTGTGGTGGTTGACATTTCAGCTTGACTGCCCTCCCTGAATTCAGGGCGTTGCCAAAGCTCAGAGTTCATCTGGAGAGTGTTGATCTTCTCTGTGGTCTTCTTGACAAAACTAGAAACACTAAGAAAAAAAAGAGTAATAGTTAAACAGCGAGATTAAAACGGATAGATTTATCCTGTGACAACCAGAGTGGCAAACTGTCCTACAAAGAGCACACAGAGTAATGCCACAGATGCTCATTGTGAATTGAAAGTAATAGATACAGGTCTTTCGTGTAAAGGGGAACTAAGCTGTATAACAGCACAGCTGTGCCTTATGAATGCTTTATTATTAGGAGCTTCATTCTCCCTGAGAAATAGAAAATGAGGAAGTGCAACCTTAGTGATAAAATGCAACATGTAACAGTTATGTGCATGTATGGTATGAGCTGTTTTAATAACAGATTTATTCTTTTGTTATTTCTCTGGGTGTTCACCTGTCTTTAACAGCCTGCAGTGCAATGCGGGGGGGTTTAGGGCGGAATGAGAGGGGAAGGTGGAACTGCAGGCCTTGCTCAGATCGTTCGGCCTCCAAACGCTCACTGTTCTGTGGATCTGAATGAAGATGGGAGCAAAAGCCAGAGGAAAAACACAGATGTATGGAGCACTGAGAGGAAATGATGAGGGGCAGAGGACAAGGTGCAAGCAGATGGAGTTAAGTGCCAGACACCACTATAGAGAGAACATAAATCAAATACTGCACAATGCATGAAAAAAATCAAAAAGGTGGCATGTGTGTGATATAATGGAACAGACAGGACATCAAATATGAAAAGTGTGATTATATTTGAAAAGTTCTCACGGCAAATTCAGCTGTACAACATAGCAACACTTTTGATTTCATGATTTAACGTTTTCTTGAGATCAGCATCACATTAATTTTTCTTGCAAACGTAGAAGACACTTACAGAAACATGTAAATATTATAACAGAGTTCAAGTCAAAGAGTAAAATTATTATCAAATTTTGGCAAGTCTTTCAGAATCTAGAGGCACTTGATAACCCATTTATCTGATTTGGGATTTTTCTGCCAAATACTGTTGGTTACGCTTTACACAAATAAAAAGTTGCAAAATAATTTCACTCTTTTTTTACACTGAAATCGGGAAGATCAGAAAAGGAGTTTGTTGCTGCTACACACACACACACACACACACACGCGCACAGCCAGACAGACACACACACACACACACACACGCACACAAACACAGAGAAAGAGAGGAGAGGAAAAAGTGCCGGTAAAAACAGCTGTTTGTCAGAATAATTTTATATAAACACTTGTAGTTTCTCTGGTTTCTCCTTCGTTGTGTCAGTGTTAGCTCAACCAGCAATTCTGAATTTGACCAATCAGAAAAAAATAACCTTTTAAAATGATAATGATAATAAAGAAAAGACTTCTTAATCTGTTCTGGACAGGACACTATGTCTGTGTGCCACACATCAATAAGAAAAAAAGATCAAAAATTTTTAACATTAAATATCAAATGTCACCCTTAGTATTTCTCCTGCGTTTTTTTAATTGATTTTTGTCTATTTTGTCTATTTGTATATAAGAGTTTTAGAAGATAGCAGAAAGCAGGTGCTGATTTGCATTAGTATTAAACTGATTGAATAATTTGACTAATATTAAACTAATTATTCTGAAAACCAATCTTTAGTTTTCTTCATAGCTGAATGTTTAAATACAGTTATGACACGATGCCTACTGATCATTACCGCAAAAAAATTGCAGTAGTGATGGAAACATTTTCTGTTAGTAATAGAATTAAGACAGCATCTTTAGACAAAAAAAAACATACAAGGTGATGCAAAAACAAAGACTTTCACCTTTTTTAAGACTTTTTTAACTATCATTTGAAAAAGCAGTTATGGGTAATGATCTCTTACCATGATCCGCCTGGTCGTCCTCATGCACAAAACTGAACTCTTTGAGCCGCTCTTCCTCATATATGGAGGGATTGATAAGGGAGCTTGTCTCCTCGTCAGACTGGCTGCCTCTGCGACTGATCACACGATAGATTCCACAGTCCAGGACATTGAAGCTCTCCTGGGTAACAAAGAGATTTTGTATCAGTACATTAACTTGTTAAATTTATGTTGAATTAGGCAGCCACGTTTCCACCACCACCAAAGTGTGACTGTGTGAGCGAATGAATGATGTATCCAATGTAAAGCGCTTTGAGGGTCTCTGATAAAGCGCTATATGAAATCTGATGCATTATTATTATTATTATTATTCAGTGAGCATAAAAGGTCATGTGTTTCAAGGTAAAAGAAAACAGCTAAAATGTAAATAGATAACGTAATAATATAGATATAGATAATAATACAATCACTAACAGAAAGTTAGAGTACTCACATGTGAGGAAATGCTGCTCCTTCGGCTGCTAGAGGCTGAGTCTAGAGGCTCTAGTTTGGTGATGACTTCCTCCAGCTGGCCGATCAGCTCGTGGTGTGTGCTGGAGTTAAGCTGGGACCTGAGATGTTCAAGACGATCGATCGGAATTGATTTCCTGGCCTGTATCAAAAATGAATAGTGAGCGAGGCGGCAGCACGCAAATGTGGCTTTTTTTCTTTTTTTAATGCAACCCAGAGTCGTACACATATTTTTACAACAACAGCTACAGGGAACTGTGTATTGGAGTATTCTTCCAGCTTAATACCAGGAGCCACATCCAACACCTGCACATTTCTGTTATGCTCAGGCCACAGAGAATGCAACACCTGAGATAATTTCTAATCCTTTTCTAAAGGAACAAAGAAAGTCAGAATACCACATGATCATACTGATAAGACTAAAATCTGGGCTACACTGCACAGACTTGATGTCAGATATCTTGGCAGTTGCAGCCAACTTACCCTGCTGGTGGTGATAATGTGCTGAAACATACAGCACACTATTGCAGCCAGAGGCCAGGACTCTCTCCGGAGCAGCCGCTCAACACATCGTTCAGCAGACAGCAGGGAGAGGTGAGAAAGACGTCCACTGCCATGGAGACAGAAGAGCTCATTGCGGTAGACTGCAACATCAACCAGGTCTGTAAAAAAGAAGGAAAAAGATTCATATCTATTTACAGGAAACTGAATAAAGGGTACCAATAATCAATGTCAGAATAGCATGATCTAGTTAACACTTTCTTTGACGACTGAGATTATTAAAATGTCAAAAACTGTTACAGACCGACAATAGTGTGTTCAAAGCTTTTACACATTTACAATTAAAATATCAGATAAAATATTGCAATGGTTTGCTACTGGAAAGAACAACAAGAGCACCTTTGACTTCAGTCCACAAAAGCACTTGTCCATTCTGAGGTGTGAAGACATAAATGGCTGAATCAGTCCAGGTCAGCAAGTTCTGGTCTCTACAGAAATGAGTTAAGTGTTGTTATCTAACAAAAACACCATGCTCTTACTGTTATAATTAAAACACATGTACATTTGAAACAATTTGTCTTAGATACTGAAATACATTAATAACTTTTAACTTTACCCTAAGTAAACCAGTTTAGGAAAGGCAATGGACTGGGGGTTCTTCTGTGCTGGGTTGTATTGTGGCTCATTTCTGATGGAAACACAAAAGGTGAACCCAAAAAGGTGAGGAGTTTTGAAGTAAAGATAAAAGCAAAAAAAAAAAAAAGTAATAATAATAATAATAATAATAATAATAATAATGATGATGATAATAATAATAATATCTGTACCTGTAAGAAATGAGAGGTAGAGGAGGACAGGCTAGCAGCTGTTTGAACTGATGGGTGCTCAAAACCTCGCCATTGAAGTTGGCCTCCCATATTCGAGACCCAGGCCGTGCACAGTACAGCAGGGGAAGCTGCCCGACTAATAACCCCCTATTCTGAGGAAAAAAACAAGCTCCATACTCCCCATCCCGCTCCTTGTTTCCAACTCGCCAAAACTTCTCCCTTAAGGTAGAAAAGACAAGACTCAATACCTCTGGGAGATATAATTTTCCTTTCACACATTAGTCCGACTTAATTAAAAATCAGATAGCAAAATCAGTTGTTCAAAAATGAGAAGATGAAAATGAATAACAATTGAATAAAATAACTGCCAGTATACTGGGCGATACCTCTCTGTGTCACAGAGGTAGCAGCGGCTCAGGGAAGACACTGTCAGGCGACCATCTAGATAACCAAGCTGAACAACTCTGGAGTCCACTGTGGTGACGGTTTGAACCGGGAAGATGACAAAAGCTGACCCCTAAACACACATAAGACCATGTCAAAACATGACCATTAAAGGCATGGATATAAATGGAAAATGTGTGCAACAAAGAGGACAAATGAGTAAACGAGTAAAATGGCTTATCCTGATGAAATTTTACAAAAGATCATTTTCCCTGTTAGCAGACCCTACCTTGCCCAGTTTGGAGGATCCTGCACGCAGATATGACACCTTGCCTCCTGCGTCCCCCACAAAAACTCTGAGAGTGCTGGTGTCCCAGCAGAGCGCAGTGACAGCCTGACCTTTGTGCTCCCAGGACACACTGACCCTCTCTGGAGGACCCCGTCGCTCCAGCTGCAGCTCCCACACAACCACCAGACCCTGACTGGATTAGAAGGGGTATCAGTAAACACTCAGGTAGGTGGCAACAAATGACAAGTGGTGGTGTTTTTTTTGGAGGGTTGAGTGCAAAACACTTCTTTGCTTTCATGAACAAACCTACCTTGTTGCAACAGCAATAAAATCTTCATCATGAGGGCAACATGCCACCTGAGTGATCCAACCCTCCTGAAGACAAGCCAAGACAGGTATGAAGCTTTGAATTAATCAAACATGAGGCAAACTAACACTATTACCATATTAGGAATTTGACCATAATTTACCTTGTGAGTTAGGATGAGCCTCTGTTTCCAGCCCTCCCTCTGAATCAGGTGCAATCCTCCTGCTGATGTCCCTAATGCAAGCCATTTCCTTGACACTGCTAAACAGGTACACTGTAAAACAAGATATTACTCAGTATGTGAGGCACAGGCACGGTAAAATCTCCTGCGACACCAACTTAAAGCCAATAATAATTACATTCCTCAATCATTTTTTAAAAACATTTATAACATTAAGTCAGTTAAACAACTGTGAAACCTACCTTCAGTCTACCAGAGTCTAACCTCAGGGCGGACAGCAGTGGGTCAAGGCAGTCAAACTCTGCCAGTACATGGCTGTAGTTCTCTGGCACAACCGGCACCACAGGCATCTTTGTTTGTAATCTTGAACAAGTGCGAAAGAATAAGATAGTGGGCACACAGGATTTAAAATAAATTGATTGTATTTACTTAGGTTATTGTAATTAAGTCGTTTTTGTGTTCCCGTACTTATCTGAGTTGTATTTTGTTAACAGAACAGCACTTGGCTTTTTTTTTTTCAATTTTCAAAACATTACTTATTGATAAGAGGAGCAGCTAAAAACATAGCAACAGGCCTTCATCAACTCTATAATGGTCAAGTGGATATCATCATTGCATAAAAACTCGAACGTTGCAGAGTGTATTTTTTCTTCTCTCATCAAAATATCACATTATACCTAAACTGAGCTGTGTTTACATTACAGGTCCCAATATATAAATCGTATTTCAAGATAATGTAAGCCAGTGTTTTTATAATATTTAGTATAAGTAACTGTCTCCTAAGGTGGCCAAGAAGTGCCACAGCTGCAAATAAAAAAAGAATGAAAAACAAAAAAAAAGGTCACAATGGAAGTTACTGATGGAAAAAAAGGAGACTGAATCCTGCTGCAAATAAAAAAAGAAACGGTGCAGATAAAAAAAAAGCCACAACGGGAGTAAAAAAAAAAGTGGTGATGCTAAAAAAAAAAAAAAAAAAAAAAGTTACTTACTGCGAAAATAAAAGGATGCAAAAAAAAAGAGGCCATAATGGAAGTGAGCTGCCAGGAACCAATAATGATGATGCACCAGTGTTTTACAATCTGGGCACAGAAGACGACAGGTTATTGTTAAATTTTGCTTTGCGTGCCTTTCAATTTATCATTTGGTTAAGCCTTGTAGTGCCTGAGTCGATATGAAGTTGAACAAGAGGATGCTAGTGTAGTGTTAGCTTCAGTTCAACTTCATATCGACTCAGCTACATGGCCTAACCACGCTGAAAAGCACACTAAGTGAAATTAAACAATAACCTTTCCACATACTTTTTTGCTCGTCTTCCCGAGACGTAAAACACAGGGCAGGTGCATCATCATCATTGGTGATGTGGCTTCCATTGTGGCTTTTTTTTTCTGCATCCTTTTTTTTCCGTTGTGAGTAACCTCTTTTTTTTTTGCTTCGCCACTTTTTTTTGCGTCGTTAATATCCGTTGTGGCTTTTTTTAAAATTATTATGATAAATCTGCACCATTTCTTTTATTTGCAGGGGGCTACGGTTTCTTTTTTTTTTCTTGCATCGGTAACTTGTGACTCCTTTTTTTCGCATTCTTTTTTATTTGCAGCAGTGGCAGTTCTCGGCCACCGTAGTCTCCAAAGACTTTCAAACCCACACCTGTAGTCTGTTGCCTTGATTAACCCTTAGCCTTGTAGCTCCTGTTAAAATTGACAAGGCATGACTTGATTTCTCTACTTTATCATCCTTAAAACTAGGGGGTGGGGTGGACTTAATCATAAAACACTTAAAGCTTCACGTTACAGAAAAAAAACAATAATATACAGCCAAAGAAAATAAACATTACTCTTCTATCGTTTGAAAGTGTTGCACTTTTCCTCGTTTGTAATGCCAAAAAGGAAGTTTGAATAAAATAGAGAAGGGGGAGGATACCATTTAGTCAAAGATAATTAGAAGATAAAAAGATAATTACTGTTTGACTTTGCTTGACTTGTTGAGGTTTTACCAGCTCCCTTTCTGGTTAAAATTACATGTTTAGTATCAGGCTTTATAGTCAACACGAGTGTTTTTATCGACGTTAACAGAGACGTAACTGTCGGTATCACGAGCTCTCGTGCTTATTCGTTAACGACAGTTACCGTGACAGCGTTTATTAGCTGGGTTAGATACGTTAACTGTCATTTTGGCTCACAGTTTTCGTCTAAAATATAAAATATGGTGCTCAAAGTGGCTAAACTGTCGAGCTAAATACAGGCAGTCATATCTCACCACTATGGCAGACTGCATCACGAGACCCCTGTCTGCTGACACCAATGCTAACGTTTCTGTTATAAAAAAAAAAGCTAGCCGGTACGATGCCGAAAAGCCTTACAAATTAAACTACAAGATTCGCATGACAATGTTTACGACGTACGCCGGTTCATTTAAATAATGAATGGTGAAGAGTCTGTATAACACGCCAACTCGCTGCAATGCGCACACATGACTAGCTTGTACTAGCTAGCAAAGCATTGGTTTGGCCGTTGGTCGAAAGGTTGGTTAAACTCACTCAAAATCGGATGGTTTCTCCTATGCTTCCCCAAGCAACCTGGACGTCTTACATCGCCTTTTTTCCTTTTGAAGAGAGAAGTCAGCAGTGAGTATCACGCCAGAGCCAACTCAATATTGCTGCTTCCTTCAGCTGACGTATGGACACTTCCTGAAAGCAACCCGAGGGTTTCCCCAACCACAACCATCCCTGAAAGTGAAACCACCTCCATACTATCAAAAGCCGCAAAAGTTACGCTCTAAGAAAAACAGCAAATATATGTTTTAAAAAAAGATAAATGGCTGTATTTACAGAGGAGAATAAAAACAACAATAGGTGTACAGAATTCATGAAAGTAGGACCGTTTTATTCGACATAGCTTTATTACTCACTTAAAGTCAGAATAACATTTTTATCTTCAGTGCAGACCAGGAGTGCAGACATTAAACCTGTGAGTGTGAACAGAGCCACACACTAATGCACTCAAGTGTAAAACGTCTTTACAATATTGCTTTATTCACTCTCTCTTAGTTCCACAAATGGACCCAGTGCTGAATAGGCGCTCCTCGTGTGTCCAAGATCTTCCTGTTCACTGTGCAACACTAAAAATGTTTCTTGGCAGCTCTCTGTTTCATCTCAAACCAAAGCCAGTTGTCCTGAGTATCTCTTCTGATCTGCCATCTGAATTTTGGTCATATTACAACACTTTTAAGTCCCATTTCACTGATAGCATCTCCCAACCACAGAGAAAAAAAACAATTGAGAAAGAAACTAATTACAGTTATCTGTGACTGAGATGCTGTTCAGTCTCCGTTGAACAGTTAAGGGATGTAGCAGCATTCATCTACTGTATATCCACGTCAAGCCCACTGTGAATCGTGTCTCTGCAGCTGTAATCTCGTCACAGCAGTCTGGCAGGGGTTCACAGGCTATCTGGCCAAACACTTAAATGTCTTTCCTGCCCTCTATTTTTGACAAAGCATCAGACCTCAGGTTTTCCTCATCATGCGGCGGGTTTGCCAGATGTGAAACTTGTTGTAGGCTGTCTGAAACATTTCCTCCAAATGCCCTGTAAGCTGTGGGGTCATCAAAGAGACAGATTTTAGTACAAGTGCCACTGGTTAGAAGTCACAGCGTCATTACTGACAGCTTAGAAACGTACATTTGTACTTAGGTACTGACGCTGAATCTTCTCCTGAAAAGGACGAAGTTTGGCCATCTGAAATCTTTCAAGGTTTGACTTCATCTTGATCACCTTTAGAAAAACAGAAAATTTAGTAATAACAGAATTGAGAATCTGTGAGAAAGACAGAGAATAAATGATGTTCAATCAAAACTGGAGGTTAATTTATACTGATGAGAAAGGTTTTCAGCGAGTGTTATTCTCAGGGAGTAAACAGTAATGTGTCCTCCATTTAGTGCAGTAAATATCAGTCACCTTCTCCTCTAAAAACGGTGTGTTCACTGGAAAACAAGACCAGAAATGTCTCAATAACTCTCCAGCAGCTGCATATAGGTGCTTCAACTCTCCTTGAACATCAGTAGGTACCATCTCTGAAAGGAAAACCATAGAAGATGAATGAAAGAGTGACTGGTACAAACAAATAAAAGAATAAAAATGAGGACCTATAATTATCTATGTGTATCACTCCACCAAAGTTATGGATTTCAGTGTTGTATGTTAATTTGTCAACAACATGCCTGTAAAAACTGATACTCTGCACAGATCTGTCTCCAACTCTCACAAAGGTAAAATGATGGTTAACTTTCTGATCCACTAACTCATAACAGAAAAAAGTAATACTTTTTGGACATCGTGCAACACACTTACGATTTATGGCTTGTTGTGCTCCTGCCTGCATTAGGACGCCTCCTGGAGAAAGTGCTGCTATGGCAGAAGTAGCTGCAGTGCTTGACAACACCTGCACAGAGTATACAACTGTTTGGGAGCTTCATTCATAGATTGAGTAATGTTAACACTCCAGACATTTCAGAACAACTCTAACTCTGAACTGTAGATTTTGTCGTATAAATATTTTCAAATATTACTGTCAGGATATGCAGTCAATTTTAAATCAAATATTCATGAGTGCATCTTAATACATAAGGTATTGGATATATTTCCAAGACTATGGGGTCAGGAGATCCTAATTTAGCACAATCTAAACCTTTTGACTAGGGAACAAATATCTCAGTTGTGAAATCATCTTGTGTTAATCACATAAATCGTATGGTGTTTCTATGCCGACTGATTACAACTGGGTATGTGTTTGTTATTCAGATTTTGTTGTCTTTGGCTGGAATATCGATACAGAGTTTTTGACAGAATATAATAGTGTAAGAGAAATACACTGTAGGTAATTATACCTGAATGAGATTTGGTTTGTAGTTGACCATCTCATGCCGGATGTAGTTGACAGAGTTGATGATGTCCTGGCTTGTCGAATACTGCTGGGACTGAAGTGGCACAGGACCATGAGCATATCTACAATATGGATGTTTTGGAAACATATTAGAGTGTTAGCATAAATGTGACCCCAAGTACACTGGAAATTTTTCAATAATTTACTCCTGGAAACTTTTTCAAGCTTTAAATATTCCAGTTGATCAGTCAATAAAGACGGCTTCAAAATAGGAAGTGATCATTTCCCCTGTTAGATTTGGCTCATTTATAGTTACATGCCGTCACAACAGTCAGATATTGAATGATGACCAACAGGTGGAACTTTAACAACAAAAGTGATAAATCTGACTATAAAATTGAATATATTTGCTCAAGGTTCAAAAGGGCATATTCTGCTCCAAGGAAGTGTGACTCAACTACAACCCATGTGCCTCTAAGCAATTTCTTCACAACTGAATTTTGGAAACAGATGCCTCAAAATACTTTGAATTAAGCTGTATTCATCACTACTTTTAGAACATACTTTACAACATTATTTTTGTCCATAATAGGTTTATGAATGGTTACTCACTATATTTTCAGTATTACTGTTCAATAAAACAAGTTATAAATTAAAATAAATACTTTCAAAATTTCAAAATTTCTTATTGATTAACGGTCGATTATATATTTTTTGCCAAGATTACACACCACTATTGATTATGAAGACTTGAGTATAGAAAGCAATAGGCGGATTTATCTTCTCAGGAAAACTGTCCAACAATCTTCGGGATGTGATAGCTGGAATCAATACCCACCTGGACAGCGGGATTTGAGGACCTCATGGTCTACCGCAGACTTTGGGGACCCCATTAGTAACATCATGTAGAAGTAATCAGTATAATTTAAAATAGACTAAACATACCTGTCAGACTTTTTGAGGTTTAACGCGACTGTTTTTGGTCTGTTCTCCCTTTGCAGGTCTTCATATTCAATGGCTTCTTGTAATTTAACCTAAGAAAGGACAGACAACATTAACCATGGTGGAACAGAAGAGCTTTCATGTTTCAGGAAAACTGTAAAAGTTCAATCACCATCACCACACCTTCTTTACTGGAGGCTGAAAGAAGTCAGAATCTCTTGAATTTCCATCTGTGCTGCTTGTCTCACTTGCTTGGTCAGTTGGCGCTTCCCTTTTATGAAAAAATACAGTTAGCAAAAACATGAACACACCAAGCAAGTGCGATCACACTCAGCAAGAAATCTTTACCCCTTGCGTGAGCCTGCAGCTAGAACCATAGCACTGTGATGGTTGAAGCGTTTTATGATGGCAGCGTTGCTACTCTCCTTCACCGTCCTGTTTGAGGTTGAGGTTGTGGCTGGAGTTGTAGCAACACCATAGCCCTGTATCATAAAAACAAAAAACAGGTCTTAGAGGAAATAGAATTTTACAGAGTCATTTTTGGATAATCTCATCAAATCTCACCTCGTCAAGTGTTTTATCTTCCAGAGACATGAGGTCTACCAAAGGATTTTTTACCCCCTGAACCACCATGGATTTTAACCCTGCATGAGACAGACTTTATGCTTTTGTGTATGAAAACAGATTTGAGCCTTGTTGTGATAAAAAGAATAGAAAGACTGTGAGGCCTTAAAAAGAGAATCACAGCTAAAATTGTATTCAAACTACCTTTTTCATCCTGCTTGGCACACTCTGAGAAGATATCCTGTGTTCCTGTGTTGATGCGGTCTCTGTGAAAATAATGGGACTGGAAAAAACGAGTCCAGAACTCCTTCTCTGTCAGATTGTGAGGCACATTTTCATTATACTTCTGTTTCACTGCAAATAGGACAAAGTTGGTACAAGAACAAAAGGTTGAATAGTTAAGATCACAGAGATAAAAAAATATTGCACAACACTGTTAAGATCAAAGTAAAGCAGCTGATTTCATAAAGCAGTTCTTGCATATCAAAAAACAAGTTAGACACAGTACTTGCAATGCCTTATCTAACTTCAGAATTAAGACGCAGCTGGTTACCTGCAGGGTAGGTTCTGAAGATGGATTCAATAATATCAGCTGTCAGATTATATCTCAAGCCATTGCAGCCATCTGTCTGAGGTCTAATGTCAGCCTGTAGAGCATGAATAGAGTTTGTTAATTTTTGACTCCTGCAAGTTTGAAGTTGTCATTGCTAGGGTGCAGCAAAGTAAAAGATCTAAATATGCTGGATATGATGTACTCACCAGAAAGGCTCCAGATATACCGACTTCCTGTTTGTTGTTGTTGTTCAGTGCAGGGTCTGAGTTGTTTAAGTCTCCAAACCGGTTGGCCCAGAATTCGTCAGCACTAATCACTTGGCTCACAACAAGATCTTTATATAGCTGGAAAAGCACTGGATCTTCTTGAAGCATCCTACAGTTAAAATTAAAACAGAATCGTTAAAAATATTTTAACCAGTAGGTGGTCGATTTCTTCTCAACAACTCGAGGAGTCACAAATTTTGAACCTTTTCTTTCAAGATACATCTTATCATATTTGAAATGATTAATTAACCATCAATAGGGTATAAATTTGATAGCAGCTGATGAAGAAACTGATGCAGCTCTTGTAAAACTTATGTAACATCCACATAAATCAGCATATAGGGTAGCAGACTTAAACCATTACCGTTGAATAGTCCTGCCCATACAAATTTTTAAACAAATGTTGCAAGTACACTATCAAAACAAACAAACAAAAAACCCAAAAGGGTAAATTCAAAAAGTTTTCCTGTAACTTCATATTGCTATAACAGGAATACACTTCTTTGTCGTGAGCTGGTTTTGAGCTCAAACGAGTAATTCATGCAACAGAATGATGGTTGTGGAACCATCAGAAAATAAGAATAAGAAGAACTTTATTAATCCCTGAAGGGAAATTCAATTGTCTGTTGTCTCATTTGACATGTCTCTAAAAGTTATCAACTATTTACACAAGCGTTATAAAGTCTGATGGCTGTTGGTACAAAAAATTTAAGATTATATATATATATAAGTTTTACAATAGTTTTACAATATCGGACAATAAAGAAACATAGTGCAAAGGTGTGGCTGAATAGCATATTAACTGAGCATTTGGACACAACTGGGATCTATCAAGATGGACTAGCTTATAATACAGACTAGGGCCTGACCGATTTATCAGCGAGTCGATTAAATGGATCAGTTTTAGCCCGTTTGAGACTAATCGGTAATCGGCCAAAACTTGCCGATTTTTGCCGATATTTTCAGAAATAAAATGCGGAGAATAAGATTCGGTTTAGCTTCGAAAATGTTCCACCATTTGAAAAGTTCCCCGACTTATCCTGTAGATGGCGCAGTGACCTCATGACAATCTTCATCCACTAACTACCTCACAGCACAGCAGAGTGACGGATCTGAAGCAGGCAGACACAGGGATGGAGGAGAGTGGTCCGACTCAACGGTAAATAAACCAGTTTGTGAAATACACAATAAGTCAACAAGTTTCAGTTCAACCCACTTCACGATGTTCCCCGCTGTGCTGGTCTCGCTCACACCGAGGTAACGGTGAAGCACCATGTAATATGCAAGCTAAAGTTAGAGTTAGCCATCTGCTATTAGCCTTGCTACACTGTTAGCCGTGCCAGTAACGGAAGAATAAACAACAGAACACATTACGTGATCGAGTTACTTCTCTTACTGAGGCAGCCGCATGTCTCAAGATGAGACCGGACCGGAAATGAGTAATGTGAGTTAAGACGAGGAGGCACCGATCGGCGGCGGTAGTTAAAACGCTTTTCTGGTCGAGTTTGATCAGTCGGTCTTCCTGTCGGCGTGAAGAGCAGTATCCTACAGTATTTTTTACAAATTTTGAAAAATCGGTTGATTAATCGGTAATCGGATCCCCCTAATAATCGGTATCGGCATTGGCCCCAAAAAATCCATATCGGTCAGGCCCTAGTACAGACTACATGGATGATTTGGTTGTTGGGTCTGTAAGGTTCATTAGATGTAGTCTTAAAGAAAAGTCTTGAGTGATCATTTTTACTAACCTGTTTTTCTCCTCCAGCTCCTTGTTTGCTTTCTTTTTAAACTTGGGCAGAAGCTGCTGCAGCAGCTCTTTAGCAACCTCTCTGTCTTTCAGTGCTGTGGTTTCATTGGCAAAGTGGAATGTGGTACTCTCCCCAGTGTGAAGGATCAGCTGCAGCTGAATTTTGGCTTTACCATCTGGACTTATCTTCTGACCTGGAAAGGAAACACACTCGCATAAGCGTGACACAAACACACAACAATATCACTGCTGCTTGGTGTTTGATGGTGCTGGACACTCACAGCGAATATCTGCGTACAAGTGGCTGACTGTGAAGCGGTCTTTGCCCTCAGGGCTCCAGGCTATCCGTTCAGCCATCAGATATAGTGTGCCATCCTGCTTCTTCTGGCGAACTCTTTTCACCACCAGCAGCACCTCCTCTGACAGTGATGCCATGGCTCAAACAAAAAACTGAGAAAGAAACAGACACAGAGGATGAGGGATAATCATGCACACCATAATCTTTGACTTGTGGAAGAAATGTGTTGTCCCACAAAATCATCAACTTGAAGAAGCGACTTGAGCAGATAATAGTTCGTTGACAAGCTGCTGTAGAGTTAACATTACAGGCATTGATTTAAACTCAAATATAACGAGGACCTTTCGTTCCACTGAAGTGTTGAACCCTGAGACAGCCTCTGTGTCTACTTGAACTACAGCGTCCTCGATATTTGTTATACTTTATCCAACATACCTGTGCTCTCTTCCTAATAATAATAATAACAACAATAACTATAGTAACAATAATAATTAATTTACTATCTCTGCTAACCTGCATTACGTTAGCTAACGAGAACTGTTGAGAAGAGCAAAGCCAGAGGAAGAAGTCTGTGACAAACTTACTTTACCTTTAAATAAATCGATACCGGAACCAACACTCCTCCTGTCTCAAACATATAATCTCAAATATGTTTCTCTTATTAACAAAATTAAGACCAGGTTATTTCAAACAGAAATTTGACTACTCTAACACTGAGCGCTCTGACTTCAGCACCGACATGACTGCGAAATAGTGTTACTCAAAAAGCTGACCGAAGAGATATTGCGATCAAAACTATAGTTCCGGCCTATGGCATCCGCTTTTTGACGCCACGTCAAGCGTTTAAGAAGACGATCATATTTTCAAATTCAAACTTTATTTTTATGACACTTTTCAGACAAGAAATGCAGTTCAAAGTGCCTCACAGGAAACACTGGAGATAAAAGATAGAAAATGGTAAAAGGAAAGACCAAAACCTGATGGACTAAAACAAGAAAATAATATTAAACGAACAGATAAGAAAGAGCTCTTTACCATATAAAAGGGGTAAAAGAAGTAAAAACCTCTAAGGCAGGAGCTAAGAAAAAGTTTAAGAACAGAGATAATTAATAAAATGACATAAAATGAACAATAAGAACTTTGATTAAAATGAACATTTGCAATAAGAGAAATATAAAAAGGTAGTTAGTGAAAAGCCTGGTTAAAAAGGCGAGTCTCTTAAAATTTTATACTCTCTTCTTGTCTGATTTAGAGAATATATACAATACAGTTAGTGTTAAAAAAAGAAAGAAACTAGGTGTAGTCTCCTGGTGGTAATCATACCATGTTGTTGATTAGATTTCAGCTGTTTAGGAAAGATCTGATAGATAAAATATGATAGATTGTCCCATGGATTTATTACTACAGATAATAGATTACAGATTATAAAGCATTTTAACCATAGACTGTATATAAGATGGACAGAGACTGCCTCCTTGCTGGGTGAAGCCACTCCGAGAACAGCACCCTCTGATGGTGGGCTGCAGTACAAGTCATAAATCCCTCCTCTGCCAGCAAAGCTTATGGAGCTGTGGACAAACTTTAGAAATTTATTACACAGAACATAATTTTTTCTCCCCCCTGGTTGTGATGTTGACATGTAGTTATTGTGAGACTGGTTTGTGCTCAAGTGCTTTTTTTCTGTACAGCTCCGTTTTTAAAAGTTATTAGGGGGGTTCATGTTTTCTATGATTGACACCTGGTACAGCCTATGGGCGTTCGGGGATTGCGTAGCTCTCCCGGGGGGATACGCTGTTTGAGCCGAGCGACATCACAGGGACTCTCGGCGACTGCGCGGCCGAATGCGCGCATCGCTACTGCGCAGCTCTGGTTTCGAGGAAGTGGAGAAAAACCCGCAATTACCGAGAGCTTTTTGGCTTCAAATCCGTATACAGGCGGAAGGCGGAACCAGGTTGTCCATCTTATATACAGTCTATGATTTTAACTCAGACTTGAACTCTGTTCTGCTCTTATCTGGGAATAATTTACTCATTTATTTTGAATAATTCTCAATTTGCTGCTCTGAAGTGCTGCATCCTACCTATTTTAACAAACTGAGAGTATGTAGTACCTCAAAAGTCTTAATTTTTGCTGTTTTTTTTTCACATTTCTTTTTATTTGTACTTAACATGCTAATTATCAAGAATGATAAGATTCACTTTACTCTTACCTGTATACCAGTATTAATTCATGGCACATTCTTCAAATTTAGTAGTCTCATCATATATTTGAAATGGCAAACGGCCATGTCTGTGTAAAAATCATTGACAATGACCACCAGAAGAAAGGGGTATGACCTTGCCGAACCTTGAGTATTATTATTGGACATCTAATTTGCATTATACGTGATACTAGATACACTCACAATTTAGGTACTTGAATCTGACAGACATGTACCTTTTTACATTCAGATGTCTCTCCCTGCTGTCAATACAAGATGCATCATTCAACATATGGTATGGGACAGGTCTGAGGAGTCTCAAATTTCTGAACTTATTTTTTTGCCAAGTGCCTCAGATGCTGTTATTCTACATACCATGTTATATTATAGATTATGAAATCTATATGTAAGTGATGGGGCGTTTTGTTTGTTGTAGAAAAAAACAAAAACAAAAACAATAACACTGAAAGGACAAGAGTGAGACAAGATTCAAAATTTGACACTCCTTTTGGAAATCAGGGATGACATATCCTCCTCTCCAAAGAGGAAAGGGACCGTCTGGCCTTTTTTTTTTTTTTTTTACAGTGCACAGTATCAGCAATGCTATGGGGATGCATAAGTGTCCATTGCACATGTAGCTTGCTCATCTAGGAAGATGTCCTAAAAGCTGATCAATATATACAGGTTTAGGAACGACAAATGCAGTTATCCAGGCAACACCCTGGAGCATTATAAAAATAATGTAATGAAGAAGACCATGAAATGTCTCATCGAATTTAAAATGAACAATTTTTTTTCCTCAACATTAAACTGTTTCAGTTTAAACATTTGATGTCATTTGGACTCTTCACAATTAAAAAGAGTGTTAAAATGATTTGCAAATCATCAGATTCTTTAATTATTATTTTAAGTTTTTTTGTCAATTTTGCTGCAACCTGAATGAACTTTTCTGTAATGACAATGCATTCATTGATACAAATTTCTTAACCTGATTCACACAATATTACTTTGGGTATGTGTTAGTCAGTGAGTAAGTAAGTAAACTCTATTTATATAGTAATAGTTACAGACAAAAAGTCATAAAGTGCTTCACATAAACAAAAAGTAAAAATGTAGAGTACATACAAATTTAAAAGGCCAAGACAACAACATTAAAAATCATAGCAGCCCCAAAACAACTAAACAAAAGCCTGAGCAAATAAATATGTCTTGAGTTGAGAAGATCGTTCCATAGCCTGGGAGAAACAACCTGGAAAGTTTGGTCTCCTCTGGTCCAAAATTTAATCAATAGATTCTGATTCCCAGACCTTAGAGCCCGAGTGGGGGTGTAAGGCTGGATGTAAGATGGAGCCTGACTATGCAAGAGTCTAAATATTAAGACCAGAATTGTAAAATTGATCCTCAAGAACACAGGCAGCCAATGTAGAGCTTTAAGAATAGGGGATATGTGAGTCCTCTTATTCGTGCCGGCCAGAATTCTTGCTGCAGAGTTTTGCACTAATTGCAGACGAGACAGTTCCTTTTGTTCAGACGCGAAAACAAACTATAACAATAGTCTAAACGTGAAGACACAAAGGCATGAGTGATGAGCTCCAAGTCATTTTGTGACACCATTTTCCCAAGCTTAGAGAAGTAAGAGCTCTAAGACATGTCTTTGTCAAAAATGACACCCAGATTTCTTAGGCTAGGTTTTGCAGACTGGCCCAAATCACCCAAGTACCAGTTAATCTCTGAAATTGAGTCATCAGGGGCAATAACCAGTGTTTTAGTTTTGTGTACATTGAGCTGCAAAGAGTTTTCACTTAGCCATTGTTTAATTTCTACTAATCACTGGACTAAGGAGTTAAGCTTCTGGATCTTAGTCGGCTTAAAGGAGCAGTAAAGCTGGATATCATCAGCAAACAGGTGGAATGAAACATCACTAAACCTTTGGAAGATCTTTCCCAAGGGGCTCAGGTACAGCAAAAATAACACAGGACCCAAACCTTGAGGGACTCCAGTAGGACTGGAGTCCTACTTGATCCCTCTCAATCTTCTCAACAGGATGAGGTGATCGACAGTGTTGAAGGCTGAGGACAGATCCAAGAGAACTAGAACAGAGCATTTTCCAGAGCCAGCCAACATCATAATGTCGCTGGACACTTTTAGTTAAGCAGTTTCCATAGAGTGATGCTTGCGAAACCTAGATTGAAATTTCTCATGGATGTTGTTTTGATCCAGAAAAAATGCCAACTGTTCTGAGACCACCTTCTCTAAGATCTTGGACAAGAACAGGAGCTTGGAAATAGTCCTGAAATATTTTATGTGTGAAATGATCTCCCAGCCTAGTTGGTGATTGAATAAAACTGAAAAATAAACAATTTGTTGAGTATTTATAAAGAGGCAACAGGTAAATAAAACCAATATAAACAATACAGGTTCTGCTCAAGATATATAATTTGCAAGAAAGCAGATAGTTTTGAAAGTTACTAGAAGTGGACTTAGACTACATGGATGCTCTTACAAGATGACTGACTTTGGTGCAATAAGATGTGTTGTGACCATTTACGCCAATGATCAATAGATTAAAGGTGATGGTGCTCTGCTTAACGCAAATGCAATATTACTAAGACAAATAAGACAACAAGCTCAAATGATCATCAGAAAACTTGAGTTTAATGACATTTTGGATGTAAAGAAATGCAGTTTGTCACATCAGATGTTCAACAAAGATAACATGATTGTATTTTATGTTTTATTACATTCCATTAATTCTGGTATATTTTTATCTATAATTATTTTTTAAGAGTGTCAATCAACTGCTAAACTGCATAGCTGAAGCTACATTTGTGTCCGTCACTTCTCAAGTTAATATAGTAAAAGAAAGAAAAGAAAAGCCCTTAGATATGAAACACCATAAATACAGTTTGAAAATGGGTACAATCTAAGGTGACCAGATGTCCCCGATTTCCGGGGGACAGTCCCCGAATTGGATGACCTGTCCCCGGCAAAAGCTGTCCCCGAAAATGTCCCCGATTTAAGCATTTCATAATTGAGAACAAAAATGTTGCGTGTGGGCTCGAACAACCGTTATTACAGTAGCCAAATGGGTAGAAAGCACAAGTTAGCAGTCCTGAACAACAGTTTTTACGGGGGTTATTACAAGAGGCATGTGCTGCTACTAAATAGTACCGAGATGTTGTCTGTGATCACGCAGCCCATGCCCCCCCCTCCCCACCGCACCGAATGTCCCCGAATTTCATTACAGAAATCTGGTCACCTTAGTACAATCTCTAACACCAAATAAAGAAACCACAATAGCAATATGTACTGTCACCACTAAGCAGTATTCAGACCTGCCCTGCTGACAGTAAATGGAAAAGTAATGACAAGTACTGTGAAGGTGCCAAGGGCCAACATTAAGGTATTGGGAAATTTTAGACCAGAACACCTTAGAGATGTCATTTATTTTTTTTTGAAGAAGAATTGTTCAATTTATAATGAATATTGGTCAGAATTTCCTTTTCTGCTAATCCTTAAACGTTTAGACCCTTTGCATTAGTCCGGTGGTCTTTTAACAATTACTGGCCACGCAATCACAGTCTTTTATTATGATGAAAGAGTGCATCTTCTTGGTGCCATCAGGGCACACCATCTCCACTTTCTTCGTTTCAGTTTTTATTGCTCTACAGCAGGGGCATGAATGCTCTATAGTGTTAGTCTCCGCAGAGTACCTGAAAGGAGAAAGCGTTTCAGACAGGACTCCTTGCTGTACAATGTAATGAATGGTTCTGTCCACGAGTGCAGGTACTCACACTGAAGATGATGGTCCACAGGATCCCAAACATGTGTAGATTTTCACTGGAACAACAGACTTGCAGTCCTTAGCCTTTAGGTAGGTGGAGTTCGATCTTCTAAAACATCTGTGACGAGGCGTACCTTTAAAACACATATAAACAGCTATCAAAACACATTCTAGCATGTGGTATGTACACATTATAGCCTTTATAGAATGATTATCGAGGAGTTCTGTTCAAATTACTGGTTCTGATTATAGGTGTTTGTTAAACAAGACCAGAAGTTTCTGATTGGTTTGTTGTTGAAACAGTTTTTAGAAATGACAAGTTTGTCATTCATAAATAATTTCTGTGTTTGTTGGGATGAGGGTGTGGTGGATGAGAGATGTTGTGCCTCCCTGATGTGCTGAGGGCCTAACTTGAAAAGGCAGCAGTCAGCAGAAGTTGCTAATCCTTGTGATGGACTGGCTCTCACAGCCCATCTTTGCCATCTATCTTCCATCATGAGCCATGTGGAGGGTTATGCGACTCATTGTTGGAGTACTGATATCATTGTGTAAAATATGGTGTTTGTAGCAATATATGACAGGAAATCATTCAACAATTCATACTTACATGTTCTGCAACAACCATTCATGTCTGTTTGTTCAGTTCCCTGTAAATATTGACGGTAAAGAGAATGAAATAAACAGACACCACTAACAGATATAATGGCACACACAAATTATTTGCAATGCAGTGCTTTTGAATAAAAGTATATACAGCAATTTCTACCACTGGGCAGTTGTGTATGGTAACATACATGTCAGTCAGCCCTGTAGATTTGTCTGTGCAAAATATATATATAAACAGACTTCAACATAAAATCATAAAATGTGAAATATTTAACCTCCACTGAGGGTTTTTATGTTAATGAAATAAACTGAGATTCACATGGATGTATTGTCATGATATCCAAAAGCAAACAAGAAAATCAGTGACAAGAAGAAAAATGATATTTACAAGCTCTTGATTCCTTAAATTAGTGATTTTGCTCCTTAAATAGCTGGATTTTACTCACAGGTACGCAGTCCTCAGGATCAAATGCAGGACAAGTGACTTCATTTTTGCTGATCACAAAGTCATCCTTGACTTTTTGACACTCATACTTTATGCAGGTGTCATTGGGTGGTGACCAAGACTTTGAAGGCTGTCAGAAGAGTGAAGTGGTGAACACAAACATTTCTCACCAGCACCACAGTTTAAGGTAAATGACATTGATTATGAAGATGTTCCATGGCACTGTACTTACTTCAATAATTATTGGGTCAGTAAGGTCAGGGAGCTCCAACACACAGCTTGTCTTCTTGGGTGATGGACAACATTCCCCAGGTTTGCTTTCAAATTCATATCCCTTAAAAAAAAGCAAAAATTTAGATGTACTAAGACTTAAATCCACGAAGTTCACACATAATTATTAAAGTTATTCTAATTTGCCGAAAACTTTTGCTCATGGAGAAAGTCTAAATCTAGAGAAAAGATCTGGAGAAAATCTCGTCACTCCAATATGCAAGGGTTTGGGACAAAAATATTTTGACTTATGCTGCCAGACTTCTTAAGGGGATCTGTTGATTGTTTGGTGTTTACGACAAAGTTTTTAAAAAAGTCCTAACTTTCAGTTTCAGAGATTTACAGTCAGTTGATTTACAGTTGCAGCAGATGGCTGTTCAACATAGTCAAGTCCTGACAAAGGTCTCTGTATGTTTAAAGGAAGCTTTTCCTCATCTTTGTAACACATTAAATGCAGCAAAGTGCTCTGTCCATGGTTGATTGAGATTCCGTAAGATAAAATCTTATTTGCTTTTGATGTAAGGTCTCTGTAAATAATACACCGTATACCAAACAGTATGGTCTAGACCATGGTCGAGACCTGCTCTTTTTGTAAAATGCCCTTGTTAACATTTGTTATGAATTGGCACAACACCAGTAGAGATTGATTGACTGAGACAAATTTCCTGTTGCTCTGAGTCACATTCACATTAGTAAGTCAGTAATGGACAATCTTCAGTGGCAGTCGAAATCGAAATTGTACATATATCAACACCTAACATAAGTGGAGGCTTACATTTGAAAAAACAACAACAACAACAATGTTTTAAACCTTAAAAATAAAAAAGTCCCATTTCCTTGAGCACACAGTGTACATGGTATGGTTACGTGAACAATACAACAGTTTATACCTGGTTGAACTTGGATTACAAGACAACAACTTTTTGAAACTGCACTCTTATCTCCTTGGCAAACGTACAGTATGTCAGCTACACATAAAACAATATCCTTGCCATGACTTGCAAATGTTAGACAGATCATCAGTAAACTTCTTGGTGATCGTTGAGAAACTGCCTCAAATAAAATGATGCAAAATAACAAATTCCTTGGTACATTATGCAAAAGTACCTGTGGACACTCGTCTAAACAATCCATCACGATGCACGCAATGCTGTTCAGCATCTCATCAGAGTCCTTGTCGTCTGTGCAGCTGCAAGATTCACATGGGCTTTTGGAGAAAGTTGAACCAGGCTGGAAATGTCAAAGAAAGTGAGATTTCCAGTATTTCAACAGGAATGACATTGCAGAGTTTAAGTTACACAGTAACGAGCAAGTCCCTTTCAGTTTGGCCCACACACATTTTTGCAGTATACTGTATCAATCCCTACCTGATACTCAGTATCATTGAAGACACAGACCCTTTTGGGAACTAGATGAAAATAAAAACAAGATGACATTAAAGTTTCAAGTCTTTTACATAATAATGATACACTTGTAAAGAATGAAACTTGAATGTAATGCTTACCACACGTGACCGTGGGGCAACAATCGTCATCCGAAACATGCAATTCCATAGCATATCCTAATGGACACTTATGTGATGGTAATTGGCAGCTGCTCGGGTCACATTCTGTTGATTTTAAGAAAAAAATTTTTTTTCGATTGTTTGAGTTGAACATAAGATGAAACAGGATTTGAAATGTTTGATGCAACAATTTCACAAAAGAAAGGTGTTTCTGAAAGAGGTCTGGACTGTACCTGCGGTAAACCTCTTACTGTACATTACTCTTACATATTTGCATGTCATAAGGATTAGTGTGTGTTGAAACTATTTCATTATGATGTTGATTTAGCTGTGTGACCATCTTGGTGAATTTATGTGATCCAGTGTGGAACACTTTGTGACTAGTGTCTGTGAATGTTGGTATCTTCTTCATTACAGAAACACTCCCCAGTTTGATTCTATGTGATTCAGGAGTGAACTCTTTAAATATTGAAACCGATCTAGAATCATAGAGGCGGATAAATCAGACGGCATTGGTTTTAAAAAGCTCCACATACTGAGCAATAATCTGGCAAATCAGTATTGTCTTAAATTCAAAGGAAAGATCACACCTGCCTCTTACAATTGTAAGTCAGCAGGAGATGCAGGTTTGCTTCCTCGTTCAACTCACCACATGTCTGAATCTCACAGCAGTCCACTGTGCGTGTCACCAACACTTCGCCCTCTTTTGTACAGTTCACTGGTTCTTGAGTTGGACACGCGATAGGCTCACAATGAACACTTGCGTCATTACCACAGACGCACTCCTGACAGTCGATCAGCCAGGGCTCGCCAGGCTGTTGAGAGAATGAACGCTAGGCATCAAAATACAAAATACAAAATTCATTACAAATAATAATGATTAGTTCTGTATTTACCAGTTTGGGTTTGCCATCAGGTCCAGTACAACCTTCAGACGACAGAAACAATTAGTTACCTCAACATTAATCCGTACCCTATACATCCACCTACATTTATAAATGAATGAATCAGCAAACCAAAACACACACGTGCGATAGTAGATAGATAGATAGATAGATAGATAGATAGATAGATAGATAGATCTAGATCTAGATAGATAGATAGATAGATAGATCTAGTGTGTGTGTGTGTGTGTGTGTGTGTGTGTGTGTTCCTTCACAAATGAAAGGCTCTTACAGGAGGTAACACAGATGTCACAATCAGAGTTGAATGGCGTCATCCCCTCAGGGCAGAAACATCCCTCCAGTAATCCATTACAAGCCAGATTCTGATCTTTCTTTTTGCCGTTACATTGTTTTGCGATATTTTCATTGGTTCTAAACACAAAAACAAATAAAGATGAAAAATATAAATATATATTTTAGAAAGAAAAAATGTGTGTTTATCCCAATTAGGAGACTGAGTTTTGATCATTTTATTACATGTTACACTCATGTTATTAACCTTACTTCGAGTAACAGTTATCACCATAAAAATGTGTAGTTAAGAGTTCATGTATTTACATAGCATTAATAATTAATAGGAGGTTTTAATGTCCTGTAACATTCTGCATGTAAGTATGTAAAATCAGCTGTTTTTCAAAAATACTTACATTTACAGGGGTTGATTCTTTTCTTAGTCGCAGTTTGTTTTATGTGTTATGGCCCGTTTGTTTCAGAGAAGATCAGAACAATCAGTGTTCTTTTAAAGGGACATTTGAAGCCGAGTGAGCATGTGATCATATGAATCTACGTTTAGTAGCTGGATGGTGCAATAATGTCATAGTGTTATCTTTTCATTTTCTTTTTAATCTTGATTACCTTATCGAACCTTACCATGTCTTATTTTTTTTGTCATTGTTATTTATCGTCAGTATTTTACTTTTAACCATTTCTGTGAGATTCTTGTGCAGTATGCGTGGGTTATGTGACTGTGTTATCTGTGCAGCTCTTGGGGTCCTCTTTATCCTCCCTTTGCTCTTTCTCCTACTTTTTCTCTCTTCTTCCCCACACTCTCTCTTTGTCTTTTTCTCTTCTTTTGTCCTTGACATAGGTCGATTCCCGCTATTTGATTTTTTCTGCATTTTAGTTTAAAGTTTTGAAACTTCAGTAATTTTTGCATGCATAGCAGTTAAAGATTAAGTCTGGAACTTATTGGTTCTTTAATTTTACAGAGAAACTTTTGAAGTTGTGTTGACTGATTAAGAAGATCTGCACAAGGAAAACCTCATTTAGTCAGGGTGTCTTTTCTATCAGAGCATCCCATTGGTGGAATTCACTAGACCAGCAGAGGGCCCCAAAAGGCTGTTCTGACCTCCTTTGATGGTTTCAGATCATTTATAAATATGTTAAATGTTTTTCAGAGGGACCCCTTGAGAATTTTTGCTTGGGGCCACCTCACACTCTAGAATCCGCTCTAGGTGCCTGACGTCATCAGGAAAAGGGACTGCAGATGAAATTTAGCCTTCTGGCTTACTCAGGTGCATGTACGTTTGTCTCAATGTTGATCAATGTACACTGATGTCAACTGGCTATGAGATGGATTTTAATGCTACTTAGTACATACAGTCATTAAGGATTAATTTGCAATCTAAGCAATGGAATTAGATTTTCCGTGAGTTTTAAATGTTTAATTAATGTATTCAACGCAAAATTAATTTATTCACATGTGCTTTAGCTGTGCTTAATGTTGACTTCTCATTTGCATATGCTAGTTTGTTAAACGTTAAGAGTTATTAATATGAGCTTGTTTGAATGCCTTGTGGCCATGTAATTAAGTCTAACTATGGCCTCTTAAAGAAATTAGTGTTGTTAGAGTATTATTTCGTAACAATCTGCTGACAGTGTAAGATTTATGATCTCACAAACCAGAAGCAAAAACGTACCTTACATTGCAGGTAGGTGCAAAGACTGGTCCACAGGGCTTGTAGACTTTATTAGCAGGACATGGATACTCTATCACGAGAGAAAAGAGAGTCAAAATTCAAAATGATATAAAAAGGTCATATAGATATCTGCAATGACATAAATTTATATATATAAAAATAAATAAATAAAAATAAGAAAGCCCTCCTACCACAAACTCCATTTGTAAAGTTTCTCCAGGCAACACAGACTAATGCTTCAGCACACTCTGCAGCATAAGCTTCCAAACTGGTACAGCCAACAGCGGAATCGGGCATGTGGCAAACATCAAACTTACAGGCATCATAATAGGGTTGTGGTGATATTACTTTGTGGCATTCCTCAAAAACCCTTAACGCAAGCAGATTATGAACTGTTAATTAAAGTGACAATCAATAATGGACTTTTATATTGTGTTTATGTTTTTTTTGTAAAATCTTACTTGCTGGTCAATATTTCACAAATATCAGCTTCGCAGGATACTTCTGTAGGTGTTGGTGTTGGTGTTGGCTGTGGCTCACAATATGGCTTATTCTTGTCTGGTATTTGCCAGTGATGTCCCATCTCAGAACATGAAGAATGAGTCTCACCGTTTGGTAATCTGCAGTCATTTTTCATGTTGTTGTCACAGTAACCTTGTCAAAGTAAAGATGAACATAAAATCTGTTACCACCAATGCATTGCAGCATTTGGTATGTCTTTAAGCACTTTCATACCAAATACTGAACTCATCTGAACAGTATCATTAGTCAGTTGAATATTCAGTCTGATTTGCTTTCAAAAACAGTAATTCCAATCACAAAATGAGGTTCAACTTACCACACTGCCCCTCCGTGTTGTTGTGGAAAAGTGAAAAAGGCAATTCAACTCTGAACATGAGTCCCTCATACATTATTGCTGCTTCAATTTCAGGAATTTCTAAAAGCAGTTCAATTCCAGTACTCATTATGGAGAGGTCATCATTTGAGTAGGTTGGGGACACCTGATCGCCATTGACATACACCTGAAAAAAGGTAAAAAACTTTGATTAAAAAAATATCATGTATACCATTACAAAACATAATTAAGCAAACATTACATTAAAAATAACTTGACGTGTCAACTTTTGTTGTGTCAATACTCACCCTGTTCGTTAAATTGTTGCTCTGTGTCAAAATAACTTCATAGTTTTTATAGTACACCATTAAGGCTTTGGGACAAGTCACATCATCAGTGTTACTACAGTCTTCATTGTCAATAGTAATCCTAAAATTGTATTTAGGAATAATTTCTTTGACGAGGACGTAAGTGCAGTTTTCCTGGAAGCTGTAATACTGGCCATCAAAGGTCACCATATGAGGATCTCCCCAGCCGGTGCAAATACCTGCAAATATTCCATCGAGATAATGTTCAGTGTTGTATCAGGCATATGTATTAAAGTCAGCCAGTATGAGATATAAATTTGAAATATTCCACAAATAGTATTTATGTGGACTTACATCTGCATTCATAGTGGAAACAGCAGCCATCTTCATCGTACACCCTAACAGGTGGATGTTCATTTTCACAAATGGGCATAGTCACTGGTTTACAAGGCACATGGTCTGTTACCACTTTTCCATTGTCACACGTTGCTGTCGTGCAGCTGTCCACACTCCACGACTCACCGTTCTGTAAAGGGCGGATTATTATAAATTCATTACACTAAGATAAAGCAACCATTAACCCCTGTTTAAAATTTTGCAACTCTTGGGGGAAGATATATTTTCCCTCCTCCAATAGTGGGGATTTCTAGAAAGAACAACTACGGTATGAAAAACAACAATAAACACCCACTTATATATGGATGTATTGAAGGTATTTCACAATATTTCTTGTAAAGATCTGAAAGTTTCGTTGCACTTGACATCTTTGTTAAATCCATGCAATATAAAAATGGGTGGTTGGGGATGACCATGCCCTTAATGAAGATGGCTGTGTAATGTACCTCACAAGAAATCTGACTCTAAGACTACCTGCTATCCCAAATCTTAATATCTGGTTGACAACTCAGGCCCGATTATGTTGAAGCTTCTGTCAGTCGAAGAATGTGACATTCTAGGAAAAACACGGAGACCAAGCACACAAAGCAGTAGGGCAGCACCCTTGACTAAGACTATAGAAACTAACAGCATGGTTAACCAAGCACCTGAGGTTTTAACTGAACTGAAAGTGCTCTGCTCTGGATTTGGATCTGAGTTAGATGGAAAAGACTTTTTCGTGTGTAATTACAAAAGAAAAACTGTCACACTGATAAAAAATAGTCTGGTTAAAATTAAATTAGAAGTAATAGCCAACCAATAATATATCGAAGCAGTCAAGACTCCTATAGCTGCAGCAGGGGAGAAGCTCAAAGAACCAAGACAGGTTTGGCTTGAGTCATAAATCGGATTGCATATCAGAAATCAAAGTCTGACAACCTGGAGAAAAAGGCAAGGAGGAAAGACATTTAGGTGTTTGGTTTTAAAGAGGAACGTGAAGGCGGACATCCTTTTGTGGATTTGCTGTCAGAACTTCTACCCCAGTAGCTGGGTCTCAGACCTGTCCATTCTGTCACCTTGGAAAGAGCCCAACATACTCTCATACCAGCTAACCTGAACCACAACAGAGCGGTCACCATCCTTTATCCCGAAACCCAAGCCTCAGAGTTCAATGCTGTCAAGACGCTGTTCACAGGTACAGGAACTTTCTGGGAGTTCAATCATTGCCTGTGTAAACTGAGGGTGGTGCACAGAAGGAGTTAAATAGAGTTCAACTCTGTAAAGATAATGAAATACCCATGCCATTTGATGTGCTGTTGTATGTTGTATGTTGTGGGAATTTCCCCTTGTGGGACGAATCAAGGAGTATCTTATCTTATCTTATTAATGTTTGCAAAGGAAAATGGCTTACATCTGAGAGATGATTTGTTCTAATTGCAGTTTGTGTGACTGCGTTTGTGTAGGTATACTTAAGCTAAGTGGCACATCTATTTGCAGTATTTCTATCATGAAAAGAGTAAAAATCATTGAATATAGAAAACGGTGAAACAAAATTGGAAAAAAAAAAACAGTTTTTTGTCAAAATGTGAGTATCCAGACTTACCGCAGTGAATAAATACTTGTGGATCTAAAATTACACAGTCTTAACAATCTTCAGTGTACATAAAACTTAAGCAGTTTTGGCAGCTATAAAGGGTAATAATATGATGACAGGTTTTCTGAACAAGCTCTATTTCTCAGTTCCGATACCTTTTTAGGTGTCTTAAGGTATGAACAATCCTTGAAAGGCTTCACTGTGGTTTCTGCACCAGCAGATGTTGTGCCAGTTTGTGTTATACCATCTGTGATGGTGGTGGTAGGAGTTGCTGTAGTAGTAGATGAGCATGGTGCAGAATGCTTAACAATATTGCAGGTCGAATTGCAATATGCAGAAAAACACCAGCCATCTTCATCAGTTTTGTTGTACACGGTGGCTCCTTTAGAAAAAAATTAAGAAATAGATGATAAAATAAAAAAATAAAAAAATAAAAAGAGGGAAAGTCAGGTTAATTTGGGGCAAAATAAAAAAAAAGTCAGGTGATACTGTTTTAATTAAGCAACTATTACAAGAAATTACCAAAAAACTGCAGTAATGACAAACATGAAAGGGAATTATCCTAAAACAAGTTTGAACAAGTGTTGGAGACAAAGAAAAAACTAAAGTGAAACGGAATTAATAATTTGTGATAACAAGGCCTAAACAATAAAATAAACATATTCTGAACATAAAACAAGTTGCAGTGGAGGTGGCCTAAAATCACGAATTATAATCTGCAATTTGGGGTTAAATGTTAGATTTAAATGAGAAATGTTCCGTGCTTACCTGGTAACAGAAATTCACCCATGTAGTGACAGTAACATACTGTGGGTTCTTGTGTTGTTGTAGCACTGGGTTTTTCAGTGGTTGCCAGGGTAGTGGGCTCTCCACTGGGCTCTGTGGTGGATTTTTCTGTGACTGCAGCTGTCTTTGTGGTTGTTTGTGCAGTTGTCTCTTCTGGTTGTTCTGGAGCTGTTGTTGTGGGTCCTGCTGGAACAGTGGAAGAAGTAGTTGTTGCCTCCTTTGTAATTGTAGTAGTTGTGGTGGGCTTTTCTGTGGCTTCTGTAGTAGACGTTTTTGGGCCTGTTGTTGTAGTTGTGGTTGACTCAGCACATGTGTCCATGCAACATTTGACCCTTATTTCATAGTCATTACACATTGGAGGAAATTGGTCCTTGTTTTCACACTTAAGTCCAAAGTCTGTATCACATGTCACGGTTTGACCCAGTTCACTTAAAGTTTGATCTGTGTGTTGTGTTGCTCTACATTCAATTTCCAGAGGTTGTGTGCATGCGCTCATATCGATGTCTGTAATGCCTGTGATAGGTTCATATTCTCCACTGTCAGGTTGATCTGATGGATAACTAATGCTGGTCCATTTTGACCAAAAACAACTATAGCAGTCTACTGCTGAGGTGGTAGATGTTTTTGTGGTTGTGGCAGTGGTCTTCTCAGACTTCTCTGTGGCTGCTTCTGTGGAAGTTTCTGGGCCTTCTGTTATAACTGTGGTTGTGGTGGGCTCTTCAGGGGCTTGTGTGGGCTCTTGTTCTGTTGTGGCACTGGGTTTTTCAGTGGTTGCCAGGGTAGTGGGCTCTCCACTGGGCTCTGTGGTGGATTTTTCTGTGACTGTGGCTGCTGTTGTGGTTGTTTGTGCAGTTGTCTCTTCTGGTTGTTCCGGAGCTGTTGTCGTGGGTCCCGCTGGAACAGTGGGTGAAGTAGTTGTTGACTTCTTTGTAATTGTAGTAGTCGTGGTGGGCTTTTCTGTGGCTTCTGTAGTGGATGTTTCTGGGCCTTTTGTTGTAGTAGTGGTTGTGGTGGGCTCTTCAGGGGTTGTTGTGACACATGTGTCCATGCAACATTTAGCCCTTATTTCATAGTCATCGCAGACCGGAGGTAATTGGTCCTTGTTTTCACACGTAAGACCAAAGTTTGTATCACATGTCACAACTTGAACCAGTTCACTCAAGTTTTTATCTTTATGTTGCTTTGATCTACATTCAATTTCCAGAGGTTGTGTGCATTTATTCAAATCGATGTCTGTGATGCCCGTGATAGGTTCATATTCTCCACTGTCAGGTTGATCTGATGGATAACTATTGCTGGTCCAATTTGACCAAAAACAATTATAGCAGTCTACTGCTGAGGTGGTAGATGTTTTTGTGGTTGTGGCAGTGGTCTTCTCAGACTTCTCTGTGGCTGCTTCTGTGGAAGTTTCTGGGCCTTCTGTTATAACTGTGGTTGTGGTGGGCTCTTCAGGGGCTTGTGTGGGCTCTTGTTCTGTTGTGGCACTGGGTTTTTCAGTGGTTGCCAGGGTAGTGGGCTCTCCACTGGGCTCTGTGGTGGATTTTTCTGTGACTGCGGCTGTTGTTGTGGTTGTTTGTGCAGTTGTCTCTTCTGGTTGTTCCGGAGCTGTTGTCGTGGGTCCCGCTGGAACAGTGGGTGAAGTAGTTGTTGACTTCTTTGTAATTGTAGTAGTTGTGGTGGGCTTTTCTGTGGCTTCTGTAGTGGGTATTTCTGGGCCTGTTGTTGTAGTAGTGGCAGTGGTGGGCTCTTCAGGGGTTGTTGTCGCACATGTGTCTATGCAACATTTGACCCTTATTTCATAGTCATTACACATTGGAGGTGATTGGTCCTTGTTTTCACACTTAAGTCCAAAGTCTGTATCACATGTCACGGTTTGACCCAGTTCACTTAAAGTTTGATCTGTGTGTTGTGTTGATCTACATTCAATTTCCAGAGGTTGTGTGCATGCGCTCATATCGATGTCTGTAATGCCTTTGATAGGTTCATATTCTCCCCCTTCAGGCTCCTGTGATGGGTAACTCGTGCTGGTCCATTTAGACCAAGAACAATTATAGCAGTCTACTGCTGAGGTGGTAGATGTTTTTGTGGTTGTGGCAGTGGTCTTCTCAGACTTCTCTGTGGCTGCTTCCGTGGAAGTTTCTGGGCCTTCTGTTATAACTGTGGTTGTGGTGGGCTCTTCAGGGGCTTGTGTGGGCTCTTGTTCTGTTGTGGTACTGGGTTTTTCAGTGGTTGCCAGGGTAGTGGGCTCTCCACTGGGCTCTGTGGTGGATTTTTCTGTGACTGCGGCTGTTGTTGTGGTTGTTTGTGCAGTTGTCTCTTCTGGTTGTTCCGGAGCTGTTGTCGTGGGTCCTGCTGGAACAGTGGGTGAAGTAGTTGCTGACTTCTTTGTAATTGTAGTAGTCGTGGTGGGCTTTTCTGTGGCTTCTGTAGTGGATGTTTCTGGGCCTTTTGTTGCAGTTGTGGTTGTGGTGGGCTCTTCTGGAGCCGGTGTGGGTTCTTGTTCTGTTGTGGCACTGGGTTTTTCAGTGGTTGCCAGGGTAGTGGGCTCTCCACTGGGCTCTGTGGTAGATTTTTCTGTGACTGCGACTGTTGTTGTGGTTGTTTGTGCAGTTGTCTCTTCTGGTTGTTCCGGAGCTGTTGTCGTGGGTCCCGCTGGAACAGTGGGTGAAGTAGTTGTTGACTTCTTTGTAATTGTAGTAGTTGTGGTGGGCTTTTCTGTGGCTTCTGTAGTGGATGTTTCTGGGCCTTTTGTTGTAGTAGTGGCAGTGGTGGGCTCTTCAGGGGTTGTTGTGGCACATGTGTCCATGCAACATTTGACCCTTATTTCATAGTCATTACACATTGGAGGAAATTGGTCCTTGTTTTCACACTTAAGTCCAAAGTCTGTATCACATGTCACGGTTTGACCCAGTTCACTTAAAGTTTGATCTGTGTGTTGTGTTGCTCTACATTCAATTTCCAGAGGTTTTGTGCATGCGCTCATATCGATGTCTGTTATGCCTGTGATAGGTTCATATTCTCCCCCTTCAGGCTCCTGTGATGGGTAACTCGTGCTGGTCCATTTAGACCAAGTACAATTATAGCAGTCTACTGCTGAGGTGGTAGATGTTTTTGTGGTTGTGGCAGTGGTCTTCTCAGACTTCTCTGTGGCTGCTTCCGTGGAAGTTTCTGGGCCTTCTGTTATAACTGTGGTTGTGGTGGGCTCTTCAGGGGCTTGTGTGGGCTCTTGTTTTGTTGTGGTACTGGGTTTTTCAGTGGTTGCCAGGGTAGTGGGCTCTCCACTGGGCTCTGTGGTGGATTTTTCTGTGACTGCGGCTGTTGTTGTGGTTGTTTGTGCAGTTGTCTCTTCTGGTTGTTCCGGAGCTGTTGTCGTGGGTCCTGCTGGAACAGTGGGTGAAGTAGTTGCTGACTTCTTTGTAATTGTAGTAGTTGTGGTGGGCTTTTCTGTGGCTTCTGTAGTGGATATTTCTGGGCCTTTTGTTGTAGTAGTGGTTGTGGTGGGCTCTTCTGGAGCTGGTGTGGGTTCTTGTTCTGTTGTGGCACTGGGTTTTTCAGTGGTTGCCAGGGTAGTGGGCTCTCCACTGGGCTCTGTGGTGGTTTTTTCTGTGACTGTGGCTGTTGTTGTGGTTGTTTGTGCAGTTGTCTCTTCTGGTTGTTCCGGAGCTGTTGTGGTGGGTTCCGCTGGAACAGTGGGTGAAGTAGTTGTTGACTTCTTTGTAATTGTAGAAGTTGTGGTGGGCTTTTCTGTGGCTTCTGTAGTGGGTATTTCTGGGCCTTTTGTTGTAGTAGTGGCAGTGGTGGGCTCTTCAGGGGTTGTTGTGGCACATGTGTCCATGCAACATTTGACCCTTATTTCATAGTCATTACACATTGGAGGAAATTGGTCCTTGTTTTCACACTTAAGTCCAAAGTCTGTATCACATGTCACGGTTTGACCCAGTTCACTTAAAGTTTGATCTGTGTGTTGTGTTGCTCTACATTCAATTTCCAGAGGTTTTGTGCATGCGCTCATATCGATGTCTGTTATGCCTGTGATAGGTTCATATTCTCCCCCTTCAGGCTCCTGTGATGGGTAACTCGTGCTGGTCCATTTAGACCAAGTACAATTATAGCAGTCTACTGCTGAGGTGGTAGATGTTTTTGTGGTTGTGGCAGTGGTCTTCTCAGACTTCTCTGTGGCTGCTTCCGTGGAAGTTTCTGGGCCTTCTGTTATAACTGTGGTTGTGGTGGGCTCTTCAGGGGCTTGTGTGGGCTCTTGTTTTGTTGTGGCACTGGGTTTTTCAGTGGTTGCCAGGGTAGTGGGCTCTCCACCGGGCTCTGTGGTGGATTTTTCTGTGACTGCGGCTGTTGTTGTGGTTGTTTGTGCAGTTGTCTCTTCTGGTTGTTCCGGAGCTGTTGTCGTGGGTCCTGCTGGAACAGTGGGTGAAGTAGTTGCTGACTTCTTTGTAATTGTAGTAGTCGTGGTGGGCTTTTCTGTGGCTTCTGTAGTGGATGTTTCTGGGCCTTTTGTTGTAGTTGTGGTTGTGGTGGGCTCTTCTGGAGCCGGTGTGGGTTCTTGTTCTGTTGTGGCACTGGGTTTTTCAGTGGTTGCCAGGGTAGTGGGCTCTCCACTGGGCTCTGTGGTAGATTTTTCTGTGACTGCGACTGTTGTTGTGGTTGTTTGTGCAGTTGTCTCTTCTGGTTGTTCCGGAGCTGTTGTCGTGGGTCCCGCTGGAACAGTGGGTGAAGTAGTTGTTGACTTCTTTGTAATTGTAGTAGTTGTGGTGGGCTTTTCTGTGGCTTCTGTAGTGGATATTTCTGGGCCTTTTGTTGTAGTAGTGGCAGTGGTGGGCTCTTCAGGGGTTGTTGTGGCACATGTGTCCATGCAACATTTGACCCTTATTTCATAGTCATTACACATTGGAGGAAATTGGTCCTTGTTTTCACACTTAAGTCCAAAGTCTGTATCACATGTCACGGTTTGACCCAGTTCACTTAAAGTTTGATCTGTGTGTTGTGTTGCTCTACATTCAATTTCCAGAGGTTTTGTGCATGCGCTCATATCGATGTCTGTTATGCCTGTGATAGGTTCATATTCTCCCCCTTCAGGCTCCTGTGATGGGTAACTCGTGCTGGTCCATTTAGACCAAGTACAATTATAGCAGTCTACTGCTGAGGTGGTAGATGTTTTTGTGGTTGTGGCAGTGGTCTTCTCAGACTTCTCTGTGGCTGCTTCCGTGGAAGTTTCTGGGCCTTCTGTTATAACTGTGGTTGTGGTGGGCTCTTCAGGGGCTTGTGTGGGCTCTTGTTCTGTTGTGGCACTGGGTTTTTCAGTGGTTGCCAGGGTAGTGGGCTCTCCACTGGGCTCTGTGGTGGATTTTTCTGTGACTGCGGCTGTTGTTGTGGTTGTTTGTGCAGTTGTCTCTTCTGGTTGTTCCGGAGCTGTTGTGGTGGGTTCCGCTGGAACAGTGGGTGAAGTAGTTGTTGACTTCTTTGTAATTGTAGTAGTTGTGGTGGGCTTTTCTGTGGCTTCTGTAGTGGGTATTTCTGGGCCTTTTGTTGTAGTAGTGGCAGTGGTGGGCTCTTCAGGGGTTGTTGTGGGTTCTTGTTCTGTTGTGGCACTGGGTTTTTCAGTGGTTGCCAGGGTAGTGGGCTCTCCACTGGGCTCTGTGGTGGTTTTTTCTGTGACTGTGGCTGTTGTTGTGGTTGTTTGTGCAGTTGTCTCTTCTGGTTGTTCCGGAGCTGTTGTGGTGGGTTCCGCTGGAACAGTGGGTGAAGTAGTTGTTGACTTCTTTGTAATTGTAGAAGTTGTGGTGGGCTTTTCTGTGGCTTCTGTAGTGGGTATTTCTGGGCCTTTTGTTGTAGTAGTGGCAGTGGTGGGCTCTTCAGGGGTTGTTGTGGCACATGTGTCCATGCAACATTTGACCCTTATTTCATAGTCATTACACATTGGAGGAAATTGGTCCTTGTTTTCACACTTAAGTCCAAAGTCTGTATCACATGTCACGGTTTGACCCAGTTCACTTAAAGTTTGATCTGTGTGTTGTGTTGATCTACATTCAATTTCCAGAGGTTGTGTGCATGCGCTCATATCGATGTCCGTAATGCCTGTGATAGGTTCATATTCTCCCCCTTCAGGCTCCTGTGATGGGTAACTCGTGCTGGTCCATTTAGACCAAGTACAATTATAGCAGTCTACTGCTGAGGTGGTGGATGTTTTTGTGGTTGTGGCAGTGGTCTTCTCAGACTTCTCTGTGGCTGCTTCCGTGGAAGTTTCTGGGCCTTCTGTTATAACTGTGGTTGTGGTGGGCTCTTCAGGGGCTTGTGTGGGCTCTTGTTCTGTTGTGGCACTGGGTTTTTCAGTGGTTGCCAGGGTAGTGGGCTCTCCACTGGGCTCTGTGGTGGATTTTTCTGTGACTGCGGCTGTTGTTGTGGTTGTTTGTGCAGTTGTCTCTTCTGGTTGTTCCGGAGCTGTTGTGGTGGGTTCTGCTGGAACAGTGGGTGAAGTAGTTGTTGACTTCTTTGTAATTGTAGTAGTTGTGGTGGGCTTTTCTGTGGCTTCTGTAGTGGGTATTTCTGGGCCTTTTGTTGTAGTAGTGGCAGTGGTGGGCTCTTCAGGGGTTGTTGTGGGTTCTTGTTCTGTTGTGGCACTGGGTTTTTCAGTGGTTGCCAGGGTAGTGGGCTCTCCACTGGGCTCTGTGGTGGTTTTTTCTGTGACTGTGGCTGTTGTTGTGGTTGTTTGTGCAGTTGTCTCTTCTGGTTGTTCCGGAGCTGTTGTGGTGGGTTCCGCTGGAACAGTGGGTGAAGTAGTTGTTGACTTCTTTGTAATTGTAGAAGTTGTGGTGGGCTTTTCTGTGGCTTCTGTAGTGGGTATTTCTGGGCCTTTTGTTGTAGTAGTGGCAGTGGTGGGCTCTTCAGAGGTTGTTGTGGCACATGTGTCTATGCAACATTTGACCCTTATTTCATAGTCATTACACATTGGAGGAAATTGGTCCTTGTTTTCACACTTAAGTCCAAAGTCTGTATCACATGTCACGGTTTGACCCAGTTCACTTAAAGTTTGATCTGTGTGTTGTGTTGATCTACATTCAATTTCCAGAGGTTGTGTGCATGCGCTCATATCGATGTCTGTAATGCCTGTGATAGGTTCATATTCTCCCCCTTCAGGCTCCTGTGATGGGTAACTCGTGCTGGTCCATTTAGACCAAGTACAATTATAGCAGTCTACTGCTGAGGTGGTGGATGTTTTTGTGGTTGTGGCAGTGGTCTTCTCAGACTTCTCTGTGGCTGCTTCCGTGGAAGTTTCTGGGCCTTCTGTTATAACTGTGGTTGTGGTGGGCTCTTCAGGGGCTTGTGTGGGCTCTTGTTCTGTTGTGGCACTGGGTTTTTCAGTGGTTGCCAGGGTAGTGGGCTCTCCACTGGGCTCTGTGGTGGATTTTTCTGTGACTGCGGCTGTTGTTGTGGTTGTTTGTGCAGTTGTCTCTTCTGGTTGTTCCGGAGCTGTTGTGGTGGGTTCCGCTGGAACAGTGGGTGAAGTAGTTGTTGACTTCTTTGTAATTGTAGTAGTTGTGGTGGGCTTTTCTGTGGCTTCTGTAGTGGGTATTTCTGGGCCTTTTGTTGTAGTAGTGGCAGTGGTGGGCTCTTCAGGGGTTGTTGTGGGTTCTTGTTCTGTTGTGGCACTGGGTTTTTCAGTGGTTGCCAGGGTAGTGGGCTCTCCACTGGGCTCTGTGGTGGATTTTTCTGTGACTGCGACTGTTGTTGTGGTTGTTTGTGCAGTTGTCTCTTCTGGTTGTTCCGGAGCTGTTGTTGTGGGTCCCGCTGGAACAGTGGGTGAAGTAGTTGTTGACTTCTTTGTAATTGTAGTAGTTGTGGTGGGCTTTTCTGTGGCTTCTGTAGTGGGTATTTCTGGGCCTTTTGTTGTAGTAGTGGCAGTGGTGGGCTCTTCAGGGGTTGTTGTGGCACATGTGTCCATGCAACATTTGACCCTTATTTCATAGTCATTACACATTGGAGGAAATTGGTCCTTGTTTTCACACTTAAGTCCAAAGTCTGTATCACATGTCACGGTTTGACCCAGTTCACTTAAAGTTTGATCTGTGTGTTGTGTTGCTCTACATTCAATTTCCAGAGGTTTTGTGCATGCGCTCATATCGATGTCTGTTATGCCTGTGATAGGTTCATATTCTCCCCCTTCAGGCTCCTGTGATGGGTAACTCGTGCTGGTCCATTTAGACCAAGTACAATTATAGCAGTCTACTGCTGAGGTGGTAGATGTTTTTGTGGTTGTGGCAGTGGTCTTCTCAGTCTTCTCTGTGGCTGCTTCCGTGGAAGTTTCTGGGCCTTCTGTTATAACTGTGGTTGTGGTGGGCTCTTCAGGGGCTTGTGTGGGCTCTTGTTCTGTTGTGGCACTGGGTTTTTCAGTGGTTGCCAGGGTAGTGGGCTCTCCACTGGGCTCTGTGGTGGATTTTTCTGTGACTGCGGCTGTTGTTGTGGTTGTTTGTGCAGTTGTCTCTTCTGGTTGTTCCGGAGCTGTTGTGGTGGGTTCCGCTGGAACAGTGGGTGAAGTAGTTGTTGACTTCTTTGTAATTGTAGTAGTTGTGGTGGGCTTTTCTGTGGCTTCTGTAGTGGGTATTTCTGGGCCTTTTGTTGTAGTAGTGGCAGTGGTGGGCTCTTCAGGGGTTGTTGTGGGTTCTTGTTCTGTTGTGGCACTGGGTTTTTCAGTGGTTGCCAGGGTAGTGGGCTCTCCACTGGGCTCTGTGGTGGTTTTTTCTGTGACTGTGGCTGTTGTTGTGGTTGTTTGTGCAGTTGTCTCTTCTGGTTGTTCCGGAGCTGTTGTGGTGGGTTCCGCTGGAACAGTGGGTGAAGTAGTTGTTGACTTCTTTGTAATTGTAGTAGTTGTGGTGGGCTTTTCTGTGGCCTCTGTAGTGGATATTTCTGGGCCTTTTGTTGTAGTAGTGGCAGTGGTGGGCTCTTCAGGGGTTGTTGTGGCACATGTGTCCATGCAACATTTGACCCTTATTTCATAGTCATTACACATTGGAGGAAATTGGTCCTTGTTTTCACACTTAAGTCCAAAGTCTGTATCACATGTCACGGTTTGACCCAGTTCACTTAAAGTTTGATCTGTGTGTTGTGTTGCTCTACATTCAATTTCCAGAGGTTTTGTGCATGCGCTCATATCGATGTCTGTTATGCCTGTGATAGGTTCATATTCTCCCCCTTCAGGCTCCTGTGATGGGTAACTCGTGCTGGTCCATTTAGACCAAGTACAATTATAGCAGTCTACTGCTGAGGTGGTAGATGTTTTTGTGGTTGTGGCAGTGGTCTTCTCAGACTTCTCTGTGGCTGCTTCCGTGGAAGTTTCTGGGCCTTCTGTTATAACTGTGGTTGTGGTGGGCTCTTCAGGGGCTTGTGTGGGCTCTTGTTCTGTTGTGGCACTGGGTTTTTCAGTGGTTGCCAGGGTAGTGGGCTCTCCACTGGGCTCTGTGGTGGATTTTTCTGTGACTGCGGCTGTTGTTGTGGTTGTTTGTGCAGTTGTCTCTTCTGGTTGTTCCGGAGCTGTTGTGGTGGGTTCCGCTGGAACAGTGGGTGAAGTAGTTGTTGACTTCTTTGTAATTGTAGTAGTTGTGGTGGGCTTTTCTGTGGCTTCTGGTAGTGGTATTTCTGGGCCTTTTGTTGTAGTAGTGGCAGTGGTGGGCTCTTCAGGGGTTGTTGTGGGTTCTTGTTCTGTTGTGGCACTGGGTTTTTCAGTGGTTGCCAGGGTAGTGGGCTCTCCACTGGGCTCTGTGGTGGTTTTTTCTGTGACTGTGGCTGTTGTTGTGGTTGTTTGTGCAGTTGTCTCTTCTGGTTGTTCCGGAGCTGTTGTGGTGGGTTCCGCTGGAACAGTGGGTGAAGTAGTTGTTGACTTCTTTGTAATTGTAGAAGTTGTGGTGGGCTTTTCTGTGGCTTCTGTAGTGGGTATTTCTGGGCCTTTTGTTGTAGTAGTGGCAGTGGTGGGCTCTTCAGGGGTTGTTGTGGCACATGTGTCCATGCAACATTTGACCCTTATTTCATAGTCATTACACATTGGAGGAAATTGGTCCTTGTTTTCACACTTAAGTCCAAAGTCTGTATCACATGTCACGGTTTGACCCAGTTCACTTAAAGTTTGATCTGTGTGTTGTGTTGATCTACATTCAATTTCCAGAGGTTGTGTGCATGCGCTCATATCGATGTCCGTAATGCCTGTGATAGGTTCATATTCTCCCCCTTCAGGCTCCTGTGATGGGTAACTCGTGCTGGTCCATTTAGACCAAGTACAATTATAGCAGTCTACTGCTGAGGTGGTGGATGTTTTTGTGGTTGTGGCAGTGGTCTTCTCAGACTTCTCTGTGGCTGCTTCCGTGGAAGTTTCTGGGCCTTCTGTTATAACTGTGGTTGTGGTGGGCTCTTCAGGGGCTTGTGTGGGCTCTTGTTCTGTTGTGGCACTGGGTTTTTCAGTGGTTGCCAGGGTAGTGGGCTCTCCACTGGGCTCTGTGGTGGATTTTTCTGTGACTGCGGCTGTTGTTGTTGAACTTTCTAATGTTTTTGCAAATCAAACAAACAGGCAAAAAAAAAAAAAAAAAGAAAACTTGTTCAAAGTCCCTTTCCATGTAACAAATCTCTTTTTTACTTTAAAGCCTTCTCTCTTTTCTTCATATTTACTTTTGTCTTACCTTCTGAAGAAAAAAGAAACACTGTTGATGGTGTCTGTGTTGAAGTTGAAGCTGAAGATGTAGTGCAAGTCTCGAAGAATCTTGCAAGTGTTCCGTTTTCCGCACATTCCGCAGTCATACACATACCATCTCCATCATGTGTATCATATACAATATCTCCATAATTATATTTTTTCCCCTTGTATAAGCAAGTGCATGCTGTAAAATTTTCACAAGAAAATCAGGATTTTTTTTTTCACTTTCACGCACATTTTTTCTTCACTTTCAAGTAATCTGTATATTATTATACTTTTATTAGCAAAAGAAAATTCAGAGTAGAAACTACAGTGTTATAAAGGCTCACCTTGGACATTGTAGTTACAGCTTGCCTCTGTTGAAGAACAATAACTGAAATGCAAGCGAAAAAATACAGTCACATTTTTGGATGAAAAAAAAAACATTTCTGTTTAATGTTTAGGCCGGCCATTCAGCTGTTTTCAACGTTGCTGTATTGGGGTGCACTGGGATACATTTTGAGGTTGTGGTTGGTTTGTATATGTTACTATCTGCCACTGGTAAGAGCTGGAGCTGTGAACATTAATTGCCACAATTTCGGGGAAACTTTTGTCAAGTATTATAAGTACCTGGGGGTCTACTTGGATTGCAAACTGGATCGGTCTAAGAACACTGAAGCTGTCTACTAGAAGGGCCTGAACCATTTCTACTTCCTCAGGACACTAAGGTCTCTTAACATCTGCGGAACAATGTCTAGGATGTTCTATGATACTGTTGTGGCCAGTGTGATCCTTTTTGCTGTTGTGTGCTGAGGCAGTGCTGTAGCAGATGCACACAGACTCAACAAAGTCATCAGCAAGGCCAGTGACATTGTGGGGGTAGAGCTGGACCCTCTGATGATGATTACAGAGAGGAGAATACTGTCAAACAGGGGCAGGCTGGCTGGCAACAAGGGGGTTCGGAACGATTCCCAAATGTCTGTTCCAGGCCAGACCATAAAGAAATGAAAAGAACAGAAAGAAAAAGAGGAGGATAGTTTAGGAAGTATGGCAAAAGGAAAGAAGTCAGAAAAGAGAAATGGGTGGGGTTGAGAAACTATGGGTGAAAAAAAAAGAAGAAATTAGTACAGGACACAGCCATATGTGCAACGCTGACTAAACTGAGCAGCACGCTCACAGCAGATTAACAGACATGGCCCTATTCTCCCAGACTTGGCAAAAAGTGTGTGTGTGTGTTTTTGGAGGTGTTCAGGGCACACAGAATATTAAAGGTAGCTTATCATTAATGTTAAACCATACATGCATTAATTAATCCCAGGCTGAATTTCAACACCAGCGCACCCCCGCTGTCAAAGCTACACATAATCTTAGGCTATGTTAGTGGGGGCATCGTTCTCATTAAAGGCAATGCATGTGCAATAAAAACAACTCATATTTTGCTCATTTTTCAACCAATTTTCATGCAGTTTTCTTTGTTGTCAAAGCCAAAACATGCTATTATTACACAGCATTTGATTTGAAAAGAAAAAGTTCTGTATTAATAACACTTGTTTAAATGTTGAAAATAAAGTAAACTGCATGAAAATCAGTTGAGAATGAGCAATATATGATTTAGTCTCCTATATATATCTGTGGTCACACACTCTGTCAGGCACTGGAATTATCCTCATGTAGTAGCCACAAGCTTGTCCCCTACATATAGTTTAATTCAACTGTGAATTTTGTTGGTAAACTAGTCAAAACTACAAGAATCGCAATTCTGCAATACTGGCAAAATATTATTTATTAAGACACACTTTGTAATGACTCGGTTAAACTGTGCAATACTTGATGCAATATCAAGTATTGCACAGTTTTTGCAAGGTATTGCTAAATATCCCCGTTTGACGCACTGCAAATTAAATTCTACATCATTTAAAGAATAGCCTAAGGCTGCAAATGCTGTGTGGCATCACAAAAAAAGTCATGAATTTCAATCTCCTGTTGACAGTCATGCCCAGGGTTTAACTGTTATGATGTGTTTATGTACTAATAGGGTGAAGGTGTTTAGGGTCATTAGATGTGAGATGACAACCATGACATTTGACTTATTGTGGACATTTCACAGCTCACTTATTGATAAGTAGCCTTGTAGAACATGGAGCTAGAGATAATCAGAAGAAAGATCAGGTCATAGTTTCAGATTAAAACAAAACAAACAAACAAACAAAAAACGCCCACTAGCTTACATCAGATCATGCAGATGTTAGCATTTACGCACTTCCTAGTTATCAACAAAATAAATAAATTATATATATATATATATATATATATATATATATATATATATATATATATATAGTAGTGAAATCCTTCGGCTTTAAATCTTTAGGCTTCAATGCTCACAATGAGCAGAAAGAAGGTGAAACTGTCCCTTCTTTATACAGTCAGTGGTTTCGTACCACTAAAGAAAAGATGAGATGGAGCTTTTTGTTTGTGGGACATGATTGACAATGTTTGCTGATATATTTGGAGATATTGGTATGATATAATTGAAGAGTTATTTCAGCTTACAGAAAAAAACTACAAGGGTTTGCGTTTATTTTTTACAAACAGGAGCAACAGTTAAATTGAAAGTGTCCTACCATTCGTAACAGTTTTGCGGTTGAGGCATGCGCTCCCCTTCTTTGTAATGTTTCATGTGGTCATCATAGCAACCACAGTCCTCCTTTGCGACACATTTCATGGTTACCTCCTCCAAGAAAGGTTTTTCAGCTGTGCATCTTGGGTAACAGCCTTCAAAATTCAAAAGCGCAGTCAAGAGAAGAACTAGTTAATAACAGGTCCAATATGTGTAGCCTTAAACAGTCCAAATAAAGGAAATTATATTCACAAATGGACTTTACAAAAAAATGAGCTTTATTGTACACCAACTCACTGGCTAATTATACCTGCATGGTTGTATGCCTCATCATTTTTTAATCAACTATACCTTCTAAAGCTGGAATGTCATTGTAGCACTCTCCTGAAGGATTCTTGCAAGTCTTCAAGCATGGTTTTTTACAGTGGTGATAGTGCCATTCACAGTCGTCCTCATCATTGTAAAAATCACAAAAAACAGCTAATAGGACAAAAATAAACCATCAATCAGTTACAAGAAAAAATAGTTTATGTATAATATCTCATGAATTCTATGGTAAGAATTTCAAAGTTGATACAGAGATGATAATGATAATGCCTAAACTTTCTTTATCCTCTCAAATAAAACACTCACGACAAATAGTTGGTGTTCTCCATTTTACGCAGGTTCCAGCTTTACTACAGGCTGCTGCATAGGCTGCCACAGATGAGCAGAAACACTCACAGTCTCCACTCGTATTGCAAGTGCTTGTGTCTCTGACGCAAGCATCGTGATAGCTGTGATAATCCACCTTTTAAAAAAAGACAGGTTTGGATGCTGGTTTTAGTCTCACTCATGAGACTGACAATAATTGTTGAGCCCTAATTTTTTTTCATTTTTACCTTTGGATGGCAATCAGCAAATACTTTACTGGAGAGAATGCCGCAGAGTTTCCATGCCCATGCCTGCCTGTGTGAGTAAATTGAAGTTTTTGGTAGACTTGCAGCAGGGCAGGTGGGAGAAGTTTTCCAACTTTCTCCAAAGTACACAGGATCAACTCCAACTTCTTTGTTCCTGGTAGCGAAATCATTTTTGATATTCCCGTCGTAATTTCCACATAGTCCACAGACTTTTCCCTGAAATAAAGGAGATCTAGTCAGTGGTTAAACTAGCAACCTCTGTGTTTTGGCTGAAAACCCATGTATCTGTTTACTGACCTGGAACGTTGGTTTGAGTTTAACCATGACCATTGTCCTCTTGTTCCACATGAGAACCAGACCAGCCTTTGTCTCAATAGTAAGATACAAACTTGAAGTGTGCAGTTGATAGGGTATGGCTACCTCTTTGCTACGTTTGGATATTTTGACAGCACCGTCTAATAGGTAAAATTCAGTGCTCTGAAAGAAACAACACATATTCATTTATAAAGCCATGTAGTTATTTTGTGCATTTCAAAATTCTGTAGAATGACTATTATGGCGTTGCGTACCCCTAAATACAGCCTAACAGCAGTGTAGCAGAAGTTATCAACTGATCCACAGGGGATGCTCTCAATCATAACCCTGAAGGTGCCATTCTTGTGGTCTTCACAGAAATCCTGCAGAAAATTATTATTTTTTAAAAACATTAATTCATTCATTCATCCATGATGGATTGATTCATTGGTTTATAAAATCTGCTATACAAGTATGTCTTTATGTGGTTATCAGATTTGCTTCACTTATTTTTGACAAATATCAAAGTCCAGACATAAACTTGGATTGTACCTGAACCAAAGTGTAGCTACAGCTTCCCCTGAATGCGAACTCTTTTCCATCAAAGGAGTGGTAGTTTCCCTCTCCATAGAAAGAACACATCTTATCACACTCATTATCTGTACATTCCCATCTTCCGCTTTTGCAAGTGCTGTGGTTGAAACAAACAAACAAAAAAACATGTAGAATTAAAGTATTTCCAAATGAAAAGAAACGGACAGTGAGCTTGTGTGGTAATATATGTCTGTGAAGGAGATTAAAGGGCTCACCACTTATTGCAGTCCACATCGACAGTTTGTCCAGATTCATAGGGTACCCCATTAAATGTGCAGCCGCAGTTTTCTTCTGCAACACATCCTCCTTTATCATCTGACACCAGGCCGTCTGGGCACACACAGCCTGATACACACTGTTTGCTGACCTGTACAACACAAAATCAAAGTACTTTGTATAATATGCTGTCACTTTAATATACAAGTGGACAGAATACACAGGCAGTTGTGAACCAATGCTTACACATTCTGAGTCCAGTGTCTGGCAACTTCTCTGGCACTCAGATCCCTTTGTGCCCGGCTTTGCACTTGAGCAACTGAAATATACCATAGGACTGGTGCACGCTGTAGGCAATAATAGTGTATTACAAAGGATGCCAATATTTCTATTTGTTTTGCTCAAGCTTTTCTTTGAAGTGAAGGGATAATATGTCAGTCTGAGTGTCTGCACCTACTTTTATTAATGTTGCCTCCAGTACAACTTAATTTCCCACCACGGCACGAGCTGAAACCAGAGAAACAAAGACAATTGAATGATTATTAGCAGTGTCACTATTAGTTCACTGATTGCTTGTTTTTTTTTCTTCACAGTTTCCTGCCATAAAGAAAAAAAAATACAAATACAAATATGGTTCATATCCATTATAACTTTCCCCATCTTAAATTATGTTAAGTCATTAACCCTTGGCTCCTGTTAATTTTAAGCTCCATCCAGCCTACTTTTTCCTCAAAATGGACATCCAGATAAGTGTTCATAAAAAACTTTTTTTTAAACTTTTTTCCAACTCATATCTCTGACCCTTAAAAAAATAATAAACAATAAATTCAATGTTACACCCTTTTTATGCTAGTTATGCTTTTTATGCTGTGTACCATGTCACTGTTATTTTTAATGGTAAAAAACACAAAATCGCCATATTTCCCATATAAAATGATCTAGATGGAAAAAAAATATATATATTTTTTAAATAAACAAAGTCTAGGCCATGTCAATGATGAGTAAAATTGCTTTTTCTTGTAGTGCCAATTTCCGTATTTTAGCTCCATCCAGCCTACTTTGTCCTTAAAACAGACATGCAGGTAAGTGTTCATAAAAAAATATGTTTTGTAACTTTTTTTTTTTTTTTTTAGCTTTTTTAGACTCAAATCTCCTAAACAATTTAAGCTCTGACCATTAAAAAATAATGAATAAAAAATTCGGTATAACATCTTTTTTATGCCAGTTAATGTGCACCATGTCATAAAACTTGGATTCATTGACAAAGTGTGCGTTCTAAACAGGTGTGTCTATTGGAGCAGAAAAACACGCCAGTTTTCCCTTCCTTTCTTGAGCCTCGTCCTCTACCAAATCAAATGCCAGTGAATTAATTTGTTTACATTAAGTTGATTTTATATATAGGCATATACAATCAGAAGATATATGTAAGATAGGAATCACTCACAAGTGGTTACCCACCTCTAACCAAAATATGACCGTGATTACACTAACTACGCACATATAAAAATAAGCAGTTTAAAAAAACAAAACAAGTCCAGCCTTAAAAAATAATCAAAATTAGATGGGAATCAAAAACAGAAATCCAAAATTAAACTAAAATAAAAACTACAGAGAATGTCAAAGCCTTCTTATGGACTGAGGCTTTAGGCACTTCCATGAAGGTATAATTTTCTTTTGCGTCTATCTAAATAAGGCTCACTTCTGGCTTCCAATAATCCAGAAAAGCAATGGTTAAAGTTACTTTGGCTACTATTGTTGCTTTTGTGCAGTTTAGGGTTTTATTCTTCTGCTTCTCCAGTCGTATAAAAGTAAGTCATCCATTATTATGAGAAAAAAAAGGACAAATAAGTGATACACATTAATTCCTTAAAAGTTTCAGAGAAGTAAAACTTCAAAAGTCTGTGGTGAAATTCAGTGCCACAGTAAACCCTCATGTCTGATATGTTTAAGAACTAAACATTAATTTCACTACTCTGAGTCACACACCCCTGCCACAACTGACAAATAAAAGCAGTAAACACACAATCTATAATCTCTGTAAACAAAATAAAATAAAACAATTAAAAAAAAACAATTTTGTTGCACTGTAATTTTACAGAAATATTCGAAGACTCACCAAGTTTCTCCCTGGTCCTTTATGACCTGTCCTGGGTTTACCACCATGTCTCCCACATAGCAGGGGCATTTTGAGGCCGGCACACACTCTCCCTTCTCATCAAGGTAAGTTCCTTTTTCACAGCCACAGCCATCAACCGGAGTATATTTAACCTCACATGTAAAGTCTGGCTGACCCAAAGAGCGACAGCTTCGACCACAGCTTTCCATTTGGTGGCTGTACACAAAATTGGAGGGGCATTTTGTGTATTTATCTTTTGAAAGAAAAGATAGCTCAAGTTTAGTTAGAATTATTTGGGATATTTAGTGTTGTGATTAATGTAATTCACACATCACTTACCGCATGGAGTTTGAGACCATCCATCTAAAAAGATTCCTTCAGCAGCGCAAGCATGGACATAGGCAGATATAGCAGAACACATGCACTTCTCACTGTCGTCAGAGGTACAAGTATCATACATACAATTCTGTGTAAAGAAACAACAACTATTTAATGATTGAAATGTTGAAAAAAATGTTAAATACACATATTCAGTAATTAAAAACACATACACAAGACTGCATATGAAAAATAATAACATCTTACTTCTTCATAGTCCTGTGGGTTTACTACAGAATGGCACTGAGCGAAAATCCCGTTTGTGTCTGTCAACATGGCGCACCAGTGTGATGCATATAACTCTAAAAAAATAAATCAACATATTCAACTGGTTGATTGTTGTGAAAAGCAGTTGTTTGGTAAGTTGGTAGGTAGAGCAGGTTGTTTCTGACTTACCCTTGTCTACACTTAAAGCACAGGGAGCCCCCATTTTTTCTCTTACATCAGGGCAGCTTGTCTTGGTCCTCCATGAGTTGGCAAATGTTTTAGCCATTCCCTCAAGTAATCCTTGTCTGGTTTTAAAGTCATCGGCTTCCACATCATTGAAATTTCCACAAAGCCCTATATTACAAAAATTACATATGCTCAGTAAGAAGTACAAATATTCACTTCGAGACAGCAACAAAAACTTCTTAAAGTGAACAACAGGGCTGAAGAATTGAAGTATACCCCTTAGTTTTCCTTTATTGCAAGCACTGACTTTGATGTAGACCTGCATTGTGGGATTTAACTGTATCTCAAGGAGAACCCCATAGGAAGTTTGGATGACGATGTAGAATGTTGATGGTCTGAAAATGATTATGCCCTCTGAAGGGGAGAAAATGTTGAATTAGAGAAAACACAATTTCATGTTATGATTCAGTCTAAGGCAACAAACCATAAAGGAACCAACGACCTACCTACGATAAATGGCAGTTTCAGGATCATTTTGTTCTGAGTAACCTGTCCATTGTCTTCAACGACAATCATCTTAAGAGGGAAAAATGGCAAATAACTTAAAAACCTGGCTTTTGAACAAATGCTGGAAAAGACAAACCTTGTAAATGCTGTTAAAAATATATGAAAAGGGGACATTTATATTCTATAGTCTCACCTCTTGGTTTGGCATTAAAATTGAGACTGCAGACAGGCAAGATGATTTAGATGGTTTTTTACAGCTGTCCAGGTCACCAAGAACAGTAAAAGTCCCATTGATGTCCTAAAGGTTGAGAAGACACAAACATACCTTATCACAAACTGCTTCTTGACAAGTATTGTGCTTTGTGAATGAATTTAAGTATGATTTAATTTAAGCAGGGACACGTTACCTTGGACAAAACATAGGAGCAGTCTGCATGGATTGTGTACACTTTATCATCATAGGTGGAGATGTGGGATCCACCCATTACAGTGCAGGTGCCAGAACAGTCCACACTCTGACAGTCCCACTCACCCCCAGCAAGGCAGGTACTGTCAACAAAGTTTAGTCAGTTCATCCCTCAGATCTAATCTTTATGCAACAATGCTGAAAATGCAAACATTACATGTACCATTTTTGACAATCCTTTGAGTATGACTCTCCACTTTTGTATGGCGTGCCTTTGTATATGCAGGGGCACTGGTCTTGAGGAACACACCCACTCTGTGTAATATCATCGAAGACAGTCCCTTTAGAAAAAACATAATGACATTAGTGTTAAGCCTTAAGTACACTGCTTTACACAAAGAAATCCCACTGAGCGTCACATGCTTATTTAAGTATAGTACATGTTTAAAATGCCTCCGTCACTTCTCCTCTGTTTAATTAATGCTTTAACTTGCTAAGAACTGTAGGATACAGTTTGTCATTGAAATACATTTAAATAATATCAAAGCTGACACAAAGGTGTGTTGGAGAGAAATTAAGGGATAAACATGATATCACAGCTATGACCTGAGAACTTTTACTAAAAATTTGCTGTCCATTATCATGAACATTTGAGTACATATAACTGATATCTGCAAAGGCTACATCCATGAAGGATATTAAATATTGCACAAAAAGAGTTTGGAGAAAACCTGAACTGATGTAGGTAATTTTTTAACATAAGAATCTCCAAATAAAAATTGCTGACGTTAAACTTTGAACTTACCAGCGGGACAGAAGCATCCATCCACACAGTGATCATCGCACATTTGGCTTCTCTCTGGGTTTTTGCAGGTGTCTGTGCAAGGACTTCCACATTCGCTGTACTCCATGTTGAAAGGGCATGTTTTTTCTATTCGACAAGCAATGATAATAAGTCATGTTGATATAAATACGTCAAAGCTCCAATGGAACAAGTCCAAATATCTCGATACATACCCTCACCACACAGTTGTGCAGTCTTCCAATTTTGTGGCGTCCCACCAGCATGAGAGCATTGACGTGAGAACTCTGACGTGGTTGAACACAAGCATGAAGCGCTGTTTTTGCACTGGCACAGATCCTTCACACAGGCTTGGATGAAAAATTCAGTATCAATCAGGTCTTGGCAGCTTGCAAACGCAGGTCCTGTCAGCAGTTTCGTACAGAGGTCTTCCTGTGGGTCATAGTATATGATCGAATTACAGTGTGTCATTTTACTGGTGTTTTTATATATGTTTATTTGAGATTATTCCATTTCACAAACCTTGTCCGTGCAGTCTTCAGGAACTTCGGTTGAGTCTTTATCTGAGTCTTCATCTGAGTCTTCATCAGATTTTTCATCAGATTTATCATCAGGACCACCAACTTTCCAGTCCTCCCCATATTCATCAACCTCTATAACTGCTCCTAAAATGGAAAGAGTTTTTAGTAAATGTAAATATTGAGTTTGTGGACACAATTTGTCTTTATTATGTGGCATTTACCTGTTTTGATGAACTCATCATGCATCTTGACGCCATTGAAATCACCGCACAGACCACAAGTCAGATTCATGTATTTAGCGTCCAGCTCAACCTTAAAAACCAGAGGATCAGCAGATATAAATAAGTGCAGGAATAAAAAACGAATTATTTAGCTAACGATAATTTTGTACAGTGTCTTCAACATTTGTGCAAAATAGTCTGACGTTTCAGAGATTAGGTTTAAAAATGTACATGATGACATTGACAAAGTCAGATGATGCAAACTGTCTAATTCTGGAATAAATTATTTGAACTGCTGTTGAATTAATTAAAATGGCTCAAATAATGTGAATCGTTTGGGCTCTCTTACTTGTCGAAAGCAGTTTTCCTCTTTTTGTTTGCCTTTGATTACTAAAAACGTCTTCACCTGATCGAATAGTTCATGTTTTTTTTCTCCTTCTAATTTTTTGCCGAGTCAATGGATGTCAGACTGTCTCACTACATGCCAAATAATACATGAATGTGCATTTTAAAAGCATCTCTTATACTTTTATCTGCAGTATAATGTATCACAGACAATTCATTAGTCTGTCATAATTCTGTAACACTAAATATAGAGTAATAACTTTTTCTTGCTTTGAGCCTGTGTCTCTCTATAAGTCACCAAAAACCTCTTATACATTGACACACTCAGACCGAGACAGCTCAATGAATATTCATACCCAGAAAGAGTCTCCTTGGCTCCACATGATTGTCAAATCCAGGTTTGAGTGGATCTTAACATAGGACATAGTATTTTCAATAGAAACACCATGCTGATTGTATGGTGGAGAGACACTAGAGAGCGACAAAAAAGAAAGAAAAGACAACGGTGAGATTGAAGGGGATTCATTCCTCATTTAACAAGCTCATCAGTAGGTGAATAAATGCCACTCTATCAAAATAGACTCACAATTCATTTTCGACTTTTATGCCAGCACCGCTTAATTCCATGGTGACCCCGTCCAGGTTTATGGCAACCTTTTTGATGGTGACGGTCCCATTTTCCACCTGCCGTTGGACCTGAATTTCAAAGGTCTCATAGTCATCCTTGCAGTTAGAAACCAGGACATAATTGCACGTGGAGGGAAGCTGGAAGGTATCTCCATCAAAGGTTTTGTAATGGTAGTTTCCCCATGTGCTGCAGAACTGGTTGTTGTCGTGAGTGGGTTCTATTTCTAGTTCTGGAGAAAAACAAGATCATTTCTCTGTTGCTCTATTCTACATATTTGCTTTATCCTTCATTTTTTAAACATAATTAATTACCTGTAACCACTGGCAACTTATCCATCGTGGTCATTCCAACCATGCCCATGCCTTGCAAAAGAAAAAAGAAACTGCATGGTCAGTACACATGATTAACAAAGTGAGAGAGAGGAGATGATTAATTTGTATTAACTAGTATATACATAAGTACATTTTTATTTTTATCTACTGAATAATATTAACAATGTGTTCTTAAATTTAGTCTATCAACTCTCTCTGCCCCATTAAGTGCACATACCACTGCTGGCTTCAGACAGCACCAGGCAAACGCTGAACCACGGTATCACCAATTCTAGTAACATCCCGACAGTCCTCATGATCCTCAAGTAAACCCTGTTCTGACAGGATCGTAACAGCCAAATGGTCCTACTGATGTGATGTATTATAGTGTGTTGGGTGTTTGCAGATTAGGAGGAGTACAAGAGGCATCTTGGGTGTTAACCCTTGTGGTTTCTGATTTTACAGGGATCACACCCTCAAAGACGCTGCTTATGACAACACTTCATCTTCATCCCTCTGTATCGAGAAGCATCATGTCAAATCACTCTGTCTCCATTTGAATTTATATTTGGTAATGAATAATTTTTACCTTATAAGTATAAAAAAATGTCCCAGCATGGATCAGAAAGCTTTAGTGAACATTGTGTACTTTTTCCACTGATCCAGAGCACTTGACACTGTGGATTGTGTACCCATATCTAAAAGGATATATATCAGTACGTAAATGGTATAAGGAGTACATTGACCATACATCTGTTTAAGACTCATGGAAACGTTATGTTGCCCAGGCAGAGGAGGGTGTTTGTCTACATTAGGGTCTCCACATTTGCGGCTCAGTTTTTTCAGATTAAGTCATTCTTTTGTCAGCTCCTGCATCAGGGTGTCTGAGGAAATCAAAGGTAGAACTGGCTAGAACATTTAATTGAAACCGTAGATATCAGCCTGAGCCGTAGGTATAAAATTTCAAAATTTTGTATAACCTCGTGTTTTTCATCAATACTACTTATACTACTTTATGAATGCTACTACTGTGAAAATTAAATATTATCAAAGTTACAAACTGAAAACCCTTGAGTGAGGCCTTCTTTCCATATCTAAAAGTATTTTTCTACAAGTACCTTTTCTCAGTTTTAAAAAAATATTTCTTGAATAAATAAACAAGCAAACAGATCAAAATATACAGATGTAAGATACCAGCACAGTTTAATGTATTAAAAATAATCATGTGAGTCACAGCCAACCAAGTTGAATTGACTCAGTCGCCATCTTCACCCTTCAACCGAATTTCCCCTCGGGGATAAATAAGGTTCTTCTTATCTTTACTGCTAGAAACACATTTCCAAACACAGCTCCTTCAGTATTAATACCAATTAACCACTGACAATCAGATTTTAAGTTTTACGAATACACTTTCCAAACATATTCAAGTGAGAAAAACAGCACTCAAAAGTGAAGGGGGGAAAGGTGAAAAGGTCTTTATGGTTTTTCTGTTTCATGATAATTTTCTTATAATGTCTGTAAATGTTCTCTGCCCCTTGTCCCATAGATACTGTTGACAGTAGAAAGAAAACTTGATTTAAAAAAATTTGAATACATATGAGTACAGCACTTTGAGAATATGTTCAATATGTCCTCTTACAATCATGCAAATGTACCTTCCTGTACCTCCTGAGTCTCATTTATAAATGAGTTTCTTAAAAAAAAAGTGTGATTCATCATATCAAAGCAATGCTTACATACGAACCTTAAACTGGTATGACGTAGAACAGAGAGTATAGGATGAGTTAAGTTATATAAGGCTTGTTAAACTATAAAAGTTGTTTAATGCCTGCTGCCATCTTGGATTTTCCTTTAAAAAATTAAGTAATCAAAGCCAGAATTAAATGAACTTTTACACATTTTCAACAATTTGGTCATGAAAAAATGTTTTTAACTTCTTTTCAAAAACATGTTTCATTATCTATCAAACAATACTTATGGTTTGGAGCACCTTACTTTAGGGTAAAATGCATCCTACAATGACAATATCAAGAGGGAATAATGATGTGCAAATATCTAATCTATCAAGAAAGCCTTCATGGAAAATTATGTCGCGCTGCATTTCAGGTTTCTGCTATTGTAAATGTCAAATCAGTCAAATTGTAAAGAATTGAAACTGGAACTGGTTTAAGTAGCACAGGATAAAGAATACTACATCCTAGACTTCTGTCATCATCTTTCAACAATGACAAGTTGATTAAAACTTCATATTGACAGACTTATATTATTAAGGCACAAATATTTGAGCTATGCTTATGGAGAGAGACCTTTAAATAGCAGCTCTTCTTGGATTGACAGAACAATCGAGAGTGCTCTGCATTTACTTACACACCCATAACTATTGATAATAGCTGTTACAAAAGGTTCTACTCTAATTGTCAAGGTTGAGACCATGTCACCCAGACATACTACAGTTTGTTAAAGCATTCAACCACATGTGCCATTTAGAACAAAGTTTCTTACAGCCCTGTGTACAGCAGTTTATTGCTCAGCTTACTTATCAGTATTGTCCATACTCTAGCAAACTTCTTCAAACAGGGACCCTGCTAATTATTGTTTACAGAAGAGCTGAGAAACCCTAACTATCCCTGATACCGTACTTTGATCAACAAAAGCAAACAAGCCCCCCAGAAACAAGGCTGACATCTGAGCATCACTCCAACTCTACTTTATGGAGATAAAACGTATGAAAAAAATGAACATTTCTGATGAGTGATAACCCCTGTTATCTAACATGGTCATGTAAAGTGATTATTACTTGTTTGTTTACCCGGCTGCTTAAAGTATCACACCAGTAGGATGTTATTTTTGGTTGTACAACTTACTGCGTCATGGTAGAATCAGTCTGTGTTGGTGCAGCTTATAAACTGTTGTCTTAGTGTACTTACACACACACCAAAAGCTGTGTCATAGAAAACTAAAAGCCTTGCCCTAATGCTAAGCAAACAGCAAACACCCTGACTCAGCTGTTATTACTGTCACATTTGTGTCGTAGGTATTATGTTGGTTTCTCATCCAGGGGAACAAAAATGATGGCAACTTTTAGGTCTCCCAACAGAAATGTGCCATCCCTGCAACACACATAGACTGTATATAAGATGGACAACCTGGTTCCGCCTTCCGCCTGTATACGGATTTGAAGCCAAAAAGCTCTCGGTAATTCCGGGTTTTTCTCCACTTCCTTGAAACTCAGAGCTGCGCAGTAGCGATGCGCGCATTCGGCCGCGCAGTCGCCGAGAGTCCCTGTGATGACGCTCGGCTCAGACAGCGTATCCCCCCGGGAGAGCTACGCAATCCCTGAACGCCCATAGGCTGTACCAGGTGTCAATCATAGAAAACATGAACCCCCTAATAACTTTTAAAAACGGAGCTGTACAGAAAAAAGGACTTGAGCACAAACCTGCCTTACTGTAACTGTAAGGGGGGAGAAAAATTTATGTTCTGTGTAGTAAATTTCTCAAGTTTGTCCACAGTCCCATAAGCTTTGCTAACGGAGGCGGGATTTATTATCTGTACTGCAGCCCACCATCAGAGGGTGCTGTTCTCGGAGTGGCTTCCAGCGAGGAGGCAGACTCTGTCCATCTTATATACAGATGGCAACACACCAGGTGAACTGTTGAGGAATGGACATGACTCTCTCTCTCTCTCTCTCTCTCTGTGTGTGTGTGTGTGTGTGTGTGTGTGTGTGGTCACAGCTTATAGACTCAACTCATACCCACTGCTGAAGGGATGAAAAAAGAAATCACATTGTCTGCTGATACGGATAGTTTAACAATTTACTGTAACTGCTAACTAACGCCAATTAGTGAGGGTGGCGCCCCCTGTTGACAACATAGTACCTCTTGCATCTTGGATGATTTCGTCCTGTACATCCTCAACTTCATTTGTTACCACAACCAGGGTGTATAGATGACATGTAGTTTCTTGTTGAGCGTGGTAGCTAGAAAAATGATGTGGCATATGACAATATTTTTATTAATCAACCCAGCAATGAACAACAAAATGCAAGAGGCCACTCAGAAGAGGTACAATGATAAGAAATAATTGAATTGATCATCTTCTAAAAAATATCTCAGACCTTTGCGCTGTTTATTAATCTCTGTAAAGTGTTGACTGTGACAAACAGGGATTCCTCATGAAGTTGTGGTTGTGTGTGACAAGCTAACAAAGTTCAAGTTAGTCACAACTAATACAGCATCTTAAACCAAAAAGAAAATAAATCTACATTGTTATCAAAAGTAAAGTTACAACATCAAATCGTAATAAATTAAATTTAAAGAATCTACTTTTTAGAGCAGCTTACCTTACAACACCTAGATGATTTTGTTAGCTGTCGCCGCAGTAATGGCTGCTTGTTTGTTTTCCAGTGGTTCGTCGGTTTGGTCTCTAAGGGAACATTGTCAGTTTTTCAAATAAAAAACTCTTTTTAACTATCCAACGTACCATTTTTCTTAGGCTCTTAGAAGGCTTTATTAAACACCTGGCTGCAGCAAACACTTAATATGTAGAAATATTCTGTCTTTATACTAATGGTCTAGTGTAGAGACATTGGTATTAAAAAATCCGTCCAAGCAGTAAAAAACTCCTCAAAGGAGCTTCAAGAGCTTTAACACTCTAAGTAAGTAGTAGCTATCATAAATGACATTGTGCAAATACAGATGAAGAGGTCAGAACTAGGTTCTCTGTCTCACATTAATATTTTGATATTTGTTTAACCAAGCAGCATAAAATCTTCATTAAAACTTGGATTAAATGAATAAAAACACATCAGTGCTATATTTTCAGGTAATTTTGCATACTTGATTTGGCGCTAGGTAATATTCTTATGTGTCTACATTAAAGACTGTTCAGTTTTACCACATGCTGCTTTGCTTTGTGGCATGTGGCACATTGTGATTTCAGTCTGTTTGTGAATGACTACATGTATGAGAAGTTAAATAGTATAATGTCAGTAGTAAGAACAACATTTTGTCTCCAATCAAATTATCCCTGGTGAATTTGGGTGATTGACTGTCCTGCTTAGATCAACACAATGTTTACTGTCACGGTGTTGTAGAAAGTTATCAACATGCACCTGCACACCTGTAGGAGTGGTCCAGAGTCATGTTTGCCTTTGGTGGAGCTTTAATGAGTGACTATTTGAGAACATGTATTATTACATGATATTCTGTTTTCAAAGCAGCCGTGATAAAACAATATGCAAAACAGAGTTACAAGACTTTGTCATCAGTCCACACAAAAAGGGCCCAGTTTAACATTATCACTGTGGTCTCATCTCTGTGAGTGGGCCAGACATGAGTTTTTTGTGCATGGCAAAGGCAAGCCCTTAGGGGTCTTGTTGTAAACTGAAAATAAACCAAGGAAAATGAAATCAGCTCCTTCTACCACTGGATCATTTACAATAAGCTTTTACTGACTTCAGTTTAAAAAAGGTAAACTGTTAAGTTAAGAACAGCTTGATGAAGCGCTTTGGTGGAGATTTATGTTAATATAGACCATATAGTTTGAAGTAGATGAAAATAAAGTTTGGGTTTCATCTGAACGCTGTGTCTTTAGCAATACGACTAAAAAATATCTATTTTGTAATGTTTCAGGGTGGAAATGGTTATCAGATTTGAATTCTGTAATATTTCTATTTTTATTCTATTTTTAAAGTGAAATACATAACATTTGCTGCCATAATTTATCCCCATGTCAACCAAGTGGACACTGTGCTAACTTTAGGACAGATTGAGACTTTGGCTGAACTTCACAGACATAAACTGGAAACAAACACCATTCCACCATACTCTCGTATGGCAGTCAAGACAGTGGACTTTTTTTATTTTAACTTTCGGTGTTTCATCAGAAAACAAACTCTGTTTTTGTTTGACAGCCAGTGTTGAGGAAATCTACAATTATGGCTAAGGAAATGATTCACCATTGTGTGCCAGTTTACGGGAACCAATGATACAAGCAATTGGAGGCTTTCCCTCACATTTTCTTTTGAGAGAAAAGGACAGCACACAAAAACAAAGACGTCAAGACTCTTTCACGAGAGCATTACCTTTGATTAGTCAGGGTGAAACTTTTCTGCCCAAAAAAACACCCCATCTTTAATTTAAATGCCCACTGAGCAGCTCACATGAATCTTTAGGGTGGAAATATTTGTTTTGGCAGCTTGCACTTAAGTGACACCTACCCTCAGGCAGTGCTGACAAGCTATCATAATAACAACATAAAATCGTCAAACCTGTTGCCAACGCTAAACTCTCAGGGGGTAGGTGTCATATCTTGTGCCAGCATGTTTAAGACCTTGGTATTATTTGAGACATAACAGTAAAATCGAAAAACAAGTGTAATTCTTATTAATTTACATTCATGTTTTTAATTGAAATTTTTTAGAAATGAAGCAAGAAGTAAACAATAAAGGTTGAGCTGGAGTACGTAAATAAAATGAAGCGACAAAAAAATCAAGTTGCATTTTTATTTGATGAGCGGTATACTATCCCTACATGAGCAATTATTGTGTGATATAGTGGCTGTTAAGACAACATCAGTAATAACGTTTCATCCCATGTGAATAAAACAAGTCGATGTCTGTCTTATTAAACCAGTGTGAAGCTTCGCCTCCTGCGAGCATGTTGTGCAGCAGCTCTGGTGCAATCAGTGTAGCTACAGCCGCACTCCTCCACATGCATGTATGTGTAGGGAACCACATCTCCATTCAGACAGTGCAAGTCAACAGTCCGATTGCTGAAGCGTGTCTCCTTACAGCAGGAGCATGAATGCTGCATAACAGCTGCTGCTTCAGAGTATCTAATGAGAGGTGAGAAAGAATTAAGCGTGCAATTAAACATAGCTATATGCAGTTCATTTTTAGAAATTCTGAGTGTATTACTTTCCTAGGGTGGAAAATAAACATATTATCAAAATCAGAATCATCCTTACCTGGTGTAAGTGTTGCAGGATCCCTCACAGTATGGCATATCTACCTCCTGATAAGACTGACAGCCCCTGTGCATTACATGTGTTTTCATGTATCCTTTTTTGCAGGCTTTCTCCTTCTCCACACCTATTTTGAGAAAACTCAAGGTAAGTATTTCTTTCTGTACCCTCTACCAAAATTGAGAAAATTTATACTCACATATTTTACAACAGCCGTTTGCTGCAGTCTGAATTGTATCCTAGGGAAGAAAACACAAAGCTTCAACTCTAATTTATCATCTCATTGTTAGCATAAACTCATTTGTTTTAAGTGGTACTTACAGGTTGGCAGTTGCTCTGAAGGAATGGTGGGCAGACTACATGTGAACTGATTGTTGTCAGTGTCTCGTCGTTCTTAACACAGGTGTAATACTCACACCTATTCTCTGGTGGTGACCAGGTTTTCCCCTCCTTGAGAGCAAGGGATGTATATATAAATTATTTTGTATTCACACACAAACACACATTAGACAGAATCTATTCAGTTGTTAGGTATTGACATACTTCAGACCATCCAGCTAAAAAAATGATCTTACCATCAGGAGCGTCTTGGTACCATTAATATTTAAGATACATTGTTTCTGTACACATTTACCACAGCATTCATCAGACTCAGGTTCCTCATATTCATATCCCTAAAAGAAAAATGAAGGATCAATTTTTCACGTTTTTAAACAAGCATTGCATAAATTGGAGTATGGCAATATGTTATAAGTCATACCATGTCACAGTTTTCTTGACATTGCTGAAACTGGCAGACTATCTTGAACAGACCAGATTTGGGGTCAACCTGATTTGTACAGGTACAATCCTGACACGATCCTACGGGCCCAGGAACTGGAGAACCAGGCTGCAAACCAGAGAAGAAACGGATTCATACCTAGGCAATTAGCCATACAGTGGAAGCACCAGAAAATCAAGAGCATGTTTTCTCACTTACCTGGTATTCAACCTCTTTGTGGACACAAACTCTTTTTGGCTCTGAAAACAAAAAATGGAATTAACGCAATGTCCAAACAATCTTTACACATGAAAGCTTTAAATGCATAGGCTCACCACATGTAAGTTCTGGACAGCATTTTCCCTCAGGAACATGAATATTTGGCAGATATCCAACAAGACAGTTCCTACCGATGGCTGGGCATGTGTTACTGTGACATTCTGACAGTATAAATGGAGATAGTCAGCAATGAACAGTCATGCTCTTTGTTGAATGATGAGAACAAAGGAGGATAAATGCAGTAATGGATGCAAAACATCTTACCACAAACAAAGACTGAACAGCAGGGGTCTGAAGGGTCAGTTTTGTTCACAAGGACAAACCCTGGGAGAGTGCAGTTTGTGATGATCGGTACTGGGCACACCTTTGGCTTGCATATCACAGTCTTTGTAGACTCCTCACAGATGCAGTTTTGGCATTTGTATTCAAACATCTCATTGAACTGAAACAATTAACCACATTGGGGGCTTTATTATCACTTGTATGTAAACAACACTGGTTAAATGCAACTTGCATTAAGGACTTTACTTACCTCACGAGGATTACCCTCAGGATCAAGGCAACCTATAGGAAATCAAGACTTACTTCAGGACTAAATATGTTACATGGTGAATTAAGTTCAATGGTAAGACTGGGGGTTAAGCACTACACTCACCACACTTGCTAACACATTTGCCAGACTCTTTGTTGAAGAGTTTCATTCCATCAGGACAAAAGCAGCCCTCAGTAGTGAAGTTCATGGTTGATTCTTCAGGACTGTAATATTGAACAATCAAGAAATGACATTTTAAATTAACTTAATGAGACATTTTTATGGGGAAATTTCAACCTTTATCATGTTTTTTCGTGAAAAAAAAAAAAAACACAGATAGGTGTTTTTGCATTGTTTTTGTTGACGCTTACTTGTCTTCACAGGTTGGCTGTTCTGCAGGGCCACATGGCTTGTAAACTTTGTCAGACGGGCAGTCACTGGCTGCAAGTGAAAAAAATAATTTATTTTAATAAAAGCAAATGTTACTTATAAGACTGATTACATTAATCAAAACATATGGGGTACATAAGGGGTCACTAACCACACAGTTTTGTATGGTTCCTCCAGTGAAGGCAAACTCCAGCCTGAGTACATGCAGCAGCATAAGTTTGCAAACTCGTACATTCTACCACTGGGTTTGAAACATGGCAGCTGTCGAAAACACATCCTTGATAGAAATTGTCAGGAGAGACGAAGGGATGGCACTCTGCAAAGAGACTGTGAAAGCAAGACATAATTACACACAATAATAAAGAAGGTGCGTTTTAACTGCATGGTGTCAAGATTGTAAGGATAAATGTGATCCAGATGCTGAGATTGTGTACCTGCCCTTGATAAGGTCACATATGGAGTCTGAATTGCATGGAGTTAAGGTTGGAGGGGGTTCAGGTACATTGGTAGGTAGTACTGGTGGTATTTGGCAGTTGGGTTGGTAAATGTGTGTAGCAGGCCAATAGTCAGCCATCACTGCACAACTTTCAACCAGCTGGCCACCAGGCAACCTGCAGTCATCAGCCTGGTTGTTATTGCATGTACCTGTAAGAGTCCAAAAAAGTTAACTTCGAAGCAGCAAGTTGGATTGTTTATTAACATACTCAGTGGAGATTGTGAAAGATGTCCTTACCACAATGACCCTGTGTGTTACTGCCAAAGTATTTAAATGGAAGGGTGACACTAAAGCCAGTTATTCCAAATGTAATGACAACATCTAGACGAGGGATCTCCAAAATTAAGGTAAGGCCAGAATTCAGGACCTTGACACCAAGATGTGAATAAGGTAGCTTCAACCGCTCTCTATCTTTGAGTGCCTACAAAAAAGCAGATAAATACATCTTATGACCAGAAAATACTCAATTATAAAAGAAAAAATGATTCATTGTGTCTAATTTGTATTTGCTGAGCGTAAAATCTACCCAAATAGATTTGATAACTTATTCAGGGTGCAGAACAATGCTTTTAACAGGCCATGCATACCTCTAACTGTGCTATTCCAAGAAGATTATGATTCATGAGTGTGATCACTTCTGTCCTATATGATACAATTATTGATCGTGGACAAGAAACATCCTCAGTTGGATCGCAAAATACATTGTCAATATAAATCTTTAAGTTATGTTGTGGTAGAATCTCTTCCATCAATACGTAGGTACAGTTTCCTTGGTAACTGTAGTACAATCCATCGAAAGTAATATAATGAGGATCTCCCCAACCTTCACATACACCTGATAGACAGAAAACATTGAGGGGATAATGTAATTTTCGAAAAATCAAAGCAAGACATTCCACAATTATTTTTGCCTTTGTAACTATTCAATAACTTACAGTCACAAGCATAATGTTGGCAGCAGTAGTATTCATCGTACACAAGAACTGGTTTCTTTCCATTGCTACAAGTGATATCCTCAAGGGGTGGACATTCATATGGAATGATTTCAATTGTGTTGTTCTCGATGCATCTTGCCATGGTGCAGTTACACAGCATGAATGTCTCATTTTGCTGGTGTACAGATAAAAGAACACAATTTAGTTAAGAAAAAAAGCAGGAGATCTGGCTTATGTTTAAACATGCATTACCATTACATGTGCTTTGTACAAACCATAAAAGTAAAAAAAGATTGTGCAGAGTACATAAAGATTCTTACCACTACATCCCAATCAGGGCAGGTAGGTACATAAGGTGTGGTTGAGGGTATTGATGTGGTTGTACAGATATCTGTCTTATTCTGAATCTCACAAATGTCAGAACATATCATTGTAAGGCACACTCCTGATCCAATGTGAACATTGTCGTGTATGACATCCCCTAGAGTTGTCAAAACAGGTTACAACATGATACACTGGAATACCTGAGATTTTTAACTTGCATAAAAAAGTATGTGGCAAAGAAATTACTAATTATTTCTTTTCCTACCTGGCATATACTGTTTGCCATTCACAATACAAAAGCAAACAGTGGTGGTACGTTGTGTGGTTAGAGTTGACTGAAAAAAGGTTGTGGTTGGCACTGCAGTTGTAGTTGAGGATTTTCCAGGTGTTGGAGATGTTGCTTGTGTGGTTACAACTGGCCCCTCAGTTGTGATAGGAGGTGTTTCAGTTGATAGTGTCGTAGATTTTGTAGTTGTTGTTGGTTCCTCTGTAGTATGAGGAGGTTGAGTTGGGGGTGTACTTGGTTTAGGTGTCTGCACTGCAGTTGTAGTTGAGGGTTTTCCAGGTGTTGGAGATGTTGCTTGTGTGGTTACAACTGGCCTCTCAGTTGTGAGAGGAGGTGTTTCAGTTGATATTGTCGTAGATTTTGTAGTTGTTGTTGGTTCCTCTGTAGTATGAGGAGTTGGAGTTGGGGGTCTTGTTGGTGAAGGGGTTTGCACTGCAGTTGTAGTTGAAGGTTTTCCAGGCGTCGGTGTTGTTGCTGTTGTTGTTTTTATTGGTCCTTCAGTTGATTGTGGCGTAGACTTCAGAGTTGTATAATTACCAACCTGTGGGCCTGTTGTTGGTTGTGGTTTTGGAGGACCAGTCTCAATCACATTTGTGGTTCCCTCAGTTGTTGGTGATGTTGCTTGTGTGGTTACAACTGGCCTCTCAGTTGTGAGAGGAGCTGTTTCAGTTGATAGTGTCGTAGATTTTGTAGTTGTTGTTGGTTCCTCTGTAGTATGAGGAGGTTGAGTTGGGGGTTTTGTTGTTTGAGGGGTTTGCACTGCAGTTGTAGGTAAAGGTTTTCCAGGTGTTGGAGATGTTGCTTGTGTGGTAACAACTGGCCTCTCAGTTGTGAGAGGAGGTGTTTCAGTTGATAGTGTCGTAGATTTTGTAGTTGTTGTTGGTTCCTCTGTAGTATGAGGAGGTTGAGTTGGGGGTGTACTTGGTTTAGGTGTTTGCACTGCAGTTGTAGTTGAGGGTTTTCCAGGTGTTGGAGATGTTGCTTGTGTGGTTACAACTGGCCTCTCAGTTGTGATAGGAGGTGTTTCAGTTGATAGTGTCGTAGATTTTGTAGTTGTTGTTGGTTCCTCTGTAGTATGAGGAGGTTGAGTTGGGGGTCTTGTTGTTTGAGGGGTTTGCACTGCAGTTGTAGTTGAAGGTTTTCCAGGTGTTGGAGATGTTGCTTGTGTGGTTACAACTGGCCTCTCAGTTGTGATAGGAGGTGTTTCAGTTGATAGTGTCGTAGATTTTGTAGTTGTTGTTGGTTCCTCTGTAGTATGAGGAGGTTGAGTTGGGGGTGTACTTGGTTTAGGTGTTTGCACTGCAGTTGTAGTTGAGGGTTTTCCAGGTGTTGGAGATGTTGCTTGTGTGGTTACAACTGGCCCCTCAGTTGTGATAGGAGGTGTTTCAGTTGATAGTGTCGTAGATTTTGTAGTTGTTGTTGGTTCCTCTGTAGTATGAGGAGGTTGAGTTGGGGGTTTTGTTGTTTGAGGGGTTTGCACTGCAGTTGTAGGTGAAGGTTTTCCAGGTGTTGGAGATGTTGCTTGTGTGGTTACAACTGGCCTCTCAGTTGTGATAGGAGGTGTTTCAGTTGATAGTGTCGTAGATTTTGTAGTTGTTGTTGGTTCCTCTGTAGTATGAGGAGGTTGAGTTGGGGGTGTACTTGGTTTAGGTGTTTGCACTGCAGTTGTAGTTGAAGGTTTTCCAGGTGTTGGAGATGTTGCTTGTGTGGTTACAACTGGCCTCTCAGTTGTGATAGGAGGTGTTTCAGTTGATAGTGTCGTAGATTTTGTAGTTGTTGTTGGTTCCTCTGTAGTATGAGGAGGTTGAGTTGGGGGTTTTGTTGTTTGAGGGGTTTGCACTGCAGTTGTAGGTGAAGGTTTTCCAGGTGTTGGAGATGTTGCTTGTGTGGTTACAACTGGCCTCTCAGTTGTGAGAGGTGTTTCAGTTGATAGTGTCGTAGATTTTGTAGTTGTTGTTGGTTCCTCTGTAGTATGAGGAGGTTGAGTTGGGGGTTTTGTTGTTTGAGGGGTTTGCACTGCAGTTGTAGTTGAGGGTTTTCCAGGTGTTGGAGATGTTGCTTGTGTGGTTACAACTGGCCTCTCAGTTGTGATAGGAGGTGTTTCAGTTGATAGTGTCGTAGATTTTGTAGTTGTTGTTGGTTCCTCTGTAGTATGAGGAGGTTGAGTTGGGGGTGTACTTGGTTTAGGTGTTTGCACTGCAGTTGTAGTTGAAGGTTTTCCAGGTGTTGGAGATGTTGCTTGTGTGGTTACAACTGGCCCCTCAGTTGTGATAGGAGGTGTTTCAGTTGATAGTGTCGTAGATTTTGTAGTTGTTGTTGGTTCTGCTGTAGTATGAGGAGGTTGAGTTGGGGGTGTACTTGGTTTAGGTGTTTGCACTGCAGTTGTAGTTGAAGGTTTTCCAGGTGTTGGAGATGTTGCTTGTGTGGTTACAACTGGCCTCTCAGTTGTGATAGGAGGTGTTTCAGTTGATAGTGTCGTAGATTTTGTAGTTGTTGTTGGTTCCTCTGTAGTATGAGGAGTTGGAGTTGGGGGTCTTGTTGGTTTAGGTGTTTGTACTGCAGTTGTAGTTGAAGGTTTTCCAGGTGTTGGAGATGTTGCTTGTGTGGTTACAACTGGCCTCTCAGTTGTGATAGGAGGTGTTTCAGTTGATAGTGTCGTAGATTTTGTAGTTGTTGTTGGTTCCTCTGTAGTATGAGGAGGTTGAGTTGGGGGTCTTGTTGTTTGAGGGGTTTGCACTGCCGTTGTAGTTGATGGTTTTCCAGGTGTTGGAGATGTTGCTTGTGTGGTTACAACTGGCCCCTCAGTTGTGATAGGAGGTGTTTCAGTTGATAGTGTCGTAGATTTTGTAGTTGTTGTTGGTTCCTCTGTAGTATGAGGAGGTTGAGTTGGGGGTTTTGTTGTTTGAGGGGTTTGCACTGCAGTTGTAGTTGAGGGTTTTCCAGGTGTTGGAGATGTTGCTTGTGTGGTTACAACTGGCCTCTTAGTTGTGATAGGAGGTGTTTCAGTTGATAGTGTCGTAGATTTTGTAGTTGTTGTTGGTTCCTCTGTAGTATAAGGAGGTTGAGTTGGGGGTGTACTTGGTTTAGGTGTTTGCACTGCAGTTGTAGTTGAGGGTTTTCCAGGTGTTGGAGATGTTGCTTGTGTGGTTACAACTGGCCCCTCAGTTGTGATAGGAGGTGTTTCAGTTGATAGTGTCGTAGATTTTGTAGTTGTTGTTGGTTCTGCTGTAGTATGAGGAGGTGGAGTTGGGGGTGTACTTGGTTTAGGTGTCTGTACTGCAGTTGTAGTTGAGGGTTTTCCAGGTGTTGGAGATGTTGCTTGTGTGGTTACAACTGGCCTCTCAGTTGTGATAGGAGGTGTTTCAGTTGATAGTGTCGTAGATTTTGTAGTTGTTGTTGGTTCCTCTGTAGTATGAGGAGTTGGAGTTGGGGGTCTTGTTGGTTTAGGTGTTTGTACTGCAGTTGTAGGTGAGGGTTTTCCAGGTGTTGGAGATGTTGCTTGTGTGGTTACAACTGGCCTCTCAGTTGTGAGAGGAGGTGTTTCAGTTGATAGTGTCGTAGATTTTGTAGTTGTTGTTGGTTCCTCTGTAGTATGAGGAGGTTGAGTTGGGGGTTTTGTTGTTTGAGGGGTTTGCACTGCAGTTGAAGTTGAAGGTTTTCCAGGTGTTGGAGATGTTGCTTCTGTGGTTACAACTGGCCTCTGAGTTGTGATAGGAGGTTTTCCAGTTGATAGTGTCGTAGATTTTGTAGTTGTTGTTGGTTCCTCTGTAGTATGAGGAGGTTGAGTTGGGGGTGTACTTGGTTTAGGTGTTTGTCCTGCAGTTGTAGTTGAGGGTTTTCCAGGTGTTGGAGATGTTGCTTGTGTGGTTACAACTGGCCTCTCAGTTGTGATAGGAGGTGTTTCAGTTGATAGTGTCGTAGATTTTGTAGTTGTTGTTGGTTCCTCTGTAGTATGAGGAGTTGGAGTTGGGGGTCTTGTTGGTTTAGGTGTTTGCACTGCAGTTGTAGTTGAAGGTTTTCCAGGTGTTGGAGATGTTGCTTGTGTGGTTACAACTGGCCTCTCAGTTGTGATAGGAGGTGTTTCAGTTGATATTGTCGTTGATTTTGTAGTTGTTGTTGGTTCCTCTGTAGTATGAGGAGGTTGGAGTTGGGGGTCTTGTTGGTTTAGGTGTTTGCACTGCAGTTGTAGTTGAAGGTTTTCCAGGTGTTGGAGATGTTGCTTGTGTGGTTACAACTGGCCTCTCAGTTGTGATAGGAGGTGTTTCAGTTGATAGTGTCGTAGATTTTGTAGTTGTTGTCGGTTCTGCTGTAGTATGAGGAGTCTGAGTTGGGGGTGTACTTGGTTTAGGTGTCTGTACTGCAGTTGTAGTTGAGGGTTTTCCAGGTGTTGGAGATGTTGCTTGTGTGGTTACAACTGGCCTCTCAGTTGTGATAGGAGGTGTTTCAGTTGATAGTGTCGTAGATTTTGTAGTTGTTGTTGGTTCCTCTGTAGTATGAGGAGTTGAAGTTGGGGGTCTTGTTGGTTTAGGTGTTTGTACTGCAGTTGTAGTTGAAGGTTTTCCAGGTGTTGGAGATGTTGCTTGTGTGGTTACAACTGGCCTCTCAGTTGTGAGAGGAGGTGTTTCAGTTGATAGTGTCGTAGATTTTGTAGTTGTTGTTGGTTCCTCTGTAGTATGAGGAGGTTGAGTTGGGGGTCTTGTTGTTTGAGGGGTTTGCACTGCAGTTGTAGTTGAAGGTTTTCCAGGTGTTGGAGATGTTGCTTGTGTGGTTACAACTGGCCTCTCAGTTGTGATAGGAGGTGTTTCAGTTGATAGTGTCGTAGATTTTGTAGTTGTTGTCGGTTCTGCTGTAGTATGAGGAGTCTGAGTTGGGGGTGTACTTGGTTTAGGTGTTTGTCCTGCAGTTGTAGTTGAGGGTTTTCCAGGTGTTGGAGATGTTGCTTGTGTGGTTACAACTGGCCTCTCAGTTGTGATAGGAGGTGTTTCAGTTGATAGTGTCGTAGATTTTGTAGTTGTTGTTGGTTCCTCTGTAGTATGAGGAGTTGGAGTTGGGGGTTTTGTTGGTTTAGGTGTTTGTACTGCAGTTGTAGTTGAAGGTTTTCCAGGTGTTGGAGATGTTGCTTGTGTGGTTACAACTGGCTCCTCTGTAGTGATAGGAGGCTTTTTGGTGGATAGTGTTGTAGATTTTGTAGTTGTTGTTGGCTCCTCTGTAGTATAAGGGGGTTGAGTTGGGGGTCTTGTTGTTTGAGGGGTTTGCACTGCAGTTGTAGTTGAAGGTTTTCCAGGTGTTGGAGATGTTGCTTGTGTGGTTACAACTGGCCTCTCAGTTGTGATAGGAGGTGTTTCAGTTGATATTGTCGTAGATTTTGTAGTTGTTGTTGGTTCCTCTGTAGTATGAGGAGTTGATGTTGGGGGTGTTGTTGGTTTAGGTGTTTGCACTGCAGTTGAAGTTGAAGGTTTTCCAGGTGTTGGAGATGTTGCTTGTGTGGTTACAACTGGCCTCTCAGTTGTGATAGGAGGTGTTTCAGTTGATATTGTCGTAGATTTTGTAGTTGTTGTTGGTTCCTCTGTAGTATGAGGAGTTGGAGTTGGGGGTGTTGTTGGTTTAGGTGTTTGCACTGCAGTTGAAGTTGAAGGTTTTCCAGGTGTTGGAGATGTTGCTTGTGTGGTTACAACTGGCCTCTCAGTTGTGATAGGAGGTGTTTCAGTTGATATTGTCGTAGATTTTGTAGTTGTTGTTGGTTCCTCTGTAGTATGAGGAGGTGGAGTTGGGGGTCTTGTTGTTTGAGGGGTTTGCACTGCAGTTGTAGTTGAGGGTTTTCCAGGTGTTGGAGATGTTGCTTCTGTGGTTACAACTGGCCTCTCAGTTGTGATAGGAGGTGTTTCAGTTGATATTGTCGTAGATTTTGTAGTTGTTGTTGGTTCCTCTGTAGTATGAGGAGTTGGAGTTGGGGGTGTTGTTGGTTTAGGTGTTTGCACTGCAGTTGTAGTTGAAGGTTTTCCAGGTGTTGGAGATGTTGCTTGTGTGGTTACAACTGGCCCCTCAGTTGTGATAGGAGGTGTTTCAGTTGATATTGTCGTAGATTTTGTAGTTGTTGTTGGTTCCTCTGTAGTATGAGGAGTTGGAGTTGGGGGTGTTGTTGGTTTAGGTGTTTGCACTGCAGTTGAAGTTGAAGGTTTTCCAGGTGTTGGAGATGTTGCTTGTGTGGTTACAACTGGCCTCTCAGTTGTGATAGGAGGTGTTTCAGTTGATATTGTCGTAGATTTTGTAGTTGTTGTTGGTTCCTCTGTAGTATGAGGAGGTGGAGTTGGGGGTCTTGTTGTTTGAGGGGTTTGCACTGCAGTTGTAGTTGAGGGTTTTCCAGGTGTTGGAGATGTTGCTTCTGTGGTTACAACTGGCCTCTCAGTTGTGATAGGAGGTGTTTCAGTTGATATTGTCGTAGATTTTGTAGTTGTTGTTGGTTCCTCTGTAGTATGAGGAGTTGGAGTTGGGGATGTTGTTGGTTTAGGTGTTTGCACTGCAGTTGAAGTTGAAGGTTTTCCAGGTGTTGGAGATGTTGCTTCTGTGGTTACAACTGGCCTCTCAGTTGTGATAGGAGGTGTTTCAGTTGATATTGTCGTAGATTTTGTAGTTGTTGTTGGTTCCTCTGTTGTATGAGGAGGTGGAGTTGGGGGTCTTGTTGTTTGAGGGGTTTGCACTGCAGTTGTAGTTGAGGGTTTTCCAGGTGTTGGAGATGTTGCTTGTGTGGTTACAACTGGCCTCTCAGTTGTGATAGGAGGTGTTTCAGTTGATATTGTCGTAGATTTTGTAGTTGTTGTTGGTTCCTCTGTAGAATGAGGAGGTTGAGGGCTAGTAGGATGGCATATTTCCACCTCACAACAAACTTTGATTTTATAGTTAAAACACTTTCGTGGTGGCCTTAACTGGTCTTCTCTTCTACATATCAAACCGTATGACAAATCACAACTCACTACTTGACTGGTCTGACTCACAAAATCATCCAAATCTATGTTATCATAATCTGCTGCTCTACAATCAATTTCAGATGGATTTTTGCAAATTGCAATACCACTGTTTGTAATGTTCTCATATGTTTCCCAGTCACTCTTGTCTTCATTTGGGTTATGCACATCATACCACTCAGACCACTCACAGGTTGTGATGCATGTAGTAGTAGAAGGTCCAGGTGTTGTTGTTATCTTTTCTGTGGTTACACCTGGATGTGGAGTGGTGATAGGAGGTGTTTCAGTTGATATTGTCGTAGATTTTGTAGTTGTTGTTGGTTCCTCTGTAGTATGAGGAGTTGGAGTTGGGGGTTTTGTTGGTTTAGGTGTTTGCACTGCAGTTGTAGTTGAAGTGTTTCCAGGTGTTGGAGATGTTGCTTGTGTGGTTACAACTGGCTCCTCAGTTGTGATAGGAGGCTTTTTGGTGGATAGTGTTGTAGATTCTGTAGTTGTTGTTGGTTCCTCTGTAGTATGAGGAGGTTGAGTTGGGGGTCTTGTTGTATGAGGGGTTTGCACTGCAGTTGTATTTGAAGGTTTTCCAGGTGTTGGAGATGTTGCTTGTGTGGTTACAACTGGCCTCTCAGTTGTGATAGGAGGTGTTTCAGTTGATATTGTCGTAGATTTTGTAGTTGTTGTTGGTTCCTCTGTAGTATGAGGAGTTGATGTTGGGGGTGTTGTTGGTTTAGGTGTTTGCACTGCAGTTGAAGTTGAAGGTTTTCCCAGGTGTTGGAGATGTTGCTTGTGTGGTTACAACTGGCCCCTCAGTTGTGATAGGAGGTGTTTCAGTTGATATTGTCGTAGATTTTGTAGTTGTTGTTGGTTCAGCTGTAGTATGAGGAGGTGGAGTTGGGGGTTTTGTTGTTTGAGGGGTTTGCACTGCAGTTGTAGTTGAGGGTTTTCCAGGTGTTGGAGATGTTGCTTGTGTGGTTACAACTGGCCTCTCAGTTGTGATAGAAGGCGTTTCAGTTGATAGTGTCGTAGATTTTGTAGTTGTTGTTGGTTCCTCTGTAGTATGAGAAGGTTGAGTTGGGGGTGTACTTGGTTTAGGTGTTTGCACTGCAGTTGTAGTTGAAGATTTTCCAGTTGTTGGAGATGTTGCTTGTGTGGTTACAACTGGCCCCTCAGTTGTGGTACGTGTTTGCACTGCAGTTGTAGGTGAAGGTTTTCCAGGCGTCAGTGTTGTCGCTGTTGTTGTTTTTATTGGTCCTTCAGTTGATTGTGGCGTAGACTTCAGAGTTGTATGATGACTTACTTGTGGGCCTGTTGTTGGTTGTGGTTGTGGAGGACCAGTCACAATCACATTTGTGGTTCCCTCAGTTGTTGGAGATGTTGCTTGTGTGGTTACAACTGGCCTCTGAGTTGTGATAGGAGGTTTTCCAGTTGATAGTGTCGTAGATTTTGTAGTTGTTGTTGGTTCCTCTGTAGTATGAGGAGGTTGAGTTGGGGTTGTACTTGGTTTAGGTGTTTGCACTGCAGTTGTAGTTGAAGATTTTCCAGGTGTTGGAGATGTTGCTTGTGTGGTTACAACTGGCTCCTCTGTAGTGATAGGAGGCTTTTTGGTGGACAGTGTTGTAGATTCTGTAGTTGTTGTTGGTTCCTCTGTAGTATGAGGAGGTTGAGTTGGGGGTCTTGTTGTTTGAGGGGTTTGCACTGCAGTTGTAGTTGAAGGTTTTCCAGGTGTTGGAGATGTTGCTTGTGTGGTTACAACTGGCCTCTCAGTTGTGATAGGAGGTGTTTCAGTTGATATTGTCGTAGATTTTGTAGTTGTTGTTGGTTCCTCTGTAGTATGAGGAGGTGGAGTTGGGGGTCTTGTTGTTTGAGGGGTTTGCACTGCAGTTGTAGTTGAGGGTTTTCCAGGTGTTGGAGATGTTGCTTGTGTGGTTACAACTGGCCTCTCAGTTGTGATAGGAGGTGTTTCAGTTGATATTGTCGTAGATTTTGTAGTTGTTGTTGGTTTCTCTGTAGTATGAGGAGGTTGAGGGCTAGTAGGATGGCATATTTCCACCTCACAACAAACTTTGATTTTATAGTTAAAACACTTTCGTGGTGGCCTTAACTGGTCTTCTCTTCTACATATCAAACCATATGACAAATCACAACTCACTACTTGACCGGTCTGACTCAAAAAATCATCCAAATCTATGTGATCATATTCTGCTGATCTACAATCAATTTCAGATGGATTTTTGCAAATTGCAATACCACTGTTTGTAATGTTCTCATATGTTTCCCAGTCACTCTTGTCTTCTTTTGGGTTATGCACATCATACCACTCAGACCACTCACAGGTTGTGATGCATGTAGTAGTAGAAGGTCCAGGTGTTGTTGTTATCTTTTCTGTGGTTACAACTGGATGTGGAGTGGTGATAGGAGGTGTTTCAGTTGATAGGATCGTAGATTTTGTAGTTGTTGTTGGTTCCTCTGTAGTATGAGGAGTTGGAGTTGGGGGTGTTGTTGGTTTAGGTGTTTGCACTGCAGTTGTAGTTGAAGGTTTTCCAGGTGTTGGAGATGTTGCTTGTGTGGTTACAACTGGCTCCTCCGTAGTGATAGGAGGCTTTTTGGTGGACAGTGTTGTAGATTCTGTAGTTGTTGTTGGTTCCTCTGTAGTATGAGGAGGTTGAGTTGGGGGTCTTGTTGTTTGAGGGGTTTGCACTGCAGTTGTAGTTGAAGGTTTTCCAGGTGTTGGAGATGTTGCTTGTGTGGTTACAACTGGCCTCTCAGTTGTGATAGGAGGTGTTTCAGTTGATATTGTCGTAGATTTTGTAGTTGTTGTTGGTTCCTCTGTAGTATGAGGAGGTTGAGGGCTAGTAGGATGGCATATTTCCACCTCACAACAAACTTTGATTTTATAGTTAAAGCACATTTGTGGTGGCTTTAACTGGTCTTCTCCTCTACATATCAAACCGTATGACAAATCACAACTCACTACTTGACCAGTTTCACTCATAAATTCATCCAAATCTATGTGATCATAATCTGCTGCTCTACAATCAATTTCAGATGGATTTTTGCAAATTGCTATTCCACTGTTTGTGATGTTCTCATATGTTTCCCAGTCACTCTTGTCTTCTTTTGGGTAATGCACATCATACCACTCAGACCACTCACAGGTTGTGATGCATGTAGTAGTAGAAGGTCCAGGTGTTGTTATCTTTTCTGTGGTTACAACTGGATGTGGAGTGGTGATAGGAGGTGTTTCAGAAGGTCCAGGTGTTGGGGTAGTCAATTTTGTTGTTGACACAATATTAGAAGTTGGCTCAGTTGATGTGATGGTTATTCCTGTAGTTGTAGTAGGTGGCAAAGTGTTTTGCGTCAAGGGTGTAGTGATTGTTATGATAGCTGTCGTTGTTGACGGAGTAGAAGTTGTGTGGCAGGACTCATTTAGGTGTATCACTGTTCCATTCTTGCATATTCCATAGTAGCACATTCCCATATTGTCTGGCACACGGTAAATAATGTCATCTTCCTCATATCTCGTCCCATTGTAAAAGCAACCTTCACAGTCCTCAACACATGTCTTGTTTTTCTCATCATAAATGGGCTTATCTTCTGGGCATACAGGGTAACAGCCTGTAAAAATTACAGAATAGAATAAAACAAACATGTCATTGCACTGATGATAGTCAATTGAGACTGAAATGTTTGTTTATTTGTTTGATCCTGGCAAGAAAATGGATCCAAGTTTTTAAGACACCTCACTTTTCCATCTCTCTGTGTGTGCGTCCTCTACAGCCTTTTTGAATGATCTTATCTGACCACCACACCAGAAGCAAGAATACTACAACTGATGTTAAGCGTGCAGCTCTTTTCTTGTAAATCACAGAAGTGCAAGGGCCCATTTATTGTCAAATGCAGCTATAATTAATTTTTTTCTCCTTGTGACTGCTCAGGAGAGTCTGGGAGACCTTTTCAATTTTTTTTTTCCAAGCACACCCAGACAGTTGAACATGAAGCTCTTTCTTACAAACCAACAATTGTTAAGAGGAGATTATTCAAGCTCTTACCTTCAAGGTTCGGCATAGGGTTGCTGCAATGTCCTTGTGGGTTTAAACAGGTCTTGTAGCAAGGTGTGTGACAAGGGTGGTAGTGCCACTTGCACTCGCCAGGTTTGTTGTAGTAATCACAAAAGACAGCTGGGGAAAATATACAAATGTTTTAGTTAAAGAAAAAGTGAGTGTTAAATCAGTGATAAAATGCTTATAATTTGACTCAACCTGATGTTTTCTTGCACTTATTACCTCCACCAAGGAGGTTATGTTTTTGGTACCATTGGTTTGTTTGTTTGTTTGTTTGTTTGTCTGTTAGCAACTTTACAGAGAAAGTTACAGACGGATTGACCTGAAATTTTCACCAGAGGTGCGTCTCAGCCCCAGGACGATCCCAGTACATTTTGGTGGTGATCCGGATCGCCTTCTGGATCCAGGAATTTTTTGAACGATTCTTTATCATTGTGAGATAGGGCAGATTTGGGAATTTTTGCATTTAACTCTATAAAAATGGCCAGAGTCTTTAGTAAAAAAAATACACAAAAGGATCTCAATGAGTTTTAAGAGGTGTCAAAGGTTGATCCTGATCCAGACAAAATTCCGGATACTGTGATCCAGAACACACAAAAATAAGGGTGTCATTGGAATTTTCAATGCTGAAAGATAACCAATGAAGATACAAGGAAGTGTACACTTACAAATATTGCATAATAAATCATGCATTTATGTATCTAATATGAGCTTTGTTGTTTTAGGAATATTATGAACAGTGAACATACCAGTTTAAACACAAATAAAAGTTAATAAAAGACACGTAACACTAAAAGTTTTGGTGTGAATCACAATATAAGGGGGGACATGAGCTGCTTGGCAGAGGTCTGCGCTCTCCGAGTGCTTTTCTAGTATTTTAATGCTTCAGTGCTGCATTTCATTTGGGTAAAGCTTATTACTTACTTCAGGTGACAACAAACTGCAACCCAATTTCAAGTCATAAAAGAAATTAAGAAATATTTGCAAATATGCCCTCTACATGTAGGTTCGATTAACTGCATAACCGACAAAACAATACAGATTATCAGCTTATCTGTTCATTCTAAAGAGGCCATATCAAACTGTTCCATAAAGCAAATGTACAAACAAAACATGAATATCTACAAAAGAATCTCTAACTATTTAGGAAGAAGTTTCTTATTAAATATGGTCTTAAAGCTATTGGATACTTACGACAGAGTTCTGGAGTTCTCCATGCAACACAAACATCAGCCTCATTACAAGCTTGAGCATAAGCTGCAACTGCTGTACAGAAGCATTCACAGTCTCCACCAGAGTCACAGGCACAGGAGTCTTTCACACAGTTTTCATAGAAAGGACGAGGATCTACCTGTTTAGTTTGTTAATACAGATTTTTAAAAGATCTGATCATTCTAACCCTAAAACTTCAAAATCAACAAAACAGGAACGACTCTTTCTTTACCTTGCTGTGGCACTCTTTGAAAGTTTCTCCTTTTATGATGCTGCACATCATTTTTGCCCAGTGATGTCGATTTGGTCTTGCTCCACAAGCATTGACATTTGTATCTACATCAGGACAGCTGCTTAACACTTTCCAGCTGTTTGCAAATTCTAACACATTGCTCACTGTGAGCTGACCCTGGGTGGTAAAGTCATTCTGTCCATCACCATCAAAATTTCCACATAGACCACATACCTCTCCCTGTACAGCCACACAAAAAAATCCATTAATCCTTTTATCATGGTTGAAATATTGCACAACAATATTCTTTGGCATTCCAAGCAACCAGAACTTTCTGGGTATAAGTGATCCTATGCCACATTTTTTATACAGTGTATTTTATTAGTGTTATTTAAAAAAGAGGGTATAGTATTGTGAAAATCTGTTTTTATATAACCCCTCCAACGCCACTGTTACCCAAAAGATCAAATACTTGTGAAACAAAATGATCAGCAATGACAGCTAATACAAAACAAAGGTACAGTCAAGCTCTTACTGTGAAAGGTATCATTCATCACCACAAAGTCACTCACGCTATGCTTTTGGTCCAGCAGGGTGCGAACTGTTGTTTTGCGATCCCATATTACTGTTAGACCAATGGCAGTTTCTACCACCACATACATGCCAACATTCCTAATTTTGTACGGTATTGTAGAGTCATTTCCCTGGACCACCGCCTGTTTCCCTTTTGATAGTTTGACTTCAGTTCCCTGTAAAGTCAAGAAAATTTTTGTTGCTATTGTCATGGGTTATTTATTAAATACCTTCAGACTCACGTCCAATTTGCACAGCACAAAATAAATATAAGATGTTCTGACATGGTCTTACCCCGAGTTGGATTCTGACGGTTTTTGAGCATGTGGTGCCAGTGGATCCACATGGTACATTTTCTGTAATAACTCCATAGTTTTCATGTGTGGTTTTGTTCCCACAGTTGTTCTTTAAAAAGAGAGAGAGAGATTTATTGAACATTTTGAATATTTGTCTTATGAAAATACAATCAAACCAATGCTTGGCAATAGAAACAGGAATGTACAATTCAGCCTTAAAAGAACAAGGTAGCCTGAACTCTATTTTTAACTAGAATAACTGATGTTGAAAAGCTTTTTCTTTAAAAGTTCACAAACATGAACCTTTAACATGAAAACATGTAGATGTTCGCACTTTCAAGATGCAAATATTACAGGTGCACAAAACTACATCTTTGTCAGCTATGACCAACAGCTATGGCAGAAGTAATCCACATGACTTACATTTTTCTCTTTTTTGTATATATCATTTTTTGTATAGATCTAAGTTAACATTTTTTATCTATCTGTGCACTATATGCATGAGCGTACTTATTCTTCATCCTTTGCTGCAGTTAACACTGCAAATATCCCCACCATGGGATGAGTAAAGGTTTATCTTATTGAAATGTCTCTTCTCATTACTCGGCACCCATAGGGAGAAATAAATGAGTACGAAATGAATGGTTTTAGACTGAATTTCATTTCATTGTTGACCAGATATGTTACCTTCACAGCAACATATGAACAATGTCCTTGGAACCCGTATGTTCGCTGATCAAATGTGTTGTAGTGACCACTCCCATAAATAATGCACGTTCCTTGACACTTTTTTTCCGTGCACTCCCATTTTCCACCTCTGCAGGTACTAAATGTAACAAAATAGTGAAAAAAATAGTCTGTAACAGTCTGCAATAAAAAGTGTAATAAAAACATGAAAAAAGAATTCACTCTCCACGTTATATTGTATGTCTGATAAAACCAACATACCAGGTGTTGCACTGGTTTGGGATTGTTGTTCCTGGGGCATAGAAATGCCCCCCATGCTGACACGGACACATGTTTTCTTTCACACAGGAACCTTTGCCATCATTGAGGAGACCATCTGGACACATGCAGCCAGATTCACACTCGTTGACATCCTAAGAAGATAGAAGAGTCACAGAAATAGAAAACAAGGACATTTTACTTGTGCTGAGGACATAACCGTTAAAAAGTATAGAAACCACGTTTGAAACTAGTGAAACTCAACAGAGTTTAACCCTCTTAAAGAAAACAGGACACTTTCCACTATAACACTTTGTAAAGGAAAAACCACCTCTAGTCTTCATCCAAACACACACACAAACTCACACAAAAGACAGAAAAAAACAAACTGAAAAACGCACACAATCCTCATTGTCAAGATTTGAACAGGTCCTAGCACACTGCAGTCCAAGCTCTCCTGCGCCTGCTGTTGAGCAGTTGAAGAAAAACGTTGGAGAGCGGCACTCTGTAAAAGAAGAAACTGCTTCAATCTGTGATCCCAGCGACCTGATGTTTGTTTTGTGGTTAAGAAAATAGACAAAACAAGGAAAAATACCTGATGAGCGGGCTCTCAAAGAGCGGCAATGAAGCACCCCATCAGTGCACACACTAGAAGAAGGAACCAAAGACATAAGCTGTTCAAAACTATAAAAGCAACTCATATCCATAAACTCTGATATTCATTTTTAGTCTAATGATAACAAATTGCAAAAAAAATACTCACCAGTGTTCATCTTTGGTGTTGATGGACTTTCCTGGCTTGATGTGCTTTTCATTGTGGTAGCAAGGGCACTTTTCCTTGGGGACGCAAATCCCGTTATCATTAAGATAGAAACCCTCAGAGCAAGAACAGCCATCCACAGGCAAAAAGTCAGTAGTGCAGCTCTTCTGCATGGGGCTAAGTGATCTGCAGGTCAACTGGCATCTCTGATGCTTGTAAGAGAAGGTCTGTGACTCTGGGCAGTTCCCTTTATATTTATCTGTTAATTTTTGCACAACATGAGGACAGTTACTTACCACCTAGTTAAATGACTCAGACATACGATAGAAAACCAAACTTCAGAAACTACAAGACAAAGGCTGAAATTCCTACCACACACGCCGTCTCTCCAGTCAGTCAGAAACACTCCCTTTGATGCACAGGCTCGTGCATAGGAGGAGAAAACAGCACACAGGCAGTCCTCACTCCTCTCACAGTTGCAACTGGCATAAATACATCTCTGCAGAGAGTAGTGCACACTTTAAAGGCCTGTAGTTCCATAAAAATGTAATTAGAAAAACAAATTAACTTTTGCAATACCTCGTGGTACATCTCAGCATCCACCTCTGGATGGCACCGAGCAAAGGTGCTACTTGGATTTAGCAATAGAGCACACCAGTGTTTGGCATACTCCTCTGAGAATAAAAAGATAATAAATGTATGAATTTGCAAGTCTTTAAATCTATTAAACTCTCTATTTGCCCCCAATATAACATTCTTACATTCTCCATACAGGAGTTACAAGCAGGGAATCTGCCAAATACACAACCAAAAGTTGAACGAACGGTCAAATGAGCAACATGTGTAAACTGTACCATTTTCCTCGCTGACAGAACAGGGGTCATCCAGTCTTTCTTCTCTGTTTTTACACATGATGTTAGATTTCCAGGAGTTTATAAAAGTGGCTGCTGTTCTCTCAACAATCCCCTGAGGAGTCTTCATGTCATCAGACTGGATCATGTTGTAGTTCCCACATAAACCTGAGGAAGAAAAAAGACATTTGACTGTAATAATAGACTAGGGTGAGATCTTTTGTTAGACAACTTTCACATATATAAGACAAAGTCACCACATTGACAATAAATACCACTCTGTTCCAGGACAAACTCAGCCTAAGCTAAAAGTTCCTTATGTGAGCTTTAAAAAGGATGGATGCAAAACTTACCTCGGGTCTTTAGGCTGTAGCTTTGCTCCAGGCTGATATAGACTTGCATGAGAGGCACGTGCTGAATTTGAATTTGCAATCCAAAACTGGTTTGAAGCAAGATGTGAAAGGATGAAGCATGGAATATGTTGATATCACCTTTAGATAAAGGAGAAAAACACATTTGCATCATCTTCTGTTATTGCAGGAATACGGACGACAAAAACGTGTTTCAGTCAGGATGTCTGATTGTTGAACCCACCTGATTGGTACGGTAAACTGATAGTCTGCATATTCTGCTTTACTGTGCCATCAGAAGTGAACATAAATATCTAAATAAAAACATATTTCATCATTTAAATAGTTGCAGACAATTATGTGAGTTTATTGCTACTGCAGTCATCATCACTTGAAGGGAACTCACATTGTTTCTGTCATTATTGAGCAGGATTTTAAGGGTCTTCAGACAAGTGTCAAACTTCTGATTTGCACATGGGACCAGCTGGGCCGAGATGGTAAATTTTGGGCTTGCATCATCCTGAAATGTATAGTGCTTAGTTGAGAGTAAAATTAAACAAATCATTTAAAAGGTTTTTTTTTTTTTGTACATTAGCTGATTTTACAATTTGAATAATATGAACATATGACTAATTCACCTTCTTTTCTACTTTGGCTAAGGTGTAGTAACAGTCTCCGTGGAAGGTGTAAGTTTTCCCATCAAAGGTAGTGACATGTGAACCCTCTTCGACTGCGCATGTAGAAGGCTTTTGCAGGCTCTTACAATCCCATTTTCCCTCAAGACATGTACTGAAACAACCCATACACATTCAGAAAAAAGGAAACAAAGACGCAAAATTGTGCAAAAAAATACCATACTGACATGATAAAAATATTCAACATACCATTCCTTTTTGTCCTGTCGGTAAACCTCACCAGAGTTATAGGTCCTGTCATGTTTGCACTGACATTCAGACTGTTTAATGCACCCTCTCCCGGAGATATTATCAAACACAGTTCCTGAAATGGAAAATTTCACACAGATATTTACAGACTAGCAAGAAAAAGTCTGGAAAGTGTCTGTGAGGACACTTACACGTTGGGATTCAACCAGTGTTTAATGTACATGTCACTAACCAGGAGGACAAAAGCAGCCATCCATCTTATGCTCCTCACACAGTGAACTTGTGTCGTGATGTGTGCATGTATCCATGCAAGGGGAACCACTCTCTTTATACACCATGTTATATGAGCACTGTTTAGCTGTAATCAAATGATACAAAAAAGAGTTGTTTAATAGTAACAAAAACAGCATTCCCATTTTTTTAAAATAATTGTCAGTATTTTGCACAATTTTACATTACAATTCATCAACTTATTATTCACTTGCAGCATCTGTTAGCACTAAGAAAGATGAAGTGAGCTGATTTTATTACTTTGATTATCACTCCAACTTCTTTAAAATCAACATAAAAATGATAATCAAGCTGAGAAATGTCAATGTTACCACAGAACTGAGGTGTCCTCCAGTTGGGAGGCTGCCCTCCAGCATGGGAGCACTGCCGGGAGAACTCAGACAGCGTGCTGCAGACGCAGAAGTCATCTGATCTGTTGTTGCAGCCACACATATCCTGCACACAGGCCTGGATGTAAGGTTCAGGGTTAATCTGGTTGGTGCAGGAGCTCCAGGACTCTGAACGCAGACGCTGCTCACAGTTAGTTTTCTAAATGGGAAAAGGAGATATATGTACACTTTAGTGACATGACAGTTAAGTGCTTCAATAGCACTGTGCCAGAATTACATGGAGAAAACACTTACAAAGCCCTTGCATGACTCTGGCACAGTCACAGCCTCCAGTGATTCCTCTTCAAAGGGGTCCTCACAGTCTTCATTCGGATGATGGATTTTCTGATCGTTGCCAAACTCAATGGGACTTATTCTGCGGTCTGTATATAATTGTCATCATAGTGTAAAATGTCAAGATATAGTGGTGGTGTTTGCACGTATAAACACACAAAGTTTGATATTATATTCACCATTATCAATGAACTCATTGTAGATAGAAACACCATTAAAGTCCCCGCAAAGTCCACAAGTAAGATTGGCAAAATCAGCGTCCAGTTCCACCTACAACACAGCAGAGGGTTTTTTGTTTTAATTTCAACTATGAAAATGGATAATCAATAACTCAACATGCCCACAAAAACGTCTGTGAATGACTGTGGCATCATGAAATAACGTGAATAAACTACCAACAGTAAACGTGATATGAATGTGTCGTAGTTTGAGAGTGTTCAAGTAGTTTTAGAAGAAACATCGGTTTTAAGCTTTTACCATGACTGCATCGTCACCATTCCACATGACAACAATGCCAACTTTGGATTGGAGCTTGATGTACGCATCATTTTTCTCCACTTGTACTCCTGACTTGTAGTATGGCATGTGAACACTGAAAGAAAGATTGTATCATAAATCACAAATGTCCCAGAGAAAAATCTGTGCAGCTGCTTCATTTTCCATTTTTTACTCACGGGAGGCCATTGACAGTGACCAGTTTCTTGCCGAGGTGGAATAACAGGTCACTGATGGTAACCACCAGATAACTGACTGTGGGGTTTCCATCAATCTCCTTCCTCCTCATGTGAACCGAGAACTCCTGGTAGGTGGAGTGACAGTCAGAGACCAGGTTGTATTCACACATACCCGGGAACTGGAACACATCGCCATCAAATGTCTTGAAGTGGTCTCTGCCCCATGTGCTACAGATACTGCCGACATGGTTGAGAACTTTGGGACAGGTAAAGAAAACAGATAATGTTAACAGGCAGTCCTGAAAATCTTTGCACTTTATCTTAAACAGTCTGTGTCTTACCCTGTCTGGCGTGGACATCGGTGACACTGGTTACAGATAAAGTAAGAAAACCCAACCACACACAGCTCCACCTCATGGCTGCAGCTGTGAGCTTCCAGTCACCAAAGGGGGTAATGTTCAGACTGCACTTGACCACCTTTTATGTGGATACACTTGAACTCTTTTCACACCCTCTTTCTCAAGTAGGAACTCAAGATAAGTTGGAAACACATGACAAATATTTGTCGAAAGGCTTGACCACACAACTCACCAGAAGTCCAATATAACTATTTCAACATCCTCTTATCTTTTTTATCAAACAAACCGGTTTGCACTCTACTTAAGATTAATTTACTGGCATCGATGAAAAGCTTGTGGACACTGCAAACGAAACAATGAAAAAAAAAACTAAATGTGTTACTCAAATGTACTCCCTCTGTTTCCACAACACAAATTAAAATGCATATTATACAGTATTTTATGATAATTATATATACAAGTTTAATATACAGTAAAATATTTGTTTTTTAATATTGTGTTTGTTTTTATTCCATTACTGTTTTTATTATTAGTAAGTGTATGCATGGTTATAGAGCACTCCTGTATAGCACTTTGGTCAATTGAGGTTGTTTTTAAATGTGCTTTAGAATTAAACGTTGACTTGACTTAAATATAATAGCAAAAAACTATGATGATGTAAATGAGTGATGAATTAAACTAAAATCAGGACACGGTGACTTTTTAACTAACACATAAACACTGTTCATGGGATATAATTGAAAAGTAACGGGGATCTCATTTGTATGATTTGGATCAACCGACAAGAACCTCAAACCTTAACTGTGCCTAAAATTGTGTTTGACTGAGAGCCCATGTCATCCTACTTGCCATCTGTTCCATCTGACATGACATTGGCAGGTAGATTATTAACCAACCCAAACTCCTTCCTCTATGAAATAATTGACAAATTACTACAAGAGACAATATGTTTCATGATGGGTCTTATTCCTTTTGGCTTGATAACATGAGGCAAATGGATAATCTCATTGGGTTCATCATTCACAGTCAAACACACTGTAATCACTCGTGCCAATGAGCAATATTTTTGAGGGGGCCTCCTAGCTTTGATACACATTAATATAATACAGGGTAATTGAGATTTAAATACACACAGAATACAATCTGTGATATCAGACTGTACACACAAGGCTCTCTCCTGATATGCATCTGCACAGGATGTGCAGTATACATGACTTTATTACTACATCCTTGATTAAGTTCTTACCATACCTGCAGTGTCACGTCAGTACACAAAAGACTTTTAAGATGCAAACCTTCCAACCCTCAGATATGCCCTGCTAAAAGATTGTGTTGTGACTACGGTAACTATGTCGAAACCCCCAGTGATAGTTGGAAACTCATTTAGACATAAGAGAAAAATTACAAAATCACAATATTATCCAAAGTTCACTAACAGTTCATTCAATCCTAAAGGAATGTAAATCATATCATACAACAAATACTAGAACCAAGGTACTCATGCAAATTAACTCTGCATATTACTATGTTATTAATTACTATTTGGTGGATTGACCTTTTATATATCACCATACATTCAGTCTCATATCTTCATTTCCTGGTTAAATTTAGGGCACAGAATTAACACAGCAGTAAGCTGATGCAGTAACATATCTAAATGGTTGGCAGATTTGACTTAACTTAATGAAAAAAAAAAACTACTTTATTTTGCTCTCTGTGTGAGTTACTTGGTAACAATCAAAAAGTGATGTATCTCTTATCTCTGTATCAAAATAACATCCTAAATCAACCCTCCAAATGCAAACAGGACATAAATCTCCTCCCTCAGCAGTGACAGCTGTACTATGAGGAAAGTGCATTGTTGTTCCTGTCTGACAGCTTTAACTGTGTTGATTAAGGGAGGACAATACACTCACCAAATTACCTCAAGGAAGTTTTGATAAGAGGTGTGGTTATACAAGAATTTCTAAACCATGCTGATATTGCGCAGTTTAATATCCGTATAAAACATTGACATGTTACTTTAAACATCACAGTGTGTCAAAACAGAAACCTGAGCTGTCGACATTAAGTAATTAAGTGTTTGAATTTTCTACTAATTAAAGGTGGAACTATATTTTGTTTTCAATGTTCAAACCGGTTGTAGAGTAGAGTTGTCCCACAGTGCTGGTGTTGGCAATGGCCGTCGTTTTAAAAAAATGAAACCTAGTCCTTAACACCCTTTTGCATTTGTCATAAAACAAAGGAGGGACAAAAGTTACCTGTCTGTATGCAAAATGTAAAAAGTTTTCTGTTCACATGAAGTCAGAGTTCCTGACTACACATTATCCTGATTACTTGCCATCACTATCCTCCATCCAGTCTCCACACACAGACGAAGCATTGAGATGCACTTATCCACTTTCCCCCCATCACCTTCCCCGTCTCACCCTTACATGCACTACTTTCCTTACATGCAACCACACAGCAATCTTGTCTGCCTTTTTGTGAATTTGTAGCTTTTGTTCGCTGCATAGAAGCATAGCTGCTAATTTCAGTCTTTTTCATGACCAATTAAAAATTCCTCATTGGACCTTTAAAGGGATATTCTGGCGTAAAATTAATTTAGGGTCAAACACACTGTAACGCCGAGTTAGACATCCCCTTGAGAGATGAATGTTGCCAACCACATGCTTCTCTAGTTATACCAACTTTGGTAATGGCCGCAGGATAACAATACACAGCGGTCTGAGGAGCCATAAACAAACCTCAATGGAACCTTCATGGAAATGCAATCAGACCAAGACGCTTAGGCAGAAGAACTACCACATCTGTGGTGTAAAATGATTAATATGGTGATTATTACTTCAAGGAAATGATAAAGAAATTATCATAAATGTTCTCAGTACAAACAAGCGGCTGCTGGAAGAGAGTAGGTGAGTTGTGTTTAGTCACTTTGTGAAAGAAATTAGGCAAAGTTAAAAAGATGTTTGGTGGCTAGTGCTGTTGCTGGGACCCTATATGTACTGTTGATGAGGTTAGGTGCTGTTCTGAGCATTATTTGTGGCTTTTTGGTTGAAGTTTGTTTATGGCTCCTCAGACTGCTGTGTATTGCTATTGTGTGGTCGTTACTCAAGTTGGTATAACTAGAGAAGCAAGCAGTCGGCAACATTTTTCTCTCGAGGGGGTGTCTAACTCTGTGTTGCCGATCCCTTTAAGTTAGGACAGACTTATTGATCTCACTTTGTGGTGGTTGACTGTCAAAGAACAAGCTGTTACTAAAACAAAGCATGACATTTGTGAAGAGAAAGGTACGCTTGATTGGGGTGAGGCCTTGCATGCAGAATAGCCAGACTCAGCTGGAATAAATATTGACATAAGCAGGGCGGACAGGGACAATCATTCAGGCCGGGAAATGTGACACATCAGTATCTATCTATTTATCTATCTATCTATCTATCTATCTATCTATCTATAAAAACATTTTACAACTCACATTCGACAGAAAGAGTGAGTGGTAGCTGTCACTGTCTTTTCTCTGAAGAGCACTTCAAGTTGAAGAACACTACATTACCAATCAAAGTACACTTGTTAAACACTTTTCATAATCAGTATGGGCTGGCTCATATCAATGAAATGTAAAATGCCTTTTTTGATACCTGCAGATTGCTCCAAAGTAGTAAACACCTTTCTCACTTGTGAGAACCTGCTGCAATTCTCTAAGTATCGAACATGCTTACATAAGTTACTGACTCTTTTTCTCCATTACTGTAAAAACCATAGCCACAGCCTAAGTTCAGGACAATCTGATCAGTAGACAGTACTCCAGTTGAGGGGGGATGGGGGGCATCCCCCTTTAAACGAAAATGGTCAAAATCATCCCCCTTCCAAAACAGCTATCCCCACTTTCCATCCATTGAGTCATTTTTGTCAATGAATGTGGAAATACTACAACTATTTAAACATTACAAATATTACGGCAGTTTTAAAGTTAACTAACTAACTGCCCCACACATACCCACATACTGTAGGTTACACGCCAAACATTTCCCTCCACGCCAGCGTCGCTATTTACCCACCAAACAGAGCTATTTTTCCTTCTCTCTTCTCTGTTGGATAGGGTAACCAAGATTGCACACTTGAAGCTCTATCAGTTAACTTCAACATACATTCACAGAGATATTCATCCCTCCACGTACTTGCCGGGTGTCCATTCAGGCCATCATGCTAGGTTAGCTTTCCAAACGAGGAAACAGAGGACGTGATTTCTGGGTGTAAAATAGGTGGGTATGGAGGGTCAAAGTGGTCACATGATGCAAGAAAAATTAATTCCCTTGTTGTTTGTCACGAATCCCTAAAGACTGATGCTCCATTGATTTGTGTTAAAACGCAGTTAAAATGGCAAAAAAAAACTTACAGAAAAAGGTCTGAAGGTTGATTTTTTTTAAATGTTTTAAATGTGAATAAGTGAGTTTTTTCTAAACTTATGTAATTGATAACGCCCACTAGGAGGGGCCTTGGGGCTTTAAACAAGGCTGCCTGGGCCTTTCTTTCTATGAGACTGGGGTTTGTCCCATGAACAGTAACCGTGAAACAGGCTTTTCTATTGCTGCTGTGTTTCTGTTTTTTTCTTTTGAGTGAGAATCTTGAGTTATAGTGGAACTCCTGCCTTGTTGGCCTTTTCTTTTTTGCCTTGTACAGTTTGTAAATTGTATTTGACCATTTTTTGCACTTATGTAAATATTTTTTGCACTGCACCTTGGAAGGCTGGTTGTAAATAAATCCTATCACCATGTTTTCCACTACGTCTGTGTTTCTCCACTATTTTGTGATTGTTTGAGCAAACCCCATGACAGGGGGCTTTGCACATGTCAAGTTAAATACTCTGGGTGAGGTGGCATGTGTGAAAATCACATTTCTTTTCCTTTTTTTAGAAAGATGACATCAGTGAGCAGCGCTGATGACACTAATGCGATTTCAGTATCATGGCCAAATTCAAATTCAATTCAACTTTATTTTTATGGCACTTTTCAGACAAGAAATGCAATTCAAAGGGCCTCACAGAGGCTAAAAACAATTAACAACAATAAAACCTGACTCTCCCACCCATGGACCCACATGCACACAAAGTCACACACCCACCCTCACTCACTCATCCACAAATACACACACACAAGCACACAAAGTGTGAGAACTTAAGATATATTGTTTAAGAGAAATGGCCTGACACTGAGACATTACGTGAGGAAAGAGCTACCTTTAGGAAACACTGGAGATAAAAGATTAAAAAATAGAAAATGGTGAAAGGAAAGGCCAAGCAACATGGACAGCTCGATCCCAGGGATCATGTAATATAATAATTATCTTTTTTCTTAAGTAACAATAAAATGGGTACATATTTGGATTCCCACCATGTGCACTGTCATCAAAACAAAACATCTGTCCCAAACAATAAAATCGACCATCCCCCCTATTTTTTTTTACTGTCAGTAGATATTATCAAAAATGTAAAATTCTGATTCAGATTTAGTGATGATGGCGTTAGGCGTAATTGTAAGGCAGTGGTCAGTTTTATCATGAGTAAACTTTGTTCTATCTCTCCAATGCTGTGGAGGGGCAATGTCATTACCTGTCATTACTTATGCGCACGGCAGATGGCAGCATAGAATTTCACTCAAGACAATTGACCACGTGAGGAAGAATGAGCTCTGTATGCACGCATGCGCATTGAGTTGTTTCACTAAATGGAGGTTGTTTGAAATGTCTGCTGTGACAAATTGAAAACATGCAGTGATATTTTGCTATTTGTTGATTCCTGTAAAGTTGCACTGAGAGATCGGACATAATGGGTGAGTTAAAACATGACAAGTGCTGTCAGCACGCATGAAGGGTTGCGCGGAAAGTAAATGAGTGTTAGTAACCGGTTAGCGAAACTGCTAAACACAGTCACAATACTGTATCCTCTATGACATGTTATAGCTACTGTAGGCTTGTGCTTTGAGGTTGCATCAGCTTAAAGGGATATTCCAGCGTAAAATAAAGTTAGGGTCAAACACACCGTAACACCGAGTTAGACACCCCCTCGAGGGATGAATGTTGCCGACCGCCTGCTTCTCTAGTTATACCAACAGGACATATAGGGTCCCAGCTATAGTACTAGCCACCAAACATCTTTTTAGCTTTTCCTTATTTCTTTAGCAAAGAGACTAAACCCATCTCACCTACTCTCTTCCAGCAGCCGCTTGTTTGTAGTGAAACCTCAGGCCAGTCCATTACGGACTGTTGCGGGGTGACGCAGCTCAAGGAAGAACATTTATGATCATTTTCTTAGTAATTTCTTTGAAGTAATTTTCCCCATATTAATCATTTTGCACTGTAGATGCTGTAGTTCTTCTGCCTTGGCGTTTTGGTCTGATTGCATTTCCATGAAGAAATGATCATAAATGTTCTTCCTTTAGCTGCATCACCCCGCTGGAATTTTATGCCAGAATATCCCTTTAAGCATCCAATAAAGTAGAAAGTGTGTGCTTACTTTCTTTCCTTTGGTCAGAAGGTGGCACAGAAACTGAGAGATCTCCATCTCAAAGTGGACAACAGTCTCCAAAACTGGACCGAAATCCATCACCACCGCCGGTCACAGCCGACGGAGAGGAAGGTGAAGATTTGGATGCCATTGGAGAAACTGTTTATAGCAAGCACTGGCTTTTCAGCACCCTGACGCGTCTAATCAATGTAAGCATTCCCAATACAAAATTTAATGCATAAAATTAGATTCTTTGTCGTGATTCAGCTGGAAACAGCAGCATAATTTGAAGTTGTTTTTATGTGTTGATGGATTTTACAAATTTCACAGTACAAGAGACTTACAAACACAGAGCATCAGGCTGCTGCAACACATTTTAAAGGGATATTTCAGGAGATATGAAGTGCGATTGTATGAGTTACATGTCACTAGTAAGTGCAGCTGCCACATTGGGGCCCCCTCAATGAGAATACAAGGTTGTGCTGAAGAATCTCCCTGTAGAGCAAACACTCGTACTGTGATATGTGTCTCTAAAGATGTTTCATGACAGGGTACCCTCTCTACAGTAATCTGTAGTCTAGTTTGCATGCCAATTCTCACAGCAATTTTTCTCACTAAAGGGGCAGAACTGACCAGCATCTGCTGTGGTTTGTACAGTAACTAGTAACATCAAACTACCCCACTTCAAAAATACTGAAATATCCCTTTAGGCACAGTTGTTTTCATGATACGAACCATTTAACAATAGTCTCTCTTCCTGTAAGGCAGTAATTTTTTTATGGTTGCTAAATGGTTTATTCAAGATGGTCACAGAGCATTCGGAGGAGGACTCTGAAGGTGAAATGCAGCTCCCTGATGATGATGAGGAAGATCTGTGTCGGGTCTGGGATATGGCCATGGATAAGGTAGAGTATGTGTCTTAAACCTGCAAATGAGTGTGCTATATGCTGCAGTATTGGGCTATTTTTCAAATGTTTGAATCACTAATGAGTGGGTCTTTTTTAGGATGTTGCTGGTTTTCTGCAGGAATTCAAAGCTACAGACATTCTTCTCGGGGTGATAGCCAAATCACGCTGTCCACGTCTCACAGTGAGTTTCATTAATTCAGTGGCAGAAGAAAATCCTGTGCTTGATGTCGTATTTTTGGGTTTTGAATTGAAGATTTTTCTTCTGTTTCTATAGGAAATTTGTGTCGGGATCCTTGAGAACATTGCTTGCTTTCCTGAAACTTGTCTGACTCTTAGTCAAAATGAAGACTTGAGGTTGGTTACAGTCTTCAGTCCTCCTTCAAATAAGGTTTTGTGACCTGAGGATGTCAATTTCTATGAATGCAACTCTGCGTGTTTCCACAGAGCTGTGCTGTTACTTCTTCTTGGAGACACAGATCCTCCCACCCTTCTGGAAACAAGCAGGTAAAATCTGCATCACCAGTACATGTGAGACAAAGAGACTGAGAGTGTGGCATTAATCCTCTCTGATGGTGTTTGCAGGTTGCTGCTAACCTGTTTGTCTCAGAAAGACGTCTGTTCCCTGTGGCTTCAGCGAATACGACGGCAGACGTCCGTGCTCTCCAACCTCTGTTTTATCATGTGCAGTTCCACCAACAGTACGATGCATTTCTCACCTCCACTGTTATGAACTCACCAAATGTAACTTATTATTAAAATGTGCAGACATACTTGGGTGACTTAGCTCAAAGTTCCTCTCCGTAGATTATTCTCAGGGTTTTTGAATCTGATGGTGCATAGGAGTTGTTTTTTAGTGAGTGGGTCACAATTTTTTTTTGGTAATCCTGTGCACATGCAAGTGACTCACATGCACACGAATAAGCCCTGCTTATAATTTCCAGCTCTTCCACTGATGTATAGGGGAAAGTGCCACAGCGAGCTATGCAGTGCTGGAATGAAGAAAGGGACTAAGAAAAGTTGCAAATAAACATTATCAAAACAACTTAAGAAAATGTGTTTTTAAAATAATGATTAGGGAAGGAAATGGACATTAGTACACACAGACTTTTGGCTGGCATACAGTGAAATTTCAACATTTCTTAGCTGTATTTTCAACCTAAACAAGAGAAAGAGAGCTGTAGCGTCTGTTTTTCACACAGAAAGAGAGTAAGAGTGAAGAAGACAAAGCCTTAGAAATTAAAATAAAAGACTCCATTTTCTCATTGCTCCTTAGTGATTACACTTTAGATGAAGGTGTGAAGCATCCACAACTCCAAACACATGCATATAAAGGTGCTTGATTTTGTTAATCACTCAAGTGTGTCTGTCTGTTGTACCCTTCATCCTCTCTTCTTCGCCACCGACCGTTACAGGCTGGCAAATACTGACTCTGCTCTTTTATGTAATTGTTGTACTAATTGTCCTCTGTGTTTTACAGCTGACCTGCTGGAGAAGGTTGGAGAGCTGGTTGACAAACTCTTTGACATGGATGAAGAACTGATGAAGAGTTGGGTCATGATTCAGTCAAGCGAGGAGGAGGAAGAGGGGGAGGATGGCGGCGAAAGGCGTCTAGATATCACTTTAAGTCTCCTTGAGGCAGCTAAGCAGATAAGGTGAGCATGGGGAGTTGAAATTCTGGAGAATGTGAAGGAGTTTACAAATATATTTATTTTCCGAGAAGTGATGAAAAATATAGTGATGATAAATAGATATGTATGGCATTGTTTTCACAGATTAGACAGTCCAAACGGCTTAGAGGTTTACCTTCATGCCTTCCAACTCCTCACCACCATAGACGAGGGCATTCAGACTCTTGGTGAGCGCAGTCAAAACACTTTTTTCGGATCAGCTGTTGGCATGAAATCCAAAACACACCTGAGGTGACCTCAAAGCAAATAACATGTTGCGCAATTGTTCCTCATAGCCTCCTCTGACGGACCTGGCAAAGCACTGTGGGATTTTGTCTGTGACGTGGTGTGTGAGGATCTCTGCCAGTCAGATGATCTATCAGTCGTCTTGCATGAGCAGAAGAGTGTTTTGGTCCAGGCTTTTGCTGTACTCCAGGCACTTAACAGATGCCAGGATCAGTGGCGCAACAGAAGTGATGCAAGTAAGTTTTGTAACAGCTCCATTGTGTTTTAGTTGCACAATTTACCCCAGATTTACTGGGTTTACCCTTTTCCAATCCACGTAGTGTGCTGAAACGATGATTTGTAGTTGACTGTTTAATGCCTTGATCAGCCGTCTCTGATAACAAAAGATATCCAAGACCAAAATGGTTTAGTGAGGTGTAGTCTTGTAAGATACTGAAAGTAAGAGCTTCTAAAAGTGGCACCACAGCGTTTAGTGGAAGCTGACGTACTAATACATATAAGAAATGGCCAATGTTGAAGTTGGGTGAAAACTTCAGAACTGTCTACTCAGATTTAATGGTCTCTATAATGGAGAAAAACACAACAAAACGTCTCACTAAAGTATGTACTATTAAATATCAAATAAAATATTTACAAATGATAGTAAAACAGGGTGTTTGTGATGCACACAATATTTTCTATAAGACTTCTTATTTTAGCTTAATACTGTTCAGGGCATAACAGGAAAAAGTGTAAGAAAAAAAAAAGATATAGATCAAACTAAAGGAATCAGTACATCAGCCTGCTGTATTTATTGATTGTTTTTTTTCCATCAGGCCCTCCCCTAATTGGGACCATTTTAAGAGTTCTTCAGCACCACAGTGAGAGCAAAGCTGATCAAACCAAAGAGGACACGCGGGATGAACAGCTTCAGACTCTGGCAGAGATCACGTCTGAGTTCCTGGCTGATATCTGCTCTCAGATCTCTAAGGTATTTCTTGTGCAACTAACTTTTTATTGAGGATTACGGTAAAAGTAGCTTTTTTTCTGAAGTGTTTGTTTTGTATTTATAGGAAACAGTGGCAGCTTTGGTAAAGGAAGGATATCTTACAGAGAAGACGTCTCTCACAGCTGCACACAGTTTAGCTCAAAACTCCAAGACTTCAGTAAGTGCTTTCACCGAAACTACATTCTACATTCATTTATAGACCAGCAGGAACTCATGAAAAAGGTTTCTCTTAACATTTTTTCTCCCAGACAGTAAGCTTTACAAATGCTGCGTAGTGTATCTGGTGTATCAGTTTAAAAAGGAAAGAAAAACAAAAGACCCCTTACAAACTTTAAATTTTGTTCTTCAGTAAAAAACTGTTTTTTTTTTTTAATCCTGGAATTTACCAAGAGCAGTTCAGCTTCAAATTTATTTAATGATGGAAGTGGAGCCAAGTTTTCCGTAGTATATAGTCAAACAGAAGAAGTAGTTTGCATTAAACATGGCTGGAAGGTGGTACCTTCAACCTCCTGACTGGAAGATGACGAACTCTACTGCTGAGCCACAGCTGCTCCAGCTCGTTGGTTACAGCTTCTTGAATTTTGGAGAGTCACCTAAAATGAATTATTGTAATGATTCAGGAACAATAATTTAAGTGTAGAAATATCTTCATTGAAAGCCCCATCCTTTTGTGTTTTAACTGCAGTCATTAAGTGTTCAGGCCTAATTTTAGACTTTGTACCGTGTTAAGATGTGTGATGTGTTAAGCTGCTGATACACACCACCATCTCCTGTGGAAAATAAACATCATATTTCCATCCTTCCCCTCTTCCTCTTGTTCAGTTTCAGCACCTGCAGTCCATGCTGTCAGAGACTGATCCCCGACTGGCAGACATTGTGAGGAAACAGTTTCCTGTGTGAGGTGCTCCTCTCATCCAGAGTCTCACCTTGGCTTTTATTAGACATAACTATTTCCTCTCCAAGGATCGTGCTCCAAGTCATGCTGTTTGGATTTCCATCGAAAGGACTCAACAAGGATGTCGCTCCATCATAAACTGTAGATAGTGTGACAAAGGCTGTACCATATTTTTCTTCTTTCCAATGTGAATGTTATTTTTGTATTAAAAAAATCTGAATTTTATGAAACAGATATCCCCTCTACGATTTTTTTAGAAAGCTTTTCTTCCTTAATTTTTTTTTCTTACATTTTAATGTTACTGCTGGATGCACATCTTTAAGTTATCAGTATTAATGTTTTCTTTATGAAGAGTTTGTAAAGCTAGTGGTAAATCCAATAAAATTACATATCAGAACAGTAAAAGTATAAAAAATATTTCTTGAAAAAATAGTCCACATTTATTTTGAAGTCCAAAACTAACTGATAAGAAAAGCCATTGTCGCCTCTTTTATAATGCCTAAAATCTGCAGAAATTACTCAGTACAGCTACATCAACACAGCCTGAAAAGTCAAGAGCTTAAGGTATTTTCAATCAGCGTACTCTTTGTGCAGACTGAAAACACTCTAAATTACTTGGTACTTAAGTGTCCCCTTGTAAACCAAGCGCCTCTAAAATTAATATAAAAAAACTCAAAAGGCTTTGAATAAATTCAGTTCCATTTCTATGATTATTTCTTGGGTTTTTGCTTTTAATTTGATGAGCTTGCTAGGGAGACAAGGGAAATGTGAAGAAAGAGAGCAGCTACTGCACCAGCGCCCTAAAGATGGGATTAGATTCATTTCAAATGAGCTGCTTAGATGAAGTGTGAAGAACCAAACTGATAAATAGCTGCTAAAGTAATATTAATACTTCATATACTGTACAAAAGACAGGCCTGCCTGCCGAGCAGAGGGCAAACCTGAGAGATGGGTTATTAAAACACAACCAACTAGTTTTGAATTAGAAATCTACAAATCTTAGAGCAGAGTGTGTTTCTTTAAAAATACCCAGCTTGATCTGTTGTTTTGATGGTTATTATTTGGAAGCTGCAGTACCTTGAAGGTACTTTGAGGGGTTTTAATTTGGGTATGATACAGACAATTCAATTTCATTGAAAAATTCTCGATGTGTGAAAAGCTGTCGAAAAAAAGGTCGAAATTTGTTGTTGGAAAGCTCTACTTGCTGAAAACAGGGTAAGGAGATAAGATGTACCACTCTGCTTTAAAAGAAACTGATTTGAGCTTTTGAGATGTCGTCACAACATGGATTTTTTTGGTAAAACCACCACAGTTTCAGCTCAGTCTAGTACAGACAGAAAGCTTTATTGTCATTCTACTGACGTACATGACGGCTTAACGAAACTGCAAAACAACACTGGCTGTATAATACAAAGAGCAGATACACAAACACTTTTATTCAGCTGGGTTACCACTGCTGCAGATAATAGTAGCATAAACTACAACTGCATCTTCATCATAAAACACCTTTTTCATTTAATCAGTTTTGAGACTTATGTCGTACTATTTGTTCTATTTTTAAGAGAGAAATGTTCAGTTTATTTGTCAGATTTATTTAGTATGTATTGAGTCATCTTTCCAAGCATATGAGTAATGGTACAAATGCTGATGACAACATCAAGTGTTTACCAGAGGGTGACAGTCACTCGGTAACGACAATGAAATCAGATGAAAGGCTCAAGCCTGGCAACAATGATCTCATTTGGTTACCAAATGCACCATTTCGCCCACTCACAGAGAAAAGGCAGGACAACCTGTGCATTTCCAGTGAGCCTACGAAGGCTCTGTGAATATAGCAGCTTTTTAATTAAAGCTTGGATTGATATGTAGAACACTCTTTCTAATGGAAATCCCGAGATGGTCAGAGTGTACGCAAGACAAGATCACCTTATGGGAAAAAACACTCTTTTTTTAAGCCTGCTATCTCTAGAGACATGACGTGAACCCTGAGTGGAATCGTGATGCACATAGGTAGCCGCTGCCTTGAGTCATGTCGAGTTTGTGTTGAAAATGGCTAGAATGATGGAGACATAATCATGCTTGGCCTTTCAAGACTGCCTGTGGCCACTGACTTGTTGAGTACTGCAGTGTCTTCAGGCCTTGCTTCCAGACGAGGCCTGTCACAGACATCAGGATGAAGCCCACATGTTTCCCGCTGCCCTGCCAAACCTCATCGTCAGTCAGCCAGTTTCCACAGCAGCTTGATGTGATCTGACTGTATGCACACGACATGGACGGCTGCACTTGGTGTACCTGTTGTACATCAAACACGTCACAGACACTGAGGCATGTCAGGCCTGTCTGACGCTAATGTTTGATGTCAGCTTCTTCGTCTGTTTACCAACTTGCTGTTCTTTGAAATGACCTGACATTTTACCCTTCAGTGAGATTGTTTCTATTTTTGTCTCACGTTTGTGTGTGAAAATTCACGTCTTCCTTACGTAACATGGAGGTGACTAACAGCCGGTACTTTGATATGGTGCATGCTTGAAGATTATGAAAAAAAAATAAACTTGAACTTTGAATTAAGATTCATAAGAGGATTTCCGGGTCATGAACAACTCTCAAGAAAATGGCTCACTGCTCTTATCAAGGCAGGACTATGGTCTGTTCCAGTAAAAGGGTGGAAGAGAAAAGTCTGTCGTTAGAAACTGATTTTTTCTAAGGATTAGAAATAATTAAAACTGATGGACAATGTAAAATTTTGTGGAGCATGATCTATTGACACAAGTCTACTCGAATGTGTCACACTGCTCTTGTGTGGGAGCCGTTGCTGGGGGAGGAGAAGGTATAATGAAGGGATGAAGAATGCATGTGCAGTGACACGTTCCCACTCCTTTGGTTCTAAGGCCCGGTCTATTCACAACCACCTGTTTGAGGCATGTTAATAAAGACACACGATGCCGTTGGGTGCAATCAAAGCCCCCATTCAGCTCATTTCCTGAGTTTGCTGCTTGTCTATCTCTTGTCAAACAGAATCAAAATGAAACTTTTGCCCTCCGTGGTTCCTGGATATCAAAGACACTGACGTTTCCTGCCCACAAAAAGCGATGCAGTGACGTTGGTGTTTGCATTCGTCTTAACTTCCTGTTTTGCTTCTTAATCTAGCTTTCCAACAGGGATATTGCATTGGTTACCAAAGCAGCAAGGATGTCAAACATAGCACAGGACATTTCTCAGCTGTGCATGGACAAGAATCAACGAGGCATGCTTAATGTCTGCATCAGGAGAAAAACTGGACACCTAAAAGTATATTAAATGTTTTTTAATCCTGCTTTTTAAAATAAGAGCATAAAATGGCTTCATATGATTTTATTAATAAGAGCTAATGAATTTAAGGTTAGTGAATCTGACCATTAGGGAAGGGCGATAAATTATTGTTCACGATTTATCATTCCTCTTTATTACCTTTGAGGATCAGCAGGGACAGCATACCAGCACTGTATTGGTGAGAGTCTTGGCTAAACCGTCCAATTAGATTTAAGCACCTTGTACCAATTTCTGATCAGATAGTTGAATATTATTCAAGTGGGAGATAGTTGTGATCAAGAATAAAGCCTAAACTGTAGTGACTTTCTATTAAATAAAAGTAGACTGAAATGTTTTGTAGGGATGAGCGATTAATTATCATTCACAATTTATTGTCAGAAAAATCCTCCATTATGAATATTTGCCATCTTATTATAAATGCGGTGAAAGCAAGTTGACGACGTAAGCGCTTGCAACAGACTCACAGCCGTAGTCCACACAGAGCAGAATAAAAAACAAACATGGCCGAAGGTGGTGAAGAAGACGTCACTGAGCAGCTCTTTGCTAATTGGGACCCCACATGAGGGATTTCCTTCAAGATTTGGCCATGTCTAAGTGGAGGCTCAGAGGAGACAGAGCTTTTTCTGTTGCTGCTCCTACATTATGGAATGATTTACCTCGCCACATTAGACAAATCCCGCACTGTCCATTTTTAAGACCTGTCTAAAAACCCCACTTTTACTCCTTGGCTTTTGACCCAGCATGAGACGGCATTTGTTTTATTGCTTTTTATTATATTTTAAAACAACAATTTATTGTTGTCTTATGTTTTTATGTTATTATGTGCAGCATTTTGTGTCAGCTTTGGTTGTATTTAATGTATAAATAAAGTTGAGTTGAGTTGAGTTAGATGTGTGCAATCAGGTATGCCTGACATAGGAAAGTGGATCTGCTGCTGTTCACTCTGTTCAATAATAGTTTCCAAAAATGTTGAAAGTGTTTTCACATTTCAGATTTGTTTGTTTTCTCCATAACCTACCACTCACACTTTTGGTAAAGTATCTCATTTGACTGATCCTGACAAATTTTTCACCCATATCGCCCATCCCTACTGACCGTGTCATTTTAACAAAAAACAAAAAACAAAATTCAAGATAAATATAATTTGATACATATGAAGACATGGAGTTTCTGCATTAGGGCGAGATTTTAAGCATATGTCTGTAGAATAAAGGCCTGCTGAAAAGTATCATGCATCTTTTTTGAATTTGAATATAACTTTTCTGTCTTATTTCGATCCACGTCATTTTTTTATTCACTTTAAACAAAACCTATTCAGCAAGCTCTCCAGATTAATTCATGATGCCTTCACTGACCCCTTGATTTACTCGTTGTCTTTTTTTTGCCCCACGTAGAGAGCTTCTATTTTAAAGGTGGCAGGTGTTTATGGGTGCAGCTCCGTCCTGTCCTGTCCCTGTGTGCGCTGACGCCTGTCACCAAGTGGCATATGCTGCTGTTTGTTGTGCAATGAAAGAATTGGAGCTAATTAAAGAGGTGCAGTCCTGCCGCAGGAAGTGTGCGTAAGCAGGCCATTCACTCTTCTGATTGGTTAGTTGTTCAAACAAGGTTCAGGATCAGGTGAAAGACTGGAATCCTAGTGATGAAGTGCGATTAGGAGACCTTGGATTCTCTGGAAATTCAAATAACACCAGTATTATGGTCAGGAAAGAGAGTGGAAAGAGAGACATGCACTCAAAAAATCCAGACTTTACACTATTTAAGTGGAAAAAAGTCATAGATGAAACAGATCTTACATTTTAATGTAAATAGTAGACTACTCTAGCAAGAAAAATACTTAAAAAAAACAACAATGCAGCTTGAATGTCAATGTTATTGTAGTAATTTTTCTGTGAATCATAAAGAATGTTAACTAAAGCCTAACTCTCATGTTATCTTGATCAAAATCTTGATCAAAACTTAACACAGCAAAAGATGAGATAAGCTAATGTATTTAGGCAATAAAGCTGTTATTGTAGTGTTAGTTACACTGAAAAAAGAAGATCATCTAAACCTCTGTGATGACTTCTTAATCTATTATAAAACAAACAGAATCCAAAGCATGCTCAAGAAACTGCATGTTTTGTTTTACCTATTCCACAATATAGATTCATTATACATCTGGTGTGATAACTTTGACTTTAGAAAGAAAGACGGGTACTTCTTTTGAAAACCATTATGTCTACAAGTACAGGATTCTGCTAAAATCAGGATGTGCCACTTTGTATTCAGGAGGCGCCAAAGTCAACATGAACCTACAGAGTTAATCAGCTAAAAACATGAATTTTAACAGGACTGCACAAAGTATTGTGAATTTACTTTTAAATGCTTCTTTGATTCTGTTTTCAATTTTTTTAATTTATCATTAACCAATCATGTAGTCTTTGCATAATTTAAAAAAAAGACGTTTTTTTTTATTTTTAATCGCACTTTATTATTAAGTCTGATTGTGATCTGCTAATGTAAAGAGCTGACGTGATTTCTGTAGGAAAACAGATATAATCTTTTTTATTCATACTTCTAAAGCTAAACTGATTGTATTTCTGCTTTAATTCTTTTACATTTGTTTGATATCTCTGGGGTGTTTTCTGCACTGACGGATCAGTGATTTCCTCCAGAGCAACATGTAACTTCAACCTGAAAAGGAAACTGACAAGTTGGTTTGTTGAAGTATATGATCAAAGTTAAAACTTTGAATCGAACAACCTGTACCGCAGCATCTACCCTCAACAAGACACAACTCTTATCAACAGCATTGAAACTTAAAATCCTTGTGAAAAATATGAAGTAAAAAATAATACTCATTGTAGTAATTTAAATGTGTCTTCCAAATGCCCTATGAGATGTGAGGCTTATGTTCTAATACAGCCTAAAGCTTGTGTTGGGCATTTTCTCAGAACCAGAGGTAGATTAGCCAGAGAGGTGTCTTGCAGCTTGATGCTCAGACACTGCCAGTAAATCCCTCTGATTGAAGTGAACAGAACTGGGACAGACCAGCCGTGGTGCAGCTCAGACAACACAGCACCTCCCCTTCAATAACCTCCAGAGGGATCAGAAATAAGGGCTTGTGCGACGTTTTTATTATTTCCAAAATAGATTTATCGTTTCTTCAAAATGTGACTGTGCATAAAACACACTTTGGTGGTCAGGATAACGAGGCCCTCCTTCAGTGGTTCTTCAATGAGGTTCATGAATGAGATGTGTGAATGTATCGAGTGCTCTCATTGTCTTAACTGCAGCAGCACATAACCAGCTCCATCATGCGACAAAGATGACCAACATTGAATGCAGGTGACTAAGTTCATGGAGCTTGGACTACGTCAAAGCATAAAACTAGTAGAAATCACAGCGTAAGGTGGAAAAAATACTTTTCAATGAGTGAAAATATTCACATTTCAGTGTGAGTGGATTATTTGTGGTGACATTCTTGGTGCTAATTATCCATCTAGCAACATTAAGTGTGGAGGGTTGACCTAATTACAAACACCCATCATCCATCATTGACCCATCTTATTTATGTTGTCCTCTGTGACCCTGTCAAAGCACTCACCGGCTTAAAGCATCTCAGAGCACCTGTATTCAATACCCTCAGAATGACAGAGGGTAGACTACGCATGCCAAACCACATTATTTATACCAATCAGAACAAGATACTGTAGCTAAACATGCCTCTATATAATCAGGACTTGTGTATGTAGTTGCATTAAAGGAAGGATCAGCTGTTAATGGAAAAATTAGAATTTGTAAACTGGATTCAGCCGGGAGCCCCTGAGATTAAATCAAGAAGATCTGATCCAGAAGCTGTCAAGACACGAGGAGACATCAAAAGACACAGAGCATCTGCAGCACAAGAACGGTGTCCGTCAAGATATATTTACAAGTAAATTTGCTTACGTGCTTAACAAACTGCCCACGTCAGCTTTTGCGGCTTGATGAAAGGACCAGGCCATTACTGAATCCTGAACAGAAGCAGAAGAATACCATTCAGAGGGTCTCACCTTTTCAAATACCTTTTTTCATCCTCTTGATGAATGCAAGTCTCTCAAGGGCCCTGTAAGAAACAGCAGTGACATGGGAGTACAGAAGGACTGTATTCAGGACGCTGGTCACATGTTGATGGCAAACATTCGTATGTGGTGCTAGCTGAGTCACAGGTAACTCTAAATAATCATTCAGTGTTTTAGGGCTTTTTTTAAACGTAGAATAATAACAGATCACCAATTTCGTGAACATACACGTTAAACATTTTCACTTTTAAAACCAGAGAATGTTGATTTCATCCTTAGTAACTCTCACCGTGCTTAAAAATTTTAAACATCATAGCCTACACGGTATTTCTTGTTTTTTAATTTTACAAATTGTCATAATTTTCATTAAATTTTCAAGGGAAATTTGTTTCATTTAAATGACAAATGTCTGGTAGTTTTATTTTATATTTTTAAATGATTTTTTTAGTGGGATCATTGACTTTGGTCTAATGATCCTCATTAAATTCTCCAAACTGGACACTCTCTCAGAATCATTAATAATCACTTTTATTTTAAAGAAAAAGGACAGCGGAGAACTTTTGATTTACAGTTGAAAACATATTTTATTTTGTTACAACACCACAGATTGTATTTTCAGTATCATCTCCAGGTCTGAATACAGCTATTAATCTGTTGACAACAAGAATTCTACAAAGAAGATGTCCCAATTCAACTGTAAAAATATGAAAGCACCAAAGCTTTGCCAGTAGATGTGATTTTGACAGCTGGACAGGGTGAAGGAGTTTCCTTGTAAAGTCTGAAGGAGTGACTCCTCTCTTTCACACTGGCCACCTGAAATTGACTTACTGTCTATAATTCAAAGCATCATCTAAAATATATCTGTGTCAACACTGGCCAAATAACAGATTTCAACATATGCCTCAGGCAGGGTAAATCATAGTTAAGGACTTGAGGATGGCCGGTCAGATTTTAAGAAGAGTTCATGTCACCCTTGTTCACCATTTTGGAAACGGTCCTGTCCTTTAGTACCAAATTCAAAATGATATTAACGTCTATGTTTACTCTTAATTGCCCCTCTTAACTTTCAAACACACACTGTTTTTTTTTTTTCATTTTTTGTGCATTTACCTTACAGTGCTTAAACATCAGTAATTTTATTTTATTTTATTTATTTATTTGGATCCCCATTAGCCACTACCTAAGAAGCAGCTACTCTTCCTGGGGTCTGCAAGAAGACAGTAAACATTTGATTAAAGATGTAAATGATAAAAGTCCAAACAGGAGAATTATGCAAGATGTTAAAATCACAACTAAAGCAAGAATTATCATGACATTACATTCCCAATTACAATAGACACCAATAAAGGCCAAGATAAATGCACAAGTAATCAAAATGTCATTGGCAGGTATTGTATGTTGTCACAGCCTAGGTGACAAGGGTCCAATTAGATATTGGTAAACCTTCTTTTTAATCACATGTTTACTGGTTAGCCTTGTGATGACAGATGGAAGACTGTTCCATATTTTCATACCTCTGAAACACGAGAGTACGCTGTCCAGAGTTCGTATTAGTGAGTGGAAGTGTGAAATAACCATTTGACGCATGCCTTGTGATAACGCTGCAAATGCTAACTTTAAAAATTCATGAATCCAGCTCCCACAATGGAGCTGGGTTTAATATATTCTATATTTCGCCGACTGGTTTTATCAACTAAAACTGCAAACTGGAAGCAGAGCTAACATGGAGATGGTATGTGTTACAGCTGAGCTTTCAACAGCTGACATACTTGTTATTGTGTGTTGCAGCTCGGCTAGTGTATGTTATGTTTGCACACTGAAGCAGAACCGCTAGTCATATGGAGGTGGTGTTGATAAGGAGCTTAAGCAAACAGAAGGCAAACATGTTCACTCCTGCCTGGCTGATCTTGAGGGAAGGTATTGTTGTTGTAAACTTCATGAACCATGTGTACTTGTAGATGTAGTTACAGCTGAAGAGGTTTTTTGATTCCTGTGATGGATGTGAATGATGCTGGATTTGTTCTTTTTTAAAATACACCATCTACCAGAACAAAGCCAGACACCCACACACAAAAAAAGTGATGAATTGTACCTTTAAAGGGCTTTGATCTGATCTGGGTTCAGCTCCTGCAAAGAGGAAGTCCCCCTCACTGGCTTTATTGGGTTGTGTAAAGCATCCGTCCATGTCACGGGTAAAACAGGCCAGGACCACCTGAGAAGACAAGAAGCATGTGCATCAGCCACATGTATCAGTGCATTAACCTTGTCTGCACAGCCTGACAGACAGAGGCGCCTCACCTGTCTTCATTTGTAAAGTCACTAAAGCTTGTCGAACAGCGGTGTTATGTGTTTAAAGTAATGAGGTCTCTTACACCAAGCTCTCCCTGCACTTGATTCTGCCTGCAAAAAGCCCGTGAGGCCTTTTCCCACTGATTGTCTTGATCGTATTAAAAGGCCCGCCGTGTTAAAGACGAGGAAACATGCAGATTATATGTGTTGTGAGGTGCTTACAATGCAGAGGGCAGGATTTTGAAAAGGGGGCATGTTTGGATCACTGTACAATGAAGGCAGGTGGGCTACATTCAAATCCTCTTAAACCTTGACCTCCTCAGAGTCTCAAGGTGTCAACAAACAAGAGAAATTTACTGCTTTAACTTTAGAAAGTCTACCTCCAACCTGTGTGAGTCCATTCTACTGTATGTATGATGGCACATTTTACTACATTTAACTGTAAAGCCAAACCTTTAAGAAATAACATCAGTGACTCTGTGTTTTGGTGCTGCACTTATTTCCTTCTCCTGTCCAGAAAGCAGTCAAATATTGTATTTCAGTTTCTCATACATTGTGATTGATCTCATTGAAGCTGTTTCTGGTCTTTTGGTGAAATGAAGGACGCCGTTTTCCACCCCTGATGACGCGCGCAGGAGTGCTCTTTTTCATTTGCTGCCGGGGGTGAGATTATGGCCCCCTCCTATTTCTGCCTGTTGTTAAATAGCAAGGCGTGCAGCCTTTCGGGGGTAGACAGTCTTCTTACAAAGCAGAGGCAGAAAAAACAACAACACCTGTCAGAGCTCCTAATAAAGGCGATTAACCAAAACAGCACTTTAACATGTACTCAAACAAAAACGAAGGACCACGTAGAGGAAGATCGTTTGACTCCATGAACATCGGCTTTGAAGAGAAGCTGCTCAACAATGAGGTAAAAAACGCAACTTTGGTTGTCTTTAGGTGTTTTCTTATTTAATGAGAGCGTCAGTAACGCTGGTGTTTTTTGTTGATGGTTGAGGAGTACCACTTTTTTGACTGTGCCAAAGTGGAGTGGAAACCGGTCGGGCTCGATTTAATGCATTAACTCGTACGTCAGTGCAGATTAATTTAAGCCGTTTGGTTATAGTAATTTGCGTCAAGGAGTTAAGAGGGTTAAAGTGGGATGGGTTAAAATTTCATATCATAAAAAATTATTGTTACTGATCATCTGCATCCTGGTTTTATAGTAAAATACAGACGGGATCAAAGTTAAACCCACAGTGTGTGATGTCTCTTTTTGGCACCTGTTGCTAAACGACACAAAGGATGACATCAATTATAAAGGAGAAAATCATTTACACAATGTATCTTAAATAGCTCTACATTTTAGTCCCATATAGCCTGTTGCTTTGTAGTCCTTGATCGACAATGCTCTTCTGCGCAGCATCAGGTGTTATACCACAAGAGACGTTCATACTGCGCAAAAAAATCAGCTTACTGATTAGTCTTGAGTCGTTTCCCTCCTTAAATTGTGACTTATTCTCTTGACCTTTTCATGCAACACAGCTGAACCTCCCTGACCTCCAACTGGAACTCTCTTTGGACTCTCATCTTAACGTTATTAACCGGATATGCCAATGATCAGAAACTTAACTATTAACCACTCACATAAACAACACGGAAGAAAATTTACATAGAATAAAATAGATTTTGAACATTTATATTGTTATTCATTTTTAAGGGTTGATTGAAAGGAAAATGAAATCTCCAAGCTCAGGAAAGTAAGGTTTTTATGGGGAGCAGCTGTGCGTAAAACCATCCAAAAACGTGCGCGCAGAGGTGATTAAACGCAGCCGAATATCTGCTCAGATCTCAGCACGCGAGGAGCTAATAATAGGCTTCCCGTTCATACAGCCTAAATGAGATTTTGGTAAGGCGATTCTTTCAGACTCAGACAAGTTCATCTTCGTTAAACCGAGACACTGACCCCGGGTAGCGTACTGATCCACACACTCGTGCAGTCAGGGATGCTACCGGCAAGACTTCCCCGAAAACTGGTTTCCCTCGCAGTCTACTCAGTGCTGAGAAATGGGAATGTGGTAGGCAGATACTTAACTATTTTTAATTGATTGTTGTGTCTCTTTTACTTCACTTTACTTAACTTTAATTACTTCACTAAAAAAGTTCTTAATATTACAAAAATGAAAATGAAATAAAATCTCTAAATCAGATGACTGCAGCAAAACGCGAAATCGTTGAGCTCAATGTAAACAGATTAGTTTCTGTGTGCTGTGGGCACATGATAGTATTACTACTAAAATCTGAAGCAGGATTATGGTGATTTTCCCCTTGCGTATGCAGCGCACACGTGAAAGCGCTGTCCGGGGTGCTGAATTTAAAGCGGGCGTACTGTTGTGCCCACACTATGGTGGCATTTTTACATGCAAAGATTTTTTTAACCACTTTTATCTTTGTTTTGTTCTTTTTATGAGGCGTTCAAATGGGGTTTTAGCTCTTGGAGTGATCAAGTTGACACATTAACTTGTCCTATCTTATGGTTCTTAAAAATGTCGAGTACATAAGTCTATATGGCTTTTGAAATCTGGCATTAACATTTTTAGAAAACAGATCGTGGGGTTGGGGCTAGAAAGTGTTTTTTACGCATAACTTTAAGTGCAATCTTCTCAAATGGTTTGATTCTTTTTTTTTTTTAGAACAATTTAATTGTTTTCAGTTTTTTTTTTCAACAATAGTTTCACTTCTCAAACATACATTTGGATAAATCAAAATTTGTTTTTTCAAAAAAGGTTGAAGATAGTTGAATATCTTCCCAACCATAGCCACATTTAGTAAGCCAATAGTGATGTTTTTCTGCAGGGTAAAATCTAGATGTTTCATGTCTGTTTTCAGATAAACAAATCAACCTTTACAAAAATTGAAGAAAACTCAGAGAAGAAGAATTCGTCAGAGAAAGAGAGAGCAACGATCATCTTTTCCCTCAAGAATGAAGTGGGAGGACTAGTGAAGGCACTTAAACTCTTTCAAGTAAGGCTGAAGTTACTTTTGGTCAATGTTGAAATTTCTATTCGGATATTATTCTATATCTGCAAGCAGCCTCTTCATTTGTCAAATTGTTGATAAAACATATTTGTTCCTTGCAGGAAAACCATGTCAACCTTGTTCACATAGAGTCCAGAAAATCCAAGAGACGCAATTCTGAGTTTGAAATATTTGTGGACTGCGACAGCAACCACGGACAACTGAATGAAATTATCCAGCTGCTGCGGAAGCATGTGAACATAGTGGAAATGGAACCCCCAGATAACTCATGTCTACCAGAGGAAGGTAGATGAAATCCTGCAGATTATGCACAACCACAGAATTTAACATTGAACCAAATAAGAGAAAGTAACACTTTTTGTCTCTTCTCAGATATGTGCAACGTTCCCTGGTTTCCAAAGAAGATTTCAGACTTAGACAAGTGTGCAAACCGTGTCCTCATGTACGGCTCTGAGTTGGATGCAGATCATCCGGTATGTCCGCTCAAATCAGTTAACTACATAAAATAATGCAAGTCTTCTTTCTGAATTTCTCTAATGCTTTCCTGTCTTACTCTTTAACAGGGTTTCAAAGACAATGTTTACCGCAAAAGACGAAAATACTTTGCAGATATTGCCATGTCCCACAAACAGTAAGTTTTCCTCTTGTATTTAAATGTTTAATTTGCAAATCTGTTGAGTTTTTAATCTGATATTAAGAGAATTATTATTTGATGTTGCAGTGGAGAACCCATCCCTCACATTGAGTTCACAGAGGAGGAAGTGAAGACTTGGGGTGTCGTGTACAGGGAGCTGAACAAGTTGTACCCCACCCATGCCTGTCGGGAGTACTTAAAGAACTTGCCCCTGCTGTCCAAATACTGTGATTTCCGGGAGGACAACATCCCTCAGCTTGAAGATGTCTCACGCTTTCTCAGAGGTACATTATATGTCAATAAAAGATTTTTTTTTGCTGTTAATTAAATAAAAAGGTCTAATTTCTCACTCATCTCTTTGACATCTTTTCAGAACGCACTGGATTTACCATCAGGCCTGTGGCCGGCTATCTTTCTCCCCGTGACTTCCTCGCTGGTTTGGCCTTCCGTGTTTTCCACTGTACTCAGTATGTGCGACACAGCTCGGACCCTTTATACACCCCAGAGCCGTGAGTAATTTACAGGAGTGCATTCAGAAAAGTGCAACAACATTCAAACAGAGCTGTTTGCTTTAACATTTGGTTATCTTTTGTTATACAGGGACACGTGCCATGAGCTGCTGGGTCATGTCCCACTGCTGGCAGAGCCCAGCTTCGCCCAGTTCTCTCAGGAGATTGGACTTGCTTCACTTGGGGCCTCAGATGACTCAGTTCAGAAGCTGGCCACAGTAAGTGACACTGATACAGACATATATCACCAGTGCAGATACGCCCTAATTGGGAAATCTTGGATTTTTATGATATTTACCTTGTGTTCCAGTGCTATTTCTTCACGGTGGAGTTTGGCTTATGCAAACAAGAAGGGCAGCTGCGAGCATACGGAGCAGGACTGCTGTCATCCATCAGTGAGCTGAAGGTAAACAATGGAACATGAGCCATGAATGAACTTGTTAACAGAGTCTTCATTTTAGCCTTTCAGACAAGTAAATGCGACACATTTTCTTTAATACATTTTGATTATCTGGTATATCTTGTACATATTTAATGAATTTCCCTTTGGGGATCAATAAAGTTCTTGTACTGTATTGAAAAGTGCTTGTAGAGCATTACTACATTACACCTGTCTGTCTTTTCTCTCTCACAGCATGCACTTTCTGGCAATGCAAGGATAATGCCTTTTGACCCCAAGGTTACATCTAAACAAGAATGTATAATCACAACTTTCCAGGAGGTCTACTTCGTGTCAGACAGCTTTGAGGAGGCCAAAGTCAAGATGAGGTGAGCATGGATACTCAGTTTCCTTAAAAACACGAGTTAATCACATCAATTATCCACAGATTACCCTGTTTTCACTTATTTTGATGCAAAAGCTACAGTATTTCTCACGATAATGTTTGTTTCAGGGAGTTTGCCAAGACCATCAAGCGTCCATTCACAGTCCGATACAACCCTTACACCCAGAGCGTGGACGTGCTAAAAGACACCCCCAGCATCAACAGCGTGGTGGAGGAGCTGCGGCACGAGCTGGACATCGTCGGTGATGCCCTCATCCGGCTGAACAAGCAGCAGGGTGTCTGATTTCCGCATTTCAGTCGGTCAATGCATATCTCTCACCCTGAAGCACCGCCGTAGAGATACTGCCCTTGTATGGCCCTTCGTCAGTACAATGAATGCGCACTGCTTTTGGTTTAACGCTTTGTTGTTTCCACTGCATGGTTTATGTCTTATTAAGGTGGATGTTTAGACACAGACATCAGTCAATCGCACCAACTCAAAGAGCAGCTTCACCAATACTCATAATCAAGCTTTAGTTGTACTTGGGCCGATCGGTTTCTGTAATACAAACAACCCACTTTAGTACCCCTATCAAATCCTCCCCAGCTGTAACATACACAAATACGGTTTCATTATTGTATTAACTCTGCTGTTGTATATTATTTGTGTTTTTGTATTTCTTCATTATTCTTCTTTACATTTACGTTCTTATTTCAGTGAAATTTTAAAAAATGTACCTTGTTTGTATTCTTTTGGTGTTTGTATCATGTTCCTGTCTGTGCGCTGTTGAGGGAAATCATGCAAGTAAAAAAGGGTGTCAGAGGAATGTTTTGATGGCTGACTATGACAGATTTAGCCCGTTGCCCTGAACTATTTTATTTTAAAGTGATGATTTTAATTACCTACATATAACTGTAGCACTCCTAAAATCAAAACATTATTTTTCTATTGTAAAAATTTCAACAATATGTGTAGGCTATGTATCAAACTATTAAAAATGAAATAAAATGTTTATTGTGTTTGTTAGTGTGTTGGATGGTGTGTAAACAGCTACCGCATTACTTTTTGGTAGCTTCTTAACGGCGCTGATTTAGTTATAAACAAACATAACTGCATATATACATTTAGACTTTGTCAGAAAGTCTTTAGAAGTGCAGATGGGTTATCATAATTGATTTACCTACACAGTATTCATATATTTTCATAATTACATCTGTTATCAGTTAGCCCAACAGTATCGTCATGTTATCAGTCAGAAGAAGAAAATAAGATTTTAGAAACCATCTTATTTTAACAGTTTAATCATTCATTATTACAGTTTAAACAGACACAGTCTGGATAATTTCATGGTCTCAAAGACATTGTTGGGAATATATTTAACATGATGGTAACCCTGGAGGCAGTTTGGGGTGTTTTTTGGCACTTTGGCATTAATAGGAACTCAAAACAGTTTTGTCTTTACCTTTCATCACATCTATTTCCAACTTTAATATTATTCAGTAATATCTGATCAGAAATTGATATTAAGGTTGGTACCAGTTGCTTAAATCTATTGGATGATTTAGCTAAGACTCTCACCAAAACAATGCTGGTATGCTGATCCTCAAAGGTAATAAAGAGGAGTGATTCTTACTTAAAGTCAAGAAACAAAACATTTTATTCTCATTGACCGTTTCTTTATTTTGTGTGGTGGGGGTGGGGAGTCCGAGCTCAGTCCCTCGGACACTTTTTACAGCGCGATTAGTTGCATTTATGTTTAATTGATCACAAAACATTGAACTAAATACTATCTCTCACTTATCCCTGAACTTGGATATGCAGTCATGAAATAATAAATACGTCTGACGGCACTGATGACACACTGTATCGGCATTCCATCAGATTGTCCAGATGTTAATGTTTTGGCAGATCGATGTCTGTTCACGTATCCGATAGTCTATAAGGCGTAGGGTAGAGTGGGGTAAGATTAGCTATTTTTCATATTTCAGATCACTACATCAAGTCAACCATAGTTTTGTCTCTAACTAGTGTATCTTCATATATTTCAAGATGTTGTGCATCCCCGCAAACCAACAGAATGAGTGTAAACATAACTGTCTTGATAATATAGCATGTTAAAAAACGTAGTCTCCTATGGTCAACTTACCCCGTGTATGGGGTAAGTTGACCATAGGAGTGGGTTAAGTTGAGCCGTATCCCTAATACCCCCCCACTCTCCACCCCAGCCCTCTCTCACTAAATAACAGTCACTTCTTCACATTCATGTGTATTTTTATCTATTATACGCTGTTCAACTGATACCATAATTCTATTTATTATTGTTGCATGTAACTGCTAAAAAGCTGTTTTTATAAAAAGTCATTTTAACTTGAGAATATCTTTAAGTGATTCAGAACATTCACAGCTGTATTTCAGAAAAGAAAAAGTAACACATTTCAACAATCTGAACTGAAACTCTGATCCTCTCATTAGACTCCTTTACTTTCTCAGTTGATCCACTGGCTAAACTTACCCCAGAACTACTATGATGACTTTATTAGTCCTCTAAGCTAAGATGGTGGACTTTTATGTTGGTTTTCAACCTCATGTTGTAGCTCATAGATACCACAGTTGATGTAAACAAATTTAAAATGAGCTTTTTTTGGTCTGTACACAATTCTAATAAAACTTATGACAGACTAAATTCACTTTCAAGAGTGAAAAATGTTTTTTTTTTAAAATAAATGTCTAACCTCTTCATCCATGTGCTTCTAACCTTCACAGACTCCATGAATTGATTCTCCTAAATATTTGGTCACGTCATCAATTTCTTTTACCATTTCCAAGCAACAGGGGGTGATACAACTTACCCTTTGGCTCAACTTACCCCACTCTCCCCTATCCGATAGTCTATTAGGAGTATATTTACGACAGTGTCGCAAACCCAGCTACAGCTCAGCCGGTTTGTCCTCCATGGAAACGAGCACGCAGTCAAAGTTTAGTTTGCACACTTGGGTAAATTCATAATCTTCACTGTTTGGCTGTTACACTTGTGTATGGCTTAGTGATTAATCAAACTATATATATATATTACTCAACTTACCCAGAAATGCAGCAAGGAGCGATAAGGCGTTACTGAGGCACTGTTAGTGTCGCGTAACTATTAGCAAACTAAAGCTAACTCTAAAGCCAAACATATGGCGCATACAGTCACTAATGTTTGATGGTTAACACATAACTCTGAATTATTTCTGGACTGAATGGCTGTCATATCGTGTCCGTCAGGGAGCCAACAGTTACGGACAGCTGGGACAGGGACATGAGGAGGACCAGCTACACCCCGGACTCTCAGATACTTCCCCTATCCAAAGTAAGGCTTTACGGTCCGTGAGCGGCGGCGGAGGTCACACCATGGTTATCACCGGTACGTTTGTCTCTCACAGTACATTTCCTTTAAAATCAGCCACAAACCTGTTGCCTTTAAACGCGTTCATCAACAAGTCTGTACAAAACAGATCAGACTACTGACTTCTTCTTTGACGCTTTACGGCAGCTGGTATCCACGACGATGTAGTACTGCCATCTACTGGTTTCTTTTATCTCTCATCAAGTCCCATCAGGGTTGAAGATAATCACTTTCTCTCTTCTTAAACATATTATTTTCTCCCCCTGATGATTGAATAGATTTACAACAGAGCTAATTTTCTATATCTCTGATTTATCTTTTATGTTTATCACTCTTCTGCAGAGTAGAAATAGATGTCTTGGTGTTTTGGTTTTCAGAGGATGCAGAGGTGTTTGTTTGTGGGCAGAATCACAAAGGCCAACTAGGACTTGGACACAATGAAGATATCTCCTCGTTTCAGCTCTGCCACAGACTGGGCCAGAGGGTCACAGAAGTGGCCTGTGGATGGGATTTTACCGTTCTCCTCACTGGTGAGCACTTCTCCAAACTGGGCCCTAATATTCTGTTCTACTTTGGGTTCAGAGGGATTTCATAGTGTTGTGAGGGAGAGTTTTGAGTATTAATGCATACTTTAGGCATTAGTAATGGATTAATTTACAGATGGAGCAATTGAAGGCAATTTTTTTCATCTATCTCAGCTGTCACAAAATAATACAATAATATAAGACATAAATTGAATGTAAAAAGACAAATTGCTTGTGTTAAAGGGACATTCCGGCATAAAATTAAGTTAGGGTCAAACACACCGTAACACAGAGTCAGACACCCCATCAAGAGATGAATGTTGCCGACCACTTGCTTCTCTAGTGATACCAACTTTAGTAATGACCGCACGATAGCAATACACGGCAGTCTAAGGAGCCACACACAAACCTCAACCAAAACGCCACTCTATAGCCACAAATAATTCTCAGAACAGCATCTAACTTCATCAACAGTACATATAGGGTCCTAGCCACAGCACTAGCCACCAAACATCTTGTCTAGAGCAAAGAGTCTAAACACAACTCACCTACTCTCTTCCAGCAGCCGCTTTTTTGTAGCAAGACCTCGGGCCGGTCCATGACTAACTACAGCAGGGTGACGCAGCTCAAGGAAGAACATTTATGATCATTTCTTCATGGAAATGCAATCAGACCGAGACGCTAAGGCAGAAGAACTACTGCGTCTGCAGTGCAAAATGATTAATATGGTGATTATTACTTCAAGGAAATGATAAAGAAATGATCATAAATGTTTTTCCTTGAGCTGCGTCACCCCACAGCAGTCTGTAATGGACTGGCCCAAAGAAAATTAGGCAAAGTTAAAAAGATGTTTGGTGGCTAGTGCTGTGGCTGGGACCCTACAGTATATGTCCTGTTGATGAAGTTAGGTGCTGTTCTGAGCATTATTTGTGGCTATGGAGTGGCGTTTTGGTTGAGGTTTGTTTACAACTACTCAGACTGCTGTGTATCACTATCCTGCATTCGTTACTAAAGTTGGTATAACTAGAGAAGCAAGCGGTCGGCAACATTCATCTCTCGAGGGGTTTGTAACTCGATGTTATGGTTTGTTTGACCCTAAATTTAATTTTATGCCAGATTATCCCTTTTAAGAGCAAAACTGCAGTCTTCATAGGAGTAGTCTTTATGAACCAGCAGACTTAAAGCACCCTCATGTCATGTGGAAGTAACTTTTATTCAGTACTGACTTTTAAACTTTATTGATACTATCAGTCAGTTTGTAATAAAAGATGCAGGTTTACTTATCTTCAAGTGCAGATGGAGTATCTGCTCTGGCATTAAACAATAAAAAAAGAGCCCAGCAAAAATGTATGAAGGATTTTCATGTTTGTTTTTCTCATATGTACAGGTTGTGGCTTAGTACTGACTTGTGGCTCCAATGCATTTGGTCAACTTGGTGTTGGACAGACAGTCACACACTCTTTAGATCCACTTGTTGTGGAGGTGAGCACATGACAAGTTTGCAATTACTCACTTATATAAACACACAAAATGCCTTTGTAATTGTCCTTTACCCAATGAAAATAATCAAAGCTCACTTTACCGCCTTTTTATATTTAATCAGGTATTACTGTTCTGTTATTTTTCAGAGTCTGAAGGAGCCGATGGCGAGTGTTGCAGCTGGACTCAGACATTCACTGGCTTCTTCTGGTGAGTATACATAAAAAAGTGAGTTTTAATTTAATTGTCAGTCCAAAAATTATAAATTTTGTTTTTTTCAGTCTCAGGTCAAGTATATCAGTGGGGACGTGGTCTCTCCAGCCATGCAAAGAGAGCTCTGAGTCCACATCCTGTCCCATTGTACCTGAACTCCCCAGTGCCCTCTCTGGTACCAGGTTGGTTGAGCTGTCACTGAACGCTAATAGGCTATAAATGATTAACAGTACTTCCAGTGATTATAATAATTGTACCTCTGTCACAGGGTTGGATCAGAAGACCTCACACAAAGTGGCTGCAGGCTCAATGCACTGTGTGTGCCTCACAGGTATGGTATTTATGACAGTTATTATTTTTTCATAAAGGATAAATGTGAAGGGCTTTATAGACACTGGCAACTACAAGGTAGTGCGTACACTTAATTTGGCAGAGGACTCAGAAGAAATGTTGGTTTTGCTTTATTGTTTTGAGTGTAAGAATCTCAATAAGATATTTGCACCACAACCAATAAGAAAGGCTGCACAACTGTCTCTGATTGCTTCTGTCTTGTGTGCAGGAGACGGTGATTTGTTTCTATGGGGAAGCAATAAGCATGGTCAGCTGACCAGCTCAGAGCCTTTTGTGCTCTCTCCCGCTCTTATGAAGCGTTCGCTGCTTGGTGGAGAGAAAGTTATCAACGTGTGGAGCGGGTGGACACACCTTGTTGCCCAAACAGGTAAAACAAAGTAACCTATGTCATGTCTCAGCACATTTATAAGTCTAAAAAGGCAATTAAGGTATCTTAACAAAGTCATCTGCCATCTTACAGAGTCTGGGAGAGTGTTCACATGGGGTAGAGGAGATTATGGACAGCTAGGTCAACCGACATCAGCCAGTCTAGACCAGGATCAGAAATCAGGAGGTCCCTCAGCTGGAGATGGAAACCAGAGGGTTTGCCTGCCTGCAGAAGTGGAAGCCCTCCGTGGAGCCACGCAAGTAAGATTTCCATGTGTTCATTTTGGAAAACCAAGAATTTTCCACACATTCAGTATCTCCTAGGATACGTGTCGCTATTGCTCATTGCTTTCACTATCATGGTGTCGTGGAAGAAAATATCAGTGGGTCCATCAGGGGGCAGCAGTCCATAACGGATAAAACGTGGAGCTGCGAGTGGTTTTGTAGAATGTGAGACTTACAATACCGCTGACTGAGAGCCAGGCCCACCAAGAGCAGGTTCCTGAGGATTAGAATCACTAAACCTACAACACACACACAGAAATACACATGCTCCCAAAGGACCACTTCCATTCAGTGAAGGCGGAGTCTCTTTTCCCATAAGGGCAATTACGCGTGCACATCACAGGATCGCAGCAGTTAACCTGGAGTCTAAATGGCTGGGGATCGTTGCCAATAAAGTGGATGTCAGGGACGGGCAAGGGCAAGCTCTGGTTCACTCTTCCACTGAGCACAGATCATTGCAGCATCGCTGGCGTATGTCAAGGTGTAGTTACTTTGTGTGTGTGTGTAAAGCTATAGGGAGGATGGATTAGCCAAGTGGACCATGAATCTCACAGCCCACTGTACCATGATACCTGCCTCAGTCTGAGCATTTCCACCTGCAGAGTATATTTGGTGCACTGTCACATTTACAGGACTCAGTTGAATCTTTTCATGGCTTTCCATAGCTGTATGCTTGATTAAAACATCAATTAAGCAATTCTAACTGTGTTTGCAAAATTCACAATTCAAGGCCCACAAATCCGACAGCTAAAGCTCTAACTGCATAATTTTGCAGCTACAGAGCTCAGTCTAGATATTCTACTCTTTTGCTGCTTTACATAGTTCAGGAGCAGAATTTAAATGTGTCTCCCCAGCTTCTGTAGCAGGTATAAAAGGGGAAAGACTGCAGAAAAAAAGGCCATTAATTTGTAAAAGGGTTTTAGTCAGCAGAGGCAGGCACTCCTGCGACAGTTGCATTAAACACTCTAGACAGCCCGGCAGTGTGGTCTAGCTTTTAGGAACACTTTACTGTCGGAGTTTTGCTCTGCTTTCTGTTGATGCACTGTAGAGTGAGGGGGTTTAACTGCATCTAATGTATTTACAAAATAGATCACTACTAACATAATTTGCTTTGGTGCACTCATGTTACATGCAATAAAAGTTGGATGACTACATCTTGACACATGGCACTTTATTTAACTTTCAGAGCAGGTTTGGTCACAAAATATTTCAGTATCCATGTTGGCATGACAATTCTTGGATATTACAATCCTAACATTGGCTGTCTGTTCTAAACATGCATTTTTAACACTTTTAAAACCTTTTCCTCCACAGATTGCTTGTGGATCAGAACATAACCTCGCCATTGTAGGTATGTGTTGTCTCTCAAAACTTTCCTCACATTTTCGGAACGCTTTTCTTCCCATGCTGAAAAACTGTTAACAATTTGCTGATATCAGAACACGTATTGATGCAGAAAAATAGATAAGCATTTATTTAGAACAAGATTAAACACAAATGCACTAGAAATGTACGACGAGAGAAAGAGGGTTCTGGGAAATTAAGCAGAAAAAGTTTGAACTACAAAAGATTTAAGTACGTGCAAACAGCTGGAACAAAAGACTCCACTTTGGCCTGACATGACCGCAGTACTCACTGCATAAAAGAACAGGGATTGCACATAGGCACCGCTAAACTGTTTCAAGTTATCCTCCTCCCGGTACTAAAGAGTTAGCATAGAACAGTCTCATTCATTACAGTTAAACATCAGTGTGAAATATTAATCCTTCTGGTAATGCTGTAGAGGATTTCAGAGGTCAGCTCTTTGCTCTGTGGCCTTTTGCATCAGGAAGTAATTACAGTACGGGCAGATGGGTATCACTGACAGAGCCATTTGCTTGAACAAGCCTGTTAAAAGCTGTATTAAGCACACACACATTTACAGGCATGTTTTTCTAGTTGCAGATTGTCTGGAGGGCTGCCTTTCTTTTTGCTCATAAGAACAGAATATTGACACTGCAGTCACATCCCTTCAAGAATCCTAAACAAATAGAAATGCAGGGTTGTTTGTTATTCAGTCATCAGATGGAAAACAAGCTTGCTCAGTTTCCTTGCAGGCTTGCCAAAAGTCTTCTTCTTCTCCGAAGTGGCTCCCTTTTTGGAAGTAAAATCTTTTGCATTAAATTTTGAACACTGGCCCAGTTTTTTTTTCACATCTGCATGAATATAAATAAGCACAGAAACACCCAAAGCGGCTCCACCAAAGAGGAGTCGCTTGACATTGCTGGTATTTCGATGAGCAAATGGCCTTCCACTTTTAATGATCTGACTAATTTACAGTTAACTGGATACACCATCATGATTTGGAAACTGTTAACACAGGCTGTCCGTCATAATGACAGTTCTTGCAAAGCACTTCTCTGTGTCGACAGAAGTTCAGTTTTGTGATAAGAAAGCAGAACCATTAAAGGGAGAGCTCAGTTGAACCTGGTGCACCTCCTGTGCCACGCTCTCCTCTTTTTCCTCCTCCTGTCTCAAGCGCAGTGGCAGGAGCAATGAAATAGCAAAACAGGATTGGAAGCAGAGACCTGAGTGCAGCTATTTCTGGTGCTGAAGTAGGTCAGGCAGAAAGGAACGGAGAGCATTGCATGCTGCTGCTCATGATATCTGTTGCCTGCTCAGCTTTTGCCCATTTGCACCTGAGGAGTTCTCCTCAAGTATGAAATTCATCATCGGTGGTCAAGGTGGGGCCAAAGACGCTGTGGGCACAGCTCATCCAATCTGAGGAAAGATTTTTTGTTATGTGAACATTCTGAACTTGACAGGGATGTATAAGGACAAAGACCTTAGATAAGATGCTGTTATTGGTCATAGTATGGTGTCATAGTTATGCTAACATAGATGCCTGCAGTGGTTTACATCACTGTGCTGCTGTTAATCTAGTGTGAGATTTGAAGCATTTAAATGTAAAATTCAAGGTCAGGATTTGTTTACAAAGAAAGGGATTTTGGTTTGAGTGTCTTGATTTTAAGCCCTTTTTAGTGCAGAATATTGTGCAGGCACTTTGTTGCCATGGAAACACTGATGTGCTGTACTCCAGTCAGTGAGTCCATGAATTAAGCACAGCACCAAAATAAGGTTTTTTTTTCTCCCAAAGAACAAAACAATTCAACACATCCAATGATGTAATCAGGATGTTTACTGAATAACCTAAATCTAAGATGGCATAAGAAGAACATGCATTATTTTAAAAACCCTGGCTACATGTTTTTGTTCAGTGCATAAGCTCCTATCTGGCAAAATTTCACACTGACATAAGCTGCTGGCATGATATCTTGGTCATTTACGGGCGAAAGCATATGTGTCACTTGGCAAATCAGTATCTTTTGATGCCACTGAGACAAACCAGAACCGCACAAAGACAAAAGAAGTTGCAAGATGTGAAATAAATGAAAACAGTAGCATGAAAGACGCACACATACACACAACTGCAGGATGGGGAAAGCTTGAAGATATGTTACCCTTGAGAAGGCAAGCTCTCTTCTGTTGCCATGGCAATGGAGCCTATTAGGTAACTGTGTTGCCATGGCACGTGTCTTCTCGGTGATGCAGACCTGACCACACCCACCAACACCTCACCAGCTGTGAAGAGCAGGGAGTCTTTATTACTGGCTGAGTGTCAGTGTGGGGAAAAGAGAGGCTGTGCATGGATGCATGCATGTACGTGTGTGTATGTGAGTGTCTGTGTGTGTATATTTGCATGCCTTTTGTGTTTTGGGCTCTGAGTTTTTTTTTTCCTCCAGGCTGCTAATTTTAGTCTACATGGTACGGTGCTGCAGCCCAGCCACTCCGCTGTTAGTTCCACTGACCCCCAACCCCTCTCCTTTTCAGGGGGGAGTCTCGTCTCCTGGGGCTGGAACGAACACGGGATGTGTGGAGACGGTTCAGAGACCAACGTCCTTCAGCCGCAGCTTGTTTCTGGACTCAAACCTCTTCTCATTGGCTGTGGGGCTGGACACTCTATGGCAGTGTGCACTGAGATGACTGACTCAAGTCAGAACTCTGCAAAGATTCCACTCCAGTAACACTGACAAATGATACTCTGTTCAGCGTGTTGCACTTTGAGACGAGATAAACAGACAGAATTTGTGAATCTATAAAATTCTACCTGATCTTGTGTCTTATTCATGAAAAGGCCGGTTTTCAGTTACTTTACTATAATCATAAATGTAGCCGTGTGCTTGGACACAGGCTGAGTTATGTCACATGAGGACAGAGGCCATCATTTCTCTGACCATCACTAACCCATCACTTTGATGGACATGATGGGAGCCGATGGCTTTGCAGGACATGGCCAATGCTTACTGCTTCTGGTCCACCTGCCATGTTTGTCCCCCTGAGTGAGGCCGTTATGGACCATGTGAGGAATGGGCTGGACTGCTGCTATAGCTCCATCTTCCTCATGTCAGCTGTTTTATTGCTGTGATCTTGAGTGTCAGGAGGCAGTCAATCTCTGCACTTCATTCTGAAATTCTCTCGGCCATCTCATGATTTACCGCTAACACAGCATTTTTTGTTTAGGACGCTGTCCGTCACATTTTTGTACCCTTGTCAGTCTGTGTCATATTCTTTGATGTTCTGTTAGTCTCGTCTGCACCACTTTCACACTGTATTCTTCGTTAATCCCTCTTGAGGGAAGTTTGTCCGCTGTGTTTGACCCAACTTGCATATTTATAAGCTGTGCACACCTGCAGTGCAGCAAACCGGGACCAACTGCAGGTCTGGTGCCTTTGCTGTGGTCGAGGGTAATGACAGGACCAAGAGTGGTTCATGTGTTATATTTTTGCAATTTATTTACCAGTTAATTTTAAACTTTTTTTTTAATGCAGCTCAACAACAACAACAATAAAAAATAAAATCTGTAAACTAAGTTATTTGCTTAAATATTAGATTAAATTGCTTTTACCTGGATTTAAAAAAAAAATCAACACTCATTAAAAAATGATAATTTCTGTGTTTTTTATTTATCACTATTTATTGTACAAGCCTGAACTGTATTTGTCAAAAAAGACACAAAAATCCCTAAACAACAAACCAATCAAAACAATCACTGAACACCTTATTGAGATAACTAACCACAAAATACAGTGTTCAAAACACACACTCTGAAGTCTCACTAAACGGCACACATTAGTTGCCTCTTTGTTGTGTAATTGATTTGTTCCATGAAAACAGCTGTTTTTTGTGTTTATGTGCGATTGTGTTTGTTTGTTTGTTTGTGTGTGTGTGGTGGACAATGAGCAACACACCCTCATTTGTTCTCAGCCCTGTCGGCAGATGCTGATCTGGTGTTCCTGACTGCACAGTAGGCTGTTGGCAGTGTGTTTGCAGCTGTTTGGTAAAAAGTTGGTCCCTTTACACTAACTTTTCTACGCAAACAATGAAGTTGTTCTGTTGACTCAATGGCTCTCCTTCTTTTTGTTTTTTGTTTCCGTCTTACATGTGATCGCTTAACTGTAGAAACCGATGCATATGGGGGTTCTTTTGTGCGTGTGTGTGTGTGTTCTTAGTTGATACGTGTTTCGACGGCTGGTGATTGATGGCTCATTAGAAATAAATATATATTCATTCATCATGTCTGCTGAGCTATACTAATATGATGAATTATAAGAAGGATTTGCATAACAGAGGCACTTGTCCAGTGTAATGAGTATAATGATTTGGCGTTGTTAAGTATTACATACTAATGGAGTTATTTTCATACGTGCAGAAAAAGAATAACAATCAAATTCTACATGATTGTCGATAAAAATGTAAAATTAATATGAGTTTATGTATTTTATATATGAGCTGTAAACGTAAATCAAACTTTAGCCACATGTGAAGATATGTAAACGTTCGATCAGTATCCAATAAGCATTATTCTTTTATAAACAACCTTAGCATTTTAGATTTTCTTAATCATTTAGTCTTGGATTTATCAATTTCACAAGGCAGACACGTTCTTCTTATGTCATGCTCAGGATGGAAAGTTTAAAAGCTGGTGTGATAAAGTTATTTTCCAGGTTGAGTGTACAAAGTGGTATAAAGATAGAAAGTTTGGCATAATTTTATCATGTTCATGATTCATCAATCACTTAAAAAGATAAAAAGAAAAATCTCAAAGAAAATCCTGACATTTTTCAAATTTAAAATTCTATGGTGATTAGAAACAGTAAATTTTAGCATTTGACTATGTTGAAGCTAGGGTGAAACCTATGCCGTTATAATGTGAAATTACCATAGACTGTATATACTACGGACAACTTGGTTCCGAAGTCAAAAATCTCTCGGTATTTCCGGGATTTTTCTTCATTTCCTGAAACCAGTGCTGCGCAGTAGCGTTGGGCGCATTCAGTGGGAGAGTCGCAGAGAGTCACTGTGGTGACGCTAGGCTCAAACAGCGTATCCCCCGGGAGAGCTACGCAATCCCTGAACGCCAATAGGCTGTACCAGCTGTCAATCAAAGAAAAGATGAACCCCTAATAACTTTTAAAAACGGAGCTTCACAGAAAAAAAGAGGACTTGAGTACAAACCAGTCTTACTGTAACTACATGTCAACATCACAAGCAGGGGGGAGAAAAGTTTATGTTCTGTGTAATAAGTTTCTAAAGTTTGCCCACAGCCCCATAAGCTTTGCTGGCGGAGGCGAGATTTATGACCTATACTACAGCCCATCAACAGAGGGTGCTGTTCTCGGAGTGGCTTCACCCAGCGAGGAGGCAGACTCTGTCCATTTTATATACAGTCTATGGAAATTACTCAGTGGCAAGGTCAAAAAGCTAATTCTACCATTAGCGTTAGGGTTACAGGCACTCTTACAGTGATTATGCTTTGAAGGAAGTGGTTGAAAGCTGTTTGTAGATGGGAGCTTCTATGTTATAAAATATGCTGTTTTCCTTATGTTACAAGATTTCTTCTCACGGGGGCATCAGACTCATCAGAGAGTCAAAAAAGTTGTCAGATTTACTTTAGTTTGTAGAACTTGAAACACAGACTTTAGTAGTACAACGGTTAGACAGTGTTAAAACCTCCCATCCGGAGCATGACATCAGAGGAAGATGGCTGCTTTGTGGGTATGATCAACTCCAAATATCTCACCATTTTAATGCCTCATTAGTAAAAAGTAAAAGTGGTGTGTCTTAATTCTTTTTATTTTAGCTTGATCTTTTTTTCCCGTTATCTCTTTGATGCCTGAAAACATATCAAAGGAATGTCATAAGTTCACTGGTGCAAAACAGTGCAAAAGTCTACAAAGATGTGACCATGACAGTGCAAAAGTTAACAATTTGTTTTCATCTGTTTAGTTTGGCTGACATGATGAGTGGTTAGGTTTTTGCTTGAGGAGTGGGGCGTAGGGTCGGTGATCAAGATCGGAGCAACATTTCTTTTTTTTTTTTCAAAACAGAAGCAGCACACAAATATTTGATGATCACTCAAAAAACATTGGTACACACAACTTCAGCACACAAAAAAGCGTATTTACAGCACTGGCACACACCAAAAATAGGCACACAAATTACAACACAGTAACCAGTCACAGAAACTGAGCTACATAAGGCTTGACAACAAAACTTCCTCAGTGCTACATCTATGCTGAGTTTGTGATGCACAGGTTGTCACTGTCACACCCATTGAAAAATACTAATTAATACACACAACAATGCTACAGCACTATCAGGTGGGTGATGGGCCATTATGGGTCATACACATAGTGGTAGGTACACCATGGTTCATAACACAAACTGACTCTGTTGGTTGTCTGCTCCGGTGCTGTCGCTGGGTCTCTATAAACATATAAAAAAACAATAACAAAAATAAATTATTACACAAATTATGTATAATGACGGAAATGATGGCGATGATGGATACCTCTGAGGTGCAGGGTGAGGTGGGAAATGACACTAGCTTGAAGAGTAAAGAAAATGTGCTCCGTTAGTTCCTCATGGTAAACCACGGGTTTACCATGTGTATCCCATGCTTAGCCAAGGCATCAGACAACAATGTACTGTCTGTGTGCAGAGGTTGGACTCTGAGTCGGTTAATACACATGCCCAATCATGCTGCGTTGTACAGATTGATATACAGTAGTTGGTCATTGTCATGCGACTCTGCGTCATGCTTTCACAGTCACCTTGTTTGTTAGGCTTTCTTTGACCCCAGGCACATGTAGAAAAGAGGGTCAAACAGCCTTTGGAAGAGGAAGTTGTATGTATGCAAGTGTAGTTCAATAAAAACGGAGTCTAAACGCTCATTGTGTACAAAATTTATTTCATGCAAGGACTTATATTTACATATTTTATTTGAATACTTTTCTGTTGCATAAATGTAAAATACATGCATTTACCTTTCCCCAAGTAGACCCACATCCCATACTGTGTCGCATGATACTTTTTTTTTCACTTGAATTGCATGAGCATATAATTCACCTGCATCTGTTCACATCAAATTTTCACAATTTTTTTTTTCAAATATATAACGTTAATAACCACAAGAGACATGACTGGAAACGTTAAACTCTGCTCATTCAGAATAGAAACAAAACTTGAATGACTTGCTATACTTCTACTTCTTCTTCTTGAAGTTATCATTTTCTAATTGGTCAAAACAATGTATTTTTTCTTTAAAGTGCCCTGAAAGAACTGTGCATAATTACTGGGACAGTTTTAATACATGTGACAATAACAGTATTGATGTTTTAAAGTAAAAGGCATACAAACACCAGGAGTCATCGTGACGTCCCTGGCTGATAGGAGATTAATTTTTGTGGCTCTGTAGAGTTGCCTGGTCCCCTAGTATAAAGTTTGTGCTTAGTCATAATTGTTTTGAAAAAAATGGGGACTTAAAAGTCATTTTTAAGCTGGTTTTGCATTAATACATATCATTCTTGAGGTTAAATATATGTATTGGTTGGTGTAAGAGTGATTACAAAGAGGGCGTTTTTGCTGTGATTAAGGTTACAAGTGTGGTGCCAGAGTTATAAAGTGCACCTTATAAAATAAAGCTTTCATCACACTGTTATGAGCATGGTATAAAGTGTGTAGATGCTACGCTAGGAGCTCTTATGTCAATTTATTTCTCACTTGAACTTTGCCTCGCCATGTAAAAAGGCACCATTGTTTTATAATTATGGCCTTTGTCTAGGCATCACAGCAATAATGCATCGCTGCACACTACCGATACTGTTTTAAAAACTCATTACTACTTGTAAATATACTGATATAAAACTATTTATGCTCATAACAGCATTAGTTGGCTTTATGACAAGTACTTCAAGTTGAATCACGCTATTTTAGTTGGAGGCCCCAGTCAAATAAGTACAATAAAATAAATGTATGAATTTTGGGGAAAGGCAAAGAATGGCAGCTACATAAAAATCTCTGCTAGGACTGAGTCTCTTGTAAAGCTGTCTCAAACTGCATAAAGAATGAAATACTTAAGAATCTAAAAGAGAATAAATGTTTTTTTTTTTTCTTTTTCTTACAGTTTCTGCGTAAGACTTTGCGTCTTGTTGAACATAATTTCTCATGCACTTCATGCAAATGAGCAAACAGTTTTAGTTCTTTTGACATGGTGTATCCATCATTAGTATCATAAGAATTGCCACCATCTCCCTATTGCATTGGACATCAAGAACATCATAATCTTGTTTTTATGGCCACTCAGAACATTAAGTCTTGTCTAATCCCACTTTCAGAATGGTAACGTCTCTACTTTGCAACATACAAAGCACTTAATAGGAGTTCTCTTAACAGCTGGCAGTGATACCTTTTGGATGTGTTTCAAAGCCATGTATCGGTAATGTCCAGCATATTGTTTGCAAGGTTTACATCTTATGAAAATTTCTTTCACAAAATTGTAAAAAGCAGATGAGGAAAGTTATTAGCAGAAGAGTATGTGAGATCAAAAGCAACAGAGCAACAGGCAATGATGTAAACACAGAAAAAGAGAGGGGTTAGCCTGTGGTAGAAGCTAAACAGTGCTTTGTCTGCAACTGAGGTGACCCATGCAGAGTGGCATGTGCCAATGTTTTCTTGTCTAGGATATGATGACACACCCAAGGAGAACACTTGGGAAGCTTGAGTATTAGCACAGTTAAGATACAGTATTCAAGAAAAATAAAGAATTAAAAAAATGAGAAAAGCGGGAGCGAAGGCAAGTGTAAAAGCAAAAATCTGACAGGAAAGGTAAGAAAGAGGTGTGTGGACTGGCCTTCCAATGGCATTGTGTCTGCTACTCAACCATGCTACATAATGGATGGGATGGGAGAATGTGAGTGCTGCATAAGACAGGGTGGGCTGCAGGGCAGGGCGGACACTGAGGACACTCCAGAGGCATCCCCGCTCATGCCAGACATGCTGTTAAGGCTCCAAGGCTTTTCATAACCTTCAGTTGAAAAACAGAGAACGTTCTGAGTACACTGCAGCACTGGATCCATGACAGACTGTTTTTTGGTGTTCCTCACTGGTTATACTACACCTGTTGCTTTCTTGTTTTTGTCTCCAGAGAAACAGGTCAACACAGACTTCAGACAGGTTATTATTCTCCATGCATTTAGTGCATCAGGAGTACAACAGCATGCACCGGGTGGTACTGGAATGGTTTGGAGTATAACACTGTAAAAGACTTGGAAAAGGTAGGCACTCTCGGGCAGGGAATGTATTCATAGCTACAGGTAGAATTTTATAGTGTTCATGTGCCGGCCGCACATGCAGCTAGAGACTTAGAGGAATGTTTTGTAGCTTATTAAAGATAGATAAAGAGGATTGAACCTTTGTATTAAAGTGTGCAAATCAGTAAACTAGAATTTAATATTTGACCTCAGCCTTCCTCCATTTGTGTTGTGCTCCTTCACCATACTGATAGCACCCATCAGCAAGACACTTCATGCACCGTAATGGTCAAGAGCAATGTACTCATAAGTCAGGATCCTGCATGGTATTTATCATTAAAACACATATACATACATGGTACACACGTAGCACATAAAACACTTTTTGGGCATGTAAGACAACACATTCTGGATCTTATAAATCTCGAAAATAGCTTTCTTACTCATAAATAGATAGTGATATTACATCATGCATGGTATCAAAAAATATATTATGTAGATGTGGACAAGTATTGACATTTGTGGTGATTGTGCTTGGCCTGAACAGATGCTATTGTGACTTGGACTATATACATTTCCCAAAGGAAGGATTGAGGAGAAGCAGTTGCTGTTGGTGTGTGTGTGTGTGTGTGTGTGTGTGTGTGTGTGTGTGTGTGTGTGTGTGTGTGTGTGTGTGTGTGTGTGTGTGTGTGTGTGTGTGTGTGTGTGTGAAGGTTGTAAAAAGAGGTTTGCAGTTGTGTGTCTGCACGTTAGTGTGTGTATGTGCCCTAGTGGAACTGAGGTGTAACACTCAGCAGAGAGGGAAAACATATCCTGTCTAAGGTCTACAGGGTGTCAGTGTCTCACAGGGGCCTGTGATTGGCTGTTACTGTACGTACCCCTCCTCACTCTGCCCCCTGTGTGGTTGGGGCGTTCAGCAGTGGTGACCAGGAAGCAGGGCCGCTCTCTCTCGCTGGGGCTGAAGATTTCCTCCGGAGATATTGCCTGGTCTATATGAGGGCAATCCTCATTGGCCAGAGCTGCGTTAGCTGCCTCACCGTTAAGCTTGGAATCTTATAAGGAAACAACGAAGACAGGAAAAGAAAGGAAACATATCTGGTTTCACATGCCAGCCTTTTTTTTATATGTACAGTATATGTATTGTCACTTTTCATGTTGTGCCACTTGAATGCCCTAAGGGATTAACTCTTACATAAAAACCTTATTTACTATAATGTTACTGTACAGCTTCTCTCTTATGTTTGCTTTGCACTCTGTTGTTCTATTTGTTTATGAGCACAAACTGCATCAAGGGTCAATATGTCTTGGTGTCAATCCCAACAGAAGGACTTAAGTGAAAATTCAGTAACCCTGGCATCTACATGTCCTTATGGATAAATAAAAATGAGTATTATGATGATTAGGAAATCAATGACAAGACTACCAAGTGTCTATCCAAAAAAAAGTCTCTATCCAAAAAATGCACTTCATCATGCATGTTGTGATTTTTGGTGTGAAACTCGTTTTTTTGATCTCATACCTGAATCATCAGCTGATTGAAGCGTGGGAACAGACAAATAATGAAACAGTGGGACAGCAGTACATAGATATGATGATTAATCAAACACTTTATCAAAGTATGCTTGTTTCCTACCTTGAAACTTTATCTCGAAAACGTCGTCATGGGCGATGGGGCTCTGGTGTTGGGAGCTGATGCTGGACTTACAGAAGTTTGGAGAACCTGGTTGGGGTGCCCGAGGGATATGCCTATTTTTTTTCTTTGGTAGTTTCTGTTTTGCCATTGCCAGCGAGTAATACATTCCAAAGTTGTTGACAATCACAGGGACGGGCATGGCGATGGTGAGCACACCAGCCAGGGCGCACAGGGCTCCAACCAGCATACCGGAGGTTGTCTGCGGGTACATGTCTCCATAGCCAAGAGTCGTCATGGTCACTACAGCCCACCAGAATCCGATCGGGATGTTCTTGAAGTGTGTGTGTTCGCTGGCTCGAGGGTCGTTGGGGTTAGCTCCAATCCGTTCAGCATAGTAGATCATAGTAGCAAAGATGAGGACACCGAGGGCAAGGAAGATGATGAGGAGCAAGAACTCATTGGTGCTGGCCCTCAGGGTGTGGCCCAGCACCCTTAGTCCCACAAAGTGACGGGTCAGCTTGAAGATACGCAGGATTCGAACGAAACGGACAACTCTCAGGAAACCCAACACGTCCTTAGCTGCCTTAGACGAGAGCCCGCTTAGGCCAACCTCCAGATAGAAGGGCAGGATAGCCACGAAGTCGATGATGTTTAGGGCATTCCGTATGAAGTCAAATTTATTTGGGCAGAAAGTTATTCGCATTAGAAACTCAAAAGTGAACCAAACCACACAAACTCCTTCGATGTAGGTGAGGTAGGGCGCCGTCTCGGTCTCCTGGTAGGTGTGCTCAATTGTGACGTTATTCACCAACTCATGCTCAGTGCGGTTGATGATGGGGTTGAAGGCCTCGTGGGTCTCCAGACAGAAGGTGGTAATAGACACCAGAATGAAGAAGAGTGAGGCCAGAGCCACCCACTGAGCAGAGAAAACATAGAGGGTCCAGCCAGGAAGAAACAAAGGAGAAAGGGTAGGGAAAAGACGAGGAGGAGAGTGGACAGAGAAGAGAAAAGGCACAGTAATTCATGCTGGGTAATTACACTCAACAATCCAATGGCGGTTCTTAGCAGGACACAATGCAATTCAATCTTGTATCTGAGACAGTGGCTTCTGGTTTGAAAGTGACAGTGGCATTGACTCACCCTCTCTCACTCCCCCCTGTGCTCTCTCTCTCTCTCTGCACTCGCTCTACACGTCTTGATTCAGAAGTGTCATTGTAAAAGGAACAATCAATGCAAGCCTGACAATCTTGCTTCTCATCCCTTGGCTGTATCTCAAGGTCAGGGTATGCTACATGCAGAATTACAACGAGCCATCAGCAGCAGCAGCAGCAGGAGACAGGACATCAGTGTAAACCCCTTGACTAAATTTAGCCTGGACTGTTCCCTTTAGCAATACCAGTACATCAGGCTTTTTCTACACAAGGTCATGCGATCCAGATGATCACACCTTGGGAAATATATCGAGCTAAGAGGCTTACCGAGACGCTTATGAGAAACATATATATCCCTTAATGGCAAACGTGTACGTTGGCCTTCATTATGTATTGATTAGATGATCACATTTCATCACATCTGAGCTCTTGTATTTCCAATGTATACTACATGAATGTAACAGATACAGTACGCTCTCCTGCGGTTTGCTTTCAAGCCCAGTGCTCATGTCCTCCTCCTCTGCTCAAACTGTAGTGGCATGCATACACTGAACTGTAGTTAATGAATGGGAGTAACCAGCTATATCTTCAAAAGGAATCTGAAGTGAGTAGACAGTAGGGCTGGCAGACAAAGAGGCAGGCAGGAGGAGAAGATAGCTACTTAATCATCCTATGAATCGCAAAAGTCGGATCAATAGCTTGCTCGTGCACAAAGATGTCTTTAAGAGAGTAAACGATGCTCTGAAGTGCTTCTCAAACTAATGCTAAGAATTGTTAAGTAGCTATAAGAAGTATTGATGAACATCAGAGGGGAGGGGGCATGTCTAGGCATAAGGAGGTCTGGCATATACTGTATTCCATACAGACAAGGAAATACACAATCTTAATATGTCTATTCAGTGTGCCACTAAAGCAAGCATGCAACCAAGATGGAAAACAGGCTCTCAGCAAATCATTTCATCACTGGCAATTCATTGCATTGTGCCACGGAAATCGCTGCTGCTTATGAATGTCTGCTTCCAACCCATGCTGGTATGATAGTCCAGAGGGAAATGGTTCGCTAGCAGAGACTACAGCACACACTGACTTTTGTTCTTTCAGCGAGGCTGTCCTCTTTGTTCATTCAGACAAATCGTGCTGAGCTAAAAGAGCATTCACCAGCTTTAATGAAGACAAGAATCATCATTCGGTTCAGCATAAACAAACAATGTCAAAGGAGTGTAATCGCAATGATTCCGCTTCTTCATCCTTTTTGTCTGTTTATCCTGATCCTGATGTCTCATTCAGACCAAGACCTAGTTAAATGTCAAAAGCTGGGGAACAGAAATAGAGTGTAGACAATACTGATTTAATTCTGAACCTAATCAAACAGACAATCTTAAAATGTTCTCTTGTTGAGCTCGCCTCCAGCTTTTGTTTGTGGAGTGTAAGAGAGATTTTTGTGTCAATTCTTGAGGCATTAGTATTGTCTGCGAGGTGTTAAGGTATTAGGTTGCATAATATTGTTGTTTTGTCCACCCCCTCTACAGTATGTACTGTACAAAGTAACAAGTACATCCTTTAATATGATACCACCAGTTCTATCACACCCAAGACTTCATCTTCAAATAATTACACACTGAAAACAACAGAGATGACTGGATTATTGAGGCAAGTACCCTCGCTAAGGTCCCCCAAGACCACACGTATTTATTTTTAGCTGTTTTGTGATAATTACATGAATGAAAACTTATAAGTGAATGAGTGTTTTTCTTTCCTTTTTTCTTTTCCTTATTTCAATGAGATACAGTCCTGCATAAATGGAAGTAAATTAGCTCGTTTGAGTACCACCTGCTGCACTCAACTCATTTATGCGTGTGGGCTTTAGTGAGTGAATCAGGATTTGTCTCTACAAACATGTTTATATCTTGAATGCCAGCAGAGCTCAAATGAACAGTCAATTGTTTGAGAGAACAGAGAGAAATTTTATCAGACACACTCCGGGGTTAACTTGATTTCTACAACAAAAACATCTGCATGTTTTCTTGGTTTTTGTTAACTGAAACGTTTTCATGATTTGTAGTAATTCTAGTGAAATTCATGTTAGGAGTTTTTTTCTCTAGTCCAAATATATATTTAATGGTCATAGAGAAAAGAAGTTCGAACGTTTTGATGTACAAAATGCTTCTCAGTTGCAGCTCTTGTGGACTGAAGCTTTTCTAGCAAAAATCTGCAATAAACAAAAGAATAAACACCCCCATCAGAGTGACCACAATGGTGATAAATCCTCATTCTGATGGGATGCTTCCAGGCCGCAGATGCCTTCTGACACACAGGCTCTGCAAACATCCCACTCTTCTCTCTCTTAAACAAACCCTGCATCTCATCAGACCATCTCTTACACCAATTTATGTGACTTTTTGACACTTAGGAAGAATGTGGAGGAAGAGGGGGGTGACAGGCAGTGACCGTTTGCTCCTTATTGGCTTATTCTCACTGTTGCTGGCAAACCACAGTCCTGCAGTCACACGCAGTGACAAGGGTTTTCCACTGATGGATCCACTGTGAATAGAGGCTGTGATTAACTCTGAGGCTCAGTTCTAATTAATCTTCTTGACTGTCTTGGTGGAGCACTGTCAATCTTTAATCTCTGCTTTGTCTGGCTCACTGTGAAATGTAGGACATGTCTGAGGAGTTTTCCTGCTTTGGGAAGTTTCTCTGCATTTAGAGGGGGAAATGTAATGAAAGTTTGTGTGTGTGTGGGCTGGATAAACATCTTTCACCTACGCTTGCTGTAAGAGTGGCAACATGTCAATACAGTTTACACTTTGCTGAACAGACCTGTTAAGTAATTATACCAATGAGTGTGCTACAGCTGTTATACCAGCAGGCAGCATAGAGACCTTTGTCGGGAGCACTGGTCAAAAAAAAAGAGAAAAATCTGAAGGTGTAAATTCTTTCATCCTCACCATCCAGAGGCATTGTGCCCAGATGGAAAAGTGCCCAGTATAAAGAGCGAAACTGTCCCTTCTATCAGCAACCTCATTTTGTCTGGAGGCCTGCCGCCAAATTTCTAGTGGTGCCAAAGTTCTGGTTTCCTAATATGTAGCCGACCCAAGAGCCAGACTTCCTAGGGATCCCTGTGTCCTGGAAATATCAGTCCAAAGACCTGTTACAGTCACAATTAAGGGTCTGTGTCTATTTCGAGATGGAGGCGGTTTGGAGAATGAGCGTGTGAATTGTTTTGAAAGATGAGGTCTGAGGCTGACAAGCCCCATCCCTCACCTCCCCCTCCCCCTTTCTGTGTGTGGAGACCCTTGGGAGGGCAATTTCAAGGTCATCAAAAGCCCATCTGAACCTCCCAGATCTATCAATCTCCAGCTCACTCTCTGGGGACAAAGGCAGGCACTTTCACAACTAGACTCCCATTCATGAAGCTCTGACAGTCCCAACAGACTATTAGACGTTTCTCATTGATTTCTCATATCTCAAAATGTAACCACTATAACTCCTAATTAAGTTTTGAGAGCTCGGGTTCAAAAGGAAGAACAAAGAGAAGAGAAAGACATCTTTAAAAGGAACTCACCCTTGCATATTTAGAGGAGTAGGGGTCTTCAAACAGAGCCCAAACATGTTTCTGCCAGCGGCTCCACAGGCTCCCACTCCTGGCATCATGTGTGTCCGCCTGAGCCAACCTCCTTGTCATCTCATCCACATCATCCTCAGCATGCTCCTGCTGCTCTGGCTCCGTATCATCATTTACCAGATCTAACAATCCCCCCCCACCGAAACTATCAAGGGCCTCCTCTGCCTCCCGGTGCTGGCGATAGGTCATCCAGCAGCATGGCTCCACGTCTGTCTCATCGATGCCCCAGAAGGCCAGCTCTTCCTCATAGAGAGGCCCGCAGACATCAGCCGGGCAGTGCAGCTTACCTGTCCTGTAGTAATTGAGGATGTGTGCAAAAACGCCAGGGTGGCGGTCGAAGAAGAACTCTTCGATTTTGGCGTCATAGTCAAAGTGGTTGGGGGCATCAGGCTCGGCCAGCCAGGACAAGCGAGTGCCAGGTAGGGTGCGCAGGGTGCTGCGGTATGTCTGATGTCTGATCCCTCCCACGTTGATCACAATGCGATCCTTGTCGTCGCTCAGGCCCATTGCGTCCCCTAGGCATTTCTCCAATAAGTTCCCTTCATCGCAAAGGTGAGTCTAGGCGCACCGTGTCTCCATGCACAGCAGAGATCAACAATTATATAAGGAAAGCAGCTCGTTGAGGCGACCTGTCGTGTCTCACCAACTATGAAAAAAAGCTTGCCTACATCCCCGTGTAACCCTTCAGTGTTTTCTACAAACACCGTAAATTGGAGGAGACACCGCGCGTGTAGCTGCCGGACACACTGGAGGGTACGGAATCAAAATCCAAAATGATTGCAGCCAATGGCATCACATCAAGAATGGACGTCACATCATCGCTACATCCAAGATGTCGAGATAAAAAAGGCTGGCACCGTTCCCTCAGCGCCAGCTCACTGGGATCCCTTATAGTTTCCTTATTGATCCGATCAGTCCTGAGCAGGTTTATGACTTTGACAACAAGGTGACTGCGGTGGTGGTGGTGCTGAGAGGACAGCGCCTGTTGAAGACTCCTCGTCTCTGCTTCCTTCTCCTGCCTTCCTCCTCTGTTTGTTGCTGCTGCTGCCTACAGACTCACCTCCTTCACACCGACGCGCAGCCCCGCTCCTTCTCTGCGTGCATCAACGCTGTAGGCTGCAGCAGGTCTTTGTCTCAGCGGAGAGATGATCTCCTTCCCTCAGAGACTTTCACTGTCATTCATACATCACCAGGTCGAAAACAACAGTCTGTGTAGAAGAGGAGGGGTTGAGCTGTTTTTCTTTGCTGCTTGGTTTAATGACAAAAAAGGAATAAGATGATGATGGTGGTGATGATGAGAGGGCGACAATCCTCCTCCAAAAAAACGCCCAAACTGCCTGTTATTCACACCGTGCCCAGCTCTTCTCTCACAGCAGATGGAGCATGCCCAGTGGAGGAGCCAGCATTTGTTCAAGCATGCTGTCAAGTTCTCCAGTTAAGGCTGTTGAATGTGTCATCGCAGTCCTATTTTCCCTTTTCCTCTGCTTGTCTTTTACTCGAAGGGTTGTGTTGTCTCACTCAAGTCAGCGGGGAGTCATCTTCCTCAAACACAGCTGGCTGGACAAGGTGTGACCCTGGAGACATGAACGCGCAGATCCGCCCCTAACATCTGGAAGAGTCTGATCATCCTCGAAGCTCCAAGATTTCCCCATCAGACTGTCCTCGCCTTGTTTACATCGTGCACGAGTGTGTCAGAGCCACGACAGTGGAGGTGAACTGACAGAAAGAGGAAGAATTGGGATTTTTGCCACACTTCGTGCACTTGGATGTGTACAGCAATTAGCCTCCACATGTTTAATGAGCCAGCAGGGGGCGACATTGCTCACTAAAATAAGTAAATTGGGCTGTTAATTAGGTTGAATTTCGAGTAGGGGGAGAGTGGGGTAAGATGAGCCATGTTTCATATTTCGGATCACTACACCAAGTCAGTCAAAGTTTTGTCTCTAACTCGTGTATGTGTATATATTTCAGGATGTTGTGCATCCCTGCAAACCAACATATTGATAATATAGCATGCCAAAAAAGTGGTCTCCTATGGTCAACTTACCCCATGTATGGGGTAAGTTGAGCCGTATCCCTAATACCCCCAACTCTCCACTCCAGCCCTCCCTCTCCTTCTCTCTCCCTAAATAACAGTCACTTCTTCACATTCATGTGTATTTTTATTTATTATACACTATTCAACTGGTAAAATAATTCTTTTTATTATTATTGCATATAACTGTTAAAAAGCTGTTTTGTAAAAAGTCATTTTAACATGAGGATGTCTTTAAGTGATTCAGAACATTCACAGCTGTATTTTTAAAAAGAAATAGTAACACATTTCAACAATCTAAACTGAAACTCTGATCCTCTCATCAGACTCCTTTACTTTCTCAGTTGATCCACTGACTCAACTTACCCCAGAACTACTATGATGACTTTATTAGTCCGCTAAGCTAAAATGGTGGACTTTTATGTTGGTTTTTGACCTCATGTTCCAGCTCATAGATACCACAGTTGATGGATAAAACAAATTTAAAATGATCTGTTTTGGTCTGAACACAATTCTAATAAAACTTATGACAGACTAAATTCACTTTCAAGAGTGAATTTTTTTTTTAAATAAATGTCTAACCCCTTCACCCATGTGCTTCTAACCTTCACAGACTCCATGAATTGATGCCCATCTCCTAAATGTTTGGTCACATGATCAATTTCTTTTACCATTTCCAAGCAACAGGGGGTGGCTCAACTTACCCCACTCTCCCCTACAAGTAGAAACGTGAACATGAACCATTTTAGGACATCACTTAGTTAAAAAGTAGCCTGTTTTCCAGCAAACAAACATTTGATGATAAAATTCAGTTAAGTTCATTTTCTGGTGCATATAAAGGTTAATTGTGGTCAATTTCATAACTTCATTTTTCCTTTGAAGCTTATTGTTATTGTACAGAGTATACAGCAAATAGCAATTCAAATACAGCATTCACCTGATCTGTCTTGAATTATTCTTTTTTCGTTACAAAATTTGAACGTGTTATTGTGGAGAAATCGCTTTCTTTCTCCTGTCTTCTCAGATAAATAATGGGTATAGTTCCTCTGAGTTTGCAGCTTAGACTTACAGAGAAAGGGAACAAACTGCTCGCTCTTGCAGATGGAGATCTCGTTGTCCCCTCAGCCTTCCTCCTCTCCTCCTGTGCGCCTCGGTTGGTGGGCAGTTCTTCGTCTCGGTTTTCACTCCAGATTAAAAAGGAGGAGTTTCTCATCCAGCGTGCTCGGTCAAAGGCAGTCCTCTGGCAGACAGACACTGTGAGCTCCCGGAAAGTAACAGGCAGCATTAACTGTTTGATTTTGGCGAAAGAAGGACGAGACTCACAACATGGCTGTGGCTGGCTGCACAAAATGCATTAAATATATGTTATTTTTCTTTAATTTTATTTTCTGGGTGAGTTGAACCTATTTTACTTTAAACTTAATATGTTAACTGAATACTTGTGCTTTCTCTAAACTTTTCCCCATCCTGTTGTTGATGAAATCACATCTCTGTACTTTGCACTTTGATCTGATGATAAACTGTGAAGTTTGGAGAAGTTTCACCACTTGAAGTATGTTGCTGTGTCTCATGAGAAGCATCCACAGTCCATGTATTCTCAGTGAGCTTCAGCACGAGCAGGGCACAAGTGTAGGGGGGACGCCTCACACTGAGTGGGCTCCAGACTTCTGCAAGGAGAAGAGAACTTCTTCCCCTCCTGCCTGTCTGACAGAAACGATAAAAGTTGGCACAGTTTGACTTTCTAAGGTCTTATTCCTGGAGATGTTTTGGATGGAAAATGAAAAAACTTGCCCCCAGTAGTGGGCGATTGCTGGTTGTTTTTCCGGGGTCTGTCTCTCTCAAGATAAAATACCCATGAAGAGGGAGACTGAACAAGGTTAATAGAGTTTGGGGGGAGGGGGAAGCTGTTGCCCCCCCTGACATTTCCTTTGTTCCTACCTTTGTTAGCAGACTGGAGCCTTTATTGCCTTTGAACCTTTAAAGGGCTCAGGAAACTCCTTGTCCCATGATGAAGTTTGGGAATCATGTTCACATTTGTACTCTACTTCGCTCTACTTTCATCTGTTTTGGTTGTGGAGAAGTTATTTAAAGTTAAAGTACATCCTCGCTCTTTGGGACTGACACATCAGACATCCTGGAAATGCGCTGTCCACGCTGCATGTTCCCTCCTGTCCTTCTTTGGTTCGAAATTGGCGACTTGTTTTTGAATTTCTTTCGGTTTGTCTTCACAGAACAGTAGTCTTTTTTTAGATGAGTACAAATCCCCGTATCCTGGACACGCCACTCTTGATGGAGTGTTTCCTCTGTTGGTTTTGCTGCTGTGCCTGTCATTGTGAAAACTCTGAGCCCTCTCTTCCTCGTTTTGCTATTTTTCATCTCGAGGATTCAGTTTCCTGTTTCTTGGGGAACAATAGAGAGCAGTCATGACACTCAATGTGCAGATATCTTTGAATAAACATTGACATCAAAAGTGTCAGCGATGTGAACAAAATGTTTCGCTTGAGATGAAGTTTCAGCAGCGATGCTTCACATCAGAACGTTCCTGTTTTTTATCAGAGGGGAAAATAAGGAGATGAAGTTGAACGTAAAACTCCTTGAGGTCAAAGTGTGGGCTGTAGGTCACTGAGGTGTCAGGATTTCCGTTCACCGCGTGTGTTGAAAGACAACAGACGGTTCAAAACCTGACAGCTGAGTCGGACACACAGAGGGAAACATCAGCAGAAAACTTTAGACACCAACCTGACCTTTGATAAATCAGCAATACGTGTCAGAAAAACTCATGAAAGTTAGTTCCCGCAGGTTTGTTTTAATGTTCTTGCTAAAGTCTCTGTTGAATTTCATACATTTTGAATGACTCTAATCCCTCCAAGTGAATCCACATTAAAGAAAATAATGGTCTTTCTTTTCTCGGGGATAGCTGGCCGGAGGCATAATCTTAGGAGTGGCCTTGTATCTTCGCCATGACAGTCAAACCAGCAACCTCCTCATACTACAGTTTGAGGGGCAACAAGCACCAGGAACCTTCTATATAAGTGAGTAAATCACAATCAACATGTACACCATCACACACAAAAAACAGTGTCTAAACACACACACACACACATGTATATTTAGGTTTTCTAAACACTCTGATTTACATGGTAGTCCTTGATGCTGGTTCTCTTGGGAGCTTCATTCTTTGTTCTCCACACGACAGGAAGATCCCTGTTAACACCGCGGTAAAAGTCAACTTTATTTACAGAAATATCTGTCAATCACACTGAAGCTGAAACCGTACGTGTAATGTCCATAAATAGTTATAGAGGTGTGACCACCGTGACAAGACCAGGAAACAGGACCTGCGTAAATCCGCAGCATGACTTAAGAGTGGCACAGCTGGCCTCCACGTCGTCGTGTTTTTACTCAGCTGCTGGTTTGACAGATCGACACAAATGAAGGTGATGTTCCTTAAATTAGAGGAATATACCTGGTAATGTTTTTTTTATTTTAAGTTGTAGCTTGGAGGCTTTTCATCACAGAGTCCAGATGCTTCAGGCAGATGTTGATGCATATGTGGAAATTAATGATTCATGAGCATGGTGCACAAATAAAGCAGCCATTCACCTTCTGTTGTATGGGCTTCAACGTTTTAGAGTCTTTTTTGGGGGGGAGTTTCATATTACAGCAGGACAGTGTTTCGTTTGTATATCTCTATCGGAGAAATATGCTCCCAGGGCATGGTCACTGCATGAACTCAAGTCATAAATCATCATCATGTTCCCTTCACTGCCCGCAGTAACCCACAGATTGGCCCTTAAACCTACAATATACGATATGATTTAGACATTTCAAAGGTCCATCCTCTCGGTTTGTTGTGGTGGTGAACTCTAGTGAGCCCACTAATTTACATTTGAACCCTTACTGCTCACCCATACTTACCCATCAGTAAGTATACAGAGCGAATACAAACCCAGCTTTTTATAGAATGAAAAGGCACACTCGTGATTTTAAAGGCAGGGCTGCAAAGAGAGGCCCACCCAAGCAAGATCAAGGAAATGTTTTTTTTTTTTTGTCTCCTCCCTCGAACATACGCCCTTGCATAATTCAAATAATGTTCTACATCTGCACATTAACCCTCAAATTAGAGTTTGGAGTGGATGTTTTTAGCGTGCTGGCACACCAAAGTGGTATTTATGTAAGGCTGAAAATACACATTCTCCTACCTCTCAACCCGTGCCTGAAATCATTATTGGGTATGGCTGAAGCCTACACAGGTTTCTGCAGCCTCAAGAACTGAACGAAACATAGAAGTTATCAGATTCACTGTCTGTAATTCAAAGTCTTGTTCAGAACAGCTTTTTTGTATCATAATGAATCATAAAGCATAAAGAAGATGCTTACTGTGTGTGTAGGACAGCTGTGAAAGGAGACGAAATAATAGTGAGGAATTTCAGAAACTAAAACCAGCTCCTCCTTATAAATGCTACTTTATTCAAACAAGAAATGTGTGGCAACTCCTAAAGTCATGTGAAAATAAACAAAGACGTTTTTGGTTTTAAAGTTTATTTGAAATTTCCTTTAAGTTTCCAAGTCCTGAATGTTACAGTAATAGAGCCAGAGGGTAACAGCTCTAGTTTTTACCAAAATGTCAAACTGCTTATGATAAAATATTTCAATGTTTTAATATGAATTTCCTCTTTTTTTTTAACCTCCACTTTAAGTTTCTTTGCCTATAACTTCTTGTCAGTGTCTCTATAGAAAATGTAAATCCATAGATGTAGCTTAGTTTAGCATGAGGAAAGTCTGCATGAGGACAACAGGCAATCCTGGCTCTGTCCCAACACCACATTTCATCTTGTTTGTCCAGAAGAAACAGTGAAAAAAAACATCAAGATGTTGGCTTCTTGGGCAGATTTTTCTAAGATTTCCAAGAAGGACCGAGCCAGCTTCTTTTCTTTTTAGCTATCAGGCTTCTAGACTTGATTTATCACATAAGCAAACATCTATTCACATTACACTCTTGTGAGCAGCTGTAAAAAGTAAGTGTCATCTCACCACCCAAGTGGCAGAGAACACTTATTTTGTTTAGGCTTCTTTAAATGCCCACAAACATAGTGTCTGAATTTATCACGTCATTTCTAAAAAATGATCTGCCGCTCTCGAGCTCCAACTCTCTCTGTTAACAAGATATCACAATGAAATGTTTATATGGGCCCTTTTAATAATTTATCCTCATTACATTATTCATACAGTGGCAAAGTGTAAAACTTGGTTTATCTGGATTTTTTGGTGTCATGCTCTGACATTGTGAACATGGCTTAAAAGGTCCTTTTTTAAGATACTGGGTTGGAAAAGATGAGAGAAGTCTTAAGCTGGGCTTTTATCTGGTCTTTACCCTATTTCCTTCGTCTCTCTCTCTCTCTCTCTCTCTCTCTCTCTCTCTCTCTCTCTCTCTCTCTCTCTCTCTCTCTCTCTGTCTGTCTCTGGAGATTACTCTGAGAGACAAAAAATAAATGAACTTCCCCTGGTGGTATAAAATTGCCTGTCTCCCTTAAAAGTCTCAAGTCTCAATAGCCTTGAGACCTCAAAGGGTGTTGTCATAGTAATGGAAGGCGGTGGAAATAATGCCTGCTTTGCTGCATTGCAAACATCAAGTCCTGAAAGGAAAGAGAGAGAGAGAGAGAGAGAGAGAGACCAAGGATAAAGGAAGAGGAGGAGGAGGAGGAGGGTGTCGATCTGAGGCAGAGAGAAAAAGAAAGATGTAGGTGTAAGTGTGGTAGAGAGTAGTGCGTGATATCGGCCCTCAGACGCAACATAGTTGGAGTTTTTTACTGGCTCTTTTTCAGGCCACATAACATGCTGCGTGTTCTTTGTTTGCTCGTGTTTAAGAATAGACAACCCAGAAACTCCCCGACTATCTGGCTAAAATAAGTGCTGTACAAAGTATCCACATCCTTTACTGACGTAAACGTACCAGTGCACCAGTTTTATTCTGCCAGTTAGTTAACTTCAGTGGTTTCCAACCTGAAGGGCAAAGCATTTCCACAGAGTAAAAAGACCGACATGAGGTGTGACAAAATAATTAAATTGGGAAGGGAAAAAAATTCTCCAACAAGTATTTGCTTTTACAGTAGGAACTTTTCTCTCTTCTTCCCTTTTTTTCTGTATGAAGTAAATCTAGATCTGATTAATTGCATCTGAATATTAACTTCTTAGTAGAAACACTAACCCTAAACACTAAAGTCGTGTGTCTCTGCTGAATAAAAAAGGTTTTGGTTAGAGTGACGGTGAGGCAAAGGTTAATGTGGAGCTAAAGCTCGCAGGTAAACCAAAGGTTAAATTCTGTTTTTTCAAACAAACTCTATCTTATTGGATATTTTATCCCTTTCAAGCAATTTCTCTCAGCTGATCATAGTTTCTGGTCTGAAGAAGTGGATCCATCCAACCACTGCCTGACATTTTATGATTTTCTGTTATCATTCATGACAAAAAAAAAAAGGAAATAGCTTTTTTTGCATCCCCAAACCAGTTTCATACTTTGAAAGGAATCTTGATCCATGAATTTGAGACTCTGGAAACATCTGCTTAATGATAAAAACTGAGCTGCAGCTGCTGATGTGGAATTCAAGAAAACCTTGGCTACAGAATGAAACCCGCCCCGAGATTTTACTGAAAGTCACTGAAAATAAATGTACCAACTGTGACTGCTTCTCATCAAACACATTGTTGGAGATTACATCTGAAATTGTATTTATGTAAATGGATTAACCTTCTCTATAATGTGTTCCCTCATTTCCATACTCCTCTGCCCTGTTAGTGTTTACTCTCTGCAGGTTTGTTTTGCATAATTGCGCTTTCAATTCAACCACCATTGGGTATATCTCAGAAAAGGCTTCTGGTCTCTGGAGGCCGTCTTGTTTAAATTAGACTCAATTAAAGAGGAATAAGAAAGCAGCTGAAGTCTTCTGCAGAACTTGTGCTGCTTTCTACTTCAAAGCTACTAAAATACAACAATAGATTTTTTCTTATCTTTGTACAGCTGCTATTTAGATACAGATTTCCTTTACATATCAAAGGCACCGTTTAGAAAATGATGTTCATCTGTAATTTAAAGACATCTTGATTAACTTTAGTGACCTTTTAATGTAGTGTAAATCATTTGCAATAAAGTTAGTGGGATGGTTTTTTATTCACCATCCCTTTGTGTCCATAACATTTTCCTGTAGATTGCAACATAAGCCAGACCTGTGCTGTAATCAGAGATTTATTGCTATTCATTGACTCCCAGTGAAATAGAACCGCCTACACTCCAGCCTGTTACACGGCTCTGTTTTTGACAAAAAGTCATGGAAATTTTGGATTTAAAAAAACTGTAAGTACGTGACCGAGTGACTTTGCCTTCACATCGGTCCCTCTGTTTCCTGGGGAAGGATAATGCCGCGGTCAGGGGTCAGTAGAGGGAGTTCGTTGGGAGGTGGGCGGGGGTTGTCTGGAAAGCATTTCCCGGTCCAGGCAGCTGAACAGATTTGGCTCCACCTTTCTCAGGATGGGTGACTGTTTGTCCGCAGGATGTCAATAATGTCATGTCATCCTACAGGGAAGGCAAGAAAACATCCAGGAAGTCCATTACCCAACTGTATCAATGAATGAACATCAGAGAAGTAGTGCTTGAACACTGCTGCCCCCTAGTGAGGCCATAATGAACTGCCTTCCTTCAAACTTTTCACATCTAAGTTTGACTCTGTGTTTGCAGGTGTGTACATACTGATAGCTGTTGGGGCTATAATGATGCTTGTCGGCTTCCTCGGTTGTTACGGCGCCATCCAGGAATCTCAGTGCCTTTTGGGAACAGTATGTATCTCTTTTTTTTTCTCTTTTTAAGTATTTTGTTTGTTTAAATCCAAAAAAGACTAAACAGTTCTCATAACCTTTTTTCTTTTCTTTAGTTCTTCTTCTTTTTGGTGATCCTCTTTGCTTGTGAAGTGGCTGCAGCCATCTGGGGTTTCATGAACAGGGACACAGTAAGACAAAAACACAGAAGCCTGCACATATATTTTCTGCCCAGCTTTACGTTGATTAATTGATTGATTGATTGATTTTCCTCCTTTGCTCCAGAGTAACATGCTCAGTTTGTTGCGATGTCTCTAAAACAAAGTCTCACCTGACTTCTCACAGATCTCCAAAGAACTGATCAACTTCTACGACTCTGCGTACATCAAGGCTGTGGATGTCTCAGGGTCTCCTAGTAAAGACTCAGCCATCAAAGTGCTGGACGTTTTCCACACTACGGTGAGTGATGAGTGGACTTAATTTCATCAGTCTCTTACTTGGTGAGAGCCAACTACTCTATTTTCATCAATATTAATCTACTCCCATGATGTCTTTTTGATTGAGTGACTTTCCTCTCAGCTTGACTGCTGCGGTAAAGGGGACGACACAGCTCTCTTCGAACAAGTGAAGGGCACCTTGTGTCCCAGAAAGTCCAGAGAGGATTTCCTGAGATCTCAGGTACACACATGTCCATCCTTAAAGTTACATACATACTCTATGTGAAAATTGTTTGTTTAAGACATAATACTTATCTAGGTCTGTTATTCTTCAGTAGTCTTAGAATATGTATAGATAGGCTTAAATATGACATTGTTAATGTTCAATGTCAATCTGCAGATTTCAGTAAAGCAATGCTGGATTTTTTAAGTAAAATAGCATTTTTCTTGAAGGTTTACATTTACATCAGAACTTTGATTTGGTGAATCTCAGCTGGGAGAGGTTTCAGCTTCCTGTGACCCCAAACAGGACATGCAGTATAGATAATGGATGGATGATAGACCTGTTGGTATAGCCTCTGTGTCCCAAATTCATGGTCTTTTTCCTGACAACTGCTCTCTCAGAAATGACCTCATTTAAATTATTATGGCACAGATGCAGTACTGTCGTTACCTTGACCAGTTTAACTCCAAAACACTTGACAGGATCGACAAACTGTAAACTGACAAACGTCTGGCTGTAGATGTTCTGCCTGGTTTTTAAGATTGGGTTGACTCACTTTACTTTTTATGTTGTGTTTTAATGCATAATATTCTCCTGTCTGATATTGATTTTGTGTGTACAGATGCTCTTTGTCAGAAACTTGGTCAACTGTGCAGCTGCCTGTTTTGGCCAGGAAACTCTTAAACAAGAAATTTTTAATGAGTTTCCAAATGAAAATGAAAGAAAGTGAAATTTAAGCCTTGGGTTAATAATCCAACAGGAATATTAAAAATGATTCTGAAAATGAATCAGAACAACACAATGTCTTGGATGGTTAAATGCACATGAGGTCAGGGTAAAATTGAACTGATACATTGTCTGTACTGAGTCTAATGACTTGAACCTGACTTAAATCCTTCTTTGAATCCTCGTAGGTATTAACATCTCTGATTGCACATTACAATTAATAATTTACAGTTGTGCGGTTACAGCAGCAGACATTCAGCACACTGTTTTGACAGCGGACAAAGCTCTTATTTCATGAAATCCATAGGTGTATGTCTGGTGTGAGTATCATAGGATTCTCTCTGCTCCTCTCTCTTCTCAGAGCTGTCACGATAAGCTGATTGAGTTGTTCTCAGAGAAGCTCTACGTGATCGGTCTGGCTGCTCTGGTTGTTGCCGTCATCATGGTGAGAGTTAGATTTTAGAGTTGTTGCAATAGTGCAGCTGTGATAAGGATGCTTGAAAGCTCTTCTATCTGTTTTTCCCTGTTTAGATCTTTGAGATGATCTTCACCATGGTGCTCTGCTGTGGGATCCGTAACAGCCCGGGAGTGTACTAGAAGTCCAGCCAACAAGCTCCTAGTTTACCCTGTGCCTCCTTATACCCTGCCCTCTTTTCCTTGAGAGAATGAAACAACCAGAAGGATATTTTTCTTTTTAATTTTAGTTGAAGAAAACTTGTTTTGAATATTGCTAATATTAATTCTTATCTCTAGTTCACATAGATTTAGCTTCTGTTAGATTTTCTTTATCACTGCATATCAATACATACGTTGTTGTAAAATATTTCTCTGAAGTCCTCAAACATCATGATGTTTTCGTGGATGTAAAAATTGTGTATATATGTGTCATATGGGAGAATCTCTGTATTCCCTGTTTGAGTGTTTGTGATGCTTTTACAGTATTAAAGTACAAAGTATTAAAAGTACAGTCTTATATAATAACTGAAGCAGTAGGTTTGAGGTTTGAGGTTAGTTTATGTGTCGACTTGTCTTCTGCGCGTCTGTTCTTTGTTGAAACTTGACAAAAACAATTACGTCTGCTCACTAAACCTGTTTTGATAATGCTAATAAATTATGCTTCACTTTTATTTTTTTTTGGGTGGAGCAAACACTACCCTAGTTAACCCTTCATTTTGCTTGTGACTCCTTCAAATTATGTAATTTCTCATTCATTAAGTCTATAAACTGAGAACTGTTGGATTAGAGAGAATAATCAGCTCATGTCATTTCATTTGGATCTTTAATGGGATGCAAACAAACAAACAAACAGGAGTACTTTAAACAAGATTTAACAAAAATATAAAAGTCTGTTTTTTTTATGCTGACATTTTTTAAATGTTTTTTATATGTAGCAACAACAAAATTCTAATTTTATTTGTCATACGCATGTATGTATGGTACAATGTCTGGTGAAATGTTTTGGGTACCTGTCCAACCAAAAACATACACACACTTGTAACATAAAATACATTTTAAAGCAACTACTCAAAACTGTGGGCTGAAATGTTAACAAAATAAAGAGTGGGAAAAGAAAAGTAAATTGTATATTATTAGTGGATCAAGATGAGGAGAAATAAGGTCGGTATGGGGCTAGAACAGATGTGACTGATACCCTTTCTGCCTTTCCTCTCTCCCCTCACAAATTTGTAGAAGTTAGGAGGAGGTGAAGTGTACAGTCTAACTCCTGTCCAAACAGGCCTCTCACCACAGTACTGCCTTCCCTGTCCTCTTTTTTAGCATCTCTCTGCGTACTCTGCTCTCTTTCCTCTCTCTTCTCATGCCTCATTGAAGTGGAGGAAAAAGGGGGAGGTGGAGCACCCAGCTGGACACATCAGGGGTAAACTTTCTCTGACATTGGTTTATCATGTTTTCTCCTCTTCCTTCTTATGCTGTGGGGGTGTGGTGGGACGTGAGGGCATATAGAGGCATAGAGGGGGGCTGGTTGTGGGACACTGGAGCCAACGGAAGTCTCCTTAAGTGAAGGATCCTCACTTGATAACTCCTGTGATGTGCTGTCCCATCTATTCCCATTTACTTTCATGCTTGTGTGTCAAGGACATCAGGGGCCCCATGATGGGTTATGTAACTTATCAGTAGAGCATAAATGATAGGGTAAGGGCATCATGGGCGGGGTTTCTTTGCTGACTGCTTAACCTTTTCATTAGAGCACAAATCCAACATAGCAGCCACATTCAGCTGCACTTTGATCAACCACTAAATTTATCTTGAGTTCCAGCTTCAGAGCGTGATTTAAGACGTAAATTTCACACTTTTGTGCGTGAATCATATTCCAAATAATCTGTGATGACGATCAAAAGATTATTGCTAACTGCATAACATTATTGAGAGTATCACGATAAATGACCCGATCTGTGCAGCCATCTCTTCCTTTTCTCCCTGTTCACCAATTTCGACCAAAAGGCCCACTTTGTTTTTACCTTGTTGCACCACAGGGGGGCGTTCTGATATCATCACCCCCCCTTCCTGCTCAGTCAGCACAATCTCTCCCATTGCCTCTCAGTTGAATACATTAAAAACTCATCTGACTTGTATTTCTGGCACTGTGGCAGCAGACACGCCCAGAACACACCGTGTTTGTTTTGCCAACAGGTTTAACTCTCTCATTGGAGTACCTATTGATATTACCTGGGACTGAGTTTACGTTCATACCAGGATGCCCTCAAGCTCAAACTCTTTAATTTGACTTTCATAAATCAGGATTGGACATGAGGTTTTCTTAGGACATGATTTCGCTGAATCGAAGTTCAAAAAGCGGGAGGAAATGCAGCACAATGCATTACAGGAACCGTCTGTTGTTTTTGCTCTGACCTCTGTTTCCTCCTCGACAAATTTTGATTCAACATACACTTCAGTTTACCCAAGTCAACAGTAGCTCAATTAAAAGTTGTATTAAAGTTGTATCAGGAACTCTGAAAAGTTCAAACACAGACAAACATTATTACCGTCACAGTCTTAGATTCATCAGAGGACTATTTTAGTCGTTTAGGAAGATGTCACCAATAAAACGGCAACTGAATGTTCATTACAGTCAGGTTTTTTGATCCCATCCCAGTGAGAGTGAGTTTTCCATCATCATGATGAAGCCTTAAGGTTTATCCTTAAAACTGTGCCTGCAGCTGAAGGAATCCTCCATGTGTAAGGCCTGGTCTGTAAAGAAGTGTTTTCCTCAGACTGATGTACAGGAACCTGATGACTTTCTCGCTTAAACTCTCAGTTACCACTGTCCAAACACTTCTGAATAAACAGAGCGCTGACAGGGAGCCAGGCCGTATCAGCAAACATTAGTGGTTGACCTCTGTGACAATCTTGTGGCAGATTGGGAATGAATCCCCGCAGCCATCATTTGCTTCCCAGAAGAGTGGAAGCCGTTGCAGTGAACACAATTAGGTGCCCGACAATCACACATGGGTGTAATCAGCAGTCATCGATCACATATGGGCTCTAAATCTTCAAGTTATGTCTCATTCAGCAGTTTAATATGGCAGAAATATAAATCAGGTTTCAGACAGCTCCAAACTCAGATCATCTGTGCGCCTCTGAGAAAAGCCTCCCACACCTGCTGATGCACCTACAAGGATTACAGCAAATCTTTGAATCTGACTTCAGTGTAGTGTAAAAAGTGTTAATAAATGTGACCTTAATCTGTTGAAAATCTCAAAAATCTGCAGCATAAGATGATCTTTAAAGTCTATTTGGGGATCTAAGGGGGAAATAAGACTCTTTGGACTGACTGAAATGTAAGAAATTGGACTTATTGATGCACTGAGCATCATTACTTAAAATCAGTAAACAGAGTATTACATAAATGTCCAAGTGTAAGCCATAATATATGAGGTTTTTAAATAGGAGTTCTTGCTCAGGAGTTTATGGGTAGTGTAGGTAAGGAAACTAGGACATATTCTGCAACTGACTTTATTGAGGTCACTTCCTCTCCCACCTCCTCTTCCTACATCCTCTCAGACCTCCAGCAGCTGGTTTGATTCAGAGTTTTTTGTACACATCTCTCTTCTATATGTGAAACTGCCTTTCCCCTCTCTCTCTATTATCCCTTTCATTCAAGGAGAAGGAGAAAGACTTCCTGGGAAATGCAGAGTAATAATCCCTCTGTTTGTCCACAGAGTGTTAAAATTACCTTGGCCCCGCTTGCACTACGAAACATGTGTGTCCTCATGTCACACTGCAAACTGCAGCCTGTTTGGGTTCACTCTCTCTCTCTCACAGCATCATTTTAGCCGTGGCAGCCTGCTGTTTCCAAACAGACAAGGTTGGTGATTGTCTAATGAACACAGACGAGAACTGACATCTAAAGCGCCAGATATTACAGACCATTAGAAACAATGAGGCAAAACATGTAACAGACTTCTGGCTCTGAACCTTATCTCGCTTTTATAAGATTACTGAACCAGCAGGAAAAAAATCCAGAGGCTGAAGAGGTTAGACAGCTGCCCAGATGGGCCTGAGCTTCTAATAGGAGACTTTATTAAGTTGTGTTTTATGAGAAGGAATGCTAGCATTGGTGTCAACTAAAACAAGTAATAGTTTGAGAAAGTTTGAGGAATTTGTAACATTACCAGTTACAAATATAATATTGATAACACAGTCATAGTATCTCTCAATGAAAATGCAGCAACTTGGCTTTATAATCCAATGTAAACAGTTCAGGCAGGCTTTGTTTTAGTCGTTTCCTTGAATTCTATACATGCTGCGTGGTTGTATTTGGCACTATATCCTCACAGAGGAGGTGTGTCAGTGGAAATCTGCTGCGGCAGAAAGCTTGAACACTTCCTTTATTCTATGATGTTAGAAAATCACTGAAGCGCAGGTTCAGTTTTCAAAGTAGACCTTCAAAAGAATTTGTCTCACATTTCTTGTGAGTGCACAGGAGTCAAATTTCTCATAATCTGTCTGATATTTTCTTACATGTCTGAACAGTTTTCAAAATAACCTTCTTTATTTTTTTTCATTTCATCTTCTTTTGTAGTTTTCTGTATATTTGGGCGTCTAAACACTTTTGGCCGTGTGTTGCAGCGTCAAACAGACAGTTGGATCTTGACGCATGAGACAGCAGGCAGAGCAAGGTTGTCACTCACTCTCTCTCATGCAATCACTCTCTCTGACGCAAATACACACTTACACAGTCATTCACACACACTCTCACAGACACACACTCACTGACACACACATTACCCTGAGTCAATAACCTTTAGGCTGAATTCTGTCGCTCCGTACCTCTGAACAGGGCTGGGAAACAGCTCCTAAGCTAATCTGCTGATTCAGTGAGTCACTAAAGATATGTTGCAATATACTTGAGAAAAGTCAGCCCTAATGTGGAATCATATATGCTAAAAAAAAACCTGTATTGTGAAAATTCATGATGACCATGAATGACTTTTTCAGGAGGGGTGGTACATGGAAACAACACACCCTTTTGTCAAAATATTTGACTTTTCTACTTAGATGTGAGCAAAGCTGTCTGCTCAGTTCAGCTGAACACACCCTGTGGTGTCTTTCCCTCTTTTGACTCATCTCTTTGTTTTCTGTTAGCCTCGCATATACCTGCGATTATAATTGCAGGGCGGGACCTGCGACTATAACTTTTGATACTTTCTAATATCCCACCAGATAAGATCCCCTGCACAGACAAGCAGGTTCGTCATAAAAGGCAGGAAATACTCAGCTCTACATCTACGATCCACACCGTTTCAACTGTAATGGTGAGTAAAAAAAGTCAGTAATACTTCAAATGAGTCTGATACGTTTATGTTTGGATTGATTTGATTTACTGTGCCATAATAAGCACTTGTATATAAAGCTGTGATTGTTTCTTTTATATCTGCTACAACAGTGGAGGGTGAGGAAATATTTGAACGAATGAAAGGTGATTTCTCAGGTATAGAGGAGCTGAAAAGTAAAGAATGTTGAAAGCGTTTCTTCCGTCAGGCTGAGAGTAAATATACTGTGTTGATCTGCTTTGGTTCAAATGATTCCTTTGTACTCTCTTTTGACAAAAATGACCAGCTGATTGATTTTCTGTTGTTCATTATCTTTTCTGCTCTGATGCACCTTCATGAAGAAGTTAGTCAGGCACAAATCTCGTAAATAAAGTTTTGAATACTTTGATCCAATCAGAAAATGATGTTCATTCTGCTTCAGCTGGTAATTTTTTAAAACTTGTAACTAGACAGGTAGACAGGTAGACAGGTAGACACCTTAGACACGCAGCCCCGTTCCCATGATTCATATCACTCTGGTATCGCTGCAGTGACTCACAGTTGCTAAGCTCAAATAAAACAAACTCGATAAAACTGAGGTGTGGCTCCAGCGTAATAATGGCCTACGACCGTGCCACACCTTGTAACAGTCGTTCATTTATCATACATGCTTGGCGTCAACTGCAAAGTTGGATTTAAATCATGTCAATTTGTTATTTCCAGATTGAATGGCAGTCCACTGCACACTTGACAGTAAAGATGTTTAAAATTCAGCTCAAAACAGATTAAAACACCCAGGAAGTAAAAGTAATGGAGTTATCTGTGACGCCACAGAGCATACTACAGCAGGTCCAAAGTGTACTTGGACATGTTTGAACTAATAATGAAACAGGTGTTCTGAGATGTTGTTAAAAAAAAGTTGTTTCTTTTAAAAAATAAATGATTCATATGAAGTTTCTTCTTAAATGTAAGGCAGCTCAGGTGTTGGCTTTATGAGGCAGTTTAGTTTGTCACAAAGGTGTTCGAGATGTGGCGTAAGCTTATCACCTGTAAGGTAGTTTTGCTTGTGTTGCGGTTGCGCTTTACTATGCTAAAGTCTAAAGTGCTGCTTTTAATCAGCCTCCCCTATATGGGTCACATACAAGGGGTCAAGGTGGGATAAGTTAATACAAACAACACAGATTTTTATCGTGATGAGTGGATATACTATATTTTATGCGTAGTGTCTGCTGCAAGAAAAAGAAAAGGTGTCGTTTAATTTGAGCTACACACCTTGATTAAATCACTGCGTTACATAACTGTGGCGATAAATGCGCAATTAATCGTTGAATGTGAAACAAGATGTCTTTCAGATCTTTTACTGCATTTGATGAAGCAGTACAGTCGTATAAAAGTACTCTGTTTAGGATAGCTGTGTATTTGAAACAAAGAATTTATCTGAGTAAATATAAAACTATTTACGACAAGACTTATAGGGAGATTTTTCTATCATTTGTATGTAACACTACAAAGATACATAGAGGAGTATAAAGTATTTCAATGGCTTGTAGTTGTGGCCAAAATGTAGGGGAGCTGGACTTTGAAGTGGTGTTCGAAAGTTATGAAAATAGTTCCTGCAGTTGGTAATGATGATGTACTCCATTACGTCCCTCTGCTGCAGACAGTTGTATTAAGTGTCAATGAATTAGAGTTCATTGACTGTAGACAGAAAGTTCAGCCTGTTACATTTGACCTCATTATTAATTTCAGTGTGACTCTGTTGTAATCACAGGCTCCCACACATGGCTGGATGACTAACAGCTGTTTAGTCTGGTTAGATCACACTCTCACTTTCACTATTTCCTGTGAAACTGAAATAGAGATTAATAGAACAAAAGAGTAAGATTAAAGTGAAAACTCATCTTTGTTTTGTTTAAGTAATTTTTAAACATTTTTAAAGCTGTGGGGTTAAGGAGGATGTATTTTAACTGATTTTTAATTTAATTAATTTACTGGATATGCTTCGAGAAATTATGTCCCACTTTGGGTTACAATTGTTGACTTAAGTCAATTCATTCATATTTACCTTTATCAGAAATTTGCCAGACTTCCTACGACTGAAGGTAATATAAAACACTTTCCGTATGTTATGCACTTTGTACAAGGTTTTTTTTTTTAAGAGGGAAAGAAAATGTAAAAACCAACTGTGACAGTGACAGTGCATTTAAAATAGGAAAAATTGAAGGCATAACAGCCACAGATTTATCCTATTTTGAAAATCTCCCTTGGGCAAAACACCTTTTTAATAACATTTGGTGTCAAAGAATATTTTTTATCACTGTATATTTGGTATTAATGGGTAAGTCTCCCAACAGCAAGGAGACAAACGAGTTTTAACTCCTACAGATACTCTTTTATGTATCACAGTTTAAATTGTTTTTGACTAAATGAATTCTACTGAGTGCAATAGTATATAAACGCAAGAAACGTAAGTGTTTCCCTCTAAAAATGTGATGTTGCACAGGTAGAAAAAGTAAATTACAATTTTCAGGATCAGGGGCACTACAGAGGGGGGAGAGGGTACTGACCTCAGGGGGGCAGTTATGGAGGGGCCCCTGAAATGAAAACATGCTTTTGTGTGCATTTAGTTCTGTCAGAAGTCAATGTTTTTAGAGAAACAAAATTAAGATACTTCATATTAATAGAAAAATGAATGTACCAGACATTGAAAAACCATATTTCCTCTCTTCTAATAATATTAATTTATCCCAGTTTTTTGTGCAACCCAAAGCTGAAGTGGCTTTAGTGCTGGCCATGATAATCCTGCAGGTTGTGTTGATGGGGGCCCCATGTTATATTGTTTATGGGCCCAGAATTTCAAGCGAGGCCCCTGTTCAGAGTCATATCTGTTAAATATTTATTAAGCCGTTTTATCTTAAAAATAAGTAAAATGTTGCTTTGGCATGTTTAGCTGCTAGAAACCTGCCTAAATGATTCTCATCTCTCTAATTATCATCATCTATGGTCCTGTAAAGGACAAACGGTTTGGGACAAATGGGAAAATATAACTCAGATTGTAGGTACAGGATTAAGGACAGTAAAAGCTGTTTGGTGGGTATGTGAGAGGGACTAAACCTTTAACCCTAGAACGCTATCGTCTGTGATTTTCACCCGACCAAACATGTTTACATGATTTTCATTATGTTGCGTTTGTCTGAGTATCATGGGTCCCTAGTTAGCTTCAGCATTGCCTTTGACATCTTTGAGCACATATTTGTTTCCCAGATCCAGAACCTGCTTTATAGTGATAGTGAGGGTAAAGTAGGTTTGGGTGGATTTGATAGCTGCATGTAGGCGAATAAGGTCATTAAGAGTGGTCCTGGAATTTGCATGCCCTCTTTATTTAGTGCAGTGGTTATGAATAACTATCACAAAGTAGTGATTTTAAAGGGAATTCAAATGGTGCTAAGAAATATTTTAGTCAGATGGTGAATATGGCATATTCTGGTTCTCTCTCCTGCAGCTGTTATTGTGCCAAGGGCCCTGAGTCTTCACCAGGGAAAAATCACATGCCCCAGGAATGGGTGGAAAAGACACTAAATTTACAGTTTCTATATTTTTAAAGCAATTTTTTATTCATGAATGCCTAATTTCAGTTATTTCGTTGCATTTTTATGTGGTCCCTCATGGCACTTTCCCCCCTCCATTTGGACATTAGTTAAAAATAAAAGAAAACTACTTTAATTTATCATGTATTGTCCAATTTTGATATATTTTGATGAGAACTCCTTTTCCTGGGTATATTATTTCGTGTAAAAACCACCCGGCGATAGTGATAGTGTTAATAATTTTGGTGAAAGTGTTCTGGGTTAAATGTCAGTTTAGGAAGGTTATATCCAAGGACTATTATTTCATATTGGGGGTTAGAATGTATGAAGAGTCTTAGAAGAAGAAGCACCACCTGTGGGTCAGGTAGTTTAATTTCTGCTCACGAGGCTCCTCCTCCAAGTGCAGAGCAGCTGAGCTCGCGCTGACTTCTTCTTGTTGAATCCTTCACATAGCTCCAGCTGCCCGAACAACCCGCCACACTGTCCAGCCGCCCGGACGCCCTTTCGGACGTCTGTTTCGATCTTTTCTTTTTCTCACCATGACTGCGGCAGCTTCTGAAACCGTGTTTTTGTCCGCTTTACAGCCAAACACAACGGTCACCACCTACGGGTTCGACTCCCAGATCGGGAATGGGGGCTCAGCTTCGGACGAGATGTCGAGAGCGCGGCGCGTGCAGCAGCAGGTCCAGAGGAGACTGGCGGAGAAGTCCACACTTCCGCGTCAGAATGGGTCAGCCGCACAGTACGCCATGTCAGGTAAACATCCACAAGTCTCACTGCTTCACGGGTCCATTCTTACTTAATGGGAATGTGTCTTTTTAGCCAAGGGCGCTAATACTAAACACTTCTAGTCCCCACACAGACAGAAACAGGTGACGCTGTGTCTGACTACAAACCTGAGTTTATAGCCTTACAACCGGTTATTCATCAGTTGTGTAGACATGCAGCTCAAGTCTTTATCTGTCCTCTCAGATCTCTAATGTTGTTTCATTTGGCTTTACTCCAGTTGAAGCTTTTCTGAAGGGGCTCCAACCAGGAATTGTGATTTTCAACATCAAATAGTGGACATTGCTTACAGTGCTGCTGTTTGTTTTCCTGTTTTTAATTGTACTGTTTAAATCCACCCAAGGCAGGTGTTTCCTTTTTGATTCCCACCCATCTAGTTAAATATTTCACCAATTTTACCCTCCGTTGATTCCAAATAATGGTCTGGTCCACAGACTGTAAGAGTTTCTTGTAATCGGTTATTTTAGTTTCAGACAGAAGTCTTTCTGATTTATTTTAGATGAGTTAGAACTGGTCTCATTTGAATCTTAAAGTGTGGTTGATTGTGTAATGCTCAGTATAAGACTACATAAATGTTTTTCTGTCTATAGAGCCATTCTTCAGCCTTTTACTTTTTCTTTAATTTATGTAACTGGAACAAAAAAGTGATTCAGATCAGCAACCAGCTTTCACTATCTTATGAAAGAACATGCATGTTTTTTGTCTGGTGTCCGTGTGTGTGTTTCTGTGTGTGGGTACATCGGATTTTTGTGTGTTTGCTCGTCCCTGTTACATTCCTTTGGACTCGATTCCCGTCAGCTCGTAGGGAATTTATCTCTTCAGCTGCTCTGCAGATTCGTAGCAGATGAACCTGAGCTCCAGTCTCACATAGCAGTGAACCTACCTCTCCGTATACCTGCTCATGAGAAAAGGGTTAATATGTAACAGGCCCAAACAAGTGCTGCCTTCATGGACTCCCCTGATAAGACTGACATGAAAGCCTCCCTCTGTCTGAGAAGCTGGGTGTCAGGTCTTACTCAGCTTCAGGAGGCAAGGGTTCAAGAGATACATAGAAGATGATGGTGTCATGAGAAAGCAGCTGTTGTGATGTCTGTTTAGAGACGTCACAATTTCAAACAGTGTCTGTCTGAGTCAAAATCAGGTGAGATAGTTACGCAAGCAGCGACTTTTCTCCAGCTTGGTTGGACAAGAGTTTACTTGCCTGTCACAACTCATTTGAGAAGCTGGCTTGGTGTTTAAATGTTGAGCCTGACTTGGACCTGGTCTTGTTTTGTGTTTGTGTTTGTGACTCAACCAGGTTGCATCTTCTGGATGTGTGAGGACATTCCTTCACGTCTCATAATTTAGCGTGCTATCCCTGAACTATGCTGTACAGGCGAAGCAGCTCGATGTCAGGGTTGTTTGACCTTTTAATTCAGGCAAGAATGGTCCGAGAAGATGAATTGTTTTTCACTCTTGTTTGTAGTTACAGCATTCCCAGAGGCGCCTATGTTACCTGTCCCGACTTAGAAAACATACTGTTCATGCCAATTTAATGACTGGAATGTGGAGGGACATAAAACACCTTAGCTAAATGGGTCAGTGTTCAGTTTTACCTCCATTTTAGTTGTCAATTACACCTGCCACTTCAAACAGCCACACTGTATGAATATTGGCCGAGCAGAATGTTTTGTAACCTCAGTGTGTCCTTTGCCCTGGGCTATGCCTGGAGGGAAACATACAGTCATAAATTGTTGCCACGTTGTGTCCATATTCTTTTGAAACTGGCGCAAAAGGGAGAGAAGAATTCCAAACAAAACAACAGCTATCATTTTAGTGGCTTGTGGCTTGGGAGAAGCTCATTATGAGCGCGTAAGTGTTGTCAAGAAAGCATCCAGAGGACTTGCAGGAAACGCATCCTCCTCATGCAGGACAGCTGTGTGCATTCACACTCGCAGAAATGACTAATTGGCGTTCACAGGTGGACAAGTCTGAGCAAAAAGTGAGAGGGGAAAGAAGAGGGTGCGTGTGTGGGAAGTCTTGGCTTCAAGACCAAAGTTTTTTTTTTTGTTCATAAGACAACAAAGGGAGAAAAAAATGCAGCGCTTCACTGGTGACGGAGTGTTCAGGGTGTGTTATCGGGGTTGTAAAGGTGTGTTGGGCGTTGGCAGGGTTGGGTTGGCGACAGGCCAAGAGACGCGACAGTCATTCGCTATGCCAATTGGTTTTGGTGTGTGTGTGTGTGTGTAAGTGCGTGTGTGTGTCTCAAAGAAATAAATGAAAGTTGATGGTGGAATAATAAAAGTTCACCCTTACCGACAAAATACAGAACAGATTAACACAGTTGCCCACAGAAAAGCCTAAATGTTTCCCCAGATTATACTATCAGTATATTTGGGATTAAGTGTAAATTCAGTTGGAGTTTATGAAGTTTTTAGCTCCCTTAGAGCAAAGTGAGAACATGGTTATGAAACATGATCAATGTGGCCTGTTTTCTTTTTTTTTTAAACTGATCACTGGCTTCTGCCAAGTGGCCTCAAGGCTGGTAACCTGATTAGTCTTGTTCAGTCAGTCTAAACTCTGATCTAACTGGGACAATAAAACAGTCATTAAAGTTGTTTTTTTTTTTTTGATAGTTAACTATTCCTGGAGGATGGGGGGAGGCCGGCATTCAGCGCAGTCATCAGATTACTATTAGTTTTAGTTTTGTCTTTTTCGTTTGTGATCAAATACCTACATTTTCGGACATCTGTCATCTACCAGATTTGTATTGATAATTGACAAGCACATTTTAACATGCTAACGCCACATTTAGATGGTACTACCTCTCAAAATACTTGCCAAACCTCATTATGGTAGCATTGCTATTGTCTGCATCAGCAATGCAATCAAGACACAACAAAAAAAGCAAACAAAAGATTTTTCGATGATCCCCAGTTGAGTTTCAGCGTCATGCTTACCAAACCAGACAGCACATAGGGGATGTTTGCCTGCAGGTATTACCTTCAGAAAGCAGAAAAACTTATGCAATGTAGCAGGAGAGGTGACAAAAATAAAGGTAGCTGTTTAGGGTTGATTAAACAATCAAAGAGAGGACTTTTCATGGGAGCTTGCTGTGAACCTTGCGTAAGGCCAAAACTTATCTTTGTCTGCTTATTCAACCAGATCATCTTTTTTGACACCCATTCAAAAACCTCATGTGCTTTGTTGTGCTGCCTGGACAGACTCCAGACTGAAACGGTAGAAGATTGATGTTTTCAGGCGTTGAAATGACTTGGTTAGGTGTAGGAAAACATTATGGTCGAGGCTTGGGATGGAGTGAATGATTTTGTCTAAATTTCCAGTCTCCGTAAATATTTTTCTTGATGGTTGCCATTATATTCATCTCCTGCCTGTTGGCTTACCCTGTTTTTCGGAGCAAAACATTCACACACTCTGTGCTGAGACGGTCGAGCAAGTGTCTTTGTGTGTCAGATGTGCTGCTGCTCTCAAAGTGAAGGGTAACCAGAGACTCAGAGCTGGTGACTGGTCAGCTCCTGCTGTTTGTCATTGAATATTCAATCCTCAGTGCTACCTGACACCTGCTATTCAAACAGTACACTACGTCTTTCATGTAGGTCGGTCACTGTTGTGAACGACAGAGGCGTGACACCTCGTTGATGCTGTCATGCTGAGATTAAATCTACCTTCGCTGTGTGATACGGTATAAGATATTGGTCAGAATTAGATGTACTCTCTTTTAACCTTTCGTGTGTAATGGTCTTATAGAGTAGATCTTTTAGAGAATTAGTCTGACTCAGTCATTATGGGAAAGAAACTTAAAAAAGTGGGTATTTAAATTGGGCACAAGCGTTTCTTAAAGTCAAAAGGATTGCATTTTTATTGTTTCACGACTGGTCATGGTCAACTTGATACTTAAATATTAACGTTTGTGGCAACACTCACAGATCAATTAACAGGACAAACACCACTTAAACTGTCCTTGTTTTGGACAAGGTCACCTCTTGGCTAACTTATGTTTTTTTTTTTTAATGCAACTAAAGACTTTGACTCAAAACGACAGATGAGAAGAACTTTACAGACCTGAATCAGTTCTTGTATTCTTAAATGCTGCATGCTATAAGGTTATATTTCGCTACTACATAGATATTTGAGTAAGCATACTGTCTCATGGCAGCTGCACTTTGGACTGTTAAACACTGAGAATACACAGAACTATTCTTTAATTAGAAAATTTATATTTCTATTATGGCATGATCAGCTTTGTGACTTTGTAAACACTGATATAAGAGCATGTAGCTTAATAAATCATTACTATCAGAACATGTGTTTTTTAATTGTTTTACAGAAGTGTCCTTAAAAAGGGTCAATCAATACTGTGTAACCTTGGCTCTGATAGTGGGATGAGAAAACATGTATAGTGACAGAGATGAGCAGACAACAACTTCAATTCACACTTTCTTTTGAGAGTTTTTCCTGATTTCACCTGAGTTTGATCACCGACCTAACAATGACGACTATGATTTCTTTTTGGTTTTTATTGACTTCATCTCTTTGTTTGCCTTTTGCACTCGGTTTTATTTTGGTTTGGTATTTTGAGAAAGGAGTTTAGAAACCACACCACAAACTGTAGGTCATTGTTAGTATCATAGCTTTAAGGTTTTGTAGTTATAATGCAAATTTAAGCAGCTTAACATCAAGCCTAACACAAACATCATCCCCATTTGCTTTGCCACTTAAAGCATTGGTAGTTAATAATATTTTGCTACAACACAAGAAAGTCTAATTATCAACTCAACAAACAGGAAGTGATGAAAAAAGTCTCTACACCATTATTATAAATAGTTGACCTCTTGACTCGCTGAAACAGGATTTATTGTAATGTCTGCACTTTTGACCTCTCAGTATTTGCTCATTGATACAGTCAGCTGCTGACTCAAAACTGGAAATAGGTTCAGCACGTCAATAGTGCATAAGTACGTATGATAGTACACCATAAATGTTGTCTTGATATATTAGGACATCAAAACTCTCAATGCTCATGTTCGTTTTTAGCTTGTTAAATCAAAGTGAATGAGAAATAGTTAAAATAAAGGAAAGACTTGAGATTTTTATTGAAGCAACATTTAATTTTCCCCTTGTATAGAAGTAATTTTTTTCATATTAAGACTTCTGTTTGACAGCTCTGAGTTAGTTTTCTCTAAACTGTATCTTAAAAACAATCACATGAAATGGAATTGAAATAAAGTTAATTAGTTCTTTAAGAATGGATGTGTAACTATGAGACGGGGCATAAATATTCTATTTACAGCATTTTTGATTGATTGTTAATGAAATATAAAAACAGATAACGAAACTTGAGTCTTAAATGATTTTTGTTATGATGTCATGACTGTGTTTTAGTAATGCTAATGTGTTTGTGTGTTTGTCTGCTTCCTTTCAGAATACGGTGGGTCTTCAACAATGAAATACCAGACCTATAACCCAGGCTTCACCTCCAAATCCTCCTACATGTATTCAGGCTCCAGAACAATGGTGAGCCCTGCAGTATTATCTCACTCTCTCAGCATGTATGAAGACATCCTGTGGAAATAATCAGGCAAACGTGTAATGGGTCACTTAAGCAGACGTCTAAAATAAACCCAAACACAATCGCCAACCCTCTGCTGGTGTCAGGATGGGTCAGCCTGGACTCAACAGGCGTGGTATTTCACAGGAGGTCGTTATGAGATCAGCTCAAGTTTTGAAGTCCTCCCTCTAGATTCCTTTATTTTTGATGATTCAACTGGACGGTGCTGGCTGTGTGCCTCAGATGTTTTAGCTCTGAGCTAAAGAAAGAGCTCTAATATGCTCATCAATCTTCCAAGATGTTATGTTTTAAACAATTATACTAAATCAATCAATCAGTCTTTATTCATAAAGAAAATGTTATCTTAAGACACTTTACCAGAAGAGCTGCTCTGAACTATAGTCTCAGTTATATTTTTATGAAGCTCCAACTTCTAGACAAGGTAAGAGTCTGTCTTATCTTATCATGAGCTACCATGACCTGAGTGGAGCACTTTTCAGCATGTTGCAAGTTGGAGTGGCAAAGAATAACTTCTCTTAGACAGGTATAAAAACCTCGAGCAGAACCAAGTTCATGTTCAACAGCCCTCTGCCAAAATTCAAGACGGCTTGGAGAGGGGACAGAGGGAGATGCAGAAAGAGAGAGTTGAATAGACAGACAACAAAAACAGATACTCACAAAAAAGGCAACAGCAGACTGGTAATAACAGACTGATCTTTATGGTAGCTAAAACCAACAGGTCTAATATTAAAATCTGAAATAATGACGACGAAAGGTGGATGAGTCTGAGTCAAGTAGATTTAAAATAAACATTCACATTATATTCTGACATAAAACATAGGAACTCCAAAAGATTTGTGTTGAGCAGCATTTATGGGACATATAAATCCTGAACCAGCCCTATTAAAAGCTTTTTTAAAAGGAAAGTTTTAAGCCTACTCCTAAAAGTAGAGTTGGTAACCTGAAGACCCTGATTGGTAGATGATGCCAAAGCAGAGGGGCCTTGTAATTGAAGACACCTCTTACTGTACTACTTTTACAGACTTAAGGTACGACCAGCAGGCCTAAGTGCTGGAACTATGATATTCTGGTGGGGTACTAAGGTACTATGAGCTCTTTCAGATATGATGGTGTCTGACCGTGAAGAGCTTTGTTGGTCAGAGGATTCTTTCCTACATTTTATGGGGAGCCAGTGTTGAGAAGCTGATACAGGAGAAAAGTGCTCAGACTGGTCCAATTGTAGTCTTTAAAGAAGAACCAAGAACGCCTGATAAAGAAAAGTCCTGTAACCAAACCTGCAGATAACAAATTCATGGACTAGTTTTTCCGCATCATTCTGAGACAGGATGCGTTTCATTCTTGAAAAACCCTGAAAGTACAAAAAGGCGATTCTTGAAATTTGTTGATTGTGGAAGTTAAAGGACAAATCTTGATCAAAAAGACCTCCCAGATTCCTGACAGTGGTTACAAATGCCAGACTAATGTCACCCAAGACAGTTGTACAATTAGAAAATGTCTCTCTGGGTTGTATGAGGCCAGGAACAATAACTTCAGTCTTGTCTGAGCTGAGCAGCTAAAAACTTTCAGTCATCCAGGCTTTGGTATCTTTAAGGCCTGTTTCTAATGTTGTTGTTTGATTGGCTCCTCCTGGCTTCATTGATAAGTATTTTTTTGCATAAAGTAAAAATGTATTGAGTGTTTTATTGTATTACCAAAAGAAAGTATATACATAAAAAACGGTCTTAGCACTGAGCCTTGAGGGACGCCATGTCTAACCTTTGCATGCACAGAAGTTTTTGTTTACTGTAATAAACTGAGGTTGTTCTGATGGACGTGATTTGAACCAATTTAAAAACGGTTCCTGTAATGCCTTTAGATTAATCTAGTCCGCAACAGGATGTGATGGTCAATAGTGTTCAATTCAGCACAAAGATCTAACAAGACAATTACAGAAGAAAGAAGACCTCTGTCTGAAGCAATATAAAGCCGTCCTTCATTGAGATTCAGTTTTGACCATGAGTGCTGACTCACAACAAATTCATCCTCATGCAAAGGTCACTACAGCACAATGAAGCACTTTTATCACACATTTGTTTCTAACAGGAGCATTTTTCTTTATTTTTTAGGCTCCACGTATATCCCAGCGGACCGGCTTCAGTGCCCAGTCTGCAGGCCCTGATATGGCCCAGATCAACAGGATCAGTGTTGGGGGCGGAGGGTTTAGCGGTGGCGGCGGTGGTGGTGGTGGTAGTAGTTATTACCGAGAAGATATACGTATGGGGGGCTATCAGGGTGGTGCCAGGCCACAGAGCCGTATGGAGCAAGAAGCCCTCTCCATGCATGCAATGAGGGCACAGACAGCGAATCCCTGGATGATAGATGGCAGTGATGCTGGCAGCATGGTGTCCGACAGGGATGCCACCTTCACCCGCCAGTACACCCAGAGCGCCGTCAACGGCTACAGCAGCCAGATGAGGCAAGGAGGGGGAGGCACCATGACCTTTCAACAGGCTCCCATGCGTCGATCTCTTAGCGGCACTCTTTCCCGTGGTGGGGGGATGGCAGGAGGAGAGGCAGAGGTCGTTCAACACCACGCCTACAAAGGCCCCGCTCACCGCACCATCAGCAGGATTACGAGCCGAAACAGGATGAGCATGGGCTCCGTGTCTGGGACCATGCAGCAGACCTCCAGTGGAGGCACCTACAGTGCGGGGATGGACAGGGTGGACAGAGGGTTCATTGCACCTGGAGTGTCCTCTGCTTCCCAGGGCAACCTGATGATGCAGCGCCAGGGCACCCTGTCCCGCGCCATGTCCGTCAAAAGCATGCAGAGTGTGGGCAGAGGTGCAGACATCTATGGGATGGACATGGGAGCCAGCATGGGCAACCTCAGCGGGTGAGGATAACACATGACCAATAAATTTACAGAGTTACTGCTTCTATTCACACAGTGATCTCACCTTGCTTTCATTTGTTTAACGCTTAACCCTGAACTTTAACCAGAGCACACACTGATGATAACTGATGAGAGTGAGCAGTCTGGTGTTTCTCTATAACTTTCTTCTCATCAACTGAGAAAACAACACGTAACTGATACTACTGACAGATATTTTCAGTGCAGTATAAAACAGTATAGTTTTATCTAAAGCATCTCCGTCATTGAAAAGCAATAAGAAATACACCAGTAAGCATATTTTGGCATGCGTGTTTTTTAATTAATTAAAGTTAGGTGTTCCTTTATGCTACTGCAAGAATTAGGTCCTCCTGGCAGATGTCGTATTAATTGGCTGCTACAAATGATCCAGCGTATATAGTTTGTGGCAAACTGATGTTCAAACTTATATTATTTTGAAGATACAGAAGTTGCAGGATCATCTTGCACATTGTTTTTTTTTATTTTATTCATTTATAACACTATGAATGAGATCCTTTCATTATCTCATGCAGAGAGATGACGGCTCTGGTGACTCAATTTAGCACATCAGCGAAATTGAGTGAACGTGAAGCACCAGCGTGTAACATGTCAGGAGGGTTTAGAGAGAGAGTGTGTCTGTGTGTGTGTGTGTGTGTGTGTGTGTGTGTGTGTGTGTCATAGGAACAGCGTATTTCATAAGAGCTGTGGATTGGGAGGTGGCTCCATAGTGGCAGGACTGGTTTTGGGTGTGGCAGCTCAGTTTCAGGCCTCACATTTCACACATCCCACAGCATGTGGTTAGCCAGGCAGATTTGTAGACCACTGTGTGATTTGGAAGAAATTCAACTCGCAGAATCTTGCAGACCAGAAACAAATCATCTTTGAGTGATTACTGTGGACCCTTTGTTGTTTTTCACTCAAACATCCAAAAGACATATTTTGTGCTACCATCTGTGACAGCAGGATAATTACATAATTGAATGTCTAAGATTCTTTGGTTGATTGTATGTTTGCTCATTTGACAGGATTACCTCTCTGGACATGCAAACTGCTATTCAGAACTTGGGTGAGCCCGACCCTGAGCTGCAGGTCCTGGGTGCTGCCTACATTCAACACGAGTGTTACAATGACAGCGAAGCCAAAAACGAGGTACTCGCACAGATGAATCTGGTGGTTTGAATTCCTTTGGGTCTTTCCTCTCTGCTGTCACTTATTGAGAAACTCTCCCATGTAAAAAGTTTTCCTGCTAACGAAACATCCGTCTGGAGACAGAGTTGCTTTGTTTTTTCCTCTGCTCTGCTGTTCTCCATTTTATTCCACATGTTGCTCAATTCACCATCACTCTTAAGTGCATCTGGACTCTGCCCTTAATAGGTGTTGAATGGCAGACATGCAGGAGAGATTAAAACCCTTATCTTGTGGTGGGTTGGTCGCCTGATTTGGCTGTGTGCTCTGAGCTCGTTGAGGTTATTTTCAGCACTGAGTGTACAGCCCCTTGTGAGCCGGATTACAGTCAGTGTTTGATGAGGTTTCCGAAAAATAATCCCCATGATAATAGGTAAAAGAAAATAAAGAGCTCTTTTTTTAGTTTCACTTTCAACTTGAAACAACTTGATACCATTGTTTACAGTAATATGAACAGTCAGCGGTTCAGGTTAGCCAATGAGGAAACAAGATGAAACACTTTGGCTTGTCCAAAGGGGAAAAATATTAGAAATATGAACTTGAAATCTTCAAAATTCGGCAACTGGACTGTGTAGAGTTGAGAAGACGTTTCGCCACTTATCCAAGAAGCTTCTTCAGTTCTTCAGTCCAGTTGCCGGATTTTGAAGATTTCAAGAAAACCAAGATCTCAATAAATGAGAATCTACATGGACACATCAGAAATATTAACTGTACGAGTAGGACAGTTAATAGACCTCAGAACCTGTTGGATTATTTCTTTTAAGACAACTATTTCAGAAAAATGAAACCATCGTTGTGGTATTTTAAGAAACTAAAATGCTCTTCACAATTCACTCTTAAGTCATTCTAAGTGGTTTTAAGTAAATAAGCAGCAATACAGTACAATACGATAAAATGGGATGTGATAGGATAGGATATGATACGATGAAATACAAAACGATAATAAATGATACACTTTATTAACTCCAGATGTAAATTTGTTTTGGATTCAAGCGTTACTCATATATATACATATATTTCAAGTAGATTTTCTCTCATCCGTATCTCTAGGTACGTCGCCTGAAGGGAATTGGCGAGCTGGTGAAGCTGTTTAACTCAGAGAACCAGGAAGTGCAGCGCTTTGCCACTGGTGCAACACGCAACCTCATCTATGAAAACATGGACAACAAGGTGGCCCTGATCGAGGAGGGCGGCATCCCTCAGCTGGTGGAGGCCCTGAAAGAGAATGACGATGAGCTCCGCAAAAACATCACAGGTAGGAACATCCCAGTGTCAGTCATGAAAATAACAACGAGACACAACAAGCAGGGCTGATCTCAGGCTGTGGGTTTTTTGTGCTTTTGCCACAGGTGAAAAAAAATTGAATGAAAATGAGCTAGTCTCAACATGCGAATGCAGCACAGTCTTTGCAGTTAGTGTCCTTGAAATGTATCAGCAAACAAGTCGCCTTGAAATTGATATTATTTCCCAACAGAGAGGCTAGTTGTAACTAAAACTGTTTACAGCAACATAGTTTAAGTGCCTGAACTTCAACAAAGAGAGAGTTATGCTTGGCCTTTTTTTTTTTCTCACAGGAGATTTGTTTCTTACACAGTCGCAGTCTAAAGAAATCTTGTTTCCTGTCAGCTCAGCCTTGTCACCCTCTAGCACTGAGGAATTCTCTGAAGTTCATCTGCTGTCATCATTCACAATTATCTGTCTTCAGCTGAACTCGCAGTCATACTTTCTCATAACTTCAGCTTTGACTGAAATTCCTTAAATAGATGTTTCAACTCCACAGTCTGGAGATTTGTATGTGTGAGTGTACAGGGGAAGGGGCGGAGCCGCAGTGTTTTCTATAGGGTGTGTGAAGAAGAGGAGTTTAAAGGAGTGTGGGAGTTGTCTGGGCCTGTGGACCAACAGTATATCTGCCGCTCCCTTTAATGAGGAAAGGCCTTGTCACTCTTTCCTTTGAGCCGTTACAACTTGATTTGTATCTGTGAGATAGCTGAAGAGTCATGTCAGTGATAGATAACAGAGTGAGTGTACCTGTGCACCCTTTTTTTTTCTGGGGAATATGCCAAAATGTTTGATGGGAGTCTCATCTTTTCCCACAAAGAGCTTATATTTAACCTTAAGTCATTTTAGTTCTCATGTAGGTCTTTAACTGAATTCATAAGTCACAGTACGTTTTGGTTTTTGAAGCTATTCTAGCTGATTTTATCACTTGAGGAATAGTTTATTATTTTGCAGTATAGCTTATTTTGCTTTCTTGTCAAGTGCACAAAAAGAAAATAGACACCGCTTTAATGCCTGTGAGCTAAATGTGAAGCTAAAGCCATCTGCCTTTTAACTTTGGTCAACACAAAGACAGTAAACAGGACAGCTCAGCTAGCCTGTTTTTTCCCCGTCAGTGTCATACTTCCTGTCCAGTGCCCTCAAAACTAAGATCAACCTTTATTCATCCCACGACGGGGAAATTCGCAACCTTCAGGAAGTCTCAGCACCTGGCCAAAAAATAGTCCACCCTGAAATTAACAACAAGTCCCCCTCCTGTTTTTGTTCAGAAAAGTTTTACTAGGATTATCTTAAAGAAACTATGAGGATAGTTCAGCCTTGTAAATGCTCGCAGGCATTTTCTATACAGACAGGGCTGTTTGTCTTTGCTGTGTTCATGCTGAACTAAGCAAAACTAATGCTGCAGTTTCCCACTGTACAGACATGTGCCTGTTGATATTCACTAAATCTGACAAGAGAACAACTTGGACCATTTCCCACAGTTTAGAAGTATTTTTCTGAACTGAGATTCTGGAGTGTTGTTGAGGTTACTAAGGTTCTCTTATTCAGAGACAAAATCATTGGAAAGTGGAACTTCAATAAGTTGCAGAGATATGCAGGACAAACACATTTGTTGTTGCTGCTGTTGTTGCTAACACTCCTCTGGTGTGTGTGTGTGTGTTTCTGTGCAGGTATTCTCTGGAACCTGTCTTCCAAAGACAACCTGAAGGAGAAACTGGCCCGTGAGACACTGACTGATCTCACTGAGAAAATCCTCATTCCTCAGTCGGGTGGTGGAGAAACTGACTACATCCTTCAGCAGACCCCGTCTGAGTCTGAAATCTTCTTCAACACCACAGGATGCCTCAGGTGCGCTTCAATTATCTGCCCTCGCTCTTTAGCTTTTTCCCTCTCTTTTGTCTAAATGCTTTTCTCTCTGGTAGGTCTGTGTCTACTCTGATTTGCATGTTGAGAACTTGTTCTGTGAGGAGAGACAGGCTCTTGTGTCAGCTGACAGCTACTGGAGATTTTACCCCACCCATTACTTTTCACTGCTGTTTGCAGCTTTCCACTCTCCAGTTGTTTTGGTTCTGCTCAGTTTATGTTCATCTTAAACGGTTTCATCTCGACATCAATCATCATCGGGGGAATGTTTGCAATGCCGCATTATTTTCTCAAAAATGTCTCCATCAGTTGCGTATTTTCGCAGCACATTGTCTTAAGTGGAAACACCCTCCCACACTCCTCTTTATTTGCACCATCTGGTTGGAGTAATGACACGCATGCTTCCTGACTGACTTAAAAATGAAATAACTCTCTGACCTCTTGCTCCCTCTGTGTGTGCTCAGGAATCTGAGCTCTGTGAGTGAGAAGACCCGCCAGCAGATGAGGGAAACACACGGCCTGGTGGAATCTTTGGTGACCTACATTAAGCTCTCCCTCGAGGACAACAAGGCAGAAGACAAGGTGAGACGGGGAAAAATGTAAAGCTCACTCAGGCTGCTGAGCTAACAAACTCAATACTTGTGTACTCATTTGTCTGTGTGTGTTTTCCTAGGGCGTGGAAAATTCAGCCTGCGTCTTGAGGAACCTCTCCTACCAGCTCTACAGTGAGATGCCGCCATCTGCCATGATGCGCCTTGAAGGACCAACCAGAGATCAGGATTCAGGGAGGGGAGAAGCTATTGGATGCTTCACACCTCAGAGCAGGAAAGCCAAAAATGTAAGCCCGCATGAGATTTACTCCAAGTTTGAACTACTTATCACATTTATTAGTGCCCTCTGTCATCTTTGTTGATTTATCTGTATCTGCTCTGTTTGTCTGAGCTCAGGCACCACCCGTTTTTCAGGTATCTGAGTATGTAATGATGATGTTAATAAGGAAGGGAGGAAGGACACTTCATAGTTTTTAGTGTGCTCACATCACATGCCCATTTTAACTCTGTCTTGTATTCCTCTCCCCTTGATAGCAAAAGAACCAGAGTCTGTCCACTTTCACCGAGGTTGCTCGGGTACCAAAAAGTGTGGAGTGGCTGTGGCACCCACAGATCGTTGGGCTGTACACTCGATTGCTGCGTGACTGTGAGATCAACTCCACCACCCGCGAGGCAGCTGCTGGAGCACTGCAGAACATCACTGCCGGGGACAAGAGGGTAAGCAACACATTTATCTGCTCCCCCGCTGAAATCGTAAGATGCACTAATCCTCATGTCTCACTTCATCTTTTCTTTCATTGTCCTGCAGTGGCCGTCAGTGTTGAGCCGGGTGGCTCTGGAGCAGGAGCGTGTGCAGCCTGTGGTGATGGACCGTCTGCGAACTGAACGTGATCTGGAGCTGCGATCCCTCACAGGCTTCCTCCGAAACCTTTCTCGTCATGCCATTAACAAAGAGGCCATGGGTACGTTTTTATCTTTATGGATCCTTTGATGCTTTTCCTCTAGTGTTGGACTTACTTCAGTTATCAGGCCTGGTTAGTCGCGTTAAATGATAAAAACATAAAGGTGGAAGAATTATGTGGCCAGTGTGTAACTGAAATAAAACAGTGTGAGTTTGCTTCCTTTTAAGACACTTTTTAGTTGGAGAAATTAAAAGTTTTAGTGTTTGTTACAGAATTTACACAAGTCAAATTCTTTATGTTGTTCAAGTCAAAAACAAATCAAGTCAAATGCAAACAAGATTGATCCTGTTAAACCATTAATATTTAAATTAGACGAGATAAAAAACTGATTTATTTTCTACAACGAAAAATAGTGTTTTGATTTGACTTGAATCTTATAGCACTTAAAAAACAGGTTTTGAACACTAACTTTGAACAGTGACAAGACTTGTGTTTGGTATTTCCTGTTTCTTTCTTTTCTTTTTTTTTTTTGAACGACCAAAAGCCATAACAACGTGAAACTGCTGCCTCCCAAAGCCACTTCCAGATCCCTGTAATTAGAAAAGTCGTGACATTGCTGTGTCAGTTACAAAACAGCGTTCCTCTCACACTGCCTCCATGTCTTAATGTTTGTTCAACTTGAACCTTAGGGGGATTTTTTTTTTTGTTTTGGTTTCTACTTAGGATTCTGGTCTCTAAAAATTAAGCATTTACAGGTTCACATGTGGCCCACAGATATGGAGTTTTATTAACGATTAACTGGTTGGAAAACATGCAGTTTTTCCTTTTAATTTCAATGCAACCACTATAATTCACATTTTTACCAGTGTTATTTAGTGCCAAAATTCAATAAATTCAATATTGATAAAATCATTTAATAAATACAAATATTTCAAGATACGGTAAATAAATGTTTGCGCAGGATAATAGAAAAGGTGAGGTTGTGATGGTCGGTGTTAAACATTATAAATATTATACTTACAATGAAACTTGATTTCTTCAGCTACATCAGTGGTCCAACACCTGGTGGCCAAGCTGCCTGAAGACGGACACCAAAAAGTGCCTTCCAGTGATGTGGTGGTCAACATCTGTGGAGTTCTCAATAACCTGGTGACCGGCAGCCAACTGGCTGCCAGAGACATCGCCTTCTTTGACGGCGTGTCAAAACTGGTCTCAATCAAGAACTCAAATGACAGCAGGTGAGACGTCCGCATAGTGGCATTCATTAATCTTACATTTTTATATTTACTCCACTGATTTTGAAAGTTACTCAAGACACACAGGAAGACATCTACACACACTGAAATGTACTGTTTTTTTTAACCTTGGTGATTTGTTTTTCTTTCAGCACTGGGAAGATGAAAGCAGCCAAAGCAGCAGCCACAGTTCTCAGCAACATGTTCCAGTACAAGAAACTACACAGCACATACAAACAGGTAGGAGAGAAGTTCAAAGTCGGTGATTACAGTGTTTCTAATTATCAAATCATATCAAATCAAAAAGAAGTCATTTTGAACATGAGTGAATTTTCTCGAGAGTAACTCGGCTGCAACCAGAGGCGAGAACAAGTAGAAGCTTATAAAAGCCAAAGCTCAGTGGAAAAGCTCCTCTCTGCCGTGCCCCACCCTCACTCTGCTATCTGCACATGTGTGTGTGAGCGTGTGTGTGCATGAGAGTAGAAAAAAAGAGTGAGAGTGAAGGAGATAATTGTGTGTGTGTGGTGTGAATGTGTGTGATGGGTTAAATTCCTCTCTCTCTCCCTTTGCAAGTGTCTCGTCATTTTCGCGGCTTATGTTAACAGCACATATGTCTCTGACTGTTCACACTGCCACTCTTTAAACACACATACACCCCAAGTCAAATTCAGGTGTGTCTCGGTCTTGGGCAGGACCAAGTAGCTTCACTGCCTTTTTGCAAATCACAACTTGCCCCTCCTTGGGGTGTGGTGCTCAGTGTATTTCCTAATGAACAAGTCTTGACAGGGCAAAAAAATGCATCAATGCTAACTCGACACAAAGTTTGATTTGAATTCTCAGATGCTTTAACCACCGTTTTAGATGTTGCAACAAAAATAAGTAAATTTGCATGAGTGTAAGCCTGAAAACACAGAAATGCATCACTCAGAAATGTTTGTGTAGTACTGTGAGCTCTGAGGTCACTCAAGGTCAAATTTCTCGATGAAAGGAGCCTTAGTTTGACACCTACGTGATTTGAAGTGTGTTTCATATTTGAGGAAGTCATTATGTAATCATTTTTCTGTGAATCTTGTCCTCACAGTGTTGTAAAAATGTTTTGCTTGTTTCTTTGTTTTACAGAAAGGGTTTACGAAACAGGATTTTATAGATTTGACCATCTAAATCTGCGCCCCTACTGGATAAATCCTTCACAAATCTGGGATTAAATGAACTCCTTCTACTCTTCTGAGATAACGTAGGTTCACATTTTATCTGCCATACTTTGTGATGAGAACATGAGTACGCACAAGTGATGGACGGTGGATGGATGGAAAAGGACCTCTGTATGTTTTTTTGAAAATCAGCGTCACTGCAGTTGAAGCAATGTGGATCCAGTCCGGCTGAGCGTTGATGGACTGGGCTGTGTGCACCTTAAGCTTGTTCTCTTTGTTTGAATACCGTTTGTTGTAGAGTGGCATCAGGGATATTTTTTAACTGTCATAGCAGATTTTCTTCGGATTAAACTGAAGCCTCCTGTTAACATGCTGTTGTGTTGATGAACGTGTGCCTTACCTTCTCACTGCTGTGCCTCTTTACATACATGCAAACAATGCAGTGCTAACAATGCATCTTTGTAAATATTGCTCTCTCTCTCTTTTACATAGAATTTTTTTTTACTGCAGCCTTGTACTTTGTATTTGATAAGATATATACTGTATATTTGATGAATGTGTGTTTATAAATGAGTTAAAATTATAACATAGTTATAGTTGAATGTAAAAATGAGACGATAGAAAGATAAAACTCTCAAATCTTTATGAAAAAGACTTTAAAAAGGTGGGAATTAGGACTATGCTTTCAAAGCAGATTATTTGGTTATTTGTTTATCAAACTCGTAGTAAGTGTCGTGTTATAGAAAAAAGCTTGTGTGACCTTTGTAGTGCCTTAATCTGATATGATTCTTATTTTCTTTTACATGCCATTATGACAGATGTTTGTATTTTTACTAAATGGTGTGAGTGTTAAACACAGGGATCAAAGGATACAGTTGTAATAATTGTTCAGTACTTCAGGTCTCTGTATGTGTTCATAAATAACCAATCACTACATGTATAACTCTCAGATTAAAGCCTTGTTTAAATTGATTAAACTGGCAGGTATGATAGCTTAAATTGTGTGACTTGTAAGTATTCAATCAAAGCTTTAGTTCAAGAAGTCTTTGAATTGTAAATATATCTGCTCTGTTGAATAAATGGTGAGCTTTGTGGGTGTTTGGAAAGACTGTTAATAGTTGTAAACAGGCAGATGCATCATCAGATGGATGTTTTTCAGTCAATAAAGTGAGAGATTTGGAAGTCATATGTCATAGTGACGGTATTTCTCGTACTTGTGTGGGTGTGAGTGTATGCTGAAACAGTCTTGACACCAACGTGGAGAAATGTCAGCCACACCCTGTTTACATATTTGCTCCTGCTCAGACAGGAATGATACAATACCATCCATGCTGCGCCCTTATTTAGCCTCTTATTTCTCTGTGGGTAGCAATCGCTCCATGAGGACACAGATCAGAGAAAAACAGCCTTTACCTCAAACTGCTTTATTAACTAGATTGTCAAGTTGTTACAGGACACGAGAAACCCCCCACTGGTACAGGTGTGTCAATAACGGTGGGATCGGCAGTCACAGCTCCCTCCTGATATCTGTGTTTCAGGTTTAAATATGTTTTTCACATGTATCGGCTTCATCTTTCCCACTCCTCGTTGAGCTGTCAGCTGTCAAAATCACACCAATGGCTTCAAAAGAGGAACTCCTTCATTGTACCTGACAGCACTCTGCCCTCTGCTGGAGACAGAGCTTAGCTGTGTGACGGTAATACAACATTTCTGAACGAGAACTTCTTCCCTGATTCTCACAAATGATTCACAAAAAATATTTTACAAAACACAAAAGCATACAAAACAGAAAAAAAATTAGAAATCTGTCTTTGTTAATATCAGACAGAAAACAAAACACAATACACAATGCGACCAAACACATGGATAACATTGGCATGGATAATTGCAGTATAAGGCACGCCAAAGACGACCCCACATGTTACTCCTCTGAGGTAAAAATGGGACTTTGGATCATATGTCCTGCTCAGTCACCAGGTGGTAGAAGTCCGAGCGTGCGCCATAGTTGCGTGATCCCAAGTCAGACACGTCGATGTCTGAAGGTTTGGGCTCGGTGTTGTTGATGGGAGCAGGAGGGAGGACGGGAGCTCTGCCGGCCCGAGATTTATACACAGGGAGAGAAAGCCCTGTGAAAACAAATCCTCAGTCAGTGCGACAGTTTTATTTCTGTGAAACTCCTTTTCTGTTCCCTTTCTTCGGTCTTTCAGGCTCTTCATTGTAAACTTGCGCAGCTGGTCAGCTTAGTTTACCATAAAGACCCGGACCGGGCAACAAATGAGATTCAGCCCACCAAGAACAAAGATGGTGCATTTCTACTCCGTCACTGTAAATACCTCACCCCCTCGTCTCTGTTTGGTGCAAACTACTGTGACCAAATCAAAGCTTTTCAGTGTCTCTCTGAAGAAGATGATTGGAGGAAATCTGTAATAGACCCTGCAGAGTTCAGGTGATAAGGTGGCCAACCCCTCCCACTCCTGACAAAAACTCTGAGGCACTCGCCTCTGGCAGACGGCTGCAGTCCATCAGGACCAAAACCACAGACCACAAGTACACTATGAGGCTTCTACTTCCCCTTTCCTTTGACTCAGCCCCTCATTCAGCCCCAAACCCTGTACATCCTACTCTTTAACATTAAAACATCCTGGTCGCTGCACATTATCTGAGTTTCCTACTGCTGACTGTACTGTATCCTCTTTAAGACACACTGTACAGCTCTTCGACACACTTTTAAAACAGATATCTGGAACATCATAAAATAATTCAGAGATGATTTGCCTCTAATTTGTTGAAGTCATAGATATTATCACATGTCTTTGGACAGCACTGACTCAGTTTGAATCTAACTGATCTATTTAACTGCTCACTACAAGTAAGACAGCCTTGAGCCATCCATTAGACTTAAACTTCTGCTCAGTATGTTCAGACAGAAAACAGCCCAAACGAGATGATACAGAGACAAGGTAAATGCTCGTCATACCCTGAAGATCTGAAGCCTCATTGTACTTGAGTTTAAGATGAAATGAACTTTGTCCTGTTTTAGTTGATTCAAAGTAGCACAAGAAAAGCAGCAGTGATTTGCAAGTCTCTCCATCAGGTTTAAACTTGAGTATGTGCTGTAATTCTTTACATTTTATGTCCTATTCAACAAACAGGACAAGACATACGCAAGTGTTGACAGGCATTTTACATCTTTGGATCCAAGTCAACACAGGATAGTTGTTACATAACAGCCTGCTTACTTCAGCACATTGTCTAGACAAAATCCACCTTGCACTGTCAGCAGTGACAAGACAGTGTGTCATTCATATAACAATCTGTCAGTTACGTTGGAGAATGTGAACAATTTTTGATGTTTATAGAAATGCCTCACATTTATCTTTATGCAAAAATCCTGACATTCATACTTGTTCCACTGCTGTCCTTACCAAGATCTCCAGCAGGGTCTGTGTCTGAGCGGCAGTCAAGGTAGTCAGGGTTGAGGGTCAGCATGGGGTCCTTGTCATCTTGCAGCATAGTCTGGGGGTCTCCTGCAGACTCGCTGTGAAAGACCACCCTGCGGGGCATTGCTAAGGCCAGCTCCTTCCAAAACACGGAGGATGGAGTCTGTGAACGTCACAGACATACCACACACACACACACACACAAAGGACTCAGATATACCGCAGTAGACTTACACACATTTCTACTCTCACGCCTTTGTATTTATTTGTTTAAGGCAAACCACTGTTTCAAAAGCTGTCCAGACTGATGATTTCTTGGTTTGCAGGAGCCAAGAGTTTGACTGGAGAAATGTAACGTCACAATCATTCATGAGCCTCCCAGGATTTCACTTCGCTCTGATTTAACTCTGATAAAACTGTCAGATTTGCAGTCAGTCAAATCAATCAAAGCACATTTACTCAGACAAAAGAACAAGGGCTGAGCTTCAGGGTTTTCAGTGCTGGATGATTTATCATCTTTAATTAAGCAGATGATTCTGCTTATCTAACTTGTGTGACATTAACTTACATCGCTGATGATAATAATAAGCCACCTTTTATTTGTTCTTTTATGAAGCTTTTTCAGACAGTGGGCTCTTTGTTAAACACATTCAGTGAAGTTATTGCGGATCTTACAACAGAGTTGTGTTTCCAGGTGAGGATTGTGAGGCAGTGCTGGTTCTCAATAAGCTGCTCCTTGACCTCATTCCTCATACGTTTGGATTGACCCTCCAGCAAGATTAGGATTGGCCGCGAACTCAACTCCAATAAGTGCTGGAGCCCCTGTCTGAAAACACACAGCGTTAGTGTGACATGACAGGATATACTGTTGACACTGAAGCTGCAACACTGACCTCCTGTGGTGGATTGCTGTGATCTCACAACAGTTTTGTTTTGCAGATCTTAGACAGCATATATGGATGTTTTATTCGACTTACTTGAAGTTATTTGTGCACCAGTCCTGCTCAAGGTAAGCGTGAGAGAGCAACACGATCAGACGCCGTGAGCGACTCATGTTCATCAGCAGCTCTGCAGAGGGCTCTGGACGATCAACAGTTTGACAATGACAGAAGTAAGGCAGAGGTCTGTTTCACAGCTGCAGTTTACAAAGGCTGTTTGCATCCAGCTTTACAAAAAGGTTTTTCAGGTTTTTGCCTGCCCGTTGTAAAATTATCTATGAACTAAAAATCTATTCATCCATTCTCACAATTTACATCCCGCTGTTGCACATCTTTAAATGAGCCAAGCTTATCAGAATCAGCAGAATCCTCCTAACTAACAGGTCATAAACTACCAGATTATTAAGACCAAGAGAAACCACATCAACAATAAATCAAATAGTAAACAAGACACAAAGCTTACCTAAGCCAGGGAGAATTTCGTTGTCATTGAGGTGCACTTTGTACCCATGTTTACTCTCCAGATGAGGTTTAAGAACAAAGGTGAGAAACTTCCGGTCATAATCGTTGTTCACATAGGAGATATAAGCATCATACAATTTTCCATCTGAAGAACAGAGGGCACAAACATTCAAGGGAAATTAACACTGTGCTCTTAAACACGAGTGTTGCAGCGCATTATCTTGTCAACAGAAGGTCTCACCATTAAGTTCATAGTCTCCATAGGAGTTCTTGTACCAGAGTTTGATGTTCAGGTGACATTTAACGTATATGATGGCAGCTAGAGCAAGGAGGAGGAGCAAGATGATGGCCGCAACGACAGCAGATGTGTGGCTGGGGATGTCTGAGAACACACGGTAAAACAACAACAACAAATAATCAAACAATCATCGATTAGTCAAGTTTAAACCATCAAAAAGATCAAGTGCAACAAATTCTTTTTACACATCTGTATGTAATGTGTCTGGGAGCAGGACTGGGTGAGTCTGTGATGGTTGAATGTTGTAAGTAACAAAAGGGCATTTTTATGAATAAAGTGGATGCAAATCATGGAACTGTTGGATTTCCTTCAACAAAAATATTCTGGTAGTTTTGGAGATGTTTTTAATATTTATTGAATGTTTTTTATTATTATTTCTGATTGGGACAGCTGCACCTCTTTTTTTAGATTTTTCTTTCTTTCTTTTTTTGATCTAGATGGATGTGTGTGTGTGTGCACATGTGTGTTTTTGGATCAAGACGGTGTTTTGTATTACAAAACAGGACAGACCGTTTGCCTTATTATTATTGTTAATGATAATAATAATAATAATAATAATAATAATAATAATAATATATAACACGCTTTTACAGGTGCTCTAAGACGCTTTACAAATATATATATATATTTCATATATTGCATTTTTCATAAGCAGCAATTACCGGTACATACTGTTCGTAGATATCTTGGTTGTTTTACCTATATCCTGTACTTCAAAGACAGAGGAAAGATTCCTCACTGTGCAGCTGTAGACCCCAAAATCATCCCGATCTCCGATGGTGATCTCCAGCAGACTGTTCACGATCAGCTGGCCAGCAACAGGATACCTTAAACATATGACACAAAAGTTCATCTCAAATGCTGACTCTTGCATAGTTTTATCGTTCTTATTAAAAAATAATTTAAAGGAAATGAAGCGATAGATTTTTTTTTAAAGCTTCAGCTCACCGTATGGAGGTCTTCAGGGTGTGAAGTGTGTCACTGGTGAGGGGTTTGCCATCTTTACTCCACCGGAGCGTGGTGTCACATTGCTCCTCTTGTGGGTCCCAGAGGAGGAGAACAGTGCAGTTCAGTTTCACTGGGAATCCCTCAGTGAATCCGTAGACTCTGGTCATGTTTCGATTCGGTTTAAATTCTGGGACTTTGGCGCACTGGGAATCTGTGTGAAAACATACCTCTGTTGTCTGTGTTTCCAGCCTGAGCTCTGGACAATAGAGGCCTTCATGTAACCTGCTGCTGCAGGGGAGGCTGAAATAATATGCCTCCTCACAGGTGCAGCCAATCCATTTTACTTTCTGTTTCATCCTGTATATACGGGCAGATTTAAAAGCTAACCCCTTCATATAATTTCCAGTGACACTTACCTTTAACTATGAGATACACGGTGAATGAAGTTGTGCTATCATTCTGCTGCATACAGGTGTAGTTCCCTTGGTCTTCCACTTTGAGGCTGGTAAACTGCAGGTAGGCTTTACCGTCCTGGTCGGGGAGCCGCTGACAGTCTTTCTGCCAGCTCACCTTGAGTTGGGATGAGTTCTGGGGCTGAACAAGCTCCAGAGGACACCTCAACTGGTAAGGAGGCCAATGTCGCCCTACATGGACCACCTGCTCTGAAAACCTGCTCTCATTTATGCAAGTCTGGGCTGCAAACAGATACAAAACACATTCACACACTTAATTCAGGGTTACTTCTCTTTCCAGAAGTTATTTCCTCATTCAGAATCAGAAATAAGAAGTAACTCATTAAGTAACTCAATAGGGGAGTTTCCAAAACTTCAAAGTCTGTGTACACACCGTCTTTAAGATGCCATTTTGTAAGGTAAAGTAAGGTCACTCCTGTGACACATTTTTGACTTGCCACCTTTTGTCTGCTTTGTAAGGCTTGAACCAATTCAGCAATAAGCTATGGCGAGTCTTGGAAAGCACAAAATCAAGGATTTATATATATATATATATAATTGAAGAATATTTGAGAGTAACATTTCAGTTTCACAATATTTATGTTCCTCAAGTTTTGTGCTGAATATAAACTCTTGGGCCCAGACACTTTTCTAACAATTATATGGTTGTTTTTTAATTCCATTGAAATAAAAAGTCACAGCTTTAAATGGAAACTGCAGTTTTGATTTATTAAGACATGTCAGTCTGTCCTGTTCTTTACTTTTCGCCCTATAAGAGCATGAAATGGCTGTCCGTCTTCTTAAAAACACTTTGCATACAGTCTATGTGTGTGCAGTCTGTTTGCATACTCTTAAAGCTTTTGGCATAGAAGGAGGTGAAGGTGTTTACTCTTTCACTCCGGAAGACTTAGTCAAACTGAATCCTGCTGACTCTGAATCTTATGTTTTAAAGACAAGATTCAGAGGCAAGAACCCAAATGAAACATCTAGTCTACCACACCTCGATTATGGTTTATCAGGGCAGTTTGTAGAGAGTACCCACTCAAATAAGAAGTGTCCTTAGAAACCTGGACCTGTTCTTCGGGATATGAAGCGCATGCGCTCGTCGTGCCTGATACCAAAAGGAACATCTATCCCGATTTGCCCTCCCTGACTCCTCTTCCCTTTTTTGTATTTTTCTCGATACTTGAACACAGCATGGACACACATCCGGGTCCGAAGTCCGGGTCTGGGTCCTCATGTCGCCAGGCAACAGCATGTGACTGAGTGACAGATAGCCCCCTCTGACCCTCCTCACAACATGCGTCTTGACCTGCTTTTAAGACCTCCCTCCCTGACTACTAGTTTGTAGAGGACAGTAGCAATAACAACTTCTTTAGTGAATTTATGATCAGTGTTTTTGGTCAAAAGTAAAAGTATCATATCTGAGTTCATCAAACAAGAGTAACTAGCCTTCAATAAAGTTTCATATGAACATCCTTACCGGCTGCCTGGAAGCTCCATCCGACAACAGAGACCAAAATAAAAGTGACCGGATTCACAGCCATAAGCAGAAGTCTTCCTCGTCCTCCTTGATAAATTAAGCGACTAAAGATTCTTCCTTTTCCTTTACAAAACTACATAGCCATCCATAAACTTGCGTTTGACGTTATTACAGTTTCGTTACGTGAAGCAGAGCCGCTGAGAGGACGACGTAAACGTCAGCCTTCTGGTTTATCAAGTGCACCTGGAGAGACCTGAAACTCTGCTGCTGATTGGGTAGCTGGTGTCACGTGACGCGTATACCGACTTACACCTGCGTTCCTGCGAAACTATGGTGGACAGACCTGTGTGGCTTGTGAGTGAGTGACCCACATTACAAAGTGTGTCTTCAAACCCAGTATTTCCCCGGTAACATTTTACAATAACCAAAACTTATAAATAGTAAGCAGATAGGTTATTAATGTTAAATCATCATTTATAAATAGCATATAGACCATTAATAAATTGTAACTTTTACAATTTTAAAAAACTTAACCCTAACTTTTCAATAACCATCTAAGTAATGTTTATTGGTGGTTTATAAACTACTTATTAATCATTTACAAAGTATTACAAACATCAGTTGCAGCTTTTCAATAACATCTAAGTAATGTTTATAGGTGGTTTAAAAAACAAATATTAACCATTTACAAAGTGCTACTGACACACATCTTAATCTAGATATTTACAACCAATATTTAAACCCTATAAAAACCTTTAATAATAGTCCATTAATAATTGATGAAAATTATTGATCAAAATTTCATTGCTTATTAATGGTAAAGTAACTATTAACTTACATTAATAAACTATCTATTTGCCATTTATAAATTATGGTTATTGTAAAGTGTTACCTGTGTTTTATGCTTTTATTAGGGGGCAAAATGTAATGTAATGTATGTAAATGTAAATACTTGAAAACACCTGGTTTTTATTATTAAAAGTATGACTATAGCTTTTAACTTAATAAGATTTCCTTGGAATTTAGAGGCCGCTTTCCAAGAATAAGAGTGAAATGTTATAAGTCAAGAAGTGCAGGTACATTCTGAAAATGCAAATACACTTCTGTTAGTCTATTTTCATTCAAATTATTATACAAATCTGCTTCGATAGATAGATAGATAGATAGATAGATAGATAGATAGATAGATAGATAGATAGATAGATAGATAGATAGATAGATAGATAGATAGATAGATAGATAGATAGATAGATAGATAGATAGATAGATAGATAGAGCAGAAATGTATCTTTACTTATAAGCCTTTAATCAGCCTATTTTAAGATGTCAACTATGTTACAGCTTTTAATTTGGAAAAAAAAAGATACTGAGGTGATATCACATGAGAACAAAAGTTTCCTCTTTTATTCAGTGATATAAAATAATGCAAAACAGCATGTCTGATTTACAAAAGACAATCAGAATGCATCTGCAGCACTGACTTTCATCACAGAGCTTTTTAACAGTATAAGGCAGCACTGTAGCATACAATCCTTACTGTATGTGCAAAAGCAGTATAAATTACGTTTAGGGCTTTGATAAAAACACTGGCATACATCTCACAAACATAGAGAACCAACAATGAGCTATCTGTGCATTCTTAAAATAGAATTAAAATTATCTCAGATAAGACATTCACTGTACAACTTGTCTGTTTTCAAAGTCCATCTCACAGATTAGGATCAAGCTAGCCAGCACATTACATTCAACAGCAAACCATTAAAGAGGGTGAGCGCCTCCTTTTGAAGTCTGCAGAGACCATTAAGGACTTTTAAGTGTACTCAACACTGTGATAGTCTGGACACCTTAATGCACAAGGCAACACTGGGATCATGCCCTCTGTAGAAAATGTGTAACATTAAAGGCTCTGAATGCTGTCAGGCTTCAAATGAACTGTAAGGAATAAAAACAAGTATGAGTTAGTTGTGCATTTACGTGCACATTTATGTCAAAGAGTCATCATCAGCCAGTCTAAAGCACCCTTTTCATAAGAGAAAATGTTAACCTCTTCACAAGGAGCACTTGTGCAACTGTATGGAAGTACTTTTAAAAATTAAACTAAATCAGTGATTCTCAAGTCCAGTCCTCGAGCCACACCTGATTCAAATGATCAGCTCGTTATCAAGCTCTGGAATGGCTGAATAACGAGCTGATTATTTGAATCAGGTGTGTTGGAGCAGGGAAACATCCAAAACATGCAGGACGGGGGGGCTCGAGGACTGGACTTGAGAACCACTGCACTAAATCACCCTTTATCTTCAGTTTGAAGAGAAATCTGTCACAGTCAAGCTGCATTCAGATCCAGACTACAGTTAACATGCTACCAGGATCATGCAGAGATCTAAAGCAATGTCTTTTACATTATAAATGTGGGCAGACCCCCTTCATAGAGATATAGACAAAACGTCAGCAGTAAAAAAAAAATGATTTGCTTGATTTGGTAACAGTGAGGAAAAAGTTCTCTAATGCTAGAAAGACTATCAAGAAACAAATAATAAATATAATATTGAATTTAAATTTGCAATTCAGAAACTTGCTTATAAAAAACATGCATGTTTTCCATGCACTGTGTCTATCAAGTTGCAGTGCTGCACTTCAACATTAAAATTATCAGTTTCCACATCCTAGAATTCACCGAGACCCAAAAGCTCTGAATGTCTGTACTTCAGTGAGTGAATAAATGTTATCTGATCAGAGGCACTAAATGTCAGCAGTTATGCAGAAAAAAGACTGTTTTAATTGGGTTGAATCAAAGCTGATACCTGATGCCCCTAATGAGGTCAGTCTAAGCATCAGTACTGATCCTATGTTTGTCCAATGTTACAACATCACGGTACACATTGGTAACCACTGCATTCACTGAAACCTTTGTTGGATTGTTTTCAAACAACATTAAGAAACACAGATGATATGTTGCGTAATGTTGACCTAACATTGAAAGACTAACTGTTTTGTTATTTGAGACTCACCTGAGCTCCTCTTTTAGTCTGTTGAGTTTATCAAACAGTCGATCATTCTTGACCTGCATGGGAGCGCTTGGTACAAACCAGGCTGCAATGAACTTACAAATGACTACGACGTGCTGTTAACAGAGAGGGGATGTTATTAATGTTAAATTAAAATATGTCTCGTTAAAATGCATTTGGTGTTGTGTGACTTTTTTCTTTTTTTTATACAGGAATCAGTTTTGAGACAGGTTACGAGTTTCTTATTTGGTCCTAGTTGTTAAATCTTACCTCAAATAGAATGACAAATGCAAAGCGCACAGCTAATATCAGCCAGAACTGTGGGGTGAGACTGTAGTCCTCATTGCTCCTGTAGTCTTTATAGCTGTGAAAACAGAGAAAACAGAGGTGCTCAGGTTCATAGCAGTCATTAAACAGCTGATGCCACTTTAAATCTTAAAGGAATTCATTTGCGAATGTTTTGTTTTGTTTTGTCTTATTCTGTAAAAATTCTTCACTATTTAAAATGAAAGATTTAGTATGTTTGATTTTCATTTATTTTTGTCTTTTCTCCCATACTCACACTATCCTTCAGATGTGCTGTGACTAGTTTAGCCATTCCCATTTTTCCCCTTGCATTATGAACATAATCATAATTACATAATTAACAGTAATTATTGCAGCTATCACAGTTACTGACCCTTGTCTTTTTTTGTATAATGACACATCAAGTCCTGTTTAGCAAGAATGGGTGTGTTTTCTTTTCAGTCTAATACCAAATATGACGAGTGATGCTTGTTTGTTTGGAATCAAGATACAAAAAAAAAAGAACAGATAAAAAAAGAGACCTTTCTTTCATAACCTGAATTTACATCTTCCCAAATGAAACTTCTGTTTTGCAGAACTTCAAGAAAAGGAACAAAAAACATCTGGAATTATATATTTTAGCTTTGGTGACTTTATATTTTGGTTTTCTCCATTAAATGTCAAAATGCTGCCAGTTAAATAATACCAGAGAGAGAACAAACCTGCAGTAGGAGACATTCAGTCCGCTGGGAGTCATCATCTGATAGGCTGAAAACTCATTATGTATGTTTTTGTCATCCATTTGTGCGATGGAGAGGGAGTTGTTGATGTAACCAGACATGCAGCTTGAATAATAGAGGAAAACATTAGTCTTCAAAACAAGATAAGAGACATCATATGTTTTTTTAGAGGAACTAAACTCACTCGATATCTGTTGCCGTGCCATTGGCACATGGGCCGTAGTGGTAGCGGTACACCAGTCGAGGGATGAAGTCTGATGACACACCAATGACCAGTCCATTAGCAATGACAGCTAACACACCGATGGCCTCCAGCACATCAATCCACACACCTGAAGAGAGGAAATGTAGTTGTGAGGAGAACTTTAATCACAGTGTAAACAGGAAAATTTTTCAGCCACAATGTCAGAGTAAATTTACCAAAACAAATCTCAGTTTAAAAAGGACAATTACCAATATCGTTGGTTTTCTTGGGGACCAGTCTGCGCTCCAGAGTGACCATTTTAATGGCATCCAATCGTATTTCAATGACATTGTTAATGAGAGCGAGCAGAGGAGCTAGTGGAAACGCTGCCACAAAAATGGTGGTAAAGCTGAACTGGATCACTGCGGAGAGAGAAAAGACTTTATTTATCATCATTTATGAAAATTAGTCCAGAATTAAGTTTTGTCCTCTTCATGCAATAGCAGTGCTCATACCCATCTCCAAGAACTCATTGAACAGGCTGAAGGAGTCCACATCATTGAGGCGGTAGTTGCTGAGCCAGTCTCGAAGTTTGCAATTTTCACACAGTTCATTTCCGTACCTGGGCTCTGATTCATCTTTCAGGTAGCAGTGAGCACATTTCCTCTGCAGCTTCTTTGACCGTCTTCTTTTGAGCCACCGACAAAACCAGCTAATACAAACAAGAGACAGCTTTTAAATAGACAAGTGTGAAAAAAAAAAAAGTCGAAGTTTAATCACACAAGATCTCTGATTGATACTTACGGGCCGGTGAACTCAAAGACATTACTGATGGTCTGCTTGAGCACCATGATAATAGCCATTTGGATGAACAGGTCTGTGAGACACCCACTGGGGTGACACTGTACAGTAAAGGAAAACCTTTTAAATGCATTTGTATACAATGTTAGAATCTAAAATTGCATTTAATTTATTTACTTATTTGCATTCCATCATTTCTAAATAACATATGCATGTGTTACTCACCTCCTCCAGCCTCCATTTCCCTGCAATTCGCACATATCTACCTGGATGACCGTTTATCCTGCCATATACATTACAAGATCACGTCAGGCTTTTCAGGCTCAAGAGCAACAATCACTTCTTATTTAAACATTAATTGTGTTTTTTAAGTTGTGATGCATAAAGATGGAAAATGGGGGTATTAAACTATTGTCAACAATGTGCTCTATGCACAGCTCTACTACTTCCTGAACTTAAGGCTGCTCCTTTTTTTCCTGTCTTACATTATTGGACAAAATGATTAATCCAAGTGTGACTAATCATTGTGACAACCCTGACACACCTGGATTAATCAGTTTGTCCAATAATGTTAGGCAGGAAATAAAGGAGCAGCCTTAAATTCAGGAGGAGTGGATCGGTGCATAGAGGCCATTCTTACCTGCCGAGAAAAAAGGCGACATAGAAAAGGGAGGAGAAATAGGTGAAGAACTGGAAGGTGAACATTTTGACTGTGAAACTCTTCTCAGTGGCAGCAAATGATCTCGTTTCCTCTGATAAAGACACAAACCAACGTCAGAGCGTATGCACTTCACTCTCTGGCCAATAGATGGCACAGTATGGCACAATAACACAAATAGGTGACTGAATTTGACCAGCTCCCTACTGCTCCCAATGTTACATGGTTATTTGAGTTATCATAGAAGGAAAAGCACATTTGTTGCTCAAAAAGGGTATCATGGCTCCAATGAAGTGTTTCAGGTCTAAGGTGCTAATATCAGGCATGCTGTCTCATCGACACAGTAAATGTCAAATGAAGAGGGCAATCAGTTATGAGACAATAACACCTGCACTATCCTGAGGTGACATGACTAAATATTTGCTCTGAACAGGGCCAGTCGGGTCAACAACAAGACTTTGCACGATATCATGACCTCCCAAAAGCTGATCTCTCCTTGAGACTTTCATAAACCCAATTGATGACCTTTCTTAAAATCTTGTCATGCTTCATCATTCCTCTAGGTGCCCTCAGTGAGCTAACATTTGTTAACGCAAATACTCATTCCTGTCTGTCTGTTATCTACCCATCTCACCTGCTTCCTGCCTGAATTCCAGTTTTCCTTCTCTAGCTTAGTCCACTATCACTGCATATGTTAGAATATTAAATATCTAAAAAAAAAAAAAAAACTATATGGTTGTATGGCTTGTATAATGCGATATAATAAATGTAATGCTGCAAAAACACATGAGAGCACAAATCTTAATGCCTGAAAGCTTCTCTTTAAGATTTGGTTTTGTTTTGTGAAATTTACGGATATGGAATAATATACATACCTATTTCACATAGCTTCATGGCGACTATCCTGTTGATCTGCAGACACATGGACATAGTCAGTGAGACACAGATTACTAATAAAAACAATGCACTTAGTGACCTGCATACCCGTGTCATGACTGTGATGATGAGGTAATGGAGGACGGCCCCCAGCATCATGGCCCCGCTGTTTGAGTGGGTGCTCAGAAACTCCCAAGATCCCTCAGCCAGAAGCACAGCTGCAATTACCCTGAACACCACCAGGGCATGTGTCAGGCCAATGATCAGCAGTATCTAGAAAAAAAACACAAAAGCAGATCAGTCAAGTTGGTCTAACCCAAATAACCTAATAGAGCACATACAGCACAGCACATACAGTCCTATTTCCTATTCAACTGGCGCTCTTAAATTTTAACCTGACACTAACCTGAAGATACAAAAGAATGTTGAACATCCAAACTGTAAAATTACTCACCATAACTGTGACACAGATAAGAACCAGAGTGCTGCGTAGATAGGAGTGTTTATATGTTTTGGGTTCACAGTTAACATTGTTCACAATCTCCAGGATCAGCTCCTCCTGTGATAAAATATGACAGAAAAAAACATAACTCCCACTGGAACTGCTGTGGAATTATTAATGGATGAGCTGAAATGTACAAAACTGTCCTGAATTGTACCTCCTCTTCACACCAATCAGATACTTTCCATTCGCACACATAGGAAGCTCGGTGTCTCTTCCAGAACTCCAAAAACAGGGTTGCTGCAAAGACAAGTGTTTCATATGAGCTTATAAAGTTGAGCTAAACTCCAAAATGTGAAATAAGAAAGAGTAAACAACAATCATCTCATACATTAAAGATGTAAAAAGTAAGGTTTGGTTTTATTTGAAGTGGTTTTATGTGAGGTACTTGGCAGTATTTCCTATGTGTATTACCGACAGGAGATCCTGGTCAGCTCGGCACTCAGAAAAAAATGCTGGAGAACTGGAACAGGAGCTTGGCTATCAGCTCAGCTGCTGTGAGATCAACCCTTCCATGTAATTTAGAAAATTTCAATCAACTGTGACCCAAACAGTGATGCAAGAGTAAATTTACACTCTAGATAGTAACTCTTTGCTGTGCCATCAGAAATCTGGCTGCACTTCACTCTTTAGCTGTTTGAGTCTGTGAAAGAGACAGAAATCTTCAAATGAAAATTTAAGATCTCGTTTTTTTATTGCATAATGACACAACCTATAATCTGCATGTAATGTTTCATCTACCTTAATGTTTACCTGAAAATACTGTGTTAGCTTAAAATTAGCCAAATTTCATTTTAGAGTCGACTTGTTCGCAGCCATTGATTGCTTATGCTTATGCTTCTGTCCCAGTTCAAATGGTTTCTCAGCAAAGGGGCCAAGCAGACCAGCATCCCTGGTAGGTCTCCCTTTCTGGTAATGAGTAACCTACCACGTGCAACTCTTTTAAATAAGAGTGAACTTTTCCTTTAAAATCGTGGAAAAAAATTATCTACACCATTACTTTGCTATTTTATGTTGAGACATACTGAACCCGCTGCAAGGACCACTCTGCTGAAAATGACTTTTTTATTGTTACTAAGGTGTGGGATATGTTAAAGATACAGGAAGTTCTGAGAGGAACTCAAGGAAGTTAAGGTCAAAGTCCAGGTATGATCTCAGGGGTTAAAGCTTTAAAATTGAGGGAGAAGCTGAACTGCAGCCTTCTTTACTGGTCTATTGTGAGGGTTTATCATTTGAGCCTATAATGACTTTTTTCTTACGGTTGACTCCTGTTTAATTTGAACCCTATATTCATACAGTATAAGGGGACTCATAAAGATATTGTTCATGTGCTGTTATTTGTCGTCTTCCTCTTTATGTGTCTCACTTCACCCTTTCCCACTTCTTTGAACTTGTAATTACTCTTTATTTTTATTTTTTTCTTGGAATGTTACAGCAACTATTAAACACCTCTTCACTGAAAGTCTGACTCCTTCATTTCCACAACAGGTATGTATCAATTTGACAGGCAACACACTGTAAATGTTTAAAAAGCCACAAAAACATGCTTGTACAGGACTGCAATAGACCACCCCCATGGCCAGATGGTACAGGCTGTTTAAAACCAAGTAGCCAGGACGTGTAGGTTTTTCTGGTGATGTTGCTCGTCTTTGGCATGTCTCACTGATCACAAAACATCCAAGCAATTGGATGAAGTTCATTTAAGGCAGATAAAAGCTTATTTGTGTTATTTCTGCTGCACAGCCAACGATAATCAAGCCAAAAAATGAAACTGTGCTTAAGAATTGGCCTCTTTGGTTTTCAATTATTTTTGATAAATAGACCTATTGTTTCATTTTAGTGGGTATGAAGCCAGACTGCTATTTCATTTAATGTGAGGTATTGGAATCACAGCTTGAACATAAATGATACATATACAGGACTTACCCCACACTGCCATGAACATTGCAAAGAGCACTGTGCCATTATTATCAAACAGCAAGCTCACCTGTGGGCAGAAAAGATCTTGAATGAACACAAGTCATCTCCACCGTTTATTAGTCTACTGTATATGCACTGATGTACCTTAGCATATGTACAGGTGTCAGAGAGCTGCCACACTTTACACCTCTTGTCACAAAGTGGACACATGACTATGTCAGCCTCACAAACCTCCTTTCTACAACACAAGAAACACTTGTTTTTGTCACCGAGTAAATGCTCAGCTGTAACTCAGACAATATGAAGCGGTGGGGAACCTTACATGAGCGGTGAGCTGTTGAAGAAGGCAAGGCCATATAGGAAGACTATGGCCCCGATAAGAGCAGGTGGGATGAGGAGGTATGTGTACCAACCCAGCCACAGGTAGTACAAGGCCACCTTTTCCCCAAAGTAGTTTCTGAAAATGAAATCACATGTTAAAGAAACTCTTGAAATCCAGAACAACACACTGCACACACTGTAAAATGTGTAATCGTGTTTATGAAGATACAACAATTATCAGTGAATCAGAGTTGACATGTTAAGCTCTGTTTGATAGTGTGCTCTCTTTATCTACTGAACAAATACAATTCATAAGAAGTCCATGACATGTTATCCTATATACATAATGTCTCTGCCATATTGTGAAAGGCTTTTAAATAAAACAGTATGTTAGAGAACTGGATCTGCAGTTTGTGTGCCCCACAGTCTAACTGCAGGTCCTTGAAACTGGCAGCTCATGTTTAACATATTATGCACATTATTTTCTCAGTATCAAAGGGGGATTATTCTCACATTTATATCTTGAAACTGTGTAAAAATAATGCCATTAAATGTTATAGTCATTTCCAAATCCTGGTGAGAGTGTGATGTTTAAAAGTCTGTAATAAATAAAGACTTTTATCATGCAGCAGAAAAGCAGAAAACCATGTTTATCTTCGAAAAACAAACATTGCATATTTGTAAAAGCTATATAAAGTGGTATAATGTTTTTCTGACTGGTCTGTTTTACTTAAAAAAAAACAATAATATGGACTGAACTGGGAAAAATGTGATGCTGAGTGATGGTGTCCTTATAGAAACAATACGGCTGCTTTGAGAGGGATTTGTTGAACAGCTCACATTGTGCCATCAATCTTGATTTTGACGTAAATATGTCAACAAAATGTGTTTTCGTGTGATCCTGTGTCCACTGTTGTATTTCTGTATAAAAGAGAATCTATAGATAAAAACAACCTTATCTGTAACAGCATTTCAGTAAACTGTATCATTTTAAATAACAAGTCCAAACAGTGTCTACATCATGTGTGGGCGGTGACATGCTTGCTGTTCTCTGGTTGATACTTGAGCCTACTTCACAGTAGGATGACATGAGAACAATAATGCAGCAATAAGAGCAAGTGTAAAAAGCAGGCTAATGAATAGGCTGTTGTGTTGTAGTCCAAACCTGACAGCAGTTATGGGTTGCCCTTGGAGACAGGCTGTCCATCGTGCCCAGCTCTCCTTCAACTCCCTCTGCTTCCTTTTCTGAAAGCAGAAGCAAAAATAAATCAAAGGAAAGAAACAACATGAAGAAGACGGTTATGTTCAGCACATTGGAACTGAACAAAGAATTAAAAACAGCAGCTTTTAACAATTTCAACTAATTACTAGATCATATACACAGTTAATAAACAACCTTAAATGCTAAGACTTTGAGTCAGCCGTGAAATTAATTTGCGTTCCATTTCTTCTTTTTCATCGTGTGTGAAAAAATTCACTTCCTTCATGTTGAGTGTGTAAACAGAGGATCACACGTATACATGCTTGCAGTATGCTGTATGTGCATATTTATATGAATGTGAGCTCTCACACATACCCACCAACTCCCAGCAGTGAATGACTCAGTGAATTAATATGACTTGTAAGCGCCTCTGTTCTTTTTTGGCAGCATTGTATTGTTTAGGAAAACCATTGCCAAGTTTCACTTCATAAATTTCAGAAGAAAAACACTTAAGAAGCCATGTGATTAAAAAAAAACTGTACCTCCAGCAATACTTGATAATAGTGCCGCAATAGGATGAGGTTGTGTGGATTTAAATAATTTCAATATTGATCCAGGTTACAATCCTGTTTGTGTCTTTATTGCTTTTATTCTTTAGTTATACAGTCTACAAAGCTACAAGTCCACTGTTCTGGTCATTAATAATGATCACACCAGATATGGTGGTAATATGGAAACAGATCGCAGTGAATCATTAATAGGTGAGTGTTCTTGATATGTACAGCATACTTTGTTTGGAGATTTACCTCATGCAAGCAGAACCTTGCTTCAAAGACCTTCATCTTCATAAGATCTCGAAGACCCTCTGTGAAAAGAGAACAGGTATGAAGAGCAACAAGAGCGATCAGGAGTCCAGCTATGAGTACGGGAACACGGTGAATGTTTCTTACCTCCTGTGCGTAAAGGGGTGTGATTCAAGATGAAGTGGACGATCCTTATCCTAAACCACAGACATGAATCATCATCAAAGGTATCACTGCAGGCTGTGAAATACCTTCATTTGTTCAAGCTAATGTTTGAGATACCAATAGAGGGAAGGCTAAACTTTGACATGATCTCAAGTATATAATTTGAACAAGCCCACAGAGAGAGATTTTTCTGCAAAGGGATTATTTTCAAGAAAACATGTCTTGCATCTGGAGAGCAGTATCAATGACAGATTTCTCAAATATCACCAGTGAATTTTTTTGAAATGTCAGAAATTAAGTGTTACCTGGTGCTCAGGGGAACCACATTCTGGTCCGAGCTCCAGTTACAAGCATCAGACACTTTGAGCAGATACCTGTACTTCTCAAATATTTCTTTGGGTGCTTGAATCCCGAAGAAGATGAGATCATCGTCAATAATTTTCTAACAGAAATGGATAAATACGAGATGAGAGAAGAAATCATGTGACTTTTGCAGAAGGAAGAGACATTTTGTCTGTTACTTATGGCTTACAGTGACTTTTAAGTTCTTCTTTTTCAGCTCTTCAATGTATTCATTTTGCTTCTTGGTCGCCTCTCTGTGATAGCTGTCCATAGTTTTGGCAACCAGGACATAGTCGTATGAAAGAGGAGTGTGCTGCACGACAGAAAGTATATGCCAGAGTTACACATAGGGGAATTTTTTGTATCACATGAACTCTAGGAATAAAAGGGGAATGGGCTGGTTATGATGTTGTGAAAATGGACAGGTTTTTTTTCTTACCACAGGAGGAAGTGATGACTGTTCATTGCCATTCTCTTTTACCACTCCCATAAATTCCAGTAGTTCGATACTGGGCTTTAAGACAAAAAAAATGTAAAATCATAACAAGAGAAAAGTGTCAGAGTAGCATGTCATGAGTAAATGACTGGGTATGCATATAAACCTCTAAATCTGTGAGGAAATGTTTGTACAATGATTTTACAGCTTGGAATAATCCGGTTTCATCCTTGGTCAAATATGTCATCTGAAGCTTGAGAAAATGTGCAGAAAGGTCGTCAACTACTTAAGAATCCAGTCAAACTGAGACATGGGGGTGTGTCATTGACATGCCAGTGTGCTGAGAGAAACCTGAGGAGATCCTGACTCACATAGGAGGGCTGTCAACAAAGAGGGTTCACCTGCCCTGTGAGTGAACGGCAGGGCATGCAGACCTGCTCCCACCACCACCACCACCATCATCATGCATCAATCTGTGTTTTCTGTTCACTCACAGAGCAGCCCACGCACACCAACATGTAAGGCTGAAACAGTAATCAGATTAGAGCTTTTCAATGAAGTCTTGATTAGGAGGAGAGTGGGGCTTAGACAGCACTTCTATGAGCTTTTATCTGTGGTAGCCTCAAAGTCTGACAGGTGCAGGATAGGCAGACATGTTAAAAAACAACAGGCCGATATGAAAACACAGCAAAGGAGGTGGCCAGCTTATATGTATGAAAGTAAGAATAAGATCACATACCTGCCTCCTGTGGCCGGGCATGATGAGTGGAGGGCTGGATACAGATGCAGAATACCTCCCGTGTGGGTTTAAGAAAATACGAGCCTCAGTGTGCGTTCAATGATCCCCCAAAACCTCGCGGTAAACTCACCGATACTCCCGGCTGTAAAAACGGCACGAGGAGCTCCGAAACAGGCGGTAGGTTAGACAACTTCCGTACTTCCTCTGGGAACAGACGAGCTCTTGTATCACTATCTGAGGAATGTAAAAGCAACTCTACCTGTTGCTGGTGTCACAACATTTATCCCTGCCGCCTCCACCTTTTTTTTTCTCAGTTTAGTGTTTCAGTCTCGCGTTGGAGTCATTGAACACCCACAGAGACGCACACCCAAAAAAAAGCACCAAAAGAAGCTGTGCGTTTGTGTTGCTGCAGACACACAGCGACTATCTCGGTGTGGTTTGTCAGGTGCAGTGGAAAGGCATGCCCTCATTGCTTCCCTCCTCGCAGATGCTTCCTAGAATATTTCCACCGCTAGATGGCAGCAAATACAGTGACTTTCGCACTCTGTAAATCAGTGCCTGATTCATCCCACACCCCTCCGGTTGTGCACCGACACTGACATTTGTCTGAAACACCATGAGTCATAAAATTACAATTTAAAAAGCACGTTGGCTGAGCAGAATCATTAAAATTCAGCTGTTTTTTAAAGTCTCGAGAGACCAAATCAGCCCAAAAAACAGCAGTTCATTGTGGGCGTTTCTATGTAAATTCGTCATTAGGTTAGGCCTAAGGTTGTTTTCTGTAGTCAGGCATGGTCGTGATGTAGGACTCGTTTGTCAGAGATAGCTGGAGGCTTAGTCTTCCTTCAAGTTGCAGAGAGTGATTCATGAGCGGTTTCAATGATAAATTCCCTCTAAAGCCTGTGGATGTCGAGAAGAAGGTTTGGCCTGTAATGGTGTGGGTTTGAGGAGAGTAACCTCAGTGGGCTGAGGTCATCAGTGGGGTCATCTATATTTCTACCCTGGCAAGTACACACTGTGGCACTTTCAAATCATTTTTTTGTGCTTTTATTGAATTAGTAGAGTGTACAGACAGCATATCATTGAAAAAAGTTACTATTTATGAAAATTTTATGTTCATATAAAATTTGATAGTAGTCGCATGTGTATGTGCACCATTGTGTTGCATTGCCTCTTCCTCTTCTGTATCAATCAATCAATCAATCAATCAGATTTGATCTATATAGCGCCAATTCACAACAGTCATCATCCCAAGACGCTTTTCAAAGAACAAGAGCAGGTCTAGACCACGCTCCTTGTTTGATGAATTATCAAGACCCAACCTAAGATGGGATTTGGCCCACCTCATCTAACATGAGTGACAGCGGCGAGGGAAAACTTCAGGCAGAAACCTTGAGCAGGACCAGACTCATGATAGACAGCCACTAGGCCACTGCTGGGTTGGGGAGGAATACAGAGATATAGGGGGAGAGAGAGAGGGAGAGAGAGAAGTGGAGAGAGGGCAGGGAAGAGAGGGAGAACAAGATAGAGGTAAGGAGAGAGAGAATGAGCAAGGGAGAGGGAGGGAGAGAGAGTAGAGAACGAGGGTGAGATAGAGAGAGACAGGGGACAGCAGCAACAGTAAAACAACAACAACAACAAAAGCAGCTCATGTAATGATGAAACAAAACGAATTCAGTTTACAGGGTTAGGATATGAGTAATTATGGACTATGTTAAATTAATTTAATGTGATTACAATCAACAGGCCTAATAGTAGTTAGCTCTAGTTTTATGTTATTAATGTCAGTGAGGCTGATGATCATGTCTGCAGCAACAGTCCAGAGGAAAAAAAAGGGAGTTCAGGGCCTGAGGCAGACAGTGATAAACAAAACAGCTGGAGTCAGGCATGTCCGCAGCATCAATCCAGAGCAACCTAGGAGACTGGGGGGCTCAGGGACATACAGAGAGATCTGGTTAGCAACTAGATGGGAGAAAATGACTTCAATGTCCAGGATAATGAAATAACTAATTATGGACTGTGTTAAATTAATTTAAGGTGATTAAAGTTGGCAGGTCCAATTGCAGTTTACTCTAGTTTTATTTTATTTTATTCTGTACCAAGAGGGCTAGTTTCATGAGTTTTGAGGCTAAACATTTTAGGGTCTCTTCTTTGTCTTATTTATCATTTCATGATTTGTCAGTTTGTTCAATAGGTGATGAGCTGGCACTGTGGGCAGACAGGCCAGTTAAGCACCCAGATTCTTTTATTATAGAGTAATACTGAAGTTGTGTAAATGTGGTTTTCATTGTCTCATTGAAATACAATAGTTCTTTCATGAGAAGGGTAATTGACTAGATGGCAGCATTCGCTGCTTCAAACTCTAAGGATATATTTTGTCCATAGTTAAATTCCATTCATTAGACTATGTGGCAGTTTTCCCTTCGCCTTAGACCCTCCTATATAGGCTTTGACCAAGAGAGGTCTCTAGTGTTTCTGGATCATGTTTATATTTAGTCTCCACTTTGAGTAGTACACTTTCAACCTGCATTTGTAAAAGTAAAGATGAATTGTGTTCACAGACAATAGTTCTGGGAAGTGGTTTTTGAGACAATACAGTAGTTTCAGCTGCAGAGTCATATCTGGTTTTAATGCAGTGCTGCCTGAGGGCAGGAAAACCACAGTCATGTGATACTGTTTTTTTGCCTTGTTCCTTTTCAACAGGGATTTTTAAAGATCCTCTGAATCTTTCAATATTATCACTTCCTGTTTAAAATCCCCTATTTGTTATATGTTTTATGCTCAGGAACATTACTTTAAATTTGTCCATTTACACACACAGTCTATGACAGAGTGATGAACATCTTCCCATCTCACCTCTGACAGACCCAGCCTCTGGGAAATGTCATTTTATATTACTGACCAAATTAGGTGGGGTGCTCCTATCGGTGATTTCATTTGGTTTGGGAGTTTGTTGGTGTTATCCAAAATTCTCAGTGTTTGTTGTCCTTTTTCCAAGATGTGAAGCAATACAATGGTAAACATGCCCCTGTCCCAACTATTTTTAAATGTGTTGCTGCTATCAAATTTAAAATGATAAATATTAAATAACAGACATAAAAACAACAAAAAATTAAGATTCTAGTGAAAATATGATGTCTTAGTGTTATTGTTAATTACATATTTAGGTTTCAATGATTCGGGAACCATCAAAATCTGTTTTATCGACATTTTACAGTGTCCCATCTCCTTTGACTCAGGTATGTAATTTGAGTTTAAACAATTTAAAACACTCTGAATAAACCATGTTATGAGAATATCATAAATTTATTTACAAAAGGTTAAATTATATTTGCACAAGTTACCTAAATAAAATGTTAATACTTGACTTTAAACGTGACATTGATATTTTCCCTGATAAACTGACATAAATCATCAGGTCCAATATAAATGTTACCCTCTGAAAAGACCATTTATGGATGACTACTATTCTTGATTTCTATTTAGGATATACAGATACTAAAACTTTTTTAAGCAGACATGTTGCTATTGGATTTTTCCTTAAAACTTAACTTTAAAACGAAGCTTTTCTCAGTCGGCTTACTTAATATTTGTCAAATTATAATGTGCTTGTATTATTTCCAAATATCTAACACAAACAGCTTTGTGAATTCCCATCTTTCACTTGAGCAGTGTATAAAAAGAAGAAAGCAGAACGACCATGTCAAATGGGTGGCCCACTGTGCCTAGTTATTAGAGCTGATTTAAGCATTAGCCTTCTTGAAAACTCTTGGAAAGGAGTGCACACCCAGGAAGACCCACATGTCAGGGAGAAGAGGTGATGTGAGGCTGAAGAAAAAGTGGTCAAGAAAATAAGCAGCTGTATTTCTGTACAGAGCCACACCCACAGAGGAGGATAACATAATTACACCAGTACAGGGCTGTGCAAACCACTTCAAGGACAACTGAAGGGGGGGCTCTGCAACTAAATTTGACTGAAGTCGAGGTACAGTAAAGAGCGTGGGCTGGGAGCAGTTCGGGAGCTTCTGGTAAACCTTTTTTCTAAAGCCACTGTCAAAGTAGGAACAGACAGTCATGTAAATGACTGGGAAGAGGGGTCAAACATCTTTAAGCTAAACACTACTGCTTAACATTTGAAGGTTAAGGGTTCACCAGAGTACACAGTCAGTGAAACAACTCTTTGACAAAGAAGTAAATTTCTAATTTGTGCATCTATTTTAGTTAGGACTACAACAATCCAACCTTAAAATGATTGATGGGTTTTCAGTTTCAAATTATAAAGGAGAAGATGATTCTTGTGTACTGAAAACTTTCTTGTGGGATCTCTTGAATATGTGACTCCTTTGGAAAGGCTTGAGTGAAGTGCACAAACAAATTAAATTTATACCTACGCAAATACAATATCAGAGGGTAGCAACATGGTGGCAGAGCATGAAACACACATAAAAATAACTATAATCTTTGTAACCTAGCTTCTTTGTTTAATCCAGCTTCATTTGCATGGTAACAAATATATGACTTTGATAACAGATAGTCTATCATAACACCACCTCAGTGTATGCTGTTATTTCTCAGCTTGGTTTCACACCCTTTTTTTAATGTCTGAGACTCAAGACTTCTTCGGTGAGTAAAAAAAAAAAAACAGTGCGATGGTACTTTCCTGTTTGTTTGACTTGAAATTGACTCAGTTCGTATAATCCAACATGGCTGTTAGTTGAAAAATTAGCAGCAGTGGTTAAACCTTCATCTTCTAGCTGTTCAGTCTGTGACTGTGTTTGATTTATAGGGGAGAGTGGGGTAAGTTGAGCCAAAGGGTAAGTTGAGCCACTCCCTGTTGCTTGGAAATGGTAAAAGAAATTGATCATGTGACCAAATATTTAGGAGATGGGCATCAATTCATGGATTCTGTGAAGGTTAGAAGCACATGGATGAAGAGGTTAGACATTTATTTAAAAAAAAAACATTTTTTGCTCTTGAAAGTGAATTTAGTCTGTCTTCGGTTTTATTAGAATTGTGTTCAGATCAAAAAAAGATAATTTTAAATTTGTTTTATACATCAATTGTGGAATCTATGAGCTACAACATGAGGTCAAAAACCTAACATAAAAGTCCACCATTTTAGCTTAGAGGACTAATAAAGTCATGATAGTAGTTCTGTAAAGAGAAAGTAAAGAAATGTGATGAGAGGATCAGAGTTTCAGTTCAGATTGTTGAAATGTGTTACTTCTTCTTTTCAAAAATACAGCTGTGAATGTTCTGAATCACTTAAAGACATTCTCGTGTTAAAATGATTTTTTACAAAACAGCTTTTTAACAGTTATAGGCAATAATAATAAAAAGAATTATTGTACCAATTATTGTATCCATAGTTTATAATAGATAAAAAAAATACACATGAATGTGAAGAAGTGACTGTTTTTTAGAGAGAGAGAAGGTGAGGGAGGGCTGGGGTGGAGAGTAGGGCGGTAGTAGGAATACGGCTCAACTTCCCCCTTGTATGGGGTAAGTTGACCATAGGAGACCACTTTTTTGACATGCTATATTATCAAGACAGTTATATTTACACTCATTCTGTTGGTTTGCAGGGATGAACAACATCTTGAAATATATGCAGATACACTAGTAAGAGACAAAACTATGATTGACTTGATGTAGTGATCTGAAGTATGAAAAATGGCTCATCTTACCCCACTCTCCCCTACTCGCCTTAGTAAAGTTTGGGACGAGTGTCCGTTCACCCCCAGTCAGACTCAGACTATTGGTCCGTGGTTTAGGAGCCACTCCCCTCTCGAGCCTCCCTCTGTGGCAGCAGTGATGCAGCAGTCGGCTGAGATCAGTGGGTGAAGGGGGGGCAGCCTCGCAAGAAGCTCACTCCGTTATCTGAGGCGTCTCTCTGGATCGCCCGATTTAGAGGGCCCGTGAACGCAGCACAGAAGTCGTCTGGCTGGGAATACCCCGGAGCACGAGGACCGGTTAACCTGAGCCACACAGGGGATTCAAGATGAACCGATTAACCGGGAGGACCGGAGGGGACAGTCTGATTGAGATGAGCCCAACAGAGTCATTCAATGGTGAGTAACTTAGAGCTGGAGCTGCCCTCCAACTAATAACCGAGTCGTAGCTTTCCGTTTTATATTTAGCTGTGAACGTGTAGTCTTCTCCCTTGGTGTTTACAGAAAGTTATAACTCCATTGGGAAAATTTTACCTCGGTAAATATTTATATTTAGGCCATGGCGTTCAGGAAACGTAAACAAAGCTCATGTGTACTGTTTATGAATTATTTACAGAGTGAACCAAAGTTTTGACGTCCTTGATTTTTCGACTGTACCTTACATGAGCTGAAACTTCAAACATTTGCACACTGATATTCTAACCACAGTCTTTTCTAAATTTCTAAAAAGATATAAATTAGACTTGAAATCAGATTTATATTGCAGTTGGTGAACCTTTCTGGGACCACAGGGGAATGAATGCCAGTATCAACAACAGAGTACCACTTTTACATATACACACAGGGCATTTTAATAGGTAAAATAAACATTTCCTTAACTGTAACAAAGCAGCCGCCCGTTAAATTACCCATCTAACACCATAACCAGCTCAAAGTCTGTCTTTTTTTCCATTAAATCAGTGGTGCCTGGGAGCCAGTCAGCCTCTGACAGCTGGCCCGCTTACTGGAAATACTCTGTCACCGCAGACAGCCACTCTGTCCACAGGCACAAACCCCAACTCCCTCTCTGCCTCTCACAAAACATGAATTTAAACAAACCCCTGGACACTTTTAGCCATATAAGGTGATGCTGAATGGAGACTGGAGCACACTCAATGCTCTCCAGTAACATGAAAACTGTTGTGTTACATCTACAAAATAGAGATAACTATATTACAATGATCTAGCTCAGACTAGGTTTGAGTGATCACTGCAGAATCATGACCTATAGTTACTGTTACCTCGGTGTTTTGTCTTTGTGGCCCGTCTTGATAACAGTGTTTTGCATTTATCTCCTTCACAGCCCCATCTCTATGCAAATTGTAACCAGATCAGAAATTCTTTGTTGTGTTACATAATAATCACAAAGGACATATATCACAAAGGATACTCAAAAATTGAAGAAAATAAAATATATTCAGGAGGTCGTACTGTTTCTGCTACACACCTCCAGATGACTACTGTCCCTGACAACGCCAACGGTTTGAAAAGATTAAAACACTTAATCAGATTTAAAGTACTGAACATACTGTACATAGATTAGGGCTGTGTTGGTTTATTGTTTGTTAGATGAGTGTTAATATGATACTAAATATTGACTAAATTATGTAAATTTGTCTTGATGTGTGAGTCAACAGACAAACATGTACATTGGAAACTTAAGGCTGTAAACAGGACGACAGCTTCCTGTCAGAGGAAATTAATCAAGCCCGCCTACCGTCTTTATCTGCTAAACGTATCAGTAAGAAGTAAGGGTGTTGAGTTAATGCCAACAGCTGTGTTGAGTTGCAGTGATGATAACGCACAAGTATGGTTACAAAATCAACACAACCATGCAGAAACTGAATAGAAGTAATATTCTGGAGATTGCGTCTGATATATTTGTGAAAACAGCAGAATGAGCCGTCTCTGTGTTCAAATTTACCATATTTCCTAAAATTATTAGTGTATCTGAGGTCCCAGTGTTGTAAGGAACACTCTCTTGGGTTACTCAGCATGAAAAAAAAGGGGCAGAAGCAGCCGTGTGGCCTTACGACTGTGATCAGCTGCTCGCTCATGGACAAAGCTCTAACTGTGGAGGCTTGTTAGCTCGCTGGCTGAGAGTGACGCAATACGGTGTCCAACTGTGCAGAAATATGCTCAGCTGTTTGCGAGGCATTCTGATTCCTTAAATTTAATCTGTATTTTAGCACGAGCAATAAAAGGTTCAGTCAGTGTCTTGACCGTTTTTCAGTTATATGAATAAACAAAACAAAAAAATCACACCCTGCCATTTAGAGTATATACAATAAGTATGATGAAGCAAAAATATGCTGTGTATGCAAAAGTAAAAGCAAGTATGACTTCCTTTTAGTCATGAAGGTCACTGTGAGACATTATTAAGGATTGTCATTTGTGTAAAGGGGGGAAAAAAAAGAGTTTGACAAAAGAAAAAGTAAAGGTCTCCAGCGTGACAGAGAAGAACGGCGACATAATACAAGGTTTGAATGCCTGTTTAGGCCTGTGTAAGCACATTTTCTATGCCGGGTCAAACTAAATATAGCCTCAGACAGACCATCAATTAGGACCGCTACATTTCTATTTCAAAACCCAGAGGCTGAAACACTCCTCTGCTTCATGTTTATTTTCCCTGAAGGTGGTGGTGCCACCAGTCCTGGCTGTCTTGCTTTTCCAACAGCCCTGACATTTGATTATGTAAATCTTACTCAGGATGCAAACTGGAAGGATTAATTGTGTTCAACAAGCAATGAGGGGCAGGTCAGAGGAGGAGTTTGTCATTGTTCTAGTCATGTTTTATCACTGAGTCGACTTTCACTTTCAGCCACACAGAGCGGAGTTTCCAGAGCTCTTATTTCCTGCTCTGGTTAAATCAAGCAGAGAAACATGACCACGTGTATTCTATCACACTTGTTAAGTCATGCTATCTGGCTTGTGTCAGTGTTGCACAAATATAGACCACAACATTGGCTGTGTGTCAGTCAAGAGCTGTAAACCCTCTCAGGAAGCGGTTCATGTGCCTGAAACCTAACTTTGCTGTCACTGACATGTATGTCTGGGATTCCCTGTGTTACTGTTTTCTTTCCAAACAGCACTGGTAGTTCAATTGTTCACTTTTTGCTCTTCCTGTTTCTGTTTTGTAGATGACATAAATGGCTACCCCCAACATGGCTCATCCAGCGCAGGACAATCACCGGTAAACAACAAACCCACCTCACGCTTACTGCACCATCACAGAGACATTTCTGCAAAGTGTTTCCTGAGAGAAATGATTATTTTCACACAAATCTCAAGAAGTGATTCTTAAAATTTTATGTTAACAGGTGTTTGCTTGTGGCTCCAACAGTTCCTTAGATCTGCTCTGAAGATACAACAAAATATGTCCCCACATTATTAAGCCTTCCAAGAGATGTTTCTTTTCGACAGTATCAAATCTTGATCTCCAGCTTAGCTCCTGTAAACTTGGTAGCTGAGAGTTCATTGTGTACAAGTCAAACTCTTGATTTAGAGTTCCTTCCTTCCCTCTAGTTTTCCTATTCAGTCAATAGTTGTTTGTTCAGATAAGGGGGGAGAATTGAGCCACTTTGGATTAATATCAGTTTATCAGTGCAATAACAATAGCTAACAGCATGCCAGTTTCCATAGAGAATCTGAAATAACTCTTATGCACCTGTCTATTCTCTCCCTTTCACACTCTAATTAGTCTCCTTTTGCGCCTGATGTCAGTGTAGAGACCTGTGAGTCTCTAAACACTAGTCTGGCCTCCCTGGCCCCCTCAGACCACAGCGACAGTCCACAGCTTGAGGCTCAGACCTTAGAGCATATCAATTCTTTGACAGGGGTAAGACACCTTTTGAGGTTAGATGCATGCTGGTGTGTTGGTGACGGGGTAAGGAATCCTTTGAGGATATTTGCATGCTGGTGTGTTGGTGTCTGCTTGTTTGTGTCATAGTTTACTGTCCTGTAACTGAGGAAGACCTGACCATAGCCACGCCTGACATTTTACAGGATCAGAATGAATGAACATCTTCTGTAACAGTGTGTTAAACGGGACGGGGGTTTGCAGTGTCTGATGTTATGATCAGTAAAGATATCCTCTGTGTGACTCCGGCTAAAGTTGTAGCTGTATGTTGTTGAATTTGTTGTTCTCTTAGGCTGTCCCTTACTGTCAACTCGGTTCATCCACAGCTGTCTCGAAAGCGGGCGCTTTTCCTGAAGTTTCGTTCCAGGGTATGGCATGGTAAAACAGGCTGTGATGTGATGCAATTGTCTGCATATGTCCGTCTATCTGCCTGCCGTTTTCTGAAGAAGTCTGTTCAGCACAAGCTTTCCCGGCTGTCTGTAAATGTGCAAAGAAAAGCTCTGACATTGGAGATGAAATCAATACACATTGCTCAGTAGATTGCTGATGCCGACTTCAAGAGAGCATGTCTTCTGATGTTTTCTACAGAGAGAAATCAAAACATAAAGGCATGAGCTGTGTGTTGGCGCATCATAAGAGTTCATTAAAAATGGAAGAGGTCCCTAACTTGCTTTGTTCTCACCTGTGATATTTGTCTGCTTCACTGGAGAGAAATCAACAGCCTGCTGGAGTCGCAGCATAATTATAAGTTCACACTTGCACAAACAAACGTATAGTCCTGCACACAGACTTTATATTATATATTTTATGTTTAGTTTTGTTTGTGCATTTATGTGCATCTGTCTTTTTAAGAATTGTGAGCCAATTCTGTAATAACGGCCTTGCCATGTGCTCATGAAAGACTGATCATTGCTGCTGTTAGACATATAATACACTTTGACTTTTTTTTTTTTTTGAAACATTTGAGAATATGGTCTTTCTTGAACAGTTTGTTGTGAGATAGGAACTCTAAACAGCAGCTAATCCTCAGAACAAAACTAAAGCCTGCAGCTTACAGCAGGGGGTTTTAAAGGTGTGGCAGCTGCACGTCTATAAATTGCCTCTGTTAAGTCAGGAAAGAAACATAAGCTAGGTGTACAGCACCTCTGCTACAGGAAGCTGAATATACCGATATCTTTCTTACAGGGTTATCAGTGGGAAATTTTAAAGGGGCCTTTTGAACCACAAACATCTTCTGAATCTGTTAGAATTATTAGAATAATTGGTATAAATGTTTCGCTCTTCAGAGCTTTTTGGATCGTAATGATTTACTGCAATTAGGGCTGGGCCATATGGGAAAAAGTTTATCACAATATATTTTTTTCATATCAGGCGATATCAATATATATCACGATATGAAAAATGAAAATGAACAGTGCTCATTGGTAGCATGTCTTTTGCAATACAATAAGCTACTGCATCTGTGAGGTCTTTGTGTCTCTTTGACGCCCCTTGCTCCGCTCTGGGTTTGTAACCTTTTGCAGTGCGTGTGCTCTGCCCTGTGGCACTGCTTCAGGTGGGGAAAAAGATTTGAGGTATTCCCCGACTTTGCGAGAACATGTATTCGACATAATTTGCAGTTCACATAACTCTGCTTCATGCCGGATCTCACATACCTCCACACCACCAACGTTTTGTGCCGTTTTTGTGAGTGTTGTCGACAATGTCATCACCTGTTGAGCATTCATCTGCATTTCTGCAGGGGGTAGCACTCTTTTTCTTTTTTCCTCACTGACAGTGCTGTCGTTTTCACATGTTAAAGTTCTGTGGTTGCATGTAGCTGCAGCCTGCTACTACACAGTTGTTTGCTACTTGGTTCTAATTCAGCACATGATTGGTTCAGCGCGAAGCTAAATCCCCTTTTTTTGGGGCTGTTCGTATAATCTAACAAAACATGGCAGAATGTCGACTGTTGAAAAGCATATTGACCATGTTTTATATTGATATTAAGGGAAATTAATTTCTCGATGTATATCTTTACCGTTTTATCGCCCAGCCTTAACTGTACTGGAACAAAGCTACAGTATAGTTCTGAGATTGAATAAAACAACAACTGTTCAATCAAACTTTAAGACAAAACATCTGCATTTTCTTCCAATGAAGAAAAAACTCCTTAGATTGATGTTTTTAGAAATATCAATCAAACAAATAGAGAAGAATGAAATCATGCCACTAGGTCCAGCAGCACTCGGTTTGTTAGAAACCTAACTGGATGCTGGCAGACAGCAGGAAAAATATGGTGTTGTCAAGAGAGTCATAGGAGTAAGGGAGGAGTGTGCATCATGATACAGAAGCTGTGATATATTTATATCATGACCGGTTCTATTTCAGACACTTCTAGACCCCAAAAAGAAAAGTTTAGAGGTACTACTTTAAAGAAGCCTCTCCCATGAAACTGGTAGCCTATTTACCTTACACCATGTTTTACATTGACCATCTTTAATCAAACTTTTTTAAAAAAAGCTTCAGATGTCTGAACACCCAGTACTTAGGGGTTAGTTGGTAAATGTATGGGACATTGTGGTCTCTTACCAGCAGAGGCAAATGCACTGATTCCATACTGCTGATCTATAATTATGGAAAATTAGAGACTCGGCAACAACATCCCAGCAAAAGAGAGCACCCACCCTGCCATAGTCAACATGGCCCAAGTAGACTGAAAGACTGTGCAGACCAGTGGTTAGGAACATAAGCAGGACTCAAGTATAAAACATTGACAACAATAAATCAGTTTAAAAAGTTTAACACAAATACTTCTAAAAGTTAGTCAAGCAGTTTGTGGATCAAACTGTAACACTAAAAAGTAGTGACAGTGAATGACTGTCTCTGAAGGACATTTTCACTCATTTTCCTTGCCTCCCTTTTGAACACTGTTGTGGTTCGGTCGACTGAATGTTGATTTGATCAGTTCAGAATAGGTGTGTGGAGATTATGCACCAGTTGTCAGTCTCCATTTTCTGGAGTTTGACCTTTTCTGAGCAGATTTCATCACGCACTGAGCTTTCTTTCAAAGTGAGATTGAATTAAAATATTGGATGCTGTGTTTCAGGGACTGTTGTTGTTACTTTGTAGTCGGTCAGTGCTGTACAGCGCAGTGATATCAGCTGATCATTTCCGTTGCTGCACCCTGATTACATTAGCGAGCCAGCATTAGCTATGCCATCCCCTGTGCTGATGTCATCTCCAGGAGCCCTCTCTACTTCTCTTCTAGTATCCCTCCTCCCCTCTCTATCTTCCACTCTCCCTTTTCTGAATGTCTGAGCGAGCGGGGGCTTGTCCTGAGAGCCGAGTGGAGTGGATGGAGTTCCTTCAGCAGGGGTATAAGAGGAGAGAGAGAGAGAGAGGGAGAGAAGGAGTGCTTTCAGAGCCGGACACTGCTCCCTTGAGAAAGGCAGTTTTACTCTTTGAGGCTGCCAGAGCCTCTGCTGATGCATCACTAGCATAAAGGGAGTGGGCCATGATGGAGGTAAAGTGCTACATCCTTTCCTGCCTGAACACACAGTATCGTAATAGTGGACAGAGAGTTCTTCGGGACAACAGTCCAGTAGCAATGTAGTGAGGTTGAGCACCATGTCGTTGTGTTTGTGATGCTAAATGTCTGAGTTCTCTGAATTGTCTGCAGTTGTCTAGTTAGCTACTATTGAGCTCGGATGTGTTGACAAGGGTTCATGGGACATGGTTATTTTTAGCGGTCTGAGCAGCTGAAGCAGCAACACAAAGTAGACATGGCCTCTTTTCTCCTCATGAAATATTTCTGTGTAGTTCATCCCTCTGTAGCCACGTTACTGCTGAAGAGACAGAGACTAGGAGGCTCATTTTTGCTGATACAAGTATGTCTAGAATATCTTAGGCTGCCAGTATAGCTGTTTATAGACACTATGGATTGAGGACTTACAGAGAAGCGCTAGCAAATGAAGTTCAACAATGGTGTTGTGTTATTCCAGATAAGATTTGTGTTCATGTTTCTGACTCAACAGTTCTCTCCATACTTCCTTCAGAGCTCTGACAGGATTATGAGCATCTTTCTGGATTTCAGTCTGTGATATAACAAGGATTTCTTTCAAAGTCTAGATTCCTTTCTTAAAGGAGACATGAGCACAATCAGACTCTTAAGTCACAGTGGATACCTGACCCAGATTGTTGCCTGTGTTTGGAGTTCAACTATGAACATTAGGACCACTTCTTATTGATAACCAGCATTTTGTCGCTTCAGATAAACAGTTTGATGTGGAAGTAAAGGCCTGGCTGTTTTGGTTTGCTGTTAGCCACTGACACAGCTTGACTGTCTGCTGGCCTGCTGTGGTGGATGCTTTCAAAGACTTGTCAAACTAACACTGAACATGTGTTTGTGTTTGTTAAAAGCTGTGACCTCTGTTCTGTCTTGTTATAGATTGACAAACAACAACACAGTAAAGACTCTGTGTTCTTCCGGGATGGACTGCGCAGGATTGATTTCGTCCTGTCCTATGTTGATGATAAAGAAGGCGACAGAAAACAGGTATGACTAAGTCCTAAAAGTGCTGTTTACACCAGTTTCACTTCCATGTTTAAAAAATAGCAAACAATACTTTGGTTTTAACAGAGGTTTGGTTTGAGTTCCACTAAGCAGCATGACGGATAAATCATTTACTTTTGACAAAAGCGAATCATTTTGTTATCATAAACATAAAAGAAAAAAGTTATTTTTTCTACTTGGTTGAATCAGTGGGAGCTGGTCCCTCACGGAAATCCTCAGAGTTCCCAGTGTGTGTGTCAGCAGTGTACCCTGAATACCTCAACACTGATAAAGTCATAGAAAGTGTTTTCCTTGGCTTTTATCAGTAATCCTCTTAGGAATGTTTGTAAGAAGGTCACATCTAGAGACAAACTTACAATCCTCTTTTCTAAAGTAAACCACATACAGTAAACCGCAGCGTTTTCACACTGGTTTCGGCCCCATGTCTTTTCCCAGCCAGTTTCTCTACCAGCTGTGTAAAGCTGAAAGACTGGGTGTTTGATAAAAGGCCGTTATACTTCACATCCATGTGTCACCAGCCTTCTGGTATGAGGCATTTAGTCTGAGCAGACTCACATTTCACTAACAGCCTCATCAGTGAGTCAACCTCAGATCGCCCCCCTCCCCCCACCCTGGTCAGGCTCAGTTTTTCCACTGTATAAGGAAGTGCAAACAGAGGGCCAGCTCCTGTGGGTCGTCCACACGTGTTGTAAAGTTGGACAGTAAATTGCAGCTCTAACAAGAGGTTAAAACTGTTGGTTGGCATGGAGGATTTCCTCCTCTGACCTTGTCTCTAAACACGTTAAACTATAATCCAAGTACTGTAGGGGAGGGTCATGTCAAATTACTGCGCTGTCTACCACTAAGAAATCGCACTATTAGTTTCACTCAGTGACTGTTTCTGCTGAAGGTTCTGAGCTTACACCTCCTCTGCATAAAGGAACATAAAAGTACGATCTTAGATATGCTGCGCAGTTATGACCACGTTTCTTGCTAGTTAAATCAAGTTTAAGCTGACATTTTTGTGTTTACTTTTTTATTTTGTGTTGTGTTTACTTATTTTATATTTACAGCATTGAAGTGTCTCATGTCTTTATACATAATGTTTTGCCAGTGTTTTAGAGCTTGTGTATAGCGACTCAGACATTTTTCTGCTTATATTTATTAAATTACTGAGTAAATAAAAACTGTTATATCAATTATTCAGTTTTAAAAACAATGTATATATTTTTTTTGTTTCCGTCTAAAGGAAAGGAGGAAGGTATACGAGTCTAATCTTCAGAAAGTTGGCCTGGAGCTGGAGACAGAGGATAAAACGGTAAGAGCATCAAGCTGTTGCTTGCTTATGAGGAAGTTAGTCATCAGAAAAAGGCCTAAAGTATACTGCTAAATGTTAACATATCATGTCATCCTGTATATCTGTGTTGTATTATTGTTTTTAAGCTCATTTTATAATTCTTCTTTACAAACACAAATAATTCTGACATCAGTGAAGTAATATCTACCAAGAACTTAGCCTGTAAAAACAGTTCTAATGAATCTGTCTCTCCCTGAAGTATCACTTTATCAGTTGTCTCACTGTCTGTAGGAGTCAGAAGATGGAAAGACCTACTTTGTGAAGATCCATGCTCCATGGGAGGTGTTAGCCACCTACGCTGATGTACTGAAGATAAAGGTCCCATTCAAGGCCAACGACATCCCAGACAACAGCGAGATGCCCATGAACTGGCTATCTACCCCTTTTCGTCTGCCGGAGCACATCATGCACCCTGAGCCGGATTTTTTCACAGCTCCATTTGACAAGAGCAAGTCCGATTTCTACCTGATCGACGACAAAGATACATTCTTCCCCCCTTCCACTCGCAACAGGATAGTAAGGATGTTTTGAAAGCAACTTAATTTTCATCATTCCTTTTATATCCTGCAGTGTTAAAACCCTCACGTCCTTCTTTTTCTCTCTGCACAGGTCTTCTACATCCTGTCTCGCTGTTCCTACATCAGTGATGTATGTATAGATAAAGACAAGAAGGGAATCAAGAGGTTACTAAACAACGGCACCTACTCTGCTGCCTTCCCCCTACATGATGTGAGTCTCCAATGGTGGTCGACTTTTTACTTTCAAAACGACGACTCCTCTGTGAGGCACTGTTAGATACTGCATTACACTGATGATTTACTTTGCATGTGCAGTGAAGTGTTTCCTCTGTGCCCATGCAGTGTAGGTACTGGAAAAAATCAAGAGATGCTAACTGTGAAAGTGAGAGGTACAGTCTCTACAGATACTGGGCTGGATTTCGATCGTTCTTTAAGGAGCAGCCCCTCAATCTTATCAGGCAAGACTTGAAAGCAAAGTAGTCAATTATTTGGTGTTTGTTTACTCAACACATATTTGATATCAGAGGAATTTGCTGTAAAATGTTGTTTTTTAACTTTAACAGGAAGTATTACGGGGAGAAGATTGGTATTTATTTTGCTTGGCTGGGTTTCTACACTGAGATGCTGTTGTTTGCTGCTGTTGTTGGGACGATTTGTTTCATCTACGGATTCCTCACCTATGATGAAAATGAGTGGAGGTGATTTGTTGGTGAAATATTACTCTGATTTGTGCAAATTTTAAATGTTAGGTTTCATATCTAATTTGATTTTTCTTGTTACTGATAAAACGTTTTGACTTCCTTACAGTAAAGAAATCTGTGATGAGAATATTGGAGGCAAAATCGTCATGTGCCCACTCTGTGACAAGAAATGTGGCTACTGGAAACTCAACTCAACATGCAACTCCTCATGGGTGAGACACTCTGGCTAAGTGTTATTTCACTGCGATTCCTGCTCTTTTAATTATAAACGGCATGCAAGGAATTATTAGAGCTGATTGTCAACAAACTTGTACTTGTATCTCAAATTTTGTCTCAAACGTGTTCTTCTTTCAGCAATCACATCTGTTTGACAATGTGGGAACTGTGTTTTTTGCCATATTCATGGGGATTTGGGGTGAGTAAAATGCCTGCTCCAAGCTTTGAGTACTTTTTTAACCAGTGCTGCTCTTGAACTATTATGATTCATCTAAAATCACAGTTTATTATTCAATAGAAATACTCAAAAATATCACCCGGTTCATTTGTTTGGTAACTTGATAAACAGTCAGTCACTTCTGCCACAAGCTCCACCACATATCACAGAGACAAATGGAGGTGAAAGCACCAACTTCTTACATTTTGGGGACTTTTTTTCTGTGCAGTGACGCTGTTTCTGGAGTTCTGGAAGAGGCGGCAGGCTCGTCTTGAGTATGAATGGGATCTGGTTGACTTTGAGGAGGAGCAACAGCAGCTGCAGCTTCGGCCAGAGTATGAGACCAAGTGCACCAACCGCAAGCTGAACCGCATCACTCAGGTGTTTGTGTGCTCATGAAATACGAATATATTGTATTAGGCCTGTCACGATAACAAATTTTGATGGACGATAATTGTGCTACAAATTATTGCCGATAAACGATATTATTGACACCGTTTTTTAAATTATAGATAATGATATTAAATGGCATAATAATGCGAGTACACCGTGTCAAAAGTGATAAACTTTAATTTCACCCACGACGAAGACGTAACGTTGACGAGCTAAACATAAGTCGGAGATGACTAAAATGTGACGAGACGAAAGTGCGTTTACGTTGATGGGACGAGACGAAAATGACGAACAGAGTTGCAAAACTCAGTCAGTTAAACGCTAAACATATAGGAGCAGCTTCAGTCCGCTCTGACAGCTCTCATCAGCCTGCTGTGCTCCTCCAACACACAGACACACACGCGCGCGCGCACACACACGTGGAGTTTTGTGGTTGACGAAAACAAAACTGGTTTAAAGCCGAAATATTCCCACACTCGGGCTGTTGCGTTCGGTTTAGACACCAAAGCTGTCGTGTTCATTCTGTTTGCTTGCTTTTCACTCACGACGCTCACTTGCAGCACTGTATCCAAAAAGTCTGTGTCTGTGTGCCCGTGCGCGCCTACGTGTACCTGTGCGCGCGCCCCCCCCATGACAAAGATACTGAATGACTGACAGGAGGGTTCACTAACTCCGTTCATTCCGCTATAGAGCCAACGCCCCCAGGTGCCGAGAAAAATGCGCAGAGTGAGACCTCTTCTCTCAACCAGCGTGTTTGGTAGCGAGAGAGGAGGAAAACAAACGCACGTCAATTATCGAGGCTGGTAAAATGACCGACCTCGTTTTTATTTACCGAGCGATAAGGCGATTTATTGATTATCGCGACAGGCCTATATTGTATGATTGTTCTTAAGTAAAGCTCTAAGTTGACTTTGCCTCAAGATGACTTTGCGAGATGGACATTTTGTATGAGAGGGTTTAGACAGATTGCAGCATCTGTTCATAGAAGATTACTCTGAGTCAGTCAAAGTCATTCATTAAGCCACTTCCTGGACGAAAAGAGAAGAAGAAGGGAAATTGATGGACACAGACTTGTGAGAATTAACTGGGTGCTACAATTTGCTTTGACCACATCCCACCCATCTGTAGGAAATGGAGTTGGTTCTTGAGAGGACTCCAACAGATCTAATGGGAAAACTGTTTGTGTGCTGGGCCACCGTGGTACTCTGGGTAAGGGTAGCACTCTATGTGGAATGTCAAACTGGTGAGGGAGAGGTTTTGGTGTGGCGTAGTTTGTGTGGATAACAGACTTTCTGGAAAGACTCTGAGGCTCAAGCTTCCTCCTGCAATGCATACCTGATTTGTGGTTGCCCAGTATCTTGACTTGTTTTTGCACAAGCATGACTTCACCAGGAGACTGCTTGATGAAAGAGTACAGTTCTGGTTTAAATGCCTGTATCAAATGTGCACCGATTGGGTCATCTAGCGCTGCCTCACATCTGAGGCGAATGGTGGTTAAAGAAACGAGGCCTTGTAAAGCTGTCTTTTCAGGCTTTAACAAAGGGTGGCTAACTCCCATATGCTATTTGCTTGCTTATGATTTAGGAAATGGAGCCGTACTTACCCATAACAACCAAGTGTGCACGCACGTGTCTGTCTGGAGCCACCGTCCTGTTCTGGGTGAGCATAGTATCTTTGGTCAACTTGGTGAATCTATACATGTTTCTTCTTTTCTCTACCATCATAACTTATATGAGAGATGTTCTGATATCCAAACTAGTACCAGAAATGCCTCTTATAGGGCCTTAACTCCAGGGTGAGTACACATGTCTGTTCTTGACATCGTACTGAAATCTATTAGCTCCCTGGATGATACATTTGTTTCATATTTTCTTAATCAGTTGCTTTCTCAGCAGTAGTTTGACATTTGCCATAAATTTTGAATTTCACTTCTTGCAGCGACTGTTTTATTTGGGTAAAGAGTTGATAAGCAGAGCCGGCCAAAGGCATAAGCAAACTAAGCGCCTGCTTAGGGCCCCGCGGCCAATAGGGGGCCCCCAAGAGCAATCAAAAAAAATATAATGTAATATTTTTTATTTTTTGCATGTATGAGTGATGCTTTCTGTACGATCAAATATATATTATTGTAAAAATAGAATAAAATAAAGTAAAAACATTTTAGTGCTGCTGCTGATGTAGGCCTATGTCCTTACTGCCGATATGTCAAAGCTCTGCTATCGTTATGTACCTTCTGCTGTGCGCTGTGCACTGTGCACTGAGCATCCAGAGCGCAGGTAGTTGTGGGGCAAAACAATTTTGCAAAAATGGGCTTATCTTTCAGGAGCAGAAAAAAGAAAGAGAAGAAGAGAAAAAAAAACAAGATGTTTGCATGTCATGAAATGTTAATCAAAGAGATTTGTGAAGGTGTGTGAATGATCAACAATAAATATTATTGGCAGAAATAGAGGGCCCCAAAATCCAATTTTGCTTAGGGCCCCATTGAGGCTTGGACCGGCTCTGGATAAGAGCAGCATATCATGTGGCATTTACAAACAACAAAGAACTAAAGTGGTGGTGGACGGATATGCAGCATCAAGTTTTGGTATCAGTATTGTAATTAAGGAGGAAAAACTTTGGTATCAGACATCTCTGTGATCAGGACCAGTATGTATAAAACTGTAAGAAAAGGAGCCCTCCCAAATGATAGACTCTAAAAATCTAAAAAACTTAATTTAAAATCAAGCAAAAGTATGTAACTCCTAAAACTCTAACCCCTTTCAGTCTTAAGTTTTGCAGCTCTAAACATACTGGCCAAGATCCTGTCACTCTTGTTAACTCATGTAAGGTAAAAAGTCTTTGAATGAGTGTATTTGAAGGTTTTAGTGGATTTCTTTTCATGGGGTATTTGCACACACTTCAAACATAACAATTTCTTTCTCTTTCTAACATCTTGTGGGCAACGAGCCAGCCTCTTCATTAATATGTCTGTATGCGCTTGCTTTCTGTACATGCATCACGGTTGATGTGCAGTGTTCACTGTAGTGTTGTGTCGTTACCTACTTTGTAGTTGTCTTTCATGTTGTCGCTCGTGTCTCTGTCCTAAAGATCTCATTGATCATTGCCTGCATCATCGGGGTGATAGCGTACCGCCTGGCAGTATATGCAGCCTTTGCCAGCATCATGAAGGACAACCCCACCACCCACCTGCACGTAGTTGGCCCCCTCATCACGCCACAGTTGGCCACCTCAGTCACCGCCTCCTGCATCAACTTTGTTATCATCATGGTCCTCAACCTCATGTATGAGAGAGTGGCTGTTTGGATCACAGATATGGGTGAGGATTAAAAGCGAGATAGAAAACCCCCTCATTGATGAGTGTGTTAATCCTTTAAGGTGCAAACTTAAAAATGTTTTGGTGGAGTCTAAAACAACTTTTTTTTTATCTTTCACAATGCGGCAGAAATTCCCAAAACCCACCTGGAGTATGAGAACAAGCTGACAGTGAAGATGTTCCTCTTCCAGTTTGTAAACTACTACTCCTCGTGCTTCTACGTGGCTTTCTTCAAGGGCAAGTTTGTCGGCTATCCCAAAAAATATACCTACATGTTCGGCGAGTGGAGCAATCTGAGGAATGAAGAGGTACGAGAAACAAACCACGAAAGATTAGCATTGGCATTTAAACCTTTGATTCAATTTATAAACCGTCTTTCTCTCCCTTACCCTACACATTAGTGTGATCCTGGTGGCTGTTTGATTGAGCTGACCACCCAGCTGGTGATCGTGATGACAGGAAAACAGGTGTGGGGAAACATCCAGGAAGCTCTGGTCCCGTAAGTACACTAACTGAGCCGACCACCCAAAACACAATTTATCTACAAACAGAGAAGTTGAACTAACTCTAAAAGACTCTACTGTTGTTGACCATTATTATCTTTTTTTACCTCCGCCAAGGAGGTTTTTGGTCGCATGGGTTGGTTTGTTTGTTTGTCTGTTAGCAACTTTACAGAGAAAGTTACAAACGGATTGACCTGAAATTTTCACCAGAGGTGCGTCTCAGTCCCAGGAGGATCCCATTACATTTTGGTGGTGATCCGGATCGCCTTCTGGATCCAGGAATTTTTTGAACGATTCTTTATCATTGTGAGATAGGGCAAATTTGGGAATTTTTGCATTTAACTTTATAAAAATGGCCAGAGTCTTTAGTAAAAAATGACACAAAAGGATCTCAATGAGTTTTATGAGGTGTCAAAGGTTGATCCTGATCCAGACAAAATTCCAGATACTGTGATCCAGAACACACAAAAACAAGGGTGTCTTTGGAATTTTCAATGCTGAAAGATAACCAATGAAGATACAAGGAAGTGTACGCTTACAAATATTGCATAATAAATCATGCATTTATGTATCTAATATGAGCTTTGTTGTTTTAGGAACATTATGAACAGTGAACATACCAGTTTAAACACAAATAAAAGTTAATAAAAGACACGTAACAGTAAAAGTTTTGGTGTGAATCACAATATAAGAGGGGACATGAGCTGCTTGGCAGAGGTCTGCGCTCTCTGAGTGCTTTTCTAGTTTAGAAATGTTTCTCAGTTGCCTGCTACAGTCATCCAAAACCAATACAGTTAAAATGGATTTATGAGGGTCAGCCCTGTTGGTTTATAGCTCTCTATCGCCCTCTTGTGGGTTGTAGGTGGCTGATGAACTGGTGGGGCAGCAGAAAGGCACGAGGCCACCCAGAGAGTCTGTACAGCCGCTGGGAACAGGACCACGATCTGCAGGGCTTTGGACAGCTGGGTCTCTTCTACGAGTACCTGGAAATGGGTGAGCATTCACTCAGTCTGTTACACTTAGACAAATAGTCCACAGTCAAGAGTATGCAAGTAGAATCTAGAGTTAGTCAGAGCAGAGTCCAGAGTAAAAATAATATCAACACTGCTAATCTGTCACAAAAGTAATGCAGAAAAATCATGGAGTAAACATAAACACTGACCTTCTTTATAAATCTAGATAGATGGATGCAGTGTCCCCTGAGATTCTGCAGATGGTGCTGTTTCCATCCCCGCGTATCTCACTGGTCTCTCTCTCCTCTCTATGTCCCAGTGATTCAGTTTGGTTTTATCACCCTGTTTGTGGCCTCCTTCCCCCTGGCACCCCTGTTGGCACTGATGAACAACATCATTGAGGTGAGAGTGGATGCCTGGAAGCTCACCACTCAGTTCAGACGTCCCGTGGCAGCTAAAGCCCACAACATCGGAGCCTGGCAGGAGATCCTCAATGGGATGGCCGTCCTCTCTGTCGTCACAAATGTAAAGGCTTTGCTACATCAGTATGCTCTGTATCTGCTCGTTATGTGATTTTTTGTCTTAAGTTTTCCTCACACCGTTTCCTTTACTGATCTCCAGGCATTTATTGTGGCCTTCACCTCTGATATGATCCCTCGGCTCGTGTTCATGTACGCCTACCAGCCAGATGGGGAGATGAATATGAAAGGCTATATAAACAACAGCCTGTCGGTGTTTAATATCTCTGAGCTCAAACCGGCCAACAGACCTGAAGACGGGGAGAACCCTTTCTGGTTTAACAGCTCCATCACTACCTGCAGGTATACGGGATTTGAAGAGGAAAACAGTGATTGCTGATGGAGAATATGTTTCCATTTCCACATTACTTTACTACTGTGCTAGTTAAAGTAGAAATACTGTCACGATACAACATCCTAATACAAGCTGAAGTTCCTATTCATGTTTTTTCTTCATAGGTATCGTGATTATCGCTACCCTCCAGGCCATGAGAAGGAGTACGCCCACACTATGCAGTTCTGGCATATTCTGGCTGCCAAGCTGGCTTTCATCATCATCATGGAGGTAAAGCCAGTGCTTCTACCAGCACCACAGAAACACACATTTTTCAGACAGAATACAAGACCATGCAGGCTTTTTTTCTTAGAGTTTTTTTGTTTTGGGTTGAAACTAACTCTTCTACTTTCTTCCTCAGCATGTTGTTTTTGTGGTCAAATTCTTTGTGGCCTGGATGATTCCCGACATCCCCTCTGATGTGAGGGCTCGAGTGAAGAGGGAGCGCTACCTGGTTCAAGAGTATCTTCATAACTATGAGGTGGAGAAGCTGAAGATCCAGCTCAGCCAAAACGGCCATAACGAGTGTACCTGCACGCCCATGATCTACCCGTCTCTACCCAGACATGAGGTGTTGTCGGAGTGCCTCTAGCCTCACGAGCTGCTGCTCAGTCAGCTCCACTCAAAAGGTGGTGAAATTAATAGACCTGTTTGTTTATCATCAACAAACTGGTCATAATAACTTTGTTGTAGTTCTGTAAAAGAGCTAGAGGCCTCTTCATAGCCATCCTTCTCCTACTAAAGTGCTGATACTGAAAGCATACACATGTGAAAGAACAAGTCTCCACGCATGCTGAAACTGAGGCAGGTTTAACTCTGCCTCATGTTTTCTTGGTTTCGCTCTCTGTGCTGTAATCGAAGTTAATCTAAACTTGCTGTTAGGGAAAGTGAAGAAGATGAATACACTGTGCCTAAAACAGGCGATGTATGCTTGTTTAAATATATGACTATTTATTTGAGTGACACTATGAGCAACCAAAGATTAGATGCCTTAATATATCACACACTTACTGTATTATTAGCACCATCTGCCTGGACCTTGACAGCTGACATTCATGGGAACTAAGAGTTTGCTTCTACAAGGTTTAAGTACTTATTTATATCCACAGCTGTATGATGGCTTTCAGTGTCAAAGACTTTAAGTTGATTTTTCACTTTTTATTTCAATAAGTGCAACAAATGTGAGCATATTTTATTTTGCTGCTTTAAGATCAGAGCACAGATAAAATTCAGTTTTACAAAATTGTTTTTATTTTATGTTGCTTAAATCTTAAAACAGCCAGTTTCCCCCAGGCCAAAAGACTAACCTTTGCTGCTGTTTCAACTGTAGGACAGACAGATGTTCTCTTCTATGGCCAGTCGTTGAGCAGCACTAATGACAATGAGTCCTGTTTCCTGCAATTGGACATTTGAAAAACTCAGAGAAAGTGAAGAGATCCCTTTTTAATGTGCCTTTGTTTACAGACACAAGCTAATGAAAGCCTGACCTGCCCGCTGATCTTTGCTTGCTTCTTCACTCCAAGCTCATCAGCCATCACTTCTGTGCTGCTGGTTTTACTCAGCTGCCTGTGTGGAGAAGGAGAGATACACATTCTATTTTTATTTTTGCACAAAGCACTTAATGAAACTAGACTACCGAGACATGAACATGTCAGCCTACCTGTTGTCATGACACTACGTGTTCAGAATCAGTGTTTAAAAGCAGCCGTATTGATTATTTTAAGATATGCTGGAGGAAAGATGAGGCTCTGAAGTTACTGTCTGTGTTGATTTGAAGGGCAAACATTTCACTTTTTGTTTTAAATATGAAGGACATATTTATTAGACTGCCTACACAGTGAGAAGTATCTGTCGTTGAAGGTGAAATTACTCACAGTGCTACAAACTCAGGCAACTAAATGCATGTAGAGATGACCACGTAGCTATGAGAAATGTTCAAGTTTCCCTTTCCACAGCCTGCGCTCAGCGAAAATGATGCCTGTTGATGCCTTAATATGTCTAAAACTTTGTTTTATATTTTGTATTTTACTGTACATCTCAGTCTCTTTTTTTATATGTCTACTTTTGTTATGCTTTAATCCCAATTTTATACTGTTACCATACTTGGAAAAAAACAATTATGAATCAGTTTACTGTATGCTTTGCGTTACACTCTCAAGTTTTCAACATTTAAAGGTCCCATATAATGAATAGCAGATTTTCCTTGCTTGTACTTGTGAACTGTAGTCATCCTCCAGGCTGGAAACCCAGAGAATGCAGAAGTGAAAAAGCTTCTGCAGCGTTTCTGCAGCCCACCTCTATGAGGCACTATGAACTTGCCTCTGCAGCCATAAAATGACAAGAGAGACTCCACCTACACTATGAGCTATTGCTTTGGTGTTTGGTGTTGTACAGTCATGGTGTCAAAGATTAGAGCCAGACAGACTGTACGTAAAAAATATATCCTGTCCCAGCACTGGAGGACCAAACATGTTTGGGTTCAGATTCCAGTGCAGGTTTTTCTTAAGTGCACACCATGTTAGTCCTGGTGTTTTTCCGCCTCTACATCCATCTGCATCCCCCCTTTGAAAAACATTCAGGCAGTCAGTCAGTGCAGCAGCTCATTATAATAGCCCCCCTGCACACCTAAATCACTGCATGGATATTAAGGTGAGAAACTGAGAGGCTGCAGACCCTTCACAGAATCTAAATTTACAGTGTTTTTACTTTTACAATCAAATTCAGAATCTTGCTGAAAGACAAATGGGACAAATGTTGTGACAGCCACATAAAAAAATATGGGACCTTTAATTTTTATGGAGTGTTTTTTTTTGTTTGTTTTTGTTTTTGTATTTGTTCTGTAACTAAATGTGTATCGTAAACAAAGAGAAATTAAAAAAATAAACTATACCACTTCAACTTGAGTAAAATTTTGTTCAATGTTTGTCCTGAAAAATGTTGAAGATGAACTGATTTCCTGCAGATATGGAAGTTTCGGTTCATGTGACAGATGGTTTGGGAGGACACTGATCAATATGCAGTGTTAGTTCACGCTGAAAGTGTTAGTGGGTTTTGCACCTCAATTCTATATGTTGGCAGGGGAGTTTGATTTGTTACACAAAGGAGAAACATAAATGCACTGTCAGCACCCAGGTTCAGGAAGGAAGAAAAGACACACAAATGAGAAGTTGCAAATATGATACAAGTTTAGAATATTTGACAGTACAAGCAGAAACCTGTTCATACACTCAGTGGTTTAGGATATTAAAGCCCCAGGTGACCCTGTTATTCTGCCAGGAGGTGCTAATCCGGTGGACCTTCATCCAGACATACCCGCCCCCAGGTAGAGTGCAGACCCTGCCCTTCCCCCAAGAGATGCTTCTGCAGCTTAGAAAGGAGTTTGAAGGCACCTTTTTGGTCATCTTATTCTGGGGAAAAACTGAGCGGGTCAACATAGCTGATTAGAAAATGAAAGAATTCATTCAATCATCCCATTGAGTTTTGACATCTTTGTGCTCCAAAATTATACATTTGTGAGGAAAACGTGTTTATTCTTCTTTCTATGAGAGGTGTGCTGTGAGAGTTGGGGATAAACACTCTTGAAAACAATGGTTTCCTGCCTTCTTTATCTATACACACCTCATCTCTTCTATCCCTCACCAGCTGAGGTTTGGTGCTTACACAACACTGCCTCTGTGTGGTTAACTGCATATATACTGTACTGTACAGTTTGATTACACATGCATAGACAACATGTATGTTTTCAAGACAGTCAAAATGGATCAGTTTCCAGTAGATATAATGTTAAAAAATAATAATATTATAATAAAATAGATTTTTTTTTCTGTAGGCTGATTTTGACTGAGGTAACCGGATTTAGAGGGAGGGTGTGGATGGGGAACCAGGGCTTTGTGGTCGCTGCATCAAGTGATTTTTTTTAAATATTCTGCTCATCCTCAAATCATTTCAGCTCCGTCTCACATTTGTGAAGGAGTAAGGTTGTAAACTCGTCCATTGAGATGGTTAACATCATTTTTTGGTGGTAATTGAATTAGAGCAGCGGAGGGAGGGAGGAGGGGCTGAGCGGAGCTGCTGACAGGTAGATGAGCTGTGCGCTGTCCGCGGTGCTGAAACCTCCTCCGGCTGCTGCTCACCGGAGATTCTCACCTCAGATTAGACCGCAGCTTATCGACACGGGATCCTCATCTTTCTTTTTTTTACTTTTCCTTGCTCCATTTTGCCGAAAAGGTCTCTGAAAATTCAACTTTTTCTTCCTTTTTTTGTCCGTTTTCTTATCGCTGCCTGGATCTTAAGATGGCACTGCATGGATTAACATTGCGCAAGGCAGAAGCGGACTTATTTGACTGCTGTTTTGTGACTGTGAAAACAGCCCTCTCACACTGAACGGGTTCCCCCTCTTTCTCCATTTTCTGCCTCGTCTTTTCAGGACACACAGGCGTATTCTGCTTCAAAAACCAGGGGCGTGCTATTTGGATTATTATCTCTACAATATGCGTATTGTTGCAGCACTTCTATTTGTTATAGTATTATAGAATTTTTTTGGAGAATTAGGATATGGAGCCAGGAAAGGAGCAAGCTCTCCCCACCACCACCAAAGAGGGGCTTAAACAGATCGCAGGAAAGGCCCTCGGGAACATATACAGGTAACTAAGATTTCTGCACGATTTTTAAGAGCAGAATTAAAAAGATTTATGAAGAAGAGAAAGGAGGCAGATGTTCACACCACACATAAAGCATGCATTGGATATGAATGTGTTTATTAATGAAATGAAGGGGGAAATCTCTGCTTTCTGGATGCTGGATGTGGCCCGAATATTTAAGGATCAGATATTTCCCTGGAGGATGATCCCTCCACCAGCAGCTGTGGGTGTTTTTTAATAATTAATGTAACAGAGCGAGTCGTGACACAAGGTCGGTGGATATCTATTACCTTATGTATCCATCTGGATTCATTCAAGATCGATGGACCACATATCAATTGATGGGCATTATTTTTTTTACACTGCATGGATATGAAGATGTAAATGAAATTTTGTCCAGATTAAAGCAACCAGATTCTTTAGTATCACAGGAAAGGGTGTGGAGGAACAGATTTACGCATACAGGAATTTGGTTCTTGATTTGATCTTTTTGGAGATGCAATAAATGTCAAACAAATTGTTCAAATAAAAAAAAAAATCAGCATAACACAGCCGTCATAAAATCTGCATATTAGATCTCAGCTTTTTAAACTCTAGATTAGATGTTTTCTTCTTATAGATTCAGCCTAAATCTTGAATGCCTTCCATTGCATGAATCACAGATAGAAAAAATATATTGGTTTGATTTGAGATGTAGCAGGCCTGCCTCCTCTCTTCATGAGGCCTTTCACATTGTAATCATTCGTTTCGAATCGAATCTAAAATTCCTGCGTAAAAAAACACACGATTAAGCCAAATCTAAATACCGACGCCACATTTATACGTCGTGAAGGACGATAAAAAAATGGCAGAAATAACTTAAAAGCGGTGCTGCTGGTAGGCTATTGCTGCAATGCGGTATTAAGGTCATTTTCTCTTCGTTTGTCCGTGAGTCTTTCTCTAAACGGAATGTAAAGAATTAAAGATGGGAACGAAAAAAAGTGAGATTTTCAATAAAAGCTGCAGGATTTAAGAGGCCTGAGCCAAATGAAAGAAGAATATGAAGACATTAGAAAGGCCTAACATTGAGAGAGCATGAATGAAAGATTAAAGATATATTTTCTATATTAAACAAGCTGCAAAGAGATCAAAAATTATGTGAGAAACACATAAATACCCTTTTAAAGACAAATAATCACATTTTTATCCTGTAAAAGGCCTATCTGTCGCTTTATCTTCTCTAAATCTGCCCACATGTTCAGTTTTCACACATCCAAGAGTCGACACTGAATCTAAACCTAAAAGTCATATTTTTAACCGTGCAGGAGGCTCGAAAAACGGCAGCAAACAAGTGAGGCGATCGAGCTGACGGAGGATGGGAGACCCACGCAGGACCCGGAGCGGAAGGCGCCCCTGTGTGACTGCACGTGCTTCGGGCTCCCGCGCAGATACATCATCGCTATGCTGAGCGGCATCGGGTTCTGTATTTCCTTCGGTATCCGGTGTAACTTGGGTGTGGCTATCGTCAGCATGGTCAACAACCACACGATCCACCAGAACGGCAAGATCATCATCAAAGAGGTGCCTACAAACCCCGCCCCCCTCTTAATACCCCCGGCACGAGCCCCAATGCACGAGCCCCCAGTGTTTGATTGGTGTTGAGGGCCACAAAAGACATCAATAGAACTGCAAAATGTGTTTTTAAGATCTGCTTAAAGGGTGTTTGGTCCTCATAGAAGCAATTGACTGTGGGTATTTTGTTCTGATTTGTATGTTCCCTAAAATCAGCAAACTATGCTTTTATTGGTCGACCGATCAAAGATAGCCGGTCAAACAATCGAATAAAAAAAGCTCAAACAGGGTTCTTTCTAGAGTCTCTAATGAGATTTCGCTATTTTCTCATTCATATTTGGTTCATAGTATTTCTGGAGGAAAATGTGAAAATCCCTAAAATCAGCAATGTTTGCTTTTATTGGTGATCGATCAAAAATAGCCGGTCAAACAATCGATTAAAAAAGCTCAAACGGGGTTCTTCCTGGAGTCTCTAATGACATTTCGCTATTTTCACATTCATATTTAGTACATAGTAGTTCTGGAGGAAAATGTTGAAATCCCTAAAATCAGCAATGTTTGCTTTTATTGATTGGTCGATCAAAGATAGCCGGTCAAACAATCGAATAAAAAAAAACTCAAACAGGCTCTCTCTGGAGTCTCTTATGAGATTTCGCTATTTTCACCTTCATATTTGGTATTTCTGAAGGAAAATGTGAAAATCCCTAAAATCAGTCTCTATTTGTTTGCGCGTGTGCGTGTTTTTGTGTGTGTGTGTGTGTGTGTGTGTGTGTGCGTGCGTGCGTGCGTGCGTGTGTGTGTGTGTGTGTGTGTGTAAAAGAAAGCGAAATTCAACTGGGACCCGGAGACGGTGGGGATGATTCATGGCTCCTTCTTCTGGGGCTACATTGTCACTCAGATTCCAGGAGGATACATATCCTCCAGACTGGCTGCTAACAGGTAACTCCACTAGATAAATGAACTAAACATTGTGGGTGGGGTCTAAAGACAAAGCAGATTTGAGTGTTAGCTTTCCTACGCGCGTTGCTGTCTAAAATAAGGGTGTGAGTGTTACAAAAGTGCTTTTGTGTTGATGAGTGCGTGTGGCTCTCCTGGTCTGGAGGAGTCAGGCTGACCTTACAGCAGATCAACTGGGGATTTGGCTGATGCCCACCAGGCGTGCCTCCTCATGTTAATGAGCTCCCGTGGGACCACCGTGTCTAATCCTTTATGTTCACAGACATGGCAACCACAGCAGCCAGAGCCTAGAGAGAAATGAATTTCTTAGCGATGATTCTTGATGAATTTGATAGCAAAAGCGCCTCCTCATGATATAACCTTATTTATTAAAGAAAAAAAAACAATTGTTCTGCAACAAGTAGAGGAAGCAGAGCAAAAAGCAATAATCTATAACAACTGAACAACAACATGCAAGAAAGAAGAAAAAATCCTTGTTTGAAAATCAGTGATAGATAAGATGAAGGTGAAAAAAATCAGGATGAGGTTCCTGTAAATGTTGCCGTCTATGAATATGACAGGATTATTGGTTTTTCATAAGGGACATGGAGCCTAAATAAGATGCAAATCTTTGAAGAGCTTCCTCATGCCAAGTCAGCTGAGCCCACTGACGCCTTCTGCTGCAAACACCTCCTGTCCACACTCCCCTCACTCTGAAGAACTGCCTGGTGTGTGTGTGTGTCTGTGTGTGTTTGTTAAAGTGTGGCGCTCATTTAGAGCAGATTTAACTCCCTTATCAATACTAATGCTTGTACTGTGAGGCAAAGAATACCATTAACTTGACAAACTGATGCTTTTAATCCATTTACAGTGCATAAAATTGAACAAATGCTGCCAACATTTTGAATCTCCTTTTGGTGAAATCCTCTCAAATAATCCTAACTCACTTCTGATACAGAGTTTTTGGAGCTGCCATCGTGCTGACATCTACCCTGAACATGTTCATCCCCTCTGCTGCCCGCGTGCACTATGGATGTGTCATCTTTGTGAGGATATTACAGGGGCTAGTGGAGGTACTGAGCTCTGTTTATCTTTCACATCTTGACCTTTTAAGCGTTTGAAAATGATGCCTCATTATGGAGCTGAGGACTCAACTCGACCCCTAATCAAATTGTCCTGACATTCTGAATTTGAACAACTCGCTCTCTGTATGAATCTGTACTCAGGGAGAAAAGAAACCTGTTATTTTAAAGATCCAATCATAATACTGCACACAATTAGCAGACTAGCGCTCAGACAGCAAACAGCATCAACCCCCTGAATGGCAGGAGCTTACGAGTTGGTTTAGCTGGCCAAAACAGCCTCGTGTTCACATAGAAACACGTAGAACAAAAGAGATAAAAAGCACTCAATGAGGGCGGCTCCCACAGCTCCACAAAAAAAGAGAAGATTTCAGGGAGGGGAGCTTTTATCCAACTGAAGGTCATCCTCTTTTTTGTTTTGTTTTGTTTTGTTCTGCTGCGATCTGTTATTTCAAAAGCAGCTCACGAGAGAGAAACACAGAGCAGGACCGAGCTGCCTGTGTGCTCGGCCATCGACTTATTACTGCAAATTAAACATTAGCATTTCAGGGTGTCTCCCCCTGCAAGCCCCAGCAATTTGTGTCTATCAATAGTTGATTGTATGCCACTTAGTGTGTAATGAAGATTTAATGGGAACAATTCAGTTTTTTTTTTTTTCATGAAGTGGGTAGTCAGCTTGAATTTGCTCTCACTCACACCTCAGTCATTAGTCTCTGTTAGAAAGGTCAGCTAGCATGCATGTCAGTTTGTTTGTTATTAACTCCAATTTGTCCTCTACGTCTGTAACTAATGTGAACAGACTGCATCAATCAAGAAGCACAAGTTTAACAGAACAGATGTGCAAATGATGTTTGTGTTCATATCTCACTGAGGTATTGTCGTTCTCTGTGCAGGGTGTAACTTACCCAGCATGCCACGGGATCTGGAGTAAATGGGCTCCACCATTGGAAAGGAGTCGTCTGGCAACCATCTCCTTCTGTGGTGAGAGAGATGCACACATGACTGAAATACACGAGGAGCGCATGAATAGATCCTCTCATTGTACGACTCAGGTTTAAAATGACAAAATATTGCTCCTACAGTGTTTGTATGCTGTGACAGCTGCCTTTTGAATAGGCAGTCAGGATCAGATTCTGCTGAGTCATACTATTCTGTCTTGTTCAGGATCGTATGCTGGTGCAGTGATAGCCATGCCTCTGGCTGGGATCCTGGTCCAGTACACAGGATGGTCCTCTGTCTTCTATGTGTACGGTGAGTGTCACTTCTATGGATTTTATGTGATTCAAACACCTTAAAACAAAAGAAAATCATTATGCTGTATAAACATAATTATGGACTGAATTCCTACTGACTACATTAAATCCTGTAACCTCACAAGGTTTTGTCCAACCAAATGCTTGTTGTGGCAAATTTCAGCAAACAGTTATGAGACATTGCTGTGTGGCTGGCACTGGAGAAGTTTGCTGTCCTCAAACACGAAGGGGCAGAAAGCTGCAGATTCTAGCACTGTGACTTGTGAAGTGCTTGAGTTTACAACAATTGCCCTGTAAAGTGTCCTTGGGTGCTCAGAAAGGCGCTTTTAAATAAAATGTATTATTATTATTATTATTAACATATTAACAGCCTAACATAAATAAAGAAGTTTTCAGAGGCTTATTTTTCAGATCTGCTCCAACTTTATGGAGAGTAAAGCTTCTTATGAGTCATCTTTTTCAACCATTCAAAGGCTTAAAGGTACAATGTGTAGTAATACACATGACTTGGCAGAAATGGAATGCAATATTCAGAAGTACTTTGAATTCCTGTGTAATTATAAAGATTTGTTTTTGTTGACAGAGAATGAGCCTTTTAAATCTACACAAGGAGCAAGTCTTGATCTAGCCCTGCCGTGTACATTAGCACAGCTCAGATAACCAAAACCTCCTGGAGGATAAGTTTACCTTGATAGACAGAGCAGTCAAAACAGCTCAGATGTCTTCAAACATGGCTGAGGGAGGAAGGAGCTTTAACCAGAGCATGAACACAACATGTTGAATATTGAATCAATTCTAGACCCTACTGCACAGGTAGACACGAGGAAAGACAGCAAGAAAGGAGTGAGGAGAAATGAGTTGAACAAGTCAAAACAATATTTTTGTATCAAATCACACACCTTTGAAGGGCAGTGCTGATTTAAGGGGCTGGTGGGTGCAGCTGATGGTTTGCTAAAGGGTTGTTGCAATAAATTTAAAGCTCCTGTGAGAAACTTTCGGTTTATGTCGATTTTGGTACCCCCTGTGGACTACATACTTAAGTAGTAACTTGATTAAAAAAAGACTCGTCCTGATGTCAAATGTTTCATTTATTGGACGTATTTTATATGGAATTTGTAAAAACAAAGTTGTCTCTTCAGCTGCTTCGCTGACATTCGGTTAAAGGTCTTAAAATTTATGATAGCTACAAAAATTGTCAGTGTGGTTGCTGGTGGTCTTATTTGGTTTTGGATATTGTGAAAAGATATCAAAATGAATTCCAGTCTATTTCATAAACATTCAAAAAAACTCCTCACTGGACCTTTAAGTCACCAAGCTATACTGTTTGGGTATCCACTATTTTGTCCAAATATTTTATTTAACCTTTATTTAACCAGGAAATATCCTATTAAGATTAAGAACGTCTTTTTCAAGGGATACTAACTAGAAAAAACTGACCTGTAGAAAAACCATTAAGCCCATGGATATAAACCAAAGGACTACGTCGCAGAGGCTATATCTGCTGTCACATAGTGTTTCAGCATTTATTATAAAACAATAAGTTGTTTAGAGTTATACTGTGGGGGCTTTTGGTCTAAGCAGTTTTCATTCTGTGCATTTTTCCTGTCACTGTGTCTCTAGGTTGCTTTGGAATAGTCTGGTACCTGTTCTGGGTCTTGACTTCCTACGAAAGCCCAGCGGAGCACCCGACCATCACCGAAGAGGAGCGCCGTTACATTGAGGAGAGCATCGGTGAAAGTGCTCAGCTGATGGGTGCGATGGAAGTGAGTTCCGCGTCTAAATGTGTTGTTCATTACTGGTGGCTGAGTGCCGTACATCCTGCTCACTCTCTGTTTGTTTGAACAGAAATTCAAGACTCCCTGGAGGAAATTCTTCTCCTCTATGCCTGTCTATGCAATTATCGTGGCAAACTTCTGCAGGAGCTGGACCTTTTATCTGCTCCTCATCAGCCAGCCTGCCTACTTTGAAGAGGTGTTTGGCTTTGAAATTAGCAAGGTAAATAAGTCCCCCTTAAACTGCCTGATGTTAAACCTAAAAATATCCTTTAATATTATGTGATCAATCTTCAGGACTACAAACCAAGGTTCTTCTATAGATTATTGAGTGAAGTTAGTGTACGTTACTGTACATAATGGAGTCAAAAATGTACTTTTCACTTGTGTTGCCATTTGCTTTAAGATGCATTTCACCGCAAATTCAACCTGTAGTCCTAAAAATGATCATTTTTGTAGTCTAAAATTATATTTCTAAATTAATAACATGTACTTTTTATTTGCTACATAATCATATTTTGACCTTTTTTGGACTTTTTCTGTTCTTTAGCAAAAACTTCCACCTGCTCCAAAAAATTGAATCTCCTTTTGCTTGTTGTTTACCAAACACATACAAGCAGAGAACTTTTGCAGAAAGTCCTAAAGTGCAATGATTTGATTACTTTCTTATGTTTTCTCTGAGTGAATTTCAGACAAAGCAACATATTCCAGTTAAACCTTAAAGTTTAGGAGAGAGTGGTGCATGAATCAAGCTGGACTGTCAGGTATAATTCAGGCTGCTGAGTTACTGCAGGTGATTTATTAGCCCAGAAATGATGCTGGTGTCAGAGGGTGAGATGGACACGCAGATTGGATCTGAGACAGAGCATTTATGTGATAAAAACATCTTTGTTCAATGTTTTTCAGGTTGGTATAGTTTCAGCGCTTCCTCACTTGGTCATGACCATCATTGTGCCCTTAGGGGGCCAGTTAGCCGATTATCTACGGACCCACAACATCATGTCCACCACTATGGTCCGCAAAATCATGAACTGTGGAGGTAAGGCTTTGATTAGAAGTTTTCAGTCAGAGATATTTGATTTTAGATGATTTTCTCACCGGTGTACTCCTGTCTTTTTGTTCTCAGGATTTGGGATGGAGGCTACGCTCTTACTAGTGGTGGGTTACTCTCACAGTAAAGGGGTGGCCATTTCATTCTTAGTTCTGGCTGTGGGTTTTAGCGGGTTTGCAATATCAGGTGGGTCCCAAAACAAAGGATGTTTGCTGAAATTCTTTGAGGTTTGTGCCTTTCAAAAACTGGACTTAACTCAAAAGTGTCTCTCTTCTCTATTAAAGGTTTTAATGTCAACCATCTAGACATCGCTCCTCGCTATGCCAGCATCCTAATGGGCATTTCCAACGGAGTGGGTACCCTGTCAGGGATGGTCTGCCCTCTGATAGTGGGAGCCATGACAAAGAACAAGGTGAGTTATGTCTATTTGTGTTGGTTTTTTAAACTGATTGTGTATGAGGACAGGACTGTTGAAAAGCCGACAAAATGTTTAAATTTTAAGTCTCTAAAAGATCGGGTATATAACATCAAAAAAGCCCTTGTGAGCTGAGCCTCACTTTGAATACTGAAGGTTACAACTCATTGACTTTAAGTCACAGTAAAACAGACATAAGGTCTTACTGAGATGGAGTTTTGTCACAGGAAGAATTATATCAAATTAAATATAGTGGTTTCACTGGGTTACTCAAATTTGGCTGCAGCTCACTGGCAAAGATGTGAAAAATATAAATATCAGTTTCACTGTTATTGTTACCTGTATTATGTGAGGATAAGATTTGCACTTATTAGTAATAGACCAAGTATATATAGAACTTAAAGCTCTTGTAAGGAAGTTTTGGTTTGTGGCAATTTTGGCGCCCTCTGTGGACAAAGCTGTCTTTTTTTATCTTGTCCTTTAAAAGCTTAAGAAGCATCTCCTAACAAAGACATCTCACCCTGGTGACAGTCAAACAAATCATTTATTGTAAATTTCAAATATTAATTGTAAAAATAGGGCTGGTTCGTTTACCCCCTCACGCCCGTTTGAGGCTTTAAAAGTAATTTAAAAATTGTAAATCCTCTTGCCAATGGTCTTGTTTGCTTTTGTCTGTCTAGAAAAGCATCAATATGAGTTTCAGCTCCTTTCATAACCATAAACTCCTCAAAGGAGCTTTATTACAATCAAAAGTGAAGTGTGTCAGCTGAAGTCTACTGTGATACTTCTCTGCGAGCTGCACAAGTGGTCTTGGACTAAGCCTGACTAACACTAGTTTCTGTCTCCAGACTCGAGAGGAGTGGCAGTACGTCTTCCTCATCGCCTCCCTCGTGCATTATGGAGGCGTGGTGTTTTATGGGATTTTTGCGTCTGGGGAGAAGCAGCCATGGGCCGACCCTGAGGAGACCAGTGATGAGAAGTGTGGCTTCATCGACGAGGATGAACTCGCTGAGGAGACGGGTGACATCACGCAGGGTTACGGCGCCATGGCTGCCCCGGCTAAAAGCTACGGGGCCACTGCACAGCTGAACGGGGGTTGGGTGCAGGACTGGGACAAGACGGAGGAGTATGTGCAGGAACCAGCAGGGAAGATGTATTCTGAGCGTGGCTACTCTTAAACCAGTGGTGAGTTTGCTCCCAGACTCTCCATCTTGGATTGCACAAATAAGCATTATCTTAGATATTAAAATCCATCCTGTGTATTCAAGTAAAAACGGTTACTAGTTTCAAAAAGCCAATGTAAAGAAATAGTTTATTGCAATGCAGAACAATCCTCATTAGATTGTCCCACGTTTCTCATCGCATCTACCGACTGTAGGGCTTCACCACACAGAGAGCGGCTGCAAAGAAATCTGCAAGCCTATGTTGTACTTCTTCTTAGGCACCCAAACCTCATCAATCTACTTGAACATGAGCCAGATGACACTGCAGTTGACCATCATATAGGGTCTTTACCACTCTGATTGCACTGAAACTATAAGTATTCAAATACAAGATTCTATTCTGTTTCTTAAATGTGTTTTATGTACACGTATATACCTGTATACTGTTTCTGTGAGACTATTGTGGATTTTGGGTCGTTGATCTGTGTTGACATTACTATAAAAGGCCATATTTTTCATGGACAGTACCTTTTCAGGGAGATGTCTGCTTGCAAAAAAGGTCTTCTTCTTCTCAAGTGAGGCCTGTAATACACTATGACAAAAAATAGCGTGAGTGAAGTTGAACTGTAGAGTTTTAGTGTGTGTTTGTTTGCATGAATTTGCTCAGATTTAATGTTTCAGATGCAGCCGCCTCACGGTCATCGATGGTCCTCATTCAGCCTATAACTGCTTCGTTCTTAGATAAGTGTCTTCTGCCATTATAAATAATAATAAAATGAACTTTCATAATCAGGTTCCGGTCGTGATGTGAGACAAATCAAAAAAGTTTTGAAGGGGATTGCTCAGAAGACGTTGTTTATTGATGTTTGGTGTGCACTGCAATAAATTCTGTGTACCAGCCGCCACCCATCACATTCTGTTTTGTAATGTATCACTGGCTTGCTGTATCTAACTGTAATTGTTTTGGAGTCATGTGATGATTAACATTAAGGTGTGTGTTATTACAAATTACTAGTGTCTGGAGAATCCAGCTTTAGCGTTCCTGTTAAAGGACGTGTTGCATTTTGACAGCGAGGAATGCAGTACTGTATATGAACAACCAGGTTTTTGTGCTCTCTCTCCCTCTCCCCCTCTCTCTCTCTCTCTCTCTCTTGGTGTTTCTTGGTTGTTCTCATTGTCACCAAAAGTACTTCATGGACACTTTAATATTGTCAGATTTGAGTACAACACATGAATTAATAGATGGCTCCTCCACCTGACTTTATTTGCTATTCAAACACTTTCTTCATTTGCTGTATGAAATCTGCAAGGATGTTTAAAATATATGAATATTTATGAATCTTTAAGATGACCAAAAGATGCTATTACGGCTTTGTGCCTGAAGTTTATGTAAAACAGATAAATGTGATTTTATGGCTTCTAATATTGTGTTTAATGAAGAGGTATGTTGATGTCAAAAAGTGTTATAAGAATACTCATATCATTTTATAAAAAAAAAACAACCAAAGTCATGTTTTTGTCATTCTTACTCACTTTTTATCACATGTGTTGTCGTGATCAGCTGTTAATCTGAAGGTTAGTGCTCCTCGGAGACCACAGGAAGACTATCAACCCTGATAACCACCGTCTCCAATCAGTGTCCTGCATCTCCTGCTCTCTCCACGTCCCTCATTAGTAAATCGATGACTGAGGTCTCTGGAGTCCAGGGGAGAGTATTGGAGTCTGTAGCTTGGCAATTGGTGAAAGGAAGGAAAACAGCCATGTTAATACGTTTCCAGAGTTTGCATCCTTACAAACTGCAGTCACAGACCATCCTGAAGAGTCCTGACTGTGATATGCAGTGTCCTACAGAGGTGTTGTGTAGGTGTATAACATGTGATGATCCTTTTACACTTTGCTGTAAAAGGAAATATTAGCCTTAATAGAAAGCCATTGTGGGAATTGAAGGAGTGTGTTATTGAATAATAAACTGCACCAGTGGTCCCTCCTCTAAACACCACCGAGGTCAGCGGCGTTAGATGTAACACATTCAACTATTGACCCAGCTCCTGCATTAAATCTAATCACATGACAGATCAATACTGTTTAACTCCGGAGTGTGTTCAAATTTAAAAACTCTAAATGCTTCAAATGAAAGTTTGACCTCTATTGTTGGCAAAGAAGGTCATGTGATATTAGTGGATGTAAATGAGGTCAGAGTAAAAGGGGCACGGCTAAAATCCCATCGCTAAAACCTGAATGCAGCGTCACACCTTTATGTTTCCATGATGGCACTAAATGTAAATCGCTGGTGCTAGAAAGGTCTTAAAAAAAATTATGTGGAATACCAACAATTATTTCAGCCACATGATAATTATTGATTAAAAATAAGTCATTATTTATTTCATAGACTTAACTGAATAGTTCCCAAACCAAAATGTGGCAAAATAGTAGTTTAACTCAAAAGGCAATAAATCTGCTTTTACCCTGGTCTGGTTATGCACATCAAGGTACTCACATGCTGGTAGAGTATACTTTCATGTCTTTTTATACTGCACTTTATGTATTTAAAACTTCAACCTGTTTCCTCGCTGCTGTATTCCACATCCAGAGTCTAACAGAGGTGATAGATTTTAAAACAAAGAGTTGAAATTACCTTTTGTTGCACCTTTGTGTTGCACTCCTGAGTGTCTAACACTGCTGTGGAAGGTGCAAACTGCAGTCCATCAGTGACATGGTGAATACATGGCATAGCGAGCTTCTAGGGAGATGGATTATATGGAGTGTTCGATTCTGTAACTGCTGTGGAAGGTGCAAATTAGTCACATGGAAATAATAGCACAGGCAATTCTTAAAGGTTAAAGTCATAATAGACTGATTCACGTGAAAGATAAGTGTTAGTTGACCTGAACTGGTGTTGAGCTGCTCCCCTTTTTTCAGGCTTGCATTCCTCCAGATTTCAACTGGAATCACAACCTATCAGGCTGAATATGTACAGAAAACTCTCTGCAGCTCTGTGCTAATGAAGCCCCTAACTCAAGAAAAAGTGACAGACAAGCATGAAGTTCATAGGGATGGAAGGTTAGGGTTTAGCCCGTCGGTTTTATGCACCTGACTGACAGTTTGAATCAATTAAACGTGCTGAGGCAGAGTTGAATCTTCAGCCGCTCTGTGTTGACTCATGCTTCAAACACAGGGAGCAGCACCATGTAGGAAAACACTTCAAGTATCAGCAGTGGCAGCAGTTACAATAAATCTCAGTATCCTCTCCAGTTACAAGACAAACCATTAACGCTCACCACCGACTGCTTCTCAGTGCACATGTTAATTTGACAGAAAACACAATTGTGTCACCAGCCATGTGGAACATGTTTTCTCATGCCTAACCAGCCGCGGTGGTCATGGCTGTTGAACCATGTGACGTGCCTGTTGTGGGAAGCGGTAATTGGACGAATTCTGGTGTCGACGTTTCATTCATATGAGGTAACTCTCTGAGTATTCATCTGTCTCTCACCTCCAACCTCGGTGTTTTTGCTGCGTCTGAGATATAGTCATTGTCCTGTTTGTGTAATTGTGAAGCTGAGTGAGGAAAGGATTGAGTAGTCGTCCGTCTGTGGGGCAGGTGCAGTTTGGCTCCTGAGGGACTGTAATGGGATGAGGCCCAGCCAGAATGAGTGTTTGATGACGGGGTTGCACTCATCCCCTGGGACTCTGCCTGCATGCAATTATCCTCCTGATCCCTTCTCTTTCCTCTACGCCGAAGCTCCAATCGCAAACAGGGGTCTTTGCAAAGTGCTTCCTAAATATCCCTTAAGTTACAATCAAAAATTTTACACCAGTGGTAGTAATATAAGCCAAATTTTCAAAGCTGTATAGGAGTAATTACTGTTTCATGGCACCCTCCAGCGTGACATTACTCTACCTCTGGGCAATTGAATTTACGACCGCCTTCTTCTCCTCCCTTGCTAATTGCTTTATTAATGAAGAGCCTGGCACCCCCAAATCAGTCTGTCTCATTGATAATAACATTATGTCTCTCTCTAACAAAACTACAGCAAATATTTAAAAGATTGCAATGATTCCCCCAAAATGATCGAGTCCTGCTCAAGATGCTTGTTTTTTTGCAAATGCAAATGCGCCCATTTTTAAACACCCATCCTATCCAGCTCCCCAAAGCAACAAGAAATATATGCCTTCATTATTTTCATCTATTCATACTCTCAAAACCCACTAAAACATTTATGAGAACCAAACTAGATAGATTTCACCCACGGTAATGGAGCTACATCCAGAGGCAACATTTTCAGGGCCGCCATGATTGAAATGAGAAAAGGAAATCACAGGAAAAGGGGAAGGCGTTCCTCTGTTCGATTGTTTGTCCTCGCCAAACCTGTTTTCCTGCAGACGCATGTGAGGTAATCTATCATAGGTCTTTGCTGTTCCCCTCCCCCATATCACATTACACTGACAGCTTCATACCCTCCTCTCCACAGCACGCTCATATCTCACTTGTATCTCACACAAGACAAAGGATGAGAAGATGATCAGATTTTACACGATGCTGTCAGCACAGGCCGTGCCTTGTTCTGATTATCTGGATAAAATGATCGCAGAATTTGCAGATAATGGAGGAAAAGTGTTGATTTGGCATGCATAGAAAGAACTATGCAAATATCTACAACTTCCTTCTTAGTGGGCAGAAACTGTGATTATTTCGTGGGCTAAAAATCATTTGGTCTAATTAACATTAAAAATGCCAAAACAGCGATTACTTTGAACATCTTAAGACTGGGAAAACAGGGAGTATGTCTGAGTTTTTCAAGTGAAAAACCTCGATTTCTGTCCATCACAACTATAATTTTAAAGGTTTTTTTCTTATTGTAAGGAAAAGTTTGACCCCTTCCTGCCTCTCTCAACATAAAGCAGATTCTGCAACCACAGCGCCTCACTGGGGTGTCTGACAGTGCAGTTTTTCTAGGATGTCCTAAAGAGGACAATGTGACTGTATTTCATCCCATTCTTCAAAAGTTGCAAAAAACATTTTGCATGACTCAGTAGAAAAACTACACTCCCCATGTTAAGAAGCATTCATCTTTCCTCACAGCGACCACATCATTCACCTTCCTCAGCGCATGCCTGATGCAGGCTGCTGCTCATCATCAGCATCCTCTGAGTGGGACACAGGTGTGTTAAGGGGCCCTCCCGCCTCTGCGATCTGTCACCGGGGCCAGATGAGGGCCAGGCTGGAGCGGCTTAGGCACGTGCCGAGGGAGGGCTCTCACCTCACCCCCTCCCCTCCACCCCCGCCCCTCAGAGGACTCCCTATTCACACTGCCAGATGGGGGCTGGATCTGAGTTTTAATGAATGCTATCCTTCACGGCCCCTTTAGGAGCAGCAGAACAACAGTCGCCCTCAGCACGTCTCTCTGCAGTTTGTCATCCCACACTGAAGCAGAACAATAAGACACTGAATTAAAAATAAGTGAGATAAAATAAAAATACTACAGAGTGGTTCAAGTAGATTTCCTCACTTGGAGAAAGACCCTGATAATTGGCCCCTAATTCAAAGTAAAGGTTGTTAATTATAAATCATGTGTAAATAACAGGTTAACATGCTACAGATCAGATACCTCAGTAGAAACATACTGTGGTGTGACTGTTCTGATGGGCCTCTTATTTTAATCAGACAGTAACACCTCTGAATCATCACCATGGCTGCTTACACTCTCTGCCAGCGATGTGGAAAGCTGTGGAGAAGAGTGAGAAACACAAAATCTATAAATGAAAGAAATCCATCACTCCCAGAGGCTTAATGAGACTGTGCTGCCTGGAAACATGAGGAGGATGGAAAGCTTCATCATTTAGTTGTGCCTGAAATATTTCTCTTTGACTAATTTTTTTATAAACTCTACTGGCTCAGATGTGATCTCTATTTACACAATGAAAATCTGCTGGAAGTGACTCTGCATACATTAACAACATAGAGCTGATGAAATCTCTTCAACCACTGTTGGTTTTCATCCAGACACATGCATATGTTCCTCACTGGTGGAAATAAATTGGTTGTGTATATGCTGCCCTTAACTCACTGACCCGTGTCTGTCTCTACGTGAATTGCTTTCACGGCGTGTTAAACGAGCCGTGGTCGTGTTGGTGTTTCCCTGCATGCGGCGGACCGGTCTCTAATCCGCTGTCTGCCAGAGTTATGTCACACACCAGCTATTGTGCAGGCTTTGATTGAAGACGCCTGATCTGACTAACTGATCTCTCGCCGCAGAGGTGCTCTGACACATGGGCAAGCGCTGAGATGTGTGAATTGGCAGTCCAGTCACATGACTGGCGTGAGACCAATCAAAATTTTTAGATTCAGACTGAGCACAGCTTTGTGGCAAAAAGGCAATACTGACAGATGGTGTGAGAGAAATGATTTTAGGTGCGAACAGTCAGAAAATTACATCAGACAATGGATTCATTTTCTTTGTGTAAAGTACTTTTTTCACAGCTGATTCTTTAAAAAGACACTCCATACTCAAATCCACCTCTCTCTGCAGGTTTGCACAATGTAAGAACACTTTCTATTAAAAACAGACAGCAATACAAGCAATTTAAAACTGCAAATCTATATGTGTTTGGTAGTAAATTAAATTTATGATTGTACACAAAGCCTAAAGTCTCCAAAGACCAATTTATAACATGTAAACTATTCTGTGCTGAACAATTACGCTCCCTTTGGTCCACTCAGGTCATGTGCTGCTCCTCATTACAAGGCAACATGTTACAGCATCTGTCCAAACCCTGTGATTTATGCTATTCTTTATATTGTGCTCATATGTGTTCAGATCTTCCTTTACACTCAAAGTAATCAAACAAGATTTAGTTATGACATTTTTTTCCAACAGAATTTTCTCAAAATTTCAGATTTTTTACAAAAGTCAATCCTGTAAATTACAAATTATGCTGGGTGTGTTACTTTGTATATGATTAGATTTTGAAAGCTGAAAAGACCACAGAGTGAAGCATCGATAGTTAAAATGAAAAAGGGGTCCACTGTGAATAACCTGTCAGCATTCAGGAGTTCTGTGTAATTCATAGAAAACCTAAGGCTGTTTTTCCTTTACAAAGATAAATTAACTCCAGGACGAAGAAAACTTCTGTGCACCAACGCTTTCATTTCACTGAAAACACCAAAGTTTCTATCAGGGGGTGTCGCGATTTGACTTTTTCACCTTCGATACAATACCGATATTGCTGCCTTCAATATTGACTGACACCGAAAATGATCCGATATTAGCACAAACTTCTGCATGACAAGTTTTGCACCTAGCTGCAACGTCTTTTTCAGACTTTAATGAAAAATACTGACATAGGGCCAACATCAATCCTACTCCTTGGTTCTTTGGTTCACACTGTTGTTGTGATTACATGGGCTCTACATGCTGAATCAGGGCACTGCTAGATAGGAGGTGCCTGTATCAGATCGTGATATCGGAGATTTTAGATGGAGGGCAATATAATCCAATATTCGATTTTTTACTGATATCGGACCGATATCCGGTGTCAATATCGTATCGGGACACCCCTAGTTTCTATACTAATGTAGCACGTCATATCTCAAATCCTCATTAATAAAGAACTTAAGTGAAAAAATGAAATGTGTGACAAAAAAAAAAAGGAGATTATCTGAGAGTTTTACTGCCAAACTTCATTCTTCAGCTACTTTTATTAAGCTGTGCTGTCAGTACATTTTATTTGACATCATGAAGGTATGAAGTATTCATGTTAAATTATAAATATTTGTACTCAGATCTCAAAAATTACCACATAAAGATGTAAACAATACAGCTTTGATGAGAATAAAAGGATGACAGTCAGCTATTCAAGGCTGACAGAAGGTCTCCCCAAACACTCAGACCTCTGACATCAAAGTATCCATCATAAAGTTTCAGAGCTTTTAGTTCTTTTTCCACATCCTTCCTCTGAGAGGGACAGGTTGAGAACAAAGCCAAGAAGTGCTCTGTCAGTTTTTGAAAGGAAACAGTTTGGTTTGTGCCGGTCTGAACCCATTCACCTTCAGTTACGCTGTACTCCATATCTGACGCCCATTTCTTCAGCACCTCACAGTATGAGTTTCTGAATGTTTGCTGTTCTTTGGCCAGCTTGGTAAGAAGTTTAGGAGGCAGTGATGAACACATGTGCTGCAGCAGTTTGTGTTTTTTCCGCAGCCAGTCCAAAAGAAAATCCTGTGCTGCAGTTTCAGCATCTGAGTTTTTTGTTGTCAGCAAAGCCGCAGCGATGACCAGACAGAAGTGCTCTGCTTCTCCTTCGCGTCCTTGGAGGATGGAGTCCAAAAAGAGCTCAGGCTCGCATGCTTCACTGCCTTGGCTCAGCAGAGCGCCAAGTCTCTCCATCAGCATGGCTCCCTGCACCTCAGCATCAGCGGCACCCACAGCTGACAGGTCCGTGAGAGGACTCAGGAGTTTGCAGGCTGATTTGCACAGGACGATTCGACTGCAGAGACCTGTGACATCCTGGTACTCTCTCTCCTTGGCGTGTGCAGTCTTCTCACTGTCGAAGAGGATCTTGATGATGGAAACTGGCAGATCAGGGTTGTTCAAAAGCCCGACGAGCAACAGGTGCTGACACTGGGAAAGGTCCGAGAAGGAGATTTCTGAGTAGGCAGGAAAAGTAGCTCCTAAAGTTTGATTTGTGAGCTGCAGCTGCTTTTCCATAATCCTCCTTATAGCAGCGTTCTTATGAAACCTGGAGAAGAGATTTTCGCAGTAGTGTGCCCAGTGGAAGGCTCGGGTCAGAGTCTGTTTATCCCACTGCTCCACCACACAGCTGTGCGCAGCGACGGCGAGCAGCTCCACCGAGCTCCCCAAGTTTTTCAGCACCGCCTCCATGTGGCGCTCTCGACGTGTTCTGCTCACACCGAGAGAGAAAACCGACTGTGAAGGGTAGACTCAAACTTTACCCGGACTATCCTCCACCTTTACCGAGCTAAAACAACTAGTTAGCAGATTAGCCAGAAGTCAGCTAAACAACACCGAGAAAACTTCCGGTGACATAATTCAAAGGGGAGGTTTCGAGTGAAGTTTTAAAAGCATGTACCAGTCTAAACGAAAGTGAGTACAACTCGGTTTAAAACGTCTGCCAAGAGGATATCTACATTTTGGGTGTTTGTACTCACTCATTCCCATTTCCTGAGTCCAACAGCTTGTGTATGCCGCTTCCTACACAGCGCATGCGCCTTTGAGTCCACGCTCACGCCATCTTTTGTGTCCTTCAAAATAAAAGCACTACAGCTACAGGGGAGAAAAATAACACATTTCAACAATCTGAACTGAAACTCTGATCCTCTCATCAGACTTCTTTACTTTCTCAGTTGATCCACTGGCTCAACTTACCACAGAACTACTATTATGACTTTATTAGTCCCCTGAGCTAAAATGTTGGACTTTTACGTTGGTTTTTGACCTCATGTTGTAGCTAATAGATACCACAGTTGATGTACAAAACAAATTTAAAATTATCTTTTTTGGTCCGAACACAATTCTAATAAAACTTATGACAGACTAAATTCACTTTCAAGAGTGAAAAATGGTTTTTGGAAATAAATGTCTAACCCCTTCACCCATCCCACTGAGCATTCTTTGGTCTAAAGGAGGTCTAATAGACATATAAATGTAGCCTAGACAACTGGTCTAAAATCAGGCTACCACAGGTCTAAAAATTAAAGTTTTTTAGACGTCTAAATTTAGACCAATTTTAAACTAGCTAACTATTATCTTAGTTAAGTACAAGGAGATCAGTTATGCAACTCAAAGTTGCTTTTTGAAATAAATAGTTATCAAATAATGGGTTAAAGTGCAACATCTAAATTCCATCTAAAAATATACAGAATCTAGATGGTTGAAATTGCGTCTAAAAAAATTAGACGTTTAATAGCCGTCTATTGCTCAGTGGGATGTGCTTCTAACCTTCACAGACTCCATGAATTGATGCCCATCTCCTAAATATTTGGTCACATAATCGATTTCTTTTACCATTTCCAAGTAACAGGGGGTGACTCAACTTACCCTTTGGCTCAACTCACCCCACTCTCCCCTAATCTATTACCGCCGAATTTGCAGGATTCGGGCATGTAGGGTAACACAAACACAATTACAGTTTTGGCAAGCAGTCTAGATTACAACTATGAGTTATATCTTGTTCATTGAATTTGTGGCAAAGGAATTTGCATCTACGCATTAATGACGGCTAAAGTTTTCATGATCCATAATTGTTTTCACGGTTTGATCAGATTACACGAGCACCCTCCCCAAAACAAATCCAGTCAATAATGTGCATCGACGGATTGTATTTCTCGGAATGACCCGCATAATTGGGTCCAGAAATGTAATAATGAGGCAAAACAAAGCGGAGGGGAGAGGGGGAGTGCCAACAGGATCAAACTTCCCTCCCATCAGCAGCAGCAGCAGGAGCAGCGTGTTGTGTGAACATGAATACCCTGCATGTGTGTGTGCGCTCAGACCGCCGTGCAAACGCGTTGTGAGAACGACCTCTCTGACTCACGTTGGTGCAGTGTTTTGGAGCCTCACCTGTGGGTCTGTGCACCGCTCTGAAAAGCATGAAAACTGGGATCCAGCAGCTGACAGGACGAGAGAGAGGAAGGTGCACAACCAGCGAGCTGTACCCTCAGGGTGAGCACAGATTAGGAGTCTTATTTTGGGCTCATGCACGAAATCTTTCTGCCGAGTTACCGACAGAGTTTGAATGTGTCTCTGAATTCTCTGTTTCACTAAAAACCCGAGCTGGTCTATCCACAGTTTCGAGGGCAGTTGTGTCATTTATATTCGTCTTTTACAGCCTACTTGAAAGTTGTCTCCCCCTTCTCCAGTCAAAAGCTGTTAATTTGCCTTTTTATTCCTCCAAAAGTATTTCAAGGCATCCTGTTGCACAAAAAAATCTAATAGATTTCCCTTTCAGTCTTTGCATTCTGCTGGATTTCAGTCATAATTCATCAGGCGTCCTCCCTTGATCCTTTTTCCAGAGTAGTTGATGTGGTTGTTTTTATTTGGGAAAGTTTGAAGGAGAAGAAACTTCTACACTTAATTAAAAACAATTGTGTTTTCTAGTGTTTTACAAGGCAAGTTTTACTCTGTTTTAAAGCAAATTATCTCACCAGATTCAGAGTGTAATAGAAGATCTTTCCCCTTAAGTACTCCTGATAGTTGCCTGACTAAAAAATGTTTGTTGCAAGTCAAAATTATTTAGACACACACTGATTTAATGTAATCTTAATATCACAACTCAGTATTTATGATACTCTGTGGTGCCTCTTGAACGCAGGGGCATTTTATAGGACTGTGTAACTTGATATTTTTAATTCAGAAACACACTGCTGTAAGCTCATCCATAGTCTTCTATGGTCATATTGTAATTGTACAGAACAATCTCATGCCTTAACTATTCTCTTGCTACTCTACAGACCACACAGCTGACACAAAGTCATACCTGAATACATGACTCCCTCACTGCCCATTTTTGCAGCAGTATCAACCTGATAGTATAATGCTGATCTGGCTTAAATGCACACGTCTGTTCCCAGATCAGTTTGCTGTCATAGATTTGGAGTACATGAAGGGGCTGTGAGGGTTACGAGGACAGAGCTGCCCTTGTTTTTTTTCTAATTGATGTGATTCAGCAGTAGCGTCTTCGTCCGTATGCCTTTCCTGGAACAATCTGCAACCAACCGTAGCAGGTTATGAAGGCTCCACTGAAGTCACGAGGCTTTCCTGTCTGAGATAATATAGATATTTGTATATTTTTATGTATTTGAATATCTTAGGGGTGATCAGGGTTATCTTTTTCTGGTTATACTTGAGCCAACTTTCAGATTGAGGGGCTGATTCTGAAAATAACCCTGGATTAAGCTGCGCAGAGCAGTGCTGCTTGCTGGCTTTGTTTTTGGGTGTGCAGTTCAAAGGTCAGGCTTCAGTTTGGTGAGAGGAACCGGGTATGTTTAACAGCAACTGGTTGTTTCTTTAGGAGTTTTTTCTTGGGGAAAAGCACAAGTTGCAAAGCAGTTATGACCCTACAAAGGAGAATACAGTTTGGATAAACTTTCTATACATTAGCAAATGAGTATGTAACTTTGGCACATACTCTGTGGAAAACTATATCTTCTTGGCATTTTGAATGTCTAATTTACGGTGTTTTAGTTTGTGAATTTATCAGGGTACGCGGGAGAGCTATTGTACTGATTGTCAAAAGATTTAGACAGATATAAGAGATATAAAGTGTATGGAAACAACAGGTAAAGTTTAAGAAAAGGATCCCCACTGTGCTTGAAAACTGCGACAGTTGTCATGTTGCTCATTGATGAATCTGTTGAATACCCATTTCATTTGCCTTTTCACGCACAAAACCAGTGAACGGTCATGTTTGAGTCTTGTCCAGTGAGACATCAGAAGTTGTCCCAGTGCCCTTGTTCTGTCCGTCAGCCTTCACCGCAGTGAACGTGGGAATGTAGCACCTGTGTGTGAGTGCTGAGCTCCACAGCTTTGTGTGTGTTTGCAGCCAGGAGCCCTTGTCTTCAGGCAGATAAGATGGCCTTGGCCCGACATCAACGTCATGATGTCCAGTGTTACACCTCAGTGAGATTTTGGTTGCAGCCGACTCCGCGGGGACCTTGAAATCTTCCCCAGCTTTAAAGGTCAGATTCCTCACATTGTGATACACTCCCTCAGTATTTGGAGGAAATTTTCAGCACTCTCAGACTATGATACAATTGTTTCCCTCCACTTCGCTTCCCTGTTTGAATAAACCCCTCTCATGATTTGCATTGAATATCCTGATGATTTTTTCCTTCTGTTGGGGATGGTTAGAGGATGTTCCTGCTTTAAAAAGCTGGAGGCAAAACTTTTTATGACAGTTGCATTACAATAAGATAAAAACAATCTCTTCTGTGGTGTAACAACATCAGTAACAATAAAAAAGTCAAGATGACAGGCGCTTCATGACCTATTATTAGAAGGCCTTTTAAAAACAGTGTTTTGTCCTTTTTTCTTTAGTCTTAAAGCTCATGCGAGGAGTTTTTTTTACATTTATAGACTGGAATTCATATTGATGTTTTCTTATGATATACAAAAACAAACAGGACCATCAGCAACAAGAATGATTAGTATGCTGTCATGTTTAATGTCTTAAACCAGTGTGAGGGGGTAGGTGTCAGTAGAGGGGCTAAAGAAAAAGCCCTGTTTGTACATTTTCAACATTGAATATTGCAAAAATTTACACATTTGGCTGTTGTAAGTCAGCAGGATGAGCTTTTTTGTCAGAAGACACTACTCAAACATGTAGTGGACAGGATACACTATTGTTTTGCCTGCAGGAGGTGCCAAAACTGACACAAAAAAGTTCCTTACAGGACCTTTAAATCAAAATGTTTCTTCATGACTCAGCTAAAAAAGTGTTAAGAGAAATGGGAGCCCTAATAAGTCATCCTTTTAACACTTTAAGTTGCCTCTCTCCTTATCCAGTTATTAATAATTTTCATCCTTAAACCCAAATCCCCTCATAGGTTAGGCTCCTCTCACTTCATAGAGGAGGTTTGAACTTTACTCTGTCTCATACAATTTACAGACACCCAATCTGATCCAATGCAAGCGAGAACTTGGCATCATTATCGTAAAAACTCCCTCTGATGAGCAGAAACCTTAAGCAGAACCAGACTCAGTGGTAGACAGCCATCTGCCACAGGAGAGTGTTACATCGAGAGACAGAAAGAGACAAATGCTCAGACACATGGCCAGGGACAAAAATAAAATAGATCTTTATATACATGTCTGCATCATACACACACTCCTTTCTCCGAAGATGTCTGTGTGTGTGTACTTCATAGAGGTTTAATCACAGCCTCCTCTCCTTAACTGCTGAAATGTGTTGTCACTGCGTTCGTGTCCTACAGCTGGTGCCCAGTTGTTTTGTCATTTACTCTCTTGTCTTGGCAGTAAATCCGCTAACAGAGTGACGGTGAATTTAAACATTTTCACATTAGAGCTTATTGAGTGAACACTTGGCATACAGTGACACAATATTGACTCAGACTGCGTGAATTGTCTCAGAAGTAGCTGTTGAATATCTGCTCTCAATATTGATGTCATGCAGTTGCTCCATCGGCTGTAACATAAGGCCGCTGCACTGAGGACTGGACTGGATTGATTCAGGCTGCATGATAGACTGTATCATAGAGAGCAGGGTTATCTGAAGGAGCTCTTTGTTGCTGTCCACTATCTGTTGAATAAAAGTCTCACTGTACGAGTCTGGCTGGTGAAAAGTGTCTCTTTTCTGTTGGCAAGGCCGAGAGGAACTAAATGTCGGGGTCAGTGAGAGTGTCATCAGGTACACCAAACCGGGATACAGAAGACGAGGGCATTCAGACCTCTTTAATCTCCTCTCTGTTGGAGATACTTGGCCTGAACTTCAGCAGTTATTGTAGGATACTATCATGAGATTATAAGATCATGAATAAATGAAAATACATTATTTTATCACAACAAATCATTAACTGAAATTGTCCTCCAAGATCTGCAATCAGAAAATCAAAAGTGCAAAAACTGTCAATCATGTAGGTCATTAAAAAAGTTGTTTTGTGTTAGTGAATGTTTGGATTTACTTTGTCAGCCACATATATTTGTGTTCAATTCTGCAATTTCATAATACATATGAACCACACTAGACTTAAGGAAACATAATCTGGATTAATTTTTGTCTTAATTTTTACAGGATTAGTTTTTAGATTAATTCTTTGATAAAATATGTAAATAAGCAGATTCATCTGTAATGAAAAATCAAAAGTTGTTGTGATTTAGTATGTTTTCATTCATTTGGAAAATAATGGAGACCTGCAGATAATTTTTTTAAAGTAGTGTTGATGTGCATTACACAAAAACAAATATATCAAAATATTTCGACCTAAAAAAACTATATAAATCTCTTGAGCATTAACTATTTAATGTGGATCAGAATGAGTGTTTCACACGGGTTTTACTTTGTTTTGTCCGTTAAGGTTTCGTATTAACAATACTGACAGATGGCTGTATTGTTAATTTACAGTATGTTGAGTCATCTTTCTGAAACTTGTCTTCTTCCTCCTCCTCTTCCTTGTCTTCAGGCTGTCAGTAGGGAATCATGTGCAGCTTCTTGAGCCCCAAACAGCCCAGTGGGCCCGGCCTCACAGACATGCAGCAGTATCACCAGTGGCTGTCCAGCAGACATGAAGCCAGCCTGCTGCCCATGAAGGAGGACCTCGCCCTGTGGCTCAGCAATATTCTTGGTAAACAACATGACTCATCAAACTTCGTGCTGGCAGCTTTGCTCCTCTGACTACACCTGCTTTTCTCTCAATCTGTTCCTAATAACAGCTGTTGATGTAAACGGAAACTGTATATACAGTAGGATACAGTGGGATACCTCATTGCTTCTGGATCAAGTTACAAACAGGCTGCATTAAAATAATTATGTTATATTTTTCATATTACTGCCATAAAGCACAACAGTTTAGAGAAAATTACTCATTCTCACCAACATCAACAACCCCTGAGGTGTTGCAGCTGATTAATTTAAAGACATTTCCTTACAAATAGGTTTAAGAAAACGTCCTTATCCTCAATATTAATGGCATAGGTATTGCTGATGTAAACACCTGTGCAGGGGGCTGAAATCAATCTGAACCTCATTACAGTCCATCTCAAAATCCCCAATGCTTGTGAACTAGACTCATTGGTCACACACTCTGCCGTAGGTTCACTTTAAGTGAATAATGGGAGTCGTTAAGAGTTCTCGAATAATGCACAGCAAGCGCAGGAAAGTAAGAAGCAGGGAGAAAAATCAGCAGAAGCTCTGTACAAAGTCTGTACTGCATATTAAATGACTCTATGTTGTGTTGGGATTATAAAGGCCAATCTCAGAACAAATTTATGGTGCACTCCTAAGATCTGATTCAAACTCAAAGTCTCAGATTTTATAGTTTGTTTCTAAAAAAGGAAAGATGGGGATAAGAAGTAGATTAATAGTAAATAAGTTTAAATGTATGCCTCATAAGGCTGCCAAAGGGCTTACTGAGCCTTGGCACCAACGACAACACAATGTTGTGTTTGTTAGCAAAACACAAATTCCCCAGATTCCTCCAGCAGAATAGGTTTTATATCAATAATACAGTAATTGTTCCCTGGATTACCAGAGGCAAACTGTTTGTTAACAAGTAGTTTATTTGTGTGTTTTGTTAAAGTCTTCACAGAGAGACCAATCTCCTTATGGTTGTTCTTCTGAATATGCTTTTGAACTGTGCAAAACTGTGTTTCATACAGTTGAAATTGGTCATAGTAGCTCAGCTGGACGACTGCATTCACCAAGTGCCACACATGTTATCTCTGGGGGACTGTGCTTTTTGCTTGTTTGCACTTCATACAGCTGATCTGGAAAGCTCTGAACTGCTTTGGGATCAAGGACAGAAGACTTTGAACAAATGCGTGTCAGAAGCATCCATGTGATTTCAGTAAACACACAGTAGCAGCACAGTTTGTTGGAAGAACGCGTTGACATGCTTACACATCTAAGTGGGAGGAGCGGTGCAGACGATCGATCGATGATCCAGTGGGAGGCGGATGACTCATAATGTTTTTGTGAGCAATTTATAGGACTGAGTATTAGAGTTTAGATGTTACTGTGAGAGCTCTTGAGGAGTTTTGGTCCTCATAGAGAGAGAGAGAGAGAGAGAGTTTGAGCACATAAGACAAGAGCTCACTTAGTATTTCTCAAGATTTCAATCTCTCCTTTCTGGGCTCAATCACAACATTTGGAACTCATTAAACGTCAAACCTCCAAGACCCCTCCTCCTATAAGAGGCAGAGAGGGGATTTGAAAAAAATCTCCCCGGGTCTTTCCACAGACACCCCCCTGCCACCACCTCCTATTTCACAATGATCTAACTGAGAAGGAATGGTCGTCTGGAAGTCAGTCAACTGGACACCACATGTTGATCACTGATCTATTTCTGCAACCGTGCAGAATAATGAGGCTTTACCGTGCACAATCGGAGGCACACATTTCATGTGACCCTGTCTTTGCCGGCCTTTGCAACACAACCAAAGAATCCCTAAAGTTTCTCTGAAGTCATGTAAAAATGTTTGCACATTTGGATTCTGCAGTGCTGCTTAAACTGAGCAGCTCAAGCCAAGCTCAATCAGCCAAGCAGTCTCTGAGAGTCAATAACACTGCGTCTGGAAACTATGTTATATATCCTTATACACTATATACATATATATATATGTTCTACAATGACTGTTTTTATGTTGGATTTATTGCTGGACACTCTGCTTTCTTTACGTGTCCTCTGGTTAGGTCTGGAAATCACCGCAGAGAGCTTCATGGATCGCTTGGACAACGGCTTCCTGTTGTGCCAGCTGGCTGAGACGCTGCAGGAGAAGTTCAGGCAGAGTAATGGAGGCTTGGCTGCTCATGGAAACAGAAAGGTGCAGAAAAACAGAGAATGACGGTAATCTGGCACTGTAAAACCGACAGTGAGGAAGTCACATCAAGGATCTCCTGTATCGACTCTGGGTTTGCATACTTGAACAGATTTTTGAAAAAGAAAGGAGATCCATCATTTAAGCAGTTTTATGAGCTCAATTCGACCGTCACCTCTATGATCACAGTTTACATTTTAATATTTACCCTTTGTGATTCATAAAGAAAAGGAGTCCGCTAATTATAAATGTCATGTGTTATCTTTACTTACATTATTTTGATGAATTTTCACATGAAAACCCGTTAAAATCAAGTTTCACTTTTAAATTCAAGGATCAAACTGCTTGACATCAACAGTATTGAGGTTACAATATATTGATCCACAGAGAGACAGGAAACAGCTTTACTCTGATATTAGGTTTCTCTCGATAAGATCAATAAGAGACCTTGTTTCCCAAAGGATTAGTGATATCAAACCCTTAAAAGAGTAAAAAGAGACAGAGAGAAAAGAAAGTAAAACCTAATCAGTTCTGAATTCGATCTCCATCATGTCCTGTATTTTGCCTGCTGGCTGCTTTCTCCAGCTCAGAAATGACTATATGAATCCCAACTTTGTAAGGGGCTCCAGAAACCTATGCATAATAGGTTAGAGGGAGGATGGGGGATGGGAGGAGCAGCCTCAGCGAGCCAAAAAAACGGAAAAAAAGATGGTTAAGAAAAAGAAAATATAAGGTTGGCTCGATCACATTAGCTGGTGGGGCCCCACATCTGCAGTTAGAAATGGTAAGACCACGGTAAATGTTTGTTATGTGGGAGTTTTGAGTGAAGGTTAAATCATTATCAAAATATCAGTGGGTTACCTTGTATGTTGTTGTCTGTAATTCAAACCAGCAGTAACGTGCTGCAGTATATTTAACCAGGTTAGCGCTCAAAAAGAACAAATGACCTGAGGTGTAAAACTTTTGATCGTATCACCATCAGAGCTCCCGTGTATGAGTTCATCCATGTAGGATTTATGAGTTCTTTAATCGTTTTCTAATTATCTTCTTTTTATAAAGAAACTTTATTGAGATAATTGTGTTTTTTAAAACTCAAATAAACCAAAAACATTCAAATCTGACAATGCCAAATGCTAAAGGACAGTGATAAAGATAAAAATCCCTTCCTGGTGCTGGAAACGATAAAACACAAAACTCACTCCATATGTTAAGCATCCATACTTCCTTTTACATTGAACAAACACCTGGTGCTCTGTGGGATTACATGGGAAACAGTGATCAGGGTGTGTTTCTGTCCAGAGGGAAGTAAATCGCTCTCTTCAGTTGGCTCAGTCTTTGGTGAGAGCTGTTGATGTTTGCACTGAGGCATTACTGTGCTGATGACGATTCAGTCTCCTGATCTCAGTCTGAGTGTTGCTGCACAGATGTGAGGAGACACTTGAGGTCAATGACCGTGGGACACAGGAATAGAGAGGCCCATTGATCGTCGAGAGCAGAGGAGTCCTGAGACAGATAGGAGCCTTTGAAATAAAAAGATAGTGAACTTCTCTGAGCTTCAGGCTTTGAAATCACTCTAAGTTGTGTTTTGATGTTTTAAAAAGCATGATTTATCGCTGTTAGTTGGTATAAAGGCTGCTTACAGCTCATATTAAGTGCCCACAGTTTAACAAAGCATGAAAGATTTATCACAGTCTTTGTGCTTGATACTTTGCACTTCATCTTACGTCATTAAACGTTCATAATTCATGTCAAACAAATGTGGCTTGAGCAGCTTACTGTTGCACTTTTTAAGTTGTAATTGTTCATGATAAATCACTTAAATCAAAATGTATATCTACTTTGAAGTCCTGCTGTAAGTTGGTGTGGTGTTTGAGGTTCAGCTTAAGTGATTCCAGGAGAGATAAATCCCTTTGTAGCTGCTGTCTAACGCGCGTCTTCCCGCATATTGAGCTCAATCTATACTCGCCACAGATGTATGGAGATGATATTTCTTCTTGTCACATCACCTACATGTGCCAAGTTCAATACAACCGCCTCATTAACAGCTAAACTTTGTTGTTATACCAAACAATTTACCCCGCTGAAGAAAAAAGGACAAAGAAAAAGACTTATTTGTCCTGTTGACATGTTGACACAGCTAGAAACTTCTTGTTTATACCAGTTAACATATAAAATAGAAACTGAATGATGGCGAACAATTACCCACAGTGCCTCTTAACCACCATAGTATATCTTATTTTAAGAAATTGATACAAAACTTTTCTGCAGGTCTATTTAAGGAATTCTAAGTAGGGATATTCTGATTCAACTAATTTACCAATTGTTCAAACATAAATCTAAAATTCTGAAGTAAATTTTTCAGAAATTTCAGAAAACAGTCAGGATTGAGCACTATACATTTGACATGGCTGAAGACGTGATCACAGAGTCAGTGGGTAAATGATTTCCCATTGGTTTGCTGAGTGTGGCTAATATCAGCAGAGCTAGCACTACAGATTTTTACGTCCACATGTCTGTGCTGGTTTTATAAATCGCTCTAGTCAAGTGGTTAAATACCAGTTTGACCTGACGCAGCGTACATACAATAATCTACATTTTCCAAATCAAAATACTGTCAAACCACACCATGTTATGAGAAACTATGCGTCATGAATGTTTGTTTACATTAATAGAGAAGAGCTCTAGAATAACGGCAGCAGACAGCCCTGGTTTGTGGGGGGTTGCTGGTATATAAGGCATACAGTGGACAAAACATTAGTAATTTCTTTAACCTTCTAGAAACTAGCTGACCAGTAGCTCCTGACATGACAAAGGTGATACATTTAGTTTTTTAATGAAATATTCTCATCTCTTATTTGATTATCCTTCCCTGTCCCCATTTGTGGTTACAACCTTTTTCATTTTTGAAAATTGTAAAAATTCTGAGGCTTCTGTGGACTTATGAGACGTGTGAAAGGGTGGATTATAATCAAGCATCCATAAAAATAAGTCACTCTATTGTAAGATCAAATGACCATCACAATGTGGCTTTCATTGTTTCTTCAGGAATACAAAGTAACTCAACACAAGAAAGGGATTTTAAGAAAAAAAGTCAAAGAGAGTCTGGAAAGAAAAGAAAAATACCCACCAAAGTCTGCATACTTCCAGCATGAGCTCACTGCACCTTTCTCATAGCACAGACACACATATCCTGAATAAAACCACAGCAAGGCGCATAAATCTCCCTGAAACAGACCGCGTGGGGGCTGAAACCCGTGAGCATGTCATTTGATCCCCAATCATAAGAGGCCTGGTAAAGTAGCCTAACCCGCCATCTCCTTTATTGATCTGTGTGGAGAAGGTTCTTGATCCTGAGCTGAAACTAGAGCCCCAGCAGATGGTGAAGAAATCACTGTAGATCAAAAATGTGTGACTTTATGTTTTGATGGGAAATTCAGGGATTTGGGCAGGACAAGTCATCCTGGTGGAGGTTTGCGTCGCCTCAGTGAAATGCACAGTGAAGGTTCATATTTCTGTTTTAGTAATAATCCTTTTAATGCCAGTTAGAGATCATTACTAATTTTGGGATTACTTTTTTAAGTCTAAAATATCTGCATGTCTTTCTTCGTCTTTAGCAGAGTATCCCACATCAGAGGATACCATGTCGGCAGAGCGCCCCCTCTGGCTCCTTTTTCGCACGGGACAACACAGCCAACTTCCTGTCATGGTGTCGCAAAGTCGGAGTCGGAGAGACATGTCTCTTTGAGTCAGAGGATTTAGGTGAGTTTAGAAAAGTAACCAAACAGAGACAAATGTCTAGGTCTGGTCCTGCTGTCGGGGAGGTTGGACCCTCTCCAACCCTCCCAGGCTCAGAGGACTCACATCTCCAGGATTTGGTAAACTTCTTCAACATCTGCACAAAGCTCAGGAGGGGCAGCGGTCCTCTGTGAGCACTATGAGAGGAGCAGCTCAACCTAACTTAGGGGATTTATAATAGTGCACTCGTGCACTAAGTGTCTGTCTAAAACAAAGAGAGCGTACACAGAAGGTTGTGAGTTGGAGAGAAAGTAGGCCAATGCAATGCAAATGTTTCCCTCGGCGCAGAGAAGGGACATTTTGCCTTCTCCCTCATCAGCACAGTTTGTTATCTAAAATATGACTCTTAGATCGACTGTAAGGGTTTTTTTGTGTGTTATGCCACAGAAATAGTCGTGCCTTGACCAAAATATGATCCTTACATTCCTGATGAGCACTGTGACCCAGCCTGTGACAGAGATATGTGGACATTCCTGCAATATTTTACAATGGTTGGTTGGACGTGGCTGAGCAATTTTGACTATGCAAATCCTTTTGAAGGCCACGTTACACGCTAACCTATGAAACCTACATTGTACAGTAACATATGAACACTACATGTACTGTGTGTGTGATGCAAAATGTTACTAAATACTTTGGAAAACAGAAACGGCTGACCTTTTTCTTTTTTCTCTTTTTTCCTTCTTTCTCTGGGTGGATTTGTCAGTTCCGCAGTAGACGTAAGAACTCCAGGTTTGCTATCATGCGGTGGATAATTTGTCTTAAATGCATGGTGTGCTGTGTCACCTGTATCTTGTACCCACTCTCACTGCCTTGTCATACATGTAGTTAGATTATATTAAGCACCTTAATTCTTTATATAAACATCCCCTGGACTTGAACGTTTACACTCACATTAGATCTGGAATGACATGACTGAAGTGAGGAGGGTGGTTTGAATGAATGGAGTTTGTGAGCTCATCTTTATGTCTCCTTTTGCCATTTTACAGCCACTCATCCTCACTCATTACTTTTTTTCAGATACCTTGTCTTTCAAATGTGTTAGCAAAGGTTAAAACACTCTCTCTCTCTCTCTCTGTAGTTCTTCATAAGCAGCCCAGAGAGGTGTGTCTCTGTCTTTTAGAGTTGGGACGGATAGCATCAAGGTACCATTCTGCTTCTTATATGCTTACTTTAGATCATCCAAAGCCTTTTATATTCAATCGTTTGATTTTAGACTTTGGAAATGACATTATTCTTTGTGATCTTTTTCCAGGTATAACGTGGAGCCTCCTGGCCTTATAAAACTGGAGAAAGAGATTGAACAGGAAGAGAAAGCTCCTCCACCCCCTCCATCACCTGTATCGCCAGCGCAGCCCCTCCCTCCATCCCCATCTTCATCTCCTTCCCCGTCTCCAACACCAACTACGACCAAAGTCAGCTCTACCAGGAAGAGTACGGGGAAACTGCTGGATGATGCTGTAAGTCAGCAGTGGGAAACCTTTTTGTTTGGTTTAGTTTCAACTGTTGATATCAGAGTGGAAACATTTGTGTTTATTACAGGTGAGACACATCGCTGACGACCCGCCCTGCAGATGTCTGAATAAATTCTGTGTGGAGAGACACTCACAGGGTCGATATCGTGTCGGAGAGAAGATGCTTTTTATTCGGGTGAGTATTTACAAGGAGTTGTAGATTTATGGGGCATCTGGTTTGAAGATAATTCAGATCTATTACTTTGAAAACTACACCAGACATGTTTTCAGTGCAAAATAAAGTCATGGTCTCTCCGTCCAATGTGGCTGTAAATAAAAGAATTGAATGTTGATAAGAGACCAAAAGAACTAGTGTGAAAACTGTATTAAGATGATTTCAGATCAATTTGGATTTTTAAGTCATGCTTTCATTTGCTTGTGAGGATTGAATTTGCTGTCATCAGATAATGGCATAAAAAAAAAAAAAAGAGAAAAATTTCCATCATAGAGAAACTTTTACCTTGAGAGCTGGCTGGAGTTCACAGGCTTGAGAAAGGACTGGGACACCACAACTAAACCATGCCTGTGCCGACCACCTCTTACTCCTCTCACAGGTTTGAACCACTTGATGACAGACATGGAGTCCGGCTGATCCATCGGCTTTGTAAGGTTATCTGAGTACTTTACACTAAAAGAGGTCCTGGTGCAATTTAGCAGAAGTAAATATTCATCAACAGTGCTTAAAGCTCCTGTGAGGAGTTTTAATAATTCTGAAAATACAGTGAAATTAATATTAACGCATTTTTATTACACACAAAAGCAAAAAGCCATCAGCAACACGACTGACTTTTTGCTCTATCCTTTTTAATGTCTGAAACCAGTGCGAGGTCGGTGTCAGCCAAGCAGCTGAAGAAACCGCCCTGTTTTTTACTGTTTCCATACATAATACTTTTAACAGATGCTACATTCGCTGGTCAAGAGTCAACGGGAAGACATTTTTTGGCAGAAGACATTAAAGTATGTAAAGGAGCAGATAAACATGGACTGCTTTATCCACAGGGGGCGCCAAATTTGATACAAACTAAAAGTTCCTCTCAGGAGCTTCAAGCTACACTTGGAGGTTTTTTTTTTCTTTTTCATAATCAAATACATTAATCTTTATTCTACTTCTTTATTATTTTTGGAGACACAAATGCACAATCGTGACGCATCGTGACGACTCGTAAGACACACATGAAAAACATAACAGCAAAGTGATATATATTTGTAAATATTGAGCAGGTATGTAAGTTTAATTTAAACTCCTGTAGGGGACTAATGTTTGTGATGATTTTGTGGAAAAAGTGAAGAAACGCTGTTTTTCATAGTTGTTTGGTCTGACTCCTAACTCCTGCAGCAGTCATCGGCATTAAACTACAATAAGGGAAATGTCCGCCTTGGTGCTAACGGTCTCATTTGCTTTTGTTCATCATAAAAAGACAAAATACCCCTTAAATAAGCGTGGAGTGTACATTTAAAGTTGATCAATTAGGTTGCTTTTTGAGTTTTTGTGTCATGACAAACCAGAGGAAACAGAAAATGATACAGCCTCTCATTTCTGCTGATGTGAGTCACATCTGTTCTTTTAATTTATTAATCAGTCTGGGTTGAAAACAATACGGTCTCACATTGCAGTATAAACCCGCTCTCTATTTCCGCAGCATATGGTGGTGTGTTGATACTCGGGTTTGGCTTTGGGATGAAAGTAACTCATTGTGTCTTTGCTGTGAGCTCTCATTTACTGGTGATGGTATTCCTGCAATGTCCTTCTCCAGCCAAACATAATGTGACTCATGAGCTATAAAATGAAATCACCCCCACACATTTCCATACAGTCTGGTCACCAAATTATTACAAGGAAAATATTTTACTAACTATATCACCAAGTGCTGCCATGTGGTTGAATTCACAGTAGAGAAAACGGCACTAGACTCTGAGGAGAGAGAGTACTGGAGAAGATAAACGGAGGCTAACACAGTTTAGAGGAGTAGCATTGGCCCCCTTGGGATCCCGGTTCCCTGGCAACACATAACCAGGATTCACACCTCTAAGAATGTGATTCATGTGGACGGTATGCTCTGTGTGTGAAGACATTCAAAAAATATTCACTCTTGGATGTCCTCTGCTGTCGGCGTATTATATTGCACCTCCTGATTGAAAAATACTGTATAAATCAAATTAATTTAAAGTCATTTTAAATTTGGGGGAAACAAGTTGTATTTGAACATTGGTAACAACAAAAAAATCTGATTTCCTTCTTGAAAAATTCAATGTTTTCTCAAATAAAATATTTTGCATCTTACAGTGCATTTTAAAAGACTGAATGCTTCAGTCCTTAAGGTGTTGCTGAGCAACCAAGGACAAGTGGTTCACGGTGTTCTGAAGCTGTCGGTCATACAGAATATAGTCAACACTGCCTTAAATATCAGCTTTGGAAAGGGTGGGTATGAAAATGGAATTGCAATAGACTTGGATTAGCATGTTTAAGAAATGTTTGCAGTAATATGTGGGAAACATTACGAGCCATAAAAGGAGCAGGGGCATGAACCAGCTGGTGTCATAAACAGATTCCACAATCATAAAATGCCTCAAATGTCACATGTGTACCTCCATGTGTTATCATGTGTACAAGTCAAAGTCTCAGAATATGAGAGACATTATTTGATTAGACATTAAATCATCATTCCTCCGTCTCTAAGCCAGCAGTCTTCACTAAAAAATGACAAAATCCTTTAATTAAAATTCCTTAAATGCCCCCCCCACCACCACCCCACCACCACTATCACCCCACCCCAAGCAGCTGCTTCCACTGAAAAGCCATGAATACAGTAATGCTGAGTCTCTGCCTCCACAGGACAACAGAGGCAGGACATCTAAGAGTCTAGATAATTATCCGTACAGCCTGAGAGAGTGACCTTCCCAGCTCCTGCAATAAATGAGTTGGTTGTAGCTTCTACAAAGGGGCAGAGTAACATTGCAGTGTTTGTAGGAAAGTGCTGCCGGAGCTCAGCCCCATGGCCACTGTCCTTCTCAGGCTGCATAAGAGGAGGGAGGAGGAGGAGGAGGATTGGGCCATAGCAAGGGTCTTGTCCCAAAACAGTGTGATGGAAACCTCCCAGCACCGCACAGGTCCATTAAAGCCACAGTCACAAAGCCTGGAGGCCTGAAGCTGGTGATTGGAAGCTGTGGCCAACCATTGCCCCCTTGATTGATTCTTGTAAGAGGCTTATAAATGTTGCATGTTCGGCTGCTGGAGGGCAGGAAGCCTCATAACAAGTCAGGCTGAGGTGACAATCTCATGAGGTACTTTACCCTTTTTATCAAACAATTCAGCTTGGTATTTGTCTGAAACACTCCTCTACTACTCATGCTTTAGAATGAAAACCTATTCTCTTAATAGTCTGGATTATCTTTTCCATGAAACGTTTCTTCTCAGATCCATAAACAGGTTTGCTTTAGTCAGGGTGTAATGATGTGTTAATGAGGTTGGGGGCAATAAGGCCTCATAGTGCAGCAGACATGTTTTATGTGTACACACTCAGGGGAATGAGAGTCCAAGCTCCCAATATACCGGAGCCTTTTATTCCTCCATCTCTCTATTCTAATGGCCAATGTTGCCATGGTACCCAACCTTGAGAATGTGCCCTGATGCTGGAGGTGGCGTATTCTGACGCAAATACTGCAGATTGAACAATGAATCAACACTATGAAATTCCTCAGGCAGGCTTCGTGTATACTGTAATTTTTATTAATCAAGTAACCACTAAATATTTATCTATGCTGGCAGCTTTGTTTTGGAGATGTCAGTGTCGGCCTGTTGGTCTCTGGACTCTTAGCTTAAAAACCAGCAGCATTAAGCATCTCATTTAACTGGGCATGGGTCATTTCATGGGTCCTAATGATGAATGCCAAACACTTATGAGACCCCCCCTGGACTTTTTCCAGCATGCAACTTCCAGGTTTGCGTTTGTCCTTCCCAGAGAAGATTATCAGTAGATTCTTGAGGATTTTTAATCAACATTCATTCTCTGTCCGTGAATGAATAATGTTAATTCTGTGATTTCCTGCCTTGATCAGGTCAAAGTTTTCAGTATCCACTAAATACTAACTCGATAGTGTATTTGCTATGCAATTCTGTGTATGCGAACATGTTTGTATCATTATTTGCTCCAAGCATTTCTCTCCTAAAGTACACACTCTCACAGCCACTGGCATGACTTGTGTGGATTATGTAATTATAGAAATCAAACAGTAAAAGGAATCAATCATTCTGTTTGGCTGCAGCTTGCTCAACAAGACATTAAGCTGATCAGAGATAGAGCAAGCGCTTCTCCAGGGACATCAACCAGTCTATCAATCAACCCACACATAAAAGCCATGCTTGACTATTCATTCAGTGTCTGCCGCTGCAGAAAAGCTTGAATCAGTAAAAATGACATCAATCCTACAGAATAGAGGGTTTTGTAATCTCTCCATTGACACACAGACAGCAGGAGTGTAACTACAGTCCTGTTTCTTTCTGCAGATGCTACACAACAAGCACGTGATGGTGCGTGTTGGTGGAGGCTGGGAGACCTTCGAGAGCTACCTGCTGAAACATGACCCGTGTCGTATGCTTCAAATCTCTCGGGTGGAGGGCAAGACTTCCCCCATCAGCGGCAGTAAGTCTCCAAGTATCAAGGACCTCGCACCTGACAGCTACCTGGTGGTAGCAGCTCACTATCGCAGCAAAAAGTGAAAAGAAGTTGAAAGATAAGAGTCTGCAAAGTTCCATCGGTAGAAGGACACTTCTTGCCATTGTTTACCGCTGAATGGATGTAGGAGCAAAACACAGTGCACAGTATAGCTATGGACACAACTGCAGCGATGGAAAACACATTAGTGTTTCATCAGTCCCAGAGAAAATTCCATGTTAAGTGTCTATGTGCAGGTCAGGACTGGAGTCTCTCTAGTATGCCCATAAAATGTGTTATATTTAGTTTAATAGATCCTGTAAACAGCTTCGAAACGGGCCTGCAATATAATGGGAAAGCTTGGTAAAGGCTGTACAGTTAAAGCTGTACATTTATGGAGTTGTTTTTACAATTTCTTATTGTATTTTCAGCAATATAACACTTTTAGTAGTTTTTCTTTCTTTGTTTTGTAAAGTATACTCATGTTGTCTTTTCAGGCCTGCAGTGTCAGGCTCTATTCGTACTTTAGAAAATGAACTTTTTCTAAGTGTCTTTAAAAAGGGGAGGTTTTTGCATCGTGAAGGAGCCGGTATTCCTTGACAAATGTGTGTGTGATATTAAGAAGTTAGTAGACGTTTTTATCTTGGACAAATTCTTGTTTTGATTTTGTGATTTGGTTACTGTCTTATAGTATTTTGACTACATGGGTGTCTTTACACTCAGACCACAAATTGAACTTTTAAGGTAAATATCATTAGAATGGGAGGATATTTCAACGTCCAGAGACATGTAATTTACCAAATCTTTAATCATAATCCACAATGTAGTGTTATTTCACTGCCTATATTTAAAGCCAAACCAAAATGGACATCAAATGTGGAGTTTTTCTGTATAATGCATTTCTTTAAAGTAATACTTGATTAACTATTCTATGCAATTCATTTTTTATACTGTAATCATGAATAATTTGGGGGTGGAAATTTTGCTTGTTGTAAAAAACGTTCCTTAGAAGAACAGGACAATCTCCTGTACCAGATGCAGTGTGCAGCCTAGAAGATATAAATTTTTGATAGTTCTGAAGAATCCCTCGTTTGTTCTGAAATTATTTAATTTGTTGCATTTTACTGACCCCTAGTGCTATCAGTGATACTTGGTGAGTTGTGTTTCTTTACGCTTGTTTCTCGAAATTGTTTAATAATGTTTTTTTTGTTGGTTCATGTATTAATTTTTACAAATACTAGTAAGAATGTGGAGTTGATTTAAGATACTTGTCTATGCAAAAAATAATAATAAATTTAAAACAAAAAACAACCAAACCCAAAGGCTTTTATGTGGAGGAAACATGTCAAGAGGCAAGTTTTCAATAAACCATCGAAACTTTAACCTTCACAATTTCATAGTTTGTTTTGAATTATTTCAAGCGGAGGAGCTCTTACCTAAAGTCCGAACTTTGCCGAGGAGTCAGATAGAAATAGAATAAAACTTTATCCATTTAGACTGGAAATATAACAAACTATTCAATGTTTCCAAGTCAAAATGTAACACAATATGGAATACAAGACAGCTGAAGCATGTTGATTTTGTTGAACCACTAACTATTTAACCAAAGACAATTATTTCCTTCCCATGAATCATCTCTTTAAATATGAGATTAATTTATTCATGAAATTCACTCACAAGTAGCAGAAATGTGATTTATTGTAGCAAATAACATTGGCTGGACTTCCTGTTCTACAAAATGTTCAGAGCACCAGAAGCATTTAAGGATCGAGTGAAGGCTGTAAGAAAAGCAGTCATTGAATCTACTTCACTACATCTTCAGTTCCAAACTCTAAAATGTAGACTTCACTTGTTCTTCTCCTTCAGTGACACGGATCTCCCATTACACAAGAATGTGAACATATTTGCTGTTCACCAAATGCAGAAAAACTCTGTGCAAATAAATGTCTGTCAATAGCTCCCATTCAATGTATGGCATCTCAATAACACGTTTTATAATCATTTAAATAAAGCAGGCATAGCATTAGTGTTTTGTTTCTAGAAAGATTTGATGCAATATTCTCAAAATGTGCAGAAAACAGAATGTAAGGACTTCTAAAAGTGGCAATAGCAAAGGCCAGTCCAAAGTGCAAAAGGCCAGGTGCACAAGGTGAGTAATGTGTTGTGTTGCCAACAAGAAAAGCCATAAATCAAGTGTAATAAAGAATGACTAACAGGGTGCTTATTCCTGGGAACTAATCCTACAGTAAGTTCACTTGTGTCTTGTAAACATAAACCGTCTTCGCTCTGTAAATGTCCCACATTGTGAATATTGTAATCAAATGCAGTGACAAAACTACAGTGCTGCGGCAACCGTTGTCTTGCTAGGATAACAGCTGCCCAAGATGCTGCTGGATCTTTAAATCATCTAATCTATGCAAAACTGTAAATCAACTGAAACAGCAGGACATATAATTGCACACACACATCTCTGTCAACCCTTGCAGTCCAAAGGTTCAAACCAGTACGGGTAACTTGGCAACAAGAGGGTAAATTCTACTTCATTGTCTGTAGTCACTTCAGATAGTTCTGCTTGTAGAGTGACGGCTGTCATCACATCATCAAAAAGCCAAAGAAATTAAATTTAAAAAAAAGAAATCAAACAGCAGTCCAAAGATCTCTCAGGTCAACCTGCAGCAATAATTCACCGTCTTTCTGATTCAGAGTCGAGGCTTCAGATTTCGCCATCTAGCTTGTCAGCCCACCTGCCACTAGAGAGAGAAGAGAAAAAAACACCATCAGAAAAATCTTCTGTCTTCCATTTAAACATTTGTCCAACAGCCAAGAAGTCGAGTCATCACAGACTGCGATGTCTGATAATGGCGAGCCAAAAGAGACCATCTTAAAACGGCATAAAAACAGATTCATATCACAGACTGCTCACTATTTTAATTTGTTCATGCTTTTTAAGCACTGATACAATAAGCGATTCATTGACACATGATTACATTTAACTGCATTTAAACTGGATAATTACATTAAAAAGATTTAGTGTGGGTTTCATCATGACTGCAAATTAAAGTTGTTTTCTTCAAAGACACAAGATTTGGGCTTCAGTGAGTCTTTTTCTAAAAATTAGGTCTTGAAATGGGATCATTTTATAATCAGTATCATCCTATAATCAGGCTAATGTGATAAATCAGTAACAACTTCTGTAACACTAAAGGAAGAAAATGTTTTGTACAAACATACTGGAGATAGCGTTTCAATTTTAGCTTAGGAGTCAAAGTAGTCAAGAGTTGTTTTGATATAAATATCAGTATTAGAGACGCTTTGAATAGAGCCTGATATCAAGAATAGTGTAGGTAAGCTATACCTCAAATCAAACCAGTGCTTTTGTTTTAACTGGTCTACAACAGCACGATTTCTGTGCGACCATCATGGATGTGTTCTGCCTGTCAACGGGCGCTAATGCTCAAAAGTGCCATAAGAGACTGATTTGAGGTGGTACACTCCAGGATGATAACCAGCTACATTAATGATGAGCTTTCAGAGAGTATTGATCAGAGCTAATGAGCTATGTAAGGACTGAGTTTTGAGAGGACGCATTAGAGTTGCTGAAAAAGGTATAGAGTAAACTGTTTATCGTTTGAGTGAAATTTACGCACTTCTCATTTTAGAATTCTCTTTTGGCATGTATTTTAATCTGGAAGAAAAATAAGTATTACAAAATCCTCTTTAGGAATTACAGTAAACATCTTTTTTTTTTACTTTACAAAAATCAGACTGTTTTACTTGTAAACACAATACATACCCTCAACCCGCCGCCTCCAGACACAGAGGTGGTCATCTCCTGTTTCTCGATTTCTTCTTGTTTCTTCCTTTTCCTCTCAACTGCTTCTGGGTTTTTAACACCCCTGTATGTTGTCTAAAAGAAGAGGCAGGAAATGAAATCAAGCACTAAAAGTAAGATTGCTTTAATTTAACGTCTTCTTTCAGTGTTAAAAAATACATGTAAGTGGTCTCATGATACATGCATGTTATTCCGAAGTGTTTTTAAATCTATGATTTATCAGGACCTTTTCAAAAGCAGAAAGTTTTCCTTTTCAATAAGAATTAGACAAAGGGCATTAAAATCCAAAATGGGACAATTCGGATAGAGAATGAAGCAGCTAATTAAAACGTGACTGTGAGTTTGGGCTCAATGCTCTTATCTGCAGCAGTGAGGTGGGGATTGTGAGGGTGTCAGGAGGTTTAAGGGGTGAAAACAGTGACTGGGGGCAGAAAGATGTGGTAGTCGAGACATCAGCCAATCCAAGAGAGGGGAGTTTTTCATTCTAGTCCATGTCTACTCACCTTGATGCTACTTTAGCATGCCTCTTACGGATTTTCAAGTGGATTTTCTGTACGATAAAGAAATTACTCAATACGCCATCAAGTGCATCTACTGTGAATGGGGTGTATGTCTAATAGAGGGGAATACTAGACTGATTATTAGGTTAAACCCACAAGAACAGATTTACTTTACCATCCATTTATTCCACGAATGCAACCTCAAAAAATCACAAGCAACAACAAATTCTGTCTCCGGGATAGTAGTATTTACACGAACCAACGATAACATTGTCAACACCTGGGTGATCTCATGCAACCCAAAAGAAGAGCTCTACTTCTGCAAAGCCTCTACATTTGTAGTTGTTGCTTCCAAGATAAGGCAAATGATTCATTCATTTACTTGCTGAAGTTATAAAAGCTGTTGGTGGTGAACTTGGTGAAAGGTCTTCATTAGGTCTGCATCATTACACTGCATCAGATTACCCAGGTAGGAGAGAGTGGGGTAAAATGAGCCATTTTCCATATTTCGGATCACTACATCAAGGCAATCATAGTTTTGTCTCTTACTAGTGTATCTGCATATATTTAAAGATGTTGTGCATCCCTGCAAACCAACAGAATGAGTGTAAACATGACTGTCTTGATAATATAGCATGCCAAAAAAAAAAGTGGTCTCCTATGGTCAACCATGGGGTAAGTTGACCATAGGAGCGAGTTAAATTGAGCCGTATGCCTTCCAACCCCCCACTCTCCAGCCCAGCCCTCCCTCACCTTTTTGGACATAAGTGTGTAACCCCTTTACCCATGTGCCTCTAAACTTCACAGACTCCATGAATTGATGCCCATCTCCTAAATATTTGGTCACATGATCAATTTCTTTTACCATTTCCAAGCAACAGGGGGTGGTTCAACTTACCCTTTGGCTCAACTTACCCCACTCTCCCCTATACTCAATATTATGGCTGGTCGGTGTATACTGTCTGATAAATTAGTTTCAGCCAAGTATTCCCCATAATGTGGCAACGACGTGTAACTGTTCATCTCGTTGTCAGTGTTTTATCCATACATCGTTATGGTTTTATCCCTTGCTGGGTATGCCCTTTGCAGTTTGATCAACTCACCTCTTTTTGTCTCTTCTCCGCGGCCTCAGCCAGCTGCCGTCTCCTTGTATCCTGAAAAGTGAGAAAACTTTTACACTTACTACAAGAGAGAGTAAACTTTATTCACTGAATGTAAACAATGTGGGGCCTGGAGCATACTTGACATGCCTGAGTCTAAAAACCGACACAGACCTAACCCACAGAGGCCTGTTAACATCCCACAATGGCATTCAGACAAGCTACAATACCAACTAGCAACGACTCCCTTTTTGTGTACAAAAGGTGAAACTTGGAAACACGACTATAGGAAGAGTTAAACACATTAACTTACAGGATCTGGAGTGACCACAACGTCGTCCGCTGCTCCACCAAAGCACGGTAAGCACATCCCCATACTTCAAGTTATTTCAGGCTGCACAACCAACGTAGAAAGTGACTTTTCTGTGTCTCTGATCAGCGGATCAAGTCGACTTTCTTTCTAACTGTCAAAAAATGCCGGTTGGAGTTGCTTGATTTGAAATTAAGGCCACAGAAGTGACGGCTTTGACTCCGAAGTGCAGCTGTCAAATCGTTGAGCATGACGTTAGCGTTAGCCAGCGGCTTCAGTTAGCTACGGTAACGGTAGCATCGTAGCTAACAGCTTCTCTAACTATAACTAAAAGCAAAGAAACTGCTCCGAACAACAGAGTTTAATTATAAATCCACAAAACTCTTTTTAATCGACCTGGTACTGGGGAAAATAGACGCGGTGTTAGACCTCCGAAGCCAGGTATGTGTTAGTTTGTTTTGGTCGCAGTTCATTAGGCTGCCCAGTGCCCACTCTGTTAGGGTGCGTTCAACAACACAACGCTGAAAATGTTTGTGAAACTGGAAAAATGATACTGTATTTTATATTTTCTTTTTTTCTGTCAGAGGGATGAATCTGAATCAACACTTCCCTTGTTCAAGCATTCAAGACTAATTTTTGCAAGCTCTTTTGACGGAAGAGTTTTAATTAAAGCTTGTGTACAAGAATTAAAGAGGCAACTCTAGTTGACAAAGTGCTTGTGAATGCCACACGCTTTGCCTGATAACTTGTACAACAGCACCGCTGTGTGGTGAAAAGAGAGAACGACAATGACGGACCGGTCGGTCGGTCTATTAACGTTATTCAAATTAATGGTTGCACTGGAGCACACTTACGTTTTCTACTATAAAGGCAGAGGGAGATGGAGCGTGGCCTGTTAAAACGGGATATGAAGGAGTTTTCTGGGAATATATGGTGTAGAAAACAAAACATCAACGTAGTGTAACCCTGGTTAGTTTTATAGTGCTGAGATATCTAAAACCCTTTGAATGCATCATAGTTCTTCTGTGTTGTAGTTGTTTCTCGCCTAGTTGTAAAATTTCCAAGTTTACCTGAACACATCACCTGCAGCTCCGGTGTGTGTGAGAACGTGGGTGACGAGAAAAAAAAACGGAAAAAAAGGGAGAAAAGTCATGCAGCCGCGGAGCAAAAGTGTCCTCGTTCAGCGGCCAGATATCATGATTTTGAGTTGTGAGAGAGTTGTGACAGAACTGTAGTTAGCAGAGAGCGTGAAGAGATACTCACCTGGTGAAACCGATCACGGGAGGGACTCAAACCGAGAGTTTCTCCGTACTTTTCTGAACTATTCTGGTGAGTTAACGTTAGCTGCCTCGTTAGCTTGATTAGTGGTATCAATTTTGTTCGGTACAGGAAGAAAAAAGCCAGTCAGAATAGTAAATACATGTTTAGTGGTGTCGAGACATGTTTTTGTGATGACATGATGATATGTTTTTATTGTGTGTTACTGTGACAAACAGCTAGTAGTTTACCGAGCAGTTAGCTCAGCTGCGGCTTGCTAACTAGGCCAAGCACGGCCGAGTATTTCATATTTTCTGTGTTTTGAGTTGTTTCATATTTCATGTAATAAGCTGCATTGGTTAATGTGCACTGGAAAAGTAAGCAGACAGCCATTTAAGCTGATAATAATTACGCTGCATATTATGCAGGCTGGTTTTTTTTTTGAGGACGAGTTCTTCTGTTCAACTGTGATCCGCATCGTCCGCTGTTGCCCCGTGGAGGCTCTTGGTTCAACAACAAGCCGTATCACCCGCCATGCTGCAGGGAGGCTCTTGGTTCATCGGGACCAGTGTGGACATCGGTGTGGTATGGAAAGGTTCTGAGGAGTGACACATTTTGTTTGCACTTTTTTTCTGAGATCTCAGTAATTTTTGGGGGTTTTTATTTTTATTTTTTTCCTATTTTTTGGAAAGGAACGGAACTTAAAAAAACTGTTTTCTTCTTGGAGGACCCTGAAGGACAATAAAAAAAACTAAGGACAATCAAACTCATTAAAAGGGAAAGAAACATTTTTTTTTCTTTATCTTATCCTTATTAATTTCTATATTGGTACTTCCTGGTCAGCTGATTTCATTTTTTTATATTGTGAATTTAAAAAAAAAACCCTGTACTTTATTTAACGGATGCAAGGCCGAATATTTTGAGTTGAAGAAAAAAACTGAAAATCTGAATATACTTTTTTGAAAAAAAAACAGCATTCTGTGTCGTGTGCTTTGTGGGCTGGAGATCAACTGCTCTCGTGCTTCAGTGCTACTGCCAATCTCCTCACCCAAACCTAGTTGATCAGACAGAACCAGAGAAGACTGAGGAAAAGGTTACATACAAAAGTGGCGAGCCAGCCAGGAGATTGGTTTATAGTAGCTTTCTGATCTTCCACCCCACAATACACACCCTTGAGATTTAGACATTCATTTCATTGAGTCAGATATGGATATTTGTAACCGTTTTGAGGTTAATGGTCAGAACTCTCTATACGTAACTGGTATAGGATCAGATTACACAGATGAAGAAGTCAATACTGTGTTCAGAGTTAATGGAGACATTTCAAAAATAGTTAGGATCCCTGACGAGTCAGGACAACCAGAGGGCAGAGCCCTGATCCAGTACGCATCTGACAGGTCCATCTCTAGAATCGACCCCATTACCTTGGGTACCGTACCCAGCCCAAAGGATCCTGAAGTGTCGTGGCTTGCAAGAACCATTAGAGATGTTTGCCAGGAAGAGATGGGGAGGGAGATAGCTCGCAGATACCTGGGTGAGCTAGAGTCTGTTGCTGGCAGTGGCAGAGCAGGGTTCTTGAGTGTGCTTCAAGGGGAACTGCAGGGAACCCAGGGCACATCACACAATGTACACAGTAGTGTTACACAGCCACATGCAACTGAAAATGATAACACACGTAGTAGTCAAAATGAGCCTGCAGAGCCCACACAGGTTCATAGTGCATCTGCTAGTGTACCAGCCAGCCCAATCCACGTCAGTGAAAATGTTTTCAATCCCCCCCATATCCAGAAAGTGATTGTGGAGCATGTCATCCGCAGTGAGTCCATCACTTCATCATCCCCACAAATAAGGATGCGCACCTTCTCCGGACGAATGCCAAGGCCAAATGGTCAGGTGGATTATGAAACGTGGCGCACCCAAGTTGATCTTCTCCTTAACGATCCTTCCCTGAACGACGCTCACAAGGTGAGAAGGATTCTTGAGAGCTTGCTGAGTCCAGCAGCTGATGTCGTGAAGCCTCTTGGCATTTCTTCACCACCGAGCAGTTATGTCACTCAACTTGATTCTGCTTTTGGTGTTGTGGAGGATGGAGAGGAGTTGTTCGCTACATTTCTCAGCTCTAACCAAAACAATGGAGAGAAACCATCAGCATATCTGAACAGGCTCCACAGCCTCCTCACAAGGGCAATTTCTAGAGGGGGAGTCTCAGCTGAAAACTCCAATGATCACTTGCTCAGACAATTCTGTAGGGGCTGTTGGGATCAGAGCATCATCATAGGCCTACAGTTAGAGTGCAAAAGAAGCAACCCACCAACATTCCCAGAGTTCCTCCTCATGCTGAGAACTGAGGAAGACCGTCGTTCAGCAAAGCTAGATAGGATGAAAAAGCATTTGGGTACTTCAAAAGCTAACATGTATGCCCACCATGTTTTTGATATGCCCTCTTATGACTGTGAGCCTGTCCCATTGCCTAACATAAAACAAAATGAGACATCAAAGCTTGAAAAGAAAGTGAATGAACTAAGTAAACAGCTGGAAAAGCTAAGCAAAAAGCCACAGAGCCTCACTCATCATAGTATCCCTCCCCCAGTGGCAAAACCAAGGCAGAATGAAACCTCTGACATTGAGAACAAGATAGCTGAACTGACAAAACAAGTTGGAAAACTAGCACAGAATCAGAGAGAGAGTGAGGGTGCTCAAAAGAAAGACTGCCTCGTGATCAGTAGCAATAACACGAGGAGACCCTTCAAGGTGCCTGGGATGCCGAGGCCGTGGTTTTGTTTTAAGTGTGGGTAGGACAACCACATTGCTGCTCATTGCTCAAACGAACCCAACCCCATACTGGTTCGCAAGAAAAATGCGGAACTCAGGGAGAGGCAGGATAAGTTTTTTTCTCAGCAGGTTGCTTCCCCATTTGCTTTAAACTAGCAGCAGCTCCTGCCATGGGACATCCAGGAGCTGTAGTCGAGGATAACCCCTGTCCCAACAAATCAGATGATGACGCGGAAACACAAAAGAAAGTTACAACACAGACAATGACTGAAACTGAATGTGGCACACAGCGGTCTATACCTCCGGGACTTATAGGTCGTCGTTGTGCAGCTTCTGTCTTCCTTGAGGGTATACCATGTGAGTCCATCATGGACACCGGGTCACAAGTTACAACAGTGTCCGAGTGTTTCCACAAGAACCATCTTTCTCACTTACCGGTACATCCCATTCATGCTCTTCTTGAAATCGAGGGAGCTGGTGGACAGCAGGTTCCCTATCTTGGCTACATAGAAACTCGTGTCACTGTCCCCTTGTCCGTTCCTGGCAGGGAAGAGGAGCTAGTTGCATTAGCACTTGTGGTGCCAGAGTGTCAGTTCAACAGCAGGACCCCACTGTTAATTGGTACCAATGTGTTATTCCCACTCTATGAACAAGTGCTTGAACAAGATGGCCCTGAGTTCATTCGCAAACTCACCTCCAAAGACCTTGCGGTGATCTTCCAGCACATTGCCCGGATCCATGACCTTGACAACCATGCACATCCTGTCAGGTTACATGGTGGAAAGCCCATCACCATCCTAGCAAAACAAAAATGCTGCGTTACAGGTGATGTCAGGCTGAAAAAGAACAATCAAACCACATTCGTGCTCGAACCCAACGAACGTCATGGGTTACCAGGTGGCGTGTTCATTGAGGCTGCGCTAATAGACATTCCCTTTAAATCTAGCAGCAAGGTCCCTGTTGTCCTGCGTAACCTAAGTGACCACGATGTTACGCTGCAGCCGAAATGCATCATTGCTCAAATGTGTGCAGCTCAGCAGGTCACAAAGCTTGGACCAGAGCAAGGTGACTCTCGTTACAACCAACCTGACAGTGACAACCTCAAGTTCAATCTTGATGATTCGCCAATATCTGGACAATGGAGAGATCGTATCATCACCAAGCTGAGATCCATTTCAGAAGTCTTTGCTGTGGATGACCTGTCATATGGTCACACCACTACTGTGAGACATCACATCAGACTACACGATGAGACCCCTTTTAAGGAGAGGCCGAGGCCTATTCATCCCAGCGACAGGGAGGCAGTTAAGCAACATCTTAAAGAATTGCTTGACGCAGGAATCATTAAAGAGTCACAGAGCCCTTTCGCGTCGCCAGTGGTCTTGGTCCGAAAAAAGAATGGCTCAATCAGACTATGCATTGACTACAGGAAGCTAAATGCTCGAACAATCAGAGATGCATATGCTCTTCCGAACATTGAGGAGGCATTTACGGCCCTCAGCGGTGCTAAATGGTTCTCCGTCATGGACCTTAAATCTGGTTATTACCAGGTCGAGGTGGCTGAAGAAGATAAGCCTAAAACCGCTTTCACGTGTCCCCTAGGCTTCTTCGAATTCAATCGCATGCCACAGGGTGTCACGAACGCACCAAGCACCTTTCAGCGCCTCATGGAGAAGTGTGTCGGCGACTTGCACCTTAATGAGGTCTTGGTGTTTCTGGATGACTTGATTGTCTTTTCAGACACATTGGAAGAACACGAAGCACGGCTCATGAAAGTGCTGAACCGTCTGAAAGACTATGGTCTAAAGCTGTCTCCAGAAAAATGTCACTTCTTTAAAACATCGGTGAAGTATCTTGGTCACGTGGTTGATGAGCAGGGAGTTCATACTGACCCTGAAAAGATATCTGCTTTGAGAGATTGGCCTCGTCCTTCAAATAGGAAAGAGCTAAAATGTTTTTTAGGCTTTGCTGGGTATTATCGGCGGTTCGTCGAGGGATATTCTCATATAGCCAAACCTCTGAATTGCCTGACAGCAGGCTACTACCCACCGAAGAAGAGAGGCAAAGTGTACAAGAGGGAGCGCTCCACACCTCTTGTGAGCCCTAATGCACCGCTTGGTGAGGAGTGGACTCCCGAGTGTGAGAATGCATTCAGAACTCTGATCGAGAAATTGACGTCAGCGCCCATCCTTGCCTTTGCGAATCCACAACTGCCATATGTTGTACATACGGATGCTTGTCGTGACGGGTTGGGGGCTGCGCTCTACCAAGAGCAGGAGGGGAAGCTTAGAGTTGTTGCGTACGCCAGTAGAGGTCTGTCCAAGAGCGAGAGAAACTATCCCACTCACAAGCTCGAATTCTTGGCCTTAAAGTGGTCTGTTTGCGAGAAGTTCAATGATTACCTTTATGGTTCAACTTTCACTGTACTCACCGACAACAACCCCCTCACGTACGTTTTGACCTCTGCAAAGTTAGACGCTGCTGGTCATCGCTGGTTAGCCGCTCTTTCTACTTACCAGTTTACCATCAAGTACCGAGCAGGACAGGCCAACCGCGATGCAGACGGGTTGTCCCGGCGGCCTCAAGGTCCGCCTCTTGAGGATGAAGCTTTCACAAAAGAGAGAGAGGATAGAGGACATGAAAAAACGTCTCACGGAGACAAGAGATGACATGGATCACGAAGTGTTCTCTGCATTATGTCAGCGTCATCTTGTGATGTTTAAAGGTGACGAACCCCATCATTCAGAGCAACCTGTCGTTGCAGAGTCTCTTGTTGTCGACCCTTCTATAGTGCCTGATGTTTTTGGTGAGGACACTTTGCCATCCATGACTAACTCTGACTGGTGTAATGCTCAAAATAATGATCGTTCCATCTCACGTGTCATTACTTTTGTGAGGAGAGCTGTAAAACCCAGTTTCGGAGAGACAAGCCTTGAACATCCTGATGTCAAACTTCTTCTCAGGGAATGGAAAAATCTTGAACTCAGGGATGATGTCCTGTACAGGAAGTGGTCTGAACGAGGTGATCTTGTTTACCAGTTGGTCTTACCTGAGCAGTTCAGAGAGAGAGCACTACAGGGAGTGCATGATGATGTTGGCCACCTTGGTTCTGAGCGCGCACTTCATCTTGCTCGTGCCAGGTTCTACTGGCCAAAGATGGCCAGAGACATTGAGGAGAAGTGTAAAAGGTGCGAACGCTGTTTCAGGAGGAAGGCTGTGCCTCAAAAGGCTGCACCTCTAGAGAACATTTCCGCTACTTACCCGCTCGAACTTCTTTGTATGGATTATTTATCCCTCGAGCCAGATAACAGAGACACAAGAAACATTCTAGTCATCACTGACCATTTCACAAAATTTGCTGTGGCAGTGCCGACTAGGGATCAGAAAGCCAAAACTGTTGCAAAGGCTTTATGGGAAAACTTCATTGTTCACTACGGGTTCCCCAGTCGTCTACTCAGCGATCAGGGCAGAGACTTTGAATCTAAGACAATCAGAGAACTCTGCACACTGATAGGAGCAGACAAAGTCCGTACCACCCCTTACCATCCCCGGGGAAACCCGGTGGAACGGTTTAACCGGACTCTCCTTGGTATGCTAGGGACCCTGGAAGAGAGAGACAAATACCATTGGAGAGATTTTGTCAAGCCCTTGGTCCATGCATACAATTGCACGCGGCATGACACAACAGGCTATTCGCCTTATGAACTAATGTTTGGTCGGCAGCCCAGATTGCCAATTGACCTTGTCCTGGGAATCCACCCTGATGCGGGGAACCACCAGACCCACTCAGAGTATGTCAAAGGCCTTCGTCAACGCCTACAAGAGAGCTACTCATTAGCTGCAAAAAACTCTCAGAAGATGGGAGGGAAGAACAAGGCTAGGTTTGACAAGAAGGTCAGGGCAGCTGAACTCTCAGAGGGCGATAGGGTCTTGGTGAGAAACGTGAATATCAGGGGGAAACACAAACTAGCCGATCGGTGGGAACAGAAAATCCATGTTGTTGTCAGACGGATAAGAGAGAGTCCCGTATATGTAGTCAAACCTGAAACAAAGGAGGGGCCGCAACGCACATTGCATAGAGATCTTCTTTTGCCGTGCGGGTTTCTACCTGTAACAGAGATCGCAGAGCACAGTTCTCCCACTGACACGTCAAAGAAAATGAAACTGAGAGACAAAACAACAAAAGACACGCAAGGGGACACTGATTGTCAGGAGGATGAGTCGTACGGTGATGAGGATGAATTGTATCCTTGCTCATGGGTGCCAGAAATCATCACTAGGGGTCCCTTCCTGCAGAGGGAAGGGGGCTTCAGTGAGCCTCAACCAGCTTTTAGGGTATTAAACCCAGACACCCCTTCTTTTGTGCCCCAAAGCCCAACACACTTACCTGAGAGACCTACCCACGAGCTTCAACCAGAAACTCCTCTTGTCAGCTCTGAGAGAAGTGTTTCAGTTACACCTCCTACTTCACACTGTAGAGCCCCAGACCACGTTGTTATTGACATTCCAGAACCCAACATGACACTCATCTCACCTGTGAGGGAGACCACAGATCTCATCCCCACAGATCCTGTAGGTGCAGACACTGACAACGTAGCGTCTGAGAGTCTAGAGTCTGAGAACACAAGTGTCAGGCGTTCTGTTAGGGAGAGACGTCCGCCCCGGAAGCTCACTTATGATGAGTTGGGGGAGCCTTTGACCTTGGCCATCAGTTCGTTCTTTGAGGCTTTAGGAGCTGCCATTTCACACATATCTGTACCTGTAGGGGCAGGTGTGCATGCAGGGACTCATGCAGTCTAGAGGGGGAGAGTGTAACCCTGGTTAGTTTTATAGTGCTGAGATATCTAAAACCCTTTGAATGCATCATAGTTCTTCTGTGTTGTAGTTGTTTCTCGCCTAGTTGTAAAATTTCCAAGTTTACCTGAACACATCACCTGCAGCTCCGGTGTGTGTGAGAACGTGGGTGACGAGAAAAAAAAACGGAAAAAAAGGGAGAGAAGTCATGCAGCCGCGGAGCAAAAGTGTCCTCGTTCAGCGGCCAGATATCATGATTTTGAGTTGTGAGAGAGTTGTGACAGAACTGTAGTTAGCAGAGAGCGTGAAGAGATACTCACCTGGTGAAACCGATCACGGGAGGGACTCAAACCGAGAGTTTCTCCGTACTTTTCTGAACTATTCTGGTGAGTTAACGTTAGCTGCCTTGTTAGCTTGATTAGTGGTATCAATTTTGTTCGGTACAGGAAGAAAAAAGCCAGTCAGAATAGTAAATACATGTTTAGTGGTGTCGAGACATGTTTTTGTGATGACATGATGATATGTTTTTATTGTGTGTTACTGTGACAAACAGCTAGTAGTTTACCGAGCAGTTAGCTCAGCTGCGGCTTGCTAACTAGGCCAAGCACGGCCGAGTATTTCATATTTTCTGTGTTTTGAGTTGTTTCATATTTCATGTAATAAGCTGCATTGGTTAATGTGCACTGGAAAAGTAAGCAGACAGCCATTTAAGCTGATAATAATTACGCTGCATATTATGCAGGCTGGTTTTTTTTTTGAGGACGAGTTCTTCTGTTCAACTGTGATCCGCATCGTCCGCTGTTGCCCCGTGGAGGCTCTTGGTTCAACAACAAGCCGTATCACCCGCCATGCTGCAGGGAGGCTCTTGGTTCATCGGGACCAGTGTGGACATCGGTGTGGTATGGAAAGGTTCTGAGGAGTGACACATTTTGTTTGCACTTTTTTTCTGAGATCTCAGTAATTTTTGGGGGTTTTTATTTTTATTTTTTTCCTATTTTTTGGAAAGGAACGGAACTTAAAAAAACTGTTTTCTTCTTGGAGGACCCTGAAGGACAATAAAAAAAACTAAGGACAATCAAACTCATTAAAAGGGAAAGAAACATTTTTTTCTTTATCTTATCCTTATTAATTTCTATATTGGTACTTCCTGGTCAGCTGATTTCATTTTTTTATATTGTGAATTTAAAAAAAAAACCCTGTACTTTATTTAACGGATGCAAGGCCGAATATTTTGAGTTGAAGAAAAAAACTGAAAATCTGAATATACTTTTTTGAAAAAAAAACAGCATTCTGTGTCGTGTGCTTTGTGGGCTGGAGATCAACTGCTCTCGTGCTTCAGTGCTACTGCCAATCTCCTCACCCAAACCTAGTTGATCAGACAGAACCAGAGAAGACTGAGGAAAAGGTTACAGTAGCAACAGTCGTAATTAAAATATCTTTCATCTGAATTTTTCAGTGTGTAAAATTCACAGATCTAAATGGATATCCCGGCGTAAAATTAAGTTAGGGTCAAACACACCGTAACACAGAGTAAGACAACCCGTCAAGAGATGTGAATGTTGCAGACTGCTTGCTTCTCTAGTTATACCAACTTTAGTAACGACCGCATGATAGCAATACACAGCGGTCTGAGGAACCATAAACAAACCTCAACCAAAAAGCCACTCTATAGCCATAAATAATGACCAGAACAGCACCTAACTTCATCAACGGTACATAAAGGATGCCAGCCACAGTACTAGCCACCAAACATCTTTTTAACTTCGCCTAATTTCTTTAGCAAAGAGACTAAACATAACTCTCCTACTTCCTACCAGCAGCCGCTTGTTTGTAGCGAGACCTCTGGGCGAGTCCATTACGGACTACAGCGGGGTGACGCAGCTCAAGGAGGAACATTTATGATCATTACTTTATTATTTCCTTTAAGTAATAATCATCATATTAATCATTTTGCACTGCAGGCGCGGTAGTTCTTCTGCCTTAGCGTCCCAGTCTGAGTGCATTTCCACGAGGAAATGATAAAGAAATGATCATAAATGTTCTTCCTTGAGCTGCGTCACCCCGCTGCCGTCAATGGATTTACCCGGAAGTCTCCGCACAAACAAGCGGCTGCTGGAAAAGGGTAGGTGAGTTGTGTTTAGTCTCTTTGCTAAAGAAATCAGGCGAAGTAAAAAATATGTTTGGTGGCTAGTGCTGTGGCTGGGACCCTGTATGTACTGTTGATGAAGGTAGGTGCTGTTCTGAGCATTATTTGTGGCTATAGAGTGGTGTTTGGTTGAGCGCGCAGCTTTCTGTATCACTATCCTGAGGTCGTTACTGAAGTTGGTATAACTAGAGAAGCAAGCGGTCGGCAACACTTATCTCTCGACTATGGGGTGTCTAACTCGGTGTTACGGTGTGTTAGTTTGACCCTAACTTAATTTTACGCCAGAATATCCCTTTATTATTCAAATTAATGGTTGCACTGGAGTAGACTCATGTTTACCACAACAAATGCAAAGGGAGATGGTGCGTAGCATGTTAAAACGGGACGTCAGTATATAATTCATCTGAAAGAAAAATGTTGTCCAGCGATTGCAATACAAAATCAGTTAAAGCTCACATGTGAAGAATAAAAAGTGGTTATAATCTGCAAAAAGCGTAAAATTCACAGATTTAAGAAGAATGCTGCATGTTGGTCAAACAAAATCTTTCTTACATATGGATGTTTATTGTAAAATGTATCCCGCAGAGTAGAAAATCTGAACTACAGAGACAGCAGGCTGATCTTGAGAGTAATGGAGATTAGACAAGAGAAAGACGACCACTCCTCGTAATCTGCTGCCGGTCCCATGGACTAATGAGAAACCAGCATGTGTAGTGAGTGATGCTGCGTACAGCAAGAGTTCCAGCCAATCAATATCCTACAATCAATACCCTGCGAGTTTAATGTTGTACCCCACTTCACAAGACAAGACTTTGAAACTCCACCCATCCGTCTTCTTTGCTCCGCACAGCTCCAAAGCGAAGTGCACTGTGGGAATGGCAGGTTCTTGAGCTAGTGTGGACATCTTTTGTAGTTCTTTCATTTTAAACTAAGAAAACTTATTGATGGGGGATTTGTGCTGAAGGAGCAGATACATGCAATGGAAGTGAAGGTGTCTCAGGCTCTGGGCAGTCTCTCAGGTAGGTTGAACTCACTCTTGATGGAGGGACACTGACATGTAGCAGGATGAGGAATGACAGTAAAACTAGTGAGCTCTAAAACTTAAGTGGATCTTTAAAGCAGGCAGGGTATTTACTGTGGAGTGTTTGTGTCAAGGTGTTTTGATCATTAACTGTTAATGCTCTTTTTACTTAGAGAATACTCAATTCTCTCTTTATATTTATGTGATTTTTATTATTCTCAAAAGATGTCTAGAAGTAAAATAAAATTATGTTGCATTTTGAGGAATATCTAGTATTCTTGCTGTCCTGCTGACACCCCCCTTATTTATACACAAAACTATCATCTGGTTACACACTTATAAAGAAATCTGAACTTTTGGCTTTGGGTTATGATGTTCAAACTTTAGATCAGAAGATTAATTCAGTTTAAGATTTATGTAAAGAGTATAAGTGCAGAAGGGATTACTGTGAAACACATTAATCTACTAGCTGAAAGATGAATTTATGATCAAATTAACATGCACATTAACAAGCTTGTATTTCTTTTAAGAACTTTTTTTTTACTTTATGTCATTTACCATGAATGAGATAACTAAGCAGTCTACATGTGCATTAAATAGAGTAAAAATAAACTGTAGTTTGCTGTCAATTTTATCAATGATGTTTTTGCACAGCAGGAAAAATGAAGGCGAGCGTGACTGTTTTCTAGGGAAATCCAGCAAACATGTCCAGCGTCATCTAGCTTAATGAGCTCTCTAATGCATGAGCGCTGCTGCTTTTATTAGCTCATCTAAATCATCCTGCCCTTGGCAAAGATCAAAATTAAATAAAAAAAAATGTTGCTTTGTCTGAACGGCTAATAAGTAGCATGTTTTCATCCGTGCTCAGCCATGTGGATGATGTTCAGTGGTGTGCAGAGACTCTGACAGGGACAAGGGGCCAAACAGACAAACAGAGATGTGGTGGCTCTGCTAGAAGCTGGGAGAAGTGTTTACCAAAGTATGATCAGTCAGTATTTGATGCTGGCAAAGGTTTCTCAGTGTTAAGCCCCCTACACAGTGCTTTTGGATGGTCCTCACCAGTACATAGATGCAGCACAATCACCAAGGAAGCTGTTTTTAAAAGTGTAACACTGTGGATTAACGGAGCAGCTGTGTGAAGAGAGGATCTGTTTATAGGTGACAATGGTGGATGGTGTTTTTGTTGTTTTATACTTTCTCATTTTGTGTCAATATGGAGGGGGAAAGCACAAAAGAAGTTGTGCACTACATTTGCAATTTCCCTGGAAATTTATTCAATCTCTTTTTTAGGTGTTAGTCAATTCAGCAGTCAGCAGTTCACCAGGTACTCAAAGAATCTTTACACTCTTCACATTTATCATTGTGCAAACATTTGATTGACACCTGACTGTCAGACCTTTACAGTCATAAAGTACTTGTTCAGAATCCCTCTGACCTCAACAGAAATAAAAACTCAATGAATTCTGTCATTCAGGCTTCAAGACCAAACAGAACCAAATACACTGACACTTGTGAACTACTTGTATTTGTATCCTTCATAGCTCGAAGCACTCATGCTTTTCAAGGATGTATAAAGCCATATCTTTAAAAAAAATCTATCAGAAAAAGTTTCTTTGAATCCTGGAAAAAAGTTTACTGAAGAGCTGCCTAAGTGTAACTTTTCTGAGCTCTCTCATTTTACATTACATCTTTCAATAAAAGTCATAGTTCATTACAATGTTGAAAGGCTCTAATCTGTTCTTATTAATGCAATTTGGCATGTCTCAACTTTATTTCAGTGCACACACAGAGAGACAGGCATATTAGGATGTTATGGGGACATTTATTTTGCTTAAGTGATCATTGATTTTTAATGTAAGCTGTTTAAGAGATGTAAGGCACACGGACCAGGTAAGAGGAGCCATCATGTAATGGACTCAGCAGGATAAATGCCCCACAGAGTGGATATGAACTCCCTGTGAGTTGTGTGTATTAAAGCCATAAACACTGATGCCCTTTTTATTCAATTAAGAAGAGACAATGTCCGAATGGCTACACTCAAGCTACATTACATTTTCTTCATCAGCTGCTGAAAACTTTGTACACTGAAGTGTTTTTCCCACTTCAAGGCTAACTGGTAGTCAGTGTTGTCATGGTAATAGTACTCAGTCTGGCAATGATCCTTTTATGTGGTTAATGAAGTCACACTTTCTGCAACATTTCATTGTAAATTCACAGTTTTTTCAAAGAGGATTTTGGTGATCCAGAGCTCTGAAATGTATCTGTTTTAAATAAATAATCAATGTGCCAGGAAGTTCACACAGGAAGCACCTGCTCATCAATCGATCTACATGCTGTCTCTTTAGTTTGGAGATGTTCAGGACCATACTGTATATTACTGCACTTAGACATGCTGTAATGGACAAAGCTCATTTCACGGAAAGTGATTTGTAACCTCTGCTTGTCTGGACTCAGCATTTTCCATGTAAATATTTCTGACGCCTGTGTGCATTAATTTCTCCTAATGCTGTTTGGCAGTGGACTATGCTCTATTCAACTGTGGACTCCTCCATACTTCTGCATTTTTCATCTGTTATTCACCACCCTGCGCTCCTGCAGGACTGTGTAATGCCACCCTTGTTGATGCTGTCATGAACCCAAGTTGTACACAATTCAAAATCTCAGAAAAGTTCTGTTGGCATCAACTTGAGCGCTGCTTTCCCTTCTTGTGGGTTTCATGCAGAAGATGAGCTGAAAAGAGGGGGGTTTAATTGTAACCTGTGGAGGAAAAACTCTGTGATGTAGAAGTCCCCCGTAATGTTTCTGAGTCATGGTGTTTGGACTCTCGAGTTCAGCCCTGAGGCTCTTCCTGCCCATCGTAATGATGTGGAAAGCACACATGAGAGGAGAGGGAGCACACATCAGCACACTCTGTTATCAAATCTCTGACTGTAGATGTTATTTTCACCATAAATGAATTAAAAATGCATTATGGTATGCTGACTTTGTTAACCCTGGAAGTGACCTGTTCAAGATTCATAGTGGTAGCCTCTATATTATGTAACATAGCTAAACGTTCATTTAAATGTGCACTACGACAACAGTTCCTCTCGTTGTGCACATTATTCCACATTTTACCACCCGTAGCATTGTCTTGACAGTTTGTAAAGGAGCTTCAGAATTAAAATAATGGGATGATGTGACTTTTTTTTTATTGCATTGTTGGGAAGGGGGGATAAGGAGGTGGTTGATAAGAGAAACAAACCTGAAAGAATTTAGACATTGATCAAATGAAGTAACCTTAAAAGTAATAACACCACTGAATATATATATATATACTATATATTTAAAAACTTTGTAGATCCTTTACTTTCTCTGTTGCTCATGCAAATTTGTTGTCATTTGATCAATGTGCACAATGCATGAAAGTAAAACAACCTTTAAACACAATCTATTCTGCACCCTGTAGCTACAGTGGGTTAATAATTGCAGTCAAGTTTACTTCGATTAACTTATAAGAGAAAAAAATCTGATATAATTTTCTGTGGCTTTTCTAAACAATGGTTACAAAATCACCCTTCAGACAAATGTTTTGTCCAGAAATCAGTGTAATTTGTCACTGCTGTCTGATGTAGTACAATAACAGTCTCATTAGTTTAACATGTTTCTGCCAGTTTATCCTGTTTTACTGACCGTGTTTAAAACTTTAAACTGGTCGGATGAGTTAGACCACTGGTTTAAGAAAGACATTGGTCTTTTTGTTTCCCATCAGTGTCAGGTACCAGAGACTGAAAGGGACTGTTAAAGAGATGTTAAAAAATGTATGACAGCAGTAACACAAGAGGGAGAACAGAGAGCTTGGCAGTTGTTATCGACCACATATTTGATCCATCTGGATGGATGAGTTTTTACATTTTCCCGTTAAAAACTAAAGCAGCTGGCCCTCGAAATTATAATGTCCATAAAGAACATTTAAATATGTTTACTACCTCAGCGCTGAAAGCCTCACACTTTGTTTTGTGTGTTTTCAGGATCATGTCAGCAGGACAGCTGTATGTTTCTGCCCCTGCTGGAGAGTCAGGCCTCCAACAGAGATGCTCCCACCAACCCCACCATCAGCCACTCCGTGTCCTGGAGCTCCTCGCTCGCCAACAGTTACCACTCTACAGGCACCGAGACAGAGAGCGAGCTTCTGTCCGGTAAGTGTTCACAGCTGTCACATTCGGGGCAGCTCATCATTTATGAGAACAGATGCTAGTTTTAATCGCGCTATGGAGATATGAACCCTGCTGTCCAATATTTGTTATGTTTATTGATTAAAGCATCTGTGAGGAGATTTTTGATTGGTCAAGAGACAGACTGAAATGAGCAGTGATGCCTCTCTGTGATATACAAACAAAACCATCAATGACAAGATGGGAAGTTTCTGTATTGATGTTTTAAGGTCTGTTACTACTGTGACGGGGAGGTACTCTAAAGAAACAGACTTTGTTAATTTTCCCACAGTAAATATTTTCAGTTCATGTGAAAATTGATTGTAAAAAGTCTTCAGGAGGAGTAATTTTTATCAAAACACATCACTTTCACAAGAATGACACAATATAACAACATGAACGAGACAAACAATATATAACCACTTGGTTAAGCTGTTTGCTCTGTACATGCTCTGCAGATCTCTGGGCTCAGCAGTGATTTGGTGTTGATGTTGAAAGTCTGTCATTTAGGAAGCTGTTTAAAAAAGTGCATCATTGATTGACTCTTTTAACAGCATGCAAACAAAAAACTTTCTATGAACAGAAAGAAGGAAAGGGATGCAGGCGGGGCTGCAGAGGAAGATAGGACAAATGCACCATTGTTTGCATCTGTTGTTTGAATGTTTAGATTGCTGATGCATATTTGAGTTTGAGGGTCAGCATCATAATCAGGCTCCTGTAGCTCTTTAGCTCCTGTCAAGTCTCCTGTTGTGAGTTTTTCCACATTTATGAAGTAGACTAAAATTCACATTGATGCCATCTCATCATGTCCAAAAGCAAATATGACTATTAGTGAGAGGATAGACGATATTCATGTTATGTTTTTAATGCTTGAAATCAGTGTAAAGGGGGTGGGTGTCTGCAAAGTACAGTAGCTGAGGAAACTGCTCCATGTTCATATATCTATTTAATTGAGGATATTGAGGATGAAATAAATAAGCTGCTTTGTCCACGTTGGTCACCAAAACTGAAATAAACTGAAAGATCCTTACAGGAGCTTTAATTATTAACTCCTTATTGCTGAATATTAAATGTCCCTCCCAAAATTGAATATATTTTACAGTTATCTGTTTTAGTTTTAAGATAAACATTTGGCATGTCAGTATAAAAAATATAGATAATTGAATGTTCACATGCATAAGCAGTAAACAGCCAGTGTGATAAATTAGATAGTTCAGTTTCCTTGCTGTGTTCATGTTTGTCTCTTGTTTAACCTTACTTTTTGTTTTATTGTCTTAAATTGTGCTGTTACATGTTTTTATGCATTCATACATATTTTTCTTGTGGTTTGTTTGTTTCTTATGTTCCTCATATTTTTGCACACTGAATCGCTCCTACTGGGGACAGATAAAGTTCTTGAATCTTGAATCTTAATAATGGAAGTAATCCTCTGAGATTCTGGGTTATGGCTTGATGCCGGCAGCTCAGCTTTTAGTCCACAAGGTGGCAGTATCTGACTTATCTACAGCCGTCCTCCCTCTGCAGCTTTGTCATCTGACCTACATCTCTAAACTCACTGGAAGGAATGGAAGAGATAAAATTTTAAATGGGACTGACCATAAAAGAGCTGCTTACTTATTTATTCATCAGCTTAGGGGGAGAAATGCATTTGGCTGGTGCATTCAGCGACATGTTATAAGGGTTTGGAAAGCACAGCCTCCGCCACCAGTCCCCAGTAAACATGAGAACGGTTGGAGGAGGAGAGGCGTGCTGAGCGGGGAGAAAGCAGATGGTATTTGCGTCTATGGCAGATGCCAGACTACTCCCCAGAATACCAGCACAGACGTAGACTGATACATTAAAACAGGAGCACAGACAGGACTGCTTCCTGAGTTACCGTGACCCTGTACGGACTGATGACCACATCACAGCAGACAGTTCAGTGTCTGCATACACTCAGAAACAACATGAACACACGGGGCTTCCCTTCTCAGGAGATTCACATCCTGATGGAGGTCTGCTGCTCTGTGCGGCTAAGATAGAAGCGGCGACCTTGGAGATAAAAGCAGTGACCTTGGAGATAAAACAGAATTAAACATCGGCAATTCAAGAGCTTAAGCAAAGTGTAAAAAAAACACACAAAAAAACAATACTGTATGACATACCTGTGTGTTATTTATAAAGTGTAGGTTTAAACCCCATCAAAGTTAGTCGTGTGATTGACAGAAAAAGACCTCCTATCCTTTATTTAATGTCACATATCAGTGTAAAAATCGACCAAAACAAGCAGTAAAGTATGCTTCCGAAAACAAGACAGATGACTGGTTTCACACTGCACTTGGTGTGCATACACAGAAAAATCAACACATCACAGATATGTGCTTAGTTACAGCAATAAATCTCAGCTGAGGCTGGCAAACATTTATAAGCTTCTGTGTACAATGGGATTTTTTAAAACAGGAATGTGTAAATTTATTCATGAAAAAAAGATGAGTTCCACCTGCACACTAAATCAATATGTGCCATAAAAACAAGGTAACAGAGCACAAACAAAACACATCTAAAGCTCCAGTGAGGAATTTTGAGCTGGTTTCTAAACAGGTGAAGGTTTATACTGATGCCTCTACATAACCCCCCAAAAACAGGCGACACTAATGGCAAGAAAACTGATTATGTTTATACTGTAATTTTTAATGCATGCAGATACTGCCATGGGGAATGTATTAGGTAGTTTATAGCACCCTCCCAAGAGAGTCTTTTTTTCATGTAGTCCACGTCATCGTGAAGGATATATGTTGCTTGTGGCGCTTGTAGCGCTTGTAGCGCTGGTGGTGGCAGTTTTACAAGCTTAGATGCAACATACAAGCAGCATTCAGAGCCAATAAAATATCAATAATTTGTTAACACATGTAAGGAATGAATGCAGCTTTGTCCAAGTCATTATCTTGTGAGAAAAAGTGAACTGTCATTCACTAATGAGAGTAGTATCTTGTGGGAACATGTTACTATACTGTATGCACAATTTATACTAATGTGCACACAAACTACCTTATCATCCTCTGCACAATATAATCATTTTTAGAGCTTTTTTAGACTTTCTGGGGCTTCAAAGGATAGAGTTCATCAATAAGACACATGTTTTCCTCTTTCCTTGTTGATGAGCAGCTTGTGTCTACAGATCCAGACTACCTGCAATTCAAGGGCACCAACAAGTGCACTGGACTGCCAAGGACCAGATTTTAGTGTCCAGAAAAATGAGTAGGGATTCAAAGGCAATACAACACAAGGGTCCTAGAGATGCAGTCTGAGATTGTGTTCCTGAAACTGTATAATAATGGCAGAGGTTTTCAGAGGATCAACGAAAAAATGAAAGTTCTTCAGGGGAGTTTCAATACAGAAATAATGATTTATCATTCTTGCAAAGTTGCAATAAAGGAGGCATGACTGAGTCATCCGTCACAACATTAGGTTATCAAGCAGCAGCTTCTTTTACATTCTGCTCAGTTTTCATGACTGAGATATTTGCCTTCAGCACAGGAATCCCCTCACTGCCAATCAGCTGCGTGCTGCGCTCTATAGAAGCTGCCCAGCAAGATTATTGATCGTTTGGAGTTTTTTCTCACAACAACAGAGGCTGAAACATCAGACAGAGCAATAGTGTAGTCTAAAACAATGCCAAATAGCATATAAAACAGCTCGCAGAGATGGTGGGTGTATTCTTCCATAAAGTTCGAGTTGAGCCTGACTCTAGATATGAGTTAACAAACTGGTGGCTTACAGCAGCACATGTGACCATCTGTGTTTTATGGAGGAGATTACATGTTGTCCAGTTGGACTGATTGACCTTCTGCGTGTGAAATCCTCTCTGGGTCGTCTCCAGTTGCATGTTGGTTTGTGCAAAAAGGCTGGCTCTAGGTTGACTGGGGGCTTTCGGGTTTAGGGCAACAAAATTACGGGATAAAATCAACTTTAACAAATGGTTGTTAATGAATATGGCGGACTAGTGCATAATATCCCATAATGCATGTTAGAAGCAAGCCCTGCCTGCATGTTTTCTGTATTCTTCACACTCTCCCTCACTTAATGTGACGCCTCGGGGCGCAGGCAGCTTTCAGCGCGCGGGAAAAAGACGATGATTGATAAGCGGATCGATACACGTCCTTGTCGGTCCATTTGAGATCTGCTCGCCCCCGGTCATTTCCCGCAGCTTATTTTGAGTCAGTAAATCAGGACTGTGTAGAAGCAGAAGAGGAGGAGGGGGGGACGTGTCCATCTCAGGACCTCCCCTCCCGATCGTCACCATGACAACCGCCGTGGATGGTGGTGCTGCTGCTGCTGGAGGGGGAGCTCTTAGACAGGTGTTGCTGGGGGTTTGCGCATCGGCCGTGAGATCGTGTGGCAGGATGGGAGCTGCTGGAACACCTACGCTACCCCATCATCATAGTTTCCCATGTACCCTGCACTCCTGCTCGCTCTAACACGAGATTCAATTAACGCTGTGGTCACACTGAACGCCGCAATGGTGCACCATTCGGGCTCCATCCAGTCCTTCAAGCAGCAGAAAGGTTGGTCGCTGGTGTTGGTGATGATTCCGTGTTGATCTGAGTGTGTGTGGTGAGTTTGGCGCGTAGTTAAACAGTTTCAGGTGTGAGGTGGGACTTTGAAGTGTTGGACTCTGTACTTGCTGTGTGACGCAGAGTTGGAGGATGAAACGTGAACCTCGTGCGTTTTGATATTTTATCCAGTACTTTATCCAACATCAGACTGTCTCACATGAGTCCTCAGTGCAAAGCTGAGGCAGGTTTTCTCGGGTAACAACTCAAGTTTGTCTAGAATTCAATGAATGAATCAAATCTGGAAACATGGAGGATCTATTCTGAGCATGTTTGTTGTTGCACTGTGAGATTTGTGAGATGTATTTGACCTTTCTGCACAGTTCCAGCAGTGCTCCTCTTGTAAAGGTTGTTTTGTAAACTTGCAGTGATTTCAGATGCACTCATAGCCATAATACATCCGCTCTCAGGGACCTGCTTAATGAACACTCACAGCAGCAGTGCAAACAGGCTGGTATTAGCAGTGATAACATTAAATTGTGTGCGTGTCTGGAGGACAGCAACTAACTGCAGAGGAGTTTGCCTGCACCTGTCTGGAATGTCTGTACTCAGACTGAAAGGATCTGACAGTGGAGGACCTATAGTGCATTAAAATGGAAATAAATTTGCACTGCATGCGAGAATTTGACTCTTTTTCTTAACATCCTTTTAAATGAAGTCTTTGTTTTGACCAGTAAAACAAAGACGATAACTTGATGTTCAGTGAAGAAATGTTGAAGCAAATTTCCTCATGTTTAAAATTTAATATCCATCAAGTATTCCATCTGTGTCCTCTGCTGCACCCGCATTGATTTTCAACCCTTTAAGTGGAGCTCTTAATAGAACATTAGTAACTGTGTAACACTTAGTCTTAATTATTCATGCGCTCCGTGTCTATATTTAGTCTCCTGGTGAAGAAAGACTTGTTTTCATGCTGACATGGGCTCATAAAAAGAGGGGAAGCATTGACCTGTTTTTTTTGTAACCTGGCTGTGAATGATGAAAATGTCTGAGAGACGATAAGGAAATGCTGAGCTGAGCAGCTTGAAATCTCATGACTGAGGGATGTCCCACTCAAGAGGCTGTTGGCTTATCTGCTGGTTCTCTATGCTGTTTTTTTTAGCATGAAAATGGACCAAAAAGGCAGAAAACAACAGACATTGATGTGCTTTTAAACTTCAGTCTTCATGCAGTATTATTTTTCAGTTTCTCATAAACTCATGTCAGACAACATAATAGATCTAAAGCACATCTGCCTTCTGTCTAGCCAACAGGAAACACACAGCAGCAAAACATGATCAGATTTATGTTAAACAAAAATCTGATTACAGGCCTGAGGGCACGCTCAAGTTTACATTGATTGCTAAGTGCACCATTACGGTGATAGTAAAGTAAATGAACGTTGGCTCACAAAGTCATGTTAAGGCAAAAAATCCAGAAATTATGCTGCACTTTGTCAAATACAGTAAGCAGCATCCTGGGTGAGCTTTTAAAGGCTCAGAGCTGAAAATAGAGCTTTGTGTTCCAGCTCAGCTTTTTTTAACTTAATGATGAAAAAAAAAAAAACACAAGCATACTCAAACAATTACTTTAAAACAATGTAAGGAGGCCATTGTTGAAATAAAATAACTTCAAAGCTTCTTGGAAGATTTCTGCTTAGCTGAAGGTGAAAAAAAAACATGTTTGTTCACAGACAGACTGCAGAGAGTCTTTATGAAAATAAGATGAGGCTACTGAAGGCTGTTTTCCTCCTGATTTCACCCAGCTGGTAAATACTAAAAAACAAAGCCACATTTGGACTTCAGGACCAGTATGACTCACAACCATCTGATATTACTTTGCAGGATTTGGGAGAGTTTCAAGTGTTATTGGCAGACGAATTATAAACCCAGATTCATCATCAGCACATTGATGAAACTTACTGACACACTGAACTTTCAAACTCCTCAAGAAAAACTAGAATGAAATAAAGTCTGGGTTCAATTATCAGACAGTTTTTAGTAAAGCCTCTTTTAAGTCCTCTGCTTGTATCATAATATCATAATTCAGCCTGCAGAATATGAGAAAAACGTGTTTTGTGCGATTACATTCTTCAATAATGCATAATTCAACTTTTACTACTATACCACTATATGACCATCTTTTTATTTAGAATAAGTGCACCGCTCCAGCCAATCAGAATAGAGCAACAGGGCACACAGCACAGCCAGACCACAGACTGTAAATAAACCTTGTGGGCTGGTTTGTTTGAGGGGACTCCTAAATTTGAGACAAGGGACGCTCTGGAGGAGGCGGGGGGCGTATCTCTGGATGAATTTAGTCACAGAGTTGTTGCCCCACAAACAAACAAACAAACAATAAAAAAAAAACACCAGTTGACTAGACTAAATGTGACTCAGCAGATGAGCCACAACTGTGGATTAGTGTAGCATCTGAATGTTTGTCCGTATGAACCACGAAATGCACCGCAAGTCAGAATTGAAGACAGTGAGTGAGAACGGCTGTAATGTGTCCAGATGTTCCCTTCAAAGGCTTTACAAATTACACACTGAATGAAGTGAATGATGAGTTATAGTTAATAAAATTAGAAAACATATGAAGTTTGCTTTTGATATTTGCCATTGTGGATCCAAGCTAGCAGGCTAAAACTACATATATGGGTATTTGGTATGGGAAAGTCTCACCTAGATCTTCAAGCAAAAATGTCAAAAAAGAAATTGTTGTTGGTTGGCAGGTGTGAGAATGTGCTTCTGTGAGTAGATTGAAGATTTTTCGGTGGGTTTTGTTTTAGTTTATGAGTTAAACTATCTTTGTTTTGTTTTTTTCTATTCTTTCCTTACAAACATAAAATAATAATTGAACTCAGTGAGGCTCAAAATTGTTGTCAAGATCTCAGGACACATTTTGGAACATATTTATACACAAAACATAACACTCATCAAAAATGAGACAAAATAGAAACATATTAACTCATTCAACTTTCACATACCGTATCCCTTAAACCCCACCATCTCAAAACATTAATACACATGTCCAACACACACATTGTAAGTCCTTGTCTTTATTCTTCACTGATCCTGCCTCATCAGCCGTGTTACAACTTCCTTTATGTATTTTAAAGTGCTTTTCTCCAAGTATCTAGCGAAGCGGATCAGGATATTTTGCTCATGAAAAAATTGATAAATCAAAAGCTGAGTTTTGTATCATTCAGCACTTTCACTGGTAAAGTTTGCAGCACTACCAACCAAAGTAAGAGCGATCAATACCCTATTAAAAAAATATCCTGCTCTTTTCCCTCGTGGAAATAACTTATAGATTGGTTATTATCTTTGTTTTTTCTGTGAAAGAATGCATAGTCGTGCTTGTAGGTGAGTTGATTCAGTTACTGCAGAGCCCTCTTAAAACTGTGCATGTACAGTAAATGTGTGTTAGAGCCTGTGTGCGTTTGTGAGTGTCGATGTGAAAACCTTTCGCGACACAGTCCTAAGCAGGCCACCTGTCCTCTTATGCAAGCCGGCAGATGGTTTAATAGATGGAGACATTAATTTTCGGGCAGATCTCACAGGCTTCTGCAGAGTGTGAGGCAGACATCAGTTTGCTGTAAGATGAGCCGTGTCTGAATATGCCGCTTCATACTGCAGCATGCCAGGTAGACAAACAGTTTACAGAACGACAAAACAAAGAGGCTGTTTTGTTCTGTGTGTGTGTGTGTGTGTGTGTGTGTGTGTGTGTGTGTGTGAATGGTGTGGCAGCTACCACATTCACACTCTTTAAATAGTCAGCCTTTGTTTCGTTGCTAGGTTATAAGAACAATACAGGCAGAAGTTCAGCTGGAAACTAAACTTATTCCACATTTTGATCACATCTACAGAAACAAAACAGTCTCTGGCAGTATTGAATTGTTCTGCGGTGAACTTTCCCGCTCCACGTTGTCGACTGCACACGCAGAGCAGCTTCTGTCCCCGATGAGGTGTTTATGTAGACAAGCGAGGCTTATCAGAAAATCCTGTGACGCTGCAGAAACCAGAAGCAATCAGGGGCCATAAGAACATGCAGTGACGTTAAAGAAGCAGAGGGGTCAAATATAGGGATTGAAAGAAAAATGAGACGTTTAATCTGCTTTGGCACTAATGATGCAACCCAGAGGTTGTGCCAGGGTTGTATAATGAGGTTCTGAACTGTTGAAAAGGGGCTAAAAAGTGCCATCTGCTCCGAGGTGTGTTAGTGGTCAGGCAGCTGCGGATCAGCCGCACATGAGAGACAGAGAACACCAGTGCCAACACATCTGAGTGTCTGCACTTTACTTTGATTTAAAACTTGATTCAGATGTTGATCTGAGTCCAGAAGACTTAATCTGTCCGCAGTAAATAAATCATATAGAAAATAAAATATGAGAAGGTCATAAGTGAATTATTTAAATGGTCACACAGAAAATTAGATGTGTTTTACTTTACTTGGAGTTAAAAAGTAAGACACTCCAGTTTTTTAATTGACAGCATAGTAGTTTCAAAAATAGCAAATAATGGTTTATCGTTATCAACCTACTGCATCTGACCAAGTATAGTTGCAGAATTGTGAAAAATAACAAAAATAACATGACGATGGCATTGTGGTGCAATGATTTTTGCTGTCGTCTCACAGCAGGAAGGGTCCTGGTCCAAAACTTCGACCTTTCTGTGCATCTGAAAGCCCCCCTTCCTCACTGGTGCTCTGTAAAAGTTAGAGTGATTGGTTGTCTGTTCCTATGTGTCAGCCCTCTGAGTGACCGGCGACCTATCCAGCATGAACCGAGCCTCTTGCCCAAGCTGGGATCAACTTACAACCCTGGGTGGGATAAGCTGTATAGATAATGGACGGATAATGTGAGCATATGGTTTAAGCTGAAGCTTTGACATTACAGCTTTGCATTTATTGCCTGCTTCTAAACTGAAAATATGTTGCATACACTGTGGACAAAAAACTCTATCTCCTCCCAATTCGAAATCTCACTTACATGGGTGATGACATGTTGCACTGGTGAAGCTAAGGCATGTGTGAGTGAGAACATGCGTGGAGCTTTCTGGTAACATCAGGGATCCCTGTGGTCAGCTGCTGGTGAACAGATTCTTGTGTTGATCTGCTGCAAACACTTATGGCTGTGGGAGGTTTCATAACGAGTCGTTGAGTTTGTCTTCTATCTCTGCTCTACATTTGTGAGCAGAGCAGCAAATCGGCATTTTTGAGAGAGATGTGACAGCTGAAGAGAGACAGAGACAGGTGGGGCAGAGAGTGGGGAAAGACATGCAGCACTTGAATCATGTCTTTAACGTCAATGGATTAAAGGGATATTCTGGCGTAAGATTAATTTAGGTCAAACACACTGTAACACCGAGTTAGACACCCCCTCTAGAGATGAATGTTGCCAACCGCTTGCTTCTCTAGTTATACCAACTTCAGGAACGACCGCAAGATAGCAATACACAGCGGGCTGAGCAGCCACACACAAACCTCAACTAAAACGCCACTCTATAGCCACAAATAATGCTCAGAACAGCACCTAACTTCATCAACAGTACATATAGAGTCCCAGCCACAGCACTAACCACCAAACATCTTTTTAACTTTGCCTAATTTCTTTAGCAAAGAGACTAAACACAACTCACCTACCCTCTTCCAGCAGCCGCTTGTTTGTACGGAGACCTCAGGCCAGTCCATTACCGACTACAGCGGGGGACGCAGCTCAAGGAAGAACATTTATGATCATTACTTTATCATTTCCTTGAAGTAATAATCACCATATTAGTCACTTTGCACTGCAGATGCAGTAATTCTTCTGCCTTAGTGTCTCGGTCTGATTTTATTTCCATGAAGAAATTATCATAAATGTTCTTCCTTGAGCTGCGTCACCCCCGCTGTGGTTGATGGTCTCCGTTACGGTGTGTTTGACCCTAACTTGATGTTATGCCGGAATATCCCTTTAACTTTAACTTCGAAACACAAGTTTCGTTTCGCAAAAAGTGAGCCTCGCACCGAGTAGATGCACTCTTTGTGTTTGAAATAATTCCATTTCAACAATGATATTTAATGTGGCTCTGAATAAATGTTTAGTAAACTGCTGTTGTGGAAAATTTCAAAAGGTTTTATTTAAGAATAGAAAATCACATTACTGCAATATTCTCCATGAACTTCTAGGCTGAAAACCTGCAGTCACAGTAAAAATGGTTCAGCTGCCTCTTAAGAAGCTGTGATGGTTATCAATGGTAGCCTGGAAAACACTTTGACCTCAAACCAGTTCAGTATTTTGAGTTTGATAACTTCTTTTTGATGTTTTCTCTTTTTTTCACATGGTTAGATAGAAAGCCAAAAAAAAAAAAAAAAAAAAGTTCATAGATGAGCTATCTTGTTATCTGCAGCAGATATCCCTCATCATTTGCTATTCATACTTGGTCAGCAGGAATCATTGGTGTGCCTGTAGCACTAACCATGTAACATAAGATATGAGCAGAATATTCAGCTGCTGCTAATGATACTGCTCTAAATGCTCCCCGTGAGCTCACTTCGCCTCTGTGTTCTTTGATACGGTGCCAGACGGAAGATGAAACAGGCGTTAATTGCTTCGAGGATGTTTCTTCAGGACGGGCTACAGGCCTCACCTCCACCCTGCCTCCACATGATAAATTTTATAAACACACTACAGCTCCCTGTGTGTTTTTCAAATATTTTTTCTTCTTTGCCTATTCTTCTGCAACAGGGATCCCCTTAAATGCCCTCTGTACAAGGAGACTGTAATGGTGTGCTTGCCAAGAGAAAAAAAAAAAACTAACTCAGAAAGCTCCTCAGCTGAAAGCCGTGACAATGAGAGCGCTATGGGCTGAAGACGGATGAATAATTGAAGGTATAGAGACATAGAGGCATGATGGGAAACAGCCCACTAACCTGAATTCTCTGTTTGCTACTTTGTTCAATATTCCTACAGAAAGACTCTCTATGGTGTCTTTTTCAGGTCTCTGGCAGTGATTGTGGGAAAAACGTGACTAAAATGCTAAAGTAATGTTCCTTCTTTCACTTCTTTTACACTCCTCATACTGATTTCAAAGCTTTGTTACACATCTCTGGTATCTGACAGCTTGATCAATGAATCCTTGATGTTTTTTCAAATGATGTGTTTTTTCTCTCCTGCTGGTTCTGAGTGTGTTGGTGACAGTCTCACTCAGATGTCTAAAGAAGTCAAGATGTCACACTGCACAGGATGTTCTGACTTTAATGTCAGAAATAAACACGAGGAACATGACAAGAGTTTGTAAAAAAAAAAAACACAAACATCAATTTCAAGGTCTACGTTTGACATAAGCAGAAACAACCGTTCTTATGCTCCACCAAACCCGCACAAAAAAATTCCTTTTAATCTCACTCCACAAAAACCGTCATGGACATGCTGCACAAGAGGGCTCCAAATCCCAGATCACGACCTTCCCTGAAGCCTGTCCAGCTCAGCTTCCTCTGGGCCGGCGTGGGTGTGTGTGAAAGTACACACAGGATTGTCGTCGATGCCCTTTGCCATGCTGATGCACAGGAAATCTGGAGGTGTTTTTTTTTTTTTTTTCTAGCATCACAGCTCAGCCAGGGTCCACCTCCTAGTTTAATCGCCACCACTGCATCACTCACAGTGTGACAGCCCACAGACTCCTATACCAACTGGAGTATACACACACACAGACACACACACACAGGATTATCTTTCCCCTGATAAACCAGCCTTTGCCAGCACACAGTGAGATTAAACACAGGATTTCACATTAGATGAACCCTTTATATATTTATATAGACTTACACAATGCACTGCTTTCAGAAACAGCTCCAAACAGGGGGAAGGTTGACTGAATGCTTGCATGATAAAACTAATCTTAAGCTCCAGAACTGGGCGACGGTCTTCAGATAACCATTATCACATCGGAAATTTCCACAAAGGCTGAGAGATCTGACCAGTAATTTTTTTTATCCGCACCTGTCCTGCGCCAATTTTTTCCGTAGGGCCAATTTCACACAACACAAATCTCGTCCAATTTGTGTGTCTATTTTAAACTTGCAGTGTCCTTTGGGATCAGGGAGCCTCGCCCCTGCAGGCCTCATTAGTTTGGATGTTCTCTGATGTATCATCTCAGACGTGTTGAGCCTTGCCGATATCTGTTGGGATTATCTACACGGCCTGAAATCCAGTAAATGTACTTTTTTGGCGACACTGTGCAGATGTGAAGCACTAGACATGCACTATTGATCACTATAATGGAGAGAAAGACAGCAGGGTCTGCTAACTTGACAGTTATATTAAATAAAAAAGCTTTTTCCACAGACAGAGTGATATTGTTGCATTCCAGGCAGGGGGCTCACAGTTTATAGTCTAATTATATTGTAGCTAGCAGTAAAAGTAGGTTTGTTGCTGGAAGAAACAAATCTCTGACTCAACGGACCGTAAAATATTGACTTTTTAAAATGTCATGGCTGATGTTAACAGCACAATATGTTTCTTTAAAGAATAATTACGCAACAGCGTGACGCTCAGGATTGATTTGAAACACTGGATTTTTTTGTAATTAAATAGAAAGTGGAAAGCAGCGAAGAGGAACCCAATACTTGACTTAACTGCAGAAGTCTTTAAAGTGCTGGGAAATGTTAGCCCAGAGGATAGTTTAAAGCTGCTGTAAGTTTTTTGACATTTACAGAGCTGCCAAGCGTCACGCTTTGGTGTGACAGTCACACAATTTGACCCATTCTCACACCACACGCCACACTTGACATTTCTCATGCTTATATTTCCCCATTCAATACTCTGTACTTAACCAATCCCAGACCAATCCATCCGTACTTTATGCCTAAATCTAACCAACCATGGAAGGCACCACGCAATCAATACATTTGAAACCTACTCAGCCTTCTCCTTCTCTCCTGAAGACAGACGGTAGGTTAGTTCAGACTAGCATTATTAGGCCACAGTGCAGGGAGAGCAGCTGGCGAAGGTGAGGACATCAGTCTTAAGGTATAAATCGACATTAAAAAAGGCCAATTTTGTTGCGGCCGAACACACATCATAACGCTAAAGTCTCACTCTTGTCATTTTCTGAAACTTGGCAGCCCTGCATTTATTTAATAGATCAAAATTCATATTGATGCCTTTTTATGATATCAAAAAGCAAGTGACAAGATTGACGATATTTCTGCATTGTATATTTTAATGCCTGAAACCAGTATCAGGGGGGTAGGTTGTTAATATTTTTCACATGAAATAGTTGCTATTGATTATATATTTGACTGACAAAAGTCAGCAGGATGAGATTTTTTTGTCAGAGGATTCTAAGCATGTAGAGGACAAGATAAGCAAAGACTTTATGTCCACAGGGGGCGCCAAACTGACACCAACCGAAAAATTCCTCACAGGAGCTTTAACTTAATTGTTCAATTTAAGCTAACGTGTGTCATATTTCATGCGGTGTATTCCCCTGTTCTCTTCCAGTCAGGTCATGTTGAGTCTTTTTAAATTAAACAACAAAGACTACAGCTCAGGCACGCTCTTCTAAACTACATGTTACAAATCACTGTTTTTGTTATTATTTGGTGCATGTAAATCAAAATTGGGCGATTGCCTCGAGGTGACAGTTTAACTCAGCAGTTAAAGAGCAGACTGTGGCTGTTGTCTGTAAAGCAGGTATCCTAAGGCTAACAACTCCCTCTCTTTCCAGTTTCCCCCTCATCCATCATCCAGTAGTTTCGCTGACGGCATTATAGCCTGCAAATTGTTTTTTTTAAAGCATTTATTGGTGATTAAATTCATGTTTACACAAACTAGCCACAACATCATTACTACACAACCCAAACCTCCACCATCATCACACCGTTGTACTTTTATATTGAAATGCAGCGGTGTAGTATGAGTGTACGGGTGCGATTTCATCAGGCATGCGAGAATAAGAAGTAATAACAAGTATGCAAGGTAACCACACTACACAAGCGGGCGCTTCACACATCACATGCAAACAAGCCTGTTTCACAGTGACCCTGTGACACCTCTGGGGCAGCTGTGGCTCAGTGGTAGTTTGCTGTGTCTCAATTTCAAGCTTGAGGGCATGATCCTACGTCCCTCTGTTCCTATTCCCTGAGTACTCCAGCCTGCCACCACTGACTATGTGTGAATCAGATGAGTTTATAGTGACGTAAGCTGTACTGAGAACTCACTGCCATCGGGGTGTGAATGTGGAGTGAATAGGTGACGGTGACTTTGAATGTCAAATTGCTTTGAGTTGTGAGAAGACTAGAGAAAGTCCCTCTGATGCTGACATCTCAGTGGAACGACTTGGGCCTACAACACAGGGCAGTAATATCATGCCTTAGAAGGGCAGTATGACCTCTGGAAATATGCTGTGGTATTTGGCACCAAAAAATTACAAACAGATCCTTTGAGTACTTGATGTTGTGAGTTGAAGCCTGCATGGCTCAGACTTGGATGTCCAGCACATCCCTCTGATGCTCGATCTGGTTGAAATCTGGGAAATTTGGGACCAGGATACCATCCTGAATTTGTCTTACTACCACCCACCTGTTTGATTTTGATGCTTGAGTGTACAATGTGGGCACTTTTAATGCAGGGGGTTAGCAGGGGCATCATGACTAGTCTGTCCAAACAGCCTCATGCAAAGCAAACTGCAATGCACTCTGTGGGTTTTCACACCTCTAACAGAACCAGCATGATCTTTTTCAACAGTATGGGCTCTTCCACAGGCTGGTCATTGCCCCCCACAAACACACAAATGGCCGCCCATTACTTGTTTTCTTTCATAGACCCCTTTTGGAAAGTACCGACCACTTTAGTAGCCTAGCCCTGCTATAGCTGCAGATTTTGTTAAGCTCTGACCATGTCATGCAGCCGTCACAGTTGGCTCTTGTTTAAGTGACTCACATCCCTACCTTACCTCGATAATCAACAACTTCGAGGTGACATTGTAAAGAGATAATCTACTGTTTTCACTTCACCTGTCAATAGTCATTGATTTGCTGATGTATGTTTGCCTTTGTAACATATATAGGATACATGCTATTTTATGAGTGGCTTAAACTCCAGCTGTAAGCGGTTTAATTGCATGATTTCAGGTTTTCACTCAGTTATTAACTGTGTCGCTTGTAGCTGGAGCACAAATTTCACTTATTTCATTTCTAAAGGGCTGCACAGTTAATAAACAGAGCGATTAGTGGTTCCCCTGAGCCTCTGAGCTCACATCTTTAACTGGCTCCTTTCTCACCCAAGAGCACGGGGGAAATCCTATCGAGATCTACGACTCCGAGAATGAGTTATTGTGCGGCTCGCAGCGTGGACCCCCTGGATGCAGAGAATGAATTATCAATGCAGCTGAATGTTTCTAGAAGGTCGTTGAAAGAATTTCCCGCTGGAGGTCATGTTCCAATTTACAAGAGAAAGCGAGAGAGAGAGAGCACAAGAGAGAGAGAGAAGCGCCTTCATTCATTTCATGAATAAATATGTCGTAGCTGCAAAACTGGAGCTGCTGCCCGCTGTGGAGGTCGACCTGCTTCCCCTGCTGGACGTTCATTATTGTTATTAACCTCACTGTTCTTGCCACTATTCATCTTTACAGTAACGTTGTGTCTATCGCTCATCATCTGTCAGCCCTTCTCTACACATTTGGCTCGCTCATCGCTTAAATGACCTTGAAGAAGACCTCTGCTGCTTTTTAATAAAACAATGAAATGCTGATGAGAAATCTTTAAAAGAGCATGAATCAGTGCCGTTATCACACGTATCTGATATAAAAATGAAAGCAGCACTAGCAGGCGTGTGTGTAGTTCAGCTCCTTGGTGCACCACCATGCTGCTAGTCTTACTGGGCTGAGTGATTTAATGGAGGGGGAGTGCTGATGGTTTAATGCACTCCTCTATGAAGGAAAGACATTATCACCAGCACTGCATGGAGACCATAAAAGGATGGACACACTGATGGCTCCAGTGATCCCACCCTCCCTCACTTTTCCCTCTCTGAGTTCAGTTCATACACTCGCTCTGCTTACTACTGTAATTAAGTTTTAGTCATTGCCAAAATTTTATTGTACCTAAGAGAGAGAGAGGGTAGTTCTGATTCAGGTGTGATAAGATTATACAAACAGTAATCACTTGGCAGAAGCAAACAAACAGTCATGACAGAAGGCAGCAACTAAAGCATGAAGCCGAACTGAATTTCATCCAACCATGACACTTCTCTGGCAGCTCCAAGGGCAAACATGGACCTTTTTTAAACCCCGTTATCCACACTTCAGGGTTTCGCTTCTACATATGGAGGCACGAGCTGTAAGATGAGGGTCTGTGGGTTTTTCCTAGCGTCTACTACTTAACTCCCTGCAATCTTGTGAATATTAATGTGACCGTTTGTGGTGGAGATCTTGCTCAACAACACAGACATGTGAAAAGGTTAAACCACAGATCTACAGGCTTTCATTGTGGCGTCCTGGGGAGTCGTTTATTGCATTTAACCCACTGAAAGAGTAGCTGGAGGCTATTTTAGCATTTTCTAACAATCAGTAATGCATCCAAGAGGTTTTTACCACAGGCAAAGTAATCAAAAGACTGTTTTTGAGCTGTTTTTCATCAGAAGGGCACCTAGTAGGCACTTTTTTACGCTTTACCCACAGACAGGGCATCCAAACTGCACCTAATCATGGTTTATCCACTGCAAAGGCATCTCAACTACATCTGTATAGGTTTTTTTTTCCTGGTGTTTTCATCCAGATTGCACTTTACACAATTTCCTCCACTGAAAGAATATGTATTTAAAGGCACAGAGACAGAGAGGGCATAAAACTGTGTTAAATCCACTACAGGTGTATCCATCAGGATATATCCGAAGCTTTTCCCAGACTTTAGGGCACCAAGAGGCAGCATCTAAACATGCATGATTTATTACGTTAAATGTAAAGTGGCTGTAATTACACAGGTCCTAACAGACAGGTATGTTCATACTTGGCTTGTTGTGAGATCTCACAGGTTTGTGTGTATTTTAATTACCAATACTGTGAAGTAAAAGATAAATTAAGTCTTCAGTTCAGTTAGTTTTAGTTTTCATTTTAAAGCACAACCTGAGTTAACCTTCATGACATTATAAAGGTTATTTTCTAATACTCCATAAAGCTTCATTATATAACTGTTTTCAGCTGCCTCACAGAAACGTTCATGACAGGTTTGCTGACCTTGTGGAGTGAACCGCTCATTCATTAGCTGTCTGCACACATTCACGCAGGTACACAGATCAGTCCCAATGACCTGACACTTCTCTGTCAGCTACATGCCAATAACTTTATAGAAATGAATTCTGCTGCTGTCAGCGTGTCACCACCCCGGCCTCCTTCTTATGTAATAGATTCTGTGTTTGTTGACATCAGCAAAATTTAATGCAATGTTTGTTTTGGGGAAATTACCCAGAAGAGCTAAATCCAATCAATCCCTCAATGCAAGTGTCTCAGAGTAAAGCAAACATACGTGTGTTTAACAGAGTGAGCACGATACAGCTTTCATATACAGAAACTGATCCAAAGACCTTCATCCTTCCTCTCTGCTCTCATCCCCAGGCATGCACACCAGCATCAGCGAGATCCTGAAGGAGAAAAGCCTGAAGCCGTCTCGTCGCAGCCTGCCCTGCCTGGCCCAGAGCCAGACTCATCCCATCAACCTCAACCACTTCCTTTCTGTGCCTCTGAGCCCGGAGCCCAAAGCCGAAGTCGAGGGTCTGAGCCAGAGCATCAGCACCTCCTGCAGCCTCCTGCCCCCACAGACAGGTCAGTGTGCTCGGAGCACTTAGTGAGCCTTACTCCGGACATTTTCCAAAAGCCATTAGTGAAGAAGACGGTTCGGTCACGAGAGAGTGGCTGTATCAGTTTACATCGCTGCTTTTTGGTGGTGTAAAAGTCTACCTTGTTGGTGTCTTCCTTGATTATTCAACTTGTAAAACAGTTCAATATCTTTGATTAATACCTGGTGTCCAAATAGGGACATACTAAAAGTCATGCAATCCTGTAAAACATTGGCTGCTGTCTAACTTATGATACATGTCTCTAAATGGTGGCCAATTTCTCTTGACTTTCTGCTAAAACATATTTGTCTGTCATATTTTTCTGTCCATTAAAGTAAATATTGTAACATCTTGATTCAGAAAATCCTCCTCATGAGCGCCTGTTCATTTGTTTCTGGTTTGTCCCAGTTACACTGTGACAGTCAGAACATCCAGACACTGACAGGCTTTCAGGACACAGCACTGAGCAGATTTGCCCCGTATAATGAAATGAGTGATCCAGAACTGACTGTTATTTGCACTTGCACACAGAAATCTTGGATAATTAAACCAGCAGGTCACTGCTGATAGGAACCAGGATTTCATCATGGGGGATTATGTCTACCTGCATTTGCTCTCTATGTGATCAGTTTTTACTGTGTTCATCCAAGCTTGACTGCGAACCTGATTTAAAAAAAACTGAAGCACTTAAACTAAAATGCAGACCCGAGGGTGCAGATTAGAAACTGTTTTTTGTTGCATTAATACTAAAGTAGAGAGAAGATTCAAAAACAGTGAAATACTGTAAATGTTTTTCTATTACCTGTTGGGTATCTTCTTCATAATTTAAATGAGCTTTATTGACATGAAAGTCAGAACATAATTGCCAAAGCAAAAACAATATTACACATTGAAAATAGACATGAAATGGTTAATCACAGGTCAATAAAAACAGAGCGTGGATCAAACAGCTCCTCTGTGTTTGGGCTCAAACTGCGAGTGTGGGGCCCTCAGGTCGTGACGGACAGAAACATACTGAGCTGCTGAAGGAGTTGTTGGTCCTTCACCCTTGGAGGACTGACAGCTTCTCCTCAGGAGGTAAGGTTAGGAAATGTATGTTTTGATGGGTTATTAAAAAAAGTGCATTTATGCTTCCACTTCCCCTGATGAACTGTGAGCATAGACCTGTTTTTCCTGAAGCAGCCATGTTTGTCTGTTTGTCTGTTTGTCTGTTTGTTTGTTTGTTTGTTTGTTTGTTTGTTTGTCTGTTTGTTTGTTTGTCTGTTTGTCTGTTTGTCTGTTTGTTTGTTTGTTTGTTTGTTTGTTTGTTTGTTTGTTTGTTTGTTTGTTTGTTTGTTTGTTTGTTTGTTTGTCTGAGTTGTCTTGTTTCTATGACTAGTTGGTGGTCACTGAGCCTGTATCTGGATCAGTCTCTGTTATCTGTCTGTGGCAGAGTGTAGATATTCAGACACCTTAGACTCATTCTTAATGGATAAATAAAAGTTTAGTCCACTTTGGGATTTGGTTTCTGTATGAACCATTTTATCTATATTTTTGTGGGGTTTTGTTTTGTTACCTGCACAATCACCACAAGGGGCACTTCAGGTGAATGGGCAGGTCAACGCTACAAAGGGGGCACAGGTGAAGCAGTGATCTGGGGAAAGGAAGAGCACGCTGTTTTTAGCGCTAATCGCTGACACCGCTCTCACCCTCGTCACGTACATCACCAGCGTCGTAAATTGGATGTATCTGTCCTTTTTTTATTGGTTTTTCATTTAATCAATAAATGGCAAAAATATAACTCAACAACAACCTTGGATTGGACATAGGATTGTAGTAGAAGCACATCAAAAACACCTCACTCCCGCACCCAGACAGTGACTAAAATTCAGGTCAGCATAGTCACTACAGTTTCTTTTGCCCAGTGATCTAAATATAACTCTTTTGATTTGTTCATAATTTGTATGACCGAGTACTGTTTGCTTTCCCTTGTATGTAAATGTCTGTTTTTGAACATTTAAGTCCCTATAGCTAAAAAATACCATCAGATACGAGAACATGTGTTATTTAATCAGGTCGGGGTACTTAGCATCGACTCCGCTGACAAATGTGCTCCGCTGGAACAGATTTGGTCACTGTGCAGGTTTTAATTTTGTCTGTGACATTTTAAGCGTGTTCCCAGTATTGACCGCACAGATTGTGTTCCTGCTGCAGGGGATTAAGAAAACTCAGTCACATGTGTCCAGTGCTCTTTCAATAGCAGAGAGAGAATATGGAAAACAATGCATCCTTGTTTGGTCTGATAAATGGAAAACTCCTGTTTGGGAGGAGGAAAATGTTCAGCCATGTTGAAATTTTCATGAATACTATGAGGATGTTGTAAGGGATTGAGTTTTGCCACAGTGCCACAACAAGTTGGCATCGCTCTGATCTTGAAATGCCCTCTATCTAAAACTCGAGCATCTGTCTGCTGTGTGCAACACAGAGATGTGGGTTTCATGCAGATGAGGCAGCGTGAGGTGAGGTGTTGCTATTTTTGTGAAAACTAACTCTTTGGTGTGGTGCTGAAAATAGATGTTTGAGGGAGAGGTGTAATTTATCTCAGCATGAGGAGGATGACGACAGAAGAGAGAGAGAGTAGACAGACAAACCTGGAGTGCTAAACAAAGACTCGTCTGATACCTCAGCTAGGTCAGAGCTTGATGCACCGCTGCTGCAGGAGGATTTATTTCCTGCAGCTTGTACTTAAATCAAAATAGTAAAAAAATGTGGGAACTTTTCAACATAAACACTTGAAGAGTTATACATCAGTCGCCTTCTATCTGTGTGAAATCTCAGCATGCTCTGGCATCATAAATTCAGGCTGTTTTCTCATTCTTAACGGCGCACCACGCTGTCCAAACTTTTGAGTCATTTTTCAGCTCCGATGATACTTTTATGACCAAACTGAAATGGGCTGTGTAGGCTTTCAGTGTGAAGGCAATTCACACGGATATTAGAGAACACAACTCACCATCGCAACCAGTAACAACAACTTTGTATGAGTGAGCATGAGTGGTCTTGATAGAAGTCAAGGACTCTGGGTGAAGTTGTTTTCCATTATTCATTTTAATGAATTTGAATGTTTGTGGTGGGTGATACATGGAGTCAGATTTTAACCCTCTAATGAAATGGATAGTCAGCTACAACTGCCTCTCATTCTTTAAAAGAGAAGGATGAAGTGATTATAAACTGCTTTGTTGTGACGTTAAAATAAACATAAGCAAAAAGGAGTTTCTCTTCAGTCTCCGTCTGGATCAGGAAAGATAATGATTAAAGATAAACTAAAGAGAGTGAAAAAAACAAAAACTCTACATTAAGGGATTTTATATTCAAACCACCTTCAAAAATCAAGAGACAAATTCAGTTTAAGCTGCTTGTTCAGTGTTGATACTAAGGAGTAGACATGAATACAGATAATGCAGCTTATATTGTTCTCCCAAAAGACTTAATCGTCATATTCAGTTTTGTTGATCTGCAACATTTGACTGGAGTAAAAACCCAAACTACGACAGAGGATCAGAGCCGAATCAAGACAAGGAAAGAATTATGACTAAAAGGTTAAAATCACAGATTTATGGGAGAGAAGTCGCACAATTACAAGAAAGTCTTTATTTCTTATAAAATGAAGTCATGGAAAAAGAAAAGTTGCTTATCAATGTGAATTGCACCATATATTTATGAGACTAATGTATTAAATCTTCCAGGTTGTTATTACAGGCCAAGGATAATGTATGTAACAACATACAGAGTGATAACAGGAGAGCAGCCAGCCGCTGCCTGAACTAAAATGAAGCCCATGATTCATCTTGTGAAGTTCAAGTCAACAGCAGAGGACAAACAGCGGCTGTAGAAGTGTGCACAGGCAGCCCGACTTTCTTCATATTCATCCAAAAAACTGTTTTTATATTTCAGAATCCTGATACTCTGGACAATGTGATGATGTGCTTTAAAACATCTATGTCCCTCATTCCAGTTCAGGCAGCCGGCTGTGCCTCTGACCCTCCCATTCAAAATAACATGAGGCCCATTCGAGACCTAAAATTATGACCTTTTCTTATATAAATCTACAACTTCATTCTTTCTCTCAAAATCTCATCATTTTTATCTACAAGTTAACTCAAATACTCCAGCGTATAAAGCTGTCACATGTGATAGACAAAGTTACTGTTGATCCCTAAACCAAGAGGATGTAATTTTAATCGTGTCACGCTTTTTTATTGTCAATTCTTGCCAAATGTGTTGGACGCACACAAGGATCCAAAAGAAGGTGTCTCTCCCGCCGCGGTGCAAAACAGTACAGATAAGAATAAATAGAAAACACACATCGACACACACGTGTGTATCTGCATTGTGTTGTTTTGGCATAGTGGGATTCTCTTAAAGGTTGACCTCTCTTTGTTCTAATAAACACGTAGCAGTGTGATATTGGTTTCCCTGTCTCTGATTACACATTGCAATATGGCGTTGTAAAAAACACAAGAGGCTCTGCATGTAATCAAACAGCAGGGGAACAACAAACTCACACACACACTCACACTCCTCATATAGTTGCTGTGAATAGAGATGCGAGGTGAGGAATACAACAATCTTTTACACCAGGTTGTAAACATGTTTGATTAAGCTGTAACAATCAGACTTTTACTGGAGTCTTTGGCCTTTGGAGTCAGCGATAAACGGACACTCGAGGAAATGCAGTTTTCAGCACCTCTCCATCATCGCCTTCCTTTTCCAAGACCTGAGGTTGCTGTTTGGTAGTGACAGATTTAACACCGTAGAAGAAAATGCATATTAAGCTCTGGTGAAGATGGTGCAGGATTGTTACTTAATCAAAAAACAACTGACACCCAGATCTCACACAGGAGAGCTAAACGAAAGCAGAAGGGGAGAGGGCGAAAGGACAATGCAGAAATTTCCACAGAGAAGGAAATAGAAAAGGATGAGGTTAGTGTAAAATTATTGTTAAATCATTACTTTAGGAGCTCCTTAAAGAAACATACGATCTATTCCCATAAGAGTAAATGTATGAAGAGCGTTGGGTTTTGTTTTAATAAGTCACACAAAGTTTAGTGTCTTATCCTGAGAAATGGATTGTGTCACTCAGTCCATCATCAAAAACTGTTGTGTTGCAGAAGAGTTATTGTTCATCAGTCATAAAGACTCATTCTTGCTTGTGGCAAATGAAGGGAATCTGATAAAGGCTCTGGAGAAGTCACAAAACAAATTCACAGTGGGTTTGTTTGTGCCTCCTCTCGGTGTGGGTTTAACAAACCTTTATTTTGTTTGTGCTTCATCAGCCGGATGTGTTAGGATTCAGGGAGGAAGGAAACACGATTGGCTTTCTGTGTACATCGGTGCATGGATTTGTTTAATCACATCAAGGTGTTTCTCTCACGCTGTCGCCCACGTTTCAATAACTCAGATTTTCATTTGGCTCAGATCTAATTTCAGAGTTGGCAGCGGGACTACGAGAAGTATTGACAACAGCGGTAACAAAAGCCTCACCGCAGGTAGAGGACTGTGTTTGGTGCATTACCTGCTCAATAACTGTCTCACCGATCACGCTGTGTTTGCAGTAGAGGACGGAAAGGATCACTATGTGGAGGAGTCAGAGGCGACCACGTGTGAGACCAGAGCAGACGAGTCATTTCTGCTTCGAAAGCCGACTATCACACGGGCCAAATTAGAAGCTCGCACAGACTCAATTCAGGTACATGTCCTGCAGTAATCCATAATTATTGACACGATGTTAAAAACGTGCTTTTGCGGCTGATATTCAGCATCCTCACCATATAATTTACACTCTTTATTTCTACAGGGAAAGAACCGAGCCGGATCCTCTGGACTGTTCTTCCGAGATGGGAAGAAGCGTATTGACTACATCCTGGTTTACAAGAAGTCCAGCCCTCAGGTGGAGAAGAGATGCACCTTTGAGAAGAATTTGCGAGCCGAGGGTCTCATGCTCGAGAAGGAGGTAAAATCAATCGCTTTGATTTGATGGCACTAAGCTTGTTTCTACAAAGTAGCCCTAAAATAATCCTGTTTACTTATAATCTTACAGCCGTCCTTGACAAACAATGACATTATGTTTGTGAAGATCAACGCCCCCTGGGACACACTTTGCAAATATGCAGAGCAGATGAACATCCGGATGCCTTTTAGGTAACAAGACGTAGAGAAAGAGATTAAACACTTAACTCAGGTGAAAGTTTGCCTTTTGGTTTCTTCTCTCAGCTTCTCTAACTTGTCTTTTGTTCTTTTTCAGGAAAAAATGTTACTTTACAGACTGGAAGAGCAAAACTCTGGGCAGGTAAGTGGATTTAGGGTGTAAGATATTTATCTCTATTGCTCTCTCTGGGGTAAGACGCTGGATGCTTCAGTGTCTCTAATGAAATTCACAGGGAACACAGCTGCGAGGCTTTAGTCTTAATGCGTGCAGAGAATTGTTTTCGGTTGATGGATAAGTCACTTCAGTTTAAAGGGCAAACAAGTCCGATTATCCTTGTCCTTTTTAATCTGATTATTGAGTGAGTGTCAGTAAGGCCAGGAGGAATAAAGCCAAGACTTAAGCAAATACTTAAAGGTATTAAAATTCTACAATCATCTTATGGGCTTATATACGTACTATCAAAATATACAATACTAAAAAGTTGTAGTCTTTTAAAAACCATTTTCTCTGGAGCAGATGATTCCCCCCTTTACAAATACAGGCGCTACATTGTTTCTGAAAAGGTGTTCATTAAACTTTCCAACCGCAGCCTCCTACACGCCAGGCACATTGTTAAGAGTACAATACAACACGTCTCCCACACTGACAGTACTATTCTATAAAATATGTGTAATCCTTCAGTCATATGGAGCTGCACTGTCTTATTTTAAGGCTATTTTTAGAGAGACACTCCTCCACTTTGATATGATTTCCAAGCTCTGCACACAGCACTCCAAATTTCCATCCAGTTTTCTCACAGAAAAAAACAGCAATGCAGATGGATTACTGACAGACATTAAAAAAGCATCTTTGAATTTGAAGATTTTTGGCTTATTTATGAAAGGCTGACAACATTTCTATAAACATTTCTTTCTTTTTTGGAAAGGCTTTTTCAACTAAGATCTTATTTATGAACTTGACATTGCAGGACTGCAGGAATCTGTCATTTTAATAGGTTTGCTGAAAGAGTCGTGTACAAATGAAAAAAAGCTCAATTGGTTCAGGGAGTTGGGATGAGGTCACTGGTGATGCCAAGTCAAGACAGTATTGCTATGCTAGTATGCCAGCATATTACCAGCATCAGTTAAGGAAGGGACCATAGACTGTATATACTATGGATAACTTGATTCAGTCTATGGAAGAGACAATGAAACAATGGATTTAGAGCAAAAATCATATTGCCGTAGTTTGACAGTATACCCATTGTGAGAGGCTTTCAATCTGAAGCAGAGGCACTTCTCGGCTTTGTTTCTTCCTCCAGTAATAAGAGGCAAATGATGTTTTATGAAGTGTGATGTTTAAGTTTTTAATGAGTTGCTGACAGAAAGTGAAGCATGATAACAGCGGTCTGAGCTGAAGGGCTGACTTTTCACTGAGGAGCAAACATGGAGAGACTCGTTTCTTCAGTCCTCTTGCTCTGTTCAAACAGAGCTTATTAACGAGGATAGGTGTGACCTGACAGAGACAGACTTAGAGCTTGTTTCAGCATTGAACTATACTTCGCCATGCTGATTAACAAACTGTATTTCAAAAACTATTGTTTAACATTATAAGTAGGAAGACAAACAGTGAATTGACTCAACGTTGACTGCATCAAGATCGCGGACAATGTCCAATATATTTATTTTCCCTGTAACATTTCTCCAAAATTTTATATCATGCTTTCAGGACAAAAACACCTCCACACACACACACACACACACACACACACACACACACACACACACACACACACACACACACACAGCAGACAAAAACCTCAAAGATAACAGTCACTCGCCCACCTGTCCAACTGTGAACAGGCACTTTTAAATCTTGTGTAAGAGGAATCTTAGTCACTGTGAACAATAGGGACCATTATTTTTGCCTCTGTGCTCCTGCAGTCTTTCACCGAGCTCCTGCTCCAGAAAGAAAAATCTGCTAAATGAGCTTTATGTGTTTGCTAATGGTCTGTCACTAAATCACGTCCCGCTAAAGCTGAACAAATCGCCTGTGTGCAGGAGGTGGCAGCTTGCTGGCTTTGATATCATTACTTTCTGTTCGGTACCTGTCCTCCTCATAACAACATTTGTAAAACGTCCTTCGACAACAGCATATTTTTCCTCCGAAATCCCATTTATATTCATTCAATCCATATTGAAGCACAACCCAATATATTAGAGACCTCTTACAGAAGCATCAGGCAAACATTACCCTGCTAGATGACTTGTGGTCCCCAGAGCTGTTTTTCTTATTCTGTTGACTGATCATCTCCTACTACTGCAAAATATCTCCACAACTGTGAGACAGATGGGCATGAATAGTCCTTCAACACAATTTTATGATCTCTCATAAATTATTCCAAGACAGTTTTAGTCCGCTTCTTTCTGGAATGGAATTATTATTCCAGACATCTCACAAAAAAAAACGTATAAAAACCCTGACAGTTCCTCTAACGCCATGATGAAATGATGTTGGTTTCTTTTGTTGTTGTTTTTTTCACACCAATGCCTCAACTAATGTTTGAATTTTTGGTACATACACTGGTGTTATGTAATTGGATTTTAGATTGTAAAGTCTACAGGCAAAAGGCATCTGACAAACCTGTGTTTTATTACTGATCAGCAACTATCAATCAATCGATCTTTATTTGTATATCACTTTTCATATTTATACACAGAAGAATACAAAAGAAATAAAGAATACCCAACCCTACCTGAATCCATCCCTACCTCCTCATCCCAACCCTGCAATCTAAATATAACAGTGGGAAGTTAAAAAGTGTTTTGAGTGGTCAGACAAGAGAGCTGAACAAGATCAAACTTGGTCTCAAAGTCTATTTTGTAAAAGCAGGAATATCCGCACTGAGGAAAAGCCATCTTAAAATTCAATATGAGGAAACACTGGAGATTAGGTTAAAAATCTAACAGTTACATAAAATGATAACACATTCAAGTGAAATGAAAAAAGAACAAAAGATATTAAGATAAGAGCACCAAAATAGCTCAGTGAAACTATATACAATAAGTCAAAACCACATTAAGAGAAAAGGGTAAATTACGAAAAGACAATTCTGGGGTTAAAACTAGAGAGATAAAAGCTAAGACACTCAAACAAAATTTAGTTAAAGATAAAAATTTAGTTAAGTCAATGTCAAGTGAGTCAATGTTTGATTTTTTTGCTTGTTTCCTCTTCTCCTTCCTCTGGTTTTTCCACATCTTCTTAGTGTAACACAAATCTGTGGTGGAAAACTAAATATCTAATAACTTACTAGAAAACTGAAAATAAGTCATAAATATCAGTAACTTTCCACCAGTTCCTCATCAATCCTTACAGACAAATGAAATTATTATTGGTCTGATACTGATACAGTAACGCAGTAATGTGATAGGGTTGAATAAGGTTAAAGTTACAGTTATAAATATACGTACTCCTCACTAGGGTGATCATACTTTCAAGCCCCCGTGTGGGTACACTTTAATTCAGTCGTGAACCCACAGTGAACTCGTGGCACAATTAAAGTTCTAATCAGTGTATTTTTACCTCCAGCCTGTACCCACCATTTGTGTTTGCTCATTTTATTACTGCTGCTATGTATTTCATCAGTTTCACTGTGGGCATTTTGCACACTTGCAGTGCTGAAAATTTGTTGCCTTGTACTTTTAGAATGAAGCTATAGCTGCCCTGGAGCTCTTTGGAAATTGCAGACTTCTTTTTTGGCATCACAGGTAGCCTGTCTGAGGTTATGCAGCAGGTCCTGTCAGTATGATAAACCGCGCTGGCTAGACAACAGCAACGTGCGAAGATTAACTGACAGATGTAGAGACAGAACAGCAACAGCTTTGAGGATGACAATGACTGACACAGACAAATCAGTGCTGCAGAAATGCTACGCTGATTTGGTGTCTCAACCCAAAACTGGGACAGGGATTACTCCAAACTGGACACAGCGTATTAGTGTTTCATAGATTTTTGCTAGGACTAAGGGACACAAAGCTTAAAAACGGAATGGTCCTGGTCACTCCTCGCTCACCTTATCGGAATTTGTTGGATGCTTGGGGTAGCTCTGTCTCAATAGCTTCTCATTTAGCATAAAGTAGAGCCTTATATCGCTCCAGATTCACATCATCCATTACCTTTGTGAGTTTTGTGTTTTCTGAAGTACTTGCTGCCAGATGTTAAAGGTCTAAGGAAAATTGTCACCTTTTGAAAATGGTTGATTCTTTCTTTTTTAACAAAAACCTGTGAAACCTACTTCAGATGTGCTCAGTGTTAAGTGCTGATGAGCACATGTTAGTATGAAACACTCTAAACTTAGATGACAAGAAAGGTTAACAGATCAGCTAATGTGCGTTATGATTGACATTTTTGGCATATTAGCATGATGTTAGCATTTAACTCAAAGGACAGTTAAACATAACACAGTTATACAAAACTGCTCACATAGCTATGCGTGAAGTTAATTTCACGTTAGTATAAAATTTAATCTAGATAACCAATGCATGCCCTTAGATTTCACCCAGTTCTTAAATCATGCCTAAAATATTAAAAAGAGATTTATCCATTGAGTTGGATTTAGTAAGCTGTTATCCTGAATCTGTGACCTCCAGCCTCACATGAGGCATAAGCGGCATGAAAATTAAAAAGTATGCAGGACACTGAGTGCATCAGGACGTGTGTCATTGTGTGTGTTGTACAAGCATTTCTGGGTTATTTTAGGGCAAAAAAGGTTAGGGGCCAATGTCCAATATGAAAGGAAACAATCTTCCTGATAATCTGTGTCGTTAATCCTGTTTTTCTGTGTCCTTGCAGCAGGTTTCATCTGAGATGTAGACAGATAAAAAGCTGGCTTCCCAGAAATCCTATGCAGCTGGACAAAGAGGCCTTGCCTGACCTGGAAGAGACCGACTGCTACACAGCTCCATTCAGCAGAGCACGAATGCATCAGTAAGCAGGACGTATATACGGTTATGCGTTGCACCACAGAAACTCACTCACATGAACTGAATGAACAGCAGAGTATCAGCAGTGTTGAGCTGATGTTTATCCCTCACATCCATTTTTGTCCTGAGCTGGTGTACCCGCTGATGAAATCCACATCAAAGCTGAATAGTATACAACTCATGTATATTTAATGACATAAAGTCAGATAAAGATGAGCTGATCATGAATAAGAGATTGAAATGCAGCAGCAGATGCTCATAAAATCATTAGTTTTTTCCCCTAATTTTCAGCATCTCTTTGATGAACAGCATCAGTAATTCCATTTTCACTCACTTGCCAGATTCGACCTTTTTTTAGGAAATAATGATGCAGGGATGAGCAGAAACTTTAAACACCACAAGTTTTGATGTGAAACTTATGAGATCATTATCTTTGAAGGCTGTGACTGGATAATATCGACATACTGCTGCATGATGAATCTCTGAACCACTGTGCTATCACTTTCCTCCCAGCTTCACAATCAACAATAGAGAGACGTTCTTTTCCAATTCGACCAGGAGCAGAATAGTTCATCACGTTCTGCAGCGCACAAAGTACGAAGATGGAAAATCAAAGATGGGTGAGGCGCAGCAGCTGCTTCTTTGTCTTCTTGCTTGTCACAAACAATATTTCTAGATGTGTCACACCAGTGGAAACAGATCCCATGCTTATTTACACATGATGTACATCAATCCATGATCTATAGCAGTTTTTATACTGAAAAGGGCGAATGTCATCGATCTGTTTCTCAGTTAAATAGCTCTTTTAACAGAGTTTAGCAGAAGACTTCTCAGAATGATCCATTTTAACTACAGGCAAAGAGTGAAGACAGAAAAGACAATAAAGCATGATTGCTCTGTCTGTTTTTCTTTCTCTGTGTCTACTATCTCACTGCTTAAACCATTAGGGGGCACGAGTAACAGCCAATAGATTTAACGGTTAATTTGACTGTAGAGAGTGATGGTAACCTGGTGGGAGTTGTTATGCTTTTGTTTGTGGTTTTTGCTGTAGAGTAATTAACTTGTGAACTCCTGCTGATTATATCCTCCAACTTATGGCTGATTCCTCTTCTCCCCTCTGGCTGTTGTTGTTTTCTTTCTTCCTTAGTTTCCAACTGCAGTTACCTTACTTCGTGTCCACTATCTTTTCTGACTGCTGGCGACATGTTTCGCTGATTAAAGTTTGGCGTTGAATGTCGGGGAATGGATTTCACATTAATATTTTAGTGCTGTTGACCACTCTACTCTCCAACAAATAAGATCAGCATGGCATCAAGAGTGGAAAATACAAAGTCAATCCACTCCTCTTTTTCCCCTGAGCTCACTGTCTACTGTTTCAGTCACTGCAAATGAACACGCTATTGTCCTGTGTGATTTATCGTACAGTTCAACAATGATACATTTGTTGTGATGAGAACATATTTCAGTAACACTTTACTTGACACCTATCTATATAACGCATTATAAATGTATGTATAATGCATTATAATCACATTATAGCACTGTATAACTATAGTTATTAACACTTATAAATGATCATGAGGCTTTATAGCAACAATCATAACACAAATGTCAGGTATTATAATGTGTTTTAACTGTTAACAACTCACTGACAATGCCCACATTGATAATGCATTATACATATATTTATGATGTGTTATAATTTGCTTATAAACTTGTATAACTATCATTATGAACACTCATTAATTTTTTTATAAGGCTGTATAACAATAAGCAAAACACATTATAATACCTGACCTTGTAAGTCATGATAAAATGCTTTATAATGTGTTGTGATTATTGCTATAAAGCATTATGATCATTTATGAGTGTTTATAACTGTAGTTATACAGTGCTAAAACGTGATTATAATGCATTATAAATATATTTATAATGCGTTATAGAGATAGGCGTCAAGTAAAGTGTTACCTATATTTCAATAAAGTAGTTGGTCTGCTCAGACTAAAGGGTTGTTTTAAGGGCTTAAATATTTAAAAGCCTCTAATGTGTTTGTCTGACAGACATTGAAGATAAATGCAGTAAACATAATGAGTGTGGAAATAGGTTGAAAAAATAAATAGCCAACTGGAGCTTTCTTTTCATTATTATTGCTACTTTCTTGAGCATCATTTTACATGAAGTGGTTTATTTTACTGCAGGTATCAACAGGCTCTTGGGCAACAACACGTATGAGGCTGCTTTTCCTCCTCATGAGGTGAGAAGAAACACATTTAGAGACTCACAAACTGGGATCTCCTTCCAGTTGTGTAAGTTTCTTTACGCTCTGTCTCATCAGGGTGGTTACAAGAGCAGACATCCAATCAAGACTCATGGAGCCCAAAACCACAGACATCTTCTGTATGAGCGCTGGGCCCGCTGGGGCATCTGGTACAAATACCAGCCTCTGGACCTCATCAGGTAATCAGATATATCAGGGATTCTGATCACAGCATGTTTCCTGAACTGATGGAGTTACTCTGACAGCTGAGGGGAAGTCACTCAACAGCTTTGTTTTTTTGTTTTGTTGGTTTATCACCAGTAAAGAAAAGATCTCGCAGTAACAAGAAATAGTTTGACATCTTTTGGAATCACTTTTGATGGGAAAATCAATACTGCTGTCAAGAGCCGGATCCCAGAGGCTATAAGCCAAACTTTGTTTAAATCACATTTATAAATCCAAAATGCGCCCCCTCTGCAACCGAACATCTTCTCTTGAACCGATGTGTGTAATCTAACTTTAGATCAGGGCGGACGAGCACATCTTCAACAGTTTCTACTTTTATTCCAAGCTGGGCTAGTTGCCATCAGAAAATGTAGCTCTGTTTTAGGACCCTCTTAAGATCTTAATGTCGGCTTCATTTATCAAAACATTGATTTATAAAAAGAAGATAAAGACAGGGAGGTGGATTTCCTACTTATTCCTTATATTTGCTTTTATTACAGACACCATGTTTGCGTCAGTCCTCATCCTGACACCAGGATCCACTGTTTCTAAACTTGTCCCTACTCAACACTGCACACAGACTTGGAAGTTAGCTGATTCCTCTGATCACAACTGAGCTGCTTTACATGAGCAATTATAAAAGCCATATATTACTTTAAGAACCCGTGACAGCTGTGGTTACAGAAGCAGTTATCGATTAATTTCCCGCCACAGAATTATACTTAGTGACCTTTTGGGTGTGCAGCCCACTGATCCATTGCTCAACCACAGACACTTCTCTGCAGCCACACCCATGAATAATCTTAAATTATCTGTAAACAGTTAATGGATGATCTCTAACCACTTTGGTTCTCTCTTAGGAGGTACTTTGGTGAGAAAATTGGTCTGTACTTTGCGTGGTTGGGCTGGTACACGGGCATGTTGATCCCTGCTGCTCTGGTTGGTGTTTTCGTCTTCCTCTATGGTCTCTTCACCATGGACTCTAGCCAAGTCAGGTGAGCCAAAATGACCTGCGTTATTAAGTAAGTATAAGAGTATCAGGTCTTCATCTTTTATTTGACTTCCTGATATTTTGTTGTAACAGTAAAGAGATTTGCGAGGCCAACACTACCATCATGTGTCCTATGTGTGAGGACACATGTGAACCCTGGACGCTGAGTGACAGCTGTGTCTACGCTAAGGTCAGTTTAGTTCTGTTGAGTATTATTAATCCTATTACTCTTCTCAAATTTTTCTCCTTAGACTTGTTACGTGTATTTTAAGGTTCAAAACCCTCTTGACCTGTTAAACTGGAGAGTTATCAAGTGTGCTTTGGTGTTCATTGAAACCCACTAGAGTTTTTATCAACTACAAAGAAACAAGAGTGGATGATCGACCAGTGAAATTCGATTCAAGACTGTTGGTTTTAAAATAATCCAAAGTTATGTCAAGTTTCGCTGCTAACGCCTCGATTTTAGAGAGCATTTATTCAGCTCAACTTCGTCTTTCTGTGTTTCTAGGTGACCCATCTGTTTGATAACGGCGGCACTGTCTTCTTCGCTATCTTCATGGCTATTTGGGGTAGGTAGAGGCTGCCTATGTTGTCCTTGTTCCCGATCTTGTGTGCACTTGTTGTTTTACAGCTACAGTGTTTTCAGCTCGACACAAGCCCTTCAGGAATTCAAATCTATTTATACGAAACTCTGTCAGTGCTCAAGCTTCTGCTCTGAGCTCCACTCCTCCAAACACATTAAGCATATCAACCGAGAATTCAGTCCAGTAAACACTCTGCTGTATGAAAATATGACTTCTCTCTGTGCTTCATTTGTCAGTGAAAGCATGGTCAGGTTTCTCTGACTGAATGTCCAGGGCTGTCCTGATGTAATTAGCCAGATTATTAAACATTAATCCAGAGGGAGACGGTATCACTGAGCTGTCAGGGTTGCTGAATTGCACCATGAAAGAGTTATATTGCAGCTATGGTCCCCTCAGCTATAATATGATCGTAATATAGAGTGTGAGTATTATTCTGCAGCATCTGGCCCAGGTCCATTTATCTGCCAGCTTGGTAAACAATCACCTGAGCCCAGAGGGAGCACTTGGCACATTGTGTTCCGTGTACGGGCTAAATGAAGGCCAAGGATAGCTGGAGAGCTGAGGGAGGTCCAGCCAGCCTGGCTAACTGAGGTCTGTGGCTCCAAAACCTTCATGAAGGCTCCAGGCAATGTGGACCGAAGTAGCAGTACTGCACCACTCAGTGAGCGCACTCTAGGTCTGCTCAGTGTGAGCGTGTGTGAGCGAGATAGAGATGAAAAATTGGTAAGCCTAAGGGACTGAATGTAGGCATCAGAGGAGGCTGCTTTCCTCTCACTTGAAACAAAAGTGGGTCGAGCTAAATTCAACTAAAACATCTTCAACCGCAGTCGGAGTTATGCTGACTGAGGATCGACGTCGTCGTCGTGCTTTTTAAGGTCATCATTTCCTAATGTGCCCCAATTTTTTCTTCCGTAAGGAGTAATTTTATTCTATTTTTCCATTGATTAAAAACCACATGCTTTGCTGCCACCAACAATCAAATCCATCAGCAAAGAACCAACTGAATATTGAATGAGGAGCAGCATTGAATTGAAGCCAACACGACTCCTTTACTAATTATTTTCCTTTCCCTTCCTCAATATCTAAGAGCATTTAAGAGCACACAGCATCCTCTGAAAAATATTAGCTCGGACATTTTGTGTTCATCAAACTCATTAAAATATTTTCATGAAAATCCATAAAAATCCACTGTAGCCAAAGGTGGTTTTGTGGATTTCTCTGTTTTGTCTGCCAGCCCAAAACCTCATTACTGATATGACTGAAAACCCAACCTAGCTCAAATCAAAAAGCACATTTGTGAAATTAAATAAAATCACAACAAAAGACTAAGGGCCTGTGTCCTTGAACTGTGATCTTTTTTGTGCACTGACACAACCCTGATTCCCCTAACCCTAAAAACAACCACAACAGAAGACACATGCACATTAATACATTTATAATGACAAGAAGTATAAGAATAAAACAAAAATAGAGGGAAAAAGACAAACAGAATAATACTAAAAGTGTCTGATAATTTAAGATAAGCTAGCTTTAACTGAATGGCATTGAACTGATTTTACAGCAGCAGCTTCATTAAGGTGCTGAGGAGTTCTCATGTGAATAAGAAAAATTCAGGAACGGCCACAACAAAGTTTCAGTCTTTACTTTACCGCTGGGACCGCAGGTTTGTTGTGGGGATCCGGTTAGTCAGCCTAATTTTATAACTGCAGCGCAATACTGCAGAGGATCAGCCAAACATAAAGTTCAATTTCATTTTTCACCTAAAAAAAAATCAATGAAATCTTAAAAACAATCCCCATATAGACAAGAAGTCAACGAAGAGGCCAAATTTATGTTAGGATACGAGTTTCCTGTCAGGGATGCTGCAAGCTGCAGGATTTCATCTGAGCTGAGTACCCTGTAGTTCTACTTGGAAAATATTTTATTAAGTTTTTTTTTTCAGGTTTCTGCTCATGTAATGAACTTTAATATGTGAGTCATTTCTGATTTATTTAAGGAGCTGTACAGCACTGACCGATTTCTCCTGCTACAAGAGCACACATGTTACATGTATGTCTAATGAGAAGTGACAAAAGGGCTGAATCAGTGGTCTGCAGCAGTTTTCAGCTTCTGTCCATCATACAGCAACATGATTACACGGCTCTTTCCCACTCATCTTCTTCTCCACAGACATTAACCCCGTTAGTGTTGGTTCTGAGCTGAGTATGACACACAACTTTTCACACAGTCCTCCTTCTTTCTAGTTTAATGTTTCTGCTTTAAATCAGAGCACACAAAACTTTCAGACAGAGAGAAGATTACCAACATTATTCTTGTTGTAGTGTGCCGCTTGAGTCACAAAAGTGCCGGACACAAAGGAAACAATGCATCCAGCTTTGCTTTTGAAGCCCCTCAACATAAAATGGATCTTGTCTGAGAAAGACCGGATTTACGGGCTGAAACATTTTGTGCGTAAAGCCTATTTGTGTTGCCACTTTCCTTTAACTTCACAACAGACCAGAGAGCAGCCAGTGAACTGGTGGCTGTGATCACTCACCATAATGGGCTGTTTGTGTCAGGTGTGATAAGGTGTTTGGTTCTGCAATGTGTTCACACTTAATGCCCCGCTGTCCAGCACATAAATCTCAATCTTTCTTTGTGTTACAAATCAAAGATGATCAATAATGTGATTGATACCTGATCCCCTCTGCAGCCACGGTATTCCTGGAGTTCTGGAAAAGGAGGAGGGCAGAGCTGACATATGACTGGGACCTCATTGATTGGGAAGAAGAAGAGGTGCGTCAGCATTATTAGTCAATAGATCTGATATTTGATTGAATCATTTGATCTAAGGTCCCATATGGCACTTCTTCTCGATTTTTCCCTGCTCATGTGATATGAAAGGATTGATTTTTTTTTTGTGAATCAGGAGGAGCTGAGGCCTCAGTTTGAAGCCAAATACTCAAGGATGGAGAGAGTGAACCCCATCTCTGGCAAACCTGAGCCTTTCCAGCCGTTCTCAGATAAACTCAGCCGGCTCATGGTGTCTGTGTCCGGAATATTCTTCATGGTAAACCCTCTGATCTCCAAATAATCTGACCCCCTTTTGGGATTTAGGATCAGAGTGAGATCACCATTATTTTCGTGCCACCTTTAGAGTGTTTGTGATGTGCCAGCAGCAGCTTAACACTGCCCCCTGCTGGATAAAAGATGTACTAGGAGGAAAAATTGTGAATTTGGCCTCCTGTGATGGACTTACTGTCTCTGTTTACTGATCAAATGTAAAGATGATTAATGCTCATCCATCTCACTAAATTCATTAGGAGTGTGTTTTGACTCAGGCCTCTTTTGCTAAGTGTCAATCTGCTCTTTGAACAAGTAACTCATTGAGTCCTTTCTGCTTCCCTGTCCAGATTTCCCTCGTTCTCACAGCCGTGTTTGCTGTGGTGGTTTTCCGACTCATCGCCATGGAGAAGTTTGCGTCTTTCAACTGGTATTTCGTGAAGAAGAACTGGCAGTTTGCCACCTCTGGCACCGGCGTCTGCATCAACTTCATGATTATTATGTCTCTCAATGTGGTGGGTGTCTGGACAAGTACCATTTGGCACATTTACGTACTCTGTCCAACAAATGTGTCATGCAACATTTATTTAGAAACATGTTCCAAGTACTGTTATAGCTACAGCCAGGCATATTTTTTTTTGCTGTGATTTTTCTTTCTCGTGATCTTTACCCTCCCTCCTTATTTTCGCTGTTATCTCTCAGGTTTACGAAAAGGTGGCGTATCTGCTGACAAATTTAGGTGAGTTTATATCTTTATTGTTTACAAACCTTCTTTATCTCTCACTTGGCACATATTTATTCCCTCCCTTGTCCACTAAATACCCTCCCCCCCACAGAGCACCCACGGACAGAGTCTGAGTGGGAGAACAGCTTTGCTCTGAAGATGTTCCTCTTCCAGTTTGTGAATCTGAACAGCTCCACGTTTTACATCGCTTTCTTCCTTGGAAGGTAGGCTGACTGCCATGAACTCTTCAGTTCCTGTTTACAGTGAATTTAATGAAAGATTATGCAGGGATTTTTTTGTTTTAAACTCCCATGTCATGGCTGCCAAGACTCTTTTCCCTCCTCTGCGCTCAGTCATGTTTGAGCATTTGCAGAATACTGCTGCGAGACTCGAAGCCGGGGTTTATTAGACACGATTAGCACTTTGAAGTGTCTTATTTTACCGCTCAAACTACATTAGTTTCCAACTGATTGAATTTCACAGCTAATGTTGTCAATCTCATTCTGTTCAGGTTTGCTGGCAGGCCTGGAAAATACAATAAACTATTTAATCGATGGAGGCTGGAGGAGGTGAGTGCAATAAGGCAGCAGCATAAGTGGGCTGATTATTGCTCTCTCTTTCAGGATGAATTTAGATTTTTCATGTGATTCATCTGTACAGTAATCAGTCCGTACATATTATCATACGAAGCATACATCTTCTTATAATTAGCAAGACTGGAAATTTTAATGATCCAAAAACAGAATTTGAGGAAGTGTTACCAGGATTTACTCACGGTCATAGACGATGGATGTCACAGTTTTTGTATTTCATCTGTTATCTCTCAGTGTCACCCGAGTGGATGTTTGATTGACCTGTGCCTGCAAATGGGCGTCATCATGTTCTTCAAACAAATCTGGAACAACTTCATGGAGCTCGGTTTCCCGTGAGTAATACCTAATAATAATCATGTGCGTCTTTCATTATGAGCCATTAGAAATGTCACATCTGGCCCACAATGTTGTGAATTTGGATGATTAGCATATAACAAAACATGATTTTTTTTGTCCTTCGGCTCATTAGCATATGAAAAGGATTTTTTTTTTCCTGCAAAAACACTTCAAATCCTCTTCTCTGAGGCTCTGTAAAAGAGTTCCTGCAGTGCCGCATGCATTGTCAGAAATAATTGCTTTGAGATGACAGCTTGCTACTTGCTACGTTTTCAGTTTGCTGCAGAACTGGTGGTCTCGTAGGAAGATGAAGAAAGGAGGTGGCGGAGGTCAGAATGTGGAGAATAAAGCTCAGCTTCCTCAGTGGGACAAAGACTGGAATCTGCAGCCCATGAATGCACATGGACTTGTGGATGAATACCTTGAAATGGGTAAAATATTAGCCCGCTTTTCAGTTTTATACTTGGCTGAAGGAAAAGAAAGGAAAGTAACATGATGCTCAGTCTTCAGGGTTGTTGTTGCAGGATTTTAAACAGACATCCTCTGAAGTTCATCCAGACATTTCTTTCCTCTACAGTCCTCCAGTTTGGCTTCACCACCATCTTTGTAGCAGCGTTCCCATTGGCTCCTCTCCTCGCTCTGCTCAACAACATCATTGAGATCCGTCTTGACGCTTACAAGTTTGTCACTCAGTGGAGGAGACCCATGCCTGCCCGAGCCACCGACATAGGTCAGCGCGATCTCTGACTGTCAACACCTCCTCCTCCTCCTCTGTGGAGCTTATTTTTAGATCAGAGCCACATTTTCCAGCACAACCAACATTTTCTACCCTATGGAGAAAGATATGTTCCATATCCTTTGAACGTGTGCTGCCATATGCTGCACCTCCCTCCCTCCCACCAGCCCAACAACCTAAACTGCATCCTCAAACTGCAGTATAATATACAGAGGAAATGCTTCTTGTGGCATGTTGCCCTGTAATTAAAGACAGAAGCCCGCCTCAGACATTTACCATTTTTCAGCTTTAATTAACCCATTATGATGTAGTCACACAGAATCAAAGAGCAGAGCCTGTTTGTCAAGTTTGATCACACTGAGGCGAGAAGGATGAGGGAGGATTAAATTTAGCATTTCATTAGCTTGAATAAATTTTATTAAAATGTAGACACACGTCCTGCTATGAATCACTAACAATTAGAGTTGGATAGTTTGACAACATGTCTTCAAACTTCCTTTATAAAGTGTTGAAATGATTAATTTACTCCCTTTGCTTTGTCTGTCAGGTATCTGGCACGGGATTCTTGAAGGAATCGGCGTGCTCGCAGTCATCACCAACGCCTTTGTCATCGCCATCACCTCAGACTACATACCCCGGTTTGTTTATGCCTTCAAATACGGCCCGTGTGTGGACAAGGGACACCACCATGAGGATGAGTAAGCAAGGCAGTCAATGTGTAAGCTCAAGATAAAACCAACAGAGCTGTTTGAGTTTCAGTCTCAGCTTCTTCTTCTTCTCACCCCCAGGTGTTTGCGAGGATACATGAACAGCAGCCTGTCTGTGTTTGACATGAGCAAGCAGAAGAACAGCAGCTATCCTTTTTACTGCAGGTACAGAGACTACAGAGCGCCACCCTGGAGCTCGGTGCCGTATGAATTCACCCTGCAGTTCTGGCATGTCTTGGCTGCAAGGCTGGCCTTTATCATCGTCTTTGAGGTTCGTCTGCATTCTCTAGTTTTCTTTTTTTGTGTGTGTGTGTGTGTGTTTACCAGTTACTCAAGCTGCTAAAACTTAATCCTCTTATGTCTCCTCAAGCTTGTGAAACTACAGCATTTCCCCTTTATTAATTTATATGCTGTCAGCACTAAGTGAAAACCTCACGAGTGCGATTTCGGGAACTTCTCGTGCTTTTAGTGAATGTTGCAGCAACAGTAGTCTGAGAAATTTGAGCAAAAGCCACAGAATTAAAAAAAATCATGGTGGTCCCTCTAAAAAAGGCCCCATTCTTCTTTTTCTTCTCTTTCAAAATAAACTATATTTTCTCCTGACAGGGCTGCCCGCTACATTTTATACCTTGAGAAAAACTGCCATACCGCTCAAATATAAAAGATTATTGTGCAGAAAAAGCTGAGTCTTTGCATGGATATTGAATTAAGCTGCAAATGCCAGCACTTTGAAGTGCATGGCTTCTGTGTGGAAGTTAACTCATGAATGCTTCATGCTGCCCTCAGCACCTGGTGTTTGGAATCAAGTCCTTCATAGCGTACCTCATCCCGGACATGCCTAAGGATCTGTGCGACCGTATGAGGAGGGAGAAGTACCTGATGCAGGAGATGATGTATGAAGCAGAACTGGAGCACCTGCAGAAGGAGAGAAAGAAGAATGGACGACGTTATCACCATGAGTGGCCTTAGTTTGAGATCCCCCCCGTCTCCTTCCATGTCTCCACTGCAAGCCGCAAAGCCCTCGAGTCACAGGCACGACCCTACGCCTACGTACTTATGTGTTTTAGCTTTGACAGTCTAGCTTCACTCGGCTGATTCTGCACACCAAAGACACCTTTTTTGGTTACCAAATCCGCCCCCCCACACACACACCTCTCCGGCCTTTAGCACGCCCTCTGCCATCTGTTTCAGGTCCAGTTTTGGCGCTGCTTTTTGTTTCCGACCCCGCCTTCTTTCACTCCCTTTCCCGAACCTTACTCAGCTCCATCCGGCTGGTTGCCCTTGTTTCTGTGCTGTGTCATGGCTTCCCTAGGAAAACCTCTTTGCAATTGTAATGTTTACTATGCAGATCAAGGGCTGCAGATCACCACTGTTCACTTTCTGGCGCCCATCCTGCACTCCCTGTCTCTCTCTCTCTCTGTGGCAGCTACCACTCTGCTTTGACTCTACAGTTTGGTGCAGCTCGCAGCATGACCGTGTTGCCACCGCCGCTCTGCTGGTTAATGTGACAGAGTTACTGTGGCGTTTCTTGTTGCAAAAGTGATTCTGGTGATGTGGCTACCAAATACAGTGGAAACTTTTATTTTTATTCTTCGCAAAGTAACTGTTTATCGCCCTCGAAGCATGCTGATCAATATTTGCGGCCATTTTTGAAACTGCAAAGAAAAATAAGAAAAGGTCAAGTAACAGCACCCATTACGGAGGATGTTGACAAGGTACAAAGAATTTGCTCTGAAACCATTTCAAGTGCATGTTGTTGTTTTTTTTTTTTGTACCTTTTTATAGACAAAGCCCTTGTCTTGAAGCCTGGCTCATGCGTGTGTGTACTCAGTGTGAGCTGTGTGTTGATCTCTGTCCGTGCTACTGCTGAGCTCGACCTTCTCCAATCAAAGAAATGTGAACTTCGTGCGATTTGATTGTGCCTACAGTTGTGCTCACCACAACTGTGTCACCAACATCACGTGTGCCTGTTTGTGCTGCACGTGCTTTTTTCAAGTGCAAGAAATATTCCTCTCTTCTTCGTTCTGTTGTCTGAAAACTCTGAATTCTCCCGTGTGGATTTGTTTTGGACGCGTGTCACCCCGCAGCACCTCCTCGGGCCGGGCTAACGGCTCTGAGACGATACACGTCGTAATGTGACTCCCATCATGAACGATGTATACGCTCGCATGCAGGAGCCACAAATCTGCTCTTCCGTTCTGCGCTCGTTCTGCAGCCTGTTTTTCATTTGCTGTTGGAAGCCCTGAAGCGTGGTTGAAACTTGGATCCCCGCGACATACCTGTGGCTTGGATGTTCAGTTTGCAAAGAACATCCGGCCACTGTTCTTCTCCACAAATCTGCACTGATGCTCTTCGGTTCTTGTCCTCAGTTAGATGAGGTTCCAGATGCTCTCCGACCTTTATTGATGAGAAAATGAGACCTTTGGTTTGGTGGAAATGCAGAGTCTTGACATTGCCTTCTGTTGTGGTCAGATCTGAAGTCTTGGATTAGAGAACTCAGGAAAACAGGCAGCATGAGCGACACATCCATCAGTGAGTCAGCAGCATAATCATTTCCTTTTTTATTCATGCTGGGATGGAAAGTCTGTGTGTGGAGAAATTACATTAATGAGAGACTTTCAGATTTTGAAGTTTATGAGAACTTTAATCTTGGCTTAAGAGCTTTAGTTCAGACTGTAATGAATCAGATTTAGACTAACCCATTCAATGCACAGAGAGCTTAAGAAAAGAAATGGATTTTCCCAAACATATTGCACAACAATGAAAAAGTTATTTTCCATTTTACAATAAGCGTTCATTATTTCCATGTATTTATTTAACTTACTGTTCTTGTAAATATATATATTTAGGATGTGTGTGATGTTTTTATACTTTTTATTTATTGCAATCTGTGTGAGCTCACCTGTTTTCACCCTCAGCTCGACAAAGTGACGTCCACATTTCTCAGGTGTCTTCTGAATGTTCGCAGACGATTGACTTTCTATCATATTTTATAAGACGCAGTCAAAGGAATCCCGCTTTTTAAAATATATATTTTTGCATAGCAGTGCATTTGCATGACTAGAGTGCACACTCACTATTCAGAGCATGTTTTTCCTGCATTGTCACAGCAAACATAGTAGAGCAGAATGGATGAATCACACAGTTCATTTTAGAGGCACAAGATGCGTATGTATGGTTTGAGAGTAACTATGCTTTCAGGTCATAATGTTTAATTCAGTGATCATAACCATATCATCCACAAGTGAGATATTTGTTCCTAAATCTTGTACCAATACGTAGGAAACCAGCACAGGTTTTCTGCATATTTTCCCTGCTATGTGAACATTGAAAATCTATGCATGTTGTTATCCTTGAGTGCTACTTTCATTTTGAAGAGATGCAGATATAAATGTAAAGGTACATTTGTACTGTAGAGTATGCATGACCTAAGAGCTGCTTTCTGTAAGGTTGTCAACGGCGTCTTAAACATATCACCTCCCTCCTTCAGCGACTGTCATTTAGAGAGATCTGGATGAGTTCTCTTGATGAGGCAGAGTTTTATGCTGGGAGTAAGTGCTCGGACTCCGGATTGGTTTAATGAAATTAACCTGGGATAATTTTCCGTGAAAGTCTGATCAAGCTAAACACATGGATCCTCAGACTTGTTCAACTAGAAATCAAAATCAGTTCAGAGTTTCACCTGGCGGGATGGGAACTACAGTTTCTTGGATGTCCGAGCTACGAATCTTTTCCCAATTAGCCCTATTCTCTTCTCCTCTCCCCTTCAAACCAAAAGCTGCAAAGTGATATGTATAAAAAAGGTATTTCTCACACCTTCTACCGTTGGCAATAGCACAATATGGGTGTTATATAATAAGTAATAAAGGCATGACCTTGCACATCTCTGAAGCAGACTGGAAGAGGACTGAGCTTTCTGTCCCATGCTGCGCCTCCTAACAGGATTGTGGTGAGGCTGAAGCCCAGTGACCAATGATTTAACTGTACAATAGGATGGTACCAGGTGTGACATGAAGTGTATCAATAACATTGTTTACTTCGTTCCTGTTTACATGTAAAAACAAATTGAGATGTGAAAAAAAATGATGTAACATGAAATAATTTGGATATCACTCTTTTTCTGTAATAAATCATGGATTGTATCTTTTAAATATTTTCCGCCTCTGTCATTTTTCTTACAGTTTTAATATTAAACAATAGAGAAAGAGCCTCCAGGCCAACTGATATCATCTTCATGATGGTCCAAATTTTGCTAAATCTGTTTATGGAACAATCCGGAGCACAGCAGAGTGCAGTGATTGTTTTCCTTTTTTCCTCCTCCACTATTATCACAAACCACTAATCCTCCTGCCAAACAGTGTTCATGTAACATATTCTTAAAGAGATTCAGTTTCTATATGAGTGTTGTAGGATTCTCCCACTGTGTTATGACCGTTTACTGCCAATTCTCAACAGCCATCACCTCTAACCATTTTTCCATCCGTGCTGCGTCTGTTAATGCTGGCTTTCATTCTTTACTGTGAAATCTGAATACACAAAGGCAAATGTTAAATACTCTAACTATGTCCTCCAATCTGTCTTACTCTTCAGATATTTCCTTAACCAGCAGACATTACATACTGGCATAAAAAGCTGCGGTTTCACATTCTGACCACTTTGGGATCTTGTGGAAGTTTGGAAAATGATTTATGTATCATTTTCATTTTGCATTGCTAACATGATATGTATAAAAGAATTACTGAGGAAGTTAATGAGTACTAAAGGTACATGTTAATGAATTAAAATGTGAAATAAAAGAATAGAGAAAAACTTTTTAAAAACTTAAAAAGAGAATTAAAGTCAAATGCAAGCAGCATCATTGAAACAAGATGTCTGCTGTCTTGAGCAGCTCTTCTGTAAAAAGTAACAAACCAGAAAGTGAAACGGCAGAGGTGTTTTCCATTTTGGAACTGATCAGTTTCACAGAGAGACGAAATTTTAACCACAGTCTCACATATGAGTTATTTCAATCACTTTCCCTTTCTTCTGCACTGCAGACATGAGTTCATGGTCTCTACCAGCGTCTCCAGGTGACTGATGTTATTCATGCGGTTCAGATTTACAGCACAGGTTAGGAAGGTAATCAGCGGGGGCACTCAGACTGAACCCATAAATCCGACAGCTCCGGTGTAAACAGGACGGAGAGCCAAGGTCCACCAGCGGGGGACAAAGGAGTCACTGACATCCACAAATCATCCCAGCACTCAGCGAGCTGGGTTTAGAGCCTGTTTTCATCATTACAGATAAGATGGATCCTTAGCCTGAGTTAAACAGGATCTGTTAGAAAGATGCATGACACAAAGAGTGTTTTCTTAAATATATGAGAACATTTGTTTAAGTTTCAGCAAATTATTTGGTATTTCTGCCTCTGAGGCTTTCGTGGTTCAAATAAACAAAAAGGGAGGAAAATGGGAAAAATTAAGGTAGGAAGGGAATGGAAAATAAAGCTGGAGCAGATGTGCCGTAAACTATAGTACCTCAAGTGGCCACTAAAGGGTGTGTGTGTTTTGCAATGTCATTTTTGGCTATTTGCACGTTTCGCGTCTGTGAAATCACAGCATTCTGTGATTTCAGGCCTCACTCTGTAATATTATGAAAGCGTTTACTTCCCAGACAGAGAGAATTTGACATACAAGCTTTCTTCTAACACGAAGGTCTGATACATGAGGCAGTTAAAGCAAATGACGGCCCTGGTCTGTGTTTAAGATTAGTGACATATAAATGATTTATTTAAAAAGCCTTCACCTCCACTAAAGAAGGATAAAAACGGGTTAATAAGATCAAAGTTGATTGATGCCATTAACATGTTACTTTGTGCTGTCAGAGTGGGCATTCGTCTTAACATGGGTGTTTATGGGGTCCCTTTGGCTTTTGGAGACAGCCTCTACAGGACTATCGAGGAACTGCAGCTTTTGCCACAACCACATTAGCTTTACTTTTTCACAGCATTTAAGGCTGCTGCTGAGTAGTACAGTACAATACACTAAAGACTGAGTTTGAGCCTTTATTAACACGGCATTGTTAGCATTATTTTCACAATTCCAAATTAGAATATGGCTCAATCAAGTCAGTTCAGTTATTCGTGAGATCGTTGTCTTCCTTCACCTTCGAGAATAATCTTTTTCTATTACAAGCGATGAAAACCTACGAAAATTTCGCTTTTTTTATTTGATGCTTTTCGCACAGCAGCTGGGGAAGATAACACCCTAGGAGTCATGCTGATATGCCCTCGTGGGTGAAGGAGAGGTGAGATTTAGATGGGAGGCATGAATAACAGCAGTGACAAATGAGTCAACCTGAGTCAAATCACTGCGCAGAGCTGAGTGGATACAGAGACTGACACCTGTACAGTAGGTCAAGGCAAAAACCTGCTCACAGCTCTGAGACATGATTGAGCAGAGTCACTTCACTTATTTCACTTTACTTGCTGGCGCCATCATTGCTTTGTCATCAGTGACATGATTCATCATTTCAGAGTATTGAAGTAGGTTTGTAACCTTTGCTTGACATAAATATGTAAGCCAAACAGATTTCTTTTTATCGAAAAATCTTTCACTCTGTCTGCGCTGCTGAATCACAGGCTGCTAGAGGATAAACACAAGAAGCAGATCCAGCATATTGCCTTCACATGTTAAAATGTAATTTACCTCATCCCTTTGGCAGTCTTAGCAAACATGCTTTGCTTGTTTATGCTTGTGCTCTTCTGCAAAGATTCAGCGGTAAACAACAGTCAGCAGGTTTCGTGTTAACACAGTTTGTAGTGCAGGTGCTGAAAGAGCTACATTACGAAACCACTCAGGACTACGGCCTCACGCCTATTAATTCAGGTCACTGTGGTAGGACACTTGCTAAAAGCTACAACTCTCAGACTGATAATGAATAGCTCACTGGTTTGTGGTTATTGAGACCATAAACTGCATATGGAACAGAGAGAACAGCAGCCATCCCGTGTGAAGCCATAATTTCTAGACTAGCTGTAGTAAAGGTCTTAAAGCCCGTCTTCTCGGATATTTCAGACAGAACAAACTAGAAAATGAAACATGCTCCAGTGAAAGTTTTCTTAAACATGCTGCCAACCACAGCAGCTACTACTTTATTTATTTATGTCAAGGTGTTCATTTTTCACAAACATTTAATTTCAATCAGCAGCTTGATGTAATAAACAAGATGATTGACAGCTTTGTGGACAAATGTGGCTCCTGCAGCTTTCTGTACCAAAAAAAATTAATAAAACAGAGTAGAGGAGAAATGGCAAGGGAGACTGTAACTTACACTGACACAGAAGTCACTGAACTCTCTATAACCTCGAGTGTTTGCTCCAGATTCAACACAAGACTCTGTTCTGCTGAGGAGGACTGTACCGACCTGAGGGACCTCTGACATTTTATATGTAAATTAAACCCGTGTTTTGGTTAGCAGAGAGACTATGACCTTCATGCTGCTTGATTCAACAGTAACATCAAGTCAAGTAACAAGAGCATGGAAAAATAAAAACAACAACAACAGAGTGTTTGGGTCATATTGAGAAAAAGATTAAAGATTTTGAGAATAAAGTTTGTGTTACAAGATTGAAGTCATTTTACCACAAGATTTAAGTCCTGATGTTGTGGGTATAAGTCAAAGTGACAGCAACAAGGGCGACAATTTCACTAATTTAATTCCTAAGGCCTCAAACTGCTCTGAGAGGACAGGAGTCAGACGATGTGATTAACAGCAGCCTGAAGAAAAGAAAAATTGATTTTTTTTTTCCTTAAAAATACTTAGAGTGAGTGATGTTTTTTTTCACCGTTTAACACAACAAGATGAGGTTATTTATTTATTTATTTATTGATTAAGGGGGGGTTGAAACACGACTTTCATTTACACCCAATATAAGATAAGAGGCATCACTTTGTCCACTGGGGGGCCAAAATTGGTACAAACCAAAAGTTCCTCACAGCAGCTTTATTGTGGCTCTAATACCTAGTTGTGTCATATAAACACAGAAAAGACTGTAGAAGTTAGCCAGTTAAAGTTTACTTAAGAGATTTAATGATTACATTTTTCAAATGTCTAAAATGTATGAATGTGTATTAATTTTTATTAGAGTTGAATTATTTTCTAGTTTGCAAAGTGCACTTAAATCAAAATCAGTTAATCTGATTGGTTTCATTTATATGAAGAGAGAACCAGCAGGTCTGATACAGATCACATGATTAACAAAGTGATATTTTCAGGAAAACTGCCATTTTGTCACTGAAAGCTTTAAAAATAAACGAGTGTTACCAGTGAGTATTCCATTTCGCTGTGCATAAAAACCACAAAACCTTTTCATTTCAATTATTCAACTGCATGCAGGTGTCTGGAGAAAAAAATCTCATATCTATATGATGTAAATGTGTCTACTACATATTGCCATCTAAATGTAAAATACATGTTCTCTTCTGCCTACAAACATAGTTTCATTGTTAAAGGGGGCAGCTGAATGAAAATAAAAATCCACTCTGATGGGCCCTCTTGAATTTACATTAATTACATCCAGTAGGTTCGTTCCTACTGGATCCATTTCCATGCTCCCACTCAGCTGAGGGTTTCTGACCTCAGTGCTTTTAACAATGAGTGTGTGTGTAAGGTGAGTGTGTGGGCCTATGAAAGTGTCATCGACCTGTCCTGGTTTACATGTGTAGGAGGAGAGAGGAAGAAAAATACTCTGACAGAGATTATTGTGCCACTGCAGGTGAAAGATAGCACATATCATATATTTCCAGGCTGCATTGTGTCAGAGTCTGTTGAGGGTTTCAAAAAGGAAAAATAATGGATTTCATCTGTGCGGTATTTGAACAAGGGCACAGAAAAGAGAGCTTTGTCCTAAAAAAGCTAAATTGAATCAAACTTTAAAATTGAAATGGAGACTTTATTTTCTTTATTCAAATGCCCAAGAAATGGCTATGATTAGAAATTTGTCTTCTATAATAGGCAGGAATACCACAGTTTATGATAATTGACCGCAGTTCCTTGAGTGTCCACTTGAGACTGACTGCGAAAGCCAAGAAACCCTCATTCAGACCTGTTACAGCAACTATTATAAAATGCTATATTTTTTCAGCTACTTTTTTATGTATATGCACTGTACCATA